CGGCGGTCCGGAAGGGACCGCCGGAAGTGTGAAAAGGTTCCAGAAGGCGAAGAGGCGTACTTTAGGTGTAATTAGAGCATGAACGATGAGTTTCGCGCCAAAATGACGGGAATGCGGTGGAGTGTGACTTTTTGAAACTGTGAAAAAGTTGAGATCATCGTTCTATGTATATCTCGATAGCTATTGACTGTTTCAAAAAGTTGTCAACTGCAAAAATGGTTCAAATTTAGAGTTCTACAATACTGTAAAAGGGTACCTTTTTAAAGTTTAAATTTACGCCCCCTACTGTGGCGTAATTCATTGCAGAGAGAGAAAGGTTAAAAGTGTTGGAAGCTTCTTCTCTCTCTCTCTCTCTCTCTTCCTCTTTCGTCCTTCTTTTTCTCGCGCAATCCGACCGGTTCTTCTTGGCAGAGACGACCCCAAAACGGGGGCGCGGAATGGCAAAAGAGAGTCTCGAGATCAGAAGCTGTTGTACACTTTTGCAAGTGTCTCGGTAGTATTCACACGACTGCCATTTCACCACACTTCTTCTGGCCCACGCGCCTTTGCAAAGAATTACTGTAGCCTACAAATTTTTTGGGAACATCTCCATATTTTTCCTTTATTCTCCACGTGATTACCGTCATTTTTAGGGCTCGTGGGCGTCTGTACGAGTTTTTTGAAATTTGTTATGATTTTCCAAACTTTTGTGTGTGGCCATGGCACAGGAATTTCTGGAAGAACCGCTGGTGGCCTAACTTTTCGGATAGGATCACAGTCTTGTTTTTTTTAGATTTTTAGGTACCTTCCCGGGTGCCAGATGCGTGCCAAAAGGGGTCTTTCTTCTCTTGCAAATTCTAGGCCACCACTTTATTTGGCGGCGTTCTAGACTGTGTTTTTTGTGTTGACACTCCGAAAATACACCAAATCTTGTCTAGCCGAAAGTTTCCGGGTTTCCGATGGTGGCCTAACTTTTCTTTGTGCAAATTCTAGGCCATCACTTTCTTTTTTCGTAGTGTTCTAGTGTTCCATGATCGACTTTCCGGATCCCAAAAAATTGTGCAAGTTTCATCAGTCTTCACTGTGATGGCCGAACTTTCTCGTCTTGTGCAAAAGCTAGGCCGTTCGTGGCGAGACCCAAAGCGGTATTAGTCATTTATTGGACAGGTTCTCTTTATCACTCGGTGCCCTCTGACCTCGTCTGAACCCATCACCAATTTAAAGAGAGGCGACGGTCTTCGGCTGACATCTCGTCACGTTCCTTCTCATTTCGCGGCCAGATGTACAACACTCCCCCGCCAGTACGGTTTTTTTGCCCTCTTGCGCACCCCCCGTCACACTCCTTTTCTTCTATTATTGCTTCTTGAATGATCAGGGTTTCCGCGGAGAAGCATGACAATTTTGAGAAAATTTCAAATTACCGCCTATTCAAAGCGATATATCTCAGCTGTGCGTGGAGGTATCAAAAAGGTGTCAACTGACAAAATGTGCACAATATCCCAATGAACAATTTATCAGTTGACCACTTTTTCACTTCTCCACCACCAGCTGAGAAAAATTGGATCGAAAAGTGAATCTTTATATGCTGCAATCCAATTATTCACTTTTAGAGAAGCAAAATTTGAACACATTTTGAAAATGTAAAAAAAAGAAAAAAGTGTTTCCATTTTTGATCCCTTCTCACTCAAAACACGCAAAAAATGTTAGCGTGTGTGTAACTACTAGTAAATAGTAGTATTTTTAAGCAGGTTTCTACCAAAAACACATACAAATACACCAAAAAATGGGCGACGGTGTGTGGATTACTGTACTTTTGACTTCGACTACAATTTCGTTTGTGTCGTCGTCGTCGTGACGTGGCAAAACAGGCTACAGTAATCCTAGACTATCCAACGGTTACTGTACTCTTGTGGGTGTGCGTGTGTATGTACTCTCAGAACGTCACACAATATCAGTGCGCGTACATTTTCTCCTCCTTATCTTCTTTCCGAATTTTTCGGAAGAAGTGTGACCCACTCTCTCTTCTTCTTCTTCTTCTTCTTCTTCTTCTTCGGATCATCATCCCGAAAGAGCGAGAGAGAGAGAGAGAGAGAGAGATTGCTAAATTGATAGGACGGACCGAGGCTTCTTCCCCTTTTTCCCCTTTTGCCGCCCTTTTCCCCTCTTTCCTACTTTCTCTTCTTTCTAGTTTTGTACCACTTTTACCTCTATTGTACTTGTCATTGTTGCCCAAACGCTACCCAATTTCATCCGAAAACCCGCACTTTTAGACGCCAAAAAGCGGAAGAAACCGTATAGGATATTGTGGAACCACTTTTTGAGGATCTAGTGGTACAATAGTAGGGTTACTGTACTTCCATAGTGCGTAAAATATTGTGAACAGTTTCATAGCCGCTCAAAAGAGATGATTTATCGCTTTTCTATGCGTTGAAGTGCTAGAAATTCCTTTTGGGAGCCTGGGAATACTGTAGACCCTATCAGTTAGTGCTCTGATATTGTTCAACAACATTTCTTGGCTTTTTTTGTCATTACTGTGCCTCCTTCCCAGATCCAGTCGGTTCACTAATTTTACGACACCCCCCTCGGACCCGTGTTCTCACGGTACCGCCAAAGAGACCGCCGGACGGACGGTCCCTTTTGGCGGGCGGCTGAAACCGCGGCATTGACTTTTTTTACAGCCTGGGAAGAGGGGGGTCTAGGCAAAGGAAACATGGCACATTTTCTCGAAAAACCGAAGAATTTGAAGTTTTGAGTCTAGAAATTGGACGGAAACAGCTTTTTACCTTTGAAAAATGGCTTAAAATGGGGCTCATCACAAAATCGTAAACTTTTAGGGTTCAGAACGGAGCCAAGCGTCTCACCACGAAAGTTTGACACTTTTCGACTCAAGTTATTTTCAGTAAAAGCCTACAATCCTTTAAGGGTCTCAAAACGAAATCTCATTTCAAGTTGTTCACTTTTGTTGCTCCACAATAGATCTTTCGAAGTGTTAAAGGCGCACGCATTCTTTTACTACTATTATTGTAGTCCCAAGTTGATAAGTACCATGTCAAATGGGTCTCACCACGAAGTACAACAACAGTAGTAACAACTTCCCCTTTCACTCCCGCCGCTTCTCCTTCTTCTCGATGATCTCGACACTTTCACCTGTCCCCGCGCGCCCTTTCCCCCCCAAAAACCGGTCGCCGGCGCGCACGCCCCATAGGCAGAAGCCGTCAGAAGGCAAAGAAGAAGAAGAAGAAGAAGAAGAAGAAGGAGAAGAAGTCGAGAGTGACTGAACACTTTCCTCTCCTCAATTGTAATGCTATTCGCCGCTTTTCGGGGGGCGCGGAGAAAGTTACATCAGTGTTTGGTGTGTGTGTGTGGCAACGGGAATTGGCAAAAGCCAAGAGTGTGTAAGGGACATGTGATGATTCGAGATTGGCGAATGCGTGGGCGGACGAGAGAGAGAGAGAGAGGTTCAGAGGGCAAGGGATCAAGGTCGCCGAGTACCGCTTACAGTCAAACCGATATACGTGAGCGGCGGGCGGAAATATCAAAAAGTGGTCAACTGATAAAATGTGCACAATATCTAAACGAATAGTTTGTCAGTTGACAACTTTTTGATCGCTCCGCCCACAGTTGAGATATTTCGTTGTAAAGTTTTACATCGAACAATTACTGTTTCACACCCGCATGATCTGTGAAATAATTGTTTTGGCACAAGTTTCTAGAATATTGCACTCGCCTTTTCAGCAGCCGGTGCTCCTACCTCCAGCGTCCCCAAATTTTCAAGAAAATGACTTTCTAATCTCAAAATCGTCTAGATTTTCCTCCTATTTTATCAGCCAACCACCTAGAGGGTATACCCAGTTTCCAGATTTTCCCCTTCTGGGAAAACGGAGCACACGGGCCACGTCCTTTGAAGAGACCGCCCCCGTGCGGCAAAGGAAAAGAGGTAGTCAAAGGGCACCGAGGCCACGCCCCTTTCTGGCAAAAAGTATACCTGTAAGGGGGGCTGAAAGGATTCTAGTCAGTCATTCGCTCATTCCTACTGCCTCGAGCCTACTTTTCCTTTTCTTTTTCTACTTTTCCTATTCCACTTACTTCTACTCTAAAATCAATCGAAATTAGTGAAATGCTAGGATTCCTCATAGACTTTGTACGAGAATCTCTAAAAAATGATTCGCCCCACCCCCGGCTTTCAGTCCCCCTCTAGTCTCGGGGGGGGTCATACAGATCTCGTTTGGCCAATTACCAATTGGCATGCCCCATCATCATCATCATCACTCTCGAAGTACACCCCCACCTCTTCCCTTTGCCTCCCCGAAAAGCTTTCTCAATACCAGTTTTCGATGGCTTTTCCCTTCTTCCTCTATTGTTATGCAACCCCCCCCCCCTCTCTCTTTTTTTCTCATTCTTGTATGCGTGGGGGTGTACTACTGATGATCAAGAAGAAGAAGAAGAAGAAGAAGAGGAAGAGGCATTTGACCTGATGATCACTCACTTCTACTCATTCATTTAGTTACACTTAGAAAAATCCCAGAAGTTATTTTGAAGGCATCTAGATAATTCTCGGGAGACTTTTAGCTCAATTCCACAACTTCCCCTCTCTCTTTCTCTCCGTCTCTTCCACCTTGACCACTCTCTCTCTCTCTCTCTCTCTCTCTCTCTCCCTTTCCTGTTCCAGAACACGAAAGTTATCAGTGACGGCGCGGCGCGGAGCACATTCTTATCTTTTTAGAGTGACCACGGGGCGCCCCGATATTGTTGTATTACTATTTGAAAGTTTCTTTTCACCACTACTCGTTACTTTTCAACTTACTTCCTCTCCAATATACTTTTGACCCCCCCTCCGTTCCTCTACGCTCCGCCCACTTTTTTTATCTCCACTTCCGAATCTCGGCCACTTTCTCCCCCACCCGGCGTCTAACAGACGAAGAAGACGTTGATTTCACTTTCTCCTAAATTTTCAAACACTTGTTTCGAATTTGAATGCAATACCGTCGTTTTTCCCACCTTTCACCTCAACTTTTTGCAGGATGGATCTCCAGAAACCGCCCAATTTTATGCTCGACTGCGCGATGCCTCCGCACATGATGCAGTCGATGTCGTGGGTGGCAGCAATGGCGGCCGCCTCGTCTACAGTACCACCTACCGTACCCACGCCGACCGCCACGTCATCTCAGCAGCCACAACAACAACAACAGTTACAGCATCATCCGGCCTACGCGCCGCCCTACAAGGTTTGTCGGTTTTTTTTTTCGAAAGTTTTTACACAAAAATAGACAATAGCGACGAGATTACAGCTGGAGAATGACCAGTTTCAGCGGTGTAAAACTTGATCAGGAAGTTTTTCGGTCGAAAATTGTGTTTTTACACCTTTTTTTGAATCACTGGTCACTCGCCTGCTCTTATCGCTCGCTTTCCGCTTATCGGTGACGGCAGTAGAACCATATGCACTTTGCAGAAAATGTCAAGCTGTTTTTGGAATTTTTGACGTGAAAATCATCCGAAAAAGCGTGGAAATTGCCTGAAAACCTGAAAAAATACGGACGAATCCCAAAAATCAGTTTGTACGACACTCCGAAATAACGGCACGGCACTCTGTTTACCGTAAATCTACACTGCTTTTTCGCGGCAATTTTTCATCGTCTTTTGCAAAAATTTGGCTGAAATCTTTGGATCTTGGCGACGTTTAATTAAAATGTATATTGATTTGCTCAGTAATCACTGAAAACACCTAGAAAACCCCGGAATTTCTTGCAGGCTCAGCCAAAATCGTCGGCGACACCGTATTCAGATGCGACCAATTGCAAAAAGTCGTCGAATCACATCAAACGGCCGATGAACGCCTTCATGGTGTGGTCGCAGATGGAACGACGCAAAATTTGCGAGCATCAACCGGACATGCACAACGCCGAGATTTCGAAGCAGCTCGGATTGCGTTGGCGGCATCTCAGCGACGAGGAAAAGGCGCCGTTCGTGGCCGAGGCCGAGAGACTTCGTGTCTGTCACATGCAGGTGAGCATTCATGAACAAAGTGGAAATTCTTGCAATTTTCTTTGAAAAATACCAAAAATTCTCTAGATGGCTTGTAGAATTGTTAAACTTGGTTTTTAACTCAAAAATCTTGCAGGAATACCCCGACTACAAGTACAAGCCGCGCAAGAAGCCGAAGAAAAATCCGGACGGAACACTCCAGCAGCCAGCTCAAACCGCGGCTCAAAATGCGCAGACACGTGGCGTTTCGCCGGCTTCTCGTCAACGGAAGCGCGCGAATCCGGCGGTGGAGCCCGTCGAATTCCAGATGAATGCGAATTTTCTGCCGAAAACGGTGAAAATGGAGCCGGAATGGATGGGAAACGGAGGGCAGATGGGCGGAGTGCCCAAAGAGTTCCATCCTTCGTACCCGTCGCCCTCCGAGTTCGGCGCCCACGCACCACTGACCCCCGACGGAGGATTCTACGAGGATTTCTACACGCAACAGCACTTTGCGCAGCAGCATCCCGCACCCAGCCCCATCAGAATGGTTAGTTGGTTCTTTTAATGCAAACGAATCAAATTTTCGACCCATTTTCAGACGCAAAACGGAATCGGAATGGAAGTGATGGCGCCCGGAATGCAACCGCCCATGATGGGACACTTTGGCGCGCCGTTCTACTTGCACACGTCGCCGCCCTCAATCGATCAGGTCAGTCATCGTCCTCAGTCTTGTTATTGCACTGTTTGCATGTTTTCCGCATGAAAATCGCCTAGTTTTCAATGTTTGACATGGTTTTGGGTTGCTAGAAGTTTTTGTAACCTTTTACACAGCTTTTGAAACACAGAAATCATAGAAAATCCAAAAAACACATCTAGCCGCCCATAACACTTTGCAATCCACCTCACTTCGCACTAACCTCATTCCCTTTTCAGATGCACCGTCACCCTAATCTCCTCCGTTTCCCTAACAGACCGTTTAGTGCCCCGGTCCCCAGACTCGCACCACCGCACTCGCTTCAGTCGTTTTCGGCCACTCCACCACCACCTCCTCCTCTTTCCACTTCTTCTTCCACCACTTTCGATTCCCGTTTGCAGGACGACATGCGCTCGCTATCGTCCGGCTCGTCGGGCTACGCGGACTGCTCCGCTTCCGAGCAGTCGACGTCTTCGCCGCCCGGACCCGTCGGAGCTCAGCCCACTTTGGCTCCGCTCGACGAGTTCTCGGGCATCTCGCCCACCATCAACAACCTGCCGTTGTACTCGGACCTTGCGTGGGACGACCTGTACAAGAGCATTTGAATACACTCTTGCTGCATTCAAAAAATCGATTTTATGAGATTCTTCGCGAATTTTGGTGGGCTTGGAAATGTGATAGAATGTCTGTGACAAGCGCCAAAAATTTCGAGAATTCGCTCAAAAATCAGCACTCCAACCGTTTCTCCATCCGCTTTTTTTTCACTTTTCCCCCTACCTCATCCACATTGTTCCCCCCCACTTTTCCCTCCCATTTCCCAGTCCCGTTAGTCCGGTCCCTAGAACCATTTCATTTCGATTTTTGCTAGACATTTCCCATCGTATTTCCCATGTGCCCCCCCAGTATTTTCCACTGAAATTCTGATGTATTATCACCCAACTACGCAACCGCGCAAACAGTTTTACGTTTTCGAAAGGCGACAGTATTTTTCCCCCAAACTTGTTTTTGAATTTTTCAAGTATTTTTTTCCATTTCTCCCCCTTGCATAATTGTGTCCTGATTTCCGATTGTCCCCCCATTCAATATCCGTTCGGCCAGCTTTACACAAATTCTTTCATTTTTTGCATACTTTTTGATTGTATATTTTGAAACTCCGCCCTCCAATTTTCGGCTCTTATTTCCAAGTATTTATATTCATAGACCCTCTTTTTCCGACAAAAATGACCGCCCCGCAGTGTTTCCCCCTCAACTATTGATTGATGTTATAAGGCAAGGATCTCTGGATCTTGGATTGATTTGAATGAATGAATGCGGCTCTTGAATTGGTTTTTTTTATTGTTTGTTCCACGTGGTCAGATGAAAAACTGAATGGAATAGCACAGTATTTGCGTTGTGGAAATATGGAAACTGTAAGTTTTACTTCAAAATTACAGTTTCAGGAAATGTTTAAAAGTACATCGTTTCCCACGGTCTCCAGAGCTTACAATGGGCGCAAGTGCGCCCCTCCAAATAGAGCGATACATTGGCGCGAAATTCAAATTTTGTGTTTTTTGCCAGATTAGCCGCGAAAAACCCGATAATTTCTCATTTTTCTCTCGATAGACCGATTCGATAGGCTATTACGAATTTTTTAAGCGCAAGAGCGTTAAATTTGGTCAATTCGCAAATCACATTTATCCGTTTGAAGGTTTTTGGCTAAAACTGCGTGAATTTCAGTTGCTTTTCGGTAGTTTTCGCGGTTCGAGCGCTCAAAATGCTTGTATTTACGTGATTTATCATTCTTAAAACCAATTCTGTCTGAAAACGGTCAAGAAAGCGCAAAATGAGAAGTGCGGTTTTTAGGCGGCGATCGGCGGCGACGGCGAAAAAGCAAAGTCCGCGAAAAATGTGCCAAAACGTCATTAATTCTGAGAATTAGTGTGTTTTCATGCCGGACAAGCATTTTTCATCGCCGTTGACCACAAAAATCAGAGAAAAGTGCACAATTCATGAAAACGCCATTTGGCCGCCGAGGCCACGCCCATATTGTCAGTCAGCTCTGGAGACCGTGCGCGTATATCGTTTCCAGGAACTTCAATTTCGGAAAAACCGCCACGACAAGTGAAAAAGTTGAAATTGTAAGTTCAAAAAGTGTCCATAAATCTACCGTAATCGTCGGGGGGCGCCAAAGTATTGTCAATTTCATCATCGGCGCCTCGAACAACCTTCAACAACTCTTCTCATCGGCATGTTTCCTTTTTATCTCTCCTCTGTTCCGAATAATTCTCCAAAGTGCCCCCCACTCCTTTGTTTTTATCTTTTCTGCATCTCTTCGAAAGTTCTTCAGAATCCGTCCGACCTCCAACGACGTTAACGACACGAAAAGAGGCAGATAGGCATCTGGAACACGCGACTGGCGCACGCACACAAAAAAACCCACCGTTTTTTGCTTTTGAAATCGGTTCCTCTTTTTTCTTTTTTGAGGACGCCGAGAAAAACGACAGGGATCGGAACATGTTTTCGGGGGGAAATCAGGTCCTTTTGTGATGATCCGAGCGGGCTCAAACTTGGCAGACTTCTTTCTTGGACTTGAGCCCGATCGGATCATCTTCTGGTCCCGAGATATGCGGAAGCCCGCGCTTTTCAGCAGAGCTAGTCTTTTGCATAGAACCTTGGCAATTGAGACGACACGAAGAGAGTAATTATCGATACAATTTGCAGCATTTTTCTACGAGACTAACAGAAAATGGCCCCGTGCCGTTCCGATTCCACAAGTTTTTTTTTTTCTGAAAAATAGACGCTATTTGAATATGTTGTTCAAAAAAATTAATGAATACGTTAAGGCAAGACGCACGGCGACCAAAAGTGTGGAAAGGGGCGTGGCCTAATCTGAGACGTGTTTTCTGAAAATTGCCGCATTTCCAGCACACTTTTCCGATATTTTTGTGTTTGATACGAAGTGAGTGTCGGCAGTGATTAATGGGGTTATTCAGGCTGTGAAAAAAATGATTGTTTTCCGTTTTTTTCGTTTTTTAACGTCAAAAAATCCAATTCAGCGATGTAAAAAAACGAAAAAAACGGAAAACAAACATACGCTGAATATCCCCATAAGCACACGTTTATACAAGTATTTTAAGCGTTCAAACGGCAAAAAGTGTCGGCGAATGACTGAAATTCGCGCATTTTCAGCACAAAACTGGACAATCGATTCAATTGATTCATTTCTGAATGAAAACTGCTCGTTTTAAGCTCAAAAAGTGAGCGATGATTAGTTTAACAAAGTTATGCAATTACATCGTCGAAATCGTACAAAATTTTCGTAATTTTTTACGAAAAACATGAAAAATAGGGGGTTAAATTTCGAATTTCGCGCCAAAATGGTGATAAACCGTGCACGCTAGGCCACGCCCCCATTTCTACGTTTTTGGTCGCCGTGAAGACCAAGAATTTATAAAAGTTTTGAAACCGAAAAGATAGATTGAAAATAGACGACACAAAAAAGGATGGAAAAACGAGTTTCTCGCTCGCCCGATTTCAATAATTTTCACCTACAAAAGGTGATCTCGTTCTTCCCGTTAGCCGCTTATCACCGATATTGTCCATTTCGTCGGGCCGAGACGATTCCCGTTCGCATCCAGTTTTCTTTCGATCATTTTCACTTGCATCGCCCCCCCGTCGGATAATATCATTCTCTTCTCAAACAAATGTTGCTTTATCTTCTCATATTTTTGCTCGTTTTGGCCACGGTTTGTGAGTTTTTTTAACAGTTTCAACAAAGAGCAACATTGCTCCAGGTCAAAACTTTAAAACATGATTAAATTTTCAGCCCCAGCAAATGCCCAAACTCCTGCGGCCGAGGCAATGCCACCAACGCTTCTGTCGGCACTTTCCGGCAGTAAATCCACCCAGAAACTGCCGTTGGCTCCGTCGGTGGAGGCCCTGGAGCTGATGGGCGTACAGTTTGTGGACGCGCTCATCAAAAAGGGACAGATGGAAATGGCGAAGGGCGCATTCAAGACGCAGCTGGAAGTGCTCGAGAAGGTGCATCCGGACCAGTACGACAAGTACCGCAAGCTGAAAGTCGACGATTTGGCTGCGGATGCGGTCATGCAGCAGGCCGAGATGGCCAAGTTACAGCCAAAGACAGGTACTTTCTTCTTCGAACATTGTCCAATCCAAACCTCTAAACGCCTCATTTTTCTGCAATCAACTAGAGTTCTCAAGTATAACTCTTTCAAACAGACTAGATACGTACAACGCATAAAAAGTGTTCATCGATTTATCGATTTTGCCGTTTCAACCCCTCTAGCTAACACATTTTGCTAACACTTTTTGTTAAGGCAACGCGTTCATCGACATGCTCAACGGAAACGGAATTCCGATTGGAAGCAGTATTCGTGGATTGGAAGACGCGATTCGCACACAACGCGATATGGAGAACACGGATCCGTCCGAGCAGGTATATCATGTCAAACAAAGTCTACAAGATACCCCCCGAAACGTTTTTCCGGTTCTTCCGAACTACACTTAGTACTCTATTCTTGTTGTTTAGCCGTCACATTTATTGCCCAGCTTTGAAAGTCGACAATGAAACTCGCCGGTCACATTTAGATAAGAAGTTTTTAATCAAAGTGTTAGCTAACAAAGTGGACATCAATCCTGATGACTTTTGCCTACACTTAAACACTACACGGACTTGACGGAGTCACGTTTACCGATAAAAGACGCCAAAATCTAAGCTAAGACACAACTTTTTCACTCACAGAGTTTTATCTAAGATGAATCCGGCACAAAATAATAGTCTACGTTTGAAACCGTAAACCACAGTTAACTGTGATCTTCACTTTCCACTGCAATTTCGACAAAATTGGTACAATCAGTCGGCCAAAAGAGTACCGTTCAAAAGGATACGATCCGTTACTGACTACTGACTTGATTTTTTCTAATTTTCACACGCATCCAAACGAATTTTAAAGGTTAGGAGAAACAACCATATTTAAAAGTGATTTGCAGATCGCCAAAGCAGTCCTGGACAAGTTCCAAACGCAAATTCTTCCGGGTCTCGTCGCGAACATGATCGCCGGCCGCAATCCTTTCAAAATGCCCCAGAAACTGCGTGGAAACCAGGCGCCGCCATCTTCGGTCCTTCAAATGGCAATGGCTCAGAAGGAGCAGTTGGCACAGATCGGACAAAGAGTCGGAAGTCAGCAGATGATTATGAACGGATTGGATCAGAGACAGGGACGTAGAGAGCAAGAGGAAGAAGGAACGGAAGAGGAAGAGGGACAAGAAGTGGAAGAAGAAGAAGTGGAAGGAAGACGGAGGAGTGGAGGAGGCGGAGAGCCACAGACCGAATCGGAACACCATCGGAGGGATCTGATGAGGAGACTCAGAAATAGTCCCCGGCTCAAGGGTCTCTTGGAGGTAGGCGCGTTTTCTCAAAATTGCCAGTTGTCAAACAGCACGACACTTCTTTAAAATGTGAGAGTATTATACTATTTCTCAATTCTTGTCCCAATTTATTCTGAAACATACTCTTTTTGCAGAACGCCGAAGTCCAATCGATATTGTCGTATCGAAGAATGAGGGATTCGCCGTTGAGCAAGAGAAGACCACTCGCTATGAATGGTTCGTTTCTTTGAATAGATCCATTATGCCGCGTTCAAAGTCTAGGAAAAACCGGAAAAACCGCAAGTTTTTCTGTCCAATGTCGGCCGAAATTTGCGTGAAAAACGGGGGTGCGCACAGCTCAACGAATGTAACCGTACCTCTAAAACTACGGTATTTTTTGAAAATTTGTTAATTTCTTGAGGATATTTGAAAAAATTCAAATTTCTTGCGCAAAATTTCAAAAAATACCGTAGTTTTAGAGGTACGGTTACATTCGTTGAGCTGTGCGCACCCCCCGTTTTTCACGCAAATTTCGGCAGACTTTGGACAGAAAAACCTGCGGTTTTTCCGGTTTTTCCGAGACTTTGTACGCGGCATTAGTTCTAGAATTAGTGAAGTACTTTGGCGCACGGGAAGTTTAGGTGTAGTCGTTCATTCTATATCAAATATCTCAGTTCCCGGTGGGGATGCCAAAAAGCGGGAATTTTCTACATTTTCCTAGTTGACAACTTTTCAATATCTCCTCTTTGCAGACGACGACGAAGCGCAATTCAAAGCGATGGAGGCGCAATCGAAACTCGACCAAAAGTCGCAACTCGTCCTGGGTCTTCACGGATTCTCGGGCGCCGAAGATGAAGATGAAGAGGAAGAGGAAGAAGAAGAAGCAGAGAATATCGATCCGTCGGCCAACTCGTTCCGTCGTGCCCCCCTTCGGCTCTCGTCCGGATTCGTCGAGAAACTCCGCTCCAATGATGAGCTCCGAAATGCGCTGGACCGTATAAAATATCGAGTTGACGATGTGGAAAAGTATTTGGAGCCGAAGAAGATCGACTTCAACCCGAAGCCCCAACCCGGCTACTTTGTTCCCCGTAAAATCCCGACACGCCCCCGCAAAATGCTTCCTTTATTGATCGGAGTGGACCCGAAAGTGCAGGACGAGATCCGGAGACATCCCTCGGCCGAATGGAAGATGGCGTCCGAATCGCGGGTGCTCACGAATCTCAAGAACAATCCGAGTCTGGCGGCGCTGTTTATGGACGACAAACTCGAGAACACGTTGAAGGGACGGCAGATGCTCAGCAACGAGCAAAAGGGAAAAACGAGGGTGAAGACGATTCGCGCGCTGCCGAGACTCTTCGGAGCTCCGACCGCAAAGGCCCAGATGATCGATGCCAAGGTATTTTTTCGCGAAAAATTGGGTTAGCAATGCGCCGTTTTGTGACTGTTTCCCACTGTTTCGCACCTATCATTTACAAATCGTCTTTCATTTGCAGGTGTTCCAAGACATTGAGGAGCGTCCGGTGCCGCCGTTGTTCTGGGAGCCGAAAGGAAGACACACGCGACTGCGATGGACTGGGGCCAACGAAAAAGAGATCCCCGGATTGGGTACGTTTTTGAAATTAACAAAATCACGTTTCAAAAAGTTAGCAAAACTATTATTGCTATTATTATTATTTATTAACGTTATTAATTGAAGAGAGAGAAGGGGGGAATGGCAATTGAACATTTCTCTCAATTTTCAATTGTACATGAACAGTCCGTGAACCGGCAAAGAAAATCGATGATTCTGACTTCAAAAACGATAGAGAACATTTCGGTTTTTGCGTTTTTACGGAAAAATCGTTAAAGTTAGGCTTAAACTGACTTGAAGTTTTGTTGTCAATACAATATTTTATCGCCCCGAAAAGATTACGCTTTCTTGCAGGAAGTCGTTTCATTCTGCCCTCGCTGGACCCCACAATGCCCGCCCTCAACACTGCATTTTCGACTCAAGGACGGGCGCGCGACGAGTGGGACACCATGTTCAAGATTCCGAATAATTGGAACGCGGGCGATGAGGTCGGCTTCAAAATGAACTCGAAAACGAAGCGATTCGTGGGCGGCAACGGCGCTTTCGATATGCCCGCTTTAGGATTATAAAGAGGGTCTGTAATGTATGGTCTAATAATAATAATAATAATAATAATAATAACATTCATTGTAATACTGTTAATAATTGTTCGCTCAATTGTTTCTATGACAACATTTCTAAAGAGTTCTAACCAGTGTTCTACTAAAAATCACGAACTGTTCTGGCCGTTTTCCTGTTTTTTCTTCTGCTCCTCAGCCAGCTCTTCCCATTTTTTTGCGTTGTATCTGCAAAAACAGAGGTTCTTAGTTTGTGCTGGTTTTTTAGAAACTCACTCGCATCGCTCTCTCATTTTGTCGACTTTCGGGAAGATTCGAGCGATGAGTTCGTAGCAAGGCATACAGATTCCACGCATGAAACCAACCTGCAACCATATTTTTTTTTGGGGCTATTCAGCGTTTGTTTGTTTTTCGTTTTTTTACATCGCTGAATTGGGTTTTCTGACGTAAAAAAACGGAAAAATAAATAATTTGTTTTTCACAGCCTGAATAACCCCATTACGGGAATTAATTGGTTCAAAATTTGTTTGAGAGTGAACGTTTTTCAAAGGTACACTGTTTTCAGGGCACTTCGAATTGAAACATTTTTTTTTTTCAAGAAGGCTTTTTTTTTAAATTTTTTGAATCTGTAAAATATAGTACCTGCATCTGGGGGAGTTGGTTCGCCTGATGTCTGTCCATCATCGCGATCGGATCCTTTCCGCTCAGCCTCTCCGCGTCTCCTTGATCGTAAAACTCTTCGAAAATCACTTTGACAGTTTCCGTCTGGATGTTCCACGGCTTTGCAGAAGCGACGAGGTCACAACCGGTCATCATTACTGCCTGCGTTAACAGTCTGTAAAATTGATGTGTTTTTTGTATTCGAAACGATTAGACACCCCCCTAAATACCTGTGCTCCGGCAGATTGATATCAAACTCGCCCGTGTCCAAAATCGCACTCAATTTGGCTTTATTCGAGAAGAAAAGTGCGAGATCAGTGGCCAGAATGCAATGTTTTATGAGCGAGAGAGTCTGTTTGTACTCCTCCGAACTCAACGCCTTCAGAATATTGTGACCGTCCTGCTGGAGAATGGTGACCGTCTGATTGAAATGGTGTCGCTCCATCACCGATGTACTGTAGATCGCCGCCAGCGGCGTCGACATCGTCTTCATGTACGCGTTGTTCTTTCCGCGATGGTCCAGATCGTGACAGAGGCAGGAGACGTACAGGGCGAGCGCCTGGAAACGTTTTTTCCGATATATCGGGGGTTTTTTTTGTCATTCTGAATCGAACCAGGCCTGGACGAGTTTGTGGTTCAACCGGAAAGAAAAACAGTCGGCTAGAGAGAAGCGATTTGAGCCAGTTTCGCGTCTGCGTCTCTCTCTTTTGGCGCGCAAATCGCTCCTCCCTCGCCTCCGGTTTTTTTCATTATGCAATTTCTCAGTCAACGTCAATCAAACAGGTCTGAATCGAACGGCACACGGCGACCAAAATAATAGAAAGGGGCGTGGCTTAATCTGAAACGCGTTTTTTGAAAATTGCCGCAATTCCAGCACTTTTCCGATATTTTTGTGTTTGATATCGACGAAAGAAGACATTAAAGAGAGAAAACATTGAAATTTTCGTGAAAACGCCGCGTTTGAGACGTTTTTGGCATCATTCGCAATACGCTCTCCGCGGCCAATCGCCGCCGCAATTTCGGAATTTTCATACCGGCCGATCTGGATAGTTTTGAGACGAGGTGAGTGTCGGAAGTGATTAAGCACACGTTAATACAAGTATTTTAAGCGTTAAAACGGCAAAAAGTATCGGCGAATGACTGAAATTCGCGCATTTTCAGCACAAAACTTGAAAACCGATTCAATTGATTCATTTCTGAATGAAACCTGCTCGTTCTAAGCTCAAAAAGTGCGCGATGATTAGTTTAACAAAGTTATGCAATTACATCGTCGAAATCGTACAAAATTTGGGTAATATTTGACGAAAAACATGATAAATGGGGTTAAATTTCGAATTTCGCGCCAAAATGGTGATAAACCGTGCACGCTAAGCCACGCCCCCATTTCTACGTTTTTGGTCGCCGTGCGGCACAAGCTGATTTTAATTTTAAAAAAATGCCCGATACCTCTAATTTGGTGAACGCCTCCGGACTGGTCATGAGCGTGGCGAACATTGCGTGTGCCACCGACCATCCGTGCGCCCAATTGTGATAGGCAACGCGACGATAATTCTTGCGGACCGTCAGAACGAACCGGATCAGATCGTCCGTGTCGAAGCGTCTGCAACAATTTTCGAGATAATCGTTGAATGAAAACTCACAAATAATCCGAAAAGAGCGTTTTGAACATGTAGACGGCGTAGAGCGGTTTTTCGAGTTCGGAGAGACGCATTCCGTTGAAGTCGATTCTGAAAAATACTGATTTTTCGAATGAAAGACTTTTAAACCATATTGGGGTTATTCAGGATGTGAAAAAAAATGATTTTTTCCCTTTTTTTCGTTTTATTTACTTCAAAAAATTTAATTGAATAGTCGCGCTGAAAAATAAACACGAAAAAAATTAATCTAACAAGAACTTTACACTTTTAAACTTTTTGTGAAACAATAAATAATTCGGAACAACTGCAAAGATGCTTCGAATCGATAAATGACGTTGTTTCAGATTTCACCCATCAGAGAATGTTCTCTGCAAACGTACGTCTCCAGCTCGACAATCCGATTGTTGATCTCAATTTTCTTCAATTTGTTCACCTCGTCCGCATTGCACACACTGTGATAGGCGAGCACTTCGAGCGCCACCCGGTACTTTTGCTCGGACCGTCTTATTTTGTCGTACAATTTTGCGTGATGAAGTGCGAGTCCGCAGTAAACTGCGAATATTTCGAACGCGTCTTCGTCCTGTCGAGTGAACACTCCGTCGTGTTTGTTCACCATCTGCACCACTCCGATCACACTGCAAATTTCAATGTTTTTCTCCCGTTTCAAAGTGTTTCGAAACTCTTTTACTGTTTAACCTTAACCGCTCAAAACTGCATGGATTTGCAACAAAAAGAAAAAACGTACACGCCACGTATGAGAATCGGCATGCACAATATCGTTTTGGTCGTGTAGCCCGTTTTCGAGTCGACGTCCGCATTGAATCGCTCGTCGTCGTACGCGTTTTCGATGTTCAGGCCTTCGCCAGTCGATGCCACGTGGCCGGCTATTCCTTTTGCCATATCGAATCTGAACAGTTTTACTTGGAAGTTACGATCGGTCTGCTATAGGTATTAGAGCTCATTCAGTTCAGTGTTCTACACATTTTCAGTCAAGTACTCGCACCAATGATCTTCACTCTTACGATTCATTTAATTCATCTCTAAGGTCCCCGCGGTTCAATTTTTCAGTCAACGCCAACCGCATTGGTAACAGTGTTTAGGAGGCTAGATCACGAGAGACTCCTCCTTCTTACCTGATCTCCTTCTGTCCCTCACTGTTCACCCGCACGTGTTCCTCATCGCCGGTGCCGACGTCGAAGATCCGCGCGTATATTTGCTTATTTTTCGCGTCCACCAGAAACAGAGAGGCCCGATCGGCGTCGACCAATTTTTGAGCGAAATTCTAGAAAACTCATTTTCAAGTGTAGCAACGTTTTGTAAGCCTACCATCACTTTGATGATAACCGCATCCATCGAGACGATATCGTGGAAAATCGACCTGGCGACGTCCAACAAAAAATTGGACAATTTGCGTTGTTTCGCAATATTCTCATGGATTTCCGCCGACTCGGAACCCTCGTTTTTGTGCGTGTACAACTGAAAATGTTCCAGTGGTTCAGGTAGCATGAACTATTATTTTGGATTTGAAACCATTCATAAATGTCTACCGTAACCCGTCTAAATAGCATTTTCCCTTCATCCGCTCATCCGTGCTCATCTCCATTTGACGTCAGCGACGGATTTGCATGGATTGGGGATCACTGTAGTCAGGATTACTGTACCTCGGAGAAGTAATTCGCCGCCGCCGCCCACGTGCAAATCGTGTTCACCACCGCCTTTTCCGATTGATCCAATTGAGTGTAGAAATGGATTTCACCTGCGAAAATTGGATGAAAACTAGAAAAAACTCTTCTCACCAATAGTTTGATTTCCGGCATTCACAATAGTTTGAATATAATTTGCAGATTTCGAGTTTTTGACCTGTAAAAGAGTATTCTTCAAATTCGATGAAAAAGCCGTTACCTTTTTCAATTTGAGCTCTCCATCTTCGGTTTTTCGGCACGAAAATGCGCCTTCGTCGTTTTGAACAATTAATTCGACCGAATTGGTGCCCACTATTTGACCACAACATTGAGTTATTTCGTACAATATTCGCGTCTGAAATTGGCAGATTTTCAGCGTTTTTCCATCATTTTCAGTCACAGAAGCCCAGCCTTCGAATTTGCGAATCAAAAAAAGAGGCTAGAATTTCGTGCTGCGCCTTTAAAAAACTACCGTAATCTTCGCACTTGTGAGTCTGAAATGGCGTACGAAATTTGCGAATTCAAATGTGCCCGCGCACATCGAAACTGTTTTGAAAGTGCGAGTATAGTTCACTCATTTCTCGAATCGAAGCCTATTTCGTCCAATTTCCTTTTTTCTCTGCACTCACCCGATTGTCGGAAGTTTCCAATATCACGCGTCGTTTCATTGACAAATCCATTTCCTGCAAAACCGAATTTTAGAATATATTTATAACTATCTCGAACTATAATCATTTTTCAGAGCTTCTTTTCAAATAAATATAATACTTGAAACACAATTTGCATTAAATTTGCATCAAATATATAATTTGTCATCATATTCAGTGTCCGTGTCCCAATTCTCAGAAATGCCTAAAAACGAAACAACGCGTAGTTGCCCAGAAACATCGTGTGTGAAAACTCTTCCCTGCCCTGATTCTCTGTGAGCGTTGGCACTCGGACAGAAGAAGACAAAAGGAGGCGATTAAGTCAGACTGACACATCAACTCTAGCTGGCTTCTCTGGCCATTTAAACGTTTTTTCGCAATGCAGCAATGTCGTGTTCATCAACACCGCGTGTCTACTTCAACTTTGAAAAATGATAACTAATTTCAAAAAAATCGCACAGACCCCCGCGAGCGCTCAAAAAAACGCAAATCATTTGGAGAATACGGGAAAAAATGTGAAAAAAACGTACGGTCCAAGCCGCGCCCGCAGCGCCCAAACTGTTCTTCTTGGCCTTTTTGAATTTCATCGTCCGTCGCACCGCCCATCTCTCGAACGTTTCGTTCGAAATCTCCTTCGAAACGATGAATTCTTCCAGCACATCCGGATACTTTTTCAGAAATGCAATCACGTTTTCCTTTTCGCCGTCCATTGTCTCTGAATTTAAAAAGAACGGGTGTTATGTTGGAACAAATGAAACATTCTAGCTAAAGGAATTGTGGAATGAAACGTCAATTATCAATTTCAATTTCTGGAGAAACTCTTCTTTTTTTTTAAAGTGCATCTCCCAAGGGAAATCAGCAAATAAATTCGAAAGCGGTCGGCCCAAAAAGTGGGCGTGGCCTAATGGAAGGGTGTGTTGCCGGGGGAGACGGGCGGATCATCCGCCCGTATTTCGTATCATCTCTTCTGACGTCGTCTGCCTTCTCTCGACCCTCTTTTCGCGAAAAAGGGAAGCCCCGCGTGATAATATAAATAATGCATTTATAATCGGAATAATGCACACATTTTTGAGCCGTAAAATGGGGGATAAGCGGTCGGCGATCCGCCACTAATATTATATTTTCGCGAAAATTTAGGAGACGAAATTCGAGTCGATGTTTTGGAGAAGTCGGTCCAAATGGAGGAGACGTTGTTCGCTGGTTCTGCAAAAATGAATGTGTATGGGCGGGAATTTGAGAGCTCTTTTTTCGGGCTTTTCGGGCAAAAAGTGCCATATTTGTAGCATCGGCTAAAAATAGTGTAAAAATGTGATTTTGGGAATAGAAAATCCGCTACGAAGCCTCTATAATTAAGGGGAAAAGGGGGCGGAGTTTCGAGAATGAAACGTATAATTAACGGACCCCAGTGAAAGAGGGGATCGGCAGCGAAATCGGAGAAATAGCATAAAGATTAGGGGGGGAAAAGACGGTTTGTTCAGAGAATGATTAAAAATTGGAAAAACCCCGCACATTTCGTTCACATATTGATATCGTCGCTTATCCGATCCGATTCTCCATTCAAACGGTCCGCTTTTCAGATATTTCGTCACTTGTTTCGTCAGTGAGCTCGGCGGAATCTGCAAATGTTTTTACGAAGCTTATTCCATTGACCCAAAATTAAAATAACGAAAATTAATCATACTCTGAAACAGAATTAAAAAGACAACTTTCGCCTGATGAATTGCTTTTCTTTGCCAATTTTCCTTGAATGTGTCAAAAAAAACTAACGTCTCCGAGGTACTGCACGTCCTGATTCCACATCACCTGGTCCTCGTCCATCGCCTCCACCTCCAGCGGTCCTTTTCCGTTCGGATCCGCCATATCTTGCTGAAAAACGTTTGTCTTCAATTATCTTTACAAACAACCGTACCAAAACCCAGAACGATTTCTTTTTTCGTTGAAATCGTGAAATGTCCGGGTTTTTGATGCGTCGGTGCAGCTCCGCGTGCTCTTTCGACGTCATTTCGATGCGGGCCCTGCAAGATGAAGTATTATAAATTAAACTTCTCAAAGCAACAGTTATTTCATTTCTGCAAAACGGTATAATATCCAGGAAGAACTAGATTACAAAAAATGTTGTAGCTTTGTAGCTTCTCTGAAGGAAATTCAATTACAAACCGTACTTTCCAATTTTGCTTATGCTCTCATTTTCCGTCAAACTTCTCGGATAGAAAAATTGAACGGGAAGCTCGGCGGGGTCGAATCGAAGCCGCGAGGACTCGAATTTGAAGTCGTACCTTCGAAAAAATCATAAATTAATGTAAAACTAAATGCCCCACCTCTCCACAGCGCCCAATTTCAAATGTTTCCCATCTTTTTGCGCAAACTTTCCGTCGTCCACAATTAATCGACCGTCCTCTGACCTCTAAAGTTCAAGTGTTCGTAAAATTTGGCTCAGAAACGCAACGCACCAATTTCTCTATCGGATCGTTCAAAATGAGCAAATGCGCTCCAGCGAATTTTCTAAAATTGAACAGCGACTCGCGAGAAACGGACGCGACAAAAGTGAGTTCCGAAGTGGGAAATTGATCGGAAAAACCGATAAAATCGCGGATTTTCACAGGAATTATCACAATTTTCGGCGACTTCCTCTAAAAATTCACAACTTAGGCGAATTTATACGAGAAATTCAAACATCCACGAAAACCGTCGAAATTCTCGAAATTTGCCATAGATTCCGGGCGGTCTGACCGTTTTCCTCGACAATTCGCACAATAATCACAGATTTTGGAAGCTGCAATTCCAGATAATTCTGAATTTCGAGCGCTTGGTCCGAATCTCGACACAGAATCGCTCCGCGCAAGTGGTTGTCTGGAAATATCGATTTTTTCCATTTTTACAGACATTTTCGTGAAAACAAGCTGTGGAAATCATATTTTCCAGTACAAAACGCAGTTAGTCACACAGATTCACTCAAAATGCTTATATTTGAGCTAAAACTCTGCAAGAAACGCTATAAATTAAACCCAGAGCCCTGGCGTTATTTCGTATCCTCGTACCGCACCCATTTTCAAAAACGCCTCAATCGCATCGGTTATCAGCTGAAATTTGGGTGGAAATTCTGAAAATCCGCCAAAAATTTCCAGAATTTGTTCGGCCGTTTCTCGAAGATGCGCCTGTTCGGTGAAGTCTGTAAGCAAAATTATTTTAGGCCCAAAAATGGTTTTTGAGTGAAAGAATACTTTTAGTATAATTTCTGGCGGCCACAATTCCATCGATGGTTAGTATTTTGTAGCATGTCGTCAGCAGTTCGGCAATTTCCAATTTTTGCCGCTTTTCGAATGAATTTGTGGCCTAAAAATGTCATAATTGGTTATTCAGCAATAGAAATGTCTAGACCGATTTCAGAGATTTCCAGCACGTCCAAATCGATTTTTTCAGGCTTTTTATTGTAATTATTCGCTCTTCAACCAGTCTTTCCATCGGTTTTCGGCAAAAATCCTCAAATTTCGCAACAATTTCGGCGAGTTTTTCTGATTGCACACTTTCAGATTTCCACAATTTCACCTCAACTCCTGCCGGAATATTGGCGCTTCTGAAAAAAGAAACGTTTGAAGAGAAGCGAGACTGTGTCGCTCAGGCCCGGATGAGATTGAGTTCGCAGTTTCAGATGAACAGTGTTAAAACGCACGGCGACCAGTGGACCGTCGGCTGCTAGTGCCGCCCGCGCGCTCCTCAGCTGTTCTGACACTTGAGATGCGTGCCCAAACTGATTCGTTTAACCCGTTTTCTTCGGGAATGTGTTCCGCATGCTCAAAACTTCCAAGAAGCAACAAGAAACTCGCAAAAATTTCTAAAGTTCAGTTTCAGCACGAACATAGAATTTTTTGAAATAGGGCTGCTCGTGCGTGCTTTTTGTGTCTCTTTGCTAGTTGTCATTAAAATTAACTCATTTCCAGAAAATCAAGTGAAATGAATCAGTATTGCTCCGACGGCACGCATCTGAAGTGTCGGAATCGCACAGGAGCGTGTGGGCGGCACAAGCGTTTAACACTGTTCATTTGCGGATTTACAGCGCTCATCCGCCCCTGTTGTCGCTTCTCATGCCTCCAAAAAATTCCAAAAAATTAAACAAAAAACCTGAAGGCAAAGTCGGTGTCCGACTGTTCGATCCAATCGGACAACTGCAAATTCGTGATCATCAGCTGCCTTTTTGTGATCGAAGCCGTCCGGCGAGACGTGTTCGAAATGGACGTCGTCAAAACGATCGATCGGAAAAATGTCTGCAATTTTAACGCAAATATTACAGTTTCACAGATGTTTCAACTTTTTATTAAAATTTTGAAATACCCTTCGCGCTCGATAAGAGGAGGTTCATATTGACAAAATATGGGCTTTTTGAAGGAACAAAAGTCCAGGGCTCAAAAATTCTTCGAAAAGCGTTGGCCGAAATTTGCCCAGCCCTGCTTTATGCCGCGTCCAATGTCTCGGAAAAACCGTAAAAACCGCAGGTTTTTCTGTCCAAAGTCGGCCGAAATTTGCGTGAAAAACGGGGGTGCGCACAGCTCAATGAGTGTAACCGTACCCCTAAAACTACGGTATTTTTTGAAAATTTGCGCAAGAAATTTGAATATTTTCAAATAACCTCAATAAATTAACAAATTTTCAAAAAATACCGTAGTTTTAGGGGTACGGTTACACTCATTGAGCTGTGCACACCCCCGTTTTTCACGCAAATTTCGGCCGACTTTGGACAGAAAAATCTGCGGTTTTTACGGTTTTTCCGAGACATTGGACGCGGCATTACGGAGGTTTTACAGAGGTTTGCCGAGAGACTTTTAGAATTTTTCGCAGAAAACATCATTACGTTCAGAAAAATGTGTACATATCTGAAAAACGTACATCCTTGACGGTCAACGCATTCAGAATGGGTTTGTATTTTGCACAGCACTCGGCCGGTTTCAAATCCATCAAAACGAGTCGGATATCCTCTAAAAACGATTCCGCCTCCATCGATTCGACCACTTTTACGGCACACTGCAATAAATTTGAATTTTTTGAAGGCGGATCCATGCTTCGTTTTCAGTGTACGACACCTATGAATATTGTCGATACCTGCGGTGTGGCGCATATCAAAATGCTTCCGGGATCGGTTTTCAAATGTTTGAACTGAGTCAAAGTGGCCAATTTCGTGCACTGCGCCTCAAGACCCATTCGACGGAGGGCCGAGAACCACGTGTCGGAGGAGGTGACGAGGAGGGCGCGCGAGCGGGGAAACCACCTCAAAGAAGATGCAAAATCATGATAGTCAATAAAGAAGCTGCACTCGAAAATAGCTTAAATGTTTTGAAACGGTAAATTGTTTTGTACAAACTTTAAAAAATTAAGAACGGTGATGGCACAAATCCTCGCGGAACTCGACGGAGCACAGGACGGAAGGGCGATGCAGCAGTTGGACGCCGCCGCGCACTTTATCAGATTCACCTGCAAAAATACTGTTTTAAAGGTGTGTCGTGGTGCACCACAAGATCATCATATTTTTAAAATAAAGTTAAAAGTGGGGAATTTGTGTAATATGGTTTTGTATTAGTGTTGTGAGCTTTACCAAATTAGGTTAGAGCCTAAAAAAAGCATTTCCAGAGTGTTTTCAAGTAGCATTTTTATGAGAAACCTCAAAGTTACGGATGGGCTCATCGATCGGATAGAAAATGCCATTTCCGTGAATATTGTCGAATCCGTGATCGAGTAAAAGAGATTTTCTGGAAGAAAACGGCAAATTTTCTGAGTAAGACTTTTTCCGGACACTCACGCATTCTTCTCGTCGTTTTTCTTGGCGGATCCGACCGCAATCGGACACGGATTCTGCCAGTCCCTTCCGGCCGAACTGCCGCCCGTCTTCTGCAGAGTCTCCGCCCATTTTGTCGCGTTTTTCGGCGTTTCTGGTGTCTTTGAAGGTGCCGAACTTTGAGGTTTCTGGAAAAACAATGCTTTGAAGATCTTTTTGTTTAAAACACCTTTAAAGTGTTCGGAGTCGTCGCGGCAGACGGTCCCGGTCGATTTTGTGGCGTTTCAAACAGAATTTGGCACGAATCATCGTCGAAATTCGCCGGCTGTTGCCGATTTTCCGCTCGTTTTTCCTGTTCTTTTGCGAAAAATTTGAGCAGTCCGCCCGTTTTGGTCTCCAATCTCGGCTGCTTTTTCGGCGGCATTCGTTTACTGAAATTTTTTCGCTTTTTTGACCGGAAAATTGAGGAAGAAATGTTTATTTTTTTCAAAGCAGGCGCTGGGTACGCAAACAGCATAACTTACGCGCAACGCTTCCTTCGGCGGCTGAAATTTTTGAGTGGAGCTGAAAAAGCCAATAAACATTGTCTGAAAAGTAAAGAATTTTCAGAGAAAAACGAAATGCCAACTAGAAAAAAGAAGAAAACAATAGTGTTCTTTCCGAAAAGTCTTCTTTCGAAATATCGACGTTTCAGCTATATTCAGCTATATTCATAGCAATCCCGATATAATTGACTTTTCCTTCCCTCCGTTTCTTTTTCACACTTTCCCGTCCGATCCTCTCGAAATCCTTTCATTTCATCACCCTTGGGCCGCATCCGTAGCCCCCTCCTGTCCTTTTATTTTCTTTACCTTCATCTGTATTCCTCTCAATAACGAATTTGTTTCAAAAAAAGGTATGTTAGTCATTCACTGCTCAAATTCTACTTTGACTTTCAGTTCCATGCTCGATTAAATGGTGCATCGACAAAAGCGAGCCGAGCGACTCAATCGCAACGAAGAACAACACATCTTTAACCTTCCGAAGCAGTCAATTTTCTATTAATCCCTCCTTCCCTCCAATTAGTATACCCCTTATTGGTAGCAGCGAGTGAGCAATGAAAAGAGTTCAAGTAGGTCAATCCATCGGCTCGATTAAGTAGAATAGGTACTTTCGATTAGTTGAACAACATTGTCTCAAATTTCTTAAGTTTCCGTAAGAGCCCAAATAATCTACAATTTTGAGGTTCCGCAACTAGAAACATTTTCATCACTTATTCTGGTGTGCAATAAACCTATTTACCTACAAATAACCATAATATGGCAATACTTGGCCCAACGGACAAAAAGAGGCGCCTCTCTTACTTCGATTCGGACAGTACCTAGTGCTAAACTTCCAAACGATGCATCGAATGCTTTTTTTTCAGTATTTTCAGTCCCCCATCCAATTTTTTCTGCATTTTCAGTCCCGTTCGTTCCTGTTGATCTATGAGCTTTTTGAGCGTCGACAAGAGAGAGAGAGAGAGAGTGTTTGTGAGCGAGAGACGCGGAGAAACGAGACAATGTCACAAGACACTTTCAGACCGCCGAAATATTGCTGAAAAAGTGGAGGGCGGGCGGAGAGAGTGTTCGAACGGCCGGACGCCCAGACAATTGTTTTCGACGTTGGCGGCGGACGCCAGAAAGGGGCGCGGCTTGGCTGAATGCCAGAATGCTATAGTAGTTGGGGGGAAAGTAAGGAAGGAAGGAAAGAGCATAATAACCAGTGCCAACAGGGCACCCTCGGGGAGAACGGACCCGAGAAATGGTGGTAGTACGGATCTACTGTGTAATGACCGACTATCTTCATTTTTACACGTTACAAAGAATCCTGATAATAACTTTCGTGAAGACAATCCTATTCTCCTGAAACTCTAGAAAGTAAACACATTAATTTACTGTTTCAATGCAAATATCAGGGTTACTGTCTTGATACCCGTCTATTTCAAATTAATTTTAGGAAAAGCTTCACGGAAATCCGGAAATCAAAATCCATAGTACTCTCTTCGACGCCACCCGTTTTATATCTAAAATTTAAAAAAATTTAAAAATTCTACAAAAATTGGCGCTCGATTTATAACTAATAGAATCATCAGCTGCTGGAATAGGCTACCCCCTAGTCTTTTTACAAAATAAATACTCCTCTGAATTGTTTAGGTCAAATATTAGTTCCATTCCGTTTTCCTTCAATAAATCATTAATTATTGTTACGGTATCAAGGAAAAGTTGAGAAAGGGATGGATGACCATGGGAGCCCATAAATTTTACAATTTTTATTATTTTTGTCTGATTTTTCGTCATTCGGTATTACATTTGAATTAAAGAGGACAGGGTGTGCGGACGGGGCGGGGCGCAAAGAGATGAATCAGAGAATGAAAACTTTCAGAGTACATAGAAAGAGAGAGAGAGAGAGAGAGAGAGAGAGAGAGAGAAAGAGAGAAACAATTTCTGAAAAAAGGCCGACGAAATAGTGTGGAGCGATGAGGAGAGAGGTAGAGAGAAAAACAACGAAACAAACTGACAAAATTCGCCAAAAAATCACTATTTTTCTAGGCGTGCCTGATATGGATTCCATTTTTTTGGGGGGACGGGGGACGGGGGGCGCTTTTTGAATTGCAAAATTAGAGCTGTTTTCTGGTGTTGGGATTCTTCAAGCACGCTCAAAAAATCCCATTCAACCGATATATTGCCACACCTAAAAAAACGAGAGAGAAAGAGATTTTCCTGGAGGGGAGCGGTGTAAAAATTACAAAACATTAGAAAATATAGTGGTAGCGAAAATACGTGGCAATATACACAAACAGAGTGAAAAATGAATAGGAGGAGCGGGCGTTTTTTCGAATCATCACATCGTTTTGCAGTCAAGTTTCGAGGTAGTTGTGGCTGTGCTTTTTCGAATCGGCGCGGGAAATTTGAAAAGATTTAGAAGAAAACGGGAAAATCGCTAGGCATTTTCTACTGACAAAGAGAGAAAAAAAACACGGAACATTTGAAGAGAAAAAAGACAGTGCGGGGAATGTTCGGGAAGGGGGATTTTTGCGCAAAAAAAGAAGAAGAAGAGAAAAAAAAAACAAGAAAAGTTCGGCAAATTTACAGCAAGAGTTACAAAAATCAATCAAAGAGGTAGGATTTGGGGTAGAAAAACCTGGGATTTTGGGGGGATGGGGAAACAAGAGAAATGAAGACGAAATGAGGAGGGCCTGAATGGGAAAGGTTGTGAGGTAATCAACGGTTTTTTGATATTCTTGTGCGAAAGGGAACATTTCGAGGTATTTTCAGATTATTACACACGACGTCACTCGGATTTGCGGGCAGAAGAAGAAGAAGAACAACAAGAAGAAGATGGAGAAAAAAAAGGGGCGGGCACAGAAACTGGGAATAAAAAAGCAAAGAAAATGACGTCATTTTTTTGGGAGAAAAGAGAGAAAATTGATGATGATGATGATGATCGTGTTTGTCTTGTCGGGAGGAGGAGGCGAGATATCACACAGCTTGGAGACTTCTGAAAACAAAGATTTAGAGAGAAAAAGTAGAACTTCACAACAATTACCTCACTCATCGCTGCGTTTCTCTCTCTTTCGAACACCAAAATATCTTGATAATAGTAATATAATAATAATAATAATAATAATGATAGTGATGATAGATGGTGTCCCTTTTCAGAGGTCGAAGTTTATCTGGTGTCCGCCGGCCTGCGCCATCTCGTGCCTGATCAGTGCGTCGACGTCCATGTCCATCAGCGGCTGATCCGGCAGAGTCAGGTTTTCGAGGTCGATCGGCAGCGCCGAGCTCGAGGAGACCTGGTGCTGCGCGGCGACGGCTCCGCACGAAATGCCCGGCAGCGGCGGCGCCATCGACGTCGTCAGCCAGCCGCCGTTCCCGTTCTCGTACGTGTTGTACGCCGACGGCAGCGGCATCCTGCAATATTCATCGTTACTTTCCACTTTTCATATTTGATCATATTTATAGCCTAGTCAAATCAGAAGTCCGGAATTTGAGGTTTTGAAGAGACTGAGCAATAATCCGAACGGACCCAAACTTTGCAGGCTTCTTGGACATTGATTGTAGTATATTGGTTCCGAGTTTCAGCCAGATCGGATTATTTATTGTCGATATAGTGCTTGAGGGCCAATTTCGGCCTCTGATCCACATATCTCGGGACCGGATGATCCGATCGGGCTAAAACTTGGACCCAATATACTTTAATCCAGGTCCAAGAAGTCTGCAAGGTTTGGGCCAAATTGCCCAGCCCTGATTAATATAAATGTACGGAAGCTGCGTTGACCTATTCTCGACGTCTGCGCTTTCCGTGCATCGTTGAGAGAGAAACGTACGGTTTGAAGTTGGTGGACGGAACGATCGGATTGCGGAAGAGCGGATTCTGGGCGCACGGTCCGCGCACAGTGTTCAGCTCGTGGTACGACGGCGGCGGCGCGATCGGTTCCGTCTGCAAAAATTGCCCATTTATTAAACACTTGTTCATACAGTCAAAAATGAAATTAAGAGAAATCAAATAATTGATCAATTTTGTTCGAAAGTGTAACAATTTTAAATACAACTTTTTTTCTGTTTCTTTTTTTTGTTTTGTTTTTTTTCTGTTTCTTTATCTCACTAAAAATATATTGTAAATTTAGAAATGCTTTAAAAACGGCGAACCTTGATCGGTTTCGACTCCTGTTTGATCGGAGTTCCGTTCATTGAGTGGTTACCGTCTATTCGCATCTGAATACACATTCTTATTTAAAACAATGCACTCAAAAAGCTGACCTGATCGGTTCGGTCGACAATATCGCTGGGAATGGCGACGTTCGTCTGCTCGCTGACCCAATTCGGAAAGTCCATTTCGTCGTACATTGGATCGACGGCCGGAGACACTCGCGACGAGGAGCCCGGCACCGAAAGGTTCGATTGGGTGCGCGGCCTGAAAATGCACAAAAATTGATAATATCGATATGAATACGAATTTTTAGATTTGTTTCCCAAACAAAACTTTGATCGTTCAATTCTGAGAAATTTCATTATTGCTATTATTGAAACTGCAAAAATATAATTACTTTCTAGATATTATGGGGACATTTCACTGCAATCGCGCTGGTGGCCTTCTTCATTCCGTTACTGTACTATTTCAAGATCTCACATTGTCAAAATTCAAAAATGTAAAGAAGCAGGCTTTGTCAACTCAGCGATAATGTAATGTACAAAGTTTTAGTGTCCGTAGTCATCCTTATTGCAAGAATGAAGCAACAGGCCGCCGGACACGTTCTTGTCCACAGAGCAGGCCTGTGCCTTTTTACCTCAGGCGTTGTCATGCGTTCACTTTCAGCCGGACGGCCGCCTTCACCTCCTTTATCGAAGGCGTCAGGCGCGTTGTTTATTCTGCCAGTCTTCATAAAACAACTAAAATTACTTGGTGGCGGAAAAATTAGACTATACTGCAGAGAAATGAAATGCGAGAAACTAACTGATTCAATATAACGCAACATTTCAAATAAACTTTTTTGAAACTGAAAATTTTCGTACTAAAAAAACGGAATTTTATAAGTGTCACGTGAAAAAAGAGTGCTAACCGGAAAGTGGGCATGGTCTCGAAGGAGCCCTGCATGGAGTCGTCGTCCGCGAACATGTCGTGCTGGATCGACTGCAGACTGCCGGCGTTCGAGGATCCGTTGAGGCCGCCCGAATGGACCGAGCCCATCAGTCCACTGGCCGCCTTCTGGCTTAGCCGTTTCTTCGCTCCGCGCCGCGTCTTCTCCAGTTGCACCTGCAAATTTCATTTTTTTTTTGCTTAGAAAAAGGCTCATTCATCTTCAAAAATAGGTTAAAGAAAATTTCTAATGGGTTTATTCAGTTGGGCGAACTAAAAATTGTCTAAGAACTATAAGTCCCTAAATGCTCGGTTTTTCGGCCGTCCGCCTACCTTTGTGGTGCTCTCGATAGTGTTGGACCGTTCGCGAGTGCGTCTCGGATTCCTTCCCGGCTTCGCTTCCGGATTGATCACCCACCACGAACTCTTGCCGGCGCCCTCGTTCTGAATCCGCATGAAGCGCGAGTGCAGCGACAGATTGTGCCGAATCGAGTTCTGCAAAAAAGTGGGTGTAAAATTAGGCAATTTTTGTGTGTTTCCTGCTGAAAATGACGTTTATCTGCTGAGAATCCTTTTTCCCCAAAAGGGTACAACTGAAAACCGCTTTCTGTGACCCATTTCTCCCCCTCAATATTGTGAGTGTGTGTCGGGGGGACACGTGCCAAATCTTGCCCCCATTTTTCCATCTGTCATCGAGACCCCATCCTTCTTCTTCTCCTTCTTCTTCTTTTTGCTCTTGCTCCCCCCGACTTGCACACAAAAACTCAAATCGATAACTCTCTTCTTCTTCTTTTCCACTTTCTCCTCTTTTTCATGTGCTCCGGGAAAGAAGAAGAAGAAGAAGAAGAAGAAGAGAGCAACCAAAAGACACGCACATTTTGAGATATTGTGCATCTCTGCGAGAGTGTCACAGAGAAAAGTAGGAAGCAGCTAATAGGGCTCCGGGACGTGCCAGGAACCACCCAGCAGCCCTCTCTCTCCCTCTCTCGCTTCGTCATTACGCACCAAAATTGCGTGAATTAGGTCCGAAGAGCGGGTAGCGCGCGAGAAGAAGAAAAAGAAGAAGAAGAAGAAGAAGCGGTACTCATTAGGAATTCATCGAATTCATCGTTCCCGCAGAGAGAGAGAGGACGCAAATTGATGGCCAAAATTAAGTGGTTACGCATTTTTGTGAAAAATTGCCGAATTTTACGCGCTTTTTCATGGATAAAAATGCGACCCCTCGTGCATCTCGTATATCGCCCGATTTCTATTAGTACAATGCCATCTCGGAATGTCAAGGCCATCCAAGCGGCGACTACTCTTACCTTCCATCCGGCCGCCTCCTCCTGACTGGATCGCTCGCGAAAATAGGGAATATTGTCCGAGAACCACTGATAAATCTCGTTGAGTTTCAGTCGGCCGTCGGGCGCCGATTCCAACGCTTTCGCAATGATGTCCGAGTACGATTCTTCGCCCCACGGATTCGGTTTCTTCTGCGCCAGCTGATCGGTCGGCTTCTTGCGGCACCGCTTCTTTTTCGCCGGCATCATCGGTCCGCCGCCCGCCGACAACGACAACGACATGCCGAGCGTCATTGTGGTTGTGGCCGTGGAAGAGCACGAGGGCACCGACGCGGCGGCCAACATTTGACCGACGGTTGTGGTCGCCGAAGAGCAGGAGGAAGAAGAAGAAGAGCCCGAGGCGGCTCCGGGAAGAGCGGGCGGCTGGGAGGCACCCGGCGAGCCGTTGCAATTGGCTCCGCCCCCAATCGAGCTCGCCACCGAGCTGCCCGACGAAGTGAGCGCCGTCAGATTCAAGTGCGTCGGCGGGGCGCCGTACGGATGATGTTGGTGATGGGCGGCCGCATGATGGTGCATGTACGGATAGTGCGCCTGATGCTGTTGCTGCTGATACTGTTGATTTTGATGATGATGATGGTGTTGTTGGTCCGGCGGATAGACAAACTGCTGCATCGGCCACGTGTAACACCTGCCACGTGGCTCGGGCGAAAAGTCGTCGTCCAGTCCCGAGTCGTTCATCGTTTCGACGTTTCGCAAAACTGGGCGGAGCTTGGTGTGGATGCTTCTCGATGCTTCTGAGGATGCGGATGATGAAAGTCGAGTAGGAGACACGAGAGAAATCAAACGAAAACGGGGCGGAGCAAGGAGAAAAAGCCGATTTTAGACGAGAAATTGGAGGAGAAGAAAATTGTATCTTTCCTCCAGAAATACAAAAACTGATTCGATGTGAGAGCCAGCCGGCAGTGGTCAATAAAGTGGCCAAAAATTGATGTGTGAACGAACCGATCACATGCTTTTCTGCTATTATACAGTCAAATTTGGGTGGGAAAGACGAAGAGTTATGAAAAGTGCAGAGAAACAGTTTCACAGAGGAATGGGCTGGATTACGGTAGTTTAGAGCTTTTGTAAATTGAAATATCAGCTACATAAAGTCATTTTTCAGGCAGAAATGGATAAAGCAACGATTTTACGACGATTTCAAGCGATTTTGGCAATTCGAGTCAAAATAAAGTGACAAAAATAGTCAGTGTGGACTGGAAGACGTCAGAGAGCAAATATTGACAATATCCACACATTTTAGGAAAATATGTGGAAAAATATCAGCGTTTCAGGTAAAAACGTTCAGAGAGGTCATGTTTTGCGAAATTTTGCAAGTTCGACTGGGAAACGCTCAAAATCGTGGCGAAATGAGTTCAGCGATCAAATATAGGACGATAATTGTGAATTTTAGGCATATTAGGTCAAAACTTCGGCAAAACCGATATAGGAAACGCCGTTTTTTCTGTGGAAGGAGGCTGGTTGGCTGGCAGTAGTGGCCGTGTGTTGCAGTTGTTCAGAGGATCACTAGTTCTTCTCTCTCTCTCTCTCTCTCTCTCTCTTTATGTCCGATCGGGACGGCGACAGGTAAGCGAGAGAAAGAGAGAAAGAGAGAGAAAGGAGGAATGAGGGAACTGTTGAAGAAGAAGAAGAGAAAGGAACAGAAAGAGAGAGAGAGAGTGAGTGATGACGTGGCAAGAGTAAAGGTGCCTTTTATCAGTTGGTTGGATGAGAGAGTGAATGAATGATAACGAATGGCGAATGCAACTATAATTGTCGCTTTCCACAAACTTGAACACTGGCTCGGTAAAATTAGAGGGTGGAGTGTATGGGAAACGCACTTAGTCGGTTGTCACCAGAGAATATGAATTTCTAGAAAATTTCCTTTTAAAATTTGTCGAAACAACCAAAACAGTCTGCTTCAGTCTAAAATAGCAATTCTGGTCAGTTTTCCGTTCAAAATTTGCCAGAATATCTCAAAAAATCGCATTTTTCTCGGGAAAAAAGACGGTATCTCCTCTATTGTCCCTCTAAAAAAAGCCCAAAAAAGTGTGTGTGTGAGTGGCGTTCGCCCACTAAAATTCGTCGTTCGTTGTCCTGGGAGGGGCGCCTGGGCAAAGAGACGGTGGAAGGAACGGCCAGTTAAAGAACGGGAGAAGAACGAAAAAGTGGGAGAGCGAGAGAAACCACACGCACACACAAACGGGCGGCCGGACGGGGGGGGGGACACAAAAATATATATGATACCTCGCTTCCCCGTTCCCCTTTTTTTTCGCCTTTTCGTCCCTCACCCCCAGGATGTTAGCGGCGCGGAAAAGAATAGGGGGGAATCTTTAAGAAACTACCATAGTTGCAACCCATTTCTACACACCTACATCTTTCTAATCTCTAAAGATCAAAAATTTCACATCTTTTGGTCACTGTCGAAAATGATATAGTTAGTCTCAAAAAAGGCTTCTGAACAAAATGAGAACACATTTCAGAAGCCCTATGCTCAAAATGAACAGATCAACGTCATGCAATGTAGAAATACAAAAATTTGGCGCACTATTAAAAATCCATTAAAACCATATTAAAAAAAAGGCGAAAATGTTGCCACCAGCCTCCTCCTAGAGTGTTCGCGTGTGTGGGGGGTGTCTGGGGGTGATGGCCGGGCAGGAAAAAAGGGGAAAAAGAGGAAAGGAATGGCGGAGAGTGCAGAGAAACGAGAAGAAGAGGCAAATGTGTGTGCGGGGGGTGGCCGTTCGGAACGTCTGCGGCGAGAGAGTGTTACCGCGTCGAGAGGGCGCACAGAGAAACGAGAAACGTCGTTTTTTGTCAAAGACAGAGGAGAGCGTTCCGCTGCCTGGGGGGGCGTCTTGAACACAAAAAAAGCGGCGGCGGTGGCGGCGACGGTGGCCGTGGCCGAGGAAATAGCGCGTGGACGGCAGAGACGCGCGACCATCGATCAGCTGGCGGGTATACGCATAGGTAAACGCGAAGAGAAGAAGGAACGAGAATCGGCTGCTGGAATCGAGAATGAATGATCGAGATATCTTTAGACAAGAGGGGAACGAAGAAGAAAGGTACTACTGGTATTACTCTTTCAAGTGCGCGCGCGTCTTTTCACTCTTTTCTTCTCCTTCTCCTATTCGGACTGGGAGTAGACAAAGACCGGGCAGACTGCAGTTTTTTTTTGAAAATTTGTTCATCTAATGTGATCAAGTGAACTGTATTCATTTGAAAAAAGTGTAGGCATAACGTTTCATACAAAAAAAGTTATTCGAGTTTTGACGGAGGACTAGGAGATTCTAACTTTTCAATGAAACCTTAATGATCTTCAAAAAAAGCCAAGAGATTTATATGCTCATTCCGAAGCATTGTTCCGTCTTCCGTTAGCATTTTATCACGTAACAACTTGAATAACTTTTTTGTATGCAAAGGTTGCTTTGCAATTGTTTTCCCACGAATACAGTCAGCTTACATTCTGTGAAATTACTTTCAAAACTACTAGACCAGACAAAAAAGGCAAAGAAGCAGCAGCAGCTGAGGGGTCTCTTTCGAGAGCCTCCGCGATCGGAAGAGAGAGAGAGAGAGAGAGAGAGCACAAAAGAGCACACGGCTGAGCGAACGGACAGATGATGACCAAAAACGGAGCGACCAGCTGATTGGCCCCTTTCTTCCGCCCGTCGACCTCTTTTTCTTTCTCTCTCTCTCTCTCTCGAGTGAGGAGGGACCATTATGTGCCGAACGGATTGTGTGCGGACATTTGGCCGGTCAGAGGAGGTAGGTGGCAGGTAGACGGAAGAAGAAGGAAAAGAAGAAGGAAGAAAGAGAGAGAGACCCCTTGTGTTGTACTATGACGTGTAAGACGGCTGTGTTTGTAGGGCGAATCTATGAAATTTTGATCATCCTGGTGACTGAAAATACAGCCATGAAGTGGCTTCTGGATTAGCCAATATAATTCTTTTGATCGATCTTTGAAACGTTTCAAAACGACCTGGAGGTGTAAAACATCAAAGTTTTAGCCAGAAATTTCCATTTTTCAGATAAATGTCTCCTGCAAACGATTTTTATGTCAAAGTCTAGGCAGACTCTAAAAAAATTTTTTGGATCGTTTCTGGATCTCGCAAACCCAATTTTCGCTATTTTCTTGATCGATCTTCTTAGTTTCCTATCAAAAACCGCTGAAGACCGTTCAAAATTCGCAAAAATTGCTGTGAAATTGTCGATTCTCAAAAAGATGCATCTTTCCCTCATTCTCCTCCGATCTCATCCATCTATCCGTTCGTTTCTCTCCAGAAATGTGTCAAGTCTTCCTCTCCTCTCCTCCTCCTATTTCTTCTACTTCTCCCGTTCTCCTCGCGGGGTGTCCAGCCGGCTGTCTCCTCAATTAATCCATACGCGCGGGGGCCGTCCGTTCGTTCGGGTGTCCGGGTGTTCCGTACGGATGGAGTAGGACGAAAAATTGATGAGGATGCGGGGAGCGAAACCGACAATATCGCCATTTTTGAAAGGAAACTCAAACTAAACTTCCAGACAAAGTTTCGATACTAAAAATGACGTCCTACGGGAAATTCCACAAAAATTGTGTTAAAAAGGTCTAGGCTCTAAAAAACAAAAAATTTTGCGTAGAAACTCGTATTTTCGCGAATCGACAAAATCAAGGGCCTATTTTTGCCAACTGCAATGGAAAAGTAGGCAACTTTTACGGAAAAATTTGTCCAACATCCATTAAGCATCCAAAATAATTGCACTTTTGATTCCTTTTCCGAAACTACAATATAGCATTGCTCAAGATCGCGCTCAATTTTCCGACCAAATCTGCCGCGCTCTAATGAATCTCTCTCTCTCTCTCTTTCTTTTTAAAGCCGATATTAGTAAAGGTGGTGGCTAATGAGCTTGCACTTTTGACAAAAAGCTACCGTATCCCGCGGGGCGATGACGTGGCAGAGCAGAATTTAATTAAAAGCGGGGGGAAAATGAAGACGTTAATGAAGAATCGTCGCGTTTTCCAATCAAATGGCCGTAAATCGTGGCGGCGAAATTGCCAAAAAGCAATATTAGGCAGGAATGGAATGTGGATGGGAAAGCTGAACAAAAATATCCGCAAAATTTCCGGCCAACTTTTTTACAGAGGGATTTTGTTTTTCGAGCTCCGATGAGGCTAATCTCGTTTCCCGGAAAAGCAGGGGACGAGGAACCGCAAAAGTGCACAAAAACACACACTTTCAGAGCCGAAAAAACATGGGCGGTTGGGAAGAAAGAAAAAGGGGGAAAAGAAGAGAAAGTCCAAGGAAAAGAGAGTGGCTATGTGAGGAGAACGACAATATTTCACGACGCTTTTGAATTTTCTCTACAAATTGACTTTCGAAAGGCTACCGGGACCAGAAATTTGCCAATCGTGTCTAGAAGCATTTCGTCCAGACTTTCCGAATCTTTCAGATCCTCCGAAAGCGTCGAAAGAGCTTTCAGGCCGAAATGTTCGTTTTTTAAGGTGAAGACACTCAAGTAGATCTCGGGCTTCGCGAGGGCTCAATTTTCAATTCTGAGCTCAAAAAGCTACTAAACAGAACAGAATCGTTCAAAAAGTCCCAAAAGACATTCTTCGAGTTTGCGGAACTTTCCAAAGCGGTAAAAGTGACTCTACTCCTAATTTTAAGCTTAGAAGCTCTACAGTAGGCCAGGAGATGTCCAGAAGCGTTCAAAACATCGAAAGTAGCTTTCCAGACTAAGACAGTTCCCAAGGCGCATTCATCGAGTTCCAGGACCATTCACGGTCACCGAGGGAGGTCTAGAATAGCTCCAGAGGCCTCTGAGCGCTTTCGGAACGAGAAAAATGCTCAGAATGTGTACAATTTCCGCTGCTGCAAAAGCGACGATGATCAAAAGTGCCATGATTGCAAAACTTGCGACGGTGGCTGCTGGACGAACTGGCGATTGCCGATCGGTCGGTCGGTCGGAGGTGGAGGAGGGGGACGGCCACAAAAATGTGACAAGACGATAGAAGAAGGAGAAGAAGAAGAAGGAGTAGAAGAAGAAGGAGTAGAAGAAGAAGACAAGTGGCAGAGAGAAAAAAAAAGAAGAAGGAGGGGGCACATGACCAGCGGCAGCAGCCTCCTGGTGGTGATAAGGTGATCGAATAATGGAGGAAACTTTTCGAGAAAAAAAAAATTTTGTCCACTTTCTCTACAAATTATATAGGAAACACTCGGCAATTTGATGGCATTTTCGAGAGATTTCGGGGCCAAATGAATATGGTGAAAACAAAACGAGTCTCTGATAATTGTGAGCCGAGGAGTGTCGGGTAAATAAGCGAAAAGAGGAGGAGGAGGAGTCTGCTCTCATTTCCCGTCTAATGAACGAATCTCAGGGGGGGGGGGAATATTGATAGGAAAATGTGAGAAAATATGAGAAAAAGGTGACCGGTACGACGACGGGAGAACAGAATCAAAAGATCAGAAACCGAAAATCTTGCTGAAAAGCGAACAGCGAACAATAACTTTTTTTTTGAGCCTACAGGTAATTTGAGCCAATTTTTTAGACCATGCGGTCTGTCTAGCCGATTTTTGAGTTGTTGACGCTCATCTCAAGACGTCTACGTATAGAAATGGTGTTTTCTAAGACGATCGTGTCAAAAGCTCTTCTGGGCTGAAACGAATGCGATTTTCAACTGTTTCTATTAAAATTTGTAAAGTGAAGTCATCCCAACTGATTGATATTTTTCCTGCTTCAAGCGCTAACCCGCGAAGGCCTGAGTCAATAGGAGTTCCGTAAAAATTCGTAAAAATCGCTGCGAATTGATATTTTGGCTGATTTTTCAACATACATCGAGCATCGGTCTCAAATTAACTTTCGGTTATCTCTAAACGGTTGCGGTTCAGTGAAGCATTCATTTAAAAAAAAATTCAATAAAAATGAGTCACACTTCACAGGCAACGAGAGTATAGTTTTGTTTACTATTTATTATAAGGGCACCGGACGGAAAGGGCGCGCTGTTCGCAATCTGGCAGAATTTCTAGGCCGCGAAGTAATTTTCCACTGAAAACGTGGCCTAACTTTTCAAACTCGGCCCCGAGGTCGCTCAATTTGCACTGCAAAAAGAGTTTCTCAACCGAGCGCCATTTCTGTGCGGTGCCCCTATAACCGAAGTAAGAAAAAGGCAGACTTGCAACGGGCCGGGCCGGGCCGGGCCGGGCCAAAATTGGAAATTTTCCAGCCCGGCCCGGCCCGGTCGGCCCGGGAGGATGCACCTAAAAATTCAAAGCGAACTAGAACTTCGAAACGAACATAATTTTTATAGATTTAAAATTTTATAGACTTAAAAAAAGGCAATGTTATAGCATAAAAACCTGTTAAAAAATAGAAATTGCTGTTTAAAGTCGCAAAATTTTCACAAAAATTACGAAAATTTTCTCAAGAGTGGGCGGAGCCGGGCCGACCGGGCCGGGCCGGGCCGACGATTTGCTGGCCCGGGCCGGGCCGGGCCGGCCCGGGATTTGGCAAGTCTGGAAAAAGGTAGTAACATGAAACACTATTTTCTTTAGATACACTATTTTTCAAAAGGGCACTAGTAGAAGGCAACATTTTCCCATAGGTTTCAGAAAAAAAGACGTCATCTCACAACTGTTCAAAACTTTAAAATTACAAATGGTAAATTGTTCAGATATCTAATAAAAGTGATAGACACACACACACAAGTATTGCGACGAAATGAGTGAGGAACGAGTGAGTTGTCTTCTCTGTTTGTGTCAGTTTGACCTTTCGGGACATCGAACACACGTCGTCTTAAAACGACCAGAAAATATGGTCGAAAGGGGGCCGAATCACGCGGCACGGAGGCGCAGGCGTCCAAACAGTGCCACTGCACTTTTTGTTTTTCGCCTTTCCGCTTTTTTTTTGCTTCTTTTCCGCCTCCTCTTGTTTTCCATTTTTTTTCATGACGAAAACACGTGGATTCGGTTCGGAGCACGAGAAAAGATCCAGAAAAAGTGGCCTAGCTGGATGAAAATCGTCAGATTCATCAAAATTTTCGAAAAATGCTTGAACTTTGTCATTGAACTTTGCGCCTACCTGTTTTTTGTTTTTCCATCGTGCCAAGTGCACACAATGATCCAAGGCCAAAAAACTATCAAACATCGGCATGGGAGAAAGTGAAAGAGAAACAGTGTCCGAAAAGGTCGAGCAGGAAAGAGAAAACGTTGTTTGTTTCGTTCTGGAGCCCGATTGATAAAGTATTGCACACAAATCACGTACTCGGCGTGTTTTCGCAAATCAGTCGGATAATAGATATCACACTTTTGATGGTTCTTAGGGTAAAAAGATTGCTTGGCAGGATTTTGCGTGTTCGGGAATGGTGGCGGCGGCAAACAGATTATTCACAGGCATCCAAACAGTTGGGACGCGGGCGAAGGGAACCACGAGACGGGGGGAGATGCTGAACTGGGGACCATGAGACAGGTCCCAAGCCGTTTGTATACCTGGATTATTCAGATATTCTTGAGCATTCAGACAAACTCCATTTATCGAGACAGTTGCTTCCAAACCTCTAAAATCTTCAGAAGTTCAGCTAATGTGTTCTAGAACAGCTCTAGAACCTGAGAATAAACAAAAAAGTATAAAAAGCCAATATTCAGGCGTTCCTATGAACCGCAAAGCCAGCACAACGCCCCAAAACGAACTATTTTCCTCTCGGGTGAGTACAATTTCTGATTTTGCACAAATGGAAGGGCCAGACACCGTTCGAACGAAAAGGACCACTTTTCCGGGGGGTTGGCGACTCTAATGGAGCAGAATCCGTTTGGATGAAATTTGCAAATATTTTCCGATTCGTTAAATTTTCATGGAAAAGCGTCGTGTTTTGTTCGCCATTTTTGATGAGACGAGTCCGAACAGAAATGCTCATTTTCACTTTCCAATTGCAGCGGAAATGCGGAAAATTAAAATTAAAGAACGTTTTCAGAATAGTCGTAAAGAGTACCGAAATACTATTGTATCTTTGATATTTGGTGGGCCAATTCCAATGTTTTGCAAGTCGAAGAAAAAGCGCAAGAATTTAACTATTACAGTAGTCCCAAGCTCATTAGTCCAATCCTATTCAATCAAGACCAGAGAGCACAGTCCGGAAGACGTCAAAAAATGCGTAGGGGGCATGAAAATGTGGCAAAATGTGTGAAAAAGTGTGCGTCAAGAGTAGGCCAAAAGAATGCAACTAATTTAGAGTCTCCCCTCCTTCCTTTCTCTCTTTCTCTCCAGCTCTTCCGTGGCCTGGCGGTGCTGCTCCGGAGGGTCCATGGGGAGAAGAAGAGGGAGAGAGAGAGAGAGACAGGGGGAGCACGAGGGGAGGGGGAAGGCTGTTCGGCGCCCGAGAGAACTCTCGTCGTCTGGCTCCGGGCGGCCGTTTGTTTTCTAGTGCCATCCAGTGCCCGTTGCTGGCGCCACCAGCCCGTTCGCCCGCTGCTGCTCAGTCGCCGCCGCGGCTCTCCGGGACTCGAAAAGGTGCCTTCCGCGCGGAGCTCCCCCGAGCCTGGCGCCGCCCGACTACTAGGCTCCGCCCACTTTTCTACGCGCTCTATTTTGAGCCAGACAGCTACGGCGGAGACCCCTACATTTTTTATTTATTAAAAAATGGAGGGAGGGGAACACAAAGAATTCCGAATGTACCCTAATATATTCAAGAAGAAGAAGAATCCGCGCGAACAATCGTCCATTGTATCCATTGTCCGAAGAAGAAGGCGTCGGTTAAGAATCCCGATTTTCAGGGGGATTTCAGAGGGAAAGAGGGGGAAAAGAACAGATTTCAGACGTGATTTCAACAATTGAATGACTTTTTTTTTGATTTTCAGGGAAGAACCCACTATTTTTAGCAATCCAGGATAGTCAGCAGATTTACATCATTTTCAGTACAAATTTGAAGAATAAACTAACCTTCCATCCGGCCGAACTGTTCGAATCGCCCTTGTCTCGGAAGTACGGCACGTTTTGAACCATCCATTCGTACACTAGAATTAAAACAATTTTATTAAAGTTTTACTGGGAAGAGTAGGTATCCAAACGGCTTGGGACCAGCGGGGACCGTGTCGTGGTGCCGAAGGAAGTGTTGCATGAACTGGGGACCATTTATTCTTCCTGTCTCATGGTCCCCAGTTCAGCATCCCCCCCCCCCGTCTCGTGGTCCCCTTCGCCCGCGTCCCAACTGTTTGGATCCCTTTCGAAACATTCGGAAAACACTAAAAATAGTGTTCAGTGAACATTTTTGCAGTTTGCTTACAACATCGCCTACAACTTTACATTCTCCCTGAATTTGTCTAATTTTCTTCAAAAATCGCGTCGGCACCGTCTCTAATTACACCCCGATCACTAAATCCCCACTAATTTAGAGCTTCATTATAATTCTCCGCATAAATGCCGAGTACGGCCAGGTACGCCAGCTGTTTCTGGGCAAATTTCGGCCCGAGCTTTACGAGGGCTTTCAGAGGCCTGAGCTTTTGACCCACTTGCCGGGTTTTTGCAAAATTGCGGCCTTCTCGGCCTCTGATCCACATATCTCTGGACCAGATAATCGGATCGGTCTGAAACTTGGACCCGAAGTACTTCAATCCGAGGCCAGGAAGCCTGCAAGGCTTGGGCTCGGATCACTGCAAGTGGGTCAAAAGTACAGGCCTCGGCAGGCCTTCAAAAAGTCTGGCCCGGTTTCCGCTGTCGATTTCGACTCCCGGACGTCTCGGAATCAAAATGTTGACACTATTGTCGGTCTTCACTGTTCGTGTCTCTCAGCACCCTGTTTCTAGACGTCCGGGAGTCGTTATTTCGAAATGTTTCGAAGAATGTTGCCACTTCTTTCCATTATCAGTTCGACATGAACACTTGGTGGAGCGGAGGATGGGGTATCAGTGCGTGCCAGCCGAAAATGGGCGGGAAAACGATAATAGCAGAGAAGTGGTGTGCCAACTCGTTCCACACTTTTTGAAATGGAAAGATAAATGATTTGTAAAGAAGACCATGATGTTTTTCAGAAACGAGCAGTCTACAGTAATCGCCTACCTTGAGCCAAAGTGAGCCGCTTCTCGGGACTGGCCATGATCGCAGTGGTGATCAGTTCCGCATACGACATGTTTCCCCACGCGTTCCGCCGCGTCGTCGTCTTTTTCGCAGCCGCCGACGCGTCGTCCGCCATTCCCGGCGAGTCGGACATTCTGAAACTTTGATAAAGGGTTCGGAGGGGCCGTCTGATTATTGGCAATCACACATTTTTGAACTAAACTTTGTTTCTTTTAAAAACTGCACACTTTTTGTGCTCAAATGTGCAATTTTTCGAGTATAAAATTAAAAAAGAAAGGTCTCACCGGATACTGGAATAATGATAGTCTAGCATCATAATCATAGCAATATGAGCTCAAAAATCATAAAAATTTCGGTCAAGTTGAAAACTGTGAGCGATAAGGAGGAGAGAGAGAGGAAGAGCGGGAAAGAGGGGTCACCACCGGTTGAGACCGATTTTATTGAATGCACAGCAAAAAATGCGTTTTTCCGACGTTATCAGGAGAATGTGTTCTTCTCTCGACTGTACGAATGAGACCAACCGGTACACGATGATATTTCAGGAAAAGGAGCATCTCCGATAAAACTCACTCGGAGGCGAACGAGGTGGGAATGGATCCGTCGGGCGAGTGGAGCATCGCCGTGGAGCCGTTTGTGGAGGGACCGCCGAGCCGTCCGCATTGTTCGTTGCTCCCGAACAGACTGCAAAAACCGATAATTATCAATTGTGGCCGCAAACATTGTATCGCTATTGTGAACTAACTTTTTTAAATGAAAACTGTGCTGTTTGTTGTTTTAATACAAAAGTTCCTTATTTTAACTCTGAAGAATGTTAGCGCTCGTCGTACTCGTCGTATTATTGTTCTTCAAAAGTTGAGAAGAAACTACGAAACACAATGTTTTGAGCGAGGTTCTACAGCTCTTCGGAAATGCTTCGATTGTGGTGAGCTACAATATTTCCAACATTTCCAGGCATTCCCCCGTGCTCATCTATCATCCATTTCTCTCTCATAATACTTGCTAATCTTCTACGCACGCATTCACATTTCCGTTCGTCTGACGACGATGATGAAAACGAAAGGGGATTAGGAGAAAGAGAGGGAGAGAGAGAGAGAAAAAGAGAGAGAAAAAGAGAATGTCCTTGGCGCAAGTGCATGTTCGGCACGTGTTTTCGGAATGTACGAGAGGAATGAATTCCGAATGCATTCTAGGTTTTGCACGTTTTCCTAGTGATTTTTGACACGTAAAAACTTGAAGTTTCTGGAATTTAGGGCCAAACATTCAAAGTTCCAAGCGTTCGAGCACAGAACACTTGCATTTGTCTAGAAAAATTTAAAACTTTTGTGCGGGAAACATGCATTATCGCTATTTTTTCAGACAGATCTGAAAATAGCTCAACAATCCAGGAAAAACTGAGATTTTTGCGAGCCTCAAGCAGTATTCGAGCGATTTTTACAAAATCAAAGTCCAACGACTGAATTTGCACAAATTGGGGTGAAAAATTGGGTTCTCGTAGGAATTGAGTGAAACACGAAAAGTTGCCATTACAGACAGACACGTACTCGGCCTCCTCTTCGGGAATCTGCTCGTGGATCATGGGACTCGAGTGCGGCGGCGGTTCGAGTTGCGGCCTGCGCATCGGCCACGTGTTGCACCGGTCGCGCGGCACCGGCTCCATTTCGTCTCCGCCGCCGCCCATCAGCACGTCGTCGGGCGTGTTCATGAACGTGTCGGCGCCGAAGCGCGAGACGGACGACGTCGACGTGGAGGCCGACGACGACGTCTCCGCCCCTTGCTCCATCAGATCCATCATAATCGTGTCGTCCGATTGAGATGAAGTCGTGGAAGAAGAGGAAGACGAAGAAGACGAGGGAGAAGGAGAATCCGCGGCCGCCAAGGCGGTGAAAACGATCGGGTCCGAGTCGAGATAGTGATAGGGTTGTGGTCCGCGAGTCGGTGGTCCGAGAAGCACAATCGGTTGGGCGGTGGGTCCGGCGGGCAGCTTGAACTGCTCCAGGGTGTCGCTTCGGTTTGAAAGAACGGAAAGGTCTCTGGAATTATTTTGCGAATGACGAGGAGTGAGCGAAAAAAAAAACGAGGAGAAAGAGCGAAAAATTGGCCAAATCACTAGCAAGCTCTCGGAACAAATGACACACGGGAGCGGCGCCCATGAAGCCGAAGAAGAAGAAGAAGAAGAAGAAGAGAGAGAAAGAGAGAGGAAAAGACATTTGTCACGGGCATTTTGCAACAGGCGGCCGAACCAAACGACCCTAGACTGGCACAAGATCTGTGCGTGGTGGGCAATAAGAAAAGAAGGAGGAGGGCGATTTCATTTTCTACAATATTTGTTGCATTTCCTAACATTTGTTGAAAGCTGATAGAATTAGAGAGATTTACATGGCAATTGGTCGATTTCGACTCCTGGACGTCTCGGAACCAAAATTATGGCGATCCGATTATTGCAAGTGGGTCAAAAGTCCATGCGGAAAAAATATATAATTTTTGTAGAGAATCGGTCAGTCTAGACACTTGAAACTACGCCATTCTCTCGGGCAAAAAAGCGCCCAAAATTAATTGTTCGACCTTATTAGCAAAGTGAAAAAAGACAAAGGACGCGGCGAACATTTCAGAAGAAAACCAGTTTTCGCCTGAAAAGACCAAAAAACGGCCGCCGTTTTTTTGGGCAGATAGAGACGATTCGGACGCAAAAACGGTCAATTTCTCAGCCAACCGATCTGGGAGGTCTGCGGAGAGACGGAGATGGCAAAACGAGTGCATTTCACAGAAAAGTGAGTGCGTGGGCGTTGAGACGGAAGATTTGCAAAAAGTGGGAGAGGAAGAACAAGAAGGACGATCAATTCGATTAATTGCACTTTCATACAGTCACCAAGAATTTTTTTTGCAATTTTTGAGATTTTTGTACGCTTCGACACCAATTTCATACGAGAATCAGATTCTTGTTGGAAACTCCTCTTTAAAACCATTTTTTTTTAACCGGGAGAGAAATAATCCAAAATTCCCTCAAGAAATGACGAAAAATTGGGAATGACTCAAAAGACGACGTCGCGCGAACTTTGTTCGCCGCCAATTTTTCTCAGTCTACTTCACTCGTTTCTCACACGAAAAGTGCACAATTTCGACAGAGTGACGAGCGAATTTCACACTTTTTCGTGCCAAAATTCAGAAATCGGATCAAACTCTATCATTTTTCATACAAATGGAGGGGGAGGAGGAGGCGGATAAAGTCAATCGGATGGGGGCGGAAAAGGAAAGAAAGAGAAAGAGAGAGAGAGAGAGGGAGCTCTAATGCTCTCCGATTCGCAACTGATATTAGTCATTTGTGGGGAAATGGCGGAGAAAGGGGGCGGAGCCAGATGCACTCTTTGCGGAGATTAATTTCGAGCTCTTCCTGCAGGAAAACTACAACTTTTATGGTCTTTTCAAGCACTTTTTCACTACAAAAGAATCGGAAAACAATCAAAAACCCCGGTCGTGACATTCGAATGTAGATGGGATGTCTGAAACTACAGAAAAAAATGAGATGAGACAAAATTGGATTATTGTCGGATTATCTGAAACTTTTCGTCGCGGATTAGGCAAATTGCTCATAAATGTTCGGATCGGACTACGGTAGCTCGGTGGATTTAAAAATGTGAAGGAATCATCCAATCAAAAAAAATCACACCATCTCTCTCTCTCTCTCTTTCTCTTTCTCTTTCTCTTTCTATATCGGTTACGAATTAGGTGGCGGCGCAGTCATTTCAAAGAGAGAAGAAGAAGAAGAAGAAGAAGAAGATCACAACTTTGTGGTGGTGGTTCTTCTTCTTCTTCTTCATCTTCTTCTGATTCCCCCGGCCCGTGGAGTGTAAGGTGTCCTCCAAGATGATGATCGAAGGGAGCGAAAAAAAGAGGAGAACCGCCGGCAAATATTGTAAAGTTCCAAGAGATTTAGAGAAAAAGAATAAAAAAAGAGGGGGGTCCGGCCTTTGCCCATTTCAACTGATATCGTCGTCTTCTCAGCCGTCCGACTTGTGATCGCCGCCGAAATGACCGCACATTTTCAGCATCTTACGAATAAAACGAGTACAGATTGTGTGTGTGTGTGTGTGTGTGCTTGCAAATCTTATCGCGAATTTCACAAAAGAGCACGCACACAAATGACCGCGCGCGCCGCTCATTTCTTGCCGTGATAACGACGATTTGCCACGTTTTCGGGTCAAAAACTACACATTTCGAGCGAATTACCGCACAAAATTTCATGGAGACCTTTGAAAAGTGCACTTTTTCGAGGACAGCGCCAAACGTGTGTAATTACTAGAGTAGTCCAGCGGTATCAGAATGAGGCAGACGGGGAGTATCATGTGTTTTTTTTAAAGAAGTCTAGAAATGGCTCCGACAAGACGACACATTTCGAACGGAACGGAATAGAGAATGGTAGTGAATCACTTTTAGGGGCTGAAAAACCTCCTGGAAGTTTATCAGTTAGAACATGACGAAGAAAAGAAAAGAGCTTTGAGCTCCCAGATCAGGCTCGAAAAGTGATTTTTGTGAGAAATGATGTACCTGATCTAACTTTTCGCTCTCTATCGTACAATTATACAAGTAGCTTGAGCGGCTTGTGTAACTGTAAATGTTTGCGAATAAAACTGTCTAAAACTCCTTGTAGAAGCTAACTTTTAGTTCCATTAAAAGCAAACCATAGTTCAGAGAGGCACCATTTCCTCACAAAAATGAAAATGTGCTTGATATTGTCGGCTCGAAAAAGAAGTAGTTGCAGAGTGGCGGGTCGACGCGCAACTACTAAGAGCTGCTGCTACTGCTGCTGCTGCTGCTACTGCTTTCCCTCTTCTCTCCGCCATCATTTTCAGATGTGTGTGTGTGTGTGTGTGTGCTCCGAATGGATGGAAAAACAAGCCGTTCTGGGAACTGCGGCGAAATACTGTTGGCCGTCGAGAGAAAAAGTGGCGAGCTGTGCGGCGAGAAAAGGCAAAAACAGACTAGTAGCTCAGCTCTCGGAGCGGTGTTCCGTCTAGAAGCTCAGACGACGAGACACTCTCTCTCTCTCTCTCTCTCTTTTTTTTCCATTTCAGACGTGCGTGGGCGTGGCCTCATCGCTTCTCAATGGACCTCCGAGTGGTCCGCCGCCGCCGCCGCAAAAAAAGGAACAGAGAGAGAAAGAGAGAGAAAGTGGCACGACAACAACAACAACAAATCAAAAACATGCGTGGCGTGGAAGGGGGGGGAGGGGGTGAAAATAAGTGTGCGCCGCGCAAAATTACTGCCTTTATTCCGTCGGCGTCGTCTGTTCCGATAGTCTCCCCGGGGGGCTTTAGCGAAAAAAAACGCAGAAGAAGAGCGATAAGGCAGCTTCTTTTTAGGGGGAAATCTCACAAAAAATGGGCAACAAATGCGTCGATCACTCAAAATAATGAAAATGTTCGGAAAACATTTCAATAGCAATTCCTACAGTAATTTATAGCGTGGCAACAAGTTTAACTTGTCAAAATGTTCAAAGAATCGCAGCCGGAGCTGTAAAAATCACAAATTATCTACAGTAATCGAAATTTTCAGCAAGACCGTACCCTTCCCGGGCCAAAGTACGTTCTAGCCATTTTGCACTTTTCAGACACTCACAGTATCATCACACTATCAGTTTTTGGTCGCTCCCTCTCTCATTCTTTCGAACAACGTAATTTTCAACCGAACTTCTACAAAAATGAGCAAAAATACCATGCAGCAGTACAGTAATCCGCAAAAATTGAAAAAACGTATCAAAGGAGTGAGTGTGTGATAGATAAGAAGTCAAAAAAAGTGAGAAGGGGATGGGGGTGTAGTGTAGCCGAAAATGAGAGGAATTTACACTTTTCAAGGTGAATTGCGGATGAAAGATGGGCCGAATTTTCTTTAACAGAAGAGAATTGGAGGGAAATTAGAAAAGTGTTACATTTACAGTGGTTTTTAGGTAAAAATCGCAAAAAGTCCAAATGGTCGGTGTATTGGGCGGCTCGCATTCCTCGTCTGCACACACTGCTCGCTCACAACTAATCTGCTGCCATTTGTGCCCAATTTTACCGCTTTTCAACTCGATTTCCAACTGATAAAGTGAAACGCGCGCTCGCATCTTTTTTGGTGTGCTCCTCCGTGCGGGAAGCGAAAGAGAGAGAGAGAGAGAGAGGGAGAGGGTGAGGGAGGGAGAAATTGATAAGCGAATGATAGGGGGAGACTGATTATAATTCGGTTGTTGGCGAATGGGAGAAGACGGTTTTGGAGCAAAAAGAGAAGAAGAAAAGGGGGAATTCCCGAAAAATTCCGGAGTTTTAGGTTGGTTTTGAAGTCTAGAATAGGTGAATCGATTTGAACACGGAACCGGAGAGTGATTGGATAATTTCTAGAGCCTTTTGAGCGGATTAATTGCCACGTTTCTAGGTCCCGAATGACCGTTTTTCAGTGTGTTCCGCTCGGAAATCGAAAGGCTCCGTCGTTTTTTAATTGGAAAAGTTCTCCCGTCTTCTCCTCCTTCGCTTTTTTTTGTGCGATTCAAATCGAAAAACGAATTCCACGAAACGAAAGAGTGACATGTGACTTTGCACTTTTGATTGCCATTCGGTTTCGGACACAAAGAGAGAGAAAGATCGAGAGAGAAAGAGAGAGAGAGAGGGAGTGATCATTCGCTGATTCCTTCTTCTTCTTCTTTTTCACTTTTTTATGCGGATGCTACGGCGGCGGAGGAGATGATAAGAACAGAGAGAAAGAAAGAGAGAAAGAAGGAGAGAGAGAGAGCCGCTCGTTTGATTTTGATTCCAAGTCACAAATCAAAAAGAGATTCGCGGCCGATCGGTTGGGAACCAAGCGGCAGCGGGAATACGGTGTTTCTTGGGAATTTCCAAAATTTTATTTTTCTGATTTTCTGGCCAACTTTCTTCAAAACTCTGCGCAAAGTCGAAAAAAATGTGTAGACACTCAGAAAAAAGGGAAATCTCGAGGCAATCTGGCAATCTGACCATCAACGTCTTCACAAAAAGAAGGAGAAGAAGGAGAAGGAGAAGGAGAACGAATGGCCGAAACGAACTGGTATTTTTGTGGCCATTTCAATTGAAAAAACTTCTAGGCACTTCGATGATACTTTCTACAGAGTTCAAGGAGAAAATGAGCAATTATAAAGTGAGTTTCGGCAAATGTTCAATTGAAAAATCAATGAAAATAGGACTTCTGACAAACTTGACAAAATCGGAAGTGCAACGTTGAGAATCCAATAAAAATCACATTGAAATTCGATACGCAAAATCAGAGAGAGCAAAAAAGTTTATAATTTTCCGGAAGACTTTGATCTCTGGCAGATTTTGCCGGAAATCACGTAGGCAACTCGACAAATGACACGAAAATGCAACATTTTTGCGAGGAGGGTGGGAAACTGCAGTTCCAGGCAAATCGATTAACAAATCTCTCAATTTTTCAAGGAAAACGTGTTAAAATGCCGATTGCGACTCTAGAAATCAGGACATTTACTTGAAAAATGGAAAAAGGTAGCAAGGACAAAGGGAGAAAGAGAGAAAGAGAAAAAAGGATCCGAAACGTGACGGTTTTCCCATAGCGCATCAAACTTCGCATCTTCTTCTTCTTCTTTTGCCAAGAAATTGATCGGGGCCGAGAAAAAACGGGTCAAAAGTGGGCGGAGCTTCGAAAAATCGGAAAAACCGAGCGGAAAAACGGTCGAAAAGGGAATTTTCGGAGCGAGTTCAAAGGCATTTTGGCCGTGTGGAAACGCAATGCGGGAAACCGAGAGTGAGAGAGAGAGAGAAAGACAGAGACGCAGGAGGAGAAGCGAAATGAAATGGCACGGGGGCGCCAAACGCAGCGCAAAAGAAGAGAAGAGAAACGGCGAGGCACCCTGTTTTTGCAGCAATCTTTTGTGATTTTTTACATAGAAAAAATCGCTCGTATCGTGAGGTAAACCCAATTGCAGGCCTGAGCGAGCGATTTGCTTCTCGTTGCCCGAGAAATTGCTTAGCGAAAAAACTACGAGAGCGAGGTAAATACCATTTGCGCGGTAGAAGAGAGAGACGCAGACGGTCGACAGTTAAAGGCGCCTACATCAAATTTATTTCTATGCGCCTTCAACTTTTTCGTCTGCGCCTCTCTCTTCTACCGCGCAAATAGTATTTCAAAAGTTCAAGGAACGAGTTTAAAGAATCTGACATAATTACAGCGCCACAGGAACGAAACTCGCTCGAAAAATCGTGCTCTAGGCCTAAAAACACTAATTTTTCCGCTGAAAATCGTCAAAGTAAAGTGAGAAAGCGTGACGGGGCTCGTCGGGGACTGAAAAGCGGATTGGGAAGGGGATTCGAATCCGGCCCGCAATGTGCTCTCAGAAATGGGAAGGAAAGAGGGAGAAAGAGTCTCATAACTAATTACACTCTTCTTCTTCCTCTTCTTCTTCTTCTTCTTCTTCTCCATTTTCCGCTCCTTCTTCCTCTTCTTCTTCCACTTTCCCAGATTACTGACCAAAATGATCTATGCAAAAAGGGGGGAATGGTGCATCAGCTGATGAGATTCGCATTTTCTCAGAGTTTCCGTTGCTGGTCACACATCTTTTTTCATACATTAATTCCAACAAAAAATCGGATGAGAATGTCTTCTGACCATCCAAAAAAAGTTTCACCAAAAGAGAGAGAGAGAGAGCGAGAGAGCGAGAACGCGGAGAGCGGGGAACGAGACAAAAAAAAAGCGAAAGTTTACTGCCAAATCGTCGTCGGCGCCGTCCAATTCGCTCTTCATTTGGAAACGGGCAAGTGGACGGCCGCGTCTCTACCAGTACGCAAAAAACAGGTTCCACTCCCTCTCCCCTCTCCCCTTTTTTTGCCCAAATCGTCCTTTTCAAGTATTCGAAGAAGAAGGATCGAATCAGCGGAATACCATCTTTTTTCGGATTCTACACATGATAAAGTTTCAAGGGGCAAATGTGGTAATTTTTGGGATTTTCGGGGAGGTTTTATTTGTTGGCCGAAATTGGCTCTCAAGCACTATATCTCGACAGTAAATAATCCGATCGGGATGAAACTTGGACCCAATCTACTTCAATCCACGTACAAGAAGTCTGCACAGTTTGGACCCGATCGGATTGTTGCAAGTGGGCCAAAAGTCCAGGACAAGGATCTTTGCTCAGCCCTGTTTTAAATCACTATAATTCCTCCCTGATACTTATAAGAATTTCAACAAAAAAGGATCCTACTGTTATTTTGGCGGGTAACCCGACACTTCAATGTGGAAAAATGAGGGGCTCCACCGTCAAAACAAGCAAGAAGAAGAGGAAGAGGAAGAAGAAGAAGAAGGAGAAGAAGAAGAAGAAGAAGAAGAAGAAGAAGAAGAACCACTCCATCATCATCACTTTTTCAGCCGAATTTCTGATGACTTTTTGGAAAACGAAGGAAGGGACCAACTGAACACTGAACGTTTTCGCCCCCTTTTCCCAGAATGCCTCTTTTCGCGAAAAGTGAACTTTGACGGAATGCGAAATGTGTGAGAAGAGGCTTTCTTTCAGAAAAATCACATTTTTCCGGATAGACTAGGAAAAATGCGAGGAAACGAATGTTTCTTCAATTTTCATACAATTACAGTCAGACACATTCAGAGCTATCGCAATTTTTCTAGAAAAATTGGAAAAGAGCGGTGAAACGCAGACGTACACAGAAGAAAGAACGCATGTGACACTGGCGGGTCCCTCGGCGACTGGGACCGCCTGAACGGCCCCCGACGCGCGGAAATCTGCCGCCTCCTGGCGCCACGTGCTATTTCGCCCCGGGCTGTGAGTGAGGTCGATGAGCTCTTACAACTTGACACATTTTTTTAAATTTTAGAACAAATCACAGTTTCACACCATTTTGTCAGAGCCAAACGCATCAAAACGTCGTTATGATACAAACAATCCCAATATGCCATAAAAATTTAGCAAAATGCTTTGAAACACAAAAAATTGTGGTGATATGCTCGTACGCTCTAATGGGGGCAAATGATCGCATGCATCGGATGGATGATGACTCGTTCATAATCCTCCTAATCCGTTGCTCTTTTCCGTCATAGTTTCACGCCTTAATGCCACTTTTTCTCACTTTTTCTCGCCTTCTCCAATCGGCGGATAATCAGGCGCCGGCACGTGTGTGACTACACTTTTTCCAACGATTTTCAGAGATTATCTATCCAGAAAAATCAGTGATGAACGGGCAGGAAAAGAAGAAGAAGAAGAAGAGAGAAAGAGAGAGAGAGAGAGAGAGTCAAGTGATCATTGAGCCGACGGATCCCCCCACATCAGTTAGTGGAGCACAAATCGAAAATGGATGAGCTCTCGGTGCCGCTTTTTTCCTATTTCTCATAAATCAATTTTTAAAACGCATTCAAGATACCATATTGGCGATATTTTGTCGCATACGGTTTACAAAAATAGTGTGAAACTGTGAAATTTTGGAAATGTTGAGTACTGAGCACTTGAATTTTTCAAGCTTGGGTCAATTTATGCAAATATCTCAAAAAGGTCTCCAAAAAAAAGGCGATTTCGGCGGCGGAAAAAGAAGAAGAAATGCAGAAAAAGTACAAGTTATCGGGCGCGAAAATCACTCCCATCTCCTTCTCCGTCTTCTTCTTCTTCTTTTTTCTCTCCGATGATCGTGGCAGACGACGGCGCCGAAAAAGGCGTCGAATCGAGAGAAAAATGGGGGAAAAATGCGGGGAGGAGGGAACACGCAAAACCGGTTTTATTTTGCAGCAGACACAGATAACGGACCGACAAAAAAAAAGAGAGAACGAGTTGGAATCGGGTTACTGTACGATTACTGTACTTTCGGTTTACAGGCATTTTTTTTAGCCGAAAAAAATTCAACAGGAACCCAGGGCTTGCAATGATCCGATCGGGTCCAGACTTTGCAGGCTTTTTGGAATTGGATTGAAGCAGATTGGGTCCAAGTTTCAGATCGATCTGATCATATGGTCCCGAGATATGTGGATCAGAGGCTCAAGGACTGCAATTTTCGCAAAAGCCCGGCCTTCTCAGCCTCAAACCAGTATATCTCGGGACCAAATGATCCGATCGGTCTGAAACATGGACCCATAACACTTCAACTCAAGTGTTCGACCAAAAATCAAGATAAATTAACAAAATAAAGTCCTAAAATGTTTGTATCAAAGTTATTAGCTTTCTGGGCCTAGACCAATTGAAAATCGCCATGTACACCGAAAAGAGGTCGAGAAAGTGGAAAACGGGCGAAAGTGGCCTTGACATAGGACTGAAATCCAATTGATTCGTGGTCTTTGTCCGCCTGGAACCAGAAATGTTGACTGCATAGTGATTTGAAAGTGGTCGTGGGGGTCTAGAGCATTTTTTTGAAGATAGTTACGATGTTCCAGGTCAGTTAAAGTGAAAGCATCAATTTTCACACAATAGCCGCAGAAATTACCAGAAAGTAGTGGAAAATGGGTGAAACCGCAGAAAAAGATCGGTGCGAACACTTTGACGCCAAATTTTATTGGCTTGTTTTTCCGAGCGTTCTCCATTTTCAATGCCATTCCCTTTTTGTTGTCCAAAAAGTGAATGTTGAGGGTGTTCTCTCGAAGATCACCAAAAGGGGCCAATTTTACACAACTGTTTCATGCACCAATGATTGCAATTCGAAAAAAAAAACCCACATTTTGGGCCGGTAGGGCCTAAAAGCCGACAATAGAGTAAAATAGGGTCGAAATGCCGATCGTCCGTCGCTTCCAATTCGAAATGTCTTCATGTTCGCAATCATTTCATCGTTATAGTCAAAATAATAGAAAATAGCACTTTTCTCGCCGGGAAAACGGATAAGAATACACTTGAGTGTATATATTATCCTATTCGAGAAAATACCAACAATAATACCAACTGGCCCGTGTTTCTGCCGTTAATCCCAAGATTTTAGGCCAAAGAAAGCGGGATTTTTTGGCTGGCGGTATTAGTGCTTTCAAAATAATCACGTAATCATTTTTTTGGCCGCTTTTTCGGCTCCAGCAAACATTTCGACGCGCTTCAATAATTTTCTCAGAAATCGTATGACGCTAAATTTGGATGCGTGTTGTAGAGGTCTACAATACTCAAAACTACCGTAATTCGTCATTTTAAAGTGTGAAAACGTGCGAAAAAAAGCCTACAAATTTGCGGAAGAATGGGGACAGAGTGTCTGGGAGCGACAATAACAAAAGTGCAAAAGTGGGGTCGGAGAGCCATCGAAAAGAGCACACATCGGGTGGGAAAATTGAACATTTGAATTTCTCATAATGGCATGAAAACTGTAAAGTTATTGTAACGCGCCACCTCACCCTATTTAAGGGGTGCCTCGTGCTCAACTCTACATGTGGGCACTTGGGGATTGCTCCGAGCAGGAACTCATCGTGCTCGTTGTTCCGTCCACTAATCCGTTAGATCTTCATGGATCTATGATTACTGGCTCAAAGTGAGCAGTGGACGGAACAACAAGGACTATCAGTTCCTGCTCGGAGCAATCCCCAAGCACCGCTTTAGGCAGAGCGCCCCATAAATGAGGCGAGGGGGCGCTTAAGACAACAGTACAACAACTCTTCAGATTTTGAGATGCGGATCACAGAAGTTTGAGTGTGAACAGCGAAAAAAAGCGAAGGAAAAAATGATGTAACTTGGCCTGAAGTATATAGGTACCAAGTTTCAGCCCGATCGGATCATCCAGTCTCGAGATATGTGGAAGATCATTGTCCGTAGAGAGACAGACTGAATGACTCGATCGGTCTGAAACTTGGACCCAATGTACTTGAACCCATGTCCAAGAAGTCTGCACAGTTTGGGTCCGATCGAAATATTGCAAGTGGTACAAAAGTTCTGGCCGGTGTGCCATTTCAAGAAAGTTCTAGCAAATTTCTTAGTCAATTGCAAGCAGAAAATCTTCTCTTTAAGTAAGTGCCGGAAGGTGTCCAAAAAACTTTGATAAATTGAACAAAGTGGGCGGCGCCTCGTAAAACGGCTATTGTGTGTGTGTGTGAGTGTTTGACGGGGTGAAAGCAGAGCACCAGCCAAAACAAACACACTTTCACCGTTCACCCGCCAGAGAGAGGCTGAAAACCAACGAGAATCGAGGCGGAGAAAGAGAAAAGTGAACACTTTTTGCTGGATCCAGACGAAAAGTGAGAGAGAGAAAAATCAACAGGAACATCTCGAGCACAAAAACGACTTTTTGCTCTTTTTCTGATATTTTTGCGGATGACTTGCAGAGAAATTGATTCGAAATAGTGTTAGCTGACGAAAATTATAGAAATCATTATTGTCATGGAAAAATGCAAAGTTTTGGGATTTTGAGCAGAAATGTGGGAAAAGACGCGTTCAATTAATCAATCAACAAAAGTGATTTTCAGTGCTTCCTTCTCATCTTTCATTTTCAACACAAAAGTCCCGGAAATATCAGCGGATCTACGAAAAAACGTGCACTTTTTTGTAAACAGAGACTTCTCTTTTCCTCCTTCTACTCGGCCGTCTGCAATCCATTCCACTGGAATTGTTTGCCGCCGTCTGGAGAGAGAGAGGGAGAGAGAGAGAAAGTGAGAGAGAGAGAGAGAGAGAGAGAGAGAGAGAGAGAGAGAGAGAGAGAGAGAGAGAGAGAGAGAGAGAGAGAGAGAGAGAGAGAGAGAACAGCTGATCGGCGCGGAGCCGGGGGCAAAAAATGAGAGAGAGTTCTGGTGGAAGAGCAAACGAAAAAAAGAAAAAAGACGGGGGACAGTTTTCGACCTTTGAACGTCACAATACTGGTTGAAATTGAGGAAGGGGGCGACGGGTTACGGTAGATTCACAGTCATTTTTTAGGGGAAAAATGGGTCTACTGTTAGACTTAGACTTAGTATTAGACTAGTGTTTCAAAAAATCACAAAAAACGCCAGACTCCTGCAAAGAATACGAAAAAAAAGGGGAGACTGCTCCGAGTCCATCAAAAATGCATTCAACTACCGTAACCTTCATTCTTCTCCAACTTTTTTATCCCAAATGTTCGGACATCTCTCTTTTTTTTTCGAACCGACCAAAGGGCACCACCACAGGGTATTCCCCCCGTTTCCACGTGCATTTCACGTGATGACGTCATCTTTCGACCTAATTTCGGCCTAAATTCACACACACACAAAAAAAAACGGGAAAATGACATCAGAGCGACTTTTTTGATCTCTTTGTCAAAATGGGGGTGGTTCCTTTTCGTTTTGTGTCTGATTTCCCATTTTTTTTGGGCGATCAGAAACCAGCGAGGGAGGGGGGTCATGACACTTAAAAACGGTCAGCTGAGACGCGTTTTTTGACGAAATATTGGGAAAGACGGGTGATCTATGGAAAAGGGCAATTGGAAACGTTAGATTGATAGTGCTCCTGTGAAACTACACTTTTCCTATCTGAAATCTCCGATGTTCTGCAAATAAACACGTATTTCATCACTTTTGATACTTACAGCACAGTTTTCATTCAAACATTTTTTTAAACAAGAATACCTCGTTCCGCTGTCCAAAGTCTCGAGAGAAGTGTTGAAGTAGGTGGGAAAGTCGATCTTTCGGTGCAATATTTGTTGCGAGTACTGCGTGACGCCGCCGAACGACGCTGAACGCTCCTTCTCTTTCTGATACACCGACAGATCGAAGAAATCGTCTGCAATTGCATTTTCGCCTAAAATTCTCCCGCATTTTCATGCATTTTTGAGGCCAAAACATAAGGGGAAGGCTTGAAAATGACACACAAAATTTGAACTAACTTTTCAAACCTTTTTTCACATTTTTATTCCAATAATCGAGGTGGTAAACTCGAATAGTAGCTGGAAAAAATTTTGAACAATTTTTCGGCTCAAAAATTGATTTTATGAGTTTTTGAGGTTCTGAGTGATTCTGCAACACAAATTCAACAAAATTACCGTCGAAATCAGTAGAACAGCTCATTTCCGAGTCGGTTTTGCCCGAATCGATGGAGGGCAAGGGCGAGAGTGGCGATTCGACGAGTTCCGACTGCAAAACAAGCCTAGAATTGTCGAAAATAGCAGTTTTCGGTGTGAAAGCTGTGTAAACTTGAATTTCGCGCAAAAAACTACAAAAATTTGGTTAAAAACCAACGAATTTCGACTGAAATTAGCAGAGAAAAAGTTGCATTTTTGAAATTCGGGTTACGGTAGAGGAGAATATGTGTAGCGTGTTTGCGTACACGACACCATACCTGTCGACAATTCCAGTTTTGCATATCCCACTTAAATTTCCCAAGAAATTTTCGGCAATTTGCGCAGTGTTCCGTGGGTTTTTGCTGGAATTTTTCAATTTGAAGTGATTTCAGATAAAAATTAACCTTGGAGCACATAATGTCACGTACAAACAGTGAAAAGTAGGCGAGGAAGTGAGAGTGAGCAATATTTTGAAAAATTGCGTTAACCTCGACGTTTTATGTGCAAAAGATAAGGAGAAGAAGCCTAGACAAGTGTCGAAACATTCAAAACAAACATCCGAACATTTTAGGCCAGACAGGAATTGGCTTCAAACATTTTCGCGATAAGAAACGCTTCTTTTTGCAGACAGAGTCAGCTTTTTGGGATGATCATCACATGTTCTGGTCAAATGATGGCAGAGTAAACCAATCTCCAGAGGAAAAAGAGAAAAAAAGAGGAGAAAGAAATCGGCGGCGGCGGCGGGAAGAGGGTTTCAAAGATCAATTCCCGGTGCGCGCAACTTGTTGACAACAAAGTGCAAAACCGTTTTGTGAACTTTACGAGTAAAGGAATGATGAAAGAGAAGCCGATGATAGCACGGAATGTTGTGGACATTTGTCGGGGGGATTTTTGAGACAAAAAAGTAAGCTAGAGCGCATTTGCAGTCTCCACCAAATTTTCACGGAAAGACTCCGGGTTTTAGGCCGAAAACTGTGGAAATTTCGCCAAAAAACGGAAAAGTAAACAATGGCGGCGGCGATGATTTTCAGCAGCGCGCCGTCGTCGTTGAGTAAACATTTTCAGTCGAAACTTTTTTTTTCCCACAAAAAAATTGGAATTTTTCGGTAAAAAAAGATTTTTGCATGCGGTAACCAAACTAAATGCGTTATTGCAAGTACGCACAAAAAAAAAGAGTAATAAAGCATCAAAAAGTGGGCGGAGTCTGCCGACACGTGAAATGGACGCCGTGCCGAGAGTGATCCACTAAATTTAGGTGATCACAAGTAAATTGGCGCGAGCGATCTCCGAAAAAACGACATTTTTGCGGGGATTTTTGAGTTTGATCTACTAAACCAAAAAAACAGATAAAGTTTGTGATTTTCCAGAAAAAATGTTAAGACAACAGCTTTATTGAATTTATTCATTTCTAGAAGGATTTTTGAGCGCTTCAATTCAATATGTCTTTCGTCTCTTTTAGCGATAGACTTCCCCAGTGCAAAATGAAATTGCTCTGGGAACTCGATCGCAATCTAATTAGAAAACTTTGCAATCTAATACGAACTCGTTTGAAATAGAATTTGCTTCAATTAGATTGCAAAATCTTCTAATTAGATTGCAATCACTGCAATTTTTCTAATTAGATTGCAATTTTTTCTTATTAGATTGCAATGCAGGAAAAATACATTGTAATCTAATACGATTTTACTGGAACTTCAATTAAATCTGATTAGATTGCGAAATAGAGCTTTTTCTTATTAGATTGCAAACTCTTCTAATTAGATTGCAATCGAGTTTCCAGAGCGAATAGGTTGGAAAAAGAAAATAAAGGAACCGAACGGTCTGGCAGTGTGTTTACATGTTTTTATGCACACTCCTAAACACCTAATATTTTGTGTGACAGGGGTGACATGCGGACTCGGTCACCGTCCCGGTCATCCATCCCCGGCACATCCGTCTGTCTCCAACCGTCCCTTCTGGCCATTCTTTCTTTTTCTTCTTCAGTCCACCGTCTTCCCGAAGGCGTTATGAGCGGAGTGTCGTTGAGAACTATTGTAGGTCTACACCGCGCCTAGTTTTGCTCTACAGTATCCGCGAAAACCGGAACATTTTGGCCAGAATGATCGTCTGTTTTCTCTCTCTCTCTCTCTCTTTTCCTTTCCCGTAAAACGTTTGGCGAGTATCGTCTCGAAACTGTAACATTTCAGAACTTTCAGAACACGGACAACAATAGTGTCACACTTTTGGTTCACTTTTCGGTCAATCTTTTGCCGAGACCCTCGCACGTAGAGATATTTTCCAAGAAATCAATGCGAGCTGGTGTTATGCGCCTTTAAATTCTGAAGCGGAAACGGTACATCACAATTTTCCTTGTTTTCTTGTCAAATAGCCGATTTCAGACGGCTTTTCATTTACCTTCAAATAACCGTCTGACATCGGCTCTTTGAGAAGATAATGGCAAAACTTTTGATCTACCGTATCCTCCCTCGAATTTAAAGGCGCAGACTGGAAAAGTTTCGTCGAGAATCGCGTCAAGTGTGTTTCAGTCAAGAAAAAAAGAGACATTTCGCGGTAATTCGAAAAGTAGAGAAGGATGAAAAGACAATTTTGATGGGGAAAAAGAGTCGAGAAGGCGATGCGGAAGACGACAAAATCGGAACATTTCTTCTCGTTTCGCTGCCGAAAAAGTGTACTTTTCCGACGGAAAATCAAAATATCAGCGAGAATGGAGAGACGGAGAAAGAGAGAGAGAGAGAGTCGGCCTTGAAACGGAAAAAAGAAATCGGATGATGATGATGAATTCACGCAGATAACAACAATAATTCGGGTCTTGCCACGAAATGATTTTTTTTTTCTTGAAAGTTCGTACGGCTGCGCAACTTTAGACCCAGGCTTTTTGAAGGCTATTGGACTTTTGGACCACTTGCAATGATCCGATCGGACCCAAACTCTGCAGGCTTCTTGGACTTGGATTGAGGGCCATTGGGACCAAGTTTCAGGCCAATCGGATCGTCGGCTCCCGAGATATGTGGATCATTGGCCGATTTTTTCTAAAAAGCCCGGGCTTCCGGCCAATGATCCACATATCTCGGGAGCCGACGATCCGATCGGCCTGAAACTTGGTCCCAATGGCCCTCAATCCAAGTCCAACAATCCTGCAAAGTTTTGGTCCGATCGGATCATTGCAAGTGGGCCAAAAGTCCACAAAATCCCGGGCCCAGCCCTGGATTGAAGTATTTTGGGCCCAAGTTTCAGACCGATCCGATAATCCGGTCCCGAAATGTTCTGGTTTGAGTTATCGCTGCATTCTTCGATAAATATAGATGAAAAGGAATTTTTGGATTAAAAAACAATGGCTAGACTAATTCAGGGAGTAATATCAGAGGGGGTCCAAAGTAAATAAACAGTTTTCAGTGTGCCTTTTGGCCCCCCCTCTCAATGTTTACCCCCTTTCCTTGTTTTCCAGCTATTTTTGTTGTGCCTCTCTCGTTCGTCCACAATATTCATGCCAACTTTTACTGTTTCCTTCTGCCCAAACAACCAACATGTGGTCGCAAAAAGATTGGATTTCAATGAGACAACCCCCCACCACTATATTTATTTATTTGTTTTTACGAACACTTCTTCCAGGAAAAAGAAGCCACACAATTTTTGAATGAAACAAAGGGAAAGCTTACAACAGGGGCGATGCAAACGTTTTTAAAACTTTTCACAAACTCACTGAACATTTAGAGTAAAAGTGAGCAATTACTTGAGAAAAAATGGAGAAGGAACAAGAGTCATCCAAGAATTTCCGTCTTTTTATGCGAAAAAAGTCTTTTTTTGTACAATAACAGTCCAATTAGAGCGCTGTACGATACGATGGGCGGCACGGAGACAGAAAAAAACAAATACAAATTACGAGCCCCTTCATCATTCTTCAGAAATACACTCCTCTTCCTCCTCCTCGCACAATCAACGGCATTGTCAGCACAAAGATCGAACGGGAACGGTGCTCCGGCGGTCCCGTCTGCTTGCCGCTTTTTTGCCATTTGTCTAATGCCGCGTCCAAAGTCTCGGAAAACCCGCAAATCTCGCGGATTTTGCAGTCCAAAGTCGGCAGAAATTTGCGGTAAATCCGGGGTGCGCACAGCTGAACGAGTGTTACCGTACACCATAAAACTACGGTATTTTTTTAAAAAAATTTACCCAAGAAATTTGAAAAAAATTCCAAATATTGTCGAGAAATTTAAAAAAATTTTTTTCAAAAAAATACTGTCGAAAAATTTACCCAAGAAATTTGAAAATTTTTCAAATATTGTCGAGAAATTTAATTTTTTTCAAAAAAATACCGTTGAAAAATTTACCCAAGAAGTTTGAAAAAAATTTCAAGTATTCTCGAGAAATTTAAATTTTTTTATTTTTTTGAAAAATTTACCCAAGAAATTTGAAAAATTTTCAAATATTGTCGAGAAATTTAATTTTTTTCAAAAAAAATACCGTTGAAAAATTTACCCAAGAAGTTTGAAAAAAATTTCAAGTATTCTCGAGAAATTTAAATTTTTTTATTTTTTTGAAAATTTACCCAAGAAATTTGAAAAATTTTTCAAATATTGTCGAGAAATTTAATTTTTTTCAAAAAAATACCGTTGAAAAATTTACCCAAGAAGTTTGAAAAAAATTTCAAGTATTCTCGAGAAATTTAAATTTTTTTATTTTTTTGAAAAATTTACCCAAGAAATTTGAAAATTTTTCAAATATTGTCGAGAAATTTAATTTTTTTCAAAAAAAATACCGTTGAAAATTTACCCAAGAAGTTTGAAAAAAATTTCAAGTATTCTCGAGAAATTTAAATTTTTTTATTTTTTTGAAAAATTTACCCAAGAAATTTGAAATTTTTTTCAAATATTGTCGAGAAATTTAATTTTTTTCAAAAAAAATACCGTTGAAAATTTACCCAAGAAGTTTGAAAAAAATTTCAAGTATTCTCGAGAAATTTAAATTTTTTTATTTTTTTGAAAAATTTACCCAAGAAATTTGAAAATTTTTCAAATATTGTCGAGAAATTTAATTTTTTTCAAAAAAATACCGTTGAAAATTTACCCAAGAAGTTTGAAAAAAATTTCAAGTATTCTCGAGAAATTTAAATTTTTTTATTTTTTTGAAAAATTTACCCAAGAAATTTGAAAATTTTTCAAATATTGTCGAGAAATTTAATTTTTTTCAAAAAAATACCGTAGTTTTATGGTGTACGGTAACACTCGTTCAGCTGTGCGCACCCCGGATTTCCCGCAAATTTCTGCCGACTTTGGACTGCAAAAACCGCGAGATTTGCTGGTTTTCCGAGACTTTGGACGTGGCATAAGAAGGTCGGGAGGGCTAGCCTGGCCTTCGGGCCCGAGGCCAAGAGCCACAGAATCGAGAACACAGGACGAGGGAAGAGACGGGTTTATTGGACGCTCAGTCAGGGGAATACGGTTGGGAGGAATGCGGCGATGTGGGCGAGTGAGCCGGCCGGCAGAAGAGCTCTGAAATGTGATCAGATTGTGGGCGATGAGATGGAACGGTGAGGAAGGCTCGGTGGGCGAGAGAGGGCCAGGTACGAGCTCTCTTGATTGAAAAGTGGTACCTGGATCGATTACCTGTAGTTTCCAATCAATCAATTCAGGAGTTCAATCAACCCACAAGTTTCGACTGATTTCATGTCTCTCATTTGCTCGTGGTTCAATGACTGTAATGCCGCGTTTTTTTCGTTTTTCTTTCCTTTGATTTCCGGTTACTTCACAATGTTCTCTCGTCCAATACACACAGATCGCCGAGATTGATCACTTCGCGATCGAGTTCGCGACATTCTTAATTTTTTTCGTGTTTTACAACCACCGCAAGTTGAGATATTATAGGGGGCACCGCACAGAAATGGCGCTCTGTTGAGAAACTTGAGCGACCTCGGGGCCGAGTTTGAAAAGTTAGGCCACGTTTTCAGTGGAAAATTACTTCGCGGCCTAGAAATTCGGCCAGATTGCGAACAGCGCGCCCTTTCTGTCCGGTGCCCCTATAATAGTTGTGTTTTCAAACTCCTTCTTTCAGCAATAAAGTCCAGACGTTCCTCGAATACGTCGAAAAGATCGGACTAACATCCAGAATCATGTCGGATGTCGATTGAAATCCGATCGAGGTTCCGAGATTCTTTCAAGGGAATCTGGACCGGTGGCGACTGTCTCATCGACTGGGAAGATCAAAAAGATCAAATAGCCGACCGGAAAAATTGCCATTGCTTGTGAAAATGTCCTCGAACGCGTACTCACCAGAGTTGAGCGGAAATGGAATTTTTCTCACGGAAGACGGCATACGGAAGATGGAACAAAAGAACCGTTAATGCAGAACCTTTTTCTCCGGTTTTTTTTTTGAAAAAAATAACTAAAGCTACAAAAAATGTTGGATCTGGGTCACTGCCCGTGGAAATTCGCGTTCTTCGGGGCTAGTAAATGGCTTCTGAAAAGCTATTACTCTTTTACGGTAAGAAGAGAAAACCACGGAAGACGGAAGACGGAATTCCGTTCAACACTGGTACTCACGTTGTCTTCCTTCTTGCACTGCGCTGGCCGGCGGGCAAATGAAATTGTTTGGAGCCCTGTGAGAAGCATACCGTTTCGATATCCTCCGAGGCGGAGGATGTCGTCGACGCGCGGGATTCACTGCAAGATATTCGAAGAATCAGAGGAATTGAAAAGTATAGCAAACATACGAGCCGAAAGTCGATCGATGCTGATGATCTTGCTCTCGATCTCTGCCCACAATCATTCACCAATCGAACAATCAAGGTAACTGAAATCTAAGGAAAAAAGAACGGGAAACGCCGGCACCACGATGGAAAAAATATTACGAACTCTCTCTTCTCCACGTTAAAAATAAACGTAAATAAATAAATGTGGAATTTGTTATAAATTTTTTGAAACAGTGTTTGCGAACGAGTTTGTTCTTCTTACGATGAAAAGAACAATCATTAGTCAGAAAATAAATCATTTCTTCATCGACTTTTCAATTTGTTCCATACTCTGGACAATCTGCAAACATTTCTGTTAAGATTAAGAATGATGTGTTCGGCAAAAGATCACCGCGTTCATGGAGCACCGATTCTCCGGATCGGCCACAAAAACACGATCGGCCACGAACTTGCGAAGTAATTCTGGAGCGGACGGCGATAATTTCAGAAATTCTCGCTTTTTCACCTGCAATCACGGTTCTCATTCAAAACGATATATCTTATCTGCCGGTGGAGATATCAAAAAGTGGTCAACTAACAAAATGTTCATTAGGACGTTGTGCACGTTTTTCTAGTTGACAACTTTTCGATATCGCCACCCGCAGCCGAGATACATCGTCTCGAACAGACGCTACCTGTGCTCGGATGGTCTGCGCGTTCTTGCCGTCGTGCGGCTGCTGCCCGTTTTCGTAAATCTCCCAAATGACGCATCCGAACGAGAAGACGTCCGTTTTGGCGGTGAACACGAACGCCTCGAGCGTCTCCGGGGCCAGGTACCTCACGGGAATCTTGCAGTGCTCCTTCATCTCGTACCGGTCCGTCTGCTTGGCCAGCCCAAAGTCCGACACTTTTGGCTGCAAATGATTCGTGTCGTTTGGGTCGCCACGGTCTCCAGAGCGGACAATGGCCCAATAGAGCGATACATTGGCGCGAAATTCAAATTTTAACAGCAAAATTTGAGTGTTTTTGCCAGATTAGCCACGAAAAACCGCGAATTTCTCATTTGTCTCTCGATAGACCGATTGTATAGGCTTTTACGAATTTTTTAAGCGCAAGAGCGTCAAATTTCGTCAAGTCGCAAATCAAATTTATCCGTTTGAATGTTTTTGCCTAAAACTGCGTGAATTTCAGTTGCTTTTCAGTAGTTTTCGCGGTTCGAGCGCTCAAAATGCTTGTATTTACGTGATTTATCATTCTCAAAACCAATTCTGTCGGAAAACGGTCAAGAAAGCGCAAAATGAGAAGGCGGCGATCGGCGGCCAAAGGCGAAAAAGCAAAGTCGGCGAAAAATGCGCCAAAACGTCATTAATTTTGAGAATTAGTGTGTTTTCATGCCGAAAAATCATTTTTCATCGCCTTTGACCACAAAAATCAGAGAAAACGTGCTCAATTCATGAAAATGCCATTTGGCCGCCGGGGCGACTCCCATATTGTCAGCTCTGGAGACCGTGCGGCGTCAATATTATAGGGGCACCGCACAGAAATGGCGCTCTGTTGAGAAACTCTTTTTGCAGTGCAAATTGAGCGACATCGGGGCCGAGTTTGAAAATTCAGGCCACGTTTTCAGTGGAAAATTACTTCGCGGCCTAGAAATTCGACCAGATTGCGAACAGCGCGCCCTTTCTGTCCGGTGCCCCTATAATAGAATCGCTTCTTACCGTCTTGTCCTCGCTGAGCAAAATGTTTCGGACGGCCAGGTCGCGATGGATCACCTTCTGCGAGTGAATGTATTCGACGCCGCGCGCCGAGCCGAGAGCAAAGTTCAGTTTTTCGGCGAGCGTCACCGTCTTCTGGTTCTCCTTGAGATATTCTCGAAGCGCACCGCCTGTAAGTAATCAAACGCGCTCCGCTGAATGCTGAACGCAAACGGAACATCGATCGACTCACACGCGCACAGTTCGCTCATCAAGTACAACGGCTCGCGGAGCACGACGATTCCCTGGCAGCGGAGGACGTTCGGGTGCTCGAGCAGTCGCATCACTCGCGCCTCGTGCAGCAGCTCGTTCACCTGGTCCCGCGTGATCGTCTCCGTCGCGTTCTTCAGCATTTTCACCGCCACCTCGACCGCTTTTGCCTTCGTGTCTTTCGGCTTGAGCCTGCCGACGCGCACATCTCCGAACGCGCCTTCGCCGAGTTTCCGCTCCGTCATCTCGACGTCTTCGTGCTGAAATTCCCACGGACTCAGCGGGATGGCGGTGAGCAGTTGGAATTCGCCCTGGAAAAGCGGGAAATTGCGAAAGGAGCCAAACTTTTCATGATCAGAGGCAGAGTTGAGCGGAAGAACTCAACGGAAGAATTTTTATCTTTTTTAGAAAATTTTTTGATGGAATGTGATCAACTGACGAAATGTATAGCAAAGTGAACTCTGCTCATAGAAAAATAATTGTAAATTTAACTTTTCATACAAAAAAGTTATGCGAGTTGTTGCGTGAAAATGTAATTCCGTCTTCCGTTAGCCCTTAACTTTTTTGTATAAAAAGCTAAATTTACAATTATTTTTCTATGAGCAGAGTTCACTTTGCTATATATTTCGTCAGTTGATCACATTTCATAAAATAATTTTCTAAAAAAGATAAAAATTCTTCCGCTGATCAGAGGCCGAAAAAGCGTCTTTCCCGGGGGACCAGATAGTCCGGAGGGTCTGAAACTTTCAAGGTGGACACAAAGTTAGGATACAATCTGAATATTGAGACTGGGCAAAAAAAAAGACCGATCCGGTCATTTGTCGTGCCGCTGACGGGACTAACATCTTTGTGAATGCCCGAGTTCTTCTGATAGTTCGCAATGAGCTCCCCGATGGTTTTGAACTGTTTCGTCGGTTCGATCGACACGTGGCCGTCGTTCAGTTTGATGATCAGGTTGCGGATCACAGAGAGTCCCGACGATTTGTCCGGCGATTTCGGCTTCTCCTTGCTTTCTGCAATTCACGCGCGTTGGTGGCTCTTTTCGCAGTGAACGTACTTGCATTGACCGAGAGCACGAACGATTTGAAGCCGGCGCGTGCTGTCCCAGTCATCTTCTCCTTGGTCCCTCGTTTCTTGGGCGACTCCTTGCTCGCCGTTTTCTCCTTCTTCTTCTCCTTCCTCTCCGCCTCTTTTTCGTTCGGCTGCACCGACAATCGCAGCAGCCAGTCGCCGTTTCTCTTCAGCAATCCGTTCAGATCCTCCCGACACACGTACCCGTGGAAGCTCGGCATTCTCGCGATGTGCTCCTCGAGCACGTGGAACTCCTTCGCCGATATTGTCGGGTTCCGCTGACTGGCCCACGAGTGCGCGATCGTCGAGTTGTTGCTGTTCGCGGCCGCCGCGCCGTCCGTCTTCACTGGCGACGACGCCTTCTGCAAACAATCGGATTACCGTTTTCCGTCTGCACTTGCTTGATTTCACCTTGCCGCCGGCTGCATTTCCGCTCTTCATGCTCTTCTGATCGGTCGCCTCCTGGCTCGGCCTTTTTGTTTTCTTCGGCGGTCCCGCAGGGCTCGGAGGCGCCGGAGGGGTCATCGGTTTCACCCCCTTCGCCTTGCCCTCCTTCGATTTCTTCCTGGAACATTTGAATGTCACAACACTATCAAGAATGACGCCACCGGCACGACGACCAAAAGTGTAGAAAGGGGCGTGGCCAAATCTGAGACGCGTTTTCTGAAAATTGCCGCAATTTCAGCACACTTTTCCGATATTTTTGTGTTTGATATCGACGAAAGAAGAGACATTAAAGAGAGAAAACATTGAAATTTTTGTGAAAACGTCGCGTTTGAGACGTTTTTGGCATCATTCGCAATACGCTCTCCGCCGCCAATCGCACGGTCTCCCAGGGCGCTAATGCTAAACACAGTGCGCTCGTAAATTGCGGAGTGTCGTTGTAACTTTTGAAAATTTGCAGGTCTAAAAATGCAGTTCAATTCGAGTTTACGACCTTTATTTCTTTCTTTTTGACTTGAAAAACGTCTAGAAAACAATATTTTACTGATTGGAAACCGTTCTTTGCAGAATTTAGAGTTTTCATGTTTTTAGCGTCTTTTTCGCATTTCGTCAAAACTTCAAACCTTTATATTTCAGCTCATTTTGCATTTCATGAGCCCAACGAACGATAAAAATGTTCGCTGAATCTTTCTTCACAAAATTCAGGTTCCGGCGGTTAGTTTTTTTGAGCTGTTTTCGAAAACTATTCGAAAAACATCAAAATCCAGGCCAAAACCTTCAAATCGAAATAACTCGGCTAATTCTCAACGATATGCGAGATTTCTGTTACCAAAACGTAGCTAGTGCTCTAATTATTCAAATCCAGGTTCCGGGCATACAAAAAAATAGGTGTATTGTACAGAAAACATGGAAAGAACGGGAACTGCCGCGTAAATCGACACAGCCCGCCTGTTGCAAGTGCGCCCCATTGAAATCATTCGCGCCGTGGGAGACCGTGAATGGCCGTCGCTATTTCGGAATTTTCATACCGGCCGATGTGGATAGTTTAGTGAGTGTCAGAAGTGATTAAGCACACGTTAATACAAGTATTTTAAGCGTTTAAACGGCAAAAAGTATCGGCGAATGACTGAAATTCGCGCATTTTCAGCACAAAACTGGAAAATCGATTTAATCGATTCATTTCTGAATGAAACCTGCTCGTTTTAAGCTCAAAAAGTGGTGCGCGATGATTAGTTTGACAAAGTTATTATGCAATTACATCGTCGAAATCGTACAAAATTTGGGTAATTTTTGGCGAAAAACATGAAAAATCGGGGTTAAATTTCGAATTTTGCGCCAAAATGGTGATAAACCGTGCACGCTAGGCCACGCCCCCATTTCTACGTTTCTGGTCGCCGTGGCCACCTGAGACTCCGGGCGGACGCCATCTCCGGCTCCTTCGACACCGCCTTCGTCGCCTTCGGAGTCGTTTTCTGGTCCGCCGCCTTCGCTTTCTCTTTCACCGACTGTTCTGTTTCATCTTGAGTACGTGATTCTTTTGGCGCTTTCATGTCCGTGTCCTACAATTATCCATCTGATTTATATTGTGAAGCACCTTGCCGAAAACCCACTTTTCTAGCCATTTAGCTTGAATTTATTTTTGAACACGTTCCAAAAAGTTGCAAAAATAGAAATAACCGAACAAGTCGTCGAGCATATCACTTTTTCCAGTTTTTGACGTGAAAATTATATTGTTAACTTTGTTTCCCCTCGAATATTGATATTATCCAATCACCCGATTCCTTTCCTTTTTCCCTAATGACCCCGATTCGTCCGTCTTTTTTCTCTGCGCTCTCTCTCGATCCGAACACTCTCTCGTCGTCTTTTTGTTCCGTTTTCCCGTCTTCACCGTATTCTCGCCGCCTTTTGACCGTTTTCATTTATTTTTCAATGCCTAGATGCTTCAGTAAGTCTTCATAAAGTGGCAACAAACGAGAAACACTCAAAAAAACAAAATTACAGTACCCCGATCGTATTCGCATCCATTTCTGATCCTCATCTCCGTCTACGTCCTCTATCTATTCTCGCTTTCACCCAATCGACCAAATCCAGCGAGTCGGCCTGCAAAATACACGAAAACTAGTGTTTTTCATCAATCAGGTACGGTAGGAGTACGGTAGTCTCCAGAACTTACGCGATAAAGCGACGCTTGAAGGGTGTTTTAAAGAAAAAGAAAAAAAAAGAAAATGTTTTGCCGAATTAGCCACGAAAAACCGATGTGTCTCTCGAAAAATCGAGTAGGTCAAATCGAATTGTTTCGAGTAGGTCAAATCGAATTGAAGATCAAATTTGGTCGCCCTTCACATTGATCCGTTTGAACGGTTTCCCCTGAAACTGCGTTGATTTCAGTCGTTCGAGCGCAGAAATTTCGAGTTTTCGAACTAAAATTCGAACTAAAAATTTCGAACTAAAAAGTAAGTTTTTTTCGCAAAAGTTTGTCAAATACAGTGAAAGTAGGTCAAATATGTAGGTCACTGGGTCACCACGAAAAATAGGCCAACTCGCTTCAAGCTAGGTAACAAAGTCATCTGAATTTAGGTTACTGGGGCACTGGGTTAGTAGGTCAAACCAAAAAACCGGGATATCGACCAGTGTTGAGCGGAATTCCGACTTCCGTCTTCCGTCTTCCGTCTTCCGGGATTTTTCTTCTTACCGTAAAAGAGTAATCGCTTTTCAGAAGCCATTTACTAGCCCCAAAGAACGCAAATTTCCACGGGCAGTGACCCAGATTCAAAATTTTTGTTGCTTTAGGTATTTTTTTCAAAAAAAAAAAAACCGGAAAAACCGGAGAAGAAAGTTCTGCATTGACGATTTTTTTGTTCCGTCTTCCGTTTTCCGTGTTCCGTAAAAAAAAATTCTTACGTCTGTCGTCTGCCATCTTCCGGATTTCAAAATTCTATTTCCGCTCAACTCTGCTGTGCAGACGTATAGTTTTTTCAAATTTTCTTTCAGGAAGCGAAGCGACCCTGGAAAATTGTCCATGGCGTGTGGAACCACTGAAGAATGTGATTGACACAACGGACATTTTGGAAACATCCGGACAAAAGTTCATTTTTTCCGATTTGAGTTATAGTCAAGGTGAGAATTGTGTGAAAAAATTAATGTTTCAAAGAAATGCGACTTTTTTGGAAGTCAATTAATGATTTTGATGATGGTGAGATTTGTGCCCATATTGTTTTAATCGGTCAGTGATCCACATATCTCGGGACCAGATGATGATCCGATCGGGCTGAAACTTGGTCCCAATGGCCCTCAATCCATGCCCAAGAAGTCTGCAAAGTTTGGACCCGATCGGATCACTCCAATTGCCCAGCCCTGCTAAAAACTTTTTTGTATGAAAAGCTAAATTTACAAATATTTTTCTATGAGCAGAGTTCATTTTGCTTTACATTTCGTCAGTTGATCACATTTAATGAAAACATTTTCTAAAAGATAAAAATTCTTCCGTTGAGTTCTTCCGCTCAACTCTGATTTCTACCCCCGATCAATAGATATTGTAGGTCTCGGCAACGTGATGTTCCAAGTGTCCGGACTGTTTTCGATCGCCCGCAAATCGTCGGCCGTCCTTTTGATTCCCGCTTCCACTTTGCTCCGACGCGCGTTCGATTTTCAGACGAATTTCAACGATTCCATCAGATTTTTGGATGAAAATACTGTGGCAAGACTGAAAAGTAGACTGGATCAATCGAAAATCACTCTTTCGGTAGGCTGGACTTTTCAAATGAAAATGATGTGAAATGCGTTTTCAGAGCTGCTGTGCGTACCGTGAATTCGACGGAAAACTATTTGAGGGCGGCAGAAAAATCGAAAAAATCGACGGATACTTTCAGAATTTCCGTTATTTTCATCCGCAATCCGAGAAAATCGTCAAGAAAATGTTCACTTTTGTGGAGCCCGTCCGCAAATTGGTGGCCGCGCATTTTCTAGGCCATCGGGAATATAATTCGTTTATTTTTGAAGGTCGACCAATTTCTGGAGAATGTGGGCGTTTCTTTGACCGTCCGAAGTGCGCGAATGATCGAAACGAACGTGGCGAACGACGATCAGGCGCTCGAAATGCCCGAAGAAGACGGTATTCGTTTTATCGATTTTTTTTTCGACAGTTTCAGATTCCGTTGAATGAAATTTTTGTGGTAAGCGCAAAATATTAGCTGTATGGATTTTGTTGATCAAAAAAAGAGATCAATAATACAAATTCAACTCAGTATTATTGATCTCATTTTTTTTCAAGTCATTTAAAGTTTGAAACAAAAATGTTCTAAAAATGCAGCATTTGCAAAGACGATGATAGTGGGCGTGCACATCCGTCACGGAATGGACATTTCGATGAATTCTCGGAATCGGAAGCACGGACACGTCGACGCGCCCATCGAATACTACAAAACGGCCATCGCACAGATTGAGAGCCTCTACGAGAGCGTTCGTTTCTTTTTTTCTTCTCAAATTCCAACTTTTAAGCGCCTTTGCGTATTTCAGGTCGCATTCATCATTTGTTCGGATGACGTGGCGTGGGCCAGAAGACACTTGAAGTTGCCGAAAGGTACGACGTCTTTTAAAGCGATCGATTCTAGAGTAAAAACATTCTTGAATCTATGTTTAGGAACCGCAACGGTCTGTTCAAAGTTCTTGTTGGCATGTGTTCCCCTACTCTATATGAGTGCGCTCTCAATTTGTTTCTCGAAAATTTTCGGTACACGCCGAGTTACACCCCTTTAAAGTTGGCCTGTTTTCTCCCCATTCGTGTGGCTAATTGGTGCATGAAACCAGAGTGGAAACATATTAAATTAACAGAAATGATGTTCAAAGAGAGCAAGATAACTTTTAAGGGTGAAAGTTTCGAACCTGACACCTGCAGACTGCCGACCGAGCACACTGCCACTGTGCCAATCGGGCGGAAGCGCGGCGACCCCCAATGGCAATGAAAAGCTCGGTTTACGCGGCCCCCTTCCAGGCGTGAAATTAGTGTTTCTGCTCCCAAGGGGTCTAAAATTCATATTTGAGTTCACAGAGAGTGTATCTATACAAAATCCGAAAATAAACACAGTACTGAGTAGTAGAACATTCCAGAGACGGCGCACTTCTATTGTCCGGGTCCCCGTGAGGTGGACATGGCAATTCTGGCCTCCTGCGACAGCGTCATCCTCTCGACCGGCACTTTTGGCTGGTGGAGTGCCTATTTGAATGTCAATGCTTCTCCAGATGTACGTTAAGAACGCATTTTAATTGTTTTCCTAATTCTTTGCATTTTTCCAGGTCTACTACTACAAAAACTGGCCGGCCGCCGGTTCGATGATGGAGAAAATGACGAACAAATCGGAATATTTCTTGAAAAATTGGGTCGCTTTGGAATAATTTTCCCGAGCCGAAACTGGTTATTTACAATCGAAATTTATCGGTGATTTTGTCAAAGAAAAATCAATAAAAATAATAAATGTTAAACAAGAAAGCTCTCTACTAGTGGGTCTCTCAGAAATTAGTGCTGCGTCCATTGGATGCTCTTCAAATCGATGCCCTCCTGGACCATTTCCCAGAGGGGACTCAGCTCGCGGAGCCGATTCGTCTCGCGCACGCACAGGTCGATTGTGTGCTTCACCTGAAAAAAAACAATTGTATTGAACACATCTCCCCGATTCGCCCTAATTTTCCTTCAACTGTTTTTCGGTACCTCCGCTTCTGTGGTGAACCGTCCGAGTCCGAATCGAATCGAAGAGTGGGCCAAGTCCTCTTCGGAGCCGATCGCTCTGAGCACGTACGACGGCTCCAGTGAGGCCGAAGTGCACGCGCTTCCCGAAGAGAGGGCGATCGATTTTAGAGCCATCAGCAGCGATTCGCCTGCAAAATTTTTCAAATTTCAAACAATTTTGAAACGCATACGTTTCGCAACTCTTACGGCAGAAAAATGCTCCCTTCTTTTCATGTATTCCCACACTTTCTCTTTCAAAATCAAGCACATCTATGCTTTTGACACAAGTGTCGAGATCAGTTACTATACATCAAAAACCCTTTTAACGCACAACGTAGGTGCTGTTGTTTGTTGCCAATGTTTCTACACATAAAAAAGGAAAATCATGGAAAATTCAAATTCAAAAAAAAAAAGAGCCCGACCTTCAACGTAGGCGAACGAAAGATTGACGCATCCGGGATAGGCGTGTTTCGGGTCTCCGTTCCGGATGATATTCGGCAACTTCTCGTTGATTCCGTCGATGAGCATCCGAGAGAGACGGTCCACGTGCGCCTTGTCCATTTCTGAACAGAAATATTGTAGATTCCGGTTTCAACTGTTAATGCAGTTTTTTACTTAAAAGACTGGAGCATTATGGAAATAATATCAGAATTTAAAAGCGATTCGATTTTTTCATAGAAAGGTGCAGACGGCAGACAGTTAAAGGTGCATAGCATGAGATTTTTTCTATGCGCCTTTAACTGCCTACCGCCGCCCAAATGGTATTCCTGAAAAATCCCCTGAAAACACAGCGAAATTAGCAGAAAAATCGATTTTTCAGCCAAATCACCATTTTCAAGGGCCAGTTATTTTCTTCAGTTACGTTTCTTATAGCTCTCTACAGTAACCCACCCATTTCGTTGGCGGCAATGCGTGCCGCCTCTCCCAGTCCGATGCACAACGGCGCGGCTACCGTACCCGACCGTAATCCTCTTTCCTGACCGCCTCCCGACATCTGGGCTTCCACGCGGACACGCGGACGGCGACGCACGTAGAGGGCGCCCGCGCCTGCAAAATAGGCGAATTGTGAAGAATTACGGTTTTCTTCATAAAAGTTTAAGACAACTGTCGGAAAATGCAAACAAACTGTTTATGATATTTGCTAGAAACTGTAAACGTGTTCTCCCACCTTTCGGTCCGTAGATTTTGTGCCCCGAAATGGACAAAAGGTCGATCTTGAGTTCGTTCACGTCGATCGGCACTTTTCCGGTCGCCTGCGCCGCGTCCGTGTGGAAATAGACGCCCTTCGAACGGCACATTTCACCTAAATTTCTAGCTTTGGTATCGCGTTGTTTCATCGGACTTGTGACTGCTGTTCCGTATTCAACTATCGGGCGGACAAGTATTTTGTACAGAGGAAGATTTGAGATATCATGCATTTTGCCTTGTTTATGCTAGCTTGCCAATGTTTGGTGAAGTCAAGCTTAGCTGCGTGAGACTAGAAAGCCAAGTTATAAAAGAGTACCAATTTGTTTGATCGGCTGAACGACGCCAATTTCATTGTTGACGAACATGATCGAAACGAGACACGTTTCCGGGGTGATTGTGTGCTCCAGCAGCTGAAAATCAGGCATTTACTGGATGGCTCATTTTCGACTGAGCGTATTTCAGAAACTAGGAAAGCTGATGGGCTCAGTTTGCAAAAGTACCTCCAAATCGACCATTCCTCCGTTATCGACCGGCAAATAGGTGACTTTGAATCCCTCGTTTTCCAAATATCGACACGAATCCAACACGCATTTGTGCTCCTGAAAATCGTCACAATTTTGGAGTCAAAAAATGCACTAAAAATTCAGTTTCTGACAAAACGTCAAAGTTTCCGTCTTCATTCGAATTCTTCGTCCTAAATTCCCAACAACCAAAAAAAAAACCGTACCGTCTGCAGTGTGATCAAATGATTTTTTCCCGATTGTTTTCTGAATTTGGCCACTCCTTTGATCGCCAAATTGTTCGATTCGGTGGCTCCGGAGGTGAAGACGATGTCTCGCGGGTCCGCCTGAAATTATATTATTTCTACTGTTGTTGTTTGGCGTAGAAAATGCATAAATAGTTTTTGAAACAGCAGCGTGGAAATTAGGAGTATACAACGTCGTTTTCATGCTAATGTCATCGTTTCCGTATGTTGAACATCGTTCATAACATTGATTTCTCTCAATTTGGACACCGAAGCTGTGAGATGATCCGAGCCTCTTTCAAAATCAAACATCCACTGAATTCAGCTGCGCCGTCAGTCATTTTTCGTTCGAACTCTTCAAAACTAACGGAACAGCGGAATAGAAAAGTTATAGATGAACTTTTCATACTTGAAAATGTTCATTAACGAGTTTTAGTAACACAGCTCGTACTGATTTCGCAGTAATCTGGAATTCCAGTTGAATGAGCAAAAATCAATGTACCGTCAACAAAGAGAATACTAGCTGTCTGAGATGTTGGACACGTTTGGAGGAACCCTCAATTTTATTCATTCGACTACTTTCGACTCAAATTTTATAAAGAAAAGTTTGCAAACCTTAATAAGATCGGCAATGTACTTTCTCGCCTCCTCGACGCCTTCTTCCGCTTTCCAACCGTACGAATGGGTCCTCGAGTGCGGATTTCCGAAATCATTGATCATGTACGGCAGCATTGCGTCCACCACTCGCGGGTCCTTAAATACCCCCCATTTCTTATTTATTTCGGCCACGGCTTGGTTACGGGGGCATTTCTACTCTCATGGTCCTCTGGTGCTCGAGTATTTTTCTGCAATTGCGCTCTATTGGGGCCAAGTTCTTCCGGCCGGAAGTGATTTTTAGTTGTTCTTGACTGGAAATGTGGCCAAACTCGGCCCCGAGGTCACTGCATTTTGCACTACAAAAGCAGTTTCGCAACAGAGCGCGATTGCAGTCAGAAGCACCCATAATAAGACGATAATAATAATTGAAAAATTGGGAACACATTAAAGATCTCTCTGTACAGAATTTCAAAACAAACAGAGTTCCTACCATGGGAGAAGTGGCCTGCACGTCCAAATAAATCGGTTGCGGCGCTCCGGGCTCGATTTTCGAGGCGAACGAGCGCACGACACTGCGCAGAAGAAGCCTTCCTTTTAGCATTTTCTGCTAAATTTGTCAATCGTTTCACACAAAAATCCTAACCTATTACGGCAAAAATAGCAGGTAGTTTCAACCATAAACAATCAAAAAAGTTACAAAACAACGGGGGGAAATTCGAATTTCTGCCGATTATTCGATTTTTTATGTATAACGGGACGCGCACAACAGAGGAGAATGGGTGATAATTGTGGACAAGTTTTGCGAAAAATAAAAGTTTATAAAAAAAGAAACAAAAAGAGACGAGAAAGAAGCGGTCGATTGGAAATATTTTGAAGAAGACGGGCCTGGGGAGAACGGGAGAATTTTCTGAATTTTTAGCAATTTTGGCGCCGAAAAAAATCCTAAGTTTATAGACTGGGTATGGGCGGGCGGGAGAACGAGAGATAGAACATTTCCAAAACAAAATTCAATTTACTGGAGCTACGTTTTCGGCGGATAAAAGCGATTTTTGCAGATTATCTCAGAAAATTTCTCGCGAAAAAAATGTTTAAAAAACGAAAAGAAGAGGCACTTTTGTGTGTAGGAAGAAAACGGGGGGAAATCACAGAAAACGACGGAAATCAATCGATAATCCTACCATTTTTCTGATGGAAAATGAAGTAAATAATGAAAAAGAAACTCGAGAAGAACAGAGAGGGAAAGTGGAAGGAGGAGCAGGAATTTCAGCCAATTTTCCAGATTTTTCGTCCGATCGCTTACGCGCCGTCGATCTTCGTGTCCGACGCGTTTTGCGAGGCTGCCGAAGCGGAAGCCGACGCGGAAGAACCGTCCGCTTCTCCGCCGTTCGCGCGTGCATTCGCCTCAACGACCGGACGGAAGTACTCGTGGTTCATCGCTTCTTGCGCGGTCAGACGCTCCTGAAACATACGCATTTATTTGACTGATAATTTAAAAAAGTAGCCAATTTTAAGCTTTAATACAGAAAAAAACAATCACAAACCGCATGATCGTAACGAAGAAGTTTGTCCAAGAAGTCGAGCGCTTCCGGAGTCACCAGATGTTGATTTTCGGCGTGGATAAATCTGAAAAATGCTAAAAATTATAGACAAATTCTGAAAATCGTCGTTACCTCTCCCAACGTTTTCTCGAGTGCCGCCCGAGAAGGTCGTTGAAGCGCGGATCGAGATCGATGTGATATCTCGCAATGTACTCGTACAACTCATCTGTTCCCAGCACTTTTGCGATGCGAACCAGCTGCAAAATATAAAATTTGAAGAAAAAGGCCAAAGACCAAAAAGGCCAAAGGCCAAAAAGGCCAAAAAGGCAATTCCCTCTAAAATTCTGGAAAAAACGACAAACCTGATCGTAGTTGTCGTGTCCGTGGAAAAACGGCTCCTTTCTGAAGATCATGCTGGCGAGCATGCATCCGAGGCTCCACATGTCCAGAGAGTAGTCGTAGCACTGGTAATCCACCAGAAGTTCCGGTCCCTAAAGTGAAAATTTTTCAACTAAAAATTGTTTTTAAAATGCTCACCTTGAAGTAACGCGAAGCGACACGAACGTTGTAGTCCTGTCTCGGATGGTAGAACTCGGCCAGTCCCCAATCTATTAATCGCAGCTAGAAAATGTTTGAAAAATTCAATAAAATCCTGTATTTTAGGCCGAATACCTCTCTTTTCTCGGCGTCAATCATCACGTTGTGCGGCTTGACGTCTCTATGCATAATGCCTTGCGAGTGGCAGAAATCCAGAGCCTACAAATTTTGTGGTTATAGGAAAGAGTATTAAAAATTGAAAAGATAACCTTCAAAAGCTCGTACAAATAATAGCGAATGTCGTAGTCGCTGAGCGTTTGGTAAAGCTGCTTGAAATCCGAATTGTTGACGTGCCTGCAAGCCGAAATCGATAAATAATAAAAAATTCTGGCGACTCACTCGAAAATAAGAGCCGGAGTTCTCGATATCGGATCTTTGACGACGTCGAGAAGTGTGATGATGTTGGTGCCGCCTCTCAGATTCTCCAGAATCTTGATCTCACGCTTGATCTTCTTCTTTTTGACTGGCTACAAACAAAACTGTATTTTTCTACAAACACACCGACAAACCTTGAGAATCTTGACGACCACCTTCTCGTCGGTGCTAATCTTGAATCCTTCGAAAACTTCCGAATATTTTCCGCGGCCCAACTTGCGCACCAGTTGATAGTCGTCAATTTGACCCCATTCGATCATGTGAGCCTCATAGTCCCAATATTCGCGCGGTCTCGACGGATTCACCTGCGAAATATTGATTAAAAGCCAAACTTCTGCAATTTTCGGGCTTAATCGCTGAGAAATGAAGCGAGAATTCAGAATTCTCAAAACTTCCGCTAAGAATGTCTATAAAAAATTTTCCTCTATCTTTACACAACTCCACACGTCTCGGCATGAAGCCCCAGCTTATTTTTTACATTTTCAGCAAGAAAACGTCCAAAAACACTCACATCTGGGTAGACTCTCGCCCGGCTCGGAATCGGCGTCATTCCCAAGAATATCGGATCTGCAAATTGGACTTTCATGCGATTTTCGACGATTTTAGGCCAAAAAAAAGGCGGCAATCGTTAAACTCCACAATTTTCCGCGAAATTTCGCGCGAAAATCATAAAAATCGGAAAAATCGACGGAAATTCGGGGCGAATTCAAAATAGCCGAGGCGACGACGAAAGAGTGTGGCGACGGGCGGAGGGCGCAGAGAAAGAACCGAAAGAGAGGGCGATCGTGGCGAGACCCGCGCGCCGCGAAATCCCAGGCGCCTTTAAATTTGTCATCATTCTCCGCCGGGCGCGCTTCCATTCTCATCCCTGGCCTGCCGATTTTGACACGAATTTTTTAAAAATTTAAACAAAATTTGTCGGTTTTTCGGCTGAAAATGCTGCCGGCCACAGTTCTACACCGATTCGGACGACAACTGAATCGACAGACGTGCAGAGTGAGTGCAGAGTATTTTTTGCGAGAATATCTGATTTTCCGATGAAATGCTGCCGTTTTTCTGTTCAATTAAGCTATTTCTATAGCAGGGTATCTTATTTTCAAGTTTTATTTAAAAACCTGAAATTGCCTGTTTTTTCCAGAACACATGGGTCCTCCGCCGAGTATTCCAGCCGGAAGCGACGCCGATCGGTGGAATTCAGAAGAATCCAAACGATTTTCACGACTATCAAAAGTACGAGGTCGTCGAGTTTGAGACACAGAAAAAGGCGGGCCCGATCAAAGTGATTCTGCTTCAGGACGTCGAAGGTTTGACGATTTTTCTGGAATTCTTGTAAGCTTTCCAAAAAACAATTCCAGGAATCGGTCATCAATTTGATGTGGTCAGTGTGGATCGAACATTGGCGCGCAAAGATTTGCTGCTGTCCAAAAAAGCCGTCTACGCGTCGCCGTTCGATCTCAAATATTATGCTGAAATGAAAACGGTTAATACAATTTCTTTCGCTTAAAATTCATCAACAAATGGTCTAAAAATTGAAAAAAATTTAATTTGCAGAGAATGGCGGACGAACTGGCAGCCCGTGTGCGAATTCCGTACGAATTGAAGGTTGTGGGACGCGATTTGCAGAAAATGGTGATTCCGATCAAGGTGAACATGGAGAATAAGTGGACGATCGACCGGAAGGTCGTCAAAACCTCACTTCGGCAAATGGTAATTTTTCATATTTTTTAGGCCAAAATTCGTAAAAATCAGAAAAAAAATTGTTAAATTTCCAGGGCGTGTTCGTCAACGAAAACACAATTTTCCTGGGACCAAAAGAGATTTCCGGACCGAATTTCGACATTGAATCCAAAATATTCCGATTTTATGTCGTCGTAAATCAACAATTTATTGTGCCAATGCTCGGACGGATCACGCACATTTCGGTGGATGAGACGAAGCAGGTGAGGCCTGAACTGTCTTTCTTTTCAAACGTTCCCCAATTTTCAGATGATTTCGCCTTCTCTGACGACGCCGAAAGACGAAGAATTGGCGAGATATTCGATCCGAAAAGAGTTCCCATTGTACAGTAAATCGCCGGAATTCACCGAGGATTTTCCAGTTTTTGAGCACATGAAAGAGCACGCGCCGCTCACGGCCCAATAGGAATTTAAAGGAAAAATATAAAATTGTTCTAGTGTCTTTATTGTTGATCTGCTGTTTTGTTATCGAAAACATTCACGAAAGATTGTTTCTTTGCTTTGTTTTAGTTTTCACATGTTTTCTGGTTTCAATACCGTTTGATACTTATTCTTCTCTATTTTTGTTTTGTTCTTTAGGTAGATTTTTCAGAAAACTCTTGTGTGTACCTCTGAAAAGCGTCAAAATGGTCCAAGAGAGCACGATGATTTGGTAGGTTTGAAACTGTTTTTAATTTTGAGACTGTTTCAAATTTTCAGTGTTGACAACTCTGAATGGATGCGCAACGGCGACTTTCCGCCAACACGACTCCAATCGCAACAAGAAGCCGTCAATTTGGTGACGAACGCGAAATTGAGGGCCAATCCGGAGAACGCCGTCGGAATCATCTCCATGGCTGAGTTAGTTGGGGCCGAAAAGATGAAGTTGTAAAATCAGTGAAAACATGCATCTTTTAAGTGAAAACGTGGAGAAATTGAAATTTTCCAGAAGCGTCCAAGTATTGTCGAGTCTCTCGACGGAAGCCGGTCGTTTGCTCATGAAAGTGCACAATATTGAGCCGCTTGTGAGTGAATTTGCAGTGAATTCTAAAAGGAATGCAACAATTTGTAGGGCAAGTGCAACTTCATCGCGGGCATCAAAATCGCTCACTTGGCGCTGAAACATCGTCAAAACCGGAACCACAAGATGCGCGTCGTCCTTTTCATCGGCTCGCCCCTGGAAGAGATCGACTCGGCCGAGCTGGTGCGCATCGGAAAGAAGATGAAGAAAGAGAAGGTGCTGTGCGACGTGATCATGTTCGGAGACAACGATTCGGACGGCCACGAGAAGTTCTCGCAGTTCGTCGACACGCTCAACGGCAAGGAGGGCTCCGGCTCCTCCCTGGTCGTCGTGCCCACCGGCTCCTCGCTCACCGACGCCATTCTGCAGTCGAGTGTGTGCAGATCCGAGGACGGGCAGGCCGCTTTCGGAGGCGCCGCAGCAGGGGAGAACGCCTTCGGAATGGACGTCGACAACGATCCAGACTTGGCGCTGGTCAGTACTTGCAAATTCACTGAAATCGAGGATATAATTTTCAGGCTCTGCGCGTGTCGATGGAGGAAGAACGTGCCCGTCAGGCAGCGGCGGCGGCTGCGAACGGAGGAAATGCGGACGGAGGGAATGCGGCGGCGGAGCAGGAGATGCCGGCGGCGGTCCCGCTCGAGGAGATGGACATGGGCGCGATGACGGAGGAGCAGCAGCTGGAGTGGGCTCTGCGCCTTTCGATGCAGGAGAACGCGCCGGGAACGGGCGGAGCGGAGCAGATGGACGTGGACGGAGAGGGACCGGCCGGAGGGAACGAAGGGGGACTCGACGACCTCATGAACAACCCCGAGTTGTTGCAGCAGATTGTCGATGAACTGCCCGCCGCTGGCGACGATGTGAGCGCCATTTTGTTGAGGGCAAATTTGGGACTGTCTAGAGTTTTTGTGTTGAGCGAAGGAAATCAACGGAAGAAGTTACATATTTCTAGAGCACTCTATCATGAAATCTACAACGACATGAACGCTATTTATGAAAAAATGATTGTGAACAAAACTTTCCATGAGAAAACATTGTTCAAAAAGAATAATGCAGTTTTGCAGGCGGAGAAGGAGGACGAGAACGAGAAGTGAACACAATCAACGGCCGAGTGAAACTTGTCAATTTCCCGTTTTTTTTCTATTGTATTTTACCTATTTATTTCCCTCGTTCCCCACCCGAATCCCTAATTTTTTGTAACTTCATTCCCACCACTTTTTCTCTGTAAAATTGACTTTGAAAACTATCCGAAAAAAAACGTTTGGGAGCGGGAAAATTAGAATATTTTATTTAGGAAAATAGCTAAACTCGTTCACAAATTGCACAAACGACGTCGTCACGGATCCTTTTTGTATTGCTTCAGGTAATCCTCGAGACTTCTGACAATTTCGCTCGCCGACGGAAGCTTTTTTACCTGCAAATCTGGATTTTTTGGGCTTTTTCTTAATTCACTCTTACCTCGTAATTTTGTGCAAAATACGCGCCGGCGTAGGCTCCGAGACTCATCGAAATTAGATGGGAGAGGAGACCCATTTGAGGAAGTGTCTGGAATAAATTATCGATTTTTCAAGGGGAAATGTGAATTTCAAGGTAAATACTGAGAAAAAATGACGTTTTAGGATTGAACGACGAAAAAGATGAATAAAAGTATTGATTACAGAAAGAACAGACAGAAAACTTGAGCAAAGTTTGATTTTTGAGTTTTTAGCGAGGTTTAGGGTTTTAGAAGCTCAAAAAAATTGTTAAAATTTTTTAATCACTGACAAATTGAGCTTGGCTTGAAAACTATTGAAATTTTGAAGTGAACATTGATTTTTCTGTAAAAAATCGATTTTTTACATTTTAGCATTGTTTTTTCGTACAGAAACACTTGAAATTCACTAGAGATTTTTAAATTACAGTTTTCAAAAAGTTCTCTTTGATTTTTAGTTGAAAAACGGAGAAAAAGAAATGAAAATGATGAAAAAGGGGGCGGATCTGCCGTCCATGTTGCAAACGCGCTCCACTGAAAATCCGCTCGCATTTCGAATTTTTATTCGTTTCTCGCCAAATTTGAGCGAAAATGGCGGAGAAAACGGACAATTTGGACGAATTGTTCAAAGATCGATACACAGAGGTACGTTTAGTTGAATTCTGCGAAAAAAATGAGTGAAAACGTTCAGAACGATGAAAGATACAAGAAAATGTCGGAGGAGGGATTCGAAAAAGTGATTGTCGTGCATCCGTGGAATCCCAGAAGAGACAACAACTATCGGTGAGTTTTTCGAGTTGCTGATAGAGAAAAATAGCATGAAAATCTGAAATAAACGGCCGACAACTATCATTTTCAGCTAAAACTTGCTCTTTCCGATTTTTCTAATGCTTTTGAGCAAAAAACTTTGGAATTTTTTTTGCAGTGGTCGCGGAGGCGGTGGCGGACGTGGCGGATACCGTGGAGGCGGCGGATGGAATAATCCACGTGGCGGATCGAGAGGCGGATGGAACAATCACGGAGGAGGCGACAGACAGCCGTGGCGAGGAGGCGGCGGCGGTACGCAAATTGCACACTTTTCGAACATTTTTGCTTTCTAACGTTTTATTGTCCCGTAAAAAGCTTCTTAGAGCATTTCTGCTGTTAAAAATGTTTCAAAAACCCTTTTTTTCAGATCGAAAACGGCAATACAACTGAATCTGGAAACTGCTCGAATACATCTATTGTTGTTTTGAGAAACTAATTTATTGATTCATTCGCAATACGTTTTCAATTAAATGAAATTAATCCGATTTCACCTCCAGCAGTTCTGGATTTTTCGGCTTTAGTGGCTGAATCTCTTGGAATACTGCGGGCCGCGCGTGACAGTAATGATGATGATTCCACGTGGATGCCCAAAACGGAGCGCCCTCTTTTCGCTCCACTCTCAACAGAATTTCAGACGAATCCGGCTCGTTCGGCAATTGGGTTACCTGCAAAAAATTAACTTTTTGCTTACAGTTTTGAAATTGAAGCGAAAGTAATTGAAATTTCAACTAAATCTTCAATTTGCAATGTTCTCTATGATATATTAGCCCCTTCCCCTCAAAAAACTACAGTAATCCAGACTGACCTTGTAGCGGAAACAATACGACTTTCCGATCCAATATCCGATTCCGAGCATTGCCGCGTGAGAGAAGAAGCCCATTCTTCGGCAGTGATAATAATAATGTCTCATTCGAGAGACTTATTTCCAACTATTATCCGTTGGCTTTTATATGCATTCGCTCTCCACACACACACACGCGAAAAGGGGCGGAGCCTAACATTTCACAATCGTTTGCATCACGGCCACACGCACGAAATAGAGTTTGTGCCGGGGAAAAGTGACGACGAGAGCAATGGATTCGGCATCACAAATTGTTGGGTCCGAAGTTGTGAGCACGGTCTCCAGAGCTGACCTCCAGAGCCTCCAGAGCTGCAGCTTGCTGTAGGCTGTAGGTGCAGGGCTGTAGAATGTTCTACGGCTTTTAAACTTTTAAAGTGGCAACTTTGTGTCTAGTACTTGCATTTTCTAATTGACATCTTTTTTCCAGGACCACTTTCTGGAGTACTGAGTCGCCAATATCCTTTTGAAGGTGAGTTGAATTGAGTTTTATATAAAACATGTAATTTATTAGGTCATTATTATGAAAGGGTACAAAAAGTGGGTACAGGAAGTGAGTACAGTAAAATCAAACGAAATTGTATTGATGAACTGTGATGGCATTTTGCTGCGGTCCCGATGCAGTCCGACCAGACCTGACGTCGTTGGCCAGGACGCCACGATGCGACGTTCGCAAGCTGACAATCTGACCGTTAACGGTCTGATCGTCGCGACGGACGCGCGCCACCGAAATGGTGGGCGGTTTGCCTATTTGCAGGTCTGCCGATTGCTCCGTGTTTCCACATCGGATATCCGTTGACTGTCGCGCTGAGCAGGAGACCACAATACCTGCGCTGGCCGTCACGAAAACTTACAAAAATTTGATTTGCTCGGCCTGCTCAGCTGGCGGCAGCATGGCCTGGGCGAAGGAGCTGATCCGCGCTGTACATTATCGATATTGCACTTGGCGACGAGCGAATGAACGAATGGTCTGAGTGATCTCCACGAAGCGTCTTTGCGAGCAGCCCGAAAGTGGAATGAGAATGGCGGGGAAAACCACATTGCACTTGATTGCTCGGCTCGCTCAGTTTCAGCTGGCCGGCAAGCATGGCCTGGGCGAGAAGGAGCTGATCCGCGCTGTACATTATCGATTAGATATTGTACACTTGGCAGACCGGACAGACGAGCGAGCTACTCGAATGAACGAATGGGGATGGGATTCTGAGTGGACGGATTCCTTATTTATAGTTTTAAGGAGGGAGGGGGTGGAGTTAGGGGAACCTGAAGACGTAAAGATGAGCGAGTGCCGTATACTGTGCCGGAGGTGGAGATGTTCCACCGGTATACGGCCTTGGTGGGACAATGGATTCTGGGAAAACTCTGGGTAAGCGATGATGATACCACCCCCAATTTCTGATGATATCAGAAGAACTAGAAGTTTTATCAAAAAGTGGCTACTGCCATCGATTCAGAATGAAAAATAACCCGCGGGTGCCAAGTTGCATGGGAATCGCACAAAAATTACGGGCACCAGGTCAGAAAATCGAATGCTTGACCGCGACAAAAGTATCCGGCCACCCTCAGGATTTCTAAAGTTTTCGATAAAGTTTTCGATACTTCTACAAGTCCAACTATTTGGAAAACTGCTTCAACGTGTCTTTCATACTTTTTCGAAGTAATAATGATCATTTTGGCGAAACGTAGAGAACCCATTAGGTCATTTTCAAGCAAAATTCTGACTCTTTATGAAAACTCGCAAGAATTGGCAAAAATGTATGGCCGCTTCACTGTTTTACCTCTCTTTTGCAAGCATACAGTTTTTTCGACACTATTCAACTCAGAGTTGAGTGGAAGAACACGGAAGAATTTTTTATAATTTTTAGAAAAATTTTTCATGGAATGTGATCAACTGACGAAATTTATTGCAAAGCGAACTCTGCTCATAAAAAAATAATTGTAAATTTAACTTTTTTGTATGAAAAATGTGAAAAGTTCCGTGAAAATGCCCTTCCGTCTTCCTTTAGCCCTTTTCTTCCGTGTTCTTCCGTTGAGTTATTCCGCTCAACTCTGATTCAACTATTTATTCACTAATTGGGTCAATTATATCAAAATATGCAAATCATAGCAAAACTGATTGTTTCTTCAAAGTTCATTTTATGCTTCCGAATTTTTTTAAATGACCCACTGATTGTCAGACACTGATCTCCCATCACTCTGAATCGAATGGCATTAGCCGCTTCTTTGATAAAACTTCTAGTTCTTCTGATATCATCAGAAATTGGGGGTGGTAACATCATCGCTTACCCAGAGTTTTCCCAGAATCCATTGTCCCACAGAGGCCGTATACCGGTGGAACATCTCCACCTCCGGCACAGTATACGGCACTCGCTCATCTTTACGTCTTCAGGTTCCCCTAACTCCACCCCCTCCCTCCTTAAAACTATAAATAAGGAATCCGTCCACTCAGAATCCCATCCCCATTCGTTCATTCGAGTAGCTCGCTCGTCTGTCCGTTCTGCCAAGTGTACAATATCTAATCGATAATGTACAGCTCGGAGCAGCTCCTCCTTGCCCAGGCCATGCTTGCCGGCCAGCTGAAAGCTAGGGCCATTCAACTGAGCGAGGCTGAGCAAATCAAGTTTTTGTGTAAGTTTTCCTCTATCTTCCCCCACTTTCCATTCTTATTTTCCCACTTTTCAGTTGCTCGCAAGGCCTTCGTAACGGCCCGGCACTGCGGCCGAATTGTTGATGGTCTCCTGCTCAGCGCGGAGCAGCGAGTCCTCAACGGATACCCGACGAGGGGCCGGAATGGTGTGGAGCTGCAGGCGAACGAGTACCAGCACAATCGGCCCGCCGTGCATCAGGCCTACGACTTCGAGCGGACTTGCACCCGCTGTCACAGCCGCTTCTTCGTGATGCCGAATGGGAAGCAGGTGCCCGCCACGACTATGGTCTGTTTCGACGGCGAACAGCACCGGAACTTCCACGTCCATGACCAGGTCTCCGCGAGTGCTCTTCAACGCTTTCCGAGCACGCCGAAGGTGAACAAATCGAACTGTCACTTGTCCAGCGAGGTAAGCAATTTCAAAATGGTCTTTGTCTTTTCTAACTTTTTTCTCTTTTTCAGATGCTCGCTCTGGACCTCGAAATGATCCAAACGGTCAGTGGTCAGACAGTCGGAAGGATCACTTTGGTCAGCTGCACTGAGGCGGTCCTTTTGGATATCGTCGTGAAGCAAACCGATCGGATCCTGGACCCCATGACCAAGTACTCTGGCTTGACGATCGAATCCTTCAAGACTGCAAAGTGGACACTCGAAGCCGCCCGCATGGCTTTCCTCAACGAGCTCAACGAACGGACCATTCTGGTCGGACACGGGCTCGCCAATGACCTTCGCGTGCTCGGTGTCGTCCACGAGAGAGTCATCGACACTTCCGTCATCTACACGCATCGGGGACGTCGTCCGGCTCTCCGCAACTTGACCAAAAATGTGCTCGGCTATCACATCCAGCAGGGAGACGGTCACTGCTCGGCCGAAGACGCGGTCGCCTCGATGCGACTGGCCATTCACGGACTCAACCATCCCGAGATCTTGGCTCCACAATATCACAACCTCCACAATGTCGTTTGATTTTATTGTACTCACTTCCTGTACTCACTTTTTGTACCCTTTCCTAATAATGACCTAATAAACCACATGTTTCATATAAAACTCAATTCGACTCACCTTCAAAAGGATATTGGCGACTCCGGTGTGTCCGCGGGCGCACGCCTCCAACAGCGGCGACCATCCGTTCTTGCTCTGCTTGTTCTGCACAATCTGCACGGCGCCCGCACCGATCTTGTTCACCATGGCCAGCAGGACCGCCTGATTTCCGCTCCGGGCGGCCATGTGCATCGCCGTCTCGTTCGCGTTCACCGACGGCATTTCGACCATTCCGCCGTAGTCGATGAGCAGATTCACCAATTTCGCGTCTTCGCCCGGAAAATGCAAATGTTTCAGCTTCCTGCCCATCGTGTTCTGCATGTTCGCATTGTCGCAGCCGGCCGCGATCGCCGTCCTCACCGCATCGATGCTTCCGGAACGGGCGGCCAGATGCAGGAGGCTGTCTCCGTTCCCGTCGGGCCGTTTCGTCTGCTCGTCCGACGGCGCCGACAGCAGCAGTTCGACCACATTCACATTTCCGAACTTGAACGCCAAGTGGATCGGCAGCGATCCATCGCCGTCCTCGGGCAGTCGCTGGTCCGCGTGGATCGGCAGCTGCTTCTTCGGTCCCGCCGGCTTGCGGAGCAGCTCCGAGTACTCAGGCAAATCGTTTGTAATCTAGCTAGGAGATTTCGTAATCTAAACCGAGTTCCGAATCTAGCTCGGTGAAAATGTAATCTAAACTAAACCTAGCTAGATTTGACTGTAAAAACGAAGGCGCGATCTCGGATCGCGCCAGCAGACATAATTGTTAATCTAATTAGAAAAAATCCGAATCTAAAGTCAACCTAATTAGATTGACGGGAATTTGAACAGAAGGAAGACACGCCGTTTTCGATCGATTTCGAACGTTTTTTTTTTGAGCTGTTATACTATTATTTTTACATTTTTGTGCAGAAATGTGTCTGTTTCAGACGGCAATCATGCCACGTGTGAAAATAACAACTCGATCGGTTCTCCGCACGTGCATGAGTCAACCGACAGAATCTCGTGCAGAAACATCGCACGAAAACATTAATTCTCCGATTGATTCCTCATGTTCATCCGACACTTTGTCCCAACGTTCCGATTCGGGCACTGATTCAGAAGAAGATTACCAATCAGAATTCGAAGAAGACTGCTGCACACGGAAGGAAAAAATAAGGCGATTTTGGAGGATACGATGAAATACGACGAGAGAAGTTTGTAGTTTTTTGAAAGTTTTTTATTAGCGAAATGAAACTGCGTGTTTTTCAGTGGCATCGTGACCAAAACTGAGTGATGAAGACTTGAGTCGAATGTACTTTCTGCTGTCGACTACCCAATCAAAAAGAGGTTTTTACTCCGATTTCGGAATGACCGGACTATTTTTTTCAGCGATTTCGACATATTTCGACTGTACAGAAGTACTCTGTCATTTCGTTATTAATCTAATCGCAGTCTACTCGAGTTATACGGCGGCCTAATAAGATTGATATGACACTTAATTAGATTAATAAATCTTCTAATTAGATTAATAAGTGCTCAAATCAAGTTTCACGCCAACCGTCTGCTGGCTCAAATCTCGATTGCGCCAAGAAAAAACAGCCGAATCTAATTAGGTCGCGTTTAGATCAGTAACTTTCTAATTAGATTAATATCGAATTGGCAGAGTAGCTAATAAGATGAACATGAACAAACTGTTGTTCGAAAACACTAGACTGAACTGTGCACTGTGTTGAACGGGTTCATAGTCAGAGGGAATATTGTGACAGGCGCGTTCGACGACCCAGTCAGTTTGAAAACCCGGATTTCCTCCTCATATTAACGAATTTGCAGGCTCGACGAAAGGTTTTTGGCCTCAAAGGTCACTGGTCCAAAGGATCTTGTGCCTTTTGCCTGTTGCAATTCTTTTAAAACTGCATCTGGCAAACATTTTGTATGTTTCCCGGAGCACGTATAACACGGACTTCTGCTTTCAGCAACCACAGTCGTTCGACGAGCAAGAAAGAATTGAAGAGAGCGAGAGGAGTGTAGGCTGACGCGAGCACATTTAAACCGCCGAAGTCGACATTTTCTTCTAATTTGTTAATTTTTTTACTTTTTATTCTGTTGAACTCTTATTTGTTGTTGTTTTCCCAATAAATTTGTCGATTTTTAACGATAATTTTGAAAATATGGCCAAATCTAATTAGGAGATATCCGAATCTAGTTAGGAAACTTGTTTATCTAATTAGCCGATTTGCAAATCTAATTAGGTGATAGTGCAATCTAATTAGGTCCGGTTAGAAATACTCTCCACGGAACCCCAGCATTCCAATGCGCAAGCGAGTTGTCAATGGGGCGCGCTTGCATCTTTTTTCTTTTTTCAATTGAAAACCAGAATTCTTTGGTTTTTCTCTTAATAAGCACTCAAATTTTGTTCTTTCCGAACCGTAGGGCGATTGTCTGAGTTAAAATCATCAATTTAAGCGCGAAATGGAGAAGATTCGTTCAGAATTGACCAAATTGACTGATTTTGTCGAAAACCACTGAAAAAACGGAGTTTCAAAGATTATTTGCCGAATCGAGTTCGGACACTGGAATTCGAACCGTCCAGTCAACAAGGAGTTTATTGCGCATCTTTTAAGCGCTCAACCGTCGAAAAATATACAGAATTGAGATAATTGAGGCAAATTTTCAATTCCAAAAGGAAAAAAATTATGTAATTTTCACATAAAACGTTTCGAAATTGATGACGAAGCAGTTAACATTTCATTTTTTATTTATTTCTAATAATTATCATACGTTTTGACACTGACTGGTTCTGAAAAGATGGGGATAATGCAAAAAAAAGGGAAAATTGAAATGAGAAACTCTACAACGACGCTCCGGAATTACGCGTTATTGTTTAGCGCACGTGAATTGCGCCAAGGCATCTTTTTATTGGAAGGCTGGGGTTCCGTGCTCTCGACTCGGTTTAGATTACGAAATCTCCTAGCTAGATTTCAAACAATTTGCCTGAGTATCGCTTGAGGATCAGCTCAAGAGTTTCGACGGAAGAGTACATGGCGGCGATGTGCGTGGCGTTGCGGCCGTCTTTCGTGATGTAGTCGACGCGGGCGCCTTCCGGATCATCTTGTCGACTATCTGATCTTTTCCAGCCTTGACAGCGAGCAGGAACGAGGTGACGAGGGGAACGAGACGGCGATGCACATGGCCGCCCGGAGCGGAAATCAGGCGGTCCTGCTGGCCATGGTGAACAAGATCGGTGCGGGCGCCGTGCAGATTGTGCAGAACAAGCAGAGCAAGAACGGATGGTCGCCGCTGTTGGAGGCGTGCGCCCGCGGACACACCGGAGTCGCCAATATCCTTTTGAAGGTGAGTCGAATTGAGTTTCAAATGAAACATGTAGTTTATTAGGAAAAGGTACAAAAAGTGAGTACAGGAAGTGAGTACAGTAAAATCAAATGACATTGTGAAGGTTCTGATATTCTGGAGCCAAGATCTCGGGATGATTGAGTCCGTGAATGGCCAGTCGCATCGAGGCGACCGCGTCTTCGGCCGAGCAGTGACCGTCTCCCTGCTGGATCTGGTAGCCGAGCACATTTTTGGTCAAGTTGCGGAGAGCCGGACGACGTCCCCGATGCGTGTAGATGACGGAAGTGTCGATGACTCTCTCGTGGACGACACCGAGCACGCGAAGGTCATTGGCGAGCCCGTGTCCGACCAGAATGGTCCGTTCGTTGAGCTCGTTGAGGAAAGCCATGCGGGCGGCTTCGAGTGTCCACTTTGCAGTCTTGAAGGATTCGATCGTCAAGCCAGAGTACTTGGTCATGGGGTCCAGGATCCGATCGGTTTGCTTCACGACGATATCCAAAAGGACCGCCTCAGTGCAGCTGACCAAAGTGATCCTTCCGACTGTCTGACCACTGACCGTTTGGATCATTTCGAGGTCCAGAGCGAGCATCTGAAAAAGAGAAAAAAGTTAGAAAAAACAAAGACCATTTTGAAATTGCTTACCTCGCTGGACAAGTGACAGTTCGATTTGTTCACCTTCGGCGTGCTCGGAAAGCGTTGAAGAGCACTCGCGGAGACCTGGTCATGGACGTGGAAGTTCCGGTGCTGTTCGCCGTCGAAACAGACCATAGTCGTGGCGGGCACCTGCTTCCCATTCGGCATCACGAAGAAGCGGCTGTGACAGCGGGTGCAAGTCCGCTCGAAGTCGTAGGCCTGATGCACGGCGGGCCGATTGTGCTGGTACTCGTTCGGCTTCAGCTCCACACCATTCCGGCCCCTCGTCGGATATCCGTTGAGGACTCGCTGCTCCGCGCTGAGCAGGAGACCATCAACAATTCGGCCGCAGTGCCGGGCCGTCACGAAGGCCTTTCGAGCAACTGAAAAGTGGGAAAATAAGAATGGAAAGTGGGGGAAGATAGAGGAAAACTTACACAAAAACTTGATTTGCTCGGCCTCGCTCAGTTTCAGTTGGCCGGCAAGGATGGCCTGGGCAAGGAGGAGCTGCTCAGCGCTGTACATTATCGATTAGATATTGTACACTTGGCAGACCGGACAGACGAGCGAGCTACTCGAATGAACGAATGGGGATGGGATTCTGAGTGGACGGATCCTTATTTATAGTTTTAAGGAGGGAGGGGGTGGAGTTAGGGGAACCTGAAGACGTAAAGATGAGCGAGTGCCGTATACTGTGCCGGAGGTGGAGATGTTCCACCGGTATACGGCCTCGGTGGGACAATGGATTCTGGGAAAACTCTGGGTAAGCGAGGATGTTACCACCCCCCAATTTCTGATGATATCAGAAGAACTAGAAGTTTTATCAAAAAGCGGCTAATGCCATTCGATTCAGAGTGTAAAATAACCCGCGGATGCCAAGTTTTTTAATGGGAATCGCACAAAAATTACGGGCACCAGGTCAGAAAATCGAATGCTAGGCCGCGACAAAAGTATCCGGCCACCCCCAGGATTTCTAAAGTTTTCGATACTTCTACGAGTCCAACTATTTGGAAAACTGCTTCAATGCGTCTTTCATACTTTTTCGAAGTAATAATGATCATTTTGGCGAAACGTAGAGAACCCATTAGGTCATTTTCAAGCAAAATTCTGACTCTTTATGAAAACTCGCAAGAATTGGCAAAAATGTATGGCCGCTTCACTGTTTTACCTCTCTTTTGCAAGCATACAGTTTTTTTCGACACTATTCAACTCAGAGTTGCGCGGAAGAACACGGAAGAATTTTTATCTTTTTTAGAAAATGTTTTCTTGAAATGTGATCAACTGACGAAATGTATAGCAAAGTTATCTCTGCTCATAAAAAAATAATTGTAAATTTAACTTTTCATACAAAAAAGTTGTTCGAGTTGTTGCGTGAAAATGTCCTTTCGTCTTCCGTTAGCCCTTTTCTTCCGTGTTCTTCCGTTGAGTTCTTCCGCTCGACTCTGATTCAACTATTTATTCACTAATTGGGACAATTATAGCAAAATATGCAAATCATAGCAAAACTGATTGTTTCTTCAAGGTTCATTTTATGCTTCCGAATCTTTTCAAATGCCCCACTGATTGTCAGACACTGATCTCCCACCACTCTGAATCGAATGGTATTAGCCGCTTCTTTGATAAAACGTCTAGTTCTTCTGATATCATCAGAAATTGGGGGTGGTAACATCATCGCTTACCCAGAGTTTTCCCAGAATCCATTGTCCCACCAAGGCCGTATACCGGTGGAACATCTCCACCTCCGGCACAGTATACGGCACTCGCTCATCTTTACGTCTTCAGGTTCCCCTAACTCCACCCCCTCCCTCTTGAAAACTATAAATAAGGATCCGTCCACTCAGAATCCCATCCCCATTCGTTCATTCGAGTAGCTCGCTCGTCTGTCCGGTCTGCCAAGTGTACAATATCTAATCGATAATGTACAGCGCGGAGCAGCTCCTCCTTGCCCAGGCCATGCTTGCCGGCCAGCTGAAAGCTAGGGCCATTCAACTGAGCGAGGCCGAGCAAATCAAGTTTTTGTGTAAGTTTTCCTCTATCTTCCCCCACTTTCCATTCTCATTTTCCCACTTTTCAGTTGCTCGAAAGGCCTTCGTGACGGCCCGGCACTGCGGCCGAATTGTTGATGGTCTCCTGCTCAGCGCGGAGCAGCGAGTCCTCAACGGATATCCGACGAGGGGCCGGAATGGTGTGGAGCTGCAGGCGAACGAGTACCAGCACAATCGGCCCGCCGTGCATCAGGCCTACGACTTCGAGCGGACTTGCACCCGCTGTCACAGCCGCTTCTTCGTGATGCCGAATGGGAAGCAGGTGCCCGCCACGACTATGGTCTGTTTCGACGGCGAACAGCACCGGAACTTCCACGTCCATGACCAGGTCTCCGCGAGTGCTCTTCAACGCTTTCCGAGCACGCCGAAGGTGAACAAATCGAACTGTCACTTGTCCAGCGAGGTAAGCAATTTCAAAATGGTCTTTGTTTTTCTAACTTTTTTCTCTTTTTCAGATGCTCGCTCTGGACCTCGAAATGATCCAAACGGTCAGTGGTCAGACAGTCGGAAGGATCACTTTGGTCAGCTGCACTGAGGCGGTCCTTTTGGATATCGTCGTGAAGCAAACCGATCGGATCCTGGACCCCATGACCAAGTACTCTGGCTTGACGATCGAATCCTTCAAGACTGCAAAGTGGACACTCGAAGCCGCCCGCATGGCTTTCCTCAACGAGCTCAACGAACGGACCATTCTGGTCGGACACGGGCTCGCCAATGACCTTCGCGTGCTCGGTGTCGTCCACGAGAGAGTCATCGACACTTCCGTCATCTACACGCATCGGGGACGTCGTCCGGCTCTCCGCAACTTGACCAAAAATGTGCTCGGCTATCACATCCAGCAGGGAGACGGTCACTGCTCGGCCGAAGACGCGGTCGCCTCGATGAGACTGGCCATTCACGGACTCAACCATCCCGAGATCTTGGCTCCACAATATCAGAACCTTCACAATGTCATTTGATTTTACTGTACTCACTTCCTGTACTCACTTTTTGTACCCTTTTCCTAATAATGACCTAATAAACCACATGTTTCATATAAAACTCAATTCAACTCACCTTCAAAAGGATGTTGGCGACTCCGGTGTGTCCGCGGGCGCACGCCTCCAACAGCGGCGACCATCCGTTCTTGCTCTGCTTGTTCTGCACAATCTGCACGGCGCCCGCACCGATCTTGTTCACCATGGCCAGCAGGACCGCCTGATTTCCGCTCCGGGCGGCCATGTGCATCGCCGTCTCGTTCGCGTTCACCGACGGCATTTCGACCATTCCGCCGTAGTCGACTCGTCGAGTTCCTTAATACTGAAAGAGCCGCCGGAAAAGTGTTTAACTTTCAAAACGAGTTGTTCAACTATTGCTACAACGATGTTTTCATCTTGGCAAAAGCCATGACCGTCTTCGAGCAAGAGTTTGAAAATATGACAAACGTCTGTCTTCTAGAGGTATGTTTTTATTATTTGAAAAAAACAGCAACGAGCAACAACAAAACAACGTACGAACCAGGTCATAGATTGTCGGGAGGTGGAAGGAGAACCTGTAAAAATAAAATTGTCAGGCTTTTGTCGCAATAAACGAACAGCGATGATGAGGAACTGTTTGGTCCGTTGGGTAAGACCGAGGACTTGGTGTGGCAGTGCGGCTCAGATCTGTAAAAGAAAAAAGTTATGACTGAGTAGTGAAAATTATAACATACCAGGTAGGCCAGAATTGCCGCATCCATACTCGCGCATGTTTTTTGATCTGTGCGCAGCGAGTTCCTGTCCCAGTCGCTTAAGGATTCTGTCTTGTGAAGAACAAAATGTTGACCAAATCGGCGCTTAGCTGCATCTGCGAGGCTCTCAGTTGGTATTTTCCACCAAAACACTTTTCTTGAAACGTTCCGATATCGTTTTTGTCGAAATGTGTTTTTTTGGTGACCTCCGCTTTCTAAAAACACGCAATTATCTCTCTTTTTCTCCAATTCAACATACCCTTTTCAAATTTTTCACCGCCTCAAAGCATGCAGCTCTCTCTCTGTCTTTCCTTTTTTACTCTCGGCCCGACGAAAAGCATTATACCGCTCACTTGTTTTGTCCTTTTCCCACATGTTTTAGAGGAGTGTCTGGTAAATAGCATGTGGAAGACAATCTTCAGTGACTGAAAAAGATAAATGTTGAAAAACACTGACAAAAATATATTACCATTGTTCTTCATTATACACTGCAACTTTTTCATCGTTATTTCTCTTCAATTCATCGGAAGCAAACGATACACCAGCTACAGTAAAGTGTGTATCTTTGGTTGATGGAGCGTACTTGTGGATAAGTTTTATGACAGTATCTCCAAATACCTCAGCACCTTTCGGATGTACAGTGATCGTTTTTCCGAGCTCAACATCCAAATGCACCAGGGAAAACTCACAACCGGGTTGGAGTGCCGTTACAATTTTGGACAGAAGACGGAAAATGGGGTCGGTCAGTTTGGAGTCATCTTTTTGGAGGCAACCGATGACTAATGAGGAGAGCGCTGGGCGAAATGAGTCTCTGTCAACTAAATTTCGCAAAATTGGGAGGAAATACAAGAAGGGATGCTAACCGAGGAGAACTTCGAAGTTTAAGCCGGTTAAAACGTTGAGGGACTCGACGACGTGTGCGGTGGACGTGCTTGTCAGAGTCCATGCAGCAAGGAAGTGGAAGATTTTGGGCGAGAAATGATCTTTCGCACTTGCCTCGATCGATTTGTAGAACGATTCGAGAAGCTTGATGGAGCAATCAGGAAAATCTGAGGACTTGTACTTCTTAGAGATCTGCTTGCAGATATTGAGGTACATCTGAAAAGTAAACCAACGTATGAAACCACACTCCCGCGCTAGATCACCTCGTTTGTTTTTCTCTCCCCTCCTTTATAATCCAGACGAGCCCAATCTTCAAGAACTCTGGGCATCGTCACTTCGAGAATGATGTCAGCGCAGTTATCCACGTATCCCATGCGCAATCTGTGCTCCACATGCTCAAACAGTTCCTGCACAACCAATGGCTCTAGACAGGACGAACATTTCTGCAAGATGAGACCGCCAACGTTCGTCTTGTCCCCAATTAGTCGTAGCCAATCGTGGTCAGCGTAGTGGTCCTAAAATGTTCTTTTTACAATTGAAAGTTGCGCGATTCAACAACTACCATTGGCAAAGTTGTGCCCGTTTGGCCGGCTTTGTTTTTGAATTGAATAAGGGGGTGGGTGGCTAAGAATTGCATAGCAAAGAGCAGATCTTTGGTATAATATCCAGCCGAGGATAGAAGCCATCGTTGATACATTAGTTTAATTGTCAATGGGATAGAAGAAAAAAATTAAAGAAAATAGGGGGAAGAGGGGGGCGGGACCTACGGATGCAGTTCCAGGGAAAACTAAGAGTTTAAAGAAAATAGGGGGAAAGGGGGGTTTCCGAATGGAAGCCGAGGAGAGTTAATACAGAAAAAAAAACTAATTATAAGTTGGTGTACTGTATTCGCCAGTCGACTCGTCCCTTTGAAGGGATTCCTAGTCAACAGTGGATCCGCTTCGCCAGCAAAGAGGCTACAGTACTTGAAAGGGTTGGGGGCTTTATTCTACATTTAATACAATATATACAGTTTTAAGTGAATTCAATACAGTTGGGAAATAGGAAGAAAAATCGAGTCGGTGAAGCTAACAAATTGGATTGAAGCTTGGTTCCATTGAAGCTTGGTAAATGCCATACGCAGAAGTGATCGGTGGAAGACACTTCTGAAAAAATAGAACGTTCATTTTGACAAAGATTCAGGAAATTCTATGTCAAAATTCGGAGGTGAAGCTGTACGTTTGGATTGAAAACGTTCAGTGAGACATACAATATCGAAGCTATTGGTAGTGGTTACAAGTTCAAGTTGAGATAATTTGTTTTTCACGGAGAAACAATTCATGTATCCAAGAGAAAGAGGTTTTACTTGCCTGGCCGAAGCACCCATGGCCATGGCGCTTGTCCTTCCTTGTACGGGATCTTCGTTACTTCCAAGTTTCGAACAGTGAACAGTCGCTGCTTCACCTCGTTGTTCCGTCGGATAGCTTCATTCCATGCCTGACGGTGCTTTGCGAGTTCCGGCTTCGAGTAATCCATTGAACTTCTTTTTCATTACTTCGAAAGAAGAGAGAACCTTGACGGCATCCTCCTTGGAAGGCAGTTGAAGTTTGATAAGTAAACGGGTTTCCAGTGGGTCCCAGCTCACAACAAAGCCTCAAAACTTGGGTAATTAAACCGTTATCTAAGAGCTTTAACAATTAATAAATAAAGACATGAGAAAAATAAAAGAAAAGGTGACCGGCCCTGGCCGGTCAACAGAAACAAACAAAATGGGGACGAATGCCCTCTGACAACATAAGAAAAAGTGGTGGGGAGGCGTGCCATGCGGAGGCTTTTATACTGTTATTGTGTAACAGTAAAGAATGTGCGGAGGATGGGGGAATCCAATCATATTAATTGAATTCCTGCCGCCTCCACACAGTGCTCATCGAGCACATTGAGAGCAGCGACTTCGCAAAGTCCTCGACAGACATGGAGTGCGGCAAAACCATAGCTTGGACTTGCAGCGGAATAGTAGACGTAGGAGTAGGAACATCACAAGGGATACGAGGGTCATTTGAAGAGGAATTATCGGGGTCGAGAATGGAGTCATTTGGTGAACCACCTTTGGCTTTTTTAGATTCTTTAGGGGAGAAGAAAATAAAGCGTTTTTTCGACATCAGAGAGAGCTCGAGAGATACGAGCGCTCACGACGAGAAAAAATGAAAGAATCAAAAAGAATTCCAGGGAAAACTAAAAGTTTAAAGAAAATAGGGGGAAAGGGGGGTTTCCGAATGGAAGCCGAGGAGAGTTAATACAGAAAAAAACTAATTATAAGTTGGTGTACTGTATTCGCCAGTCGACTCGTCCCTTTGAAGGGATTCCCAGTCAACTGTGGATCCGCTTCGCCAGCAAAGAGGCTACAGTACTTGAAGGGGAGTGACTTTGCAGTCACGCATGCACTAAACACTTGGCAATTTGAAGATTCCGGTGGCGAAAGTTTGTCTGCAATCGCGCTTCGCTCCTAATTGGGCCGAGTTTGAGTTGTTGCCGAACTTTGTCATTTTCCTTCAAACTCGACCCCCCGAGTGTTCACTTCATTTTGCACTGCAAAACGAGTTTCTCAACAGAGCACGATTGTAGAGCTCTTGAAATATAGGGAAAAAAAAACGGGGTAAAATAAGATAAATGAATCGATTGAAAAAAAAGAATGGCGGCGCGACGCGATGTACAAAGTTATTGATTTGTTTCTTTTCTCCTTGTCTCTCTGTCTTTTCTTGTAAAACGACCACACAATTACTGACACACACACCAATCTAATCATTTGCAGGTAGTCTAACCAATCCCTGATGAAGTCTACCGCCGAAACTTTTTACGAGCTCAAAAAGGAACACCATTCTTTCTCTTCTACCTAACTGCATCGATCCGAGGGCCTACCGCGCGCGATGTGACTGACAATCGCGCTCTTGGCACCGGCATAACGTCTACATGCTCCTTCTTTGTTCGGAGCACTCGTTGTGCCTTTGGTGTAAGAGGTTATGCATATAAACTAGAATGAATTTTCATCTACAGCCAGCGCGCATAATGCTGACATTCTACTGTAAAGCCACGTTTTTCGAGGACTTTCTTTAGCGAGAATCATGAAACAAGCGTGGCCGATGGAGTTTTCTCGGCCGCTGCCCGTCATTCCGTTTGTGGGATTTGGATAGTGTATGGGACATTCCAGTTTTTTTTAAACTTACAATTGCCCACATTTTGTTTAAAAAAATACCCAGCTAAATTCGCACATTTGTATGACTAATTTTAGATGCAACCAAACGCTGATCTGAAATCAAACAAAAATCAAACGGACTCTCTTGCTCCCCGCCAAATCCATCCGTGATGTTGTTGGGTAGTGACGAATTTGCTCTCCTCTGATACTAATTATCCTGACTCCTAATAACATATTTAGCGGAAAATTCCAGCATACTTGGGCATTGGAGCGTACGTGTTGTGAAGCTGGTACTTACTGAAAGATTATACCGTTAGGTATGAAAGTTAAAACGATTCCTTCCTTACCACTTTTCCAGAATGTTTCATGTCGTTGCAGCCGGAAGACGTGAAATTCAAGAACTTCAATGCAATGCACATGTTCTTTCCCGTCATAGTTGCAGAGTGTGGCGGTTGCAAGAATGTAGGCAGCCACAAATGATGCACAGAACCAGAATAGCCAACTATGAGCCCTGATCCATCAGGATCCAATAAATGATGACTTAACGAATATTATCAACCAAGTAATGGAACTACGTTTCAGATGATGATGATGAAAAGTGTGAATGTTGGTAGAGAAAGTATACTTGGATATCAAGGATCTAGCGAAACTGTGAATAGAAATTGATAGCTTTGAAACTTTTTGAAGGTTATTTGGCAAAAGTTCAACTACTAAACAAAGAGTTGCATTGAAAAGTAGGGTAAAGTACAATAGAAGTGTTGTCACGTACCTTTTTGAAGCGTTAGTTAAGCTGTGACCATCTAGTATATCTTCTAGCCATCAAATGACACTGAAAAATGATTAGTTTTGTCCACTATTGTAAGGTTGGAAAATCGGCTAGGAAACGCTGATCGACTCATCTCTTTCGCAACTCGCATACACACCAGAGTTGAGCGGAAATGGAATTTTGAAATACGGAAGACGGCAGACGGCACACGGAAGAAAATTTTTCTTACGGAACACGGAAAACGGAAGACGGAAGAAAATTTTTCTCACGGAAGACGGCAGACGGAAGACGGAAGAAAACTTTTTTCCCGGAAGACGGCAGACGGAATACGGAACAAAAAATCGTCAACTCAGAGCCTTTTTTTCCGGTTTTTTTTTGAAAAAAATAACTAAAGCAACAAAACTTTTGGATCTGGGTACTGCCCGTGGAAATTCGCGTTCTTCGGGACTAGTAAATGGCTTTTGAAAAGCTATTACTCTTTTACGGTAAGAAAAAAAAATCCCGGAAGACGGCAGACGGCAGACGGAAGAAACATTCTTTTACGGAAGACGGCAGACGGAAGACGGAACAAAAAAAACCACGGAAGACGGAAGACGGAAGACGGCAGACGGAATTCCGCTCAACACTGATACACACAGATACAGCGAAAGGGGTCGCATGGAAACATCTGGAGAGTCTCTGTGTGCGCGGGTGTGATCGATGTACGGTATCGTGCGCAGAGCGGAACGCACTCCCTCGGCGAGCAATGGAGTTTGAGCCGATCGGAGAGCGATGACAAGAAATGAGAGATTCGGAGGGTCGCAGACTGTGAGCCCCTCCACTAGATGAGTACCCAAAAAAAAGGACCCCGAGTTTCTGCGCCTAAAATTTGAAATAAAGCCGATGGAGAATAAACGGACTATGATGAGTTGCGAAATGTCTCGCGATTTTACGAAAGAATTTTTTAGGCCATAGTAATTTAAATTTCCTGGGGATCCTTTAAATGTTCGCATCATGTAGACTCCTCTAGTCGGTGAGGAAAAGATGGAAAACGAAATTACCGAAAGTTACCTTAAAAAAAATCGCGGACGAGAAGGGCAAAAAAGTGACAACACAGAGTGGGTGAGAAGGAAGGAAAGTTCTAGACGGTTCGGCGGAGCGCGCTTGCATGAAAGCGACGAAAAAGACCCTGGGTCCGGGGGGGGGAGCGATCCGAACTGTTGTGGCGGCGAGTGATTCGAGCACGGAGGACATGGAAGAGAGAGAGAGAGAGAGAGAGATAGATCGGAGGGGAAGGGGCGTCAGAATGTGAGGGATTGATGATAGTATGTGTTGGTGCTCACGCGCAGCCCTACCATTCGGCTGGCCGCACGATGTCGTTACTCGGAAAGAAAGTACCCGAAAATTGTTATGCCGCGTCCAAAGTCTCGGAAAAACCGTAAAAACCGCAGGATTTTGTGTCGAAAGTCGGCCGAAATTTGCGTGAAAACCGGGGGGTGCGCACAGCTGAACGATTGTAACCGTACCCCTAAAACTACGGTATTTTTTGAAAATTTGCGCAAGAAATTCGAATATTTTCAAATACAATCCTCAGGAAATTAACACATTTTTTTATTTATTTACGTTTATTTTTAACGTGGAGAGGAGAGAAAAAAGAAGGGGGGAGGGGATATGCTCAAAAAATACCGTAGTTTTAGGGGTACGGTTTCATTCGTTCAGCTGTGCGCACCCCCCGGTTTTCACGCAAATTTCGGCCGATTTTGGACAGAAAAACCTGCGGTTTTCCGGTTTTTCCGAGACTTTTCCGAGACACAGCATTAGGAAACAGCATTAGGAAACAACTAGAAACATTGGGAAACGTTCAGATTCTCCAGTCTTTGGCCCTGAAATTCTCACCTCTACAATACTGCGCGAAGCATACAGTTCAAGGTCTTTTACCGTAACCATAGGCTCTATGCGATTCTGACGGCGATTCAAAAAGTCTTCAATTTTGCGTTTCCTGGCCTAAAAACCGGCTGAAAGTGAGTGAAATTCTCCAGTGTTTGGGCCTAAAATTAAGAAAGAGAGAGAGAAAGGAGAGACGCGTCGAAATATAAACAAAAGTGCAATGAGGGTCGTTTAGGGGTACGGTAATGGGTGGAAAATGAAGGTCGTTCACTTGTTTACACGTGGTCTCGAAGCGAACGCGAGTACGGTAGCATTCGTTTCAACTGTTCGCACCCCGGTTTTCCCGCGAATTTCTGCCGACTTTGGACTACTTTTCCAGCTTTGGACGCCACACTAGAAAACGTCAAATCGTTCATCGGAGGCAATGAACGATTTCTTCTTGATCGAATCCTTAAAATCAGAGCGGGTCTAATTAGATAATCTGAAATTGGAAAGCAGAATCTTAGGCCTCCTCCCACAATTCAATCCAACAATTGTGAAAATGCATGAAACAATAGGAGTCTCGTGTCAGTGTGTTCCAGTAAATTAAATGTTCTCGTCATGAAGCATGAATCAAGGAGATTTATTCGGATTGAAGATCATCTGGCGAGCGTTGAAGAGCTTTATTTTATCATTAAATGTATTGCAAAAGTTTTTCGGTTAATGTTTCAGCGCGCACGGCGACCAAAAGTGTAGAAAGAGGCGTGGCCTAATCTGAGACGCGTTTTCTGAAAATTGCCGCAATTCCAGCACACTTTTCCGATATTTTTGTGTGTTGATATCGACGAAAGAAGACATTAAAGAGAGAAAACATTGAAATTTTCGTGAAAACGCCGCGTTTGAGACGTTTTTTGCATCATTCGCAATAGGCTCTCCGCGGCCAATCGCCGCCGCAATTTCGGAATTTTCATATAAATTTTCATGCCGATGTGGATAGCTTTGAGACGAAGTGAGTGTCGGAAGTGATTAAGCACACGTTAATACAAGTATTTTAAGCGTTCAAACGGCAAAAAGTATCGGCGAATGACTGAAATACGCGCATTTTCAGCACAAAACTGGAAAATCGATTCAATTGATTCATTTCCGAATGAAACCTGCTCGTTTTAAGCTCAAAAAGTGCGCGATGATTAGTTTAACAAAGTTATTATGCAATTACATCGTCGAAATCGTACAAAATTTGGGTAATTTTTGACGAAAAACATGAAAAATGGGGTTAAATTTCGAATTTCGCAAGCAACAAAAAACAAATAAAACGCATAAAAACAAGCTGGAAAAAGCGAACAGCACTGAAAATGCAAAGTTTCCATAACAGTTTCGACATGCCTTAAAGTTTGCGCAAAAGTGGCGCGCCTTTGCCGAGTAGGCCACGCCCCTTTTTACGTTTTTGGTCGCCGTGTCCAGTTGATAATTCAAAAGTGGTCAAATTTCGAGCTTTACAGTGTCGAACAAATTTCATTGTTTTTCAGAAAAACACTCACGCCGTGTACTTTTGAATTGAAAGAAAATCAGGGTAACACAATCGGATGGGCTGAATCGAAACGTTTTGTTCTCGTTTACTTTTTCATCTTTCCTAGTTGCATTGGCTCAAATAACTGAAGCAAACACTTTATTTATTATGTGATGCATTCAATACAAGTTCATGATCCGTCATCGTGCTCAAATCCACTCGCCGCCTGCCTTTCCCTTTCCCTCCTCTTTTTCGTCTTTCTCGTCCGACGACTTCTGATTGTTGTTCATCGTCTCATCGTCCGGAGTCTTGATTTGTCGGAACATAATTGGGATCCTCATCTTGGTATGTTTCAACTTTCCCAAGCCACGAGCCTCAAACGCTCTTTCCAAAGGAACACTCGCGAGAATAGCCACACAGATTACAGTCATTCTGAAATTGTCATTTGTGAAGAGGATATGGCACTTTTTTTTTCTTTTTTTACTTAGCATTATTGCCATATTGCTCCTTGTTCATTCCGAAGAAGTAACACTTGAAGGCCATCCGTTCGCCCGGTGCAAGTTTCGCCCTCGCCGGACTGCTTCTGAAGCTTCTCGGCACATTAGTCTTCCAATGGAGCGCAACGTGGGATACGTTGTTGTTCGTCACATCCACAATGACAACTTGTTTCTTATCGACGGGCTCATATGTTATAGTAAGTGGATTGAACACGAGTTTCGAGAAATCCACAGCTTGTTGCGGGGAAGTCGTCGACATTTTTACGTTGACGAAATGAGCGATGCTAATGAACTTTTACTCGGAGGGGACACGCGAATGACCCATGAAATGTTCAGAGTTGTACCTACCGATTTAAAATAGTGTACGGAAGGTACTCTCCACGAACAAAGGCCATTCGTGTGTCTCTTCCCAGTAAAAGTTCACTATATATATCGTCGCTCATTTCGTTTTCTCCAAGACGTCGATCTCATGAAAGTCGTGTTCAATCCATCGACATCTATAACATTTGTGCCGTTTTGGAAGTGACGAACAAAACGGAAGACTCAAAAGGGAGCAATGCAATAATAAGGATGGGTATTTCGAAAAGTGTGCCATGGCCTCTTCGGCTGGCAATTTCAGAATCACTGCAATCGCAGTTTTGTAACAAAACTTTTGTTCCTCGGAATCAATACTTCGAAAGAGGACGAGCAGACGAACAATAATCAGAAGCAGTCGGTCGACAAAGACGAAAAAGAGGCGGGTGGGCGGGGCGTTGGTGTCCACGTGGATTCGTTTCGGAAGACGAGAAGACAAACGATAAATATAGACAATTTAAACAATAAAGCAATAATTGAAGCATCAAAGAAGAAATGGAATGAGAAAGTATTTACAGAATCACGCGTCTTCTTCTTCTTTTTTCTGATTATTGCCCTTCATTTGAACTGAAAATCCGCCGCTTCCATTCGGCACCATCTCGAAACTGTCGGTGGAGAGACCGAACGGCGAAAGGCACATGTTTCCAAGACTCTGCATTTATTTCAACTTTTTCTAGAATTCTATGAACTTTTCCCAAAATGATACCTTGAGCTTCTCGATCATATCGGCCTTCATTTCCTCGTTTCTCTGCATGATTTTCGCGTTCAATTCGCCAATTTTCCGCTCGAATTCGACTTTGCGTGATGGAATCGATTCCTGGAATTGAATTAGTTCTTCTCCGTATCATCGCAACGCTTTTTGAGTCGCTACGCAGCCAATTTGGCGGTAACGTGCACGTGTTGGCAACATTCAAAAAGAGAGCCCAGGTGGCTCTATTGACGAACAGTGGAAAAGTTGTTTGAAAGCGTTTTGAAGCAGAAACATTTCGAACCTCAAGTTTCCTGTAGTCCTCAATGGCGTCCTCGTACTTTTCTCGGATGTTCGAGTGCGCGAACGCACGTCTTTCCAGCGCCTTTTCGTTCGTGGCGCCCATCTGCAAAAAAACATTTAAATATTCAACAAAAAAGCACATGAGGCAAAAATTATTAGCAAAAACTAGAACCATTAATTGATTCACCGCTCAGCATCGTTACCTTTTCAAACGATTTTGAAACAGAATTAAAAAAAAAAAACTTTTTTGACAAAACGGTGGACAGATTTCGAGAATATTATAGGGGCACCGCACAGAAATGGCGCTCTAATGAGAAACTCTTTTTGCAGTGCAAATTGAGCGACCTCGGGGCCGAGTTTGAAAAGTTAGGCCACATTTTCAGTGGAAAATTACTTCGTGGCCTAGAAATTCGGCCAGATTGCGAACAGCGCGCCCTTTCTGTCCGGTGCCCCTATAATAGCTACTATATAATCTGTGCTTTTGGGCTTGATATAATTAAAGAAAATGTTTGAAACACTAAAAAAGGATACCTCGATGGCTTTAGTGGCCGCTTCGACCGCTTCCGTCCATTTGTTTTGTTTGATGAGCGCGGCGGCCGAGTTGGAGAAAAGAATCGATTGGATTTCAGAAGACGTGGGCGGGCACTCGCTGATTGCTTCCTGCAAAACTTATTTTTTAGTTATTTTCAAGGCTGGGCAAGTTTCGGCCCTGGACTTTTGAACCACTTGCAATATTCTGATCGGACCCAAACTTTGCAGACTTCTTCGACTAGGATTGAAGTATTTTGGGTCCGAGTTTCAGCCCGAGATATACTGGTTTGAACAGGCCACGACAGGCCACGACAGGCTTTCAAAAAGTTTGCGCCTATGTTTTTTTCGCGTGTCGCTTGTCGCGGACCGGATTTCAGTACTAGAGTTTCAATTATGTGCCTACCGTATACTTTTCGTTCGCCTTTTCAAATTCTCCCTTCCCGAAAAGCGCATTTCCCTCTTTTTTCAAGGTTTCCACTTTTTCCAACTGCGTTTGTTCGCCTTCGACAATCTCTTTCACTATCGCCATTTCACTAAACAATTTTCAATTTCAACAAAACAAGTTTCACGCACACGAAAAAGTATGAAAACTGATAAAATCAACACTTTGAACGTTCAAGTAAAGTGAACAATTGTTAAATTTTAATTCAAACAACTAGACAAATTGCATCGGAACTACAACAATAAATGACGGAAAAAACAGGAAGGAATAAGTGAACAAAAATCTATGGATAAACTTTAAAAAATCGGAGAGAAACACGTATAAATCATTGGAAAAGATGCTCGTAGAGTTGATCGTAGTGGGCGACGAATCGAATGTCCAACTCGGTTTTCATGAAATCCGGAAGATCGTCAAAGTCGCGCTGATTCTCCATTGGCAGAAAGACTCGCTTGGCGCCCACACGACGCGCCTGAAATTGAACGTAAGAAACATTTTTAATTATCAATAACTTTTGCTTTTGCTTTTGATTACCCGGACGCAACTATTTCACACTGATTGATTTCTAAAGAAGAATTATTGTCCTTTTGTTAGTGTGCTTGTTCCGGAAATGTCATTCTAGACATGTCTTGAAGGAACGCTAGTTTTAGAGCTGTCCGCATCACGAAAAAAGCCTCCGTACCTGTCTTTTTTGAACTAATTAGCGCATTTGAAAGAGGTTACGAGTCTGAATTGAAGAGCTAGTAATCAAAAACAGTTTAACAACCCTTTGATCTGCTCCTGTTGATTTTCATCCAAATTCAATTCCTAATGTACGTTCTGCACCGTCTTTACTGCGTCCAGGTAATTAAAAGCCTCTTTTTCTTACTCATGGAAAAATGTTTAAAAAAAAGAGGCTCACCGCAATGATTTTCTCGCGGATTCCTCCGACGGGCAGCACTTTTCCGGTCAGCGAGATCTCTCCGGTCATGGCCATATCCTGCACAACGGGCCGGTTGAGTGCGAGCGAGAGGAGCGAGGAGACGAGAGTCACTCCCGCCGACGGACCGTCCTTCGGCGTCGCGCCCTGTTAAACCAAAGCATGTTATGTTCACTAAGGCAATTCGAAATTATAGCTACAGACAAAGGGGACTGGAAATTGCGGACTCTTCACAAAAACCTTACATTCACCTCTAACCTAACTCATTTTGAAGAACAGAACACAATTGAACTATTATGAGGTCGCTGTGTTTCGATTTCTGGGGATACATTGAAAAAACTGCTAATCGCTATGTTGTTAGAATCAGAGTTTTCCTAAATAATTTCCCCTAGAATTGCATCTTTCATCGTTAGGCCAGAATCAGAAACATCAGCTATAAATGCTCTGACGTCGAATTTCGGACGTTTCCTCACCTCTGGCACGTGGATGTGAATGTGTGCCTTCTCGAAGAACTTGTTCTCCGGCTCCTGCTTCGCCAGAATCCCTTTGGCGACCGTGAGGGCGGTCCGCACGCTCTCCTTCATCACGTCTCCCAGATTTCCCGTCGTTTCGATCGATCCGTCCTTGTCGGATGTCACGTCGACCGGCCGCTTCAGCACCGTTTCGATGTAGAGCGCCGAGCCGCCCATCGCCGTCCACGCAAGACCCATTATCACCTGCAATTCACGCATTAAAAAACAATGCTTTACACAGTTTCGATTGATGACCCGCTCGAAAAAATAACAATGTTTTCCAAAAACTGAAAAACGTTTTTCAATCGTTTTCGAAACAGTAACAATAAGAAAGACACTCACTCCGGGAGGCGTCGTTTCGTACATTCGATCCGAAGTGAATTTGGGTCTTCCCACGAACTTCTGCAAGTTTTCGGTGCTCACGACGATCGGATCGGCCACTTTTCGGTGTGATTCCGTCGGTTCGGAAGTCGTGGCCACTGGATCCGAATTCTCCGAAATGGCCGAAGACGCCTTCTGCGCCGGCTCCTCGTCGTCCGATTGCTGCTCGGCGATTTTGAGGGCCGCTTTTCGGAAAATCTGAACAAAAACACATTAGTTTTGCAAGGGATCGAGAGGTCCCGAAACCACAGGTAACCGACCCAGGAACCACTTTTCAATCAAGAGGGCGCCCTCTCTCACCCGCCAAGCCTTCCTCGGGCACGGACTTTGCCCCCTTTCACCGTTCTTTCTCATCCCCTACAATCTGATCACATTTCAGAGCGCCTCCGACTTCCGGATTCGCGTGATCTCCTGCCGGCCGGCTCCGCCTCATCCCCGAACTCATCACGTCACTCGCCGACAGCGCCCACCGTTTCCCCTGATCGAAGCGACGACTACAAGCACAGGCTTCAACGGGAATTGAAACAGTACCCTCTCGATGTGCTGCTGCAGATTTCTGACTCCAGACTCGCGACAGTAGTGCTTGATGAGCTCCTCCAGTGCGGAATCCTCAATTTTCAGCTGTTCGTTCGACATAGATCTGAACTTTTCACTTTGTAGCATATTCTTCCGATAATTTCGGTTACTTACGTTTCCTTTCTCATCTGAGGAATGAGATGCTGATGGGCAATGTCGACCTTCTCCTCGGCCAGATATCCGCTCACATCGATCATTTCCATTCGGTCCCTCAGCGGTCCCGGAATCCGCGAAATCTCGTTCGCCGTGCAGATGAACAGCACTCTGCAACTTTTTTTTTTAAATAAAAGTTCAACAAAAACAGGCTCTTTAATTTAAGCTGGGCCGGGCAAAAGGGCTGTAATTTCGGACCACTTGCAAAAATCGGATCGGACCCAAACTTTGCAGGTTTCTCAATCTTGGATTGAAGTCTTTTGTGTCCAAGTTTCAGACCGATCGGATTATCTGATCCCGAGATATGTAGAACCGAACTACTCAAATCTCACCTGGACAAATCGACGGGCACGTCGAGGAAGTGGTCGTTGAAGTTGGCGTTCTGCTCCGGATCCAACAGTTCGAGGAGTGCGGAGGCGGGGTCTCCGTGGAATCCGGCTCCTCCGATCTTGTCGACCTCGTCGATGAGCACGAGCGGGTTCTCCGTTTTCACCTTCTTCATGCACTGTATCATCTTGCCCGGCATCGCGCCCACGTAAGTCCGGCGGTGTCCTTTGATCTCCGCCACGTCAGTCATTCCGCCCACCGAGAAACGGAAGTACTGCAAAATTATCACATCAAGGAACGTTTTCTAGATTTCGAAGGATTTTTTGAGGCCTGGACTTTTAATGCCCTTGCAATTATCTAATTGATCCCAAAATTTGCAGGCTTCTTGGACTTGGATTGAAGTAGATTGGGTTCGGATTATGATCCACATTTCTCGGGACCGGATAATCGGATCGGTCTGAAACTTGGACCCAATATACTCCAATTCAAGTACAAGAAGCCTGCACATTTTGGGCTCGATCGGATCATTGCAAATGGGCCAAAAGTGCCGAACCCTGCACTAAATCAATATAGAAAATTGCTTTAAAAAATGGTTTTTGTAAGAAAGCGTACCTCGCGATTGAGTGCGGCGGCGATCGATTTGGCGATGGAGGTCTTTCCGACTCCGGGCGGTCCGTGGAAGCAGAGAATCTTTCCGCCCACGCTCTTTCGCAAAATGTTGACCGCGATGAACTCCATGATGCGCTCTTTCACGTCCTTCATTCCGTAGTGCCCTTCGTCCAGCGCCTTTTTCGCCGTCGCCAAATTTCGGTTTTCCGGAGACGTTAGACCCCACGGAACTGATGTCAGCCATTCGAGGTAGTTCCTGCAAATGACGGAAATTGTTGAAGAGGTTGGAAGTTTGAGCGGAAAACGGAGAATGTGAAGGAAGGCAGAGAAGAGAGAAGACGGGATTAAAATGTTTTAATTTATTAGATTGCTCAATTCGTTATTTGACTAGTCACAAAAAATAAATTACATGGGAACAATGAGTAGAATAATTACAATGAGATCGAAGAACTAGAAGGGCAAACTTTTAAAATCGTGTGATCACTTGCTGGGTGTGCCCTTCTAATACAGTATTTACGGTGAATTGGTTACAATTGAAATTAATAGTAATAGTTTAGAGAAGACATGATAAGATTCTTAAAGTGTGGGGCGAGATGATGGGGATTATGGGCGGCGAATAGAACGAGACGGAGTGTGGCGACAGCGTCCTCACGGGAACAATGACCGGCAGAAGAGTCCTGGATGGTGTAGCCGAGGTGGATCTTCGTGAGATGGCGAAGCGATGGTCGACGTCCGTTGTTGGTGAACAGCACCGAAGTGTCGATCACCTTGTCGTGGACGATTCCCAGTGCCTTGAGGTCGCCATTCAGTCCATGTCCGACCAAAATCGAATCCTCGTTGATGTGGTCGAAGAGCCGCTCCCGAATCGATTCCACTGACTCCGTCGCATATGCCAATTCCTCGATCGTCAATCCCGAAAATCGGGTGACTGGGTCGTAGATCGGATCCTTCGGCTTGACGAGTGCATCTACGAGCGGCGCACCGTGCTGATCGACCATCGTGACACGTCCTACAGCTTGGCCTCTCGAAGTGTAGACCATTTCGACGTCGATGGCGAAGAATTGTCCGGACATGTACCGATTGTAGTTGTTGGACTTGGGAGCACGTCGGAATCCTTTCAGCTTCTCCGTGGACGATTGGTCCGTGATGTGGAACGGGTACTGGCCGTTGTCGTCGAAGCAGATAGGTCCATGGGCAAGTGGCTGGGTGCCGTCCGGAAGAACTGAGAAGTCCTGGAGACAACGAATGCAGACCCGCGAGCAGTTGGACGGCATCACGAACATCTCCCGGTTTTGCTGGAACTCCGTGGCCGCGATGTGGATGTTGTTGAAGAGAAGCACCGGGTAGCCATTGTCCAGCATTTGCCTCTTGTCCAGCACGAACTTGGAGAGCAAGTACGCTTTTTGGTGCAGCGTCTGGAGGGTCATCTGACGGGCGACCTCATGGAGCTGCGCCTCGGAGACCATGCCTTGCGAGTGATAGGCACAGGTCGAGGTCATTGGAGCCATTTTCGATTGGATAGTTCGGTACGGCGAACGTATTTATACATATCCGTTAGGCTCCGCCCTTTTTTCTCACACAAACAAGGTATACTGGTTCCGTTCGTGAGCCGTTAGAACTCTGCCGACGCAGTTTGCCCCCGGAAAGATTGTAAAATTAGCAGCGAGAATATCTCCGCTTCGGATTATTTTACGATGTTTTAGGCACACATTGCACAATAACGAGGGGGGCGGAGATGGATCTGGGAAGAATGTGGAATGACATATCCGGGTAGCTAGACTTGTTTTAATAAAATTTTAAAAAATCAATTTAATAGTAATAAGGAACAAAACAAAGCGAATCAGAGTCACTCAAAAGTCACTGAAAAAGCAGAGTCACTGAAATTTTTTAAATGTTCTGAAACAGAAAATAATGAAAAATAGCTAGGAGTTGATGGATTTGTAATAATGCTCACCTCGTCACACTGAATTCACTGGAATGCGGATCCAAAAATTGCAATTTCGTCTTTTCCTCGTTGATCACTTTCAAAGCGTATTCGGGCACCTGAAAATGGGAGAACTGTTTCCAAAGAATTCCACAAAACTGCGTCAAACCTGCAACGTCTTCATTCGCTCGTCAATCTTCTCGATAATCGTCGTTTTCTCGTCCTTCTCGATGCCCAACTCTTTTTTGATCACTTTCAGCTGCTCATTGAGCAGATACTTCCGATGGTGGTCCTGCACTTTCTTCTCCACGTCCTTATTGATGTCGTGCTTCAGTTTCGCCACCGCTTTCTCTTTTTGAATCAGCAAAAGGGCGATTTTGAGGCGGTTTCCGACCTGAAACACTTTTGTTTATCACTAAGAAATCTCTAATTAGGAGAGTAATGGGGCTATTCAGCGTATGTTTGTTTTCCGTTTTTTTTTCGTTTTTTTACATCGCTGGATTGGATTTTTTGACGTAAAAAAACGAGAAAAAAAAGGAAAAAAATCATTTTTTCACAACCTTAATAACCCCATAACGTACTATTCAATTTTTTTTAAATCCAACTTCTTTGGAACAGCAAAAACATAGTACTTTTTGAAAGAAAAGTGAAAAATATATTCAAATCAATGTTTTCAGTCGAACCTCGCACTCGTCCATCATCTCCTGAAGATCCTTCGTCTCGGCTGACTGGACGAGAGTGGCAACCAAATCGCACAAATACACCGGATTATCAATTACATTCTGGGACGGATGCAGCAGTAAATTGATCTGTTGGCCGAACAACTGATTGAATTGCACCACGTCTCTGCAACAAATTTGCAAAAAAAATAGTACAAATCGTCATTTGTCTGAAAAAAGGCGCGCATTTTGTCTTTTTTGCTCACCTGATCGTCTGCACAATCGCCTGCATCGTCGCTTTCGTCTCGTTCGTTTTCGGCACCGGCTCCGCACTCACATTTTCAGTGCGTACCTGAAATTCATTTTTAGCATTTCGCCAGACTTTTATACTTGTTTTGTCCGGTCCGTCTTTGCGTGTGTGCCGCCCTCAACGGACGTACAAAACGACAGACGCCTCTTGTGAAAACCGACCATGATGATGCCCTTTCTCTCCTGCTGCTTCTCCGTCGATTTCTCGTCGGCCGCTGCTTCTGCTGATGACGTGGCATCCGGAGAAGGGGGCGGAGTCGGCGGCAGAACCGCCGATGCTCTTTTCCCGCGTGCTCGGCGCCCATTCAGTGCACTTTCAGACTTTGGCGCCGGCGGCGGAGGAGGCGGCAGTGACTCTTCTATCGGTTCCAGCACTCGGATTCTGCAAAAATTCTGTGAATTTTCAGTTTCAAAAGTTTTCAAGAGTAAAAAGTTCAATAGTTTCAAGATTCTCTGTGTTATCGCTCTGTAATAAAACACTATTTTAACTGGAAAAGTGTGAAAATGAGTGTTTTTTGTTCCAGTTTCAACATAGTTTTACAAGAGTCTACAACGTATATTTGTCGATAATTATCGCTATTTTATGAATACCTGCGATGAGCACTGAGCACCAACTCGAGCACACTTCCCTGATCGCGAACTTCGATGATTTGGACGAAAGAGCCGGTCGGATAGACCTCCGACAGCGACGAGACCGTCTCTTCCTTGTTTCTGAACACACATTTAATTGCTTTTTATTAGCATACTTGCAGAAATTTCAAAATGGTTTCAGGGTTGTTCAGTTTTTTCCAGAGGACGGCGTTGAAAATTTTAAAGCGATTTTGAATGTTTGATAGTTTAGTATGCTGCTACCTTGGATTATGTGACTATGTTCCCACCAACGCTAAGCAAAGGGCCGGCCCAGACTTTAAAAAATTTTCGACTTTTGACCTACTTGCAAGGATCCGATCGGGCCCATACTTTGCAGGCTTCTTGGACTTGGATTCAAGTATTTCGGATCCGAGTTTCAGCCCGATCCGATCATCTGACCCCGAGATATGTGGAACAGAGGATTAAAAGGCCGCTCATTCAAGGTACCAACATACTTGACTGCATTGCCTCAAACAGATCTTTTGGGCGTTTTACTACCGTATACATAGGTACCGCAACGGGTTTCGCAAAACTCAGAATTTCCATAAAATTTTTGTTGGAATGTGTTCCCCTACTCTATATGAGTACACTCCCAATTTTTTTTTCAAAAATTTTCGGTACATCCCGAGTTACACCCCTTCAAAGTTGCCCTGTTTTCTCCTCGGTCGGCGGCCCAGGAGGTGGCGGAGTCTCGCTGGCAGGCGATTCGTGTCGCTGTTTGGTGGAAGACACCAAAGAGGCAACATATTAAGTGAACAGAATTGATGTTTTAAGAAATCAAAACAACTTTCGAGATCAAAAGTTTTGAACCCGACACCTCCAGACTGCCGAGTGAGCACTCTGCCACTGCGCCAACCGGGCGGAGGCGCGGCGAACGCCAATGGCAATGAGAAGCTCGGTGTTCGCCATTCATTTTTGATGCGACTTTTGCGGAATTTCAGCGCAAAAATGTGAAAATTTGAAGATGTTTGCCGGGCTGAAATTTTGAATAAATAGATGGATTTTGTAGAGAATTTCACGCTGAATCCGATTCCGTGGAGAAAAGCCGCGTGTTGGCTGTTTCTCACCTTCAAATTATCGAAAAACAAGAAATTCGGCCGAATGGGGCCTACTCAATCGAACACAAAAATGCTCCTAGGGGGTCTAGAGCTCTGAAATTTTATATTTGGCTTCTGAGAGAGTTTATCTATGCATTCCAAACATAAAAAAGTGGGGTCATCGCTGAAAATTTTTCGCTAACTTTTTTGGCACTTTGACGGTCTGAAAAACAATGTTTGCCGGAACGAAATTTGAATTTTATTTCAAAAACGGATTCCCCATCCCTTAAACTGTCAGAATCACTTCTCAGAAGCCGCGTGTTGCACAAACTCCGGCCACAGTGGCTCTCAGACTAACTTCCATTTTCGTTTTCTCCTTTTTTTGAGAAAACTGTGCGTTTTCATGGAAAACGGAGCTGTTCATTTGATTCAGTATGGCCGATTACATAAAGTAAAACATTTTGAATATAGCACTTGGTTTGGGGACCTCGGTACAGGCCCTCAAACATGCGCGGCGCGACCGGGGAGAAAATTCGGCAGGCAACGCCCCCTTTGTTGCGCCCCCTACGTATACAAACATTTTCGACTCTTAATACCTTTACGGGATTGTGAACCAGACTAAAATCATTATTTTGAAACATGAAAAACCGCGCGATACTGTCTCGGACAACTCGTCGTAATACTTGCGAAAACTTTGAAACCGTACATCTACATTCTTCATTTCGAATAAGAAACGTACTCGTCGTCTCTTTTCACAAAAACTCCGGCGTACGGTTGTTTCAGCTGAAGTTGGCGGCGAATGAGAGCCTTCAAATTGTCGTCTTTCACAATCTGCAACAAAAACACAAAATTTTCGAAGAAGCGATCGCGATTTTCCACACAATTTCTAAAACACGCTCACATCGACTTTTTTGATAAATCCGGGAAAGAGCGGATATCGATTGATTGCCAGAATCGGCACGTTCGGCATGTCTGCGGGCACGTGGATCGGAGACATTCCGCCCTGCAAAGAGTCGATAAATAAGGCATTTTATGCGAGATACTTACCAAATCCTTATAAAGTTCCAGCGATTCCTCCACCGCAAGCGACTCATCGTAATCTTTGTCTTTTCTAAAAACATTTCGGTTTCGCGAAAATAACAAGTTAAAAAAAATCTTTATTCGTTCAATTGTCTGTCTAGCATGTCTTCGCGAAAGGCACGTACCCACTGGAATAAAACCTCTTCTGTCCGGCCAGACCTCGTTCGATCGTTCTGTTTTGGATTCCGACGATCAAACGGGCACTGCAAGTGGAGAAATGGACGTGCGGAACGGAGGCGGAAGAAAGTGTCCGCGCCCGCGGAAGACCTCCGCGGAGCACACGTGCTCCCAAGCGGTACATTTCTGTTGCTGCTGAGAAAAAAAACACATTAAGAGTGCAGTTGTTACGGGTCAATCTTTAAAAAAACATATGCCGTTTAAAAATGCATCAAATTTCTCAAACACGAAACGAAAAATCACCATGGCCCGTTTAAAAAATAATTAGTTTTTACAATTTCGTATATATTTATTTGTTTCATGTTTCAATTTTTCAGGTAAATGACAAATTCGCTTAAAAACGTCGTCAATAAAAAGTGCACAAAATTCAGAAAATCCTCATTTTTTTAAATTTTTCTGCCGAGAAACCACTTTATTATCGTCAAACCATCACAATTTCTTGAATAGAGAAAAACCAATTAAATCGAATAAATTAATGCGGAGATTCGCATTTTCAAATGCTTGAAATGGTAAAAATACAGAAATTATTTCGTCTTTTTCGTCTCCTTCGCTTCGTCCTTTTTCTTGTTCTTCTCCTTCTTTCCCTCTTCCTCCACTTGCACCGGTTGCCACTGAAAAATAGGGAAATTCTGATGAAATATGCGAAAAGCCGTACCACGACGGGGTGTTTTCTGAAGAGGAACGGCCACGGCGGCAGAATGATGAGTGCGGTAAACGCGGAGGCGCCCATCACTGTGAAAATGGCGTAGGAGAGCTGCTGCGTCCACCAGCCGACCACGAATCCCACGATTCCGGCTAGCGTCAGAATCACCTGCAATATTCACTATTTCGCTGTTTCAACTTGAATACTCTTGCAAACGTTTCACATTCACAATATTGATGTAAATGAATTCTTTCCGACACGAAATGTTCTATTTTTTCTCCTAAAATCGGCATTATTCAATGAACACTTTGAGAACCCTTCAATTTTTTGCTCTTTGAAACGAATCCAGCCTTTTTTTCATAGAAATGCTCTTGTTCTTGCAATTTCAGCTCTAACAAGCGCATCTTTCGCATCTTCACACCAAAAATCAATTTTCGGCACATTGTCCTTGATTTTTCCAGATTTTCACTCATTTTCCCTACCTGATAGGTGCGTTCGGCGACTTTTTGTCCCTGGAAATCGATATGGGTGGAGAGGGCCTGCAAAGGCGCCGGCAGCATTGCGATCATTCCGTCCATCGCTACTGAAACACCCAAAAATCGATAATTTTTACAGAAAATGATAAAATCTTGATAAAATGAGTGGTTTCAGAGATCTTCTAATACAAAAGCATGCTAAAACCTGACAGAAAACTGCCAGCATGGTTGAAAACGTGATGACGTAAAAATAAACGGGGGATTCTCAATGGAGCGCACTTACATACTGGCTTGGGAGTATTTCGGGCAGGAAACCCAAGAACGGATAAAAAATACAAAAATACACATTTTACTAGACAAAAACGAGGCTAACAATAAAAAAATCAATAAGATCGGACTTTCGGCGGCACCCAGTCCGTCTCCGTCTTGTCGAGCGTCTTGTCGATAACAGGACGATAGGTCAGCTCGACGGCGCCCGTTTTCGTGTCGATTCCGATGATCGAGTGCTTTCTCCAGTGTTCCGCGAACGTCTTCTTCGTCTGTCCGTCCAGCGGCCGGCTGTAGTCGTACTCGTCGATTCTCTGCTGGAAATCGTCCCTCGCGTGCGCGCCTCTCGACTCCGTCCGGTTCTCCGCCGCCACAATCGTCTGATTCGCGTTGATCAGCAAATTCTGGAGCTCCAGCGTCTCGACGAGTTCCGAATTCCAGACTTTTCCCGAGTCGGCGCACGCTTTCATGTTCGCCTGCTCTTTGTACAGCGCCGACATTTTTTTGACTCCTTCCTACAAAAAATCAGATTTTCTAAATTTTTCGAACAAAAGTATGTGAACATTTGAAGAAAACATGCAAAAATCAAAGAAGATTTTATAGAATCCATATTTTTGAGACCGTACCTTCAACAAATCGTCCCTTCTGAATACGGCGGCGTGCTTCTGCATCGTCTGCTGCATTTTTAGTCTCAGCTCGATCGCAGGAATGTCTCCTTTCGAGTGAAGCAGTCCGTTCAGATTGTCACGCGATTTTTCCTCACAGTTGGACGGAAGTTCCGGAATACTATCGCCCGCCTTGTTCTCCTTCAGAATACTGCAAAATCGAGTTTGAAATTTGTCGTTTTTGAGCTGTAAAGCCTAAAACCTACTTCAAAGCGCAGGATCTTCCGAAAATGACTAAATCGAGAAGCGAGTTGGCTCCGAGACGGTTTGCTCCGTGCACAGAGTGAGCCGCGCATTCTCCGGCGGCGTACAGTCCCGGAACCACTTGATCTCCTCCCTCAGGCGTGTAGTTGAGCACCTGGCCCTTGTAGTTGGTCGGCACTCCACCCATATTGTAGTGGACCGTCGGGATGACCGGAATCGGCTCCTTCGTCACGTCGACGCCCGCAAAGATCTGCGCCGTTTCCGAGATTCCGGGCAGTCTCTGCTGCAGTTGTTCGGCGGGAAGGTGGTGCAATTGCAGGTAGATGTGGTCCTTCTCCGGTCCCACCCCTCTTCCCTCGATGATTTCCATCGTCATAGCCCGGGAAACGACGTCGCGTGAGGCGAGATCCTTCGCCACCGGCGCGTATCTCTCCATGAATCGTTCGCCCTGCGAGTTGACCAGATAGCCGCCCTCTCCGCGCGATCCCTCCGTGATCAGGCAGCCGACTCCGTAGATTCCGGTCGGATGGAACTGCACGAATTCCATGTCCGAGTTGCGGATTCCGGCGCGCGCGGTCAGGGCGGTGCCGTCTCCGGTGCACGTGTGGGCGGACGTGCACGAGAAGTAGGCACGGCCGTATCCGCCCGTCGCCAGGACCGTATTCTTTGCGCGGAAACGGTGGATTTGACCCGTCTCGATGTCGAGCGCGATCACTCCGATGCATTTTCCCTGCAATTTTGAAAATTAAATTTCAGAGCAATCTGTGTTCACTGCCGTTCACAGCGTTGGGGAGACACAACCAGGCCCCAATATACCGGCCCGAAATCTTGCAAGTCTGGGGAGACAGGCAGGGGTGGGAAAAGAGAAAAAAGGACGTTCTGGCCAAGGTCTCTGAATGAACGGAAACGACGTCGCGTCGTTCATAAGATTGGTGTCAAATAAAAACAAGTTGTATTCTTTTCGCGGTCCAAAACCCCGGAGATCACAAATAATTATTCGGATCTACCTCTGTTTTGACCGACACTCCGTTTATGCCCCAATCTTTCTGCCAGGACCATTCTTTCTTTTTCTTCTTCTGTCCACTGTCTTCTCAAAGGCCAATCGCAGCGCACACACTCACATTATGTTCAATCGCTGCGAGACCCGCTGTTAGTTTTGATCTACCGCAAATAGCGCTATACAATTGGTTTGCAGTTGCTAAACTGCAAATTTCGCAAATAATTCCAGCACTCACAAACCTTGTCCATGATCAAATCCAACGCGAAATACTCGACGAAATAGTTGCAATCGTACTGGAGGGACGCTCCGTAGAGGGTGTGCAGGAGGGAGTGTCCCGTCCGATCGGCCACGCAGCACGTCCGATGCGCCTGACCGCCACGACCGAAATCGTTGGATTGACCGCCGAACGCACGCTGGTAGATCTTTCCGTCGGTCGTACGCGAGAATGGCATACCTTTAAACAATTTTTGAATAATTTCAAAATGTATCAGTTTAGAACATCATTTTCCGCTCAAATCGGCGGCTTACCGTAATTTTCGAGCTCGATAATCGCTCTTTCGGCCTCGCGCGTCATGTAATGGATCGCATCCTGGTCTCCGAGCCAATCGGACCCTTTGACGGTGTCGTAGAAGTGCCAGCGCCAATTATCGGCCGCCATGTTGCCGAGAGCGGCGTTTACACCTAAAAATGTAACATTTTGAGAAGTTGCTTGTAGAAATGAATGTTCCAACCAGAATTTCGCAAAAATACAAACAAGAAGCAGTAAAATGTCTAGTAAAGGCAAAAAATTGGGGATGTAAATTATTCGCATCATATTCCGGACCTCCTTGAGCAGCGACAGTATGCGATCGCGTCGGAAAGAGTTTTGTGATGACGGCGGTCTTCATTCCGCCTTCCGAAAGTCCCATTGCGGCGCGAAGACCTGCTCCGCCGGCTCCGACGACCACGGCATCGAAAGTGTGATCGATGACGTCGAAATTGGTGGTCGCCGACACTTGTTTTCTGCAATTTTTGAATTTTCCTCGAAAAATCTATAGTTTTTTGACGAAAAACATCCCAAAACTTGCGTTTTTTTTTACTCACTTTACATAAGTACGAACCGAAGTTTTCGCATGCTTGAACGATTTGGCGACGTTCAGCATTGTGCTGAAAATCTCAAAAACCTTAAATTTTAGCTGAAAATGCGAAACTTCCGAAAAAATAAGCGAGATTTGGATGAAAACGAGTCATTTTCAATGCGCGGCCGCTGGCTACCGTAATTTTGTTTTCTTCGTTTCGAGACCTGACGCTTGACATCTTGGCTTGCGCCTTTAAAATTAACCGACTTCGCATAATAGAACTGCGCAGAATAGAACCGCGATACAATATAACTGTTTGGAGCGCCTTTTAAACCTTTCTGTAGAATAATTGTTTCGTAGAAAAAAATAAAGGAATCCAATTTTCTAGGTTTAAACTGTGGTCTTCTGCTTAATTGTTCGAGAGACGAAAAATTTTGCGAAAGTTATTTGAAAGGAACGGACCAAATGCTCATATAAATACACAAAAACAGTTCTATTGTGTCGCGGTTCTATTATGTTGGACCGCCGACTTCGCCCTAACATCTGTCAAATTTTCGCATTTTTCCTTAGTTGCGGGATGCTTGAGAAACACCAAAACAGTTTTCCGACTTATGGTTATAAAACCCATTCTCTGTAAGACTCGAGCATGGTCCTAGTGGAGGTGGACATAGAGCCGGTAGAGCAGGTAGAGCTTATAAATTTTATGGGCATGTATATGGGGACTAGTGTGCACCATCTCTGGTAAATGATTCTTTGTCTGACCAGAAGATTTCCGAATCTGATCCGAAAGAAAGCGACCTCCTGACCTGGCCAGACCAGACGCAGAGAACTCTCGGATCAGACTCGGAAATCCCCCTGATCAGACTCGGAAATCGTCTGGTCAGACTCGAATGCGGAAGCGGAGCGTCGTATCGCGCCTTGTTTAGCAGTTTGTGAATTTAACTAGAATTTCGCAAAAATTAAAGCTTTATTGATAGAACCAGTAAAACAAAAACAACCGAGAGGGTGGACACGTGATTTGGGAATACCTAGAATACAAATACAACAACAAAAACAACGACAAATGCGTTTTTTTCACTTTTTCCACTCTTATGTTATCCTTCTGTTTTTTTCAACTGTTTTGAATCTTTCAATTGATTCAGAAGAAACTGGGAACGCGTGAACAGTGAAATATCGTGGAAAAAATTGGCAAAAAAGTCACCAAAAATGCTCTTTTGGCAGTTGCAGTCTTTGGAAGGGTAACAGAGTGTAAAAAAGTAAAACTTGCAATGAACGTACTTAGAATCTTACTCAGTAGGTGCCGCAGATTTTTGGCCGTCATTTGCTCCATTATTTGCCGCTTCTGGAAGATTCTTCATGTCGGCACGTGCTTGGTCGCTGTAAGAGAGATTTTCGATTTAAAAGTAGGAAATTGATAATGTTCTCACCATAAACTCCACGCACAGTTCTATTCTGGGTCAGTTCCATTCCGGGCACTTCCATCATGGGGTGCTCCCGGTGATTCAATTTTTTGACAATATCAATGTACGAGTCTCACGTTCAGTAGTTTCATTAAACTGTTTCTGCTGAGTGCCTTGAGAGACACAATACGGACATGCCGCCTTTGACGAATGGCCCTTCATCGCATATACTTTTCGGCGTGCCTGAAACGAAGTGTGAAACAATATGATCTGACCAGAGAGCTTCTTACGGGGTCGTCATGAATGCCAGTTATGATAGTGGCGCTGTACGTCCAGTTTTTCCAAAATATGCTCTGTTGCAATTCATTTTGTGCCCATTTCATGAATCGGTCGTGAATTTTCCAATTCGGATCGACTGGAGAAATGTAGATTGCTGCGACTGTCACAGCTCGAATAGATGATCTTGATTTGTCTGGAAGATCCAACGGGAGCAGTGTTAGTGGCCACACCTTCCTCCTGAAACATTAATATTTAAAGAAAAGAAGCATTGGCAAGCTTACTTAGTGTTTTTAATAGATATCCCATCAAAACCAGTGATGAGATGAATTCGCGTCGATGATTGATCCTCGGAGAGAAGAATTTGGCGGAGCCGCAAACATGACATTGGTGACGATGAAACACTTCCGTTTCGAATTTGTTCGTGAGCATAACGAATTTCATCTCCATACGTCTTGATCATAGTTGTCATTCTTTGCTCCAAATCGGCGAAAACCAGTTCTGCGGATGGGGCGGAATTTGAGCATGAACACCTAAATATTTATTATGTAAATTTCGAATTGAACACGTTCGTCTTACTTGTCAACATCTTCCGCGCAAGCACTGCACACTTTGATCTGTAACAATTTTGGGCCGTCGGAGATTATTCGGCGAAGTTCTGCTTCATTTTTGATGGTTTCGAGATCAAAATATTTGTCCATGGCTGGAAGAATTCTACATTGCAATAAAAAATTCTTGATTTTTCAATCGAACGAACCAGATTTCGATTGTGTCGTTGATACAAGAAAATAAATCCTCAAAACATCTTGATCACTGAGATTTGCCCACTGCGAATTCTCTCCGTTGCTCTGCGATGGAATCAATCCAAGCGTGTTCGATAAATCATCAAACCCTTAAATGTTGACATTAATTCTGACGAAGTAATTGATTTTTGTGTTGATTTTGAAATTTAGAAGAAAACATACCATCCTCCGGCAAAACTTCGGCCATTATTCCTTGCGGATCTTCTTTTTCTCTTCTTCCCTCGTGATGTGTTCTATTATTTCTTGCGATTTCCGGTTCTTTCTCGCGTAATCCATTATTTCCCTCGTTGTCAATCGTTTTCGTTTTCGAGCCGTTCTCTGAAGTCGATCGCTCATCGGGTACTGAAAAGAACTCATATTTTCGCGAATACATATTATTCTGTTCAAAATTTGTATGAAATCAGTAAAAATAACGTTTAAAGTTAAAAATAATGTTAAAAACATGTTTTTTCAAGAATTTGAAGATGCACAAGAAATGCGCCAGCACGCGAAACGCGCCAGTAGTGCAAATTTCCAAATCTGATCAGATTCGGACCAGATTCCGAATTCACCTGGTCAGACGCGGAACTCGGATCAGATTCGGAAATCTTCTGGTCAGACAAAGAACGATTTACCAGAGATATGCACAATATTGGGTCCCAGCTCCGCGCTACGGTAGTACGGTAGGTGCTCAAAGGTGCACAACTCGATTTTTTTCAAAAAAATCGTGGAACGCTAAAACTTTTTTTGGGATGTGTACGTCTTTAGAGTATTTCCCTGTCAAATTTCTCAAGTCTAAAAATTTTTTATTCGTGCGTTATGATGGAAAATCATCATTTTTTAGTACTTTTTCTTAAAAAACGAAAAATAACGGGGTTTAGCAGGTCATTGGGACACTAACGATCAACTACAAAAATATGCACCGGTTAATAACTATACGGAAATCAAAAAAAAATTGAAATAAATAATTTAAACAAAACCCAGCACTTTGTATCTGACATAAATTGTGTTCGGCATAATTGCGACTAGCTTGTGGAAAAAATGATTTTTACAATTTTAATATTTCATAATTATTTGCGGAGACACTTTTCAAATGTTCAATAGTACTTTTTCTGTCTTATTTCCACAAATGCAACACATCAGAATACTATTACAGCAACATAAATTGGTTTGACTGTCAAACTTGGTAAAATTACGTTCAGAATATCTGTCATAACAAGCTTCGGACAAGGTGAATTGACTCTGTCTTTTTTTTTGCCAAAAGCCACAATATTGGTGCATATTTTTGTAGTTGATCGTTAGTGCCCCAATGACCTGCTAAACCCCGTAATATTTTGTTTTTTAAGAAAAAGTACTAAAAAATAATGATTTTCCATCATAACGCACGAATAAAAAATTTTTAGACTTGAGAAATTTGACAGGGAAATACTCTAAAGATGTACACATCCCAAAAAAAGTTTTAGCGTTCCACGATTTTTTTGAAAAAATTCGAGTTGTGCACCTTTGAGCACCTACCGTACTACCGTAACGCGGAGCTGGGACCCAATATTGTGCATATGGTGCACACTAGTCCCCATATACATGCTAACGTGAAAATCTTTCCCTATGTCCCTCATTGCTCGAGTCTTACAGAGAATGGGTTATAAGACCCCCCTGTGGAAAAGGATAGGCACCTCCCACTCGCCTGTCTCAACTCGAAACACTAATGATTTTTTCTCCATAAAAGAGCAGGAAAAAAGTTTAAAAAAAAACAGAGTTCATTACATATTTTCGATTTATCCAAACGTACAACTCGCAAAAGACGAAAAAAGGGGCCATTTTCGAAAACTAATCCGCTAAAAATGGTGGTGATGTAGGGAAAAAGAACAGAAGTCTAGAAAAAGAAAATCGGGGGCGATTTCTGTGTAATATTCTACCAGAACCACTTGGAAATCGATTGCGGCAACCAATTGTCGTAGAATTTCGGACCGGCGTACTCCGAATGTTGGCGCCACGTGTGCTCACGGGCCTCCACGTTGCCCCACGAGTGGGCGAACACCTGAAACAACGATTTTAGATGCAGAACACGAAAAAACGTGGAAAAATCACCTCGGTGGCGGTCGGATCCCACCATTTGTCGCCGAGAGTGAAGTACACCGGCTCTCCGTACCAGGTTCCTGCAATTTTCCGATTCAAATTTGAATGTTTCCCTTTTTTGCTCACCTGTTTTCCATCCTGGCACGTCCTTCATAATCTCCTCCTCGAGAGCGCGGTTCTTGGCCATCAATTTGAGCCAACTGCAATTTTTCACCCATTTTCAGCTAAGTTTTCCGTTTTCCTTACTATCTGTCTCTCTCGGCAGTGAGGAACGGCTCCATGGCGTTGTTGACGTCGACGTCCTCAAACTTATCGGTGCTGAAAACGAAATTTTTGAGAAATTTTCGGTCATTTTTCACTTACATGACCCTCTTTTTGTAGTCCAACGCCGTGTAGACTCCGTAGGCGGTGGCTCCGAAAATCGCGGCGACCACGGTTCCCGCTGCAATTGTCGAGGTGAAAAGTGAATAATTTAAAGAAAATTGTGATTTTTCATGGTAAAATAAAACTTTTCTATGAATTCTAATTTCTTAAGTTCAGGTTTACTGCAAACAAATAATTTTGCCATGATTCCACAAAAAAATTCGCAGAAAACCCTTTTTCGTCGAAAATTAGCAGAAAGTGACGAGAAATTTGAGCTTGATTGTTATTATACATTTTTTCATACAAATTCAACTGTCGAAAACAACTCACGGCTCCAGACAAGTTTCGGGAAAGTGCGATGGAAGTTGAAGGCGCGATATCCTCCTTTCGGAGGCATATCCTGCCGGAACTCTGTCCCAGAGGCCATTTTACCTGAAAAATACAAACATTTTACTAAAGCGACGCTAAAATTGCGGTTTTTGGCTGAAAATCGGCTTAAAACAAGGTAAAAAGTGGAAACCGACTGAATGTGCGGCACGGAAAAGTGGGCGGAGTTAGGTTTGCAAGTCTGCCGCACACTTTTTCGCATGATTGCTTTTTGGCGGGCAATTCCATTTTTTGATTTTTCGAAGTCAATTCAGCGGTGTTTTCGATGATTTTTTTTCACTATTTTAAGCTCAAAAATTGAGGATTCTTTCAGAAATGGACTCGAAAACGAACGAAGCACTTCTGGAAGCGTACACACAAGAAATGGCGGCGAGAGCGATAAAAGACATTGAAAAATATCTGGAGGAGAACCCATTAGCGGGCACGGAGCTCGAAAAAGAGCAACTGCTCGAGAAGGTGCTACACGAAGAGCAACAGGCCGAGTACAAACGGAACATCGCCGAAAATTTGCTCGAAGAGCACGAACAACTCATAAAAAGTGAGATTCTTTCGTATTTTTTAAATGTGAAAATCCGAATTCAGAAGCCGTAAAAATGGAAAATGAGCTGAAAATGGTCGAATCGATCAAGGCGGAACGCGCGAAATTGCTCCAAATGAGAGCCGCCGAGCAGGAAGAAGTCCATGGGGTGAGCATTGTTCTGTTTTCTGAAATTTATGTCAATGTCTCCAATAATAAAATAATTTTTCAGAAATACCGTTCGATGGACGCGATGATTCGAATGAAACGAGAGACGGAAGAGCTGCGAGCGATGTGCAACACGGAAAAATAGGAGAAATACCATTTTCGACTAATTACTAATTTTTCCACGATCTTTCTCAATTCTCATGTAATGCTACGTTTTGTGTGATTTCCTCCGACTCTATCTGATGTCTTTTGCTTTATTTGTATTTATTGACGCACTACGATCCAAATTTCCAATTTCCAAACTTGTAACGGGACGGGCCGGCCCAAAACTGAACTTCTGCAGAAACTTTTATCACAAAAATGAGCCCCCAGACACTACAAGAAGCCTTGTGTAGTTTATTTATTTTACAAATTCGTGGTGGGAAAACGGAAGTATCTGTTTTGAAAGTACAAGAGGGCGAGAGAGTGTGTCGGGGAGCGGAGACACAGATGTTTGCGGACACGAAAAGCAAAGTGACCGAATCGGACGGTCACTCGCGGCAAACTGTGCTCCGTCCGAAGAGCCCACTTTATCATTTGGACGCGATGATTCCGAAATCCAGCTCTTTCGATGAAATTGCTAAAAGTTCTAGAGGCCGAATCAGAAGTGCGTTTTTATTATTCAATTTTTTTACAAAATTTCTGCAAAGTTCTTGTTAAAATGTGTTCCCCAATTCTATATGAGTACGCTCTCAATTTTTCAAACATTCAAAGTTGGCCCGTTTTCTCCCTTTATGTGGCTGTTTGGTGCATGAAACCAAAGAGGCAACACATGAAATTAACAGAAATGATGTTCAAAGAAGCAAAATAATTTTCGAGGTCAAAAGTTTCAAACCCGAGGCCTCATTGGCGACCGCCAATGACGTTGAAAAGCTCGGTGTGCGCGGCTCACTTGAAATTGATGTTTTTGCGCGCTGAAATCCCAAAATAACTGACTGTAACTTTTTTTCGGAAAACAAGTAAATGAAAACGTTTAACGTGTTTCTGTCAGAACTTTGATGCTGAAGGTTCCTGCGACCCTCAAATTCCCCGAAAACTGACTTCCACTTAAATGAACACAAAATGGCCTAATTCCAGGAACTCAAAGTGAAGAAGGCTCCGACATTTTCGACTATTCGGACAATGGAATCTCGCGCAGGTTTTCCCATTTTTAATCCATTTTTTTCGCCTAAAAATAATCCCCATTTGTTGGCTTATATCACCATAGAAACTGACACTTCCGACCGCCCGCATTTCTCATTTCCTCTCACATTTTCCCCTTATTTTTGGGCCATGTAAACTTTTCTATTTCGTTTTTGCTGATTTCATCGACCTACAGTGATGTAATCCGTTCGGAATTGTCTCTTTTTCAAAATTCCCCCACCAAAAAAAACTTCAACAACACTATGAATCATCGTTAGGCTAGAGTGTGTAAATAAACGTTTTCACCTCACTTCTATGCTGAAAATCATCATTTTCAGCGTTTCCTTTTCAAAAATGACGATTTTTCAGTGTTTCGCAATTCTCCGGAATTTTGACAATTGCTCCGACGATTTGCGCGGAAACATCGACGGATTTCGGAGCGGAAAATGAAGGAATAAAACGGAAATTCATCGGATTCATCAAGAAACATTTGCAGTGAGTTTTGGCTTTGTTCCTTTGTTTGTTTGTTTATTTTGCATTTCACTGCTTTCCCTGAAAATTTGGCCGATCTTTTGAAGCCTTCAACGTATCTTGAAGATACCGTATTAAAAAAGTTCAAGAATGTTTTTAACGTTTGTTAAAACAGTATTTTTAATTAGAATTAGTTCAATTGATTCTGCCAATTCCCATTAATCCACTCACTTCTGATAGCCAAGTTTCGTTTGATTTCAAATTAAGACAAAGGTTTTAGTAATTCGTTACTGCAGAGAGGATGTTTTGCCGAAAGTGTTTCCGATATCATCGCTTTAAAATTGGGTTCGATATTTCATCCTAAAACAGTACTGAATCGTCTTTCGCATTTTCGCCCCCAACAAGTTCTCCTCCCGCTTTCCCTTTCGATTTCTCCGTCGTTTCCAACCGTAAAACCAGTTCCGAATCCATTTTTCTCTCTTTCTCTTTCTCTCTCTCTCTTCTAAATATATTGTCCATTTTCATTTCTTTGGCCATATTTTCACGAGTGAATTGACCCGCCGAAAATGAGTGGTAACTGGAGAATCGCTCTGTGAAATTGAAAACGTGTTATGAAAAAGGTTAGTTTGTTTGGAGGCGTCTCATTTTTTTTCAGTTTCAAAATGTTCCAAAACATTTGTTCAACTTCATTTTTCATCCCTTCTGTTGGAACAATGACTTTTTTGCAGCTTACTTTTCAAATTCTCATGAAAATCCATAAAAGTGTATCCTTTTTCTGGACACCTCACACCGCACTTGGACCCAGCAGTGCTTGTAATTCTTTTAGTTGTCAGTACTGAAAACGACTTTACAAAACGAAGCTTTCCCCTAAATTTGGGGTGTCCATACACTTATGACGCGACTTAATAACAATCATAGGGCTGGGCAATTGGCTTGTTCTGGACTTTCGACCCACTTGCTGTATTCCGGGAGCCGATTTTGGCCGAACAGCCCGGGCTCCACATATCTCGGGACCAGATGATCCGATCGGGCTGAAACGTGGTCCCAGCATACTTCAATTCAAGTCCAAGAAACCTGCAAAGTTTGAGCCCGATCGGAGTATTGCAAGTGATTCAAAATGGCAGGACAAGAGCCGGCCAATTGCCCAAATCATATTTCTCGGTTTAAAGAAATGTTTATCCATTTTGTCTTCCATCCATATCAAAAAATGCCAACCTTCCGTGTTCCGATACTTTTTTCGCCGCAAAACTTCGCGAAAACGGCCTCGAATCCGCAGTTTGAGTGCGTCATAAAAGAGCGAAACGGCTCGCATAAATATGGGAAAAATCGAACGATTTCTTTCAGTTTTCGACATTTTTGCTTCAGAAAGTTCTCAAAACATGAAACTCACTTCCAGAACCATTCCTTCAATGCTAACATCGCCGACAGACCCAAAATCCCAAGAAAACGGTTCCCAGCCCGCGAATTCGGCCGAAGAAGACGTCGAGAAGACATTCGAAGCGACGGCGGCGGCGTCGACAACTCTGAGCAAATCGGAAAAGGACCCGAAGAAAATGATGGATTCCGACTCGGCCGTATTCGAAATCGACGAATTGAACTCGACAATAGCTCCTTCGAGCAGTCGACAATGCATTGTTCCCAATGGTTCGTCCCCCTTTCCTTCATTAAAACTTCAAATTACCAACCGATCAATATTTCTCTGAAACAGTAGCGATTCTGCACGAAAAAAAAAACAGAAAAATTGTATATCAACGCCAAAAAAATGTGTTTTCCTCTCATTTTCGTAGTCATTTTACTCTTTTCCGACCACATTTTTTGTGTGTTGACACTTGAACATTTGAGGCCGAAAAAATAAGAGAATTAGGAATTAGAAGAACATTTTTCTTCTTTGTTTTCGCGAAAATGAGCACAGAAAGAGGAGGTTGGTTGTTTTGCAAAATTTATCAGATCGAAATCTATAATACGAAAAAGTGCAGTGCTTTAAATGAAATTTGAAACAGGTTCCGAATTGCACACTTTTCAATGGGATTTTGCAGACCTCGAATGCGCGCCGGTGGCGGTGAGAAAGCCGAAGAAAGCGACGGCGCAACGGACGGAATTCCACCCGCGTCCGCCGTTTTCGTGCGTTCCGATCTACACGGCCATCCTGCTCGGCCTGCTGATCGTTCTGATCTTCGGCGCCGTCACGACCATCATCGACATGAGGCCCGCGTTTATTTACGGCGCCGACGAGAATTCGGGCAACTCTTCGCAGCCCTTTGTCTCTTTTTCCACTCTCAAACCGCAATAATTGAGATCATTTTCTGTACATATTCTCTAGGTTTCACTCGTTTTTCTGTGAAAAATAGATTCCCCTCTCCTCCCTCCCTCCAATTCGAGCTACCGGTGACCGGTTTTTTAACTGAACTTTGTGCACAATAAACTTTTTTTGAACATGTTTTTTTTTCTGGAGCTTGGCTGCGCAACGTTGAAGTCGACTCGACAGTAGCACGTTTGTCTTGTCGATCGATGACATCAACAGGCACAGTCATCAGTTATCCTTTTTCAAAATCACACTTAAAAAATTTGTAAGAATCATCACAAACAACCAAATAAAAGAGAGGAAAAATGTACAGATCGACTGAGAGACAGAGAGAATGAGAGAGAGAGAGTTTGGGTAGAAAAAGACCCGAAATATATGGTGGGGAGAATAAAAAACTTAAAAAATTATGAATTCGACGGCTCGGCGGTCGAAGTGCTCGGAGCCAAGGGATCCGAAGCCACGGCCGATGATGATGATGATACGGCGGCGCCCGTCTCGCGTTCCCTTTCGCGTTCCCGACTCGACGGCGGCGGAATCGGCGGTTTTTTGGGGAACGAAGTGCGCGCCGACACGGTTCCCGTCACGATCTTCGACAGAATCAGCACGTCGACGTAGCGGGCTGAGAAGTCTTGATTCTCCTGAAAAAAAAAATGTACGGACGGTTTCTGGCAAACAAATTGCATGAAATCACTGAAACCGTGAATTTGTATAGCATTTATAGAAGGCTAAAAACGGTACTTTTTCGAGCTACGTCAGAATTTCCAATTATTTATCGTTCAAACCTGCGCAGTGAGTGCTTTGCTTGCTCTGTTCGATGGCGGCAGTTGGAAGAATGGACTGTTCGTGGTGTTGACCGGTGTGTTGACCCGCAAAAAAAAAGTGGTTTAGAAAACGAAAACTTCACATGATTTTGACGGATTTCAGTAGTTTCACGAGGCAATTTTCAAGTATAAACTTGTGAGTACCTGTGTGATCGGACACAATCCGAGTGTGTGACAATCGGCCGGTGACAGCAGTCGGAGTCCCTTCTCGGCCACCGGGACCAGTCCGTTTGTCATTAGTGGAAGAGCGAGCTGCAAAATTGAATTTGTATGTACAGAAATTCGCATTTTTTTTTGTGATTCCTCACCAGATGAATGTGATCTCCGACGTGGCTGCGTCGATTTCGGAGCGGATGCGACGGGTACCACGTGTAGGCGATCTTTCCGGCCATTCCGCGACTCGGCTGGAACATCCACGAGCTGCGGCCGGACATCTGCAACAAATTATCAATACTGTTTCAAAAAAAAAAAACGCCGAAATAGTTGTGCATGCGGCAAATCAACATTGAATCGAGTTACACCCGTTGTGTAAGTGTTGGAGACCGTGACACATTTGAAAAAAGCTCACATGCTGCACGAGTTCGTCGGGCCAAACGACGAGACACTCGCCGGACGACTTGAGCGGTTCGTTCAGGTACTTGAATATCTGTTCGCCGTCGACAATGATGACCCACGCGCCGATGCCCATCTCGAGGTTCCCGCCCACGAGACTGCCGCCCTTCAGCTGCGCCACGAGCGCCGGACGGTTCATGACTGTCCGTTCGCGTTCCGTTTGCGGCGGCGCGGTCAGCGTGACGGGCGCCGCAATCGAATCGTCGACCGGGCGCGTCTTCGGATGGAGCACCGACACTCGCGCCGTACCGTCCTTTCCCATCTCCACTATCGAGTTTTCCAGCTGAAAAGTATTGAAAGTTTGTTGAAAATTGATTCAATTGTCTTTATATGAAAGAATCCAGGTTTCATTTTTACTAGAGGTGTCTACTTCGGAAGATATGGAAGATATGTTTTAACACATTTGCCACTTTGCCACGGCAAAAACACTACGCCGCAGCAAAGAATCGCTCATTTTTTCCCTCCAAATGCTCTTCTTCAACAAAACCGACCTTTCGTCCGGATCTCGGGGTGTTCAACGAGAGCACAATCGTATCTTGCTCGTCGTCCTCTTTCTCGCTGCCCGACGGCGGTCCCACGTGGAAATGTGCTCGCGGAGCCGGCGGAGGGACCGTCGAAGAGTGCGATCCGACGGGCACCGAGGTGGTCGACGAGGCGGCCGACGGAATCGGAATGGACAGGACGGGCGGTGCGGTCGGGAGCGAAGCCGCCGCCGCTTGTTGCTGCTGCTGCTGCTGCTGCTGTTGCTGTTGCTGTTGCTGTTGTTGCTGTTGGTGGGCGGAAGTGCTTCCCGAGGGGCCAAAGTGATTGCGTAGGCGGTTCCAGACGTTTTGACCAAAGTTGCAGAAGCCCTGCAACTCTTTTTTTGTAAATTTTTCACTTTATCCGTGATCATATTTTTCTTTCCGCTTGTAAAGTTGATATTTATTTGTTTTTTCTCGATCATAAAGTAAACTTCCTTTCGGTCTCACCTCGAAAGTGAACGTGGGCCCGAACACTTTGTGAATTTGCGAGTGCGATTCAATGTGCGACGTCGTCAGCGGGGAGACGTATATCGGATAACCGACTGGCAGATCCGCCGAACTGTTGATCATGTTTCTGCAAATGCTTTTCTTCTTATTTCGGTTATCGCATGTTGCATTTTCAAACGAAACATAAGAGAAAAAAACGATTTACTGAATTAATAGCTAGGCAAACACCGCTGATTCGCGATCGGTCTATTGAGAACGTGGACCTGTGATAGGCCTATAATATGCCTATCACGAAGAAAAAGTTCGCCGATGGACGCATTGTAGGCAGTGGGGCGCACCGTTCGCGATGGGCCTACGATGGACCTGTAATAGGCCCATCGCGAAAACCGAATTCGAAATTTTCGCCAAATTTTCGCCGTGCACGGATTTTGTTCAGAATTTTCATATTTTTAACGTGTTTATTGTATTTCCAGTTGCTTAAATTAGCTTTTCATTTGGATCAGTATTATTTTTCGGAGTTCTTCGGTACATAGGTTTCTCTTTTTGCGTTGAGTCTATGCGGTATGCCTCGATCATTGTTGAATCATTTTGCTCAATTACAAAACTCAGAAGTGCGGCGTACTGCTTCAGTGAAAAGTGAAAATGGTAATAGCACTGAAATAATTACTTGTGAAAAGATAGCTATTCAGTGGAAAGTGTCCGAAAAGTGTGGTGAGTTCGCACGCGTCCAAAAATATTACCGTACTAATTAATGAGAAGCTTAGCTGTCTTCTTTTCAGCCGATTATCTTTTTGGAGCCGTCGCGATTTTGGAGTCGGCAGAGGACACGAGAGTGACGAGTACGACGATGGAGAAATGGATCAGGAAAATAACGATGTCGTCGACTAACTCAGCTTGTTTTTTAATTAAAAATGTTTTCCCCGCCCCTAAATTTGTTTCTCTTTTCCTCTTCTTCTACTTTACCTGTAACCCTGCATTTTCATCTAGTACTACTGTTTTTGTCAATACATTTTTGTAATAACTTTGCGTTATTTTCATTATACTCAATTCATCGCTATTGCCCCCTCGTTGTTTGCGTACTCAATTTTTTTTTAGAAAAAAACCTAATTTTAGAAATTTTGGCTTGAGTCTGCAAACACCGAGGGGCAATAGCGATGAATTGAGTTTATATTCATAATCTCGATATCGAACATTCGCGATAGGTCTATAATGCGTGAAATTTTCGTGGTCGGCCTATAATGTGCCTATTGAAGGACCTGCTCCGAGTTCTCTGTAGACACATCCGCGAACTTGTAATAGACCGATCGCGAATCACCTGTGATATTGCAATATGGGCGTGGCCTCGGCGGCCAAATGGCGTTTTCATGAATTGAGCACGTTTTCTCTGATTTTTGTGGTCAAAGGCGATGAAAAATCATTGTTCGGCATGAAAACACACTAATTCTCAGAATTAATGACATTTTGGCGCTCATTTTTCGCGGACTTTGCTTTTTCGCCTTCGCATTTCATTCAGTGCTAAAAAGTGCAGAGAATCCAGATCGAGCGCTCAATATGTTTGTCTGAAATCTGAAAATGTTTACCTGAGCACCTGCCGCGCGTTCTGAATACTTCCTCGTTCCGGATTCCGATTTCGGAGGAAGATCAGTTCTTGTTGCTGTCCGGCCCAGAAGGCACGCACGCACTCGCGATTCAGTTTGATCACTCTGAAATTCGTTACAATTTTTTTTTGTAAGACATATTTTTCCAAAACAACCAAACAACTGTTCTACAAGTTACAGACTATCAGTTAGTAGTTAGATTAAACATTAGACTAGACTAAACAGTTAGACTAAACATTCAAATAGAGATTGAAACGGCAAACTTTTTAGAAAAATGTTAAAGGACTCCTTTAAAAGGAGGCACTGAAAAATGACGTTTCGAGTCTGATCTGCGACCTCACTTATTTTTGGGCGACTATATCTCGAGACTCGTCCGTTTTTTTTTCAAAAACTGCTCAAGTAGGAAGTTGTTGCATTTTTTCTGCTCCCAAAATCCGTCATTCTTGACGAAACAAAAAGAAATGTACGAGCCCTGTATATATAGCTTTAAGGAAAACTGATATACTGCAACCTGATGCATTTTTTGCCTCTTCATTCAATGGTATAAGCAAGCCTGGGCGAAGGATATGCTTTCCGTTTCATGAGGAATTGCATAGCGAAAAAAACGCGGAACGAGAGAAATACCATTTTCGCGGTAGAAGAGAGAGAGAGACGCAGACGGTAGGCAGTTAAAGGCGCATAGAAATACAGATTTCCAGCTCAGATTTGTTTGTCTGCTTCAAGCACAAAACCGCCCAGGCCTGTATGTAGCTTGAGCACTGCAGTTACAGGTTTCCTTCAAAAACGTCCATTCCATTTCGTTTCGATAAAACGTACCGCATGTTGAGATGCATCTTATTCAGCATAATGATCTTGTAATCGTCCTGCCCGTCATCGTAAATGTGCCTCAGCGCGAGCAGACTGGGCGTGTTCGCGAGTATCGCCTGCCGCCATCCGGGGTCCTGCTCGTGCGAAATGAACATTCTCGTCCGGTTCTCCTCGATCACTTCGTACAGTCCTTCGTTCACCTCGAACTCGTCGAACTGCGTAAAGTGGTCCTGGTGCAGTTTGAGCGCCATTTTGACGGCCGGCGCGACGACGCACCGCAGCAGGTCCATGTCGGTGAAGACCCACTCGTCGCGTTGGCACGTTATTCTGCAAGCAATCCTGGTTTTGTCAATGTTTTTCTTGTACGTTTGAAAAAACCACTTACTAGTCTACGAGTCTATTGATTTGGTCGACCCTGATTTAAATAAAAATGTTTTTTGAGGAATTTTCTTGAATGTGTTTCTTGCTATCAAATCATTGCGACAAACGGTTCGAAAATCTATCAGAGTAGAGACACAAGACACAAGAATTGATTATTGATTTGATTAAACATTAGAAAAATACAATTTTACCTGAAATCTCCCTTGAAAAGCGTGTGCAATCCGTACAAAAACGACTCGGCCGCATTCGAGTGTTTGTTGAAAGCGGCCGTTGCGAGGGCTCGGCGAGCAATGAGCGAAAGAAGGTAACAAAGAGTCATCGCCTCCTCCTCGTCACTGAAAATACTCTTTTTCTCAAACAAATATAAAAGATTCCTTTGAACACACTGTTACAGTCCTTATTTTTCATGATTTGAGGCTCAAAATTCAATTTTAGAGTGCATAGAGATGTAAAGAAAAGCTTCATTGTTTGCTTGAAATTAGTTTTGTAACATCATCTTTCTCCTGCTGTACTTACTAAATATCCTCCTGAACGCGTTCCTGTCGCTTTTCCACACAATACGTCATCCACGAGAGGTACGTGCTTTTGAAGCTGTTACGCGAGATTCCCTGCAAACATTTCTTCCACTTTAAAGTCCCTTTTTGGTGCAAAAATCCCATACAAAACCAGAAAAAGTTCCCCCGATTTTCCCAGACTAAATGAACCTCTAATTCAAAAAAAAAAATACCTGTTCGACAATATCGTAGTCCTCGTCGTGCGGCGCGCAGAAAATCGTGTCCATATCCGTGTACCGTGCATTTTCCATAACTTGTCGGATTGTGGCGGCGATCGCCTCGTCGCGAAGAAATTGACGGAATTTGTGCGAGATGAACGTGTGGTAGATGACGCTTTTCACGTACAGTTTCACCAGAAGACGTCGCAGTTCGTGTATCTAGATTATACATTTACGTGCAAAGTTGCCGTTTTGATTTTGAATTTACAAAAAAGCGCATCAAAAACACATCAGAGAACGATCAAAGAACACATTTTGAAACCGCATTTTCTCAACTTTCGTTGAATCTCAATTTTAAAAAAATGATTCGTTCTCGGCCAAGTGATGGCGTGTTTGAATGGTTTTTTTCAGGCAACGTCGCATTTTGCCATTTGCCAAAGTGCCATTTTCCATTGGAAACATCAAATTTTACCTGCAACAAATTCACTGCTGAATTGTCGGAAATGCTGTATCCGTCGATGATGTACTTGCCGGAAACGACTTCCCACGCGAGCCATCTGAGTCCCCAGGCGGTGTTGAACGAAAGGAAGCCGGGCAGAGATCCGGGCGAGCAGCAGCAGAATCCCGAGCCGTCGCGGATGTCCTCCGTGATCGCCTCCACCTCGCGCTGATGGCAGTACGTGCCGCGGAACTCGAGCCCGCGCAGCTGGAAAGTCACGAATCCGTTGCCGACTTCGATGATGTGCACCAGGGTGTTCAGGTAGAAACTGCAAGGTTGCAAACGTTTTGGTCTTGTCGGCTTATTCAGTATCTAAACAGTTTGGGACGAGCAAGTTGCAAGTTTGGAAAGTTGAAAGTTTCCGAGGTTTTCCGAGATCCGGATTGGAAAATACTGCAAATTAGTTTCACCTGCTGTTTTATGAAATTTCGAGCCGAGGCGGCAAGAGCGGTATGTGTTGTGAGTACTTCAGGATTTAGTACTGACAGTTCATATAACAACAGATAACACCAATTTGCAACATTCGATTCAGCATATTCTCTTAAATTGTTTCTCTTTTCTCTGCACTAACCTAGCGAGAACGAAACAGTCGCCGGGCTGCACACTGGTCGCCCATCGTCCCATCGCCAAGTCCCCGGCGAGACTCTTCTGCAGGGACCTCGTCAGATGCTCGTAGAAGACCGCATTGAGATTGCTGTCGTCCACCGTCGGTCCGCGGTCAAAGTGTGACGATAAACGCATCGTCGACGCGTCCGTCCGCTTCGTATTGTAGTCCTTTTCCCAGAATTTCACAGGACGCACGTAGGAGGCGGTGAAGAACGAGGAACCTGCGAGCGATTGGTTGGTGTACAATTGAACGATTTTGTCGAGAAAAGTTTGTAGATTTTTCGGATTCACTTGTTCAATAAATCAATGCTGTTTTTAAAGAGAATTGATCAAAAACACCTAATCGTCATTCTCCCATTTCTCCCCCATGAAATCTCGTGCAAAAAAGGCGATCTTACCCAAAAATGGGTTGAGCGGAGCACTAACGATGCTCGAGACGACGGTTTGGATGGCGATGAGCGCCGAGTGCGGCACCGAGAAGGGCTGCGCGAACGCGTGGAATGCACTGCCCCAGCTGATCTGCCACGGAGCCACGTAGGCCATGATGAAGGCGATCTTCAGGTAGAGCTCCACGAATTTCGGATAGACGCACACGCACGTGAACATGATGAGTGGCAGGAGATTCCATGAGGTCAGCGACTGCAAAAAAACCGATTTTAAAAGAATTCAATACGGTTTCTGATTTGCTCGTAATTCTTCAATTCGATTATTGTTTGGAAATCAACTCCGTTGTCCACATCAGCCACAAAACCAGCAATTCTTTTATAGCCAATTAGTCATTTGATCACATATTACCCATTTCTTGAGCGCTCGATTTTGCATTCGTTCTGACCTATTCGATTGTTCTCTATGGAGAGCGTCCACCGTTTTATGGTTATCACAAAAATACTGTTTCTAAAGTTGCTTACATCAATTTTTAATTCCTCAAATTACTGAACTCCGCTGAACTTTGTTGTAGGCCCAGTAATTACATAAAGTTTCAAGGCAAAGAAAAGAAGGCACAAACTTTTCCGTCGACTTCCAAATCGACGACGTGTTTGAGGTCGAAGGCGGCGGCCAAACAGGCGACAGCGACTGGAACGAACATGAGCTGCGGGTGAGAGAATCCGCCGCGGAGGACACGCAGAGAGACGAGCGGGAGCACGAGCCACGGCCACGGCACCGCCCACGCATTCTCCGTTATCATCGAGATTATCAGCGAGGGATAGACCTGGAAGAGATTCTTGAAGGTAAATAAAGAGAGAGAGTAATAATCCTACAATATTTCGTTCGATGGCGACCATCCACAAGTGAATCGTCTCGAAATACATCAATTTCGCCGCGTCGGGACTCTCGAATTGCGTGTGTTCGGCCGATTTGAGCAGCGGCGAGGACATGGCCCTCCAGGGAGTGTGGGCACGGAATTGCGGGTACAGGTAGTGGTTGACCACGCCCAACAGCACGCATCCCATCGAAATCGCACGCTGAACCGTAAAAAGAGGTGTAAAAGCGCTTTTAGGGAAAAAATTGTGAAATTAGATAAAGTTTCTGATAATTTTAACTGAAAATGCTTGTTTTCAGTGATTGGTCATTACTGATCATTCGAAATATGATTTTTATGTAGTTGACTAAAAGAAAAACACGAATTTTCAGAAACAGACGAAAAACAGCAAAAAATGACCGGAATTTCAATAAAATTTGTATAATGCCGGCTCACCGTGAAATAGGGTTGCGTAGCTGTGAAAAGCGACGTCGAATGGAGTCCAAAGAAGAAAACGAGGAGGAAAATGGAGAAGATGAGATCGTAGCGGGCCCGTTCGGCCACAGTCCTCCGCACCATCCCGGGCATTTCGTCCTTGCCCGTCAAGATGGGCGCCTCGTTCGCTTCTTCTTCTTCTTCTCCTTCCGAACCCTTCCGGAACGGGAATGTGATGATATCGAAGAGGATGACCATCAGATTCTGATTCGATGACATCCGCGAGAGCAGGTACGAAACGGCGACACACGTGGCGGCGAACGTCGAGAAAAGTGGGTTCTGGGTGGAGGTGGGCGAATAGTTGTACGCCACGCGGCATCTGAAACATTTTCGGCTTGTTGTAAGTTTACAAACAAAATCAGTTTGCTGGTACTCACAGCCCACAAAGTGCCACGTAGAAGACGCAGCTCTTCGCGAGCTGCACACAGGCGGAAAAGACGCCGAAAGAGGCGGTGCCTCCGAAAATGTGCATTTCGAGTTGCTCGGCGACGTGATGGGCCAGAGTGTTGAACTGCGGCAGCCATCCGAGGGTGAACGCGACGGGCAGCAGGAGCAGAAGGACGGAGAGCACGTCGCGGAGCACCAGCACCACCGACGACGACTCCAGCACGTGGTATCTGCGAAAAAAAAGAAATCATGTCACGGCCCGGGCCGTAGAAAAACTTCGCATTAAAAATAGTGTCATAGTTACTTTTCCCTACATCCTCACCTGAAAGGGTTCCAATTCCAGGCGAGTTCGTTCAACTGCGCATCGATCTCTTTCGCGCCGGCGATCTCGTGCAAGTACAGCAGCGCGCACGCCAAAATACAAAAATAGATGGGCCGATTGTAGCTGGCGACCCAGTTGAATCCGTGAATCGGAGAAGACGCATCCGGCTGCACACTCTTCAGAAGCGAGAATTGGGCGGAGGCGACGACGAAGCAGAAGACGACGAGCGAGTAATCGTAGAATATTCGAGAGTGGATGAGAAGGGCGGCGAGCGAAGAGACTGTGGCCGCGAGGATCACGTCGAACACGAGCGACCAGATCGAGTGGTTGCGGTCGAAACAACGGTCCACACTCATCCGGTCCACTTTCAGATTGAAGTTTTTCTGCGCCTTCGGGAACATTTTCATCGGGTAGTAGTAGGATTTGCGGATGTTCGACGAGTTGCGACGCTCGATCAGGTCTGCAATGAATTAGAGGTATTGTAGTGAGGAATTGAACAAAAACAATCGCTTTTTCTGCTAGGAACTTTGCAGGCTTTTAGGTCTGGGATTGAAGTACTTCGGGTCCAAGTTCCAGACCGATCCGATTATCTCAGGAGCACATGATCCGATCGGTCTGAAACTTGGATCCAAAGTACTTCGAACCAAGTCCAAGAAGTCTGCAAAGCGAGGATACGATCGAATTATCGCTCGTGGGTTCAAAAGTCTTGTCCGGCCTTTTGCCCAGTGCTGTATTCAACTAAACGTCAACGTTTTTGTTCGTGTGTGTGACAGTCGTCGAGTGACTCACTCGGAAGCTGAAGACTCTGCATACCGCCCACATCTCTGCGCCCGTTCGTGTTCTCAATCAGTTCCATTATCTGCTCCATGTGCCAGATACTATCGGCCGATCGGTCGTCCGTGTCGCGCATCAGATTCGGACGGATCCGCGAGGGACCCGTCGACGAGAAGCACACGATCTGACTGCCGCGCGATGAACTGCAACTCGAGAATTGGGATTGAATGGGAAGCATGCTTAATTCATTTTAATTTTGAACTATTGAGTTCACCTCATGTTTATGCTTGTTCAACAGATTTACTATTTATTGTCAGTTTGAAAACTATTTCGGAATTTTCGCACAAAATGCATACCTGGTTCTGGTTGCTCCAGTCCCACTCGGAGCATGGAAAACACTGCTCGGCAGCGTGGGCATGTAGGTGCTCGACTCGTTGCTCGAACTGGAAAGCGCCCGTTCCCTCCTCGTGAGTGGCAACTGCACGGTCCCTCCGCTCGTTCCCGGCAGCTCCTCGTCCGACGTCTTCTCGCCCTTTTCGTCTTCCGTCGAGTCGTACATGCTCTCGGGCAGTACTTCGAGCTCTCCGGGCGGGAAGAGTTTGCGCGCCGCGTCCGGATTTTTCTCGCGCTCCCTGTGGATGAGCTCAAGGACCGCACGACCCGAACCGAGCGGTTGGGCGGTGCCGACGCCCGAGTTCTCGTCGAAAGTGTACGTCCACCAGTTGCCGTCCTCGTCCTGGAAAGTGTGCACGGCGCCTTGCGAGGTGTCTTCGTGCCCTTGGGCGATGTGATGTTGACTCGTGGAGACGACTTGCGCGTGGGCGTGCCAATCGATAAACGAATTCGAACGGGCGGCATTTCGGAGTACGTGTGGCACTGCGAATATTCCATGAGTGACGCGATCATGCGGAGCCATCGAGGAAGAGGCCGGAGGGAGCGGGGCCAATTCCAGCGGCACCGAATCGTGCGACTCGGAACTCGGACGGCCCCTGCCCAGCCGACTCATCCGCACACTTTCAATTGCATCCAACGTCTCCGGGTGCTTGTCGATGAGGTCCTCCAGAAATTTCGTGATTTCTCCCTTGATGTCCGCTCCGTTCTCGGCGTCGTCGGCCGAATATCGGGAAGTGGTCGGACGGTCCACGTCTCCGAGCGACACGACCACAGGGGTCCAGCCCACCGAACTCGGCATACTTCGTGAGGATTCATGCGAGTCCTGGAATAAATAATGCATTTTATTCTGCAATGTCAAAACTTTTTTACCCTCCCCATCACTACAATAGGGCGTGGCCTCCGCCGAATTGCGTTTTCAAGAATTGAGTTCAATTTCTCTGATTTTCAAAAACAAACGGAAAAATGGCGAAATTAGTACTAAAATCGTGTTTTCTTGGCGGTTACGATTGACAGCAGGATGCCGCAAGAATAGTTCCCAAAAAGCGTACCCTTTTCATAAGAGAACCGACAAAAACGGCGGGACTTCCGGCCCTCCGACTGGCCCTCCTCTTCCCAGATGTCGTTCCGGTTGAAGACCGTCTCCTCGAGGGTCTCCGTCGGCTCGAACTAATTCCAGAAGACGTAGACGGCCCTTCCTCCTCTTCTTCTTCTTCTTCTTCTTCTTCTTCTCGCTCTCTCCGATTCTCCACGTCGATTCTCGTCCTTTTCTGTATCGCGTACATTTTAAACTCCCGTTTCGCCTCCTCAAATGACATGTTTCTGGTCGGATCGTCCTCAAAGTTCTCTTTTCGGCCACGTGGATCCGAATGTCGTCGCCGTGATCGTGCCAATTCGATACGTTTCCAGAGGCGTCCAGTTTCGGGGAATTTTGACGGAACGGACGATTTGCGCATCGGCGGCGCAACGGCCGATGCGGACCCGTTCTGCTCGTCCTCGTACACCACTTTCATTCTGTTTCCGCGCGGACGCCGCACGGAAGACGTCGGCTCGCTCTCCGTCTCCGTCGACTCGTCCTCGATCGTGTTGAGCGCCTTCCGGAGCTCTGTGAGCCCGCTCGCATGACTCGCCGCCGATGTTGTCGAGCCTATGAACATGTTTGTTTGAAGAGAAAATGAGTTGAAGATAGTCAAAACGTTAAAGTAAAAAAACAACGTTTTTTTTCGTATTGTTTGTTCGATGTAAAACTCACCAAAGTCCCAAAACTTCGATGAAATCGGTGGAATCGGAGTGCCGGATTGGTCTGAAAAATTATGGTTTCACGAATATAGATAGTTGCAATTTTTAGTGTAAAAATTGCGTGAAAATGCTGACTGGCTCTGGCGAAATCGGCGAGCGATTCGGAGTGGGTTCTGCGGTTTCCAATGATTTCGCGCTCCTCGCGCCCGTTCAATTCCCTCGTTCTTCCGTCGAGCGCCCGTTCGGAACCGCGCAAATTGTAGCCCATGTCACGCAATTCGATCATTTCCACGTCCATCGGCGGCTCTGCAAATTACCGCTTTTTTTTAATGCTTTAATGTAACTTTCTTTTTCTTTTGAAAAAGCGTCGAATGTTTGGAAAACAGTTTTTCAGTTTCACAGAAATTTTATTCACAAAGCCAGGTTTATTGATTAATTTCTTGATACATTTATTGGTATTCAGTTTCATAGTCAGTCAAGCGGAACCTCAAATGTTTGTTTGATTTGTATGTAAATTCCGGATTGGAATGTTTTGACTCTAAATATTCTCACAATAATGTTATTTGCTTTGATGAAATTCTAATAATAATAAGGAAAACAAACGTTCGGATTCTCTGTACACATCGTCGATTGAGTCATTGATGGTCTTGGTGACCACAATCGGATCCGTCGTGTCGAATATCAGGTGCAAGTAGGCCACTACCGACTGAAAATTGGAAAATTCTTTTGGAAAAATTGGAAGGCACTAAGAATCAGGGCTGGGCAATTGGCCGGCCCTTATCCTGGACTTTTGAACCACTGCAATTGTCCGATCGGACTTTTTGTACTTGGATTCAAGTATTTTGGGTCCGAGTTTCAGCCCGATTAGATAATTTACTCTCGAGTTAAAGTCCCGGCCAATTGTCCAGCCCTGCTGAGAATGAAACATAAGTTTTTGTTGTTGTATTCACCTTGATGACTCCGAAGAAAATAGCGATGAAGCCGACGTATCCGCAGGCGACGCCCACTGAAATGCCGTGCGAAGAGACGAGTCCGACGACGAGCGGAAGGACGACGAGCACGAACCACACGTAGAGATGGAGCGTGTTGCAGAAGATCGAGAAGCCCGGCTCGTAGTACCTTAAATTACTTTTTTATTAAGAATGTACCGGTTTCAACAAATTTTTGTTCTATTTTCTTTACTATTTTTGAACTGTTAGCAACTTCTTTAGTTGGATCAATACATCTTGATTAATCGAAAACATTTTTAACTGAATTTTTATTGATTCTGATAGCACTCTTGATTTTTTCTCTCAACTGGGCCTATTCAAGGTGTTTCGTTACGAAACCTCCTCCGTTGAACATTTCAAAGCGGTTTTTCGTCACATACCCTTTAAGGTTTGCTAGCAAATTGCTAATAGTTCAAAGCTCAGTGTTTGCGTAACTTTCTATTAGAATACGTGCCTGAAGTTTGCGAAATTTCTCAGGAACCTTGCTGAGAGTTTCTACTTTGCACTCTAATAACATTTCAAGAAATTTCAAGTGGAATCTAATAATTATTCCAAGTTTTAAATCTAATTAAAAGGGTCTCATTCAGTCGGGTTAAAGACTGCAAAAAACCGTTTTTTATCGATGAAAACTGTAAAACCGGTTGTTTATAGGGTATTTTCGCAGTTCTTACCATACAAGTGAGCCAGTAATCCATAATTTCTTCTATCTAATGCACGCTTGTTTGGAAAAGAATTGGCTCTAATTTAGCTCCAAACTCGAGCCGGTATCTTCAATTTCCTTCTAAGAACGTACCATCCGCCGGTGAGCGAAGCCCAGATTCCCTGCCGAATCACCTCGGCGATGTGCGTGCCGACACTCATCGGCGCCGAGCGATTTCAGCCGTTCTCCGCTACTTTATCGGCAGTTTTCAACTGAAAATCGATAGTTTTCGGTTTTTTCTCTTGAAAAGTTGAAAAAATGGGGTGAATGTGTACTAGAATCGATATGAAATCAATGGGGGAAGGGGTGTGTGAGCAGGAGTAGGAAAAGCGTCAAAATAAGAGCGAAAAATGGAAAACGGACGAGAATGTACGCAAACACCGTGACGCGGAATTGCGCATCTCGGCGAATTTTGCTTGCTCCAATCGGGGGAAAATTGACAAACATGTGACAAAAAAGTAACATGTCATCAGAAGGTGCTCATAATTTTTATAAGTCATAAACACGCACTGTTCGGAAGAGGAAAACAACTCCCGAACTCGTCTCTATTCTTGTCTCTCACTATCGGTAACTGATTTCTAAATCGTTGCTTCTCGAAACGTCCGGGGATCGATCAAACCTTTTAGACTTCTGAAAATGAAATCTGAAAATAGAAACGTGTCGTTTCCGTACCGCTTTCACTCTTCTCGTGTCTCCGGCCCTCTTCAACTGCATAATGACCCTCTTCGCAGAGACCGTTCGGAGGGAACAAGAACAAGGCCATCTCTGTTTTCTGTGTGTCTCCGACTGACCCCTCCCCCATTCCTCATACTCATAATATACAATAGAAGACGGCGTCTTGAGAACCGTCTCGCATTCCGTCATGTACCCATCACCTTCTATTTTCATATTCCTTCTCACTTTCCTCGTTTTACAAGGTATATTTCGAAGTCTCATTAAAAATACAAATTTTAAGAACATTCTCTGCGTGTATCTGTAATTTATCGAACATTTATTTACTGCTATGGGATAGTCTTTTTTCTGAAAACCAATTCTTCACAACTAAACAACGATTTCCGAGGGGAAAAGTCTGAAAAATCGATATTCTTATAGCATCTTGCGGCCTGAACAATGGAGTTTCGTCGAAAAGGAAGGAACGGGCGATCGACGACAACATTCCGATTATTGAGATCCGCGGAGAGGGGGCTCCGATGAGCTCCGCCCAAATTAGGCATCTGGAGGAAATGGACAATGGCGGACCGCTCGACATCAAGGTAAAAATCAGAATTTCCTCCAAAATCGTTCCTTTTCGCAATACTGAGCTCGCAAAATACTTTTTCCGGTTTGAACAAGCAAATTTCAATGAAAAAAAAAGGCAATTTTCCGATTGCGGCACACGTGATTCTATATCATAGGCCTGCGTTCACGATAGACTCATCGCGAATCACCTGTTGTTCGGTTTTGTTCGGTCCGTCTTTCTTTCTGCTGCGCTCAGCAAACATACAAAAAAACAGACAGAAACACGCCACGGCGACCAAAAACGTAGAAAGGGGCGTGGCCTAGCGTGCACGATTTATCACCATTTTGGCACGAAACGTCGAATCGTCGAACCCCTATCGTTAATTCACAATCCTTCAAAAAATGTCTAAAAAAAGTTGAAACTGCAAAAAAGTGCGTTTTTTTAGATCGAAAAAACGTTTGTGCCTGCAAAATGTCCTGAACTTTCGAAGCGTCTCGATTTCATCACTTTCCACTATAAGGTAAGGTTTTGAAAATATTTTTCTGTATTTCTAAATACGCATTTTGTCAGGTATTCACTGAGGACAACAAGAAAGTGTACCAAACTTACGGGACCGGTCCGGTGACCATCCAACTTGGCACCGGAATGATTATGCCCGGATTGGACAAGGTAAAAAGAAACATTTCGATACGTTTTTTCAATGATTTCAAACACTTCCCAAAACAGGAACCAGATTTTCTCCGTTTCGCTACAATTAACCTACTTTTTGCGCGTACTTGTTTTTCTTTCGTACGCAAAACACAAATGATTGATTGGGTTATAGCGAAGGAGACGAGAAAAGCGCCAGCAACTGCTTGCGCACTTTTAGTAGCCCTAACTACCGTAATCCGTGTTGCAGGGACTCAAAGGCATGTGTGCTGAGGAGCTGAGAAAAGTGAGAGTGCCGTATCGATTGAGCCGAAAGAGCAAGAGCAAAGGTTGGCAAATTTTGTAAATTTTATGAAAAACCTGTAATTTTTGCCAAACACCATCTTTTTCAGTGTGGAAAAACATTCCGAACGACGAAAATTGGCTGATTTTCAACATTGAAATGGTCCGAATCGAGCCGTATTCGCCGCAAAAACAGTTCAAATTTCTGGATTTGAACGGCGACGGACAACTGGAAACGGCCGAAGTGCAGGAATTCCAGAGGAAAATGAAGAAAGAGTACGGGAAGACGTGGAAGAATGAAGACGTGGACAATGCGACCGCAGCCGCCTATTATGTCAGGTTAGACGGGGCTTTTCAATTTTATTCTTGAAACTGAAAATTGGTTTTTTTTCAAAAACTTCTGTTCCAACAATTAGGCTGGCAGCATAGGCGAAACAATCGATAAAGCGAGGCGCCGTAAACAGTGTGCCTTGCCGACAATTTCTTAGCGAGAAAATGCGGCTCCCCTCGTTTTCGCACATTGAAAAACTGAAAACTTGCAGATATTTCGACGTGAACGGAGACGGAAAAGTGGTCGAAAGTGAATGGCTGAAAGTGATGGAAAGGGACGGAAAATCGATGGAAACGACGAAATCGAAGGTGAAAGGAAAGAAGAGAGATCCGGCGATCGGATGGATTCTCGACTTTGACAACGACGGAATCGTCTCTTATAAGGTACGTAACACATTTTCAAGAAAAAGTTCGAAATTGGCGGCCGGGGGACTAGAAAACTCCAGCTGCCGCCGTGCACTTCTCGTGGACTCTTTTGCTTATTTGTAAAGCTCCGCATATTCGGGAGAATTCGGAACTTCCCGTTTCAAAAATAGCACTTCTTTTCAGGAAAACGACGAAGCGGCGGATCGATTCGAAGCGGGACCGACTCTTTTGCCGACCGAATCCAAAGATGAACTTTGATTTTGAAAAACGACTGTTTGTTTTGTTGATTTTTCTGTATCTTCCAGGGTATTCATGACTTTCGGACCGAAAAATAAAATACCGCATAATTGATTTTTTTTAAATGTCGTCTTTTTAATAATAACTAATTTATTCTCTTCAGCCACCTAGGAATAAAATTACAACAAAAAAGAAAGAAGAGAAAAAAGAGGGGGAATGTGGGTGGGGGAAGGAACAATGGCTTGACATGACCATTGGCCGGCAGTAGCCAGAGGTCAGTTAGAATACAAAAAGCTAGGGGGGATCTTCTCGATGCGCGCCGCGAAGGCCTCAGAGGACAGTCTTTCGGGAAACAACTTGGCCACTCGGTTCCAAAGGGCAAGATGGGTATGTAAGAAAGAGTCATGGGGTAGGCCAAGGGAGGATAGAAGGTACGGGTGACGGGGGAGACGCCGGGTTTGAGGAACATGCTTAGGGAGGGAAATGGTACTTGTGCGAGATTATGTTGTGGAATGTTCTGAGAATAAGAAGAACCCTTCTGTGGAGTATCGATTTTTGAATTAGATTGACTGAGACGGTCGCTATAGGAGGAGAACCGCATGTTGCATCTTTGGAAGACTCTTCTACTGAAAAATCTAAGGGGAGACTCTAATTTGCTGGAGAGGGATGTCGATGAGGGATGGAAAAGTTCACAGCCGTACTCGAGAATGGGTCTGACGTAAACGTTGAAAGTTTAAAGTAGAGACTGGGGTTCGAGGAGCGAAAGGCTTTCAGAATTTGTTTGCATTTCAAGAGGGCGGTATTGCTAACTATTGTGATATGCTTATCGAATTTGAGCTTGTCGTCTATCCAGATGCCGAGGTCCTTAACGGAATCTTTTGATTCGATTTCGATGCCATTCAGGAGATATCTGGTTTTGGGATTTTTCTTTCCAAAGTGGAGTCTTTATTGCTATCAATTCATCAGAATACAGTTTATTTGGCCGCCGGTGGCTCGGCCGACGGCTTCGGCGGATTTTTGAATTCCTCAATCTCGCGCTCCTCCCAATCGTACGGAAACTCCTGCAAAAGCAGAGATTCTTGAATAATTAAAACAAAAAATCCTGAAAAATCAATAACTTACATCTTTTCCGCCGAAAAGGATCGCATTCGTGAGCAGTCCGTAAATCTCGCTGTACTTGGGCGTGTCCGTGAACGAGAGCTTGTCAATCATTTGCATTATATCGAAAAATTCGGGCGGAAGACCTCCGAGCATCTCGCGCATCTGAAGGCCGTTACGGCACAGCTTCTGGTAGTCGAACACGTCTTTAGGCTTCTGAATACATCGTTTTTGATAAAGCATTCATTTACTGGAAATTTGAAGATAAGGGTGTACTTATTCTTGTGAGACTGGAAACAAAACCTTGAAATTCTCAACATTTAAAAACCTTTTTTGAAACCCATTTATCCTTATACAAAAGAAACCTTCGATTGTGATAATTCTTTGAAAAACTGGCCACAAATGCGCCGTCCTTAAATTTTTCAACACGAAAAAATGCTACCTTCAAATGGGCCCAGGGCAGACATCCTTTGATGAGCTCGACGGTCATGTAGAACCACATCTCGAGGTCCTCCATCCGCGAGAATTCGACGCGCGAGAAGGCGGCTCGGGGCGCGTGACGAAGACTTCCCACGTACTTCCACGGATTCGGCGACGGCGGCTTCAACTTCCCGTCCTTCAGCTGGTACTGGTGCGCGAAGCCAAAGTCGAGGATGAAAATCTGAACGAAATATGAACATGCCACGGTCTCCAGAGCTGACAATATGGGCGTGGCCTCGGCCAAATGGCGTTTTCATGAATTGAGCAGGTTTTCTCTGATTTTTGTGGTCAAAGGCGATGAAAAATGATTGTTCGGCATGAAAACACACTAATTCTCAGTAGTAATGACGTTTTGGCGCATTTTTCGCGGACTTTGCTTTTTCGCTTTCGCCGCCGATCGCCGCCTAAAAACCATACTTCTCATTTTGCGCTTTCTTGACCGTTTTCAAACAGAATTGGTTTTGAGAATGATAAATCACGTAAATACAAGCATTTTGAGCGCTCGAACCGCGAAAACTACCGGAAAGCCAAAAAGCCAAATTAAAAAAAAAATTAGCCAAAAACCTTCAAACGGATAAATGTGATTTGTGACTTGACCAAATTTAACGCTTTATCGCTTAAGAAATTCTTAATAGCCTATACAATCGGTCTATCGAGAGACAAATCAGAAATTATCGGTTTTTCGTGGCTAATCTGGCAAAAAACGCAAATGTTGCTGCTAAAATTTGAATTTCGCGCCAATTTATCGCTCTATTGGGCGGACCATGCATGGTTAAACAACATTTTTCTATTTTGAAAGCATTGTAACTTTCACAAAGTCTGCAGCAACTTTTCTTATTGGAACATGCCACCAAACCGTACAGCCCCCAAAAATCCTCTCTCACATTTCTCAAATCGCTCTCATTGTCGCCCGTGTATCTTCCGATGGCAAACACGGACGGAGCCACGTTACGGTGGATGAATCCCATCTGAAATCTCTCGATAACTATCCAGAACATTTCACGAGACGCATTACATGGTGCAGCTCCTCGAGGCCCTTCAGACACTGCTGGGCGACACTCAGGCCGCACGCCAACGAGAGTTTCCCGCCCGGCTGACGCTTCCGCAGGGCTCGCAGGTTCCGGCCGGCCAAAGTGATTGCGATCCAGTTGTAGTCCTTCTCGTTTCCCTTCTCCAGAACTCTAAATGTACTTTTGTAGGTGTCTTACTTGACTGAACATTTCAACAAAGTACCCAACTACCTTTGTACTACTTTTTCTCATAATGAACTTTCCAAACAGTTACTTGTAAGACCTAGTATCGAAATTTGAATAAAAATTGGGTACTCTTATGATATTTGAGCCCTGAAAAGTGAACTAGAACCCAGTAACCAAATGTGCTTCTAAAAAACTGACTTGCAGAACTGTTTGCACTTGTTCTGCTTTTCGACCGCCAACAAAACGAACAGCTCGAATTGCAACATTTTCACCTTTTCGTCCTTTCTCTCCACCTGGAAAATGCTGTTTTTCTTTAAATTCCAGAAATTTCGCCAACCTTAATGGCAGCCAGCTTCTTTTTCTGCGTGTGCTCGGCCACGTAGATCGTGTTGAATCCCTTCTCCGAATCGATCGCCTTCACCACTTTCCAGTGCTTTCCGATGTCGTCGCCCTGAAATGCCATCGGTGGCCTAACTTTTCTCTCCGTCGGCTCCTAGTCCCCCTTATTTTACCGCTTGCATCTTTTTCAGATCCATCGGCTTCAACTTCTCGTCAAATTCGAGCAGTTGCGGGCACTCGCGGTCCGCGTCCGTGATGTTACGATCTTCCATTTCTGCAAATGGCCTTTCAGAGGTGCTTGAAATCTTTTCCCGCACAAACCAGAGAAAAATCCGCGGCTGTGTCGCCGCGGATTTTCCTCTTGTTTGGCCGGCTGGACTTGAAACTGTGAAAATTCCATATTTCTTTTTGATACAATCAATATTACCGTTTGCTGCAAAACTTACTCGTTCTTAAAGCCGAGAGTTTGCTTGCTGAATTCAAAATCCAAAAAATCGGAGGCGAAAACTGAAAAAAAGAGTTTTACAAACTCTTGTGAAGTTCGCAAGTTCACGAAAAGGTTCGCCACGTGGCAAGCCTTGAGATATTGATGAAAACGTGAAAAAGTGTCAGTTTGCGAAAAGAAATGAACGAATGCGGACATTGTTTTGTGAAAATTGGCGAGGAACCGGCCATTTTGGCCAATGGAAAGGTGCGTTTTTAAAATGTTTTATTATATTTTATATTTACAAGCCTGAGCGCTCACAGGTAATTTTCAGGTAATTTTCGGCAGTTTGCCGTTTCTAAAAGCCTAGTTCTGTTTTGTCCGGTCCGTCTTTCTTTCTGCTGCCCTCAGCGGACATACAAACAGACAGACGCCTCTTGTGTTTTTATATGTAAGAAAGATATAATTTTCAACTTTTTTTCAGGTGTGGCACGTGAATCATCTTCTGTGCGATTTGTGCAATTGCCGTATAAACGACGGCGAGAGGTAGAATAACCCAGAAAAATCTGCGAAAAAAAAAACAAGTTTTCAGATGCGTTCCGCAAAATGGAATAATATTGTGCGGTGATTGTCACATCAAAACGACGCGTCCGATTTGCAAAGGTATTTGAAAGAATTTTATTTGCTCTTCAAAATTAGATACACTGAGAACGTTCTTCCTAATAGGGCTATTCAGCGTATGTTTGTTTTCCGATTTTTTCGTTTTTTTTACATCGCTGAATTGGATTTTTTGACGTAAAAAAACGAAAAAAACGGAAAACAATCATTTTTTTCACAGCCTGAATAACCCCATAAGAAAACTTGCTTTCAGCGTTAAAAGCTTTGGTAAAATTGAGAAAAACCATTTTTGAAACTGTAAATTTTCGTTTCTTTGTTAATCGGCTAAATGAGTCGGTATCGACATTTTGAAATGAATTCTTTGAAGCGGTACATATTATCTCGAAAAACGTGTTTACAACTTCTCAACCTGTAAATCAGTACAATAAATGCTCGTGAAACCATTGAAAATTTATTTTCAGGCTGCGGAGAGTTCATCCAGACGAACGTGTGCGAGGCGCTGAACGCCACGTGGCACCCGACGTGCTTCCAGTGCTCGGTGTGCCAGAAGCCGTTGGAGACGGACTTCCACCAGATGCCCAACCGCATGTGCGTCCATTCCGACTGCTTCTGGGACCTTCAGCTTCGGATCGTCGTCTGCAAAGACCTCCCGAAATGACGCGACTCTCATAACTTTTGGTATTCCATAAACGTTTTGAAACTTGGACTTGGACCCAAATTACTTCAATCGGCTCTGTCCATGCACGAAGACCGGACCCAAGTGATGGCATTATTTGGGTCCGTTCTTCCCGGACAAGTCCAAAAAGCTTGCAAAGTTTAGGCCCGATCGGATCATTACAACCGGGGCTGAGCGTCTCGCCAGTATCATCCGTGCCAGTTATCCTTCTGCATAAACCTGACTGCTCATCCTTTTTTTCTGTTCCCCTGGGCCGGAAAGTGTTCGAGTGCGCGGCGGTGCTCTTGAAAATGTGCGGAAACTTGCGCGCGCGCGCCCATTCGAGAGCCCCTCATCTCGTCGCCTCTTTTTTGACTCTTCTTCTCACTTCTTCTTCTTTCAATTAATTTCCCTTTTTCGCCCTTCTCCTCCTCCTCCTCCTCCTCTTCCTCACGTCTTTGCACTTTTGAAGCACCTGTTGCACACAGCTGCGAATTGAACGCTCATGACGCTTTTTTGGCGGTGAAAACTAACAGGGGCGGAGCTTAGAGGCGAGAAGAATCCGCAGCTGGGTCAACTATATTCACTGCAATTGTACTGATCGCGTTTCGTTGGAATTTGTGTGAGTTTTTCGAAATTCCAAAAATTGTTTCCAGTTTCAAACAAACAACGCACCGAAATCGATTAAGTCGCCGATTTCAATTTTCACCTTGTGTACACAACTTTCAGTAAACGACTTTCTTTGATTACCGTAATTTGAAGAACCGTATATTCGGGGAGTTTTCCGGGTAACACCATTTTTTTCGATTACAATGAACGAAATGACAAAAAATGTGTGTTGTCGAGTACTCGAAACCCACTCGAATGAGACAATTGGCAGTGGGCAAATATGGGCAACTGTTGAAGAAATTGAGATTTTTTTTTGAGAATTTTGAAAAAACCCGAAATCTGTTGGGTCGCAACCCCTCCTTGTTTGTGAAAATCGGGGCTGGGCCCTTGGCCTGAACTTTTGAACCACTTGCAATTATTCGATCGGACCCAAACTCAGCAGACTTCTTGCGTGTCCGTCCAGCCCATCCTAACTTTCTTTTCTTGATGCAGAACACGCGTCGGATGTATTCTCGATGGAGATTTCTCTCTCTCTCTCTCTTTCTCTCTCTTTGCTGGAAGAGCGACATTCCGACGAGTCTCCTTTCCAATGACTCTGGTTATTTTCGGCACGTTGCCGCGGCCAGTCGGCAATCCTAGACACTCCTAAACACCTAACCGTCCCGGTCATCCATCCCCGGCACAGCCGTCTGTCTCCAACCGTCCCTTCTGGCCATTCTTTCTTTTTCTTCTTCTGTCCACTGTCTTCCCGAAGGCGTTATGAGCGGAGTGTCGTTGTAGGTCTACACCGCGCCTAGTTTTGCTCTACCGTATCCGCGAAAACCGGAACATTTTGGCCGGACCGATCGTCTTCTTTCCTTTCTCTTCCTTGCCCAACGGATTCCTATATTTTCTATGCGAGAGCCGGGAGGACAATCGAATCGAACAGGGGCAGGTGAGGGCGTATTCTGGGCGTATTCTGAATGCCGTTGAATGCGGCCCACGCTGCTCGTGTTCAATTCTGTTGTCCGCTAAAAATGTCCACTTTTTGCTTGTTTTAAATGTGTGTCATTACTGATGAAAAAGCGAGGAATTCGCGGAGGAACTAATTGATCGAAATGCAATTATGAATGACTACTTTTCCGAAAATTGCGTGTAAAATGCAATGAAACGAAATAAGTGTCATTTTATGTATTCGTTTATTTAGTTCAAAAAAAGATAACAAAAGCCAAGGCACAGATGAGAATAGACGAATTACAGTTGTTGCTAGGACAGTGCCTCACGAGACGTGTAGGTAAAAGTAGAAGAACTGACCAATATAGGAGTGGGGGGAGGGGGGTAAGTTAAGTGTTTTTCGATCGTTCGGACTCAATTTATCGGAATAGTGAAACAGTGAAAAGAAATTCGAAAAACGTTGTCAGCAACAAGAGCGTTCACATGTTTCACAGAATTCGTCATCTGAAACGACGGTTGAATCGAAATCGTGCGCCAACTCTTCTAATCCTCCTAATACCATTCTGACCTTATTTTCTATTTCAGACCCGAAAAAGTGGGTCACACTTGTTTTGGGTATTACAACATTTCGCTTCCTCATTTCGCTCCTCAATCCGTCTCTCATTACATTGCTGCAAAAAGAAAAAGTGAATGTGTTTTATGAGTGGGGGAGGGCGGGAAAAGTTCGGATCGGATTAAAGGCGCGCATTCACTTTTCGGATACCATAGATGCTTTTTCGAAAATTCCGCAAAACTTCACTTTTTGTTCGATTTTTAGGCACATATCCATTTCAAAGTTTGTCAAGAAAAAGGTAGAAACGAGTCGGATAACTACCGGTCGCTCCTCTCATTTTCTTCTGAATTCCCGTCGATTTGCCATCCGAATATCCAGTCTATTTCGTCCGTAATTACAACATTTCCCCCCCGCCCTCCCCCAGCCGCCTTCGCATTTCATCTCTCTTTGTACTCTCAACCGACCACTTTTGTTGTTCATTTATTCGAAAAAACGTATTTTTTATCGATTTCAATAGCCCGACCGTAGCATCAATACAGTGTTCTTTCGAATAGCAATTTTTCTGTGAAACAGAAACTTTTCACTGTAAATTCCGAGGTTCGTTTCCCCGCCCCCGCCCCACCACGAATCCGTGTTTTTTTTTCTGCGTCGTCAAGTGTGTCACCTCTCCGACCTCCGATTCTTGCCACTCATTATCCGTTTTTCGGCGTCTCTTTTTGCCACAGATTAACGACAATTATAAATAGAAAAGGGTTTCGCCCACTTTTCCCTTGTCTTTTTGTTCGACGACTTTTCGTTTTGATTCTCTGCTATTTTCTACGAATTTCGCTGAGCCATTCTCTGTTTTTTTTTTTTTTTTTGATTTCTTCGAACGTCCGTCCTCACTTTCTCACTTCTAACATCACACAATTTTCGGCCGGCAACAGCAGTTTGCTACAAAAATGTCAAGCGATTCGGAGAAGAAAACAAGCCGCTTGCGGGTCCCGAACTCAAAAGTTTTGTTCTTATAATTTCAGAGAATGTAGATGAAACTTCACTAGCAAAAAGTAAAACAATCAACATTTGTTGGGGTGTCAATTTGTCGGCCGAAATGTCGAGTGTCTCTTTCCGTTTTTGCCATTATCCATCCCGTCTGTTTGCACAAATCCCGACACGAACACACTCATTTTTGGATGCCAATTCACAAGAAATACCGTTTTTTTTTCCGATCGGATTTCACTCACTCCCATCTACTTTTGATGGCATTTTACATAAAAGTCTTAAAGCCCTTGGAGAAGTCGCCCCTCTATTTGCTCTCTTTTCTCGAATCGAAAAGACACAAAAATAGTGTCAAAAAATAAAGAAAAATGCGGAGCGGCTTATGAAAAGTCAACAAAATTTTGATACAAACATCGAAACACTCCCCAGCCGCTTTATCAATAATATCCATCACTTTTCTATATTCCCAATGTTTCTTCCGGCCCTGGCCTATCGTCTTTTCACTTCTGATCTTCTCCAGGGACTTTAAATGTGTGACTGAACGAGAAATGAGAGAAATAGTGTGAGAAATGAAGAGACACAGAGAAAAATGCGGCCTGCCGTATCTACAGTAACCCAAGCATCCAACAGTTTTTTTTTCATGAGAAAATAACAAGTTTTGCAGAAGTGTTTCCAATGTTTCTAACGTTTTTGCACCAATCGTTTCTCTCTCTCTCTCTCTCTTTCTTTATTATTTTTCGGATGGTCAGTGTCCATCTTTGTATGCGTAAATATACATTGGAAAGAGAAGAGACGAAAAGCGAAAAGCCGCGCTTATCACTGAGCAAATAACGGACGGAAAGAAGAAGAAAGAGTCGGTCACTTTCGGAAAAAGAGAAAGAGAGAGAGAGAGAGAATGGCACTTTTGAGTGAATTGATAATATCTGTTCACACACTTTATGTGTCTTCTCTCTTTCTGCTATCAATCTGTCCACATTTCCTTCCATTTTTTTGTTGATTACGGTTTCACTTCACTTCATTTCATAGCTCATTTCATCAGGGCTCGGCAAAATGCTCCACTTTTGGCCCACTTGCCATGATCCGATCGGGCCCAAACTTTGCAGGCTTCCTGGACTTGGATGGAAGTATATTGGGTCCAAGTTTCAGACCGATCCGATTATCCGGTCCCGAGAAGACCGGGTTCATGCGGCCTTTTCTGGCTCCAAAAATTTGGGCCCGATCGGAGTGGGTCGAAAGTCCCGGCCTCCTCAAAAAGCGGTCGAAAAGATTAATTTTTGGAGATTAGGAAAAGTTGAAACAGAGATGTGATTTAGGCTCTTTTTACCGTCATTCTTTCCTATTTCAATTGTTTTCCGTAGCAGATGGTAGTCTACGACGACGTCTCCAACTTTTGTAATTTGTCGCCCACGTCGACCGTCTCGACGTCTTCTTCTTCCTCTTCTTCTTCTTCTTCTTCTGGAATGGTTTCTCCGGTTAGTCTCGAAAATTGAAAACTTGAAACAACTGCCGAACTTTTAGGTGTACGAAAACGTGGAGGAGCTGACGGGACTGTGCTCGCGGAGCTGGAAGATGATCGGAAAGAGGAGCTCGAAACCGTCGATGAGCGACTTTTTGGCCCAAATTCCGCCGCCGCCGCCCGTTTTCGAAGAGGACCACCGATTCGGGCCGGGATTCATGAAAAGGTCGGTCGGTTTTAGAGATTTATATGGGAAAAAGTACGTCGGACGGGGTGTAATTGAAATCAAACATCCGCCACCACTTTTAGACCCTTCACACATCATCGGAACAGATCAGAAGCGCTTGGCATCCTGCCAACATCCTGTTCTCCCAACGAATTGTAACAAAAGAGAATGATCGAATTAAGAGAAGAATTTATTTGAATAACACGGTCTCCAGAGCAGAGAATGGGCGCGCAAGTGCGCCCCGCCCAATAGAGCGGTACATTGGCGCGAAATTCAAATTTTAACAGCAAATTTTGTGTTTTTTGCCAGATTAGCCACGAAAAACCGATAATTTCTCATTTGTCTTTCGATAGACCGATTGTATAGGCCATTGCGAATTTTTTAAGCGAAAGAGCGTCAAATTTGGTCACGTCGCAAATCACATTTATCCGTTTGAAGGTTTTTGGCTAAAACTGCGTGAATTTTAGTTGCTTTTCAGTAGTTTTTGCGGTTCGAGCGCTCAAAATTCTTGTATTTACGTGATTTATCATTCTCAAAACCAATTCTGTCTGAAAACGGTCAAGAAAGCGCAAAATGAGAAGGCGGCGATCGGCGGCGAAGGCGAAAAAGCAAAGTCGGCGAAAAATGCGCCAAAACGTCATTAATTCTGAGAATTAGTGTGTTTTCATGTCGAACAATCATTTTTCATCGCCGTTGACCACAAAAATCAGAGAAAACGTGCTCAATTCATGAAAACGCCATTTGGCCGCCGAGGCCACGCTCATATTGTCAGCTCTGGAGACCGTGTATTAATAAAGCTTTATGGAGACGAAAAATTGTCGGGAAAATGCATTAACGGACATTCTCAACAGTCTCATTTTGAAAATCATGGTTATTGATTAGTAAGACAACAAAAACGAAGACACAATTTGTCAAGTCGTCTAGTATTGAGCCTAAAGGGATAATTTCAGATGCGCGGAACCGTCGCCGACCTCCTCCTCCTCCTCCTCGTCGACGTCTTCCTCTTCTGCCTCGTCGCGCCGTCCGATCATGCCGGCGGCGGTCCTTGCGCCCGTCTCCGCCTCCTTCTCTCCGTCTCCGCTCCCTCTCCCTCCTTCTGCTTCTTCTTCTGCTTCTTCTTCTTCCGTTCATCGCTGCTTCGACATGCGTCCGTTGTCGTTGCCGCACAAAGAAATGCAGCGGATCGAGCGGGAACAGTCGCACAGGTCGGTCCTTCCACTCATCCACAACCGCTTCGATATTATTCCCCACTATTATGCTCTTACTCCCGCATGTCCCAAAAGGTAATACTGCACTTTTTCACTGTTTCAAACGGTTTTCAACTAACTGCTATAAAAGAAAAACAAAATTCGGAAATCCTAGATGCTGATGTTTGTTTTTAAAGTTTTCGAGGTTCCGGATCCAACCAGGGACCACCGATCCGCACCTAATATTCTTTTTTGGGGAATCACTCTGAATTTGTCATAGACACTTTCCCGTTCAAACTTTTTCAGAAACAACTTTCAGTTTTACAAATTCTACAAAAACCCGCCCAACTTTTCTCTGTTCTCCTCCTGCAAATGCTTCCGTTTTGTAAACAAGAGGGACAGTTTTCGGCCCAAAAAAGTGGATTCGTTTCCACTTTTTACGGCCAAAGAATGTCCCCATTTGGAGATCACTTAAACAAGAAAGCAGAAGAAGAAGAGGAAGGCGAAAAGACCGACATCGGGGCCTATTTTGACGTCATTTGTATGCCGGTGATTGCATAATAATAATGGATACTTGACCGAAAAACCCACTTGCCAATTTATCAGTTCATTGATCAATTTGGGCGAGGATTGTGTAGCCTAGAACATTAAAGTCTTGTAACTCAAAAACGAACAGTTTTTGATCAAAGCGTTCAATTACAAAGTTGTTCAGCACAAATTTTAAAACATTTTTGTAGTTGACGACTTTTTGAAATAATTGTTGGTTCTCGAGATGTAAAGCTTAGGAGATTGGGAACTCTTTTTCAGAGGCATTTTCACTCAAAATGATATATCTCGGCTGAGAATAAAGTTATGAAAAAGTTGTCAACTAGTGAATTACTCGCCAAAATCTTGTGCCCATTTTTTCAGTTGACCACTTTTCGGCATCTCCACCACCAGCTAAGATATATTGTTTCGAATGAAGTCTGATCGATGTGATCTTTCCGATCACTTCCTCCTCATTATTTCTCGTCGATCTTTCCATCTCCTAATTATAAACAGCTTATTAAGTAGTCCTCATCCTCCTCATCATCTTCATGCGAGGCAAAAGTGTTTTGAGAATAGAATAAAGAAACCATCGGAATCTTCGAAGGAAGATTCCGAAGCGAGATTTACGTAACGAGAAGCGATCAGAGATCAAGGAAACAGGTGAACAAAAGGAGATCGGAGGCCGAAAGTGGCCAAAATTATTGGGGATCTCTAATTTATTTGGAGAATTCGTAGCAAAAAATCGATAAGCATCAAAAGTTCATTGACCGTGTTTGGAGACCTATATCTTGAGAACCAGTGATTATTTCAAAAAGTGACAAGCAACAAAAATGCAGGAAATTTCATGCTGAACAACTTTGTAATTGACAACTTTATCCCAAAATGTCTCACTTTTAAGTTATCAGCGATTAATTGCAGAGTGCTCATCATAACCCTGCTGATCATCACCATCTTCATCGTGCTCATCGCCCTCTCCATCTACATTTTCTTCGACGAAATCGAGAATCACATCAACAACATTGCCGACAGTTTTTGAGCGTCTCAATCAAAAACTCACCATTGTGTACTTGTAAATTGTTGTTCAGAAACCGCCCGGTCTCTCTTTTCCCCCCTTTTCGAAATGTTCATTTTTATGTCGAATTCTACGGGTTTGTCAAGTAGAAAACATTGCTTCATTTGTATATATTTGCGACACTTTTGTGTGTATGTGTGTGTGTGGAAAATAAAGTTGACACACTTTATGCAATTTCAGAGAATTGCGACATTTCCGAGAGCACTTCTGTGACCGGCTCTCGGTTGTGGACGGCCCAAGAAATGGTATGAATTTGTGCAAACGGACTCGAACATTTGAATTTCAAAGAGCCAGAAATCGAGAGAACAAAGTGTAGAAAGGGGTGTGGCCTGATCTGAGACGCGTTTTCTGAAAATTGCCGCAATTCCAGCACACTTTTCCGATATTTTTGTGTTTGATATCGACGAAAGAAGACATTAGAGAGAGAAAACATTGAAATTTTCATGAAAACGCCGCCTTTTGAGACGTTTTTGGCATCATTCGCAATACGCTCTCCGCGGCCAATCGCCGCCGCAATTTCGGAATTTTCATACCGGCCGATGTGGATAGTTTTGAGACGAAGTGAGTGTCGGAAGTGATTAAGCACACGTTAATACAAGTATTTTAAGCGTTCAAACGGCAAAAAGTATCGGCGAATGACTGAAATTCGCGCATTTTCAGCACAAAACTTGAAAATCGATTCAATTGATTCATTTCTGAATGAAACCTGCTCGTTTTAAGCTCAAAAAGTGCGCGATGATTAGTTTAACAAATTTATGCAATTACATCGTCGAAATCGTACAAACTTTGGGTAATTTTTGACGAAAAACATGAAAAATCGGGGTTAAATTTCGAATTTCGCGCCAAAATGGTGATAAACCGTGCACGCTAGGCCACGCCCCTTTCTACGTTTTTGGTCGCCGTGGCGTGTGTTTCTGTCTGTTTTTTTTTGTATGTTTGTGTGAACGGTGCTCGAAGGGCGCAGCGATCTTTGTTGGCTGTGGTCCGTGTGGATGTGTAAAAAACGTGGCAATTTCGCTGAAAAAGTAGAAAAATGTTCGTAAATCCACTCATAAAACGTCTCTCACAGTAGCCGCATGCATCGCGTCCGGGAAATCGCTGCGAGACCTGCCGGAAAAAACGCGATGCATTTCTTTCCGTTTTTTTTTTTCATTTTTTGACACCGCTGAATAGGGAAAAAACGGAAAACAATCATTTTTTCATCCCCTGAACAGCCCTATTAGGGTGCGACAAACGGCATGGGGGGAAAAGGCACTGCTCCCATGAAGTGTAGGTGTGAAGGGCGCCGAGGATAAATCAAAACAATCATTTCATTTTTTGCTTTCTTTCTCGCAAAAGTGTCAAAAAGAGAAATAGCGTGGATTCGAGAGAGACGGGCAGACGAGCCGAGTGGATTACAACACGTTTGCAGGTATCCGCTGCTCCTTTTTATGCGAAACAATTGGTCCCTTCCCCGCCAATCTGCGACTTTCTTCCGGCCCCCGCGCCATTGAGAAGAAGAAGAAGAAGAAGAAGAAGAAGAAGAAGAACAGATGCGAAAGGGATCACAAATTGAAATGGAACAGAGGAGACGGGAGGAGGAAGGCGGAAAGGGCACCAAAACAATCGGGGAGCAACGATTTTGGGAGCACACACTCACTATGGAAACTTTTTGTTGTTCTTTCTAACGAGACTTTCGAACTTTCACAAAATTCACAATTCGTGTTGGACATGAGACATCTGCCACGGTCTCCAGAGCTGATAATATGGGCGTGGTCAAATGGCGTTTTTGCATGAATTGAGCACGTTTTCTCTGATTTTTGTGGTCAACGGCGATGAAAAATGATTGTTCGACATGAAAACACACTAATTCTCTGAATTAATGACGTTTTGACGCATTTTTCGCCGACTTTGCTTTTTCGCCTTCGCCGCCGATCGCCGCACTTCTCATTTTGCGCTTTCTTGACCGTTTTCCGACAGAATTGGTTTTGAGAATGATAAATCACGTAAATACAAACATTTTGAGCGCTCGAACCGCGAAAATTACCGAAAAGCAACTGAAATTCACGCAGTTTTGGCGAAAAACCTTCAAACGGATAAATGTGATTTGCGACTTGACCAAATTTAACGCTCTTGCGCTTAAAAAAATTGTAATGGCCTATACAATCGGTGTATCGAGAGACAAATGAGAAATTATCGGTTTTTTGTGGCTAATCTCGCAAAAAACACAAATTTTGCTGCTAAAATTTGAATTTCGCGCCAATGTATCGCTCTATTGGGCGGGGCGCACTTGCGGGGCGCCCATTGTCAGCTCTGAGGAGACCGTGCATCTGACAAATTGAAGATTCCAAAAGTGTGCCGAAAACTTTCATAAACTATCATGCTCTAGACCATTTTAGGTTCAGTTTCATATTGTTACAAGTACACAAATGCGAATAAAGTGTAATATCTCACCTCCGAATCACTTCCGTCCGGGCCTTTCCCCCACATCAATATTGTGCTCACCACCGCCTCATCATCATCACGAAAAAAGATCTTCTTCTTCTTCTTCTTCTTTCCCCTCCAAACTATTATTGCCTTCTCCTCCTCCTTCTCCTGCTGCTCCCGAAGCTCCCGAAGCTCTTCGATCATTCGGCGGAGAGGAGGAAAAGTGTGAGACCTACCGTAATCCGCGAATCAAAAAGAGCACGCAATCGGCGGAGACTTGTCGTCTTCTCTCTTTCGTTTCGAAGGCGGGAGCCCATGAGGGGGCGGCCGGCAGTGTAACAGCTCGCTGGCTCGGCGGATCGACGGAGCCCTCAGTCGAGCCGCCGGGACTCCCACTCACTCGCGCTCTTGTTTTCCCGGCCGGCAGAGATGATGAAGGTGCCCGACCGGGTGAGGCCTCTTCATTCCCTCCATTTCACATGTCACTAAAAACTGAACATTTTGTAAAACCTGTGATATAGGTTCATGTTCAAAACGATATATCTCAACTGTCGATAGAGATATCGACAAGTGATCAACTGAGAAAATGTACACAATTTCTTCGTGAACAATTCATTAGTTGAAAATTTTTTGGATCTCTACCCACAGCCGAGATATATTGTTTTGAATGGGGTACCCTTCTACGGTAAGAGCAGCCTCCAGCACCGTCCATTCAAAACGATATATCTCAACTGTCGCTTGAGATATCAAAAAGTGATCAACTGAGAAAATGTACACAAGATTCCAATGAGCATTTTACTAGTTGACAACTTGTCTGTATCTTTATCGACTGTTGAGATATATCGTCATGAATGAACTTGGTTTCCGAGTTATACGCCATTTCCATGAAGTTCTCAATGCTCTGTAATCTATGTAACTTTTGCTGTATTTTGAAGCTGAAATTTGTCTGAAACTTCTTCTTTTTCTTCTTCTTCTTCTTCTTCTTCTATTACACAATTGTTTTGGGTGTTTGGAGCCGCCCGCGGGATCCATCCGTCTCGTTTCTCTGCCGTCTCTCGCTTTCCCGCACTCTCTCGCTTCCCGACTTGTTGTCACCTGTTTATCGGCTAACTTCTGCTCCCGGCTCGACGAGAAACAGCCACAACAACTTTTTTGAGAAGTTTTTCAAAAAAATGCCAGAGAAATGCATGCATTCTCCGATGTTGTTTCATCACTTTTTGCGCGTACAAACACACACACACAGAGAACGTTTGTTGATTGTATTTTTTTCTAAACAATTCCCCCCCCCTTTCCCTCTTTTTATTGTTCTTACAAGACATGCCCGAAAGCGGACCGACATTATTACTTTTTGTACTCTTTTGCGGAATTTTTGCTCTTGGAACTTTGAGCATCTCGATTGTGTTTTGTACTCATTTCGAAACATTGAACATTTCAGAGGACACGAAAATGCCGCCAACTGAGGATCAAGTTGTTGGTGAGTCTGCAAGTTTTTGCGCATTTTACTGGGAAGGCTTCAGAAACAAAATGTTTCCGGCCCAGGCTTTTGGAGGCCTGGACTTTTGGCCCACTTGCAATTATCCGATCGGGCTCAGACTTTGTAGGCTTCCGAGATCAGAGGCCGAAAAGGCCGCAATGTTTGCAGAAATCCGGTCTTTTCGGCCTCAAACCTGTATATCTCGGGCGTAGATAAAAACTTGAACCCGGGCGAACGGGGACCCCAATTGCTTGGGGGTTTATATATAAGCGAAGGGTCATTCTGAGTCCTGGGTATCTTTTGCCGAGTCAGGATACGGTCACACAACTTCAGATTTGCCCTCCCGCACACCCCACTGGTTTTAGTGTTTTCAAGGCAATTTCCAGTCCATTTAAGTATATCTCTTCAACGAAACCAGGGCTCCAGACTGTTTTTGTTTGAGTCTATTGAATTGTTTTCTAGCTAGGCACCTCTTTCTTGGGACTCGTGTGTCCATGATCCTGTCATCTCACTTTTTCGGAGTCTACTGCCATCCGTGTCGTTTGTACCTGTACACCCCTTTGGGAATCAACAGTTATTTTGTTCTTTCTTGTAGTCGAGAAGAAATTCGGATAATTGCAAGTGGAAAAAAAAGCCTTTGGCCAAGAATCCACGTAAAATAAGTGTCCAAATGACCGAAAACCGTTCTCTTTTCCCGAATCTTCTCTATTTATTCTCTCCTCCTCCTCCTCCTCCTCATTTCGGGTCAAAACTGTCAAATACGTGTGCTGCATGTGTGCTCCAAATGTTCGAATCATTCTTATTAATATTATTATTGTCCGTCCGAGAAGAAACGCGCTTCTGTACGATTTCCATTGTGTTCTGCTGATTGTGACCTTTTTTGCTGGTGTTGTTGAGCAATTTAGACAGTGTTTCCCAAACGAATATTGTAGTTTTCCGTGCGAAAACCGTGGGAGTACTAATGCTTTTCCCCCGGTAGTAAAAAAAAAACTAAACCGAACAGCCAACAAACGGTCCAAATGATCCACCACCATCACTTTTTTAGACACCCCTCCCCGCCCCGGGGAGAAATAGTAGGGCGGCAGAGAAAAAGTACACAAAAACGGAGGGCTTCTTCTTTTTTTTCTTCTTCTTCTTCTTCTTCTTCTTCTTTTCCATCGGAGAGCAACTTCTCAAATAATACTCACTTTTACTCGGTTTCTTTATTTTAAAACTATTTTTCTGCCCCCCTCCGCCGCCGCCACCACCACCTGCTCGTTGATTTTCTCGCTTCCTCGAGTGCTCTTCACAAACGGCTCACAAGTTTTTTGGGGCTCCCTCCGAGAGCTGATTTTTGAGTGATTAGTTATTGGAACGCGTTTGATCGAGTCAATCTCTTGAAAGAAATCTGCTTGAATCAATCAATTCAGCAGAGTTGAGCGGAAGAACTCAACGGAAGAATACGGAAGAATTTTTATCTTTTTTAGAAATTTTTTTCATGGAATGTGATCAACTGACGAAATGTATAGCAAAGTGAACTCTGCTCGTAGAAAAATAATTGTAAATTTAGCTTTTCATACAAAAAAGTTATTCGAGTTGTTCCGTGAAAAAAGAAGGGCTAACGGGGAAGACGGAAAGACATTTTCACGCAACAACTCGAATAACTTTTTTGTATGAAAAGCTAAATTTACAATTATTTTTCTATGAGCAGAGTTCACTTTGCTATACATTTCGTCAGTTGATCACATTTCATTAAAAAATTTTCTAAAAAAGATAAAAATTATTCCGTGTTCTTCCGTTGAGTTCTTCCGCTCAAACTCTGCAATTCAGTGTCGTTTTCAGATAAAACCATTTTAAAAGCGCAGTAACCGAGCGCTGCGGCCATACAATAGAAGTAGAAACCAGCGGCTTCATTGGCTCAATAGAAATGCCTTTGTGCAGCCGAGCCGAGCCGAGCACTAAACAATCAAATCCGTCGATATCTCTGTGCTCTCCTCCCCCCTCTTTTTGTTCCTCTTCGTGTGCCAACATTTTGCTCTCTTTTGGTGTTGCTCAAAATTTGATCTGAAACATTTCAGAGCCCTCTCTTGTCTTTCAGTTTGTTCCAATCTAATTGCGTCTACAATAGAAGTGAGAGTCAAGTCAAAGTTCAAACAAACTCTGCGTGTGTCTCTGTTCCGAGTGTTCTTCTCTTCTCTTCTCTTCTCGCAACTGGTTTTCGTGGCGAGACCCATCCCCCTCCCACTCGAGTCTTTCTCATTCCTTCTGTCGCTTGCCAGCCAGCCCGCAGATCTCCGGATCCCAAGATGCTCTCGTTCAACACCACGACGACGTCTTCGAATTTCCAATCGGCCTCCTCCAAGTACTCGTTCGGATCCACACTCTTCCCCGAGCACTTCTATCCGAGCGGTCTGAGCCCGCGACAGTCGGAAGCCGTCGAACGACTCCGACCCGAACGAACCATCCCGATCCAAGTGGTGCCGAGTGCCGTACCCCAAGTGACCGTAACCTCGCCACGTGCCTCCATCGTTCCTCAGTTCGCCTCCGAACGGCGCGGTCTTCAACCGGCCAACTATCGACAATTCGTGGCCGCACCCAAATCGCCGCGTGGATACGGAGACTATCCGGAGATTACCGGACGCCCTTCGCTCCCTTTGGTTGAAACTGAGGCCCCGCCCACTTTGGCTCAACCGGCTCAAGCGGCTCCAAACTCGTACGGAGCATCAATCTCACCGCATCCCGTCTACTACTACGAGCCGAATGAGCAACCGTTCCGAACGGCTCAATTTACGACAACTCATGCAGGTTTTGTGTGCTTTTTTGTGAACGTGTCAATGTTTTTGTCCGCGTTTTTGTCCGCGTTTGAGAAAAGCGAAAAAGGGGAGATTTTGTGAATACAGCCACTAAATTTCAAATTAGTTTCTTTCGCAGAATCGAAAAATCAAACGTTTTTATTGCAGAGGAGCAGCCAAATGCGACGATGGAGACGAAGGTGACCGGCCAGGGCCAGCCGAAGCGCGTCGGTCGCTGGACTCTCGCCCAGCTCCGTCAAACTGACGGTATCCGCTTTTGAGCGACAACACGCTTCAAATCGATAATATTCAGGAATTATTCCGAGCCAGGCCGGATGGAACAAGGGAGACTCGCAGAAGTTGATGACCAACTTCGGAACGCCGAGAAACACGAACACGCGTGTCAAGTCTGAAAACCTTCAGGTACCAAACAGTTTAGGTCCAACTGTTCATTCCGAATTTGCAGGAGATCCCAGAAGACATTGCGCAGCGCACGCACGGAGAAGTCCGTCTTCAGTCGGGAACGAACAAGTACGCCTCGCAGCGCGGAATGGTCGGATTCGGATCCGGACGTGACGTGTGCCGCGAGGGAGTCCGCGTCGGACAGAACCCCGCCGATCTGGCTGTGAGTACTGGTAGCAGAGTTGAGCTGAACGGAAGAACTCAACGGAAGAATTTTTATCTTTTTTACAAAATTTTTTCATGAAATGCGATCAACTGACGAAATGTGTAGCAAAGTGAACTCTGCTCATAAAAAAATTAATTGTAAAGTTAACTTTCCATACAAAAAAGTTATTCGAGTTGTTCCGTGAAAAAAGGGCTAACGGAAGACGGAAGGACATTTTCATGCAACAACTCGAATAACTTTTTTGTATGAAAAGTTAAATTTACAATTATTTTTCTATGAGCAGAGTTCACTTTTCTATACATTTCGTCAGTTGATCACGTTCCATGAAAAATTTTAAAAATTTTAAAAATTTTAAAATTAAAAAAAAAAATTTATGACTGACAAGGGATGATTGTGACCCCCCCCCAACTTGGAAAATTCTCAAAAAATTCTCAAAAATCAGAAAAACGCAGAATAGCACGCTCGAATTTTTTCAGAATTACGCCAAATTTTTTGGATTTTCCAGAACGTTCCAAAGTGCTTTTGAAGTGCTTATTTGACCTTCCACGTGGCCATATTTGAATTTTCCTGCTGAAAAAGTGAAAAAAAACTTTAAAAAATTCGGCCAAATTCTGGAAAAAAATTGAGCGTGCTATTCACAATTTTTCCGATTTTTTTAGGAGAATTTTTTCCAGAATTTTCCAAGAGCATTCCCTTGTGAAATTTGCAAAACCGGGCGGAATTAAAAGTGGGGTTTCGATTTGAATGTCTTTGCCAACTTTTGATCGCCGTGTGTACGATGTTTCATGCCTAGTGTAAAAAAGATTCGAAACTTTGGTCGTACAGTAGTAATCCAGACCTTTTTGTTTACTGTTCATCTCGCACACACGTTCTTTCACATTTTCCTGGTGTGTGTGTGTGTGTGTGAGAATCGACTTAGTGATAGGGATTAGTACGGTAGTTTGCAAACAAGGGACCAATTTGCAGGAGCTGCCCGAAGAGAAGATCCGTCTTTCGGAGGGAATCGTGCGTCTGCAAGCGGGAACGAACAAGTACGATTCGCAGAAAGGAATGACCGGATTCGGTACCGGACGTCGTGAGACCACGAAGATGGTCGACTCGAAGCATCCGGAGTACGACCACGAGAAGCCGGATCAGTCGGAGATTCCGCTGCAGTCGGGAACGAACAAGTTCGCGTCGCAGAAGGGAATGACCGGGTTCGGAACGGCGCGTCGCGAGACCACCAAGATGGTCGACACGAACCATCCGGACTACTCGCACGAGCAGTCCATCGACCAGACGACGATTCCGTCGCAGATGGGCTCCAATCAGTACGCGTCGCAGAAGGGAATGACCGGATTCGGACAGCCGCGTTGGGAGGTCCTCGACCCGTCCATCTCGTGGCAGAACCGCAAGTCGCAGGGAATGGTCCGTCTTCAGTCGGGAACCAATCGATTCGCATCGCAATCTGTGAGTGTCCACAACAAAACATTAATCGATGGATCGTCTATTTGCAGGGTATGATCGGATTCGGAACCGTCAGAAACACGACCTTCGAGGCCGAGGGAGGCGAGCTGCCGTACGAGGCGATGAAGGTGTCCGAGACGATCATTCCGAGCCAGGCCGGATGGAACAAGGGAGACTCTCAGAAGGCGAGTGCGGTTGCCGAATGTCTGATGGTTGCGAAATGTTCGGTGCCTGACGTTTCGCAACTAGATCGACGTTAAACGAAAACCGAGACGAAACACATTAAAATCTGAAATGTTTTGCAGAAGATGACGTCATTCGGAGCCCCGCGTGACGTGAAGGGCAAGCACTTGAAGAGAATCTGGGAATTGGAGTACCCGGAGGAGGCCGAGGTCTCGCTCGATCGCCTCTAAATATCGGACGGTTCCTCGCCCACGCAAAACTATCGATACCTGTGCATAATTTGCTTTTTTCTTCTTCTTCTTCTTCTTGTTTTCCTCCCCCGCTTTTCCGCCCCTTACCCGTCTGCCCCGCGCCCTTTTTTTGGTCCTTCACACACAAAATATCCCCCCACTTTTTTCCCTACCAATAAATCTTTTTTTGAACGAGATAAAAGTGTATAGAGAACGTGAACGTTCGTGTTCTTCTCTGCCGCCTTTCCGTTAGCTCCACTTTGATAACATTTTCAAAGGGATTCCGGTTATTTCCAACTAAACATTGTTCATCCTCTTTCAATTCAATAGGATGACGGTCCGGCAAAGCATTCTCGACCTTTCAACGAATCTGTAATTTCAGAAAAGGCAATCACAAGAAAGTGTCAAAAAGAGCAATCAAAAGAGCGGCAGAAATGTAATTTTTTCAAGAAAACATCAGAACCCTTTGTTAGTCTACAACATGATGAACTTTTGCCCAAAAAATCAAGTGAAATGAATCAGTATTTCTACGGCGGCTCGCGTCCGAAGTCTCGGAACACGGAGTGCGGCGCGCTCTCCAAGCCTTGTTTTGTGCGCCGAAACTTCAGATGCGTGCCGCCGACGAAATACTGATTCATTTCACTTGCTTTTTTTTGGGAATGTGCTCATTATGATGTAAACTAAGAAAGAGACACAAAAAACACGCACGAAACAGCCATATTTAAAAAAAAGGGACGCCTTTTACCATGGGCGCACTCGGCCACCAACGGAGCGAGCAAGCCTGCTCCCCGGCGCACGGTCTCCAGAGCTGACAATGGGCGCAAGTGCGCCCCGCCCAATAGAGCGATACATTGGCGCTAAATTCAAATTTTAACAGCAAAATTAGTGTTTTTTGCCAGATTAGCCACGAAAAACCGATAATTTCTGATTTGTTTCTCGATAGACCGATTGTATAGGCTATTACAAATTTTTTAAGCGCAGGAGCGTTAAATTTGGTCAAGTCGCAAATCACATTTATCCGTTTGAAGGTTTTTGGCTAAAACTGCGTGAATTTCAGTTGCTTTTCGGTAGTTTTCGCGGTTCGAACGCTCAAAATGCTTGTATTTACGTGATTTATCATTCTCCGAACCAATTCTGTCGGAAAACGGTCAAGAAAGCGCAAAATGAGAAGTGCGCTTTTTAGGCGGCGATCGGCGGCGAAGGCGAAAAAGCAAAGTCCGCGAAAAATGCGCCAAAACGTCATTAATTCTGAGAATTAGTGTGTTTTCATGTCGAACAATCATTTTTCATTTTTTCACCGCCTTTGACCACAAAAATCAGAGAAAACGTGCTCAATTCATGAAAAGGCCATTTGGCCGAAGAGGCCACGCCCATATTGTCAGCTCTGGACACCGTGCGGCGTTGTTTTTTTACTAAACATTTTTCAGAGAAGAAACTCTAAAACGCCCGTCTATCAGCCGAGCCAAAAGAATGTGGTGCGTGGGCGGAAAACGGTGAAAGCGGTGACAAAATCGAAGAGTGGAAGTGTGGAGACGCCGCGAACGGAGCCGAAGGCGAGAATGGAGAAGAGGAGGGAGAAGGAGCCGGAAAAGGAGTCCGACGGGAGCCCTTGTGAGCACGTTCTTATGTTTTCCCGTCATTTTGAGCGCTCGTGGGGGTCTGTACGATTTGTTTGATAGTTGTTATGATTGTTTGAAACGTTATGATTGTTTGCACGAATCGAAAACAAATTCAGAATTCCAGAGAAATGAATTTCAGTACTGGCGGCAATCAACGGAAGCGCGGAAACGAAGAAGTTGGAGGTGCAGACGCAGGAAGTGGACGTGGACAAGATGAAGAAGTTGCTGGTGAAACTGAAGGCGGACAAACTGAAGCCCCGGATGGCGCCGGTCCCACTCGACGCGAAGGCCAAGCTGCTGATGGACCGGGTGATGAAGAAGCCCTACCCGATGAGGTACGAGACGAAGGGAAAGGAGGAGTTGCTCTGTTTCGACGAGACTTCCTCCTTCTACCGGCCGTCGAAGGAACTCAAAAAGTTTGGATCTTCGGTTCGCCTCACGGAGGACAGCTACGAGTACGTGCCCAAGTTGGCGGTCGTCCGCCGACTGCCGCAGACGAATGTGTTCAACCCGAACGGAGTGCCGTTCTGGGCCGATCGACTCGAACCGACCGACGATGAGATTGTGCGTTTCTTTTCAGAATGAACTTGAACGTCCTCTTTTTTTGCAGAAAGACATAGATCCTCCGATCTCGGTGGGAAGCGACCACGTGGAGCTGTACCACGACCAGAAACTGCCGCTGAAGTCGATCGCGAACGCAAAGGTGGTGCTGGACGTGTTCCAGCCGCTGGTGTGTCTCCAGAAGAGGGACGAAGTGCACTTCCACGCCCATCTCGTCTTCTCCAACACGGTCCGCTCGCTGGTGAACGTGCAGAGCGGCGGCACGAGCGATCCCAACCGGACACGGCCGAACGTCGACGAGTCGGACCGGCAGACACGGATTCTGGCGGGCGCGCCACACGTGCACTTTTATTCGGTGAGAAACACTTTGCAACTAACGGCCGTTCCGAAAGCAGACATGCGGAAACCGCGACGTTTTGAAACTAGGTACTGAGAGACACGAATAGTGACGGTCCAGGCTTTTTGTTGAAATGTCTAGTCAAGTACACGGGCTAGAAATTGTGAATCTGTAACTTCGCACAGAAACCTTTCATTTGCTGACTCATTTTGAATAACAGAATACAATTGAAGACACATTGAAAAACCAAAGTGTCAAAATGTTGGTTTCGAAATGTCCGGGAGTCCACTTTGCAACCAGAGTTGCCAAATGTCCGTCCGTTCGTTTTTCAGCGAACCTTCCCGATCCAATCGGCGCGAGAATCGAAAGAGAAGACCGGATCGGGCAAGACACTCACAAAAACCACTTCGGATCTCTAGTCGCATTATTGATTTGTTTGGCCAACTCTTTTTCGTGATAAATAAATTTCTGGATACATTTATCGATATTTTCATTGAGAAACTCACGCTAATGTGCTCTTTTTCGAATTATCTTCGTTCGCTCCGTCGGGCGAGCCATTCTTCTTTTAAATCTTCGCGAAGACGCTCCGGAGACTTTACTTTTTATTTTTTTATCTCAACAATAATATTCATCTTATTCTCATACTAATTTGTAATAAAATAAAATCATATTTTTCAGTGAAAATTTGCGGAAAAAAACGAGGAGGGGGTGGGTGGGAACAGGAAAAGGCGAATATTTGTGTGGCGCGGGGAAATTTTTGAATTTTTCGGTTCAAAACCAAACATATCTTTGTGTAATTATAATAAAAGTGAACTTTGATGACTAATAATAAAAATAAATCGATAATTTCACACGAAGCGATTAAAAAAAGGGGCGTGGCTTACAGAAAATTGAATGAGGCGGCGGAGCTTGAGAACCGGGCGGAAATACAAAAAACAAAAAAACAAACGAAAGAGTCACATAATATCACGAAGTTCAAATGAAAATATGAACCGAGTTAGAGAGAAGAAGCGGCTGAGAATAGAACAATAGTGATGAAAAAAGAGCAGAAGAAACAAACAGACGAACAATTATCGATTGGTAACACCGGTGAACACGGAAGAACGGAACTGTTTTGTGGACTTTTTTGAAGAGAAAATGAGGAAACACGAAAAGAAATGGCTAATTTTTGCGAGAAAATCTATTATTTTGGCGGTTGCTGCTGTAGGGGCGGAAATCCGGGCGGCGCGGCCGATCCGGGCGGCATTTGGAACTGATTCATGCCCATCAGCATCATCATTAAATCCGGTTGTGCGGGCATCTGCAAGAAAGTCGAATTTCAGGTGAGAAATGATGGCAAAATCAGACAAGATGAATGTTTTGTCTAGAAACAGTGAAGCAAACGAACCATTCTTCCCTGCGCGGCGGCCATTTGCATTTGCATCTGCATTATTTGATGGGCGGCCGCTGCTTGCTGCTGCTGTTGCATCGATTGAGGCGTGCCTGAAAATTGAAGAAAAATGCATAGGCCTTTAAACTCCGTTTTAATTTTGTCCGTGTTCTTGAGCATGTTCCCAAAAGGGACCCACTTGCAATAATCCGATCTGACTCAAGCTTTGCAGATTTCGTATCCAAGTCTCACTAGCCCGACCGATCAGACAATTGGCACTAGAGATATACTGATCTGGGGCCTAAGCGCCTATGCAAAGACTTTAGATCTTGCAAAGTTTGTATCAGATCGGCGAACGTTTTCTAAATGTCTTACACTTACACTCTGTTCTGGTTAAAACTGAAAAAATCTGACAGAAACAACTCAATTCATCGCTATTGCCCGACGATGTTTACAGACTCTGCCGACCAAAATCACTGAAATTATGCGCAAACACCGAGGGGCAACAGCGATGAGTTGAGTGTATGTGTGAAGAAGTCTCTGACCAGGGGTGTGCATCAAGTGCGGCGGCAGGAACTGTCTCTGCGGAGTGTGCGTCCCCGAATTGCCCCCTGACGGCGTCTTCGGAGTGTTCTGTCTCTGCCGTTCCGCATTTTCCTTCGCCTTCGCCAACTCGTGGATCTTGTGCGAGTCGTTGAGTTGTGCCCGCGACGACGTGCGCGTCATTTGCTGCTGTTGCTGACTGAGACTCGCCACCATGCGGGGGTCCATCGCAGCCAATGCGGCCATCTGGGACTGGTGCATCAGCGAGGGATGGGCGAATCCGGCGGGCGGCAGGAACTGCGGCATCGGATGGCCCTGAATGACCGCCGTCGGTTGCGAAGACGGCGTCGACGAGGAGGAGGAGGAACTCGGTTGCGAGCCTGCAAATAGAATATTCAATCCAAACGTCTTGTAATTGATAAAAGTTGGAAATGTTCAGAAAGTAAGTTGAGTTTTCTGTAAGACTCGACAAAGGTCGACTACCCGGCAGATTTCAGAATGTTTCGATTTGTCTCATATTATAGCTTCACTGATTTTTTAAAATGATCATATTTCCGGCTCCATGGTCCCTGTCCTGAGCACGGTAGATATTTTAAGTTTTTTGCCTTTACTGAAAACTTTTAACTCTAATTCTGAAACAGAAAAGTTCATTTTCGGACCTGTGCAAAAATCCGACTTTTAGACGGGTTTGATGGTTTTGATCCTTATTTCCAGCCTTTATATAGTTTTTCTCTTTAGTTAAAACAAATACCATTTTTAAATAAAAAAAAACGAACCCCTTGGGGAGTGTGTCACAAAAGCGCTCTTCTGTTTGTTGTCTACGTGTTTCTGCGCGTTCACTTGTGCAATCATCGCCGGATTTATTCCGATCTTCGCGGCGGGCGTGGAATTCGCGGACCGCATCTGTGGCGCCCCGAGGATCGGGATCGGAGCACTCGTCGACGCCTGCACAATGTTCATGAGGGCGGCCGTGGCCGAGGATCCGACCGGGGCCGAGGAGGATCCGCCCGTCGAGACCGCCTTCAGCAGGTCCAGCGGTTTCTGGTCCACATCGTCGTCCGAGAGATCCTCGTAAACCTGCCCGCCGGGTCCCATTATCTGCAAAAAATGTCTTGTGATATGAAAATTGAAAGAAAATAATGTTTTTCTCCAGTTTCAAAATTGCTATTTGTTGAATTTTCAATTAATTCGTCAATTTTTTAAAATTCCCACGCGTGCACAACACCACAAAAATATATATAGGAAATAGCGAAATACCTTGATGGGCGACTCCTTTTTGAGGACGGGCATGGGCGGTCCGGGACCGAGTTCGTCGTCGATCTCCGTGGCGACGGAGCGTCTGTCCAGCAGCGAATCGTCCGTTTGCGAGCACATCGATTCGAACATTGTCACCCGATTCTTGTGGTTTTTCGCAATGTGATACTCGAGTTCCGACGATTTGTGGAAGCGTTTTTCGCACTCTTCGAAGTGGCAATCGTGCATTTGCGCCCTGCAACAAATTCTTGAATACTTTATTTTTTTCGCTCTTTCGAAAAATACTGATGAAAGGGAAAACAATTAATGCTTTTTCTGCAGATATTTGATTGAATATTGTAAAACTCACAACTCGATTTCGAGGAGTTCGCACTTCTGGTTGCCGTAAACCTCGGCCACCTGCTGGTTTTCCTCTTCCATCTCCTCCACTTCCACTTCTTCTTTCTTTCGCTTCCCTTTCCCCTCTTTTGGTCCTTTTTCGCTTTTCGACGGAGTCTCTCGGGCCACAGATCCGCCACGTGTCGATCTTCCGTTCGAACTCGCCGAGCTCGACCGTCTGCAATTTAGAAAAACATTTTAGGGAAAAATGACCGATTTTTCCAATCCGTTTATGCTTCTCGTCGTCTCCTTTCTTTTTTTGGAAAATTTAGTAAAATTATAGACTTTGGGAACATGAATCCCTCCTTTTGAAGTTCACTTTAAGAATATGTTGCTTTTTTAGTGCACGACACCTTTAATAAAAGAAACCCTAGCTTTTTAAAAGTGCTGTAACTGAATATCTGTTTTTCTCATACTTTCTCGAATAATTTTACCGTAAAACGGACCCGTCTTTATTGTCCGCATCGTTCATCGCCTTCTTCTTGTTATTGTTCACTCCCGCGGCGGCCGAATTGGCGATCGGAGGCAGTCCGTCGCCGAGGAACCCCACCAGATCGGTTCCTTTCACACTGAACGCCACGGACGTCTTCGTCCTGTACATAACGGTCACTTCGAGCATCAGCTGGCTGCCCGGCGGCGCCTCCATCACCGATTCGTTGCCGAAAAGGCCGGAAGTGTCCACGCTTTTCGTCGTTATTACGTTTGTTGTCGCGTCGCGCTGAAACATTGCAATTTGAGGAAAAATTTTAATGGTGCGGAGAAATGGAAACGTTCGGCCACAGATTTGCAACAGAGCGTGTTTGTCCCTTAAAGAATGTCCTGCCCACCTGCGTGATCTCCTTCTCCTTCACAACTGCTGTTGCGGGAGCTGCCGACGCTCCGGCAGTGCTCAATTTGGCGCGTTTCGAGTGCGGCGTCGTGTCGGGCGTCCTCTGAATCGGCATCATCGGCACGGAGACGATGTCTTCCTCGTTGAAGCACGCCGAAATGGCGACTGTGGCCATGTGCGAGCTCGCGCGTTTCGACCGTTGCGGAGTCGACGCATTCGACGGAGTGTCCGACGAGCTGTTCGTTTCCGCACCCGATTTACGCTTTTCGCCCGCATTTTCCATCGATTCTGCAACATTTTTTTTCTGTTTCATAAATTTGTTTGAAACAAATTGTTACTTTGATTTTTTTGATTAAGATATAATTGAACTTTGACCTGGACTTTTGAACTACTTGCAACATCCCGATCGGACCCAAACTTTGCAGGATTTTTGAACTTGGATTGAGGGTTGTGACCAAGTTTCAGCCCGATCGGATCATCTGGTTACGAAATATGTGGACTATTGGCTAATTGCCCAGTCCTGGTTTTTTTCATTAAAGTTTTACAATAAAAGTAAAAATGAGGCTACCCCGAGCCAGAACTGTCCCGAATCGGAACCTCTCTGCAGGTGGCTCTTGTCACGAAAGGTCATGTTGTGACGGGTTCTGATTCGGGACAGTTCTCGTTCGACGTTTCTAACCTCGTAAAAATAACGTATTCTTTAAAGGCGCACAGCAAAATTTTTGTGCGGGTCTCGCAACGAAACGCGCTTTGAACGCGTTTTTCTTTTCGTTTGTTTTCGCGCGTGTATCGCTCATTTTGCTTCGTTTCTTCTCATTTTTTGCTTTAATTATTCATTTTGTACCCTTTTTGTTAAATTTTCATAAAGCGTGCAAACCTGTTCAACAGTTGAAGGGCAAATAGCAGTTATTTTGAAATTAACTTTCTTCGATGCCTAATTTAAAAAATTTAATTTTGAAACCGGCTTTTATGGTTTCTTTTCAGTTTTTTGGCCAAAAGACACATTTTTTGAGTGAATTTACCCGGAAATCGCTACCTTTTCGTTTTCTGGTTTTCTCCGTGCTCTGCGGCGGTTTCATTCCTCCATTCTCTTTTTTCGTCGTCGATTTTTCCGATTTTTCCGACGAAGAAGACGAGGATTCTGGAGGCGGAGTCGCAGATTCTTCCTGTTTTTCTTCTTCTTCCTCTTCTTCATTTTCCTCCATTTTTTCAGCTTCTTGAGACAATGTTTCGGCTGAAAATTAAGAATTTTACATATTCTTTATTGTGCTGTAAACTCACACTTTTCAGCCGGTTTTTCTGGCTCCTCCTGCTCGTTTATCTCCATCGGCTCTTCTTCGTCTTCATCCAATTCTCCGTCTTCTTTTATCTCATTTTCTTCTGTTTCTGGCTCTAAAAGTTCATCACTTTTACGAAAATTTGAAACACCCATAAAAAGAAAAAGTTTGTGAAAAGCCTACCTTTCTCCTCGATTTCCTCCACCTTTTCCGGCGTTTTTTCCCTATTTTTGGGCGCCGAGAAAGAGGAAGAGGGCGCCGAATAGACGGGCGTCTCCCTTCCGAAGTCCTCCGGCGGATTCTCGTCGATCGTCAGCCCCTGCGCGTCGTCCTCATCGTCCGACATATCGCCAGCCGCCTAGAAATTGTGATTTTGAGCGATTTTAGGTGGTTTTGCGGTGGAGAAATTAGTGAGAAAGTAGAGAAATGGGCGGAAATAAGGAAGAAGATAGAAACTAAGTTGAATTTGAGTGATATTAGGAAAAAAGAAAGTTTGAAACAATATAGAAAAGTATATACTTGTTCTTTCAGTTCCCTACGGAAAAAATCGTATTTGCTTGGGTAAAATGGTATAATGAAAGGTGTTTTGAGTTTATGTCAAAGAAGAAGTAAGAAGAGAACAGTTGGGGTCAGTACGTCTTCTTCTTCTTCTTCTTCGTCCATTCGGGGGGTGTCCTCGATTCGTACGTGTCTCGTGCCGTCTCCGTCTCCGCCCGCCCACGCACTCTCTCGCCATCTCTCGCCGTCTCGCGCCCTCCGCGCTCTCTCGCTCGCCGCGGAGAAGGCGGGAGATCGTGGCGAGACCCGAGGGACGGGCGCGCCAAAATACGCGCGCGATTCGAATTTGTTTGCCTTCACCCGCAATGCTTTGCCTCCTTTTTTTACCGAATTTTTGTGTATGCTACAAATGTTTGTGCTGGAATTTTCGCATAAATTTAGAGGTTTTAGAAGACTGAAAAGAAACGTTTTTGAATGCATTCAATCGTTTTTTCAGTGAAAATTGTACGGTTGTCCTTTTTTGTAATTTTTTAGCTTTTTAACTTAAAAATCATTGATTTAATTTTGAATTCAAAACCAGAACTTTGGCGGTCTTTCCTTTTCTTATCTAAAACTAACTGCGCTGACCTTCAAACCTCAATTTTATCTGATTTTTTGCAAAAGGGACAACTTTTCGAGGAGTAATTTCTGCGAAACATTTGTCGTTGAATTTTTGAAATTGTGCCTTTCTTTCAGGGCGATTGAATCGGAAAATGGCTGGAAGAAAGTCGCCGAGGAGTGAAAATCAGGAAAACGCACACAAACCACCCGCCAGAAAATCGGCTATTTTGTGAGTAAAATAATCGTCGAAAATTTGTCTCTGTCCGGGAAGAACGGACCCAAATAATGGTGGTAACACGGTTCAGATCCTGAAACTCCGAAATTGCTGTTCATTTTTCTCCTTTTCGACAAACCGTTTTTGATTAGAAATGACTCCGATTGTAGTCATTACAGTTAAAAGGGAGTTGAACTACAGAAATTTTGCATTTCCGAATCTGGTCTCTACTATCACCATTACCTGGGTCCGTTCTTTTCTCAAGAGTCCGGAATACATTCCGAAGAACTGTAATTGAAAAAAATACAAGTCTTACTGAAATTCCCCCTAATAATCACGAAAAAAGGTGCAGATCTCCGCACGAGGAATTGCGCGAACGTCTTCTGGAGACGGCGATCGACACGAAGGAGAACATTCCGGAAGAGGAGATGCGGAAGGCGCGCGGAAGCGCAACTTCGGATTCCGGCTCCGTCGAGAGCCGCAAAAGACGCAGTACAAAGGTTTTTTTTCTACAAATTACACAATAGAATAGAGTTTTTTGTGCGCGCGACGATTGAAAATTGAATTTTGACAAAAAGATAAGAAAATGGGTAATTTCGTGTGCGCTTCCCACTTTTCAAAATTTTGCGTGAAAAATCGACGAAGATCGTTGCGAATTGAGAGGAAAAATGACGAGAAAACGGTGAGAAAAGGGGTCAGAAAAAGGGGCGAGATTAGATTGGGAAGATACGATTGGGCCGGAGAATACGCGAGAAGTCATTGATTGATGAGGGACGAAAAATAGGAAGCATGGGCCTTTTTTTTGTAGAAAAAATGGGTTTTTAGTCGCTAACTAATTGTTCAGAAGCCCTGATTTTTAGCAGTATTTTAAGGGAAATTGATTCGAGAAATGAGTTTGAAAACGCAAGTTTCTACAGTTTTAGAAAAATGTGAAATTTTGTCTTAAGAATAATAGAATGTTTTGTCAGCTCTCGTTTTCAAAAAAGCTGAAGTTCGATTATTCAAGAGAAAAATTTAAAGGAATTATTATGGCGGCATTTGACTGCAATCGCGCTCTACCGCAATCACACGTGAAAGCCCGGCCGCGACCGCCACCTTTTCCAATTTAGCATTGAATTCACGTGGAGCGCGATTGCAGTCGAATGCACAAATCAAATTTACACAATTAGTAACTATAATTCGTTTTCCAAGTGAAAATGGAGAACTAGAACAGTGTCAAATTGCTCATTTTCTCTCGCTCTCGCTCTTTTCCAAGAGAGAGAGAGAGAGAGAAGGAAAAGTTTGCACTGGGAAACGGACACTTTGTATTTGACCAGTGTAATAGTGCGCCAAAAAGAAGAAGAAGAAGAAGAGTACTCTCTCTCTCTCTCCGGGTCGTTCGCATACAATCCATCACACGAGAGTGCGAGAGAAGCGAGAGAAACTGGCCGCCTTCCTCTCCCTCTTCTCTCGACATTGCCCGACTACTTGCCCGTCGTCTGCCCCTCCGCATCGATGTGGGGGTATAGCTCAGTGGCAGAGCATTCGACTGCAGATCGAGAGGTCCCCGGTTCAACTCCGGGTGCCCCCTACTTCCTTTTTGCACATCTCGAGTAGGGATTTGCAACGGATTTGAGAGATTCTCGGGCATTTGTGTAGTAATCAAAACAGCATAGACTAGGAATGCTTCATATTCTCCCAACAATTCCGCCCAAATGACCGATTTGTTCAGCTTTTGCGTTCAAAGTGTTCAATAGTTTTTCTAGAAGAATTTTCTGCCCTAAAAATTCTGCAGCGTTAGTAATAGGGATATTAAGAAATTGAAAGCGGCGAAAACTCCAACTTCCAGAAAACTGTGAGCAACTGGATGTTTACAGTTTCAACGTAATTTTTTGAGATTTTACGTTTTATCGACGACAATGAGCAACAATTTTTTCGACTCCGCGACGTTTCATACAAAGCCTTTATTCGGACATTGGCCTTCAAAGTCGCTATTCTCTGTTGAACATATTGTCGGAGGCTGGTTATGACATTGGTATGAAACGTCGCGGAGTCTGTTTTTCCAATGATCTATCATCTAAAATCGCTAAAATTATAACTCTGCTGAGATGTAACCTTTGAAAGTTACCAATTTTTGCTTCTTTTTTTACCCGATTTTCTTCTTCTCGATATCATTGCAATCGCATTTTTGATAGATTACGTGATTTTGGTTCTGAACCCGACACATCCCGTCCAATGTTCCGTTCCAAATTCGCCGCCGCCTCCGTCCCGATGTTTCATCATTCTAATCGCCCGTTCTCTCTTTCTCTCTCTCTTTCCCTTTTCCTTTCTCTTCGCTTCCTCCGCTCTGTCGATATTATTTGTCCGCGTCGATCGGTCGCCTATTCCATGTGGGGGTATAGCTCAGTGGCAGAGCATTCGACTGCAGATCGAGAGGTCCCCGGTTCAACTCCGGGTGCCCCCTACTTCTTTTTTTGTCCATCTCGAGTAGGGATTTGCAACGGATTCGGGCATTTGTGTAGTTTCGTGAACAAAGATTGAAGATTTTCTGTAAAATTTTCGTTTAGTGCTTTACAGACGCAGTTTTCGTGGATATACCTAAAAATAAAGTAAATACTGTATTAGAAGGGCATGCCCTTCTATTCTTCAGAGCTCTCATTTTGCTGGATGCCCTTCTAATACAGTGTTTACGGTAAAATATCTCTGCTTGATACATTGACTTTAAATGAACATTGACTTTATTTTACAAGTTTTGAAAAAAAACGTGTGTTTCACAGGAAGGACCGGCGGCAAAACGGCATTCGGGAGAGAAGGCCCGTGACGGACACGGAAGCAGCAATGAGGAGTCGTCTATTTCAGGTACATCTTTTTGATATTATCAATGATCAGCAAACTTTTCGGCATTCCAGAAGACCACTCGTTCGGTTCCTCGTCCACCGAATCACTAGTTTCTTCCCGTCAAAGAGGACGGCCTCTGCCGGTTATGATGGAGGAGGACGAAGTGTTCGAGGACGGAGACGGCGAGATGGCACGGCTGGAGCACGAGGAACCACAGGACGACGACGACGACGGACACGCTTGGGTATGAACTTTCAGTTTTCCTTTAAAATTTATGGAGGTTTTACTTTTTTGTTTATTTATCTAAGAAAATGTACATTTTTAGCGCTCTCGCACTCCTGCGGAAGAATTGGAGGCGATTTTGGACGAAGACGAGACTTTCGAGGATGAAGAGTTTGACGATGACGACGATGTTTTGTTTGAAGACGGCGGTGAGCAGAATTGCAAAACGTTTTCTGTATTGTTTCATAAAAGAACGCGATCGATATGAGTAATGAGTAAAGCTTTTAAAGTTTTCATGAAACATTAAAACTAACAAGCAGAGAAAATATTGAATTGGAGGAAAAGAGTTATGCCCTCTAGAGTAGACCTGCTGCCACGAATTTTCTCTTTTCGGGTCCTCTAGGCCACTATGACCCAGATCTTCACGTCGCGAGTGACCGCGACGCGTACCTCCCGAGCAGTCCCGTTCAGTTGGGCAGATACTATTCGATTGATTTTCCCCGTTTATTGTCTGCTAACCAACGTGTAAGAATGATAAAAGTGCATTCTTTCGGTTCTGATTCTTCAGACGACATCGAAGGTGAGCGAATACATCGATTGCAAATGCGAATGCGAAATTTTTATAGAACCCATTCTCTGTAACAGTCAAGCGTGCCATAGTGTGTTTGGGACCAGAGCGTGTAGAACGGCTAGAGATTAGAAATTTTATAGACATGTATAAGGGGACTAGTGTGCTCCATCTGCACAATATTAGGTCCCAGCTCCGAATATATGCCAAAATTGCAGATGTTCACGTGCAGAACGAATTGTTTGCGTTCGAGAAGAAGCACATGAACGACGGGCGGCTGATGGAGGCGCCGTCTCTGTTGAGCACGGCCAAGTGCGAGGGCATCGGATCGCCGCGCAAAGTGTGGTCCCTGATGGTCAAACGGGATGAACTGCCGCGCGCGACGCACTGTCTGCTCAACAGCCACCCGGAGATGAGTGTGGGCATGCGAAAACTGCTTCTCGATTGGATGATGGAGGTGTCCGACTCGGAGAATCTGCATCGGGAGACGTTTCATTTGGCGGTGGACTACGTGGACCGGTATCTGGAGGCTACGGGCGATCGTTGCTCGCAGGACACCTTCCAGCTCGTCGGCACCGCCGCACTCTTCATCGCCGCCAAATATGAGGTGGGCTGTAGTGCAGTCGTAGTTTAAAAATCAATTCATTCCATTAGAAAAAGCCTAAAGTTTGCCCAATCTGACAGGAACATTGCCGAGTTGTACAACAATTTCTGCAACTTTTCTCATATATTTTTTTCAGGAAATATATCCGCCGAAGTGCACGGATTTCGCGGCGCTGACGGACGGCGCATTCAGCGCCGACAACATCCGGGAGATGGAGATTCTGGTGTCCAAGGACATTGGATGGAGTTTCGGACCGATCACGAGCATCCACTGGCTCTCCACCTACCTCCAACTGCTCGGCACCGGAAAGGTTTGCTCTTGCATTGGTCATGCATACAGTGTGCCTTACCGAAAGGGTTTCGGTAAATTTACCGGTAAATTTACCGGTAAAAATTTCGGTAAATTGTCGGTAAATTTTCGGTAAAACTTTTTTTTACCGAAAGAGTTTCGGTAAATTTTCGAAACAATTTACCGAAAATTTACCGAAAATTTACCGATAAATTTACCGGTAAATTTACCGAAACTATTTCGGTAAAAGTTTCGGTAAATTTTATCGGTAAAAGTTTCGGTAAATTTTATCGGTAAATGGGTACTTGTTCGAAACAATTTTCAATTTTGAGAACGGAACATTGAGGCGACTGTTCAGCGTGTTCCTGATGTTTGGGATGTTGTTCAGAATGTTCTAAATTGGTCACATCAGTCACTTCCCTTGTCAAAAAAAGAACGCCGGTGCCGCGCCTTTTCGGTATCGACGGCACCGCTCGGCGCCTCAATTTTTTTCAGTTTTCTTTTTAACGAACAGTTTATTTTTCGAATGAGGAACTTTGGGGACACATTAAATGCGAAACTCGTTGCATAGCATTATAAAAAAAATTAAAAATTTAAAAAAATTTAAAAACAAAAAAAATTAAAAAAATTAAAAACAAAAAAACAAAAAAATTATTAAAAACAAAAAAATTATTAAAAAAATAAAAAAATTTAAACCAAAAACATGTTTTTCACATTTTTCTCCGCTCTCAAAATTGTTCTTTCGGTAATTGTCGAAAGGAACGATTTACCGGTAAATTTACCGGTAAATTTACCGAAACTCTTTCGGTAAAAACGTTTTTACCGAAAATTTACCGAAACTCTTTCGGTAAAAACAGTTTTTACCGAAACTCTTTCGGTAAATTTTCGAAACAATTTACCGAAAATTTACCGAAAATTTACCGAAATTCACTTCTTTCGGTAAAAAAAATTTCGGTAAGGCACACTGCATGCATAGCGTCGTAACTCGCATGAGGGTTTTTGTAGAGAATAATCATCAACATCAACACAGTTGATCAGCATGAAATTTGCTTCAACTTTCAAGTTGACCACTTCTTTCGTTGAAAAATAAGAAATCTCTTTTAAAAGTTAGCATCGTTATTGAGAGAAGTTTTAAAACACCAGAAAATTTTGTCAATTTCTTTCCGGATAACTATCGTTATTGCAGCCGACACAGCCGTCGGAGCACTACGAGGAAAAGAATATGTACGTGCCGGAGCTGCTGCGGACGGAATTCATCGAAATGTGCAAAATACTGGACTACCTGCTATTCGACCTCGAATCCTTCCACTTCAGCTACCGTACCCTCGCCGCCGCCGTCCTTTTTGTCGTCTACGAACCGAAAGCCGCCGTCGAGCACGCCACTGGTTTGTTGCCTTTTTTGTATTGTTTTTAAATGCATTTGAATGTGCAGGGTTCTCGCGCGAGCAACTGCACCAAGTGATTCGCTACGTGAAGCCCATTTGCCACGTGTTCAACCGACTTCGTCAGGTCGGAGACGTCATTCCGAAACGATCGCACGTATGGAACGAAATGGCATTTTTTGAAAAATTTCCATGTTTGCAGGTGAAAGACGACGACTTGCACAACATTCAAGTACACTTCAAATTCGACGAAATTGAGCCGCTTGTCGTTAGTTTTGACAATTTTTCCACTAAAATCTTCGTTCGCTCTCCGATTTCTCTTTAAAAAGATTATGAAGAGAATGAATGTTTTCAAATAATTTTCCAATTTTTGCAGAAAAAGGAACGAGAACGGCTGTCAAGACTGCGTCAACGATTGGTCTAATTGGAATTTTCTAAAAATTTATATTCATTTTTTTGTCCCATTGCTTGAAAATATCAAAATTTACTGGTCCCTCCCTCTTCTCTCTCCCCCCAAAAATGCTTTCCGACTGATTTTTTGTCTAGTCTGTGCCATCCGTTTTAACGCCCGAAATTGTGTTTGAAATTAACAAAACTATCACGTTTTTAATCGATTTTTTCAGTTTCTTAATCCCTTTCTTTCCTAAAATTGTTTTATTCTACTAGCACTTTGTAACATTTTTCACCTCCGAAAATAGACGTCAACTCCATTTATATGTTGTAAATTTAAATTTTTAGAGGCATTTTTTTGCCCGTTTCTAGGTTCCCCCACCCCCCAAATGCTCGGATTTCTTTCATTTTCTACGGCTCCAAACTGGTACCATTGCCTTCTTCATTTTTAACCATTTTCGAGTGCTTGTCTGTTTTATATTAATGAGATTTTCGTGGAAAGCACGGGCTTTATTACATTGTTTTTGAGTCCCGGTGAAATTCTGGCAATTAGACAATATTTTTTACACTTAAATGATTCTCCCCTTCAATGATATCATTCTGCTTCTGCCCGCCCCAAATTCGGCCGATTCGCCAAGTGTTAACAAATCACAAAATGGCCGAAAAACTCGATTATTCGAACGGTTTCCGTCATTTTTGTGATTTCTAACACCCTATATTCCGAGTATAAAAAGAACTCGCGAAAATGGGAAATATCAGTTTTGACTGTAAAATATTCGGAATAATGAAGGTCTATTTCCTTCTTTTGGCCGCTTTTTTGTCTGTAATTCTGAGTGAGTCTCGTTAGAAGTATCGACTATTCTGTTGGACAAAAAATTCCAGCGCCCGGCGAAGCGATCTACGGTAGAGCAGCTGCATTTGCACTGGGCAGAGCTTCTGGAAGGTCCTATGGATACTATTCATATCCGTATTATAACTATTACAATTATGGATACTATTATCCGTACTATTATTACGGAAAATGAATTGCTTTGAGTATTTTTTTGAGAGAAAAGTTTGAAAATTAAAGACTGCTTTTTTGGGCCCCACAGCAGCCATTCAAAGTAGTAAAAAAATGAAAAAAGAAGGATTAAAATGTTTCAATTTATTATTAGATTACTCACTTCGTTTATTACTTGACAAGGGAAAAAAGAATACATGAGAAAAATGAGGGGAATAGTTACAATTCAGTTAAGTACAATTTGGTGAAATTAATAGTGATAGTTCTGTAGAAGACATGATAAGATTCTTAAAATGTAGATCCTGATGATGAGGATTATGGGCGGCGAATAGAACGGGACGGAGTGTGGCGACAACGATTCCGAGTGCCTTGAGGTCGCCATTCAATCCATTTCCCAGCAGAACCGAATCCTCGTTGATGTGGTCGAAAATCGTCTCTCTCACCGAATCCAATGACTCCGTCGCCTGTGCCAGCTGATCGTATCCTCCGGCTTGACGAGTGCATCCACCAATGGCATTCCGTGCTGATCGACCATTGTGACTCTCCCGGCTGCTTGGCCTTTGGATGTGTAGACCGTCTCGACGTCGAGGGAGAACAGCTGACCACTCATGTACCGATTGAAGTTGTTGGGAGCTCGTCGGAATCCTTTCAGCTTCTCCGTGTCCGTGATGTGGAAAGTGGCGGGATGCCGTCCGGAAGAACTGTGAAGTCCTGGAGACAACGAATAAAAATTGGATTCTCGATGGGAAATTTAAATTTTAACGCCAGTTTTTGAACATTTTCAGCTGATGAGAAATGGTTGAAAATTCCACTAAAAGTTGCTTTTGTTGCAGATTTTTTTTTTTTTCATTCGAGGACGTGTCGAATTCGATGAAATTCAGCTGATTGACGTATGTTTTTTCAAATGTTTTGTTGTTGAAATAAGTGTGTACACGGGCTTCCGAAGACTACGCGCCCGAACTCTTTCAAATTATCCCGCCGTTTTTGCAATTGTCAGTCGCCTTTCTTCAATTGAAATTTAAAATTTGGCACGACGCCAACCGCGTCTGTAAACGTAGGCTTTGGACCGCCGTGGTCGATTTTTGAAACCTTTATTTAGAAGTTATTAACAGTACATAATAGATTTCGTTGGATTGAATTTCATTAGAGTGCAAATAAGTTAACAGTAAAAAAAACTCTGGAAACTCGATTGCAATCTAATTAGAAGAGTTTGCAATCTAATTGAAGCGAATTCTATTTCAAACGAGTTCGTATTAGATTGCAAAGTTTTCTAATAAGATTGCGATCGAGTTCCCAGAGAAAAAAAAAAAAAAAAGGCTAAAAGTCAGTAGATTAATCAGAATTTCGAGGAGACAACATTACTATTACTGTTCTTCGATTTTCTCGAATTTGAAAGGCTTCTGAGCCGCTTCGATTTCGTCGACCGCCCATTTGAACGGTTTCTCGAGCATCTGCAAAAACACAACATTTCAAGACATGATTTTTGAGTCAAATGTGCTCCAAGCTCGTGCGTTTTCGTAATTAAAACAGAATACGTTTTCCGCTCTGGAAACTCGATTGCAATCTAATTAGAAGAGTTTGCAATCTAATAAGAAAAAGCTCTATTTCGCAATCTAATCAGATTTAATTGAAGTTCCAGTAAAATCGTATTAGATTACAATATATTTTTTCTGAATTGCAATCTAATAAGAAAAAATTGCAATCTAATTAGAAAACATTGCAATCTAATTAGAAAAATTGCAGTGATTGCAATCTAATTAGAAGATTTTGCAATCTAATTGAAGCAAATTCTATTTCAAACGAGTTCGTATTAGATTGCGAAGTTTTCTAATTAGATTGCGATCGAGTTCCCAGAGCGACTTATTCTCGCTAATTTCAACGCAAAAAAAACAGTTTTCTAATTAAATAATCCGGAAAATCGATGATCACGGTCTCCAGAGCTGACAATATGGGCGTGGCCTCGGCGGCCAAATGGCATTTTCATGAATTGAGCAGGTTTTCTCTGATTTTTGTGATTAACGGCGGTGAAAAATGATTGTTCGGCATGAAAACACACTAATTCTCAGAATTAATGAGGTTTTGGCCCATTTTTCGCGGTCTTTGCTTTTTCGCCTTCGCCGCCGATCGCCGCCTAAAAACCGCACTTCTCATTTTGCGCTTTCTTGACCGTTTTCCGACAGAATTGGTTTTGAGAATGATAAATCACGTAAATACAAGCATTTTGAGCGCTCGAACCGCGAAAATTACCGAAAAGCAACTGAAATTCACTCAGTTTTAGCCAAAAACCTTCAAACGGATAAATGTGATTTGCGACTTGACCAAATTTAACGCTCTTGCCCTTAAAAAATTCGTAATGGCCTATACAATCGGTCTATCGAGAGACAAATCAGAAATTATCGGTTTTTCGTGGCTAATCTGGCAAAAAAACACAAAATTTGCTGTTAAAATTTGAATTTCGCGCCAATGTATCGCTCTATTGGGCGGGGCGCACTTGCGTGCCCATTGTCAGCTCTGGAGACCGTGTATGATTGTTTCCAAAACTTGTATAATAGTTTCGAATCGTGGCCAATAAAAAAAAACTCACATCCATTGGCAGTCCGTGCTTTTTGAGCCAAACAGCGATGATTCTCGGGTCGACGTACATGATTCTCGTGTACTCGATCGTCCGGTGATTCAGAAAACCGGCCGCCTTTTCGACTGCCTCGTTCAGAATCCGCCGGCCCAAGACATTGTCCCCCCGAACCACGCGATCCTCGGATTTTTGCAGACTTTGCTCCACAATTCGACTCGCGTGAAACAATCGGAACGTGCGAGGAGTCAGCGATCGATTGAACGAGAAGAGGTAATCGTAGAACACGTTCCACTGAAAAAGCGATTCAACTTTTTCAATTTGCATCAATTTCGACCAAAAAATGGAACTTTTCTCTGCGAGAATTCTTTTGCAAGAAATGCTTTTCTCAATAGTCAGCCATATTTAGAAGTTATAGAAGAACATAACATGTTTCATAAAAATCAATACTTTTTCTTAGTAGAAGAAGAATTGCACCTTTTTTCTCAATACAAATGTTCTTACCTGATTGAAAACTGTCTGTTTATCGGGATCCGTTCCCTGATACCGCCCGTGCTCCACGGCGATTTCGATCAATTTTTCAAACACTTTTCCGAAGTCCTCGTCGATTTCTTTCGCTAACAATGTGGTCGGAACGTTGTGAATTCCGACAAAGTTGAGATCCAGACGATTCCTACGGGAATATGAATTTTGGGAAACAAAATAAATGTAGCTTACCCATTTTGGACTCGAATATTCTCCACTTTCAAATCGCACATTCCGGTCTCCTCGTATCTTAAAATTGGAAATTACTATTAAATGGAATATTTCAGAAAACTCACTCTCCGACTGGTGGATATCCAGGACGACAGCCGAACTGAAATCAAGACAATCAAATTGAATAACGCGTGGCCGTTTTGTCTATGTAATTGTTTTCCATAAATTCTTCACATCTAGACGTTTGTTTTTGTAGTTGACACCTTTTTTGTACGACCAACACCTGGGGTACTGTGTAATTCCAAGGCGCTTAGCTGATCCCAACTTCCCGGAGCTACAGTACCCCGGGTATTGCTCGTACAAAAAAGTGGCCAACTACAAAAGTGCAGTACAAAATACGAACTATATTTTTGTAGTTGACCACTTCTTTGTACGACCAACACGTGGGATACTGTAGCCCCGTGAAGTTGGGATGCGCTAAAAACTCTTTCCGGGGCTACAGTACTCTAGGCAGTGGTCCTATCAAAAAGTTGTCAATTGCAAAAATAAGGTACTAGACCTGGACTATGTGCAAACAAACTTTTAGGCTCCTAGGATAACTCAGGACTCTACAATATTCATTCAAAGATACACACTTTTTGCTGGCAATTTTGTCTGAATGTTTTTGGGAAAACGATGAATCAAATTACCATATCGATGAGATAAGCGGTACACGCATTCCTCTTTTCGACCAAATCACCGCCCAAACGCTCCTTATTCCAATTGCGAAAACGTTCGATGTCGAAAAGACGGACGAACTCGAATGTGTCCCTCGACGGAAGATTGGCGCACGAATCGTACCACATTTGACCACTTTCCGAAGAAATATTCGACATTGAAATATGTAGGTCTGCCACTAAAAACATTGGAGAGAAAGACGTGAAATTTATCGGTGCTACAAGCTCTCAAGTTTGGTGAAAACAAGAAATTGTTGATTTTCGAAAGCGGTGAAAACGTTAAAGTGCCGTAACTTCAGTGTCGAAAAGAGTTTTCAAAAATGCGCACTGATAGAGCAGAAGGAAGGTGGTTGGAGGAAGAGCGGCGAAGAAATGGGCAATGCTCATGTTATGACCGCGCGAGCACCCCGATACACACTTTACACACTGTGGGTGTGTACGGAGATTAAATAATTCATTCAACTGTCAGAATTGTTGTAACATGCATTCAAATTATTGCTCGTCCGCGCATCTGCTCACAGACTCCCTCGGTGAGAACGATAAAATTACACATTGGACACAAAATGTTCGCCGGAATCCGATTTTGTCAGTTCTAGCGAGATGGGTTGGACAGTGTGCCCAATGCTTCAGACCTAGTACTTTTTGCTTTGAGCTGTCGAGACATTCTTACACTCGTTGGAAAATTAATCTCAAATTTCTGAACAACTCTTTATTGTATTTCTTCAACAGAAATTACAAACGACAAATTATTGAAAAATGATACGAACGGCATGCTTGAACTCTTCAACTTTCTCGGCACAATTATCGACTTTTCATTGACCTTGCTCGCGTCTGACTGCAAAACAATCTTCGTTTTCCATTCGACGACTTTGAAGAGCATCGAACAACTTCGCGATGCTACGCATTCCGACATCCGTATCGATTTTAGCCTCTTCTCGTAGATGTTCGCGATCCAAACTTTCAATGTTTTGGAGACAAAACTGATGAGGCTTCCAGTTCCGACCGAAACCCACGACGATTTTGGGCACATTTCCGAGCAAGCACTGATAGTAACAGTAGCTGTTCCTTTTTTGGATCCAATCTTCTAAACTGGGCAGAGTAGAACTTTTGACTTCAACGTGCAAGCCATCCGTAGTACGTCCGTTAATCTCCGCCGAGTACAGGAAGCACGCAGACTGCTCGGAGTTGACGTTCAACTTGCAAACACTTTTGATGACCGGCTTCTTCTCTGTCTGTGCATTCTCAGAAGTTTGTCCGGTTGTTACGAACCTGTGAACAGCGTGTCCTCGAGCCAGATGATCGTTTGCCCCGCCGCTAGATTCCTCTCCCTCTCCGGGATATTTTATCAGCCAGTACCGATCCTCGTACTTGAACGCCAAAATCGCCAAAGGATCTTCGTGAGCTGCCACTTCGGCAAGAATCTGACGATGCGTGACGACTTGGACGCCTTTCAGAACGAGCGGATCCGTCCAAATGAATTCGAGAAGTGATTGCATCTGCTGCTCGTGCACGTTCTCTTCCTCGAATCCGTTCTTGTCCAGGAGAACGTGCCCGTCGAGCTGAGTGGAGACGATGGGCAAAACTGATGGTTCTTTCGGGATGCAACGAAACGTCGGCGGTCCCTCGCGAATATAGTACCCAATTGTGCTGACGTTGAATGGGAGTGAAGAAGACATTTCGAAAAACTGATTCTCTGCCGAGCAACGAGCCTTTTATAGGTGTTGACGATGGTTTCGCCATCCGTTTGCTTGTTCTAATCATTAATCAGTCTTAAATAGAGTTTCAACTGAAATGATACGGAAACACGTCCTTTTTGGTTCCTTGTGCTGATAACAGAGTTGAGCGGAAATGGAATTTTGAAATCCGGAAGACGGCAGACGGCAGACGGAAGAAAATTTTTTTTTACGGAACACGGAAAACGGAAGACGGAAGAAAACTTTTTTCGCGGAAGACGGAAGACGGAAGACGGAATTCCGCTCAACACTGGCTGATAACAGGTAATTTTGCTAGGAAATGTCCTATCAATCTACAAAAAGTTTTGTGAAAAGATCATATCCAGTACTGTCCTTTTGCAGTTGACCACTTATATGTACATTCGAAATTCGAAAACTTCCAAATATAAGGCTTTGCTCATAAAAACGCGTAGAGGATCCGCCCAAAAATGGGAAAAAATCGCCGCCTAATTCGATTATTCAATTCGCTTAAAACCACACGAAACGTCTCGTTTCCCATCCGAAACGTTCGGTTTTGATTCCGAAATGAAACAGATTCCCCTCCTTCTTCTTCTTCTTCTTCTCCTACTTCCTGTCCGCCTGGCCATGTTCAAGTCGATTCTCGCGAACACTGACGAAATCGATTTTTACGACGAGTTGGAATCCGAACTGAATGCGTTGGAATTGGAGGAGCAACGCAAGTTTCAGCCGGACGAGGACAGCAATGAACCGCCGGAGACCAACTCTCAGATTGCCAACTTCTTCTATGATAAGTAAGCGACAGAACCGATAAGATTTTGAAAGTAGGTCGTGATGGACGTCAATCGCCGTCATTTTTCACGGAGAACACGTTTGACGACGTGGATTTTCTTGCGTCATCCGATTTTGCCTTCAGAATGCTCCAATTGATGCAGACGAACGAGGGACAGTACGTGGACTCGATCGCAAAATACACAAACGACGAGACGCAGCTGCTGTCGTGTCGGAAGCCCGGAGAGCAAATGAACTTTGGTAGGCGACAGTTTTCTCCCCAAAACTTTTTCCGAATTTTCAGCCGCTTTCAATCAACTCATACGCTATCTCTTCTTGTTCTTCAAAACTGTCGACGTAAAATTTCATAGAGTAACTGATACGGTAATCCGTGATTTGAGGCGGCCGGCACGAGTTTCACCACCGATTCGACGACGTTTGTCAAGTTCGAAGTGAAGTACAACGCGGTGTCGCAGGAGAATAAGGCGGTCGGAGTGATCTGGAAGGGCGAGGCGAAGTTTGTGAGTGCGAACGTTTAAATGCACCAGCAAAACGTCAATTGTGTCTATAAAACCAGCAGGAATCAATTTTCGCAACCGGTGTATGATCTAGAGATTTAGGAAGAGAAACATAAAGTTGCGAACGGCGAAATGTGTGTGTGTGTTGCAGGACGACTCGCTGAAACACTACGTGTTCTCGAAACTGGAGCTGGCGGGCGACTGTTCCCAAATGCCCGACGAGTTCCCGCTGACTCCGACGGAGACCCTGCCCGTCTACCTGGACCGCCTCAAAAACTCGCTCTTCAAGGACGTGTTCGCGGCGAACCCTCTGAGATCGCTGCCCGCATTTCGCGTCATCGTCCGCGAGTTTGTCATCAAAACGGCGCGCATCATGATTTGCGAGAAGAACGGAAAGGCGGTGGATAGATGTGCGTGGGCGGGCGGCTACCGAAATGCAACCATACTCTTTTTCAGCGTTCTTCGGCGAGTTCTTGTTCAAGCGGTACGGCGAAATCGACGCGTTTTCGGTTGGTTTTCAGTCGGAATTCAAACGAGTTTTTTTGTTTTGTTTTTGAGGACTTGGAATTCACGCACGAAGCGTTCAACGACTACCAGACGGACGCCTTCCTCACGGTTACCGTCAATCATCCGAACGGCGACATCACGAAGGATACCATCCGATTCCGAATCTCCGCGGTGAGCCCGACGCACCATTTCGGTGACGCCGTCCCGCCCGTTTTCAGCAGTCGGAAGTGATCCACGGATGGCCGCACTGGTGGGTCGAGTTCATCGAAGTGCAGTGCTACAAACTGCTCAATCCGTGAGTGTCGAATGCGTGAGACCCAGAGGAGTAAGAATGTTCCAGAAAACCGGGTCACAAAGAGCAGAAGGGACCGTTCGTGACGCAAGTGTGCGAATCGATTAGTCCGATGGTGAACAACGGACCGTCCGAAGAGTCGCGCATCACGTTCCTCTCGCATCTGAACAAGAGAAACGACGCCGGATTCTGGGCCGTCGTTTGCGAAGAAGCGCCCAGGAATTACGGTGAGTTGTTTTTTGTAAAGCGAATCACTTGATAATGAGACGTTTTGGTGCCACGGTCTCCAGAGCTGACAATGGGCGCAAGTGCGCCCCGCCCAATAGAGCGATACATTGGCGCGAAATTCAAATTTTAACAGCAAAATTTGTGTTTTTTGCCAGATTAGCCACGAAAAACCGATAATTTCTCATTTGTCTCTCGATAAACCGATTGTATTGGCGATTACGAATTTCTTAAGTGCAAGAGCGTCAAATTTGGTCAAGTCGCAAATCATATTTATCCGTTTGAAGGTTTTTGGCTAAAACTGCGTGAATTTCAGTTGCTTTTCGGTAGTTTTCGCGGTTCGAGCGCTCAAAATGCTTATATTTACGTGATTTATCATTCTCAAAACCAATTCTGTCTGAAAACGGTCAAGAAAGCGCAAAATGAGAAGTGCGGTTTTTAGGCGGCGATCGGCGGCGATGGCAAAAAAGCAAAGTCGGCGAAAAATGCGCCAAAACGTCGTTAATTCTGAGAATTAGTGTGTTTTCTCGTCGAACAATCATTTTCATCGTCGTTGACCACAAAAATAAAAGGAAACCTTCATGAAAACGCCATTTCTCCGAGGCCACGCCCATATTTTCAGCTCTGGAGACCGTGGTCCTTCAAATGTACGCTACTTGCAGACGCGTTCAAATCATGGCTCGCCACGTGGGTAACCGAGAGCAAGACGGCGACGTTGACGGGCAGTACGGTGATCGACGAGGAGAACTTCAAGTTCGAGTGCGTCCTGCAGATCGCCAAGGAGAGCGGCGCGACGGCGACGACGAGAAAGTTCGAGATGAAGGCGTTCTACGAGACGGACGAGTGGCTCGTCAAGGAGATCCGCATCTCGTGCTGAATGAGATTATTCCGTTTTTAATGTGCATCTATTGCATGTATCGGCAAATTCATAAATAAAAAAACGCGGGCACCTTCGAGCAGATTGTCTGTTAAATCGTCTTGTATATTCGTACTCTTCTGTTCGTTCAAAACACATAGACTCTCCATTTCAGTGCCTACTTGCAGGAACTACAAAACTTATCAAAACATTATCTTTCGAAGAAAGTTTGGTCCGAAAAAGAACACGAGTTAATTTAAAATACTTTGAATATCGACAGACAGACAGATAACAAATCGATTTTAATTCCGTCATCTATTTCTCGCTCTTTCCGTTCATTCCTCGGCCGGTCCCTTTCCGTAAGCCTCCGCCTCCTGAGCCGTCCGTTCCGTCGCGTCGTCCATCGTCCGATCCTCAGCCACTTGCAACAGCTCCGCATCCAAAAATAGATTCTCGATGACCAGTTCACCGTCAGTTGGGGGCGCATTTTTCGGCTTACCCAGATCCTAAACAAAAATACCTATTTTAATCACGAAAAAAGGCATTTCACCTTTTTTGCCTTGTGGATGAACACCATGTAGACGAGAAGAACGTCGTATTCAATGAGGAACGCGTTGCACATTTTGTCGAGCACATCTCTGATCGCCGCTTCCGGGGAGTACGAGTAGATGCTGTTCATCAAGATGTAGCCATGTCGGATAGCTGAAAAAAGTGACAAATTGAACGTGTGTGCGTGGGGTTTCGACTGACCAGCCATGATTGCCAGTTTGCGGAACGAGTCGGCCAGGAACAAGACGGATCCTCCACACGTGGAAATCTCGGCCGCATTCAGTCTCCGGTTAAACTGGGCAAACTCTTCGACGCTCGGCCACCTTTCGTCCCAATTATTTACCGTAAGTACATTTAAAAGCACTGTCGTCTTCTCATCGGGCCTGCAAACGGAAAAGATCATAAGAGCGGCTGTGTGTCCGCTCACTTCGCGTTGCTCCAAAGCAAGAGCGTGGCCGCGTACATCTTCCCGTCTTTTGACCTTTTTTTCTCACTTCCTTTATCTGTTTCCGATCTTTGGACGCCGTCAACTTCTTGTCCAACTCCTTCCCATCCGTCTTCACCTTATTCAATTTGTCGGCGAGTCCACCAGACGGATTCAGGAGCACTGCACATCGAGCAGTTCGTCCGATCGTCCGCGCCAGAGATGAGCGGAAGAAATTGGCGGAACAGCACGGAATAATTTGTATCTTTTTTAGAAAATTTTTTTATGGAATGTGATCAACTGACAAAATGTGCAGAACAGTGAGTTCTATTTATAAAAAAATAATAGGAGCATCGACTTTACATTTAAAGAAGTTATGTAGGTTCTTCCGCCTTCCGCCGCTGGCGGAATGATGGCGGAATTTTTGGCGGAAGAACTTGCATAACTTCTTTAACTGTAAAGTCGATGCTCCTATTATTTTTTTATACATAGAACTCACTGTTCTGCACATTTTGTCAGTTGATCACATTCCATGAAAAAATTTTCTAAAAAAGATACAAATTATTCCGTGATATTCCGCCAATTTCTTCCGCTCATCTCTGGTCCGCGCCACTAAATTCAGCTCCTTCCAATCGGATATCGAACTCTTGTCCGCTTTCGGAGTCGCCTTGAGCTGGCTCGCTTTGACGCGGAGAGATAAATACCAGTTAGATAAATGGAAACTTCCATTTCCTTCAACTTTTCTTTCACCGAGTTTTTTACAGCTTGGACTCGCTTAACTTCTCCGACGATTCGGCGCGTCTCCGTGAGTGTCGTGTTCAGATTCGTGGGCGGTTTGAAGCTCTTCACACCCATCGCCCAATGCGTAATTGACTTGGCGGAAGAGATTGGCAAACTGAGACACAGTTGGCTTATTCTTGAAAAGCCGCCCTGACTTCCAAACGACATACTAGCAGATAAAAGGACAGTGATGATGTTGGAATAATCTGGAAGCTCCTTCAAGAGTTTCTTAATTACTGTCCAGGAGTATTTGGAAGTATCCAGCACGTCAGTAAATGTGCTCAATTTGTCGAGAATTTTCAGATTTGGCGTTCTCGAGATGCTGACAAGAATAGCATTTCCGTTTGTTGTCCGATCACTTTCTTCATCTCGACCTTGAGAGTGTCGATCCACTTGATGCTCTCCTCGAGTGCGGTCATTTCCAGTCCTCCACTCAGTAACTTCCTTATCCTCGACGACTTGAGATCTCCGCCAACTGCCTCCAGATCCGCGAGTCCGTTCACAAAACCGAGTGTGTAGTTGGCGATAGAGTGAGCGGAGGAGGCGTCCACGTACTTCTTCAGTGTGGCAATGCGAGGAGAACTGCTGTTCAGAGTGCTCAGCAAGTCTCTCAAGGATACTCTCTGATGGACGAACGTTCCCAAATGATGAGCTAATCCGGTTAAGGCACCGAATTCACTGGCCGACTCATTGAGACTTGCGACAATGCGGAGAAGCGGATCCAATACATTCGTGTTGTCCGACATGAATATAGTAATTTTGGTCATAAAGGATTGAGATTTCTCCAAAACGTTCATTGTGGAAAGAACCCGTTGGATGTTTAATTTGGCATCCTTGAAAATGCTCGACATAGGATCATCGGTCAACATATCAATTGTTTTGAGAGATTTGAGAAGATCGCCGGGCGGATTGCCATTAAACATGGTCAAGTTTTTGAGACCCAATTCAGAGATCATGTCCAGAAGCTCCTTCACCTTCGGCTCATCCAACTTCACGGCGAAGGACCTCACCTTGTCAACGAGTCCTTCGAGCACTCGCAGTCCGTTCTGGATGGTCGAATCGTTCCACGTGGCAGCGTTTGCGGTTCCGAATGCATCCAACCGAGCGCCGAATGTTTCGATGTGTGCGTGCAGTTGCTTCCACTCCGTCTCACTCCAGTCCATCAGCTCGTCCATCAAAGTCTTCGGGATACGTCCGACAACCGCCAACTCGAGCGCTACCTCGACCACATCCACGGATCCTTCCCTCAACTGCGAATCCAACGAAATCGCATTCAGTATGCGGGTCAGGGCCGTTATGTCATTCACGAAGACGTCATAGTCCGACGATGCGGATCCTGGAAAATGTGCGTTTGTGAACACGTTTTCGAGTAAATCACTAACTTTTATCAACATTTTTGAAGGCCGACGTCGTGTTTTCTGCGTGGAGAACCGGGTTTTCAGTTAACGGAAATTCTGAAAAGACACCAAATAGTTGCAGGATTTGAGGAAACGTTCTGAAACTCACAATGGCGTACTGTGACGTACAACAACAGCAGCACCAGAAGAGTTTTCATCTCGTGAAGATTGTTCGAGAACTCAAAATAATCCGAAACGTTTCCGGAAAGAGACGGGCGAGTTATCAGGAAAGGTCAAGGGTCAGTTTCTCGTTTTTAATGCTCAGAGTGAAAAACAAGAATTCGCAGGGTCACGCAAGCACGCGATTCGGCCTTTCACGGGCCGGCAAAAAAAAAGCTGTAACTTCTCACAGAAACTTTACATGTACCTGGCTCATTTTGAAGAGCACACTACAATTGAACTTTTATTTAAAAAAAATCAGATGTCTCCATGTTCGATTCGTCGAGAGAAATTGAAAAAACCGCTTTTCGCACGTATGAACAGCCGGCCCGTGCCTTTCCTGACCTTTCCCGTTTATTGTGAGTTATCGAGCAATCTAGCCGAGATGAAAACTCTTTTTACTCTATTTCTATTCTATTTTCTGGAAAGTGTCTAAAATCACAAAAATCGACACCAAGATAACAAACTTTTCGCTAATTCGGGAAATGACTGAAATTCGATCGATTTATACTCAATAAATGAGCAAACCTCGGAAATTTATTCAAATCTAAAAATGCAATTCGAAGACTTTGGCCGTATTGAATCCGTAGTGCTCTTTGATGACGTATCCCGGAAGACCGTACTCGGCCACGTGCTCCTTCGTGAATCTCGTCCTGTACCTTTAAACTTTCTATATTTATTTATTTTAGTGGCAGGACCCGAACCTCTTTAAATATTCCGATTCGGCCAACGGATGTCTGTCCGGATCGCCGACGAGAACTCGGACTTCGTGCTCATTTCGCATTCTGAATTACATTCTTTTTACAAATTCTCCGTAAAAATCTCACTTTTTAAGCCAGGCGAAGAGAATTTCGGCGAAATCCGAATCGTAAAACATGTCGCCGAGCAGCACGAACTTTCCGGTTTTTTGCGAATTTTCGCGGAAAAAATCCGACGATTCTTGGGAATTTTGGAGAAAATTCGAGGCTGAGTAGCGGACTTTCGAGTCGTTCATTCCGTTCAGACGGAAATTGAGTTTTGTGGAAACGAGAGCATCTGAAAAGGGTTCTGTGGATGAAATTCCATGGGAAAACTGACATTTATCAATGTCATTGGCCAGAATCGCCCGTGCTCCACAGATCTGCGCGGCCATCGAGGCGGAGCCACAACCGGCGCCGAAATCCAGAACTTTCGAGCCGCGGAAGAGAGCCGAATTGTCAAGAATGTACCGGGAGAGACCCTGACCACCAGGCCAGTAGAAAGCCCAGTAGGGATCGTGAAGAGGGCACGCGTCCGGAGTGCTCATCCACAGAGGACTAGCCACTGTAATCAGATGCAGCCGGAGCTCGGGAGTCAAGCTTTCGTTGCTGACTATTGTGTTGCGGACGATCCATTTGGCAGCGGAAGAAAGACTAGGCAGCATCTGCTTCGAATCTTTAAGTTTGGTAAAACGGAATGAAAGTAATTCGATTTCGGGGAAACTTTTTGTGATTTGATGTACACTGGGATTTTTTAAAGTCATTCATTAGATGACGTAGTTTAACAACTTTAACAACAGATTTAGTCGAAGAGACCGAAGCCCATGTCGTCATCGGACTCCTCCTTTGGCTCCTCCTTCTTCTTCTCCTCGGCTGAAAAAGAAAGATTATTCTCAGTTTTCTAAAAATTCAAGACTAACCTTTCGGGGCGGCGGCTCCAGCTGGAGCGGAAGAAGCGGCTGGGGCAGATCCTCCGGATGGGACGCTGGCGAGCTTCACCTTTCCTTGAGCGATGACCTCAGCAACGGTCTTTCCCTGGAGTGCGGTGACGACGGCATTGGCCTCTTCCATGTCGCAGTCGAGACCTCCGGCCTCTGAAAACAAATTTTGCGGAAAATAGCAATCAAAGTAAATTTGGCGATGGCTTCGCATAGAAGAAACAAATTTTTTAAAAGCATTAGAACTCACCAAGAACCTTGAGGATGTCCTGAGCGGACGGGGAAGCGTTGCCGCCGAGGTTGGCCAACAAGAAAGCGCCCAAGTACTTCATTACTGAAATAATTATGATTTTTCAACTGAAAACAAGCGGAAAGAATGAAAACTGATGAACAAACGGTCAAGCAGTATTCAACCTTCTCAATATGTAAAACTGAACAAAAATCGTTTTTTTCACGTAAATCTTAGCATGTCAAGGTCAAATTATGGTTTTCAAAGATTATTTTACAAGAATTACTCAAAAAGTCGTCGATTTTTCAGCAAAAAACATGAAAAAAGGCGAAAATTTTGGGATTTCAACGTGTTTCAAGGGAGACGCGGAGGGTACGCGACGCGAAAGTCCGTGCGAGACCTGCCGTTTACTACGGTATCACTCGTTTCACGTGTGCGATTTTTCGCTAATTGGCCAATTTACGTAAATTACCCCGATTTTCAGCGATTTCCACTCAAAACCGGCCTTCTGACGTCAATTATCAGGTGATTTTTATTTAAAAACATGTAAGGCATTCGAATTTATTTGCAAATAAACAATTTCTCGTCGATTTCCGTTATCGATTTCCGATTTTCGCTGAAAATGAGGCTAAATGTCTGGAACTTCGTGAATCCGACGACGGCATCGGATTGGGCGGCGCGGAAACGTGCGGAACCACGGGCGGTGCGGTGCGGAACGACGGCAAACAGGCGAGCCGTCGGCCGAGGATCAATCCGACCGCGACGCGGGAGGTACGCGTCGCGGTCGCGTTACGACCGTCGGGCGTCCGCCGTTCTTTCGGAACCGCCGAAAAGCGGCCGCGTCGACGTCATCCGGGACGTCTTCTGACTTTCAGATTTCGACGGTTCTACCACTATGACACCGCCCATCCTATTTCCGGCTTTCCACTCATTTTCTCATTTTTCGCACCTCAAGCTCCGCCCATTATCGATTTTTCGTGCACTTTTCGCCGGACACGATTTGAATTTCGCGCCGCGTCTCTCCTGCATTTTTTGATCAAAAATCGTCAAGTTTGGACGATTTTGCGGCAAAATGCCGCGATCGCTGACCTTTTCCCACGCTAAATGTCGTCCAAAATTGCTATGCAAATGTCGCCTTTTATGCGATTTCGATAGCGGCAAATTGCTCTGATTTATCGCTTTTATTGTATTGAATTGTCAATTAGCTTGTGTAAACTTGGAATTAAAAAAATTTGTTTGAAAAAAATTCGTTTTACAGAAAAAATAGTTGGCGCTGAATGGTCGTGTCGGTCGATGCGGGGAGCAGCATCTGCCTCAGCTTCGTGGTCCACAATTCCGCATTCACGTACTCCGCCGCCACTTCAGTCTAGTTAGTTGAAAAAAACGCGAAAATTTAGGAGAAAATACTAAAATTCCGCAAGATTTTCAGACATTGAAAAGGTCGGTGATATTGTCCGACCGTCGTCCGCCACTGCGCTTCTTTCCTCCTCCTCCTCTTCGGGAATAGGTGAGTATAATCGGGGGCGGAGCATTTTTGTTGCCAACGCGCAAAAGTTATGGATTCAGAAGCTGGCGCGTCGTCGTGGGCCAGCACTCCGACCACGTCGAATACGTTGCCGCCGCTGCTCGAAGACGCCGAAGACGTCGACGTCGGAAAAGAGGAAGTAGAGGAGGGAGACGGTGAAAAACTGGTGAAAAGCTCGATTGTGGTGCCGTCGCCGTCGGGCACGCCTGGTGCCACGCCGGCGATTCTGGATGAGGCGCCCAAAAAAGAAGAAGAAATCGGTGAGTGCTCAATTTTTCCTTTTTGTGCCGTTTTTCTGTCCCTGGAAGAGTTTAAGGCTCGATGACCGAAGTCTAGAAAAGCTAGGCCATCTCGTGTTTCAGCACAATTTCAGCCGTGTTTTCAGTTTGAATATGGCCCGCTTTTTGAAGAAACAAAGGAACGCGGCTTTCATTTCTCGGACCTTGACTGGTTTTTGTCAAAAAGTATACTGTTCGCTAGTGATTGTTCCTTTTCCCCCGAAATTAGTGGTTTTCAAGGCGTTTTCTTGCGATTTTCTCCATATTCAGTGTAGAATTGAGTGTAATCTGTCCTGTTTTTCACAGTTTTTGTCAAACTCTGATTGATTAGGCTCCATTTGAAGCAGAATTTCTAACGAATTTTGTCAAGAATTCCCCCAAAATCTTTTCCCGCCCATTTTTGCAACGTCCTACCGTACCATTTGCAATCGTCTCTGATCTGCGCCCACTGAGATCCATTATCTCTGTAATTTTTGGGCGGCGCACACCGGTTCCCTCTCGTTTCTCTCGTTCTCTCCGCGCTCTCTCCCTGCGGCCCATCCATCTTGAGAAGACGTGTGTTGCAAACGCGCTCCATCGCCAATTCAAATATATTCCATCGGATGCCCTTCAGAAAATCGTCGTGCCGCCAACGACGACGACGTCGACGAAGCAGCAGTAGCAGAAAAAGTAGAAGAAGACGTGACGGAAACGAAGCCGCCGATAGAAGACGTTGCAGACGATTCATCGCAGCCGTGCTCTTCTCGGGCTCAGTCGTGTAAACGCGAGTTTGGCGAGGTGAAAGGTACTAAAATTGTTCGCAAATTCTTCAAAAACGCATTAAAAAGTTGCAGAACAGGCTGTTTGCAAAGAGGAAGAAGCGAACGAGCCGACGCACGACGGAGTTCTGCCGAGCACGTCGTCGGCGGCGGCTTCTGGAGCGGCGACGCCCGAAATGACGGCTTCGACGAGGAATCCGCTCAGGAAACTGCGCTACTCGCTGCGGTTACCCGCGAAAACGGCGAATCGGTTAAAACGGATCGCCAATTTTCAACCGGCTTCGTTGAGGAGGATAGGTGAGGAGATTGGACTAAAAATTTAATGAAGTACCCGCCCGAACTCAGAATTTAGTAGATTTCAACCGAACATTCAAGTTTATATCTTGGAATTTGAAATATCCCTTTATTTTTTGAGCCCATTATGGTAATTCACAAATCTTGTCACTAAATCCATGAATTTCCAGGTCTAAGCGCTCTGAAAATAAGCGACGGGGATCTCGTCCGACTGGCCGACGGTCCCCCACCGCCGGTGCCCGTTCAAGCGCCTACGGAAGCGGAAGCGATGCCGACGAGGAGTCCGTTCGGACCTTCCACCTCCCACGATCTCCCCCACGCGCCTCCGCAACTGGCTCCTCTTCAACAGGCTCCGCCCCCAGTTGCTCAGATGGCTCCGCCTCCTCCGCAAATGATTCCTCCGTCCGCAATGGCGCCGCCGCCTCAAATGGGATCTCTGGCGCAACAATTGGCGCCGCCGCATCATCCAGGCTATGCGGTGATGGTGAAACAGGAGCAGTTTACTCCGCAACCGCAACCGCAAGCCCCTCCCCTCCAGCAGCATCCGTCGCAACTTCATCCGGCGATGCGGCAAATGACGGCGGAGGAGTACGCGCAGATGAGGGCGCGCGAGCAGGGACAGTTTCCCGGAATGGTGGCGCAGATCAAACAGGAACTGCCGAGTGGATCGGGCCAGCCGACGCCGGTGTCCGTCGGCACTCCGCAGCCGGGGCAGATGACGCCGCAGCCGATGGGGATGCATCCACAGCAGCAGCAGAGGATCCAGCAGCAACAGCAGCAGCAGCCGAACAATGCCTCCAACAGCCCGCTGCTCGTCAACTTGCTCTCGAGTCAACAGCCGAATCAGCAAGTGCAGCAGCAGCAGTTTATGGGGTTCCAGGGGGCGCCGCAGCCGGGGCACGGGCTCAACATGCAACAGATTGCCGCCCTCCAGCAGCAACAGGTAATACTGAAATGCCAAAATTTCTAAAAACGCCCATTCTAACGTTCGCCAAGCCGTTACAGTACCAACAACGCATGATGCAGCAGCAACAGGTGGCTCAGCAACAAGCTCAGCAGCAGGCGATGCTCCAACAGCAGCAGCAGCAAGTCGTCCAACAACAGGGACCGCCGCCGACCACTCCGACCCCAGGACACCCCCAGCAACCGCCTCCCGGATATTTCCCGGGTCAGGGACCGCCGGTGACGCCCGGGCGGCCGCTTCCGCCGTACGGAATGCCGCAGCAAGCGCCAATGTACCATCCGGGAGGGCCTCAGGGACCGCCGGGAGTTGTCCAACGGATACCCTCTTATCAGGGCGGTCCTCCGCAAGGACCACCGCAGTTCCGACCTGTCCAGGGACCGCCACAACCTCCTCAAATGGACCCGATCGCGCAGGAGCCGCCGAAAAAGAAGAAGCGGCCGACGAAGAAGCAGAAGGAGGCGGCGGCGGCGGCAGCGGCCGAAGCTCAGCAACAGCAGCAACAGATGCAGGCATACTACGGACAGCAACAGCAGCAGGAACGGATGCAGATGATGCAGCAGCAGCAGCAGCAGCAGCAGATGCAACAGTATCCGCAAGGGTACCCGGGCATGCAGGGACCGCCGCAGGGATACCCTCCGCAGGGCTATCCGGGCGGGCCGCACACGCAGCAGCAGCAGCAGATGTGGCACCATCAGCAACAGGTAGGAAAGAGTTGCAAACTAAGAGGTCTTAGGTGTTTCTTAAAGGATAAGAAAGAGAGAGATATGTTAGAGGTTCAATTTCTTTAGGATTTTAGCTACTCTTGGGCAACATTTTGATATTTTTATAGCTTTCGAAAAAAAGTTGCACTTTGATATTACAAAACACGAACAAATGCGTTTCAGTTGCAACAACAACAGCAACAGCAGCGGATGGCCATGTTCCAGCAGCAGCAAGCACAAGCCCAGGCACAGGGTCAGCCGTGGCCCCCTCCGCCCCAACAACAACGGTCCTTGCCGGTTCCTTATCCGCCCGGAACGGCCCAAATGCCTCCGGACGGACCGGGCACTCCGATGCAGCACAGATTGTCCGGCGAGTTCGCGCCCCGCCCGGGATCCTCCTCCGGGGACCATCATCCGCAGCAGCAGCCGCAGTTCCAGCAGCCGAATCCGCAGGGATTCCATCGCAGCGACTCGTCCGCCAGCTTCGGAAGGGAACAGACGCCGTTTGGAGCGCAACCGGGACCGTCCGGACAACAACAGCCGTCTGGAGCTCCACACGGAGCCGGAGCCGACGATAAGATTGTCGTCGAGCAGTTTTTGCACAGTTCGGAACCGTGTACGTTCACACGCGCATAGAAAATTTGACCTTCCTTGTAGTTTTCTTGTTTTTGGACTTAGCGCTCCATTTTTCCACCAAAAATCGGTTTCCAAATCGTAAAACTTTCAGTGGCTGACCTCGGTGACCTCGGCGATCTGGGAGACTTGGATATTGGGCCGATCGGACAGGAAATGCAGGAAGGAGGACCGAGCACGTCGAACGGAGAAAACCGGACGAACAGTGAGCGGAGCGATCGACTTGGTACGCGAATTGGCACTGAAAATTTCAGACCTAATTTTTGTCCAATTCTTGCTCAGAAACCATTTCTAAAATCATTTCAGCGGCCTCGATCGAACTGGTGGTGGACGAGGTGGCCCGATCGGGAAGAGGCGGAGCGCACAGTGCGGAGCTGGCGGCGGTGGGCGAACGGCGCGGAAGCCATCCAATGATCCAGTTGCCGTCTGCGTCGCCAGGAGGAAGTGAGTTCCCGCGTATTCCCGTTCCAACCGCTTCATTTCTCACCCTTACAGCTCCCTGTATTACAGGAAATCTGTCGCATGAGCACAATATGCGGGCACACGCGTTCCACGGAGCCAACCGCATCGAGCCGAACGGAATGCGCGTCGTCAACGGAAACGAGACAAATCCCAAGGTATTTTTAACACTTGTTCTTCAAAATTCCATTTTTAACACTTGTTCTGCAAAATTCCATTTTTAACACTTGTTCTGCAAAATTCCACCCTTCCAAATTGAAGACTTTTATGCTAAAATAAAATAAAATTTCTGAACATTGTAGACAAACGGAGCTCGACGGCAACAGCAGCAACAGCAGAATGCGCAGCAGCAGCCGCAGATAAAACAGGAAACAGGCGGAGGAGGCGGAGAAGACGATGCAAAGATTGCCGAATTCGCGAAGACTATCAGCGAAAAAGACAAGAAGATCAAGGCGGCGGCGGAGAGCAAAACGAAGGTAGGCATTTTTCGGTAATTTGAAGAAAATACTGATATAGTTTGGCATAGTTTTTGTTTTGATGAACTTTGATTCTCACATTTACACTTTATTGAATGTTTTTAATATGGCAAATAGAATGTACGAGAAGTTCATACCGCTTGCATTTAGAAAAGTCAAAATAAAAGTCTGTGGAAGTCAAACACACGTCTGTAAAATCTGCTGAGTGTTTCAGTCTAAAGTTTGCAACTCTTAAATACAGTAAACAAGAAATCGCACAGTTAAGTCACTGTTACCGTACTCCTTTTTTTAAAAAGTACCATAGTTGAATGGTGTACGGTAACAGTAGTACAACTGGGAGTAAGTGCTGCGAACATTGCTGCGAACAAATTAATAGATTTCACATATTTGTTTAATTTTTGAAACGTCAATAGAGCAAGCTAATCCATTTCTTACTAACTTCCCGAACCCGTCCACATAATATTAGTACAGTTCCAGGCGAAAGCACCGCGAAAAACGAGAACGACGAAGAAGACGGCGGTGCCGGCCGTCGCTCCTTCAGCTCCTCAAATGATGGGTCCGAATCAGATGGGAATGGGAATGCAACAGCAGCAGCCGCAACAACAACAACAGCCGCAGCATCCGAATGCACAAATGATGATGGGAATGCACCCGGGAATGCATCCGATGCACCAGATGCAAATGCAGCAGCACCACGAGGAAATGATGCAAATGCAACAGCAGCAGCAGCAGATGCACCAGCAACAAATGCACCAGCAGCAGCAGCAGCAGATGCACCAGAATCAGATGCCCCTCCATCATTTGCCGCCAAATCCGCCTCAACAGCCCTCTCAGTCACAGTCTTAGGATTTTAGTTGAACTTTTTGCGCATTTTTGATGAAAATTGAACGGTTTGGGAGTTTGGGGGATAATTTACGCATTTATACATATTGTTTCGTAGTGTTTAGCTCATTTTTCAAGGTTCCTGGTGAACATTTTTTTAAAAATCCATCAGATTTTTTGACTATTTTCTATGTGTTCCCTTAAATTTCCCGTTCAAACCATCGAATTTTTCCCGAAAATCCGCATCGCCCCGCCACCCTTTTCCCATTAATTTTTGTGCTCACAATTCCGGTGCTCCCATCTTTCACCGCCTTTCTCTCTCTCTCTCTCTTTCTCTCACTCAGCATCTCTTCCTCCGAATTTTTTAAAATATTTCTCTGAAAATCTCTAGTCTCAACCTCGCAGAATACCTGAAAATGTTTGTCAGTGCCGAAACCGAAAATACTGTGTTTTTCAGCCCCCCTCCCCCCAGAAGTGTGCTCTTTTCTCCGTTTGCTCCAGTTCTCGTAAATAAGTGGGTTATTGTCAATTGTCCAGAAGAATACGATTTGTTTCGAAATATTCTTCATAAAATGTAAAAATAAGCCCCCTACCGGTTTGAACACCTTGAACTCCGCCTTCTCACCACGAAATTTGTATAATTCTCTTCCGATTAATGGCTCAAATCTCGACTCGAATTTCAATTTCCCCCATTCTTTTTTGTCAAAAAAGTTAACCGTTTTTCTCTGCCGATCCTCAAAATTCTCCCTCTTTTTCTTGTGCTCTTCTCCGTTCACACCCACACCTTTAATGAAAATTGCTCAATTCTTGTTTCCACTTTCTCTCCCTCTCTCACCCATTTTCTCTCAAAACCACCACACACACACACTTTCCTTTGGTTTATATCTATATATTTCTTATTCTATATAAATACAATTCTAACCTAGTAGGGAAGAAAACCTTTTCAGTGAAATTATCAATTACAAGCTGGAAAACAACCGGAAATGTTGAAAAGTGCAATTAAATTGATTGAATCAATATAACCTGGCTCATTTTTACACATTTGTTCATTCATGTTCATTTTTGTGCAGTTATCGTCAGAAATCAGTGAAAATACGAGTCGGGCGGCCTGAAATCGTCGTCCCGATCGTCTCGTTGTTTTTCGATCCACGTCGTGTAGAGACCTTTTCCGCGGTCCCATTCTCGGTCGGATTTCATGAGACGCGCGTGCTGAAATATGCTTCCTTTCATAAGAATTACTGTTTCGGGAGTTTTAGACAGAGCATGAGCTGATTGCCAACTGATGCCTGTATTGTTGTGATTCAATTGATTAAAGTAGAACTAACCCGTTGTTCTGGAGTTTCCTGTGGCGCTGGCATCGGAATTTCCTCCAGACTGACTTTTGGCTCTGGCACCGGCTCGGGCACTGAAAAAAGTACAAACAATTACGAAAGAATGAGTCTGAATTTACATGGTTCGAGTCCGTGTCGTTCTCTGATTTTATTGATTTTCTGCCTGCGCATCTCCTCTCTCTTCTCGTCCATTTCCTTCCGTTTCGCCCGTTCCGCGTCCGTCGTTTTCGACATTTCCAACAATTTCTCGATTTCCTCCTTCCGTTTGTTCTCGTTCAGAGAAAGGCGCATGTGTGACGTTCCGTACACTCGTTGTTCTGCAAAAAAAATCATGTTTTCAATTAGGAAGCGTATTTTTACAGATTGTTATGGAACTTTAGTCTACTTGGGGAGCAAATGAAAAATCAATCAGACACTTCTTACATGTCACTTGAACTCCTCAAAAAGAGGCTACGCCGAGCCAGAACCTGTCTGCAGGTGGTTTTTGTTACAAAAAGTCATGTTGTGACGGGTTCTGATACGGGACAGTTCTGGCTCGGCGTAGCCTCCTCAGAAGCATTCTACAGTAACTTGTTTTGTACGAGTTCAAGCATATCCAGTGACCAATGGAAAAAAACGATTCTGCGAAAGAATCAGGCAATCGGAAAACTAGTTAATCTCGAGAAAAGTTAGTGCTTTTCTACAGTGTCAAATTATTTTTCAACGATTTTCGCTGAAAACTCGCAAATCTTCAAGTACAAAAGGCATTTTCGAATCGAAATCACTCGAACCTTCGCTGTGGTGGTAGTGCTCTGGCACGGGAGCCCTTCCAAATCCTTGCGGCGCCGCTCCCTCTTCCTCTCTGCGTCTCTCTCGCTCCTCCGCCCTCTCCTCGTCCCTCTTCCGTTTCTTCGTGTCGAAATCGACAAGAAATTCGACGGACGAGTCGTCCGCGTTCGCCAGCACCAATTTTCCGTCGCTCATCCGCTCGTACAGCTCCGCCTTTTCCCTCAATTTCTGCTTCGACGCCGCCATTTGCTCGGCCTCTTCCCGCCGCAATTCCCGTTCGTTTTCCGATATTCTCGACAGACGATTCTTCGATTCACGCTCCAGGCGCTCCTTTTCGTCTTTTCGCGTGCTGAGGAGGTTCTGTAATTTTTCGGAATTAAAACGATCAATATTTTGGAATAAAAGCTTTTTTTCAATCTTTCATGTGCCAAATCTTACTTTAAAAAATTAATTTGACCCGAAAAAGCGACAAACCGATTTTCCGATGACATGCGTTCCGGTCTGTTTGATTGTGCCCTCCAGACGATCTTTCCGCTTCAGAAATTCGTTTTTCAATGTCGATATCGAAGAACTCTGCAAGAAATTCCCATTTATTCCGCTTTTTCATCATGTTTCCGAAAAACCTCTCTAGTATCCAATTTTTTCGGTCCGGTTTTTACAATTCCGAGTACATCTTTCGCTGTCGGCGTCTCTTCTTTTTCTTCTGTTTCTTCCGTTTTTTCCGACGTGTCTCGAGAAGCGAACGTCGCCATTTTCAGTCGAAAAATAGCGAAAATCGGCTCTGGAGAATTGTTGGGTTCGATCAATTTGACGACAACTGTGCAAACACCGTCACGCTAAAATTCACACTGTGCAAGTGCGCTCCGTTGAGAACAACCCGCAAACTTGGAGCGTCGCAGATTCAGAATCAATTTCCGACGACGTCGCGTTGTTTTTGGGCGGTCTGGTATCATTTTTATGGAAAAGAGCGTTTTAGGCCGTCAAAACTAGCTCTACGCCATCAATTTTCATTGATTTTCTGTGTTTTGCGTGAATCTCGCAACCGAAATTAAAATTTTCGAGTTTACAAAGTTCTTTACGCAAAAAACGCATTTCCTGAGTTATTTTTGACTGTACTCGGCAATTTTCTCTATCCAAATCGTTTTAGAAATCCAGCTTATTTGATTTTTCCATCAAATATCGGCTTTTCGAAAAATTGAACTTGAAATCCTAAAATTTCAAAATCTCCGCTCATATTCCAAGTTTTTCCATGGAAAAGGCACATGGGAAAACAGGAATTATTAGTTTTGCATAAAATCACTCGACTAACCGTTCGGCGTGAGAAATTTCTCACGATTGCAGCATCATTGAATTTTCTGCTTCAGAAAAACTCCATCTCATTAAAAATGGATCAGTATCGTGGTGGAATGTCGGGCGGAGGCGGTGGAGCGCAACGTGGCGGATTCGTTCCGCGCGGAAGAGGAGGCGGTCCTGTCGGAGGTGGCGGACGGGGCGGATACCACGATCAGCAGAGCGGACACTATCCGCCGCCACCACCACCGCCCGGATACGGCGGATTCGACCCGTACAACCCTTACGGACCGCCAGCGCCACCCGGCGGATTCGGAATGGGCTACGGTCCCGGCGGGTACCCGGGCGGAGAGATGCCCTCGCCGTTGGACGCCGAAATTCAGGCGGTGCTGCGGGAAATTCACACTGAAGTCGTCGGATTGGACGCGTCCGGCGATCAGTTCCGCAATGCGAGACGTCTTTTAAATTCTGGTGGGTCCCTCGCTTTTTATTTATATATATGTAAATATTTTGCAGAAAAGGAGCGGTTAGAGAACAACATAGATCCAGAATGGCTGGAGGTTGATGTGGCGAAGCCGGTGAAGGTGTGCAAAAAAATTCTGATTCCGATTTACCGTCATCCGAATGTGAGTTTCCATTACCAGATGTTTCTTGAAGAAAACAAGTCAATTTTTGCAGTTCAATTTCATCGGAAAAGTGTTGGGACCGAAAGGAGCGACGCTTCAGACACTGTGCAAAACGCACAAATGTCACATTTACATTCTCGGCCGCGGATCGACGAAGGACCGCGAGAAGGAGGCGGAGCTTCTGGCCTCGGGGGACCCGCAGCACGCACACTTTAGCGGTCCTCTTCACGTGAAAGTGGAAACTGTGGCGCCGGCGTTCGTCGCCTACGCACGAGTTGCCGCCGTTATTGAGGAGCTCTCGCGCATTCTGCAACCGGTCAGTTTATATAAAAATTTTGAAAATTTCATTCAAAGTAGACTTTTGACGGAAATGTATTGTGATTCAGTTTTATATTCTCTTTTTCGATCAACACACCTCCCTAGTGCCTTTTTCAGATCCACGAGGACACGACGCCGGCGCATCTGAAGAACGGCTCGGGACAGGGCGGCGACGGCGAGAAGAAGTCGGACGAGGAGCAGAAGGAGGGGGGCGCAGCGGGCGGAAGAGGCGGGTTCCGCGGAGGTTTCCGCGGAGGACCGCGCGGTCGCGGGAACGTGGGAGGCGGACGCGGAAGAGGCGGACAGCCAGTCGGGTAGGAACTAAAAGAAACACGCGCGGTTCGGATTCTGTAGTAAATGCGCTCTATTGATGATGAGATGTGCGGAAAATGGGTAAAAACTGGGAAAATGCGACTTTTCACATCTAAACGTGTTCAAAATTAAACAAATAAGTTCATGGGCCTATTCACTCGTAAATATTTGAGAAAAGTAATCAATAGGCCGCATTTGGTGCACAATCCGAATCGCTTGAAATTGTTCCCCAATTTTCCCTCTTTTCTACCCAAAAACTGTGAGAAATTCCCTGAAAAAATCTCTAAAAATTTGCAGATTCCGTCCATACTAAAATTCCGAGAACACACAAAGAAACACACAAACGAAATCCGAAATCCTCCCCCAAAAAAAAACTGTCAAAATCGCTTTTGCGAAGGAGAAAATGTGTTTGAAATGAATATGAAATTTGAAAATCACACACTCAAAACCAATATATTCGATTGTGCTTTGAATTTGTTTCTTTTCCTCACTCATAAAATTTCGATCAGAGATTCTTCAATTTGTGCCCAAAAACTTCAAAAAAAAATTTGACAGAGAAATGCTTTGTCTTTGCTTCAAATTTTACAAAAACCCGATCATTTTTTATCGATCACTCATTTGTTATTTGTTCTTCCTTTTCCCCTGTTTTCCTCTTCCTTTTTTTTGGATCTCTTCTCCCCAATTTCCATCGTTTTCCGCCTTGATTTGATCCGCGATCATATCAATGCTCTCCCGCTTTTCTTTATTCCAAATTATTAAAAGTTGAATTAAAAAGCACATAATTTGATTAAGAGACGAAATAAAAATTTTATCGGGCAAAATGCGAGTGTGAAAAGGGGCACAGAGTCGAGCGAATCGACAATCGACCGGGCTTTTCGCAAGCGCGCTCCATTGCCTCACAGGTATCCAATGAGTTGGGACGCGGGCGAAGGGAACCATGAGACAGGAAGAATAAATGGTCCCCAGTCCATGCAGAACTTTCTTCGGTCCTGTCCCAAGCCGTTTGGATACCTGATTGCCTCAGCTAATTTTCGGCAGGTCGCTGCAAGAATCGGCACCAGAAGTGCTACGGGAAATTAGAATAAAGTTGGTGAAGTTGTCACGAAGCAGGAATGCGCGAAAATTACCTGAGATCTGGTACTGCAAAAAGTGTGCTCCGCGAGATAAGAGTGAGCAAATAGAACAAAAAATGATAAGAGCCCTCTCAAATTCGCCCACTCTTTTCCACCGTCTTTTCTCTATTTCCTCCGCTGAAAATGTCTGAAATTCGCACTTTTCTCGTCTATTTTGAGCTCGAAAATTCGGGAGAGCTCGCCGAGCCACGCGTTTTACAGGTACCATTGTCATAGAAACGTTCAACACAGTTTTTGTTCGATTTTGCAGCTTCCCGAGCACTTGTGGCGATTTTCGGAGTTTTTCCAAGCCGAATTAAAGTCGGAAATACCGGAAATGGATGGAAATTTTAAGATGAAATGTGGGAGAGTTTATTTAGAAAATTGGAGGAAGAGGAATTGCAGACAATTCCACGGATGGAGCAATTTTGAAAATTCGCGGAGCCGAAGATTATGAGCATTTTTCGGAGAGACTCGAAAATTCGGATGAAAATGAGGAAATTGTGATCATTTTGGAGAGAATTCGACTTAACAAAAATGGCCAGAATCCCGTAAAAGCTGGTGATTTCTTTACAGATTTTGGCCTAAGAATTTTAAAATTGTTGTAGACCTCAAAATTTATCCATCCGAATTGCAACGTGGCAAATGCGTGGGAAACGGAATGCACGCGACTGTTAGAATGTATTTTGAGGCTGGAAATGGCCACAAAACGAGATTTTCAGGGGTTTTCATGAAAAAACGCAAAAATGGTATGTGATCAAGACGATTTTATCGCAGAATAACGATAGAAACGAGTATGAGAAGGAGATTTTGGCGTATGAAGAGGTGCGAGTGCAAAAATGTTCACAGTTTGGCGAGAAAATCGATTGGAGAAGTTTCCACGAAAAACATATTCACCGTACTAATATATGCATAATTTGATAGGCCACATTTCAGTGCTCCAAATCCGCGTACGTAGTGGGCTATCACGGCTGCGAAGTGAGCCATTCGAAGAAGGAACTCGTGCTCGAGTACATGGACCGCGGCGACCTCCGTCCGTTCGGAGCGCTTCCGTTTCCTGTGCATCTCCAAGTGGCCGTCTCGTTAATAAGGGCCATCAGAGACGTGTGGAACAGCGGTCCCGGCTACATTCACCGCGATATCAAACCCGAGAATATATTGTGCAACTCCCAGGGACACATCAAAATATGCGATTTCGGGGCCGCCAAGGTTTGGGGAAATGAGAAAAAAATTGGAAAAATCATCGAATTAGGGAACAAAAATCAAGGTGACGGCACATTGGACCATGAGAAACCTCTGGTTTTTGTTCGTCTTCTCTCAAAATGCTAACCCAACAATAACTAGATTATTAGATATTATTAGCGTTGTTAAAGGACCAGGGAACCCAAAAATTTTTTGATGTTTTTGTGAAATGTTTTTGTGACTGTTTGAATTGTCTCTTATTGCCTCATACACTGGTGAAATGCTGCCTCTCAAAAATGCCAATGAACGAAACGGCATGCAGTTGAAGTTGTGGCCGTGGCCTAGCGCCAATGGCCGAAAAATATATATAAATAAATACGCTTCTCGGCCATTTTATTTTTTCCGCTTTTTTACCGGTTTTTCCAAAAATTCACGGTTTCTCCCATTTTTCAGTTAATTGACATTTGTTCGGCACTTACTTATTTTTTCACTGCTAAAAAATTGTTTTCATTCAGTCGGTATGAAGTGCCAAAATGGGAGAAACCGTGAATTTTTGGAAAAAAAACCGGTAAAAAAGCGGAAAAAATAAAATGGCCGAGAAGCGTATTTATTTATATATATTTTTCGGCCATTGGCGCTAGGCCACGGCCACAACTTCAACTGCATGCCGTTTCGTTCATTGGCATTTTTGAGAGGCAGCATTTCACCAGTGTATGAGGCAATAAGAGACAATTCAAACAGTCACAAAAACATTTCACAAAAACATCAAAAAATTTTTGGGTTCCCTGGTCCTTTAAAACTACTTGAGAAAAAGTGGAAACAGGAAAAGAAAGAAATTGACGATAAATCGTTGTGAAGGGTCGGTTTCAAAACTCATCTAAACTAAAATGTTGAAACAAGCTGCCAATTAAATTATCGTTTTCAGAGAATAGACAACACGTACGGAATAGCCTCCTCGGCGGCCGGCACTCAATTGTATCAGGCGCCCGAACAGCAAATGGGACACGACTACAGGTAGAATTCGTTTTCAAAGTGTTCCTTCACGTTTTCCTCTCCGAATCATTTGATTCTGTTCGAAAATTCGTTGATTTTCAGTGAAAAAGTGGACATTTGGTGTTTCGGTCTGACTCTTTGGGAACTCGCGATCGGACCCAATTTGGAGGACAATCTGAACGGAATTTCGCCGTACGAGGAGATTATAGTAGAGAGAATCGACGGATTTCCCGATTCGCTCACCCTGCTCATCGCCAACTGGTTCGTTTTTTTAGTGATGCAAAAAATGCTCAATTTCTTCTCGAAATCAAGCGAACATTATGGGGTTATTCAGGCTGTGAAAAAATGATTTTAAAAAAAAACCCAATTCAACGGTGTAAAAAAACGAAAAAAAAAACGGAAAACGAACATACGCTGAATAGCCCCATTACATTTTTCCTATTACCCTTTCAAAAATGGTTGCAGTGTGCGCCGTGACCCGTCGGATCGCTGGAACGCCGATCAAATCGAGCGAAGCGACTATTTGCGCGGACTCGCCGAGCCGAATACTCAAATTGTGGCGGATTTTGTGAATAAATATTATCAACGGTAGAAATCGATTTATTCTCTTCTACAAGTACGGTTTTTTCTGGGGGGGGGGGGCAAAAAGGAGGGACCAAAATAAATTAAGACGGACAGAGAGATCTTTGCGGAGAATCGGAAAAATCGAGGGGTGGGGACAGAGATTCGGGGAAAAAAAGAAAGCAGTTTTTGTCTCCGAAAAAGAGATGGAATCGTGTCAACCGGGACGGGAAAGATGAAAACGGGCGAGCGGGGCTTCAGATGAATCGGATTCTGCGCGTCGCGCGCTCGTTCAGAATCGTCGCGATTTCGGCTATCCTCTGACGGAGCTCCAACTCGTCCTGCTCTTCCGCTTCCAGAACAGCCTCCTCCGGCACGAAGATTATCTGAAAACACACATATTCATTTAATTCATCAAAAGTTTTGCCCCCATTTTTTTTTGTTGCATGTTTCTCACAATTGCCAGTACCTCCTGATTCTGTTCGAATTGTTCCGGAAGGTCATTCTCATCGAACGCCTCGAAGACGGGCACGGAACGGCGGTCGCGCGGCATGTACTCCATCGGCGGGCCGGTTACTGAAACGTTCGATCGATCCACATGTGTTTTAATTCGGAATTCGAACGTACTGTACTCGGGGAGCTCGACGATTTCGTAGGCTTCGATGGCTTCCGGATTGTATTGATCGATTTCGTTTTGCACAATTTCGGCAAGGACCGCCAGCTGAGCGTCGCTCAAATCTGCAATTTTTTTAAACTTTCAGACGTGTGTTCTAGTTTGATGTCGTTGAAAAGCGACAATTCTTCTAGAGAATTTATCTACATTTTTGTTGGCTCCCCAAAAATGCATCTAAAATCTCATTTCTCCCCCGTCCCGATATTATTCGTTTGGTTTTTGTGCCTTCTTCTTCTTCTTCTTCTTCTGCTCTCATCCATTTTATTGCGTTTTTTGAGTGGTCAATATCCGGAGGCGATGGGGGAAAAGGGGATGAAGATGGATGGGGAGGAGAGCACAAAAACTGGAAATTATTCATTTCCATCTCTTTTTTGAAAGGCTGAAAATGACTGAAAAGGCCGAACTTTTGATGTTTGAGAGACGAGAAACGCCGCCATTTGGAGAATTGGCAACAATTTAAATTACATTTTAGTTTTTGTCCTTTAGCTAAAAGTGCACAATTTGAGAGCGGTCTCGTGCGAACATCAAAATGCAATTTATCGAGAAAATGGCTTAGGCTAAGGCCCGCACAAATAGGATTATCATATTACTTTCTCTTGCTCATCCATCCATTTTCCCCCTCAATCACGTCATCATACAGAGTGTTTTCGAAAAAAAAACGCATTTTTCTTCACTTTTCCCACACCAATTATGCGGCTTTTCCCACTTTTTCAAGTTCAAACATTGACACTTGAAATGCAGCTGTTTGCGGCCGTCGTAACGTCGGAAAATAATTGAATTTGTTGTTTTTGCGGCCGGCTCGCAAAAAAGTAATAATGAATTCAACGTTTGGCCGAGCACATTTTCATGTCTCACACAATATTGACTCGGCAAGCGAAAAATCGATACAAACAATGGGACAAAACGTTGAAGAAACTGACCGGCGAGTTGCTCGCGGAGCACATCCTCTTCGGAGCCCAAAACGGCCGGAATCCCATCGGGAATCTCCTCCAAAATCACGTTTCTTTTGCCACGTCGCAACGATTTCGGCGCCGGAACTGCAAACAAGTAATTGTATAAGTAGTATCGCAAATGTTATTCCGTTGTGTCTAATCAGAATGAGTCCCTTGAGGGGCCCTAGAAGCACTAAAAAAAGGCAAATAAACGCACCGTATCCCTTTGTTTTGCCCGTCGAACTGACCGTCTTCGTCCCTTTCGACGCGCTTTTTGTCGACTCCTGAAATTTGTTGGATTTTTTTTTTTTGAAATTGTCGGTCCCCAGCCATTCCCATTCCACTATTTCATTGTTTTCGGACCCCTTCTGGATGGAGTGAATAACCGCCGCGCGCCCTTATAAATAACAATATCTTTCCCGCAAAATAATTGCATTTTCGTCCCTTTTTGTGCTCTCGCGAAGGCCGTTGACCACTTGGGCGCTGAGCAAGTGTTATGCGAGAATTGCGAAATTATATGTGTTTGATTTGCATTAATTTAGGCGTTTTTCTGAAAATCATATAAAAGAAGCGCGCAAAAATGCTCAAATTTCGCAACAATCTCTGCTTTTCCCTGCGCGGATCGCATTTCCCCTCAACAAGTGTGTCGAATAACATGCACGGTGACGAGTCCGCCGGCTGAACTAGAAATACTAGGCCACGCCAGTTAGGCCAGGGGGCCGAGCAACTGAAAATACGTTGGAATAACAAGGAAAATTTGAAATTTTGTGGTAAAGTTGAGAAATTCTGACTTTCTAGAGAGTTTTACGCAGAAGCTGTGAGTTCGCAGTTTTGTTTGGCGAAATAGTATGAGAAATAGCGGGACGCACACGAATATCGATTCATTTCACTTGATTTTTTGGAAAGGAGTTCATTATGATGAACTCATTCGCAAAAAATTAGGAAAAATGACTCAGTATTATTCGAACAGCACGCATCTGAAGGTTTGGCGCACGGGGAAAAAGGCGTGGAGGGCGCGCCGCCGGCCGGCGAAACGAGCAGCCGACATTTCACGGGACGGGGGCCGAACTTTCCCCCTCTCCTCACTGCACCCTCGCAAAGAATCATCTTGACGTGAGAAATGTGGTCAAATGGTCTAGAGATCCAAATTTGGGTTTCTAGGCCATCATCATCATCATCAGCGCACATTTCCTGTGTTATTTTACTCATTTCCGTTGACGCAACGGGAAATGCGTGGTGAAAGAGGACCGGAAGGATTACGGTACTTTACGATGGTTCTCGGTGCTTCTTTGAAGATTTTTAGTTTGTTACTCGTTCTTTCTGCGTGAGAAAATCGCCGTTTTTCTGGCAGGGTCCGAACCTAATTCGGCGGAAATTCAAAACCGCCATTTCCATCGAATTTCAATCTCCAAACCGAGAGAATTTCTGATTCTTAAATCCAGACAAATCCGCCGAAAAAGCCCTTCATTTTATGGTTCAAAATCCAATTAAAATGCATTTTTCCATTCATTTTTCATGGCTTCATCCGATTTTTGAGCTTTTCCACGAAACGAAAGGTCATTTTAGGGAGCAGAATGCGAATTTAGTGGGAATTCAACGAAAGAATGCGGCGAATCTTGAATTTCTAGGCCACGGCCGAAGAATCTGATGGCCTAGAAATCCGAAATTGAAATTTCTAGGCCACTGAGTCAACAAGTGACCAACGAACCGAATGTAATGAAATCACGAGCGAGAGAAAATTGAGTCATCGGGAAATTGGTCAACCTTAACATCCGATCACTTCAAGTGTGAACTCACATGGCCTAGAAGTGCGGTTTTTGGTTTTCTAGGCCGCGGCCTAGAAACCCCCGAGGCCACTTGAAAGAAAAGTATTATAATGACATGTGCGCATGGGGAAAACAAAAAAGAAGTTCTCGAACAATGGGGTTGGCCACCAAAAACCACAGGTTTTTATGAAAAAAAAACAAGTTTAGAGAGCACAATAGTAAATAACAGGAAGGTGGCCTAGAATTTTAGGTTCCAAGGCCATGGCCTTGGACTCATTCGGGTCCAAGCTTAGAAGCCTAAAGCCATTTTTGGGGACAAAAAAGAAAGCGGTGACTAACCAGCGGCGCCGCGTCGACCATGGCGACGGAGAGAAGAGCGACGGCGAGCAGTGATTGGGCGACAATTGATGACGTCATCTCTGTGGGGGGGGGAGAAGAATTCAGATGACTTTTTCTGCGCGGATAATCGGATTCAGAATGAGTATAGTAGTCGGCTCTTTCTGACCACTCCTTCTTCTTCTTCTTCGTCTTCTTCTGCTCCCGCTTTTTCAGGCGCCGAGAGAGAGAGAGAGAGAGAGAGAGAAAGAGACCACGCCCCCTTTTTCAATATCGTTGAGTGCTTCTTCTCGGCTCGAAGCGAAGGGATTAGAGGATTAGAGAAGCGAGAGGGAGAGCGAGAGAAGAAGGCGAAAAGGCAGCAGAAGCGGGAGCCGTCGTCCTTAATTGTTTCATCCGCAAAAAGGGCTCTTTTTCTCTTTTCCCGGGCTCCGAGAGCTTTCCGGAAGGGATAACGATCGGATGGAAATGAGAGGAAAGGGGGGACCGAATTGACATTCTCTTTTTTTGCAAACATTCAGCCTCGGGCATGTAAACTTCAAAGTACGCACTTCAATTCACGTGGCTCTGCGGCTCAGTTGGAATATTCGGATCGGGCCAAAACTTTGTAGGCTTCTTGCACTTGGACTAAACTATTATGGGACCAAGTTTCAGCCCGATTCGATCATTCAATCTCGAGATGTCACAAACTAACAAAGTCTCGTTATGAAGAGGAAGAAATGGAAATTTCGTTTGTTTTTAACAGAAGCACGTAAATGCGTGTATCAGAAACGTTTTTTCTGAAACAGTGTTCTGCCAACTCGTAAATTCGTCATAAATCTCCAGAAATTATGTGCATGTGGCGTTTTAGTGTCCGTTTTTTGACGTTTGAAAAAACTGAAATGGCTTCTTGACATTTGTAATAAATGCCTTTTTTTTTGACGAAAAATATGGCTTCAGATTCAAATTTACGACGAAAATGGTTTATTTTCAGATTTCTGATATTTTCAGCCAAATCGTTCGCGAAATCATCGTTTTCGGCGCTCGTGGTAATCCCCTAATCTTCTCTTAAATTTGTATTTACGCACACCAAACTTGTTTTCCGTTCGAGACCTTCTAATATTAGCGGATATTCACAGAAATGGTGTTGGCTGAAAATATGTGATTTTCAGATGCCGCCACAAGTTTTTTCCGCTGAAAATGAGCAAGAGGGAAAGTAAAAGAAGTAAAAAAAAAAAAGAAGAGAATCGAGTACTTTTCCGATTTCCGCTTGGAAAAACCGAAAAAACGACATGTGACAAGGGGGGAAATGAGCGGAAATATGAATGTAAATGTTGGATCGGATACGCCAAACGACGACGACGTGTACGCCGGAAATTTGCATTTTTAAATACGAGAAGAGAGCCCCTCTGTTCGGACGGTCTTTCTTTTCTCTCCTCTGCCCAACCACTGTCTTCCCAAAGACATGAGCGGAGTGTCGTTCGAAAAACAGGTAGATCAGAATAATTATTTGTGATCTCCGGGTTCATTTGATCCGCGAAAAGTGTTCAAGTTGTTTTTATTCGGCACCGGGAAGGAGATCGCCACCTCAACACTGGACCTTTCTGTTGCTATCGATCACCATGAACAATCATCTATTGCCTGTTTTTTCGCTGTTCGGAACATCGAAAGTGTGCGTACACACTTTCTCTGCTCATCGAGTCTCACTTTATTTTGTGAACGTGGACTTTTTCCGCTTTTAACCTGAAAATCTGTAAATTTTGTAAAATCGCTGCGAGACCCGTCGCACAAAAGATGAAACCTCCCTTTAAAATTACAGTAACGCATGTTCTTTTTTTTGCATTTTCCGCTCATTTTCCGCAAAAATGGCAGCAGAAACAAAAATTCGGGTGAGAAAAACGTGGAAAAAAATTGTGAATTTACTAATTTTCCAAAAGATTTCAGCGTTTGAAAGAAGTTAAGGTAAAATTGGATGGCCGGGAATACACAATACCGCCATTTTTTCGCGAAAAAAAGGATTCAAAGGGCGACGATCGGACGCTTTTAAACGACACTTTCATCGAGTTTTACATGTGCAATTATATGTACAAACACATTTTCCCCCAAGATTTGTGAGTTTTTTAACAATTTCTTTTTTTAATTCAAAATATGTCTGCAGAAGAGCAAAATGTCAAGTGTTCGGCTCGTTTTTCTACACGTCACTCCAGATGCGCATTCGGACGAAAATCAAAGAACCGCTCAAAAGATCCGAGGTGAAAAACATCATTTTTGCGTTGAACCAGTGAAATGTTTGCATCTTTTGAGCTCCTCGAGGCGTACGACAAAATTTTTCGGAAAAGAGACACGAGCGTTCTGGACAAGGAACTTTTGATCATTCCGGTGCACATCGAGACGCCCAAACACTGGTTTGTCCCTGTTTTTCGTAGAATTCTAACAAACAATTGAATAGTTTCTAAAAAAAAGCCGCGGTAAAAAAAAGAGAAATTTGCTTTAAATTTTTTAGGTTTCTGGTGCTCATCCACAATCCGGCAGGAGCGATTCGCCACTTTTTCGAGGTCCGTCCGGGCGTACATGACGTGGATTTCGATGAAAATCAAATGGATTGTCGTATTATTATCATGGACAGCCTGTTCGGATGGCCCAAATATCGGTACGCGAATATTTTAAAACATTTTTTGAACTAAAGAAATGGCAGAGCCCCGCTGACAGTGCACCACAATCAAGTGTCCGAAAATTTGCGGCTGTGGCTCCAAATGACGGCCGCCGTGGCCCAAAAAGAGCTGATGGCCGCGAGAGTCAGGTATTATCGTGCAAACATTCTTTTTAATATTCGATAATTTTGCAGAAAGGTAGTGTGCGAAAAGCTTCCGCGCCAGCAGAATTCCTACGATTGCGGCATTTTTATGATAGTCTGCGCCGAGTATTTCACCGTTTACAATTCACAATGGATGGTAGGCCTTTATGAAAATTTGGAAATGTGTGAATCGCGATAGGTCTATTGAGCATGAAGTTTTCGTGATTGGCAGAGCTGGGCAATTGGCCGCCCCTTGACCTGGACTTTTCACTCACTTTCAATTATCCGATCGGGCTGAAACTTGAACCCAATGGCCCTAAATCGAAGTCCAAGAAGCCTGCAGAGTTTGAGTCCGATCAGATAATTGCAAGTGAGTCAAAAGTCCTGGTGATCGGTCTGTCATGCGTCTATTGAAGAACCCGCTCCGAGTTCTGAATGGGCGCACCACGTAACACAAGACACAATATAGAACACAAGAGACGTTCCTAATTTTCAGGCGTACGACACGGAAACGCTGAAATATTTGCGAATGGACGCGTCGAACGAGCAGTCGCTGGCGACGGAAGAGCCCCGTCTACGCCTGGAACGTCTTCTCGAAGCGCTGAAAGTCGAAAGTCACTGAAATCGCGTTTCTGTACAACTTTTGTTCGCTGTTTTGTTTCCCTCCCCCCCCCCCCCTGTTTTTGTTGCAATTTTCGTATTTCTCGCTCCGAAACTCTTGTCTATTCCGGTTTTTCCGCCTCAAATCGATCTCTCCGCCTGTGTCATTGTTTTCTTTTCAATTTAACGCATTTTTGGGTGAAATAAACACTTTGCGCTTTTTTTTTCTGCGAAAATCGTACCGAAACTGGTAAAATCGTGAAATGTTGTAGAGCGTGCACGCCGGTTGCGAAAAAGCGCGCCGCACAAAGCAACGTAGGCCACGCCCCCTGTTTTATTCAAAAAGGCTCCCTTTTCGAATATTTCTACGGTAATCCGGCCGGGATTTCTCGATTTTCACCCCATTTTTTTGCTCTAGTTCTTTGAAGATTGACTTTTACGTTAAAACTAAAAATTTTCAGCCATGCATTTGTACAATTTGACGTTGCAAGGCCAAACGGCCATCAATCAGGCGATTCAGGGAAATTTTTCGGGCACTCCGAAGGCTCAGGTTTGGCGGAAATTCGAGAAAATGCCGGGAAAACTGTGGAAAATTTGAATTCTTGCAGGAAATTGTGGTGGGAAGAGGAACGGCCATCGAATTGCTCATTCTGGACACAGTCACCGGAAAAATGAAGGTTTGTGCTCGGACAATGAGCGTAGAGTGTAAAAATTAGAAAACAGCATATGAAAATATGATTTTGAATGCAAAAAAATGTGTTGGATTGAAACTTCAAAACCACCAAACAAGTGAAGTGATCTTCAAAGAAAATTAAGGTCTGAAACAGAAAAGTTTCCAATTTTTTTTGGAAATCCGAGTAAAAAGTGTATACTTGTAGGTGATGTGCCACCAGGACGTCTTCGGAATCGTCCGTTCCCTTCTGGCGTTCCGTCTGACCGCCGGCACCCGTGATTTCATTGCCGTCGGTTCGGATTCCGGTAGAATTGTCATTCTGCAGTACAACGCCGAGAAGACGTGCTTCGAACGGCTCCATCAGGTCAGATATACCGAAAAAACTGTCATTTATGCCGAACATTTGCAGGAAACATTCGGAAAGACGGGGTGCCGTCGCATCGTTCCGGGCCATTACCTGGCTGGGGATCCGCGTGGGCGTGCTCTAATGATCGGCGCCGTCGAGCGGCAGAAGCTGGTCTACATCATGAACAGGGACTCGGACGCTCATTTGACCATTTCCTCACCACTGGAGGCCCACAAACACCACACTCTCTGCTACTCGATCGTCGGCGTCGACGTCGGATTCGAGAATCCCACGTTCGCGTGCCTTGAGTTCGATTACGAGGTGAATATATTATTTAAAGAACATTTTCAAAGTGTTAGGTTTTTTCCTCAAGCCTCAAGTCTTTTATTAGACTGACCATAGCCAAAGACTACAATAATCCGGAACCTGTGACGCGAAAATAAGACACGCGAAAGCGCTTCCCAGCAATTATCATAATTTCGGTCATCATTCTTTGTGTTTTCGGCTGGAATTCCAGTGTTTCTCGGCTCGCGCGGTCTTGTTTCAACCATATTGTGTCCAGTTTGACTTGAGAGCCTCTGTGCTCAAGTTTGTCTCGTTCTCTTCAACCTTTTCAAATAATTTTGCAGGACAGCGACAATGATCCGACGGGCGAAGCGGCGAAGAGAACGCAGCAGACACTGACATTCTACGAGCTCGACCTAGGACTGAACCACGTGGTGCGAAAGTACGCGGAGCCGCTGGCGGACCCGGGGAATCTGCTGATCGCGGTGCCCGGGGGCAATGACGGTCCGTCCGGGGTCATCGTCTGCTGCGAGAACTACCTCGTCTACAAGAACCTTGGTGATCAGCCCGACATCCGATGCCCCATCCCCCGACGCAGAGTGAGAACTTTTTTGAAAAAAAAAAACTGTTTGAAAAGATGAATTGTAAGATGATTTGCTCCCAACTTGAGTTCCAAGCGAAGTGACCTGAAAGATAATTGAAATCATAGGTGCGGCATGTGTGAGAAACACCAAAACATTTCTCCGACCTGGCCATCGGATTGAAATTTCCCAACCAGCGGCAACCATAAGACCACCTCCTGTGGAAAAGGCTAAAAAAAGTCGCGGCAGAGTCGAAAATGACCAGATTGCTGCCCCTTAAGGGCACTCCTGCAATCTGGTCATTAGTGGACTCTAGTGCATGTACCAGATATCGTTAGTGTCTTCAAATGAGTGGAAACTGATCGAATATGACCCATAGAAGTAATTCAGACAGTTAGAACAACTTGACGCCTTACGGCTGCCAAATTTTTTTTCCGAACTAGGCCCCTCCCACTCGCCTGTTGTCCGAACTGTCGGCGTGCAATTCAAAACACCTATGATGGAAATGTTTTTGGAAAATTCAGAAACAGTAAGTTTTGCAGAACGAACTGGACGACGCGGACCGCACACTGATGATCGTGTGCTCGGCGACGCACAAAACGAAGAACATGTACTTTTTCCTGGTGCAGGCCGAGAACGGTGACATTTTCAAAGTGACGCTCGAGACGGACGAGGACCTGGTGACGGAGATGAAAGTGAAATATTTCGATACGGTCCCGCCGGCCAACGCAATGTGCATCCTCAAGTCCGGATTCCTGTTCGTCGCCGCCGAATTCGGAAATCAGTACGTTTTTTGACACATTTTTAGGGAAGAAAACAATGATTTTTCTCTGTTTCTAAATCTAGAAAAGAGTAATAAAATGTTTGCAGCGAACTGTACCAGATCGCGTCGCTAGGCGAGGGCGGAGACGACGAATTCTCGTCGTCGATGGGCTTCGGAGACGGCGACGCCGCCTTTTTCGAGCCGCACGAGCTCAGATCGCTCATCGCCATCGACTCCCTGGACAGTCTTTGTCCGCTCACCGATGCTGTCGTGAGTTTTAAAAACCAAACATTTTTAAAGCTAAAATACCTTTAAAAAATCTGCTAAAAATCACAAATTCCCTTGTCAGATTGGTGACGTGGCTCGCGAAGACGCGGCGCAAATCTACAGTCTGGTCGGTCGGGGCGCTCGTTCCAATCTGAAAGTGCTCCGGAACGGACTCGAAATCTCTGAAATGGCCGTCTCCGATTTGCCCGGAAATCCGAACGCCGTCTGGACGGTCAAAAAGAATATCGAAGGTTTGGATGCATTTTTTTTTGAAATTATTTTAATTCAACAATTTGGATCAAAGTAGTACAATCTTTTGGCAAATGGAAATTTGCAATAAATGATTTTGAGACGCGTACGACTCGTACATCGTCGTCTCGTTCGTCAACGCAACGCTCGTTCTGACGATCGGAGACACTGTGGAAGAGGCTTCCGACTCGGGATTCATGCCAACGACGCCGACCATCGGGTGCTCCATGATCGGAGACGATTCTCTTGTTCAGGTCCGTTTCTAGTTATTGAAAAAAAGTTCGCGATTATTCTCGATTTGTGCAATGTTTTTCAACTTTCCCAAAAGTGCCACTATTGTAGATCTACGCGGAAGGCATCCGTCACATCCGTTCGGACAAGCGCATCAACGAATGGAAGGCCCCGCCACGCCGTCAAATCGTCAAATGCGCCGTGAATCGGAGACAAGTGGCCGTCGCGCTCACCGGCGGAGAACTCGTCTATTTCGAGCTCGATTTGGTACCTTTTTGACTCTATCAGAAATTGTTTTTCAATGTGCCTATAATTGAGCGGAAACCGTTAGAAAAAATAGAATAACCGTAATTTTGAACATGCTCTGAATAAGCGCTTCACAGAACGGCACGCTGAACGAGTTCACCGAACGGAAGCTGTTCAACGCGGACATTGCGTGCATGACCTTCTCGGAGATCTCGGAAGGAGAGCTCAACTCGCGCTTCCTGGCCCTCGGGACCGTCGACAACGCGGTGCGCATCATCTCGCTCGATCCGAACGACATGCTCATGCCGCTCAGCACTCAGAACCTGCCCTGTCCGCCCGAATCCATCCTTCTGATCGATACGCCCAACGAGGACGGGCGCGGAGTCGCCTCCGTCCATCTCAACATCGGACTACAGGTTTGAATATGCTTAACATTTCATCGAATTGCTACTTTTCAATTTGTTCAAACCAAACATTGAGTTTTTAGCAATGATGGATACAGTTTCACCGATTTATTGAAAACAAAATTCAGCATTTGTGTTTTTATTCAGACTACAATAGTTATACCAGATTTTTCTGAATTGCAAGGAAAATAGGAGAAATGATTCCAATGAGAAGCATGCATGTTTTTGTCTAAGCATTCGTAAAAATACTCTCTCACTTCACCCAAGAAAATTCTTTTAAAAAGTATAATTGTTTTGCAGAACGGTTGTCTGTTCCGAAACACAGTGGACAACGTGACAGGAGCGATTATGGACACGAGAACGCGGTATTTGGGAACGAGGCCCGTCAAACTGTTCAAAGTGCAAGTTCAAGGACGATCCGCTGTCAGTTTATCACTGTTATTTGAAAGAACTTTTCCTCTCAAATTTTTGAAACATGAAAGGAGAAGAGTATTCTATTTTTTGCAGATTCTGTGTACCTCGTCCCGCTCGTGGCTCCTTTATCACTTCCAACGCCGTTTCCACCTCACTCCGCTCAGCTACGTCAATTTGGAATACGCGGCGAGCTTCTGCTCGAATCAGTGCGCCGAAGGAATCGTGGCGATTGCGGAGAGCACGCTCAGGTGCGGTAAAAGTGCTGTTAAAATGATAAACAAGCACAGTTGCGAACATGAGGGCTTCACGGCTTGTACTAGCTAGTTTCAATGTCTTATCTTTCTTATTTGTTAACCACGAAAAGAATATGCTTGCAGAATCATCGCCGCCGAAAAGTTGGGCGTCGCGTTCAACGTGGCCTCTTTCGAGCACAAAATGACTCCGCGCCGCGTGGCCGTGCACCCGTCGATGCCGTGTTTGGTGGTGATCGAGACAGACCACGCCTCGTACACGGACGTCACCAAGAACATCAAGAGGAATCAAATGGCCGCGGTCAGTTCTGAACGTTCTTAATTCAAAAGCAAATCAATGAAAGAAGGCCAGAAATGAATGACTTTTCTGCAAAGATTTACTCGAACATTACAAGAAATTTTAGCAAGCTAAGACGATCATTATTCTTTTAGAATTTTTTTGATATTCTGAAACTGTAAACATTTGTTTTCGAATTGCCCGTCTTCATAATCTTCAAAAAAAAATTGCAGGACGTGGAAGCGATGGCTTCAGACGAGACGGAAGCGCAGCTGGCTCACGAGATCGCCACGAACCTTCGGGAACGAAAACTCGACGAAAAAGTGTTCGGAGCACCGCGAGCCGCCCGCGGAAAGTGGGCCTCGGCGATCAGCCTCCGATCGGCCGCCACCGGAGAGCGACTCTCCTACTTTGAGCTGCCGCAGGACGAGAACGCAAAGTGGTACGCATCAAAAAGTTGTTATCATGAGAGGGTAGGAGGAAATGGTTTCCATACCACGCCACACAGCTCTTGGTACCATTATTATTAAACGAAGTCGTTTGATTACCTGAAAAAATGCAGTTTCAAAAAGATTTTATATTCTGAATTTTTAAATTGACAGTTGACTGTGTCTTTAGACAGTACATTATGGGGCTATTCACCGTATGTTTGTTTTCCGTTTTTTTCACAGCCTGAATAACCCCATTAGGGCTAAAACTTTGTAGAAAGATACTCGGAAGCAAAACTGATAATCAATTATTTATTAATCATCCAAAGTTTGAGTTCGATCGGACAATTAAACTGGGCCAAAAGTTGTTTTTCTTCATTTTCATTTATTTATTGAAGGGAAGAGTCTCTAACACGAATAGAAATTACAAAATTAAATAATGAAAGAGATCAATCATATTACTTTGAAAGCACCTCTAGAAAAATGATTGCTCCAATAGTTGATGGACCTACTTTATGCAAATTGGGAAACACTGAAAAATATCAGAAAATGCTCCTCCTTTCCAACGAGCTATGCGAATTTCTTTGCCATTTGAGCCGAAACTTTTTCCCCAACATACATGGACATTCGACGCATCGAATCACTCACAAATAGATTACTTTGCAGTCTGGCACTGGTGCAGTTCTCGAAGCATCCGGACGCGGTGATGGTGCTCGTCGGGTGCGGAGTGAACGAACTTTTGCACGCGGCGGACGCGCAGGAACATGAACAGAGACGGCCGGTCCGCGGATGCGTCTACACGTTCCATCTGAGCGCCAACGGAGAACGATTCGACTTTTTGCACAGAACCGAAACGCCATTGGTCTGTTTTAGAAGTATTTGAAAAGTTGAAATTTTGTTCTTTGAGATTATACAGTAGATTATACAGTAGAGATTATACAGTAGAAAATTGAGACGTTCGTTCTCGCCATTACTTTCATAGTAGCTATCCAATTCGTTCAATTTCAGCCAGTGGGCGCAATTCACGATTTCCGCGGAATGGCGCTCGTCGGATTCGGCAAATTCCTGCGAATGTACGATATCGGACAGAAGAAGTTGTTGGCAAAGTGCGAGAATAAGGTGCGCTTGCCCTTTCTTTTTCAAATTTGTCTCCATCCCTCCTAAAATCCTAAAATCCGTGTTGGGACGAAAAAATGGTTATCGTGGACCGAAAGGGACCATGTGGTGAAAACGAGCGGATTCGATTAGAGCCGGCACTCCTGGGGCACGCAAAAACCGAAAAACGGAGAGAAAAAGAGTGATTAGAGGGGAAGAGACGGGCGGATTTCCTTCCTTTTTCGGGACTGAAGGTCAATTGGGTCAAGAAAAGGACGATTTGGGTGTGGCGTGGCGGTGTTTGGAGTCAAAGTTGAATTCGGGTTGGAATTAGTATTATCCCCCCTCCACTTTCCGCCCTGCCCTCATTTTTCGCCCAAACACACATGAATCTTCAAGTGGAAGTCTGATGAGAATAATTTTGATTCCAAAGGAAGTTCCGGGTCTATTTTTTGAGCCAAAGAAATGTTTCACACTTGACAAAATTCGGCCCTTCCGCGCGAATTAATTTCGGGCGAGCTCTCACGGAAAAAGGCGAAAATCGAGGAAATCTTTGCCCTTTCGGCGCCTAATTTTATTTGTACGTCTCGCGCCCGAAATACCTTTTTCGCCGCACTTCCGGCTCGACTAATTTTGCGTAACAATGTTTTTTCCGGCCAAATTTTGCCCTAAAACCGAACATTTTCAGAGGTTTCCCCTGTAGGAAGGCCTGTGAAAATGAAATGTTTTGCGGTGTGTGTGTGTGTGTGTGTGAAAAAGGCGAAGAAAAACACGAAAACTTTGAATAATTTATTCACTTTTCACACAAATATATTCACACACACAGAAATTGGCGAAGGAATGCACAGAAAACGAGCGATTTCTCAGAGATTTAGTGGTTTTTTTCTTGAAAAAAATACCCTGTTTTTCGAAAACAATGCAAAAATGACGGAAAGAATGGACCGGAAAAGGGGAGGGGAGGGGGAATTAAAAATAAGTGCATAGTATCATTGAGTGGCGGGAGTGTTAAAAGTGACCGCCGAGCTCTTCTCCGAATTGTTCGTCTGCGTGTAGTTGTATAGACTCGTTTGCGGAACACGATTCACTGCATTCGTAGAGCGGATCGCCGTCGAATTGTACGAATTGTTGTTCGTGTACTGGAATTGATTAATTTGTCTGGGATTTTCTGGAATCTCACTGATTCCCTCCGTAAAAATGCTCACCTTATGCGTCGGATGATTCAAATGATGACACGTGAGCAGTCGTTTGAAACAAATGCGAAATTCGCGATTGAACACCGTGTAGATGACGGGATTGAGGGCGGAATTCAGGTAGCCGAGCCAGAAAACGATGCTCCAGACGACGTCGTTCAGTTTGATTTCGAGGCCGTAGACGAGTGCGAAGCCCAGCCAGCAGAAGATGAAACAGCCCGTCACGATTGCTACCTGAACCAATTATTTTGTAGAAAAATGAGAAATATTCGAAAAAAGACGTACGGTTTTGGCGGCTTTGATCTCGAGCGAAAGGCGTTTTTCGTAGGCGCCCGCCGTTCGTTTCTTGTGTCCTCTTCGCATGAGAAGGTTGAATTTCGAGGCGAAACTCTTGTTCTTCTTCTTGTCGGCCAGCATTCCCGTCGAATCGTCGCACGTCTCCTTCGTCTCCTCGTCGCCGTTCGTATTGTTATTGTTGTTGTTGTTATTGTTGCTCTCCGAGAAGGCGTCGTCGGTTTGTGCCGTCAACGGCTCTGTCTTGTCGAGAGTGTTCGATTCGGTTGAAGAGCTCCGCGAGTTCTTCTCGGCCAACGATCCGAGATCGCCGTTCTCTTTTAACGGCGTCGCCGAGTAGGAGTTAGCACTGAAAATTAGAGATTTTTCGCATTTTTCCAGCAAAAGATTTTGGAACCATGGAATTCGGATAATTTTTCTAACCAACTGAAAAATTCGGTTCTACACACGTTTTCGCTCATTCTCTTAAAATTTCGGGATCCCTGGGTCCAATTTACAGTCAAATCTAGCTAAATATGTGAAAAACTGTTGAAAACCGCCTAGTAAAGTACCGTACCCATTCAGTGAGTCGACCGAGCTCTCGCTGCTCCGTCCGTGCCTCTTCTGTCTCGCTAACGCTCCTCGATTCACCAGTGTTTTTGCGGATTCGGCCGCATATTTTCTGGCCGCGTTTCCCGCTTTCCCCGTGATTTGTGATCCGCCATTCGCAGAAGCGTCGATAGAATTTCCGTTTGGTCTGAAAAGAGCGATAATTAGGAAGGAGTAGGAGGAGGAGAAGGAGGATCCAATTATAAATATTGTTTATCCCCTCCTGGATCATTTTGCCCCCTTAGCCCGAAGAATACTCACTTATACGCCGGCTTGCCGGGCGTAATTTGAGCGACGACCGACGAGCCGCGATGCACACGGAGCATCGGCAGCGAGTCCTGGTTGATGACGTCCGGATGGTTGAGCAGATAACTCTTCGGATTCGCCTTCTTGTTCGCCGCCGCCGTCACGCTCATCATTCCCGAATAGATGGACTTGGTGGCGGCGCGCGCGGCCACGTAGATCCGGAAATACACGAAGACGACGATGATCATCGGAATGTAGAAAGAGCTCGACGCGGAGAAGACGACGTAGACGCGGCCGGCGTTGGCCGGGGTGCACCGGCACGGCGTCTCTTTATCTTTGATCGAGCTGGCGAGGAAGAAGGACGGCGAGCAGATGAGGAAACTGCCGATCCAGACGACGGCCACCGTGCACCGCGCGCGGAACTTTGTCACCAGCATCGGATAGTTGAGAGGCTTAATTATCGCGATGTATCTGCAAACATTGAGACGATTAGAGAACTCGAAATTTGGCAACTTTTGATTAAAAATTGTGATTTCCTAGCTCTAGAGCACAGTTTCGATCCAATTTTTTCAGTCCCAAGTGATATGTGACAAAATTGCTTAAGAATTGCTCTCCATTGTCAAACTTTCAAAATTTGTGAGAATTTACGCAATTTTTGACCCGCCCAGGACACTCAATTTTTGTCATTTTTGTCACTTGCCTATCGATGGAGATGGCGACGAGATTGTAAATGGAGGCGGTGCACATCCAAATGTCCAGTGTCAACCAAATTGTGCACCACGTCTCTCCGAATATCCAATATTGATCGAGGACCTCGTTGGCGATGCTAAACGGCAAAATGACGGTGCCGACGAGCAAATCGGCGAGTGCCAGACTCAGAATGAGCAATCCGGTGGCCGAACGGAGGCGCCTGCGCAGAAGGACCGCCGCGATGACGAGCGCGTTACCGAGAACGACGACGACGACGAGCACGGTCAGCACCGAAATGATCGAGAAGATGCGGAAGAACTGCGCGTGCGACGGGTTCCGGGACCACTCGTAGAACGAACAGTTCGGACTGTCCTCTGCAACACTTTTGACGTTTTTAGTCCAGAAATGACACTTTTTGAGGCACACTCCATCAAGCACTATAAAATTTAGCTGAAACCTACATCCTCCGAAAAACGTAAAAATTCCTGTAATTTCCAACAAAACCGTCCTCCGAACTCACCAGAAATGGGCGTGAAGCCGATTGTGCTCAAATTGTGCGGAGCGGCGATCGCCAAATTCGGCGGTCCGATGAATTTGTTGCGAACCCATTCCATCGCTCTTTTTCTCACTTTCGCATGCACTCCATATACAACAATCGACGAGTCTGGAACAAAAAAGCGAAAATTGTGAAGGAGGGGGAGGAGGAGGAAGTGGGACGAAAGATTGAGAACGGCCTCGGGGCATTTTCAGCCGAAAATGGGTGAAATTGCGAAGATTTGAGAACCTGAATCGGAAGAAAAGCAGGTGGAAAGAAGGGAATGAAGCAATTATTTATAGGCGAGCGGGACGACCAATTTTTAATTAATTTTGGGTCGAGAAGGGGGAAGTAAAGTTTGATGGAATTGTAGTGGTCAAAACGGGAAGGAAGAAGCGTTTCGGAAGAAAAAGACGGAAACAAATCTGAAGATGTCTTTGGAAAGAGAGAGAGAGAGAGAGAGAGAGAGAGAGAGAGAGAGAGAGAGAGAGAGAGAGCAAAAGAGCCCCCGAGCACACACAAACACAGAGCTCCGCCCCCTTTGCCGGCTTTCATGACAAAAACGAGAAGGACACAAAAATATGATATTTTTGGTGGTGGTGGTGATGAAGAAAGAGCATCAATATTTATAATTTTCCTCGCTTATTTCTGCGCCAAGAAAAACTTCCTACTCAAGATCGGATTAGGAAAAGTGGAAAAGTTTATCGGCGATTTTTGGAGGAAATGTGTAATTTCTTTTGCTCGTTTCTAGCACATTTTTGTATTGAGAGCGCTCAAAATGATTGATTGACAAGTTTCGAGGCAAAAATCCAACCAGAATGGAAATTTGATGATTTTTTGTAGAAATAAAGCTCTGAATGTTTTCCTAGCCAAACATTGGATTTTCCAAGTTTGTTTACAAAAAAATACATTTTTTCCGAGAACCCGGGAAATGAGTAGAATAGAAGAAGTTCAAAGTTTGATTGGTTCCACCAGACACCCCATCATCAAAGAAAAACTACAAAACACAATGAAAGACGTCATACACTCTGTCTCCAGAGGGTGAGAGAGAGAGAGAGAATCTCTCACTACATCGGGCACAGATTTGTTTTGAGAACTCTCTCTCTCTCTCTCTCTCTCTCTTCCTCTCTGAAAGTTTGTTATTGTTTTGTCGCAAGCTTTGCTCTCTCGGCTCCTTTTGCCCCCACTTTTTGAAGGGGGGGCGGCGCTTGCGAAAAAAGTAGGTGACCAGTGAAGAAGACGGAGAAGAAGAAGAAGGAGAAGAAGGAGAACGTCGTCTTTTGGTGGGGGAGTGAGCAAAGATCGTGGTGGCGGTAAACAAGCAAGAATGGACTATAGACGAACTCGAGAAATGAATTCGTCCCGTGAGGAGCGGAAGCCACGTCATCTCAAGAAAAATGAGAGTTTCGACAGTTTGATCACGAAAATCCGAGCGGAAATGTGAAAATTACGGGTTTTTTGAGAAGCTACTAGAACTTTGGTTTGTCTTCAAGTAGGAAATCCTTGAAGTTGAACACTTTTTCGAGATTTAGCGGGATTCGTTTTGCCCGAGCGGAACGTCATGAATACGCCGACGACTAGTTCCTATTGAGGGCGTTGCCACGTCATCCACTTGTCTGGAAATAGAATCCGGACAATAAGCGAGGTCTTGCACACGTTTTTCTGAACAAATCCATTGAAAAGACGGGTTTTCCAGTTTGAAATAACTGGAACTCACGTGGAAATTCGATTAGCTTGGTGTGAGAAGCTCGAGAAATTTAGACCAGAATTTCACGGAAGCACACCTGAAAATGCTGATTTCTTGACAACAATTATAATAGAAAAAGTTGGGGTAAAGTGAACTTTTTCGAATTTACACCGAAATTATCAAGTTCCTGGTGAAAACTCGCACAATTTCTCATTTTCTCGGAATCAGTTTACAACTATACTGAACTACTGAAAAATGCATCACTTCTTCTTCTTCTTCTTCTTCGCTCTAAAACCGATATTTTCTGAACGCAACGAACCCGAAGAATACGGCACACAATAGAGGCTAATCAAGGAGAAAAAAGTGTGAGAACGGACGGACGGATCGGATATGAAAAGGAGCGTTCCGTCCGTAAGGGAAGGGACACATCCGTGATTAGCTAATCCCCCTTCTTCTTCTTCTTCTTCTTCTTCTTCTTTCTCCGTTTGTCTAATCCGAAGAAAGAAGAAGGAGACGAATGAGAGGAAAAGGGGCGGTGTCGAGACGGCGCCCCGGACATGGACCTAGCGGGGATTCTTGTAATTTGCAAGAGACAAAGAACGAAAGGCACCAAAATGTACTCTCGGGGGGCGGACTTACCACCACGGGACACACACAAACACACACACACACACAAATTGGCGGCTCTGTGAGTCAGAAGGACAACACTGACGCACTTAATGATACGGCTGAAAGTTTCGGCGAAATTCTTGTGTACGCATGTTGATTTGGTGCTCGAAAAACACCGTCTACGAGCTTTTCGCGTGCGAATTCACTCGTGATCTCATTTTTGTCAATTTAGACGTCGAAGAACACTTTTCGGATAGAAATGTGTGTTTTGATGTTGCTGTTTCACTTTTTGAACAAAGAACGGTCTGGAACCTCTGTCAAGACTAAATTACAAGATTGGAAGAAAATTGACCCCGAAAACAGCTAATTAACATCAAAATGACGGAGTTCGAGTGAAATTTGTGTCCCCACCCCTCAAAAATGCATTTGTTCCACTTTTTAGATCAAATTATGCTCAAGACGTGCTTAGATTCATTTTTCGAGACCAACGAAATGTGATGCCGAAAGTTTCCTGATTGAATAATAGCTATTTATAGCTATTTCGCGGCGAATGATGTCAAATCGCAAAAATTGGATTCTGATGTGCTATTAGCGATCAAAATGGTGATGTCAAGTCGATTTTGATGGCGATTCGAGCTCGGAAATCGATTGTACATGACATGAAAATCACCTCTATCAAGTCGAAAAGCGGAAAATGAACTTTTCGAGGTGAAAAGTGACAGCTGGCGCGACCCGAAATTTGAGAAGGACTTGTTTCGACCGCTCTTTCTGCTCGAAAATTGACGAGCATTTCAGGGGGCATTTCGATGAATTCAGGCCAGAATTTCGAATGCGCCGCCCCTCTATCATCTTTTTCCGACACTGATGATCACTGAACCTTGGGCCTTGAAGGGCTTTAAAAAGATGGAATTGTTTAGTTTTTGTTCCAGCCGAAACACAGAAAAACGCATTTTTGCTGACTGGTGGAAAACACGAATTATGAATCGGTCGGATTAAAGTGAGAAAAAGTGGAAAACAATGGGCATTTTTTGCGAGGAAATGAGGGGAAATCAATGATTATGTCAACTTGGACGATGTGTACAGTAGTTATTAATAATATCGTTTCGCCTACGATCATTATCACACTTTTCGGAAGAAAAGAGACGCAGGAGGAGGAGAAATTTAGAACAATGGTAGAAAACATAGTTGCCACGGGCCGGGCCGGGCCGGGCCGGGCCGGGCCGAAATTTCCAAAACTCCGGCCCGGCCCGGCCCTGTCGGCCCGGCCCGGCCCGGCCCGACCCGGCCCGGCCCGGTCGGCCCGGTTCAAAAAGCGGGAATTCAAAATTTGAATTATTGATCGCATGAAGCCATTTTTTTGTAGAATTAGGGGATTTTTTTGCAAGCATCGAACATTGAAAAAAACAAATGTATTTCTCATAAAAAAAATTCATAATAGCAAAAAAACAAAGAAGAAACACTAAAACTTTAGTTCGAAAATTTTTTTGTAATAACGAAAAATTTCCGCGAAAATTTGAATTCCCGCCTTTTTGAACCGGGCCGACCGGGCCGGGCCGGCACTTCACCGACCCGGCCCGGCCCGGGCCGGCACTTTACCGGCCCGCATGGCCGGCCCGAAATCTGGCAAGTCTGGTAGAAAAAGTGAATAAAACGTTTGATGAATAATATTCGAAGCGAGCAGAAGAAAATGTATTTCTCATTGAAAATCAGCTGATTTGAATGTACCCGGCCCTCGTTTTTTTGTATTCCACGACCATAAAACGTTCATTTACGTCGGTTGTCTAGACTCGAATGGATAAGGACTTTTGAAATGCCCAAAGACTATAATCTATTCTCATTTGCGCCTAAAAATACACCAGAGCCGGCACCAAAACTATGCATAAATTGATCCGTTTTGTGACGCCAAACTTTCGCATCATTTCAGAGATCAAAAAAATAAGAGAAAAGTAGATCATTCGCCGAAAATCATTATGTTCTTAGTCGATTCTCATTGGTTTCTCGTCTTTTTCTCTAATTTATCGAAGATGAAAGGTATTTATAGCGGCGGCTTTTCAGCTGTCTACTTTTCCGACTGGTCTGTGGTGAATAGGCGAATACGCGCACATTTTTGGTTCATCAAAGTTCGGACAAGTTGTCGAAAGAGAGAGAGAGAGAGAGAATGGAGCTGCTCTCCTGCTCCGGGAGCTCATATCATATTCACAAGTGGGAGGAGGAAACGAAGAAGAAGAAGGAGAAGAAGAAAGGTGCGATGAGGCGTACGACAAACGGACATGATGAGATGCATTCCGGGAAGGGACCGAATTTGTCATGATCGGTCCTGTTTGAGCACCGCATTTTAGACGTTTTCTATGGCGAAAAGTGTACTCTTGAGGTTCCCTGACGATATTTGGAGTCGAGAATGAGGTCTTCGAGTTGTTGTTGAGCGAATTGAAGAAGTTGGACCGTTAGACCGCCGTTTTGAGCCTTTAGACGTTTTCTATGGAATAGTTGGTACTAAGGGGTACTTTTGAGGTTTCCTGCCAAGTTTCAGAGTTTCCATGGTGTTCGCAAAGATCTTTGAGCAATTATTCAATGTTCTGTGAAACTGGACTGTTTTCTAATGGGTTTAGAAGCTCTGGCAGTGTTAGAACAGTCTCGAATAGATTTTTCCTCATTTTTTTTATTCATGAGCATCGAAAACTGATTCAGAAGCTTCTAGTTTGTCCTTTTTTCGATAATACTCTACCAAGTACTTCCTGTGGCGACCGAAAGGGTCCTTGAGACGCGGACGAAACTTTCGAACATATTCTTGAGAGCACTTTCCGAATGTAAATTGAGTGGTCCTTGAAAAAAAGGAGAAATCGGGGAGGTTTTCTGAAAGACGCTCAAAAATTCCAACAAACTTTACGAATGTCTGGAATTTTTTATGAATTTTTTCCTCGCGTCCGCGCGCCTACTCATTCACCCATTCATTTATTTTGAGACAACGGAAAAGGAAATGACGCACCAGACAATTAATTAATTTGATTATACAAATCGGTTGGGTCCCACAAAATCAATTGAATATTATTATTGTTTTCCTAGTGAGGAAATGACGGGATTTGGTTCAAACGCATACTTTAAAAAACATAAATTTAGAAGCCTCAGAAGAAAGGGAGAATGCCCTAGAAACGCAATGATCATTTGGTGATTTCGTTTTCGGCGAAAACGGATAAAAAACTTTGCCCGCCCGTTTTCGTTTTCGCCTTTTTTAGGCAAAAACGAGGACGGTCGATGCAAATTCGATCAAACACGTTCGGCTTTTCTGTTTAGCGCAACAAGAAATTGGATTTTATTCGATAATCTCGGAAAGATTCAAACGATTTCTCAATTTTTCACACTTTTTATTGAGCTTATCTTGGAGAAGAGCAATTTTTGGGGATCGTTGAAAGAAAGGGAATCTACTAGCGAGACGCAGACGAACCCGTGAAACGTCGGCTGCTATGTAGCCGTTCTGAGACTTCTGATGCGTGCCGTCGGAAGGATTCTGGTTTATCTTACGCGTTTTCTACGGAAATATGTTCATAATGATGGAAACTCGCAAGCAGCAACAAGAAACTCGCAGAAATAACTAGGGATCACTGTCAAAACAGCTTTTTTCGGAATATGGCTGCTTGTGCGTGATTTTTGTGTCTCTTTGTTAGTTTACATCATAATGAACTCATTCCCAAAAAATCAAGTGAAATGAATCGGTATCTTTCCGACGGCACGCATCTGAAGTCTCGGAACGGCGAAGGAGCGCGCGGCGGCTACAAAGCAGCCGACGGTTCACGGGCCCGTCTGCGTCTCGCTATATCTCACACTATTTCGCCTAGCCTCACTGCGAACTCACAACTCATCCACCCTGCGTAAAACCCGACTTTTGAAACGGAAAAATTCTTTAGAATATCAAAATTTCTCAACTTTGCCAAGAGATTTCAACTGTTTCTTGTTATTCCAAATAGAATTCTCGCGATTTTCCGTCTAATTCTAAAAATATCAAGAAAGTTTCACACGACGGCGAAAAGTAATTGAAAAACGAGAGTTGGAAGTGAACGGACGACGAAAACAACAAGAAAAAGTGAAATCGGTTGGGTTGATTCGTTGGGGGGATTAACTGGGGAACACGGGCCGGCAGGGACCACTTTCTATGTGTTTTCGGCCACTTTTCATCAAAAAAGAGAAGAAGAAAGAGGGAGAGGTTTAATGAACGGAAGAAGAAGAAGAAGAAGAAGAAGAAGAAAGAGAGACACGTCTGGTGGTTTTTGATGGAAAAAAGAAAGAGGGATGAATGAGTGAAGGGATGACTCGGATGGGCCCGTTTCGAGCAGTTTTTGAGCGAGTGCCTCAATTTTTCAATTTGAACAACGAAAAGAACGTTCTATAGCGAAATTCTTCAATTTCGAAATTTCTATAACTTTCAGTTGAAACAGAACTTTTCCTTTCCGATTTCTGCACCAATGAATCATAGTTTCTCTATTTTTTGAAAAAACAAAGTCCTACAATATCTGTTCGTCGTCCGCACGGATTTCGCCGCCCAAATCCGCTATAAGAAGCTCTCGTCATTTTTCCCGATTTCCCTAAGACTCTTTTTCAGTTCAATCCGATGATTTTCGGTGCTACAGAGTTCTGAAATTGTCCCAGACAAAAAAGAAGGAAACCCCACTAAAATAGTGCAATTTCTATACGGAAGAACGCCTTTTTCCCAAAAAAGGAGTTTACTTCGAATTACATGTCATCCTAGACCCGCCGTAGTCCAAAACTAACTGTAGCTGTTTAAAGGCGCATCACGCAATTGTTGAAAGATCAACTGAGTGCCGTGCGATAAAATACCGAGAATTGGCGCGTTTTTGAGCATTGAGAACTCACGAAAAAACACGAAACGAATGCAAATCAAGTCGTTTTTCGGAGAATATACCGGGGGGCCAAAAATATTATTTTCTTTGTTCTCGACTCGAAAATGGCAGAAAATAACTTATTTTCCAGTTGTTTTTTCTATTGGCAACGGATTTGTTTGGTTTCCATTTTCATGCTCGGATAATTAAAGAAAGATGATAGAAAAGGAAGAGAAAAAATTGGTTTTGCGGACGGACATAGAAAAATAAATACAAAAATGCTCGATGGCAATCCTTGCCCTCACACATTTCTGAGAATAAAGAGGAGAAAAAGAGAGAGGGAGAAAAAGTTGTTTTGTGATGGAAAAGGGACCTCTTCTTCTTCTTCTTCTTCTTCTTCTTCTCCTCCTTCGGCATAACTACCTTTATTGTCGAGTAGAAGAAAAAGACGAAAAGGACGGAGATTTCCGCCCGTTTTCCTACGTCACACGGATCGGAAAAGCGGGAGAGGGTGGCCGGCAAAAAAAGGCATTTTTTCGATCGGACCCAAACTTTGCACACTTTGGACTGTTTTCTCTGTGCCGAAATGATCGGAGACACAATTATTATGAAAAATAACTGCAGAATGGCACAAACCCATGAAAAAAAGTGCGCTTTTCCTGACGCTCTTTGAGCCCGGGTTTAATTGCTCCAAAAAATGCAAAAGAGTGCAACGTTTTCCGGTCGAAACCACACTAAAATGGCCATTTTCTCGCTTTTTCTCGACGCAACAATTCGAATGAATCATCAGAATGCAATCGAATTGTTGTTCTTGTAATTAGAAAAGTCATAAAACTATGAATGAAATTGGAGAAATTGCACTAAAAACTTGTATGTTTTCTTGAAAAATGCTCTTTTTTGGAGGAAAAGGGAAATTTGAGACATTTATGTGTGTGTGTGTGTGTTGAAAACTATTTGTATTTACACGATCGGGTGGGTGTCTCGGGGGAATTTCCGGGCCCCGAAAAGAATTGGAAAAAGGGGTAAACGGTGGGGAAAACGAACGAGATTGACGGGATTTCCGGGTTAGAAATGTACCTTTTTATTATCCTTCTTTTTTCTCCCCTCTCTCTCTCTTCTACACGTTAAAAATAAACGTAAATAAATAATAATAATAATAATTGTTATATACTCGTTTGAAACAGAAAATTGTTCTGACTATCCGTATTTTTGCAGAACTTCCCCGTCTCAATTGTGGACATTCAGTCGACGGGACAGCGGATCATCGTCTCCGACAGTCAGGAATCCGTGCACTTCCTCAGATATCGAAAAGGAGTTAGTTTTACCTCTTCTCAAACAATTTCTCAAGCGTTCATTAGATTTTGAAAGAAAAAATTCAGTTTCAAAAATACCCTTTAAAAATGTTCCTAAATGCAAAGCTTGATGCGTGAATAATGTTTTTTGGAAGTCATAGGGCTGGGCAAATTTCGGCCCAGTCTTTTAGAGGCCTGAACTTTTGACCCACTTGCAATGATCCGATTGGACCCACACTTTGCAGGATTCTTGGTCTTGAATGGAAGTATATTGGGTCCAAGTTTCAGACCGATCCGATTATCCGGTCCCGAGATGTACTGTTTTGAGGCCGATGGGACCGGGTTATCCTCCGATCTACATATCTCGGGACCAGATCATCCGATAAATTTGAAACTTGGACCCAGTATACTTCAATCTTCAAGTCCAAGAATCCTGCAAAGTCTGGGCCCAATCGGAAGATTGCAAGTGGGTCAAAAGTCCAGGACTCAAAACGCCTTGTTTTAATCGTTTCAAAAAAGACACGAAAACAGTTCAGAAAAGCTAGTGCTAGTTTTCATGTCAAATCCCACCGATTGCCTATTTTCAGGACAACCAACTGGTCGTTTTCGCCGACGACACCTCGCCGAGATACGTGTCGTGCGTGTGCGTGCTCGACTACCACACGGTCGCAATCGCCGACAAATTCGGCAATCTGGCGGTCGTCCGACTGCCGGAGAGAGTCAACGAAGACGTGCAGGACGACCCGACCGTCTCGAAGAGTGTCTGGGACCGCGGGTGGCTGAACGGCGCCTCGCAAAAGGTAAGCAACATGGAAACGGCAGATGATCTCCGTCGATTCTCGAGTTTTCCGCGTTTTCCAACGTAAAACCTGTATAACAGTGCTTGTTTTCACTGCTTTTCCCACATCCGGTTATGATCTCTGTTATTTTTAGTGAAATATACGGATTTTTCTCTTGAAAAGTGCATATTTAGGTCGAATTGGTGGCAAACTTTTTCATCGGAGACACCATCACGAGCCTCCAGAAGACTTCTCTCATGCCAGGTTTGCACTATTCCTTTTTCTATAACGCATTTTTCTCGATTTTAAGGAGCCAACGAAGCGCTGGTTTACACGACGATCGGCGGAGCCATCGGATGTCTCGTCTCGTTCATGTCCAAGGATGTACGCCTTTTCTTTTAGTTTTTCAGAACTTCTCTCTTCTTTGCTGCACTGGCTGGCATTATAAGAACTAGAGTAGTGAAATTAATAGAAGATTTTTGAAACTGAAACCACTTTTTTTGTCAACTTTTCCAAACTAATTTTTGCAGGAAGTGGATTTCTTCACGAATCTGGAAATGCACGTTCGCAGTGAATATCCGCCGCTTTGCGGAAGGGACCATCTCGCCTATCGATCGTATTACGCGCCGTGCAAGGTGAGTTTCAAGAAGAAAAGTGTTAATCCTAAACGAATGTCGAAAATGTATTACAGAGTGTGATCGACGGCGACATTTGCGAGCAGTTCAGTCTGATGGACTCGTCGAAACAAAAGGAAGTGGCCGACGAATTGGGAAAGACCGTGAGCGAGGTAAGAAACGCGTTTAGGCGATCAGCCTGAAACGGTCTAGAACGATTTGATCGAGCAATTTGAATTTCTTTCAGATTTCCAAAAAACTGGAGGACATTCGCACCCGCTACGCCTTCTAAATTTCATAATTTTCTTCGGAAATCTTGTTTCCCTTCGATTCTCTCATTTTCCACTGATCTTCGTCTCCCTACCCCAAAAAATTGAATTGTTCTTGTTTTCTGTAAAGTTTTTATCTCTCCTCCTCTTTTCCTAATTTATTACTTTTCGCCGCCCTAACTATTTTTGAGTTTTCCACGAAATCTCACGTTTCTCTCCGCACTTTCTATCCCATTACTACTTTTTCTGTCTGATAACATCATTGATTCGATGATAAGGAGAAGGAAAAATGGACGATTATGGCGTGATTTCGAGTCTAGAAGACCAAAGTTACCAAAAAAATGGGAATTGAAGTGATGAGATTCAACAGAAGCATATTCGAAAAGAAATGTTTAGAAGTTTCCTTGAAACGGGTTTTTTTAAAATTTGCCCAGAGTTCAATGTTTCCATGATCGAATTCGTCACATATCATCCATTTTTGCAAGAAAAGACACGGAGCGATAAGAAAAGAGACAGAGAAATGGCCTTCAGATGATGCAGAGATCGCCCGATTTTTTGGATGAAAAAGATGTCTGCAGAAGAATTCGGATGATGCAATGCAAGTTTTTTCTAGAATTTTCTGATCATTTCAAAACAAAAGATGCACTCAAATTTGACAAGTTTCGGTGTTATCAAACTGCCGGTTTTTGTGCAAGTATGCTGCGATGAGCGGCCGGCCGATAACAGCTGACAAAATATTTTCGAAAACTTTCGAAAAAGTGATCTTTGAAACAATTCAGGCCCATTTTTGCAGGACAAACGATGGCAAACAAGGAGCGAAGGTTCACCGAAAACCTTGTTTGCTTTTACGATAGTAAAAAAGTAGGGAAATTTTGCAGAAATTTTTAACGAATTTTTCACCGTTTCAAATGCTATTTGTAACTGAAAAATCCGAACTTTTCCCGATTCTATTTATGTTTTTAAATTTGAATTCCCTCCCAAAAAGTGTCTGGCGCCTCCTTCATCTCTCGATCGGCACAAAAGTACACAGGGCGCAGAGAAACGAGAGCGGCCACGTCCGAGTGGGCGGAGCGTTGCGATAACGTGGCTTCGCGGCGGGGACGACTATAAAAGGGCGTCTCGGACGCCAGAATCTTCGCCGTAGGAATACGGGCTAACCAAAAGGGACACTTTCCTATGGAAAAGAGGGTCTCCAAAGGGAAAATCACGAAGGGGAAACTATGCTGAAGCATGGGGCACACGCACACGGTCGTTAACCGGCCCGATCTAACCCTAAATCTCAGATAAAACCATCGAAAATCACAATCGAAGGTCACTCTCCGCTCGGCAACGTCGCCATTCACCGTCATTTTCCACAAACTCACTTCTGTGTTCATTTACCCTATTATACTTAATTTGTTCAATTTTTCAACGAAAAATCGTCGAATTTCAGCGATTATCCTCTGAAAACGGCTGAATTTGAAGTTTTCTGGTGCCGAAATTAATAATTTTGGCCCAAATAATTGAAATCGTGGCGAGACCCGCCGCCGAAATTCGATGCGCCTTTAAACGAAAGCCGTGGAAACTTTGAATTTTGGGCGATTTTCTCCGGATTTCGTGCTGATTTTTGTGCTAAAAACATATTTATTGCTGATTTTTCGGTTTGAAAATTGATTTACCACGTTTGAAGCGTTGATTTATGCGTTTTCCCACCCGAAATGCTGCTCGATTTTTCAATTTTCCCTTCAACATTGGAGTTTGCAAATTTTTGGGTGATCATGGCCTAAAATCTTCGAAATTACTCGTTTTCTGCTCGTTTTCCCATGTTTCTCTCAGTTTTATGTCGATTTTTGCAGGTAACGATCAAAATGGCCCAGTCTAAGCCTGCTTACAAAGTCGCCGACATCTCGCAAGCCGAGTACGGACGCAAGGAGATCATTCTCGCCGAGAACGAAATGCCCGGACTCATTGCGATGCGCACCAAGTACGGACCGACGCAGCCGCTAAAGGGAGCCAGGATCGCCGGATGCCTGCACATGACCATCCAGACCGCCGTCCTCATCGAGACTCTCACCGCTCTCGGAGCTGAGGTTTGTGATAGTTTCGTTTTCATTAGATTTTTCATCTTGATTCCCGAAAAATCGGTGTCCGATAGCCTTGGAGGTCGTTCTTATCGCTCCCCATCGTTTCGTTTTATTAGCCGCCGAAAAATTGTGTATGTAGACGGTTATCTGGTTGATTTGCAGGTTCAATGGTCGTCGTGCAACATCTTCTCGACGCAAGACCACGCGGCCGCCGCCATTGCCGCCACCGGAGTTCCAGTGTACGCGTGGAAGGGAGAGACGGACGAGGAGTACGAGTGGTGCATCGAGCAGACCATCGTGTTCAAGAACGGACAGCCGCTCAACATGATCCTCGACGACGGAGGTGACCTCACCAACCTCGTCCACGCCAAGTACCCGCAGTACCTAACTGGTATCCGCGGACTCTCCGAGGAGACGACGACCGGAGTGCACAACCTGGCCAAGATGCTCGCCAAGGGAGACCTCAAGATCCCGGCGATCAACGTCAACGACTCGGTGACCAAGTCCAAGTTCGACAACTTGTACGGAATCCGCGAGTCGCTTCCCGACGGAATCAAGCGCGCCACCGACGTCATGCTTGCCGGAAAGGTGGCCGTCGTTGCCGGATACGGAGACGTCGGAAAGGGATCGGCCGCCTCGCTCAAGGCCTTCGGCTCTCGCGTCATCGTCACCGAGATTGACCCAATCAACGCTCTCCAGGCCGCGATGGAGGGATACGAGGTGACCACCCTCGACGAGGCCGCCCCGAAGGCCAACATCATCGTCACGACGACCGGATGCAAGGACATCGTCACCGGAAAGCACTTCGAGCTCCTTCCGGACGACTCGATCGTCTGCAACGTCGGACACTTTGACTGCGAGATCGACGTCAAATGGCTCAACGCCAACGCCGCCAAGAAGGACACCATCAAGCCACAGGTATTTGTGAAATACTCTAGTTTTTCTGTAAAATTCAAATTTTCCAGGTCGACCGCTACCTTCTGAAGAACGGACGCCACGTGATCCTGCTCGCCGAAGGACGTCTCGTCAACCTCGGATGCGCCACCGGACACCCGTCGTTCGTGATGTCCAACTCGTTCACCAACCAGGTGCTCGCCCAAATCGAGCTGTGGACCAAGTACGGAACGGCCAACGAGTACAAGCTCGGACTCTACGTGTTGCCAAAGTCTCTGGACGAGGAAGTCGCCTCGCTCCATCTCGAGAAGCTCGGAGTCAAGCTGACGAAGCTCACCAACGAGCAGGCCGCCTATCTCGGAGTGCCAATCACCGGACCGTACAAGCCAGACCACTACAGATATTAAATTGACTTTTATTTCGCTTGCTATTTGTTTCGACTCGAGTTTTACCCGCCTCAATTTACATATGATCTTGAACTGGTTGTCTCCATCTAATTGCTTCCCCCACATAATTGTTTCGAGTTTGAATTGGTTCTCTCAGTTTGACATAAACATTTGTGTTAATTTAGTAGTCAAAGTTTCTCTATTATTTGTCGCTTTTTACTGAAAATCTCAATTTCCAGCGTATTTTCAGACGTGATTTTTGCAAGAATTTACCGTAACTATGATTTTCCGTTCAACTTCCGTAAGACGCGGCGGGGAAATTCGGGCGCGCCCGCCACACAAATTTTGTCGAGTGGCGGCCAAACGGCGCTCCATTGATAACTGTTCTCTCATTCTTTTTTTGCTTTCTTTTTTCGCTCTCGCTTTTCCTTTCGCTCGCACATTTTATGCGTCATTCGGGTGAAAATTCACAAAATTCTCGTCATTTTATCACTTGATGTTATCGATTTTTTCGTTGCTTTCGTCTCATTTTCAACTTTCAATTGCAGGCAACTCACTAAAAATGCGGGAACATCAGTTCGAGTACAAGACGTGGACCGAACTGAACAACTATTCGAAACAATGGAAAAATGAGGTGATTTTGCGGAGAAAACTCGAGAAAAACGGAAATTTGTTGCAGCTGCGCACTCTACTGACACAGAATTTCACAAAGATCGGTCTGATGAGACCGCAGCCGGATCGACTTAGCTTGTTCGTTTTTTTAATACGGAAAAACGACGGGGAAAAAACATGAAATTGCAGATTCGCGATAACGAACGCGCCGGGCGGGTCGACACAAACACTGTACACGGTGAAGATTCCGCTGGAGTTGACGGCGAAGGCGACGGAAAACTCGGCCACTCTGGAATTGCCGCTCAGGACCGCATTCCGCACCGACCCCTTCAATCGGTACTCTTGTGAATTGAAAAAAGCTATTTATCGAAAGCAATTGTTTTTGTTTACTGTTTCAAGAAAAATAGAAACTGGAAACCCTGTCACGTTCCGTTGATACATCGCTACCAATTTCGAACGATTTTTTTGTTGTTGAAAAATTCGCGGAGAAGACGGTTTTCAAAGATTTTCAAAGACTGTCCATTTTGGCAAATTTTCTCTTTCTCGCAACTGTTTTTCAAAAAATATTGAAAAAGCGGCTTCAAAATTGATTCAAAGTCAACTTTTTTGCAGATACTCGACGCCGTCGCCCGAATTCTCGTTGTTATGCGAACGGCAGCGGGCGCAAGTGGTGACGGGAGTGTCGGATTACGAGATGAAGAATGGACAGATCGTGCTTCTGGCCGGAGATCAGATATTCCGGTACGCTCCCATTTGAGACGGTTGTTCAAGTGCAGGGCTGGGCAAAAGGCCGGCCCAGGCTTTAGAAGGCTTTGAGGCCTGTACTTTTGACCCACTTGCAATGATTCTATCGGGCTCAAACTTGAACCCAACATACTTCAGTCCAAGTCCAAGAAGCCTGCAAAGTTTGGGCCCGATCGAATCATTGCAAGTGGGTCAAAAGTACAGGCCTCACTTGAGGCCTGGGCCGGCCTTTTGCGTAGCCCTGTAAGAATGCCAAGAAAAGAGTGATTGCAGTTACGACCCGATCAACGAGATTGTGCACGCGATCCGGGTGGGCGAGCCGGTGCGGCAGCCGTCGGAACCGATGGACGTGAGCGAGGGGAAGGGCGGTGCGAAGGGCTGCTCGGCCGAGCACACGCCTTCCCCCGCGGCCGCCACCGCGCCGCTCTCCACCGACTCCAAGGACCCGCCGCCCGTCGAATTCACCGGAAACTTTGTGTCCTCCGCCAAAATCTGCCCCTCGGACAGCTCGTTTTTGGCCTATGTTCTCAACAAACAGGTACACTTGTTTACAGTTTCAAAATTGTTTTTTTGTTGGAAAATTTGGTTGAATAATGTTGTTGCTGCAAACAAATTCAAGCGACGCGGATCGATGTTTTCGGGCAAAAGAGAACCACGTTGTTTTTGCGACGTTCTCGTTACAAAACAACCTTTTTTCCCTCTTTTACATCGCATTTGTGTAATCCCCAAGGAAAACGTTGAAATTGTAGGTGTACGTGGAGCGCGACGGTCGGATCATCTACCGGACGAGTTCGAATTCGAAGCACATCACAAACGGAGTGCCGTCGTACATTGTGCAGGAGGAACTCGAGCGGTTCGAGGGAATCTGGTGGAGCGAGTCGCGGCGCCGTCTCCTCTATGAGCACGTGAACGAGGAGGGCGTCGAGAGTGCGCAGTTCGGCGTGAACGGAGAACGGCCGACGCAGCCGATGAAGTACCCGCAGGTGGGCTCGCCGAACGCCATCAGCACCCTCAGGATGATTGTGATCGAGGGCGACACTGTGTGGGACGTGCCCGTCAAGGAGGACGTCATTTTCGACAACGCACCCTACTTTGAGTACATTGTGCGCGCCGGATTCTTCTCCGACGGAGAGACGTAAGACATGGATCTTTTCTTTTGTAAAGATTCGAACAAGGCGATTCTTTATCCCAATCAATTTGGACAATTCTGGAAACGCCTGATTTTTCGCTAGTTTTGCCAATCGTGAAATACTGTTACAACATTTTTTTGAGATGTTCAAATATTAGCCGGTTATGATTCCGTTGAACTTTACTATAGGGGCACCGGACAGAAAGGGCACGCACGCTGTCCGCAACCTGGCCGAATTTCTAGGCCGCGAAGTAAGGAGTTTCTCAACAGAGCGCCATTTCTGTGCGGTGCCCCTATAATATCAAAAAAGTAATACTTATTCCATATTTGCAGTGTGTGGGTGCAGGTGATGTCGCGCAATCAGTCGGAATGCTCTCTTCTGCTCATTCCGATGTCCGACTTTGATTTGCCGCCGGAACTGGGCGGAAGGGCGCCGCCAGTCGGTTTGTTTTCCCCCCAAATTGCGCCCTTTTTCAATGAGTTTTTTTTTTCAAGTTCAAGACGGCATCCAATTGAGTACCGATTTGAATATGGGCACGTGGAACGAGAACTCGCACGAGGAGACGATGGAGAAGTGAGCCGCCTCTTGAAGCTTCCAAAAAACTTTAATGTTTTGCAGACCGCCACGTGGAAAACTGTGCGAAACGGTGGTGATCCACCGGGCTCGCAGTGATTATTGGATTAATGTGAGCACTTTTTCGAAATTTTTATGTTATTATATTTTCCGAATTTCCAGAGTCATAACGCCATTTATCCGTTGAAAATCGAAGATGAAGAGCAGCCGCTCTACGAATTCATTTATTGCCTTGAGCAGCCGAACGGAAGCTGTCTGGCGCTTATTTCGGCCGAATTGGACCAGACGTAACGCTCTATTATCAGTTTGCCGCGAATTTCAAAGTTGATTTTGCAGTGGCTATTGTCGTCACACGGAAGAACGTCTTCTGATGGCTCCGAACACGTCGATTAATAAAACGATTGGAATTGTGGTGGACGAGAGTCGGCAGCTCGTCTTTTACGTGGCAAACGAGAGCCATCCGTGCGAGTGGAACATGTACATTTTTTGCCATTTTTCTTCATGATTTTTACTCGAAAATTACCTTATTTTCGACAAGAATTTGATTAGAAAGCAAAGCAATAGCTCATATAACGCTTTTTCTTTTCGCAGATGCGTCTCGCACTACCGATCGGGCGCCTACTCCATTCTCACAGAGGCCGGCATCTCGTACAAGTAAGCTTGCGATTATTGAACACTTTTTAACACTAAAAAAAGTGCGCATGAATCGATTCAGACGTTTGTTTTCAAAGTTATAAGCATTTGCTGAAACTTTATTTTTTTGCTTACACGATTCATTGTTTTCCTTTCGGGTTTCAAAAGATTTCAGAAATGAGTGGTGTGTGGCCTTTTTCAGATGAAAATTCAAAATGCTCGAAGAATTTCCGTTGCATACATACAATGCAGTATTTATTATTATTATTATTCAAGTTCAGAAAAGGGCAGTACATTATTTGACAGAATGCGAAAATTCATAATTCTATTGTGAAACTGAAAATCCAGTGAATAACGGACGAAAAGTTCTTGCAGAGCGGAAAGAGCGCATCCGAAGCTGGCGCTCGACGTGGACCACGGATTCGTGTGCTGGATGAACTCGTGCGGGAGTCCGCCGCAATGCCGATTCTATTCGTTCCGCTGGACCGACGGACAACCCCTCCCCACCGCCGTTTTCTGTGCAAATGTACGTGTTTTACGAAGAGATTTTTGAGCTTTTTTCAAAAAATTTGTGAACATTTTCGCGCACCGCGACTCGTTTGATAATCCTCTAGTTTACGAAAAAAAAACAGTATGAAACAAGTTAATTTCATTTCAATGGTTTTGCAGGTGGTCATTTCGGGACTTCCGGCGCCAAAACGGCCGAATATCGATGTTCCGGAGATGATAGAATACACTTCCAGGCACGTTTTCCCCCCTCTTTTTGTTTTTCATAAAATTATCTTTTGTTTTGCAGAAAAACGGGACTCGTGCACTACGGAATGGTGATTCGTCCAGATGATTTCGATCCGTGCCGGAAGTATCCCGTGTTTCATTACGTGTACGGAGGACCCGGAATACAGATAGTCCACAACGACTTCTCGTACGTTTTTTTTATCATTGCTTAACTGAAAAACGGGACAGAAAGTTCGGAACAATATCTTGAAATATGAGATCTCGGAAACGTAAAATGTGACGGATTCAGATGGGTGCAATGGAAGCGCTTCGCCGCCCTCGGCTACGTGGTCGTCATGATCGACAATCGGGGAACGGCGAATCGCGGCATCGAGTTCGAGCGACACATTCACAGACGGATGGGAACGGTCGAGGTGGAGGACCAGGTGGAGGGACTGCAGATGATTGCCGAGAAGGCGCCCTTCATGGACATGAACAGAGTGATCGTGCACGGATGGAGTTACGGCGGCTACATGGCACTACTCCTCCTCGCACACCATCCCAAGGTACCATTTTGGGGCATTTTGAAACTTTTTTAAAGAAAGAATTTGCATATATATATATATATATAGATTGAAAAACCAATGTACTACTTTCTATGACATAGGGCATCGACTGTATATGATATCTCAGCTACCTGTAAAGATATCAAAAAGTTGTCAAATGTGCACAATGCTTTAATGAGCATTTTAGTAGTTGACATCTTTTCGATACCTCCCCCGGCAGATGAGATACGTCGCTTTGAATGAACAGTATTGGGCTACCCTTCAATTTTCTTTCATTTAACGACTTCTAATGGTTCCACCGAATTTGAACCTTTTTTGTGCAACTGCATGTTATTGGAATTTGTGCTATAAGTTATCGTTGTCTGAATAGCTTGTGAAATACTTGTGGTTTTGTTGAAACTGAAATTTTTTCGTAGGAAATTCCACATCTCAAACTATTTCTCTGGTATTTGTGTATTGTTTTTAACTTGCAGATCTACCGCGCGGCGATGGCGGGCGGCGCGGTCTCGGACTGGCGACTGTACGACACGGCCTACACGGAGAGGTATCTGGGCTTTCCGGTCATCGACCACGTGTACCACGCGGCGTCGGTGATGCGCCACGTGGACAAACTGCCCGACGAGCCGAACCGTCTCTTCCTGATCCACGGCCTCCTGGACGAGAACGTGCACTTTGCGCACACGACCAAACTCATCGAGAAACTGAACACACAGCACAAGCCCTACGAGTTGTTGGTACGTCCTTATTCAGCTGTTTGAGGATAAGCTTTATTCCAAATCAAGTATACTCAAAATTGAATTTGAGGTGTTCCCGCACGAGCGTCACGGCATCCGCACCAACGACAATTCGATCGTTCTGGACACGCGGATGATGTACTTTGCGCAGAGAGCAGTGATGGAAGCGCCGCCCGCGGAGCCCGTCTCCAACTCGGTCTCCTCGATGACCGACGCCTTGTGAAGACTCTGTTTTTATTCAGTTTTACCCTCCTGCCTCCCTCTTTTTCCCGTTTATTTTCATTTTTTTTTCTGTTCTCCTCTTTAATCTCGGTTATTTGTTTATTGAGGCGGGTCCTCTATGTTCCCGTCCCCGTTTTCCCGATGGAAATTCGAAAATTTCAAAAATTTTATTGGCTAAAAAGAAACAATGAAGGGTGATGTACCACGGGAGTTCGCCCCTTTTTTGCACTGAAAAATTGTAAAGTTTCTGAAACCGAAGAAATATTTTGAAAAGAAGCAAAGAAGCGTCTTCTCTACGCTCCAAGAGGCATGGAAACATTTCCTAATTCGACTAGATTCCTCCCCCTCCTAAATATTGTCCAAAATGCCGGTTCTCGGGGACCAGAGATGGCGGCTGATGACCCAGATCTCGCGATTATTATTCGTCCGTGAATGTGTACAATTATTGTTGTATTCCTTCTCCAATAATTTCCATCTTATCACCAAACCGGATCCTGAGGCCATCGGCCGGCCGCATCTCCGTCGAATATTGTAGTGTTCACGGAAAACGGCAGGCGCCGCCCCCTTTTTGTGATTATTATAAAAGGACGAGATGGAGAAGGGGAGGGTATCATCATCCAGAAATGGACGGAAAGGATCCGCATTGGTGAGTCGCTTTTCGGAAAAAGTTTATGATATTTTTGGATTACGGTAGCTAAGAGTACTGTAGGATTCCTAGCCTTCTAGATTTTTGTTGAAATTTCAATTTACAGTACGCTTACTGTAGCTACCATATTCATCCATAACGGATACGGTAGCTAGAATAACTGTAGGGTTTGAAGCGTTCGACAAAGATTTTAGTTTAAAATCCTACTGTACATAGGTACCGTAAGAAGAGTAGAAAAGTGTGAAATTTGACGTTAAACTACTGTAGGCTTACTGTAGATCCGATTTTCAGTCAGGCGCGTCGGGTGGCCGTCGCGGCCGTCGTAATCTCGACGTCGGCCACGATCAGCGCCATGATCGCGCTGCCGATGCTCTACTCGATGGTCATGAACATTCAGAGCGAAATCACCACCGAGACCGGATTCTGCATGGTGAGTACTGTACTGATTTACTACTGTAGTCGGGGGTACGGTAGCCACAATTATTTTTAGTGGAAATTTATTTTTCGAGTTTTACAAGAAGTTTAGAATATAAGAAAGTTTCAAACTAGGAGCTAATTGAATGGATTTGAGAGGTTATGATGTTTCAATTTCTTTCTGAAACAGTGCATTTTTTCAATATTCGAGAAAAAGTTTGACTCAGAATCCGAATTGTTGACTGAGAGAGTCCCATCAAGAATGTTCTTCTTACTATTAATTATTTCAACTCGAATTTTGCAGATGCGCTCGCGTGACATGCTCATGAACATTTATTCGACGGCCGGCCAGAACCGTGTCAAGCGTGCGTGGCAATTCGGTTCGTGGGTCCAGGATTCGGGAGTCGGAGGCGGAGCCGGCGGATACGGAAGCGGTCCCGCCGACTCGGGATACGGAGCGCAGGGCACGAACAACGGATACGGACCAGTGGTGAATGCGGAGCCGGAGCCGCAGTGCTGCACGTGCCAGCAAGGAAAGGCCGGACCACCGGGACCGCCCGGAGACGACGGAAACGACGGAAAGGACGGAAGCGCGGGTGCGGACGCGAAGCACGGAAAGGACGGAGGAGTGGGGCCATCGGAAGGACTGCAGAGCGAGCCGTGCGTCATTTGCCCGCCAGGAGCACAGGGACTCGGCGGAGCGCCAGGAGCCAAGGGACCACAGGGACCACGCGGATCCCCGGGACTCTCGGGAGTCGACGGACGCCGCGGAGAGCCAGGAATGAGCGGACCAGCGGGAACACAAGGAGAACCAGGACCACAAGGACCGCCCGGAAAGAAGGGCGACGACGGAAGAGTGATCAACGTGAACGGACCACCGGGACCACCGGGAGCACCGGGACCGCAAGGAAGAACGGGAGAGCGCGGACCGAAGGGAGTCACTGGATCCGTGCATCCGGGAGTTCAGGGACCGGCCGGAGATCAGGGACGCAAGGGAAGAGCCGGACGGAAGGGAGAGACCGGAGGACAGGGACCGATCGGATCCAAGGGACCCAACGGGGACTGCTTCCACTGCCCGACTCCAAGAACCCCGCCTGGCTATTAATTTGGATGGTGTTGCCCATAAATTATTATTATTATTATTATTATTAGTCACTGGTTATTGAATTGAAGCACAGTTGAAACCCTTTTGACACTGTAGTGTTTCATAAGAAATCAATGAGCGGTCCTGTGATCGTTCTGAGATTCCTTTGGAATGGTTTGAACTTACTTGAGTGGGAACTATCGTCCGTTTCTGCCGAATGATTCTCAAGTCGTGTTTGTTTTCTTCCGATTTTTGTTCCCTTTTGCAACTTCTAGACATGAGATGCCACGGAAACGCGTACCCTCACATTGTAACACTTTCTCCGGTCATTCGCAAAAGGTCATTGTTCTTAGTTGAATCGAATCATTACCATGAACGCTACCATCTTTTTTCTTCTTCTTCCTGTTCTGGCGTGTCTTCTGGGACCCGTGCTCACTTCCGGTCCGCTCAGTCCATCCGAGAACCAGGAAAGACTCGCAATATGCGGAACGAAACACAAAACAGACAGCAATTTTACGAAAGAAGCGGAGAATCAGGAGAGAAGTGAGCAATAGCCATCGGAAGAAATGGACATCACGGTCTCCAGAGCTGACAATGGACGCAAGTGCGCCCCAAGCCCAATAGAGCGATACATTGGCGCGAAATTCAAATTTTAACAGCAAAATTTGTGTTTTTTGCCAGATTAGTCACGAAAAATCGATAATTTCTCATTTGTCTCTCGATAGACCGATTGTATAGGCTATTACAAATTTCTTAAGCGCAACAGCGTTAATTTTGGTCAAGTCGCAAATAACATTTATCCGTTTGAAGGTTTCTGGCTAAAATTGCGTGAATTTCAGTTGCTTTTCGGTAATTTTCGCGGTTCGAGCGCTCAAAATGTTCGTTTTTTTTTTAATCATTCTCAAAACCAATTCTGTCGGAAAACGGTCAAGAAAGCGCAAAATGAGAAGTGCGGTTTTTAGGCGGCGAAGGCGAAAAAGCAAAGTCCGCGAAAAATGCGCCAAATTAATTCTGATCATTAATTCTGAGAATTAGTGTGTTTTCATGACGAACAATCGTTTTTCATCGCCTTTGACCAAAAAAATCAGAGAAAACCTGCTCAATTCATGAAAACGCCATTTGGCCGCCAAGGCCACGCCCATATTGTCAGCTCTGGAGACCGTGACATAGATTCTTGTTAAGGGAGTATCTACGGTGGAAGAAGCGCGACAGCCCTCGAAGTTCCTTGGGCGGTTCGGGTCCAATTTGGAAATAATTTATGCTCCGGCAGTTTGATCTCCAAACGACACATTCTGACGGCTTCGCACTGCCTCGTCGGCACGGATTTCTATTTGAGATATGTTAGTCAGGCCCGGCGATATTGTTCATATGACATGTAAGTGAGATACGAAACGAAGAAGTTTGCAATCAAAATTCTCTTCCAGTGACCGAATCTATGAAGGAGACTTTCCGCAACTGTCGGTAATCCTGGCATCTGGATATTGGTTTCCTTCGAGAGCCGTTAAGGTTTGCGAGAGTATTCTTTGAAATGGAGGTCCCACACAAAGCAATGACTTTAGTTGATCCTTTACGGTCTGTGCCATCACGACAACTGGAAAAGCGACGACGCGATGATAATCGAAATGGAACAAGACGTGCAACTGTCCGATTGGACCCATCCAATTTGTGTTCCCAGTCAGTTCTACTTCGACTATCATCCAGTTCCATTCCATTTACAGAAAATGTGGACCCAAATCTTCCTGGCAAACAGGTTCATTTGTACGGTTATGGACACAATAGTTGGTTTCAATTTGTCTGTCGTGCCTCCTAAATGTTCTCCAATTCAGATAGCATTTGGACTGATTTCCAAAATTCTGACGCCCTCCGTCATGGTTCTTTTCAGGTCAACAATAGTCAAAGTTTCAGTCGATATAGTTAATCTCCAAATGTTTAGGTTACTAAATTCTCGAATAACTTTTTCCTGGCCGAAGATGCACTTCACAAGGTTGCCGTCAGACCGGTCAGTTTGAAAAGAGTATAAATAATTGAAGAGAACGAAGAAATGTTGCAGGGAGACAGTGGCGGAGGAGCTATTTTGAACCAGGAAGACGGGCGGCCCTACGTGATCGGCATATGCTCGAGTGCCACTGCCGGCAACACTTTCAAGACCAACTTCATGTCGGTCGGAGTGCATTCCGCTGGAATTTGTGTCCTTACTGGAGTCTGCTGAAATAAAGTTTTGAAACAGTGTATCGTGTGCGCCAGAGTTGAGCGTAAGAACACGGAAGAATTTTTATCTTTTTTAGAAAATTTTTTCATGGAATGTGATCAACTGACGAAATGTATAGCAAAGTGAACTGTGCTCATAGAAAAATAATTGTAAATTTAGCTTTTCATACAAAAAAGTTATTCGAGTTGTTGCGTGAAAAAAGGGCTAACGGGGAAGACGGAAAGACATTTTCACGGAACAACTTTTTTGTATGAAAAGCTAAATTTACAATTATTTTTTTATGAGCAGAGTTCACTTTGTTATACATTTCGTCAGTTGATCACATTCCATGAAAAAATTTTCTAAAAAAGATAAAAATTCTTCCGTTGAGTTCTTCCGCTCAACTCTGCTGTGTAGTGCGTAACGTGATCCTGTAATATGAATCATTGAAAATCTCATTCCATAGTCCGCCGAACACGCATTCGTTTCACCATTCAAACCATCATCTGCCATAGAAACGTGGTTCGGAAGCACTGTAACCTGAGGTTGAAACAGTTTCCTCTGGTTCCAGACGAAAAGTCGCTATCCTCTCTTCAATCGAATCGGCATCGTCGGAAGATGAAAGGAACGATGCTCGTGGCTCTTCTGGCGTGTCTGCTGGGAGCTGCGCTCACTTCCGGTCCGCTCAGTCCATCCGAGAACCAGGAAAGACTCGCAATCTGCGGAACGAAACCGGTTTGGAGCAGACACAAACGGGACAGCAATTTCACGAAAGAAGCGGAGAATCAGGAGAGAAGTGAGCAATATCTATCGGCAGAAATGGACATAGATTCTTGTTAAGGGAGTATTTACGGTGGAAGAGATGCGACGGGTCTGGAAGCTCCGTGGGCGGTTCGGGTTCACGTCGGGCAAGTCGGTTGCTCCGGGACTCTCATCTCCAAGAGACACATTCTGACCGCTTCCCACTGTCTCGTCGGCATAGCAATCGAATCTGGAGCCGTCAGGCTGGCCAGACAGTATTGCTCAAATGACATGTTAGTCTTTGAAGCTCTCAGTTGCGAAATGTCCATATTTGCAGTGACCGTGTCTACGAAGGAGACTTTCCGCAACTACAATTAGTTCTGGCAAGTGGATACAGGTTTCCTTCAAGAGTCACCAAGGTCTGTTGCAACTGTTCCATGAGAGAGAGAGAGAGAGAGAGAGAGAGAAAGAGAGAGAGAAAGAGAGAGAGAGAGAGAGAGAGATAAAGAGAGAGAGAGAGATAAACTTCTAACATTCAGTTGATCCTTTTCGGTCTGTGCCATCACGACAACTGGAAAAGCGACGACGCGATGATAATCGAAATGGAACAAGACGTGCAACTGTCCGATTGGACCCATCCAGTTTGTGTTCCCAGTCAGTTCTACTTCGACTATCATCCAGTTCCATTCCATTTACAGAAAATGTGGACCCAAATCTTCCTGGCAAACTGGTTCATTTGTACGGTTATGGACACAATAGTTGGTTTCAATTTGTTTGTCGTGCCTCCTAAATGAACATTTTCAGATTTCAACGACAACGACTACCGCAACTCTGCCATTCTTCGGTATGGAGCGATTCCGGTGAACAAGCAAGATACACAAAAAGTTACGGTTTAAAAGTTTAGGTTACTAAATTCTTGAACATGTTTTTCATGGCTGAAGATCCACTTCACAAGGTTGTCACTAGATCGGTCAGTTTCAAAAGAGTGTATTATAGGGGGCACCGCACAGAAATTACGCTCTGTTGAGAAACTTGAGCGACGTCGGGGCCGAGTTTGAAAAGTTAGGCCACATTTTTAGTGGAAAATTACTTCGCGGCCTAGAAATTCGGCCAGATTGCGATCAGAGAGCCCTTTCTGTGCGGCGCCCCTATAATAATTGAAGAGAACGAAGAAATTCTGCAGGGAGACAGTGGCGGAGGAGCTATTTTGAACCAGGAAGACGGACGGCACTACGTGGTCGGCATATGCTCGAGTGGCAATACTTTTAACAATAATTTCATGTCTGTCGGAGTGCACTACGCTGGTATTTGTTTCCTAACTGGAATTTGCTGAAAATAAACATATTTGCACGCGTTGTCACCCCGAAAACCTTTTTTTTTTCGTAACACTAACCTCGGGTCACCGTTCACTATCCTCTCTCGAATCGAGTCATTACCATCGGAAGATGAACGCTACTCTGCTCGTGGCTCTTCTGGCGTGTCTGCTCGGAGCTGCGCTCACTTCCCGTCCGCTCTCTTCCTCTGAGAACGAGGAAAGGCTCAAAATTTGTGGAACGAAGCCGGTTTGGAGCAGACACAAACGCGACAATTTCACGAAAGAAGCGAAGGATAATGAGAGAAGTGAGATCCGATAACCCACGGTGTCCAGAGCTGACAATATGGGCGTAGCCTCGGCGGCCAAATGGCGTTTTCATGAATTGAGCACGTTTTTTCTGATTTTTTGGTCAAAGGCGATGAAAAATGATTGTTCGGCATGAAAACACACTAATTCTCACAGAATTAATGACGTTTTGCGCATTTTTCGCGGACTTTGCTTTTTCGCCTTCGCCGCCGATCGCCGCCTAAAAACCGCACTTCTCATTTTGCGTTTTCTTGACCGTTTTCAGACAGAATTGGTTTTGAGAATGATAAATCACGTAAATACAAGCATTTTGAGCGCTCGAACCGCGAAAACTACCGAAAAGCAACTGAAATTCACGCAGTTTTAGCCAAAAACCTTCAAACGGATAAATGTGATTTGCGACTTGACCAAATTTAACGCTTTTGCGCTTAAAAAATTGGTAATAGCCTATACAATCGGTCTATCGAGAGACAAATGAGAAATTATCGATTTTTCGTGGCTAATCTGGCAAAAAACACAAATTTTGCTGTTAAAATTTGAATTTCGCGCCAATGTATCGCTCTATTTGGAGGGGCGCACTTGACACAAAAGGGATTAATTATTGTTGTTCAGGAGGAGTATACGGCGGAGTGGAGGTCGCCGGCTCTTCGGCTCCGTGGGTGGTTCGCATCCAACTGGGCGTCGCCACGTGTACGGGCACTCTCATTTCGACCAGACACATTCTCACCGCTTCCCATTGTGCCCTCAGCGCCGGCGATTTGTCGCAGGCCCAACGATCTTGTTCCATTAGCAAGTAATAGTCCAATTTCTTCTCAAAACTTTGCGTTCATTCCAATTTGCAGTGACCGTGTCTACGAGGGAAACTTCCCCGGACTGTCGATATTTCTGGCAACTGGATATCAGTTCCCTTCGAGAGTCGTCAAGGTTTTCGTTTATTGTTTCTCCAGATGTTCCTGTTTCAAAGGCGTTTCAGTTGACTCTGCTCGGTCTCTGCACGTCCGACGTCTGGCAAGTGCAAGATGCGATGATAATCGAACTGGAACAAGATGTTCAATTGTCCGATTGGACCCAACCGGCTTGTATTCCCAGTTAGTTTACAGAAAATACAAAGCCAAAATTTACCCTTTTTGTTTTCAGAATACAGAACAGATTATGACAGTCTGCTGATCGGTAAATACATCAAATTCTACGGCTACGGACACAACAGTCAGTTCAACTTTTTCGTTCGAATGAAATCAAAAAGCGTTTCTAATTGCAGACTATGACATTCACGACTCCAGAAATGGGAATATCCTTCGCTACGGAGCGTTGCCGGTAAGAACTAAGACGGTTTTTCTTGAAAAAAAAAGCGTTTTTTAGGTGCTTCAATTTCTCTTTGATAAAAAAGCGTTTGCGGTCAGAGATCTTGATCAAAGAGTTGCCACTAGACCGGTACATTAAACCATATGTTTTATTGTACGAAAAAGCGTTCAGGGCGACAGTGGTGGCGGAGGAATTGTGAACCACAGAGACGGGCGGCACTATGTGGTCGGAATCTGCTCCAGTGGCACTCCCGACTATTTCACCGGCATTTTCTCGTTTGTCGGCGCCTATTATCATAAAATTTGTGCCCTTACTGGAATTTGCTGAAAAATAAATGATTTTCTTTTGAAAATTTACCTATTTTTTCTATGGTACACACCAAAATGCGATGCCACGTCCGCAAACACTTTGCTACGATGCTCCGAAATGACGCCTTGCACGCTGTTTAGCGGGATGCCAATATTCGAAATTAATTTATTTCCATTCGGTTTCTCGGTCATTTTTAATAGATTTTCCGTTGGAAACTCTATTTTGTTGCATAGAAAATTTGAAAAATCGATAATTGTCTTGTTTTCCAAATGTTCATCGCTTTTCGTCGCTAGGTTTCTCCATTTTCCATGAAAAATTGATTTTGCAGGAAGAAATCGCAAAAATGGCCGACGACGAACTTGAAACCTATCGATTGTGGCGTATTCGTAAAACTGTGCTCCAGGTGAGGATTTTCAACGAGGAAAACAGAAAAATTTTGGATTTTCCTCAAAAAACACCCAATAATAAATAATCAATCAGATGGTGCACGATCGTGGATATCTCGTGGCTCAGGATGAGTTGGATCAGCCGCTGGAGACGTTCAAAGAGCAATACGGAGACCGTCCGTCGGAAAAGAAGCCCGGCCGTTCGGATCTGACGATTCTCGTGGCACACAACGACGATCCGGCCGACCAAATGTTCGTTTTCTTCCCTGATGACGCGAAAATCGGCATCAAGACGATCAAGGCAATCTGCCAGCAGATGCAAGAGCAGAACATCTCGCGCGCGATCATAGTCGTGCAGACGGGAATGACGCCGAGCGCGAAGCAGTCGATCGGCGACATGGCGCCCAAGTACATGCTCGAGCACTTCCTCGAAGCGGAGCTCATGGTCAACATCACCGAGCACGAACTCGTCCCCGAGCACGTCGTCATGACCGCCGATGAGAAGGCCGAACTCCTCGCCAGATAGTGAGTCTTGAACGAATACCTCAAAATCGTCATTTTCTCAAAGAAATTTTGACATTTCCATAAATTTGAAAACGTTTTCTCTTCAAATTTCGTTAATTTCAGCAAGCTGAAGGACTCTCAACTGCCGCGCATCCAGCAGTGCGACCCGGTGGCCCGATATTTCGGACTCCGTCGCGGACAAGTCGTCAAAATTATTCGTCCGTCCGAAACCGCCGGCAGATATATCACCTACCGTCTCGTCGTCTAATTTCTATCATTTCCTCTTTTTCTCTCTGAAACTTCTCACTGTTACATGCTGTTCTCTTTTTTGTGTTCTCTCATCATAAATTCGTCGAATTTTCCGTCAAATTGAGAACGAAAAAGGTTAAAATCCGTCGGAAACAATTTTTTTGAGAATGAGAAAAGAGTTGAAACAAAAAAGGCAGTTTTCAGGTGAAAATGAGCAACGCAGAACCAATAGTCGATGTGGAGGCGGCGAGAAAAAAGTACGAAGAACGACGTCGTCGAATTCAGCAAGAGGAGCAAAAAGAGCGGAGAGACGGAATGAATTTGTCATCTGGAGAGGACGAAGACGACGTCGACGACCTCTTCCTCACTGCCATGCAGAGGAAACGAGAAAAAGTTCGTAGAAAATGGACTTCAGTACCACTTGGAACAGTAAAAAGAGAAAAAAGAATTAGCGTTTCAATAATCTTCCAAAATTTGTTTCTAGCCGACTGCCGCACTGATGACATCCGTCGCTAAAGGCTTCTTGTGCTTTATACACAAGAACGATTCCGAAAAAATTCGCAAAATTTCAGCGTCACCGTCAGGTACTTCTGAAGCAGGTGCTCGCGCCGACACTCAACCAAAAAGAGGAAATCGAACGGAAACGGAAAAGGAAGGAGGAGGAGAAGCAGACGGAAGAGGCACGGAAGACACTGTTGGAGAAGCACGCAGAGATCATGGAAACACAGGGAGGTACGCGAAAGTTTACAGCAATTTTCAATAATTTTGAAGCAGAAATTACTAGTGAAACAATCTACACGAAATGAAGGAAAACAATGATTAATTCATTCAATGCTTTCAGTGATCGACGAATCGGAGCGTCAATTGCGAGAAGAAGCGGAGCTTTTGGACAAAGTGACACGTGGCGGGGGTCTTTTGGCAGTAGCCGAGCTCACGAAAGGAGAAAAGTACGAGGAGCCGATCGTCACCGCGTTAGTTTGCCCCTTTTTTATGAAAATTATAAAAACAAGTAGTTGTTGAATGCCCTGGAAAACGATACGATTTCAGGTGGCGGCCGCCCGGACACATCCGCCGCCAAACCGAGACAGACCATGAAAATCAGCGGCGACGACTGGGAATCAGCTGCGAAGGCGATGCGATTCCGCCGCCGATCGGCAGCTTTCTCGAGATGAAGTTTCCCAAAAATATATTGGAATTCATGCAGAAAAAGAAGGGAATCGTGACGCCGACAGCCATTCAAATTCAGGGAGTTCCCGTCGCGTGAGTCTGATGCTGCTTCAAAAGTTGTTCGAATAGATAAATGCCATTACTTCCATGTTCTTATTTTCATATAAATTAGAAAACGAAATTGTTCAGATTGTGCGGCCGAGACATGATCGGAATCGCGTCGACCGGATCCGGAAAAACCATGACATTCGTGTTGCCGCTGGTGATGTTTTGTTTGGAACAAGAGATGAAATTGGCATTCATGCGCAACGAGGGACCATTCGGACTCATCATTGTCCCGTCTGTAAGCTCTTTATTCTGAATTGAAAGTGCAACTTTTGAGAGAACAAAATTGCGTGTGGATTCACGAAAATTAACACAAGAAAACTCTCCACGCTCCTCGGAAACACAGAGCATGAATAGATCGTCCGTTTTTCATCCACAATGGAAACTATATGCGCCTGATACCCGGTGTAGCCTTGGGGGCAGGCTTGTGTCCAATAATTTTCAATAGGAACCGAATTTTTTGTTAAAATTGAAAAAATGAGTCTACAGTTTCACATAGCCTTCACATTTTGCTTCGTAATCGTGTAACATTGCTGTGATGAAGAACGCACATAATTTCGAATAAACCATTTTGCAGCGAGAATTGGCGCGACAGATCTACGACCTGATAATCGAAATGTTCGAGGCTATGGGCGACTCGGGAATGCCCCGAATGAGGGCCGGACTGTGCATCGGAGGAGTTCCGATCGGAGAGCAGTCGAAAGAATTCCGACAGTTTGTGCACACCTCTTTTCGAATTAAATGATTACTGTGGATTGCAGAGGGATCCACATTGTGGTCGCGACGCCCGGAAGACTTTCCGACATGCTCACAAAGAAGATTATTAATTTGGAGGTACCGCTTTGTTTTTGAAACTTGTTTTCACTAATTTTTGAAATGCAAAGCCGGCTCGTTGCAGGTGTGCCGATATCTGGTGCTCGACGAGGCGGATCGGATGCTCGACATGGGATTCGAGGACGAAATTAAATCGATCTTCTATTTTTTCAAAGCCCAGCGACAAACGCTCCTCTTCTCGGCCACAATGCCCAAGAAAATTCAGCATTTCGCAAAATCGGCTTTAGTCAAACCGATTGTGAGTCGTGTTTTTCGGTTCATGCTGAATTTCTGAAGCGGAAGAAAACGCATTTTTATTCAGGTCGTGAACGTGGGCCGAGCGGGAGCCGCTTCTCTGAATGTGCTCCAAGAGCTCGAATTCGTGAGATCCGAGAACAAACTGGTCCGCGTGCTCGAGTGCCTTCAGAAGACGTCGCCAAAGTGAGTTTTTTTTTGGAATTTCACTGAAAACAAGGAAAAATCCATCAAAGCCAATCATTCTCAGAGCATTTTTTCGTGAGTCTGACAAAAATCGGTTTCATACAATAATTCATTCAAAAAAAAGCTCAAAGGACGAATTTCTGATATTGTTCGGTGAAAGTGTCGTGCGCTTTCATGGCTTCGTCGTCGAAAAGACCCTTTCCGCGGAAGAAGTTCAGCATGACCTGGTGCACGAACAGGTACTGGTGTTCCGTCTGAAATATGGTCCCTGGTCCCTCGATCAACTGATGGTCCCACCCACCTGAATGGAATTGTTGCGCTGATCCCTGATCTTCTGCAGAATCTTGTCGCTCTCCTCGATAGTCTGTCCGGCGAGCAGTTGGTCCATTATGTACTCGATCATGACGACGGAGCCGGTGCGGCCGATGCCCGCCGAGCAGTGCACCACGATCGGGCATCTGAAAATACGAAAATTCTTCGAAAAAGTGCCAGAAAAGGCCAAGTTTTTGTAAAATTTGAACATTTCCATGCATAATCGGGCTTTTCTATTATGACGGCATTTGACTGCAATCGCGCTCTACCGCAATCCCACGTTTAAGCACTGAATTCGCGTGGTTTGCGGTAGAGAGTGACTGCAGTCAAATGCTATGGTTTTGATGAGTATTGCACACTCTCACTTGGATGATCTGGCCTTGCCGAGCAACTCAAGAATGGCCATGTCGGGCGGCGGGACTCCGCGGTCGGGCCAGTCGACCCAGTGGTAGTGAGTGGTCTTGAGCGTGGCCCCGTTCGGTCCCTCGACCGCCAGCACCGTCTCCAGCACCTTGGCCTCCGTGTTGCTCGCGAACTTGTGCCGATTGCTCGTCTCGTGCTGCACCACAATCTTCAGCCCCTTCTCCTCAAACTCGAGCGCCTTTTCCTTGGTCGGATAGTACTGGAAGCACTTTTTCGCGCCCTTCTCCACCATGTTGCACAGCATGAAGATGGTCTCGACGCGCTCCTGCAGACACATAAACCAGAAGTCGGCGCACGTCTTCTCGAGCGGCGCCTGCGCACAAATGAAGCGTTTCGCGTTCGTCGGCGTCGCCACATAGTTTGCGTGAATGTACTCGTGTGGCCACGGAGCGCCCAGTTTGACGCGGTTGTTGTCGAGGCAGCCGACGTCCTTGTAGCGGTTCTTGCCGTGCTCCTGCGCCTCCTTGAACGCCTTCATCTTCTCGAAATCGTTGAAACGCTTCATTGAGGCGAACTCAAGACGCAGACCCGGCGGACCCTTCAAGAACGTCGTACGCACGAATTTCACGATCTGAAATGGGCTGAGCTTTTGCACTTTTCGACAACATAGAATCAAGCGTTTTCGAAGAAAGATCAGTCTTCAAACTTGTCGAAAAGCACTCAAAATAAAGCGAATCGTTAATTTCCGAGAATCTTCTCGAATCTGCTCTGCTACAATTGACCAAAATTTTACCTGTTTGCGTTGCTGCTTGCGATCGTTGGCGGCCGGCTGCGGCTCCTCGCACATCATCGTCTTCTGACTCGCCTCCTTCTCGACCGTCCGTTCTTTGCTCTTTGCTGGCTTTCTCGGTTTCGGCACTCCTGAAATACATTTTCGTGGATATTATCGATTGGGAAGTGACGCCGCCCACGCACTCTGCTGTTTGCTTGCCATCTCTTTGTTCTTATATTCCGAAAATCGTCGAAATTGATGAAACGTTCACGTGGGAATGAATGAATAAAGGCCGAAAAGAGAACGAAGCGAAAAGAGACGGAGAAGCCACGTGGCAAAGGGAAAGAGAGAAAGAGAGAGAGAGAGATTAGAAAGATTGGGGAGAGTTCACGAAATTTACATTAAAAGAGCGACTTCTCGTCGTCGACAGGCTTCACTGACACTGACTTTCTGAATTCTGGCCACCACACTAAAACTATCAAAAAGTGACTGATTTTCATGTTATTTCAGTACAAATTTGACTTTTCAGAGACTAACTAGAAAGCAAAATAGCACACTTGGAAAAATATTTTTGAAAATTGCTGAAACCGAAAATGTTTATTCTAAGCATCACTAAAACTGTCGATTTCAGGGTGCTAATTTTCGCGGAGAAGAAGGTGGACGTGGACAATATCTACGAGTACCTGCTGGTGAAGGGCGTCGAAGTGGCGTCGATCCACGGAGGAAAGGACCAAAGCGACCGGCACGCGGGCATCGAGGCGTTCCGAAAGAACGAGAAGGACGTGCTCGTCGCCACGGACGTCGCCTCCAAAGGACTCGATTTCCAGGGCATCGAACACGTCATCAATTTTGACATGCCCGAGGACATTGAGAATTACGGTAGGCACCTTTTTTTTAATGGAAATATTAGGACAAAGTTCGATCGAAAAATCATTCGCCTGTTTTCAGTGCACCGCATCGGTCGTACGGGCCGTTCTGGCCGCAAGGGTCTCGCCACGACATTCATCAACAAAAAGTCGGAGATGTCGGTGCTGTCGGACCTGAAGCAGTTGCTCGTGGAGGCCGGACAGGAGCTGCCCGAGTTCCTCAAGATGCTTGCGGGCGAAGAGGAGGGCATCGCGCCCGCTGGCACCAACGCCGAGAAGGTAAGACAACTCCCGTTTTTTGTTTTGTTTCTGTAAAATGTTCCATCAAAGACATGGTTTGCAGGGGTGTGCGTACTGTTCGGGACTCGGTCATCGCATCACGGACTGTCCGAAACTCGCCGGAATCGGAAACAAAACGACGCAGGCACTGGCGAGGGGCGGCGGCGACGACGGAGGATTCTGAATCAATTGGCTGCATCTCTTTTCTCATTCCCTTTTCACGGAAATTATTGTACCTATTCTTCGACCCAAAATTATTATCGATTTGTTCTCATTGTGTACAAACATTTATCCCATGAAGAGGTCTCCAGTCCCCAAGCGGACCAGTTTCTCTTCCTGTACATCACTCCACTACCTCTTTAGTTTCTCGTAGGTCCGGGCTCATCCGGGCGGCTACTGATGGACTGTGGAGTGATCGGGACGAGAAGCTTTGCACTAGACACAGAATTCGACCGCGGCGCCCAAGTACGTGTTTGAGTTTCCCCAAAAGTCGCCTAGATCCATGTGTAAATGATGTCGATCACTACAAAAAAACATGATAATTTCCGTGCCAACCTGATTCCATGATCTCTTTTTTTCGGCGCGCGCGGAGAGTCTTTCCGCAAGCGCCTTCTTCCGCGCGGCAACTCGAAAATAAACAACATCTCGTCGAGGAGATTTCCGGTCGATTTACATTTGCGTTTTTTGCCCCCCCTCTCTCCCATTTTTTCACCGTATTTTTTGTGTCTGTTTGTGGCTGCCATTTACGGTATTTGTGGTGCGTAGCGAGACGGAAAGTGGTCGGATGATGGCATTTCCTGCTTTCCGCCTCTCTTGCACAACACCACGCGGCTCGGCTCCCTCCAAATGCTCATTTTTCCATGATTACTGTACGTGTGGCTCCTATAGTTATTACGGTTTCAAATTTGTATTGTTGCCTGAATTTATCATTGGATTGTTCAATCATATCGAATGTTATTGACGTGGAGAAACGAGAGAAAGAGGGGGGAGGCCATAAACTACAGTAAGCTGAGATACTGTAGACAAGTGGATAACTTTTTGTGAAAAGACTACTCTAGTTTACAGTTTCAATTTTCAAGACTATTTTTGTGAGACTGAGGTGAGAGAGGGACTAGAAAACTCCGCCGGCCGTGTACTTCTCGTGGACCCGTTTGCTTTTTTTGAAAAATTGTGAAATTCACTCATAATTTGAGACTTTGGGACTTCCCTTTAAAAATACGCAACATTTTTAGCGCACGACATTTTTAAGTACAAAAAATTCCCTAATTTTTCGATGCTCATCTGATATGAAATGCAATTGATAACAAGGTAAAAAGAACATGAGTTTTCGCAAAAAGAATGTGGGCAGTCCGCGGCGAAAAGGACGGCGCGTACTTTTGGAACAAACTACACCGAATTCGGGTGGACATTTTGGAGAAGGCGGTGATGACGTCATGAGGTAAAATGTGTGGACAAGAACGTGTTCGGCCCACTGTTGTCCCATTTATTCAGACGAAAGAAACCAAGAGATCAGCTCTTTTTTTGCAAAAAAGGAAGACTACTAGTCAAATACTTGGGCGAGAAAAGAAAAAGAGTACCCAATTGTGAGCATCAATGCCTGTTCCTTTACAATTTTTGAATTTTGTCAATGTGAGATCTTAGGGGGATATTCAGGCTGTGAAAAAAAAAGATTGTTTTCCGTTTTTTTCGTTTTTTTACGTCAAAAAATCCAATTCAGCGATGTAAAAAAACGAAAAAAAAACAGAAAACAAACATACGCTGAATAGTCCCATTAAAATAGTAACGGAATGAATACGGTCTCAAGACACTGTGTGTGTCTTTACTTTCAGCCGGACGGCCGCGTTTGCCTGAAAAGATGAGCGGTCACTTTTTAGATTGTCAACTTTAAGAAAACTGGTCCCCTTTATTCCTAATATGTTTCTTTCTGATATTATAGTTCGTGACTCTGGTCACCGCTTCTTATCGCTCGAAAGAGAGAGAGAGAGAAAGAGAGAGAGAGAGAAGGAGCTCCCTTATCTTTTTTTCCGACCGCAAAACTAATGCAACTTGCCGCAAACAGCCATGAAATCAACTAGACTGTTAATCAGACTTGCAACAGGCCGAGCCCGGCACGAAAAATTCAAAAATTTCGAGAAATGTGAACAATTTGTTCAAAACAGATTGAGGGATCACTGAACGCTGTGAGACCATTTCTTGATAAAATTTTGAAACCGTAAGCACGTAAAGTTTCACTAAAAGGGCGGTATATTGGATCCAACGATGGGTAGCCGCCGGTAACCATCCCATTCTTTTTGGAATCTGATCAATCAGCGCTTTTTTTTTAAAACGGGGGGCTCAGCTCCTAACTATTGAATTGTTTTCTAGTTAAGTACCTCCTTGTTGGGACTCGTGTGTCTATATCATCTCACTTTCTAGGAGTCTACTGCCATCCGTGTCGCTGTGGCCGTTTGTACCTGTACACCCCTTTGGGAATCATGTTATTTTGTTCTTCTATGTAGTCGAGGATAAATTGAAGGAATTTATTGCGAATTCTCTTGAAAGCGGGGGTTGTTAGGCTTACTCCTTCCCTTAATCATTCTCGTTAGCAGTCCTTTCGGGCCCAGATTGTTTTGCTTGTTGGGCCATGTTCCGGAAGGGATTGGCGCTTGTTTTGCTGTCTTCTAATACTGTAGAACACAGTTCAGGAATGACGCGATCTCTTTCTCTCTCTCTATTCCTAAAATTTCTGACCGAAAATTTGCTCTCCCTGACCACTAGACCCCATTCTGATAGTCACCGTCACATGTTTCTATTCAATTGTTGCGTCTGTTAACTGCGGTCCAAATACCTCTGAAATTGTGGCGCCAAAAGAGAGAGAGAGAGAGAGAGAGAGAGAGAGAGAGAGAGAGAAAGAGAGAGAGAGAGAGAGAGAGAGAGAGAGAGAGAGAGAGAAAGAGAAAGAGTGATAACCCCTTCGGAAAAGGGAGAAAATGATAAGGGAAATGCGGGAAGACACCGAAAGAGAGGAGCAAATCAACAAAGAAAACCACAGAGAAAACCGCAAACGGAGAGCTTTTTTCGCAACTTTTTTGCATTTTTTCCCTATTGAACTGAGCATTGATTGACACTTTTATAGACGGCATGGGTTACTGTAGTTTCGAAAACCGAAGTGAATAGGGTTAAAAAAAGATGAATGGAATAAACAATTTTTGAAACTGTCACTACACTTTCAAAATGTTTTTTTTTCGAATGTTTCACTTGTCTCCTATTGCCATAATCAGTGTCCGAATACCAACTTTCCGCAAAGTCTATAAACGGAACAGTGCGCAGTAGAAGTTGTGGCCGTGGCCTAGAAACAGTCAGGCGCGAAAACTCTTCCCTGCCTAGCATAGCTGCTGATTTGTGCGAATGTTCGGCAGCATGTGAGAAAAGATCCCATGGCCTAGGAGATTTCTAGGCCACAACTTTAACTGTTTCTAGGCATTGCAGAGAGTTGGGACTCGGTCTCTGAACGTGGAAATTCAGAGAGACACATAAACTCGGAGGGTTCCCTGATCCTTTAAGGAAATGTCTTCAGAATGAGTCAAACGTTTCTTGATTTCTGTGCTCTTTTCGCATATTCTGTCATTCTTTCTCTCTTTCTCTCTTCTTCTTCTTCTTCTTCTTCTCCCTTATCACTCTACCGTATCACTCAATTTGCAACCTTTTCTGGCTGGAACTCTGATCATTGATAAGCCCCCCCTCCCTTCTCGGCCATTTTCCCACGGTTTTGCTCCTCTTTATCACCGTGTGAACCATGAGGTGACATTGCGCCAAATGATGCCATTCCAAAAGTACAGTAACCCCCTTCCCCCCCTTTTTGATGGAAAGGCGTATAAAAGCAACTGTGCGCCGGCTCGAAATGTTCAGTTTTCGAGTGAGTAGGTGAGTGAGTTGGGCATGTTTTTCCTTCTTTTTTTTCAAAATTGAATTGCATCAAAATCACTTCGGAATCCCAACTTTTTCGATCTGAAGCAGTCTGTTTTTACACGTCTAACGTCTATGATTTTGTGCACGGCAATTTGCCGGCGTTTGTCATGGACTTTTGACTCACTTGCAGTCTTCCGGGACCAAGTTTCAGCCTGTTTACTGTCGGGATACCGTACTTGAGGGCCGCGTTTGGCCTCTGATCCACATATCTCGGGACCGGATGATCCGATCGGGCTGAAACTTGGACCCAATGGCCCTCACTCCAAGTACAAAAAGTCTGCAAAGTTTGGGTCCGATCGGATCATTGCAAGTGGATCAAAAGTCCAAGACAAGGGCCGGCAACCCGGATTTTGTGGGTTGCCACGCCATTTTCTATGTTTCTCGATATTGACCTCTTCTGAAAGTGCACCTGAAAGGTTGTTCCATTCAAAAATCAAAGTGAAATGTGTAGAGGAGCGTACTTTGAAAAGATGCCATTACTAGAATGTAGCACTGTGAATAACTGCGTCCAAATATTATCATCTTCCCCAAAAAAGTGTCAATTTGGCTGAAAAGCCTCGTGAGAACAGTGCTTATCAAATGAAATTTCATTCGAATAACTTTATCATCAAAACGCGTTCAATTCTCCCTCATTTTCCGTCTGATTTTCGCAAAAATGTGTTGTTTTCGAGAAAAACGCATAGTTTTGATGGCTGTAAGATTTGATTAGAAAACCTGAATAATCGGGTTTTTTTTCCGATTTTTACACAAAAAAGTTGCATTGAAAGATCTCTGAAAGGATTAGTGTATTCGTGAGTGATCATGATCACCGGCCTACTGTAGAATTTGGAGGAAAATGTGGGAAAAAAAGAGGAGAAATGGAAGTTGCTCTTAAGGAAAGTGAAAGGGTTACTGTAGGCGGCGTCTTCCAATCGGCGCTTCTTCTTCTTCTTCTCTTAATTCCTTCCTTTCACGAACAAATTCGCGATGATAAGCTCTGAAATTCCGGAACCACACCCATCAATTTCTTCCCGTTTTTCTTACTTTTTCGTTCTTCTTTTCTTTGTTAGTGATTCGATGAAATTATGGACGAAAAAGAGTGATAAGAAAAACAGTGAAATCTCGTGATTTATGAACGAAATGACAACAATCATTCTCGTTTTCCGATATTGTTGACCCGAATGACTAATTGAGAGAGAGAGAAAGAAAGAGAGAGAGAGAGAGAGAAAGAAAGAGAGAGAGAGAGAGAGAAAGAGAGAGAGAGAGAGAGAGAGGGTTTTGTAATGATAATGACGTTTTTTTGGTGAAACTTTTCAATTTTCAAGTAAAAGATGACATCAAAAAGTGCGGAAAAGGCTCCGCAGCGACTTTTGCTTGCGCCCCGGTCCCTGTGGTTGATGGTGGCTCAAAGAGTCCAACAATCGAGTAGTCAGCTGATTCATTTTCACGTTTTCCGCGCCGAAAATCCCGGATTTCCGCGCGGAACTCACCCGAATGACGTGGCTTCTGAGAGCAGCAAGTGTTGCCAATCCTCTATTTGTTTATGAGGAGTTCTTTCTACTATTGTCAATTCAAAGCAATGTATCTCAGCTGCCGATGGAGATATCAAAAAGTTGTCAACTAATGAAATGTGCACAATGTTTTAATGAACAATTTGTCAATTGACACCTTTTTGTTATCTCCACCGGCAGTTGAGATACATCGATTCGAATACCGTAACTAGTGTGATAGTTGTTCATTCAAGATTATCATTTCGTCTGGATTGTAATTACGGTATGAACACGATTACTGTAGTCTGGTTCGTTTCGAGACCCTCCAAATGACGAATTGGATTGTAGTAAAGAGGAAGGAAAGCGCATAAAGAGGGCGAGAAAATGGGGGTGTAATTGTGAAGCTACTCACTAATAAATAGTACTATGTATCGTTAGCATCCAAATCGAGAGAAGAAGAAGAAGAAGAAGAAGAAGAAGAAGAAGAAGAAGATGTCACTCACTTTTACACTTTTTCAGCAGAAAACCCTATCCTCTTTTCTTGAAATTCGGCTTCCTCTTTTCCACTTTTTCGGGGCCCATTTCTCCACTGCTCTTCTGCTCTTTTCCGCCCCTCAACACCGTAAAAACGTGTTTCGAGAGTAAAATTGAACTCGGCACAACAAACTTCCTCATTTATTCTCCATTTCATTTTCGCACTGAACTTTTTGATTTGCGCTCCTCTCTTCCCGTCTTCTTCGTTCTTCTTTTCAAGTGCGCATTCAGCATATGTGTCAACTTTCTCGTTCGTTTCGTAACCGTTTCGCTTTTCGCCGCCGACGGTCATTGGATACGCTCAGACACTCGTGTTTGTTTTCCACTTTTCACCAGTTCGCATAGTTACTCTCTAGTTCGGTCTCGCTGGTTTTTGAGCCGTCGGGACCGCGGAAAGCATCGGCCATCTCGTAGAGATTTCTGTGAAGAATCGAGTTCAAGCGAAGCGTACGGTTGCGAATGGTTGCAAAACGGGAGAGTTGCCGAAATTGGTTCATCACTAACAAGTGTAGAACGTAACGGTTGTGGAACAGCACTTTTCTACATGATTCTACATTTCTAGTAGAGTTGAGGGGAAGAGCTCAACGGAAGAACTCACGGAAGAATTTTTATCTTTTTTAGAAAATTTTTTCATGAAATGTGATCAACTGACAAAATGTATAGCAAAGTGAACTCTGCTTATAAAAAAATGATTGTAAATTTAGCGATTCATACAAAAAAGTTATTCGAGTTGTTCCGTGAAAAAAGGGCTAACGGGGAAGACGGAAGGAACGAATAACTTTTTTCTATAAAAAGCTAAATTTACAATTATTTTTCTATGCGCAGAGTTCACTTCGCTATACATTTCGTCAGTTGATCACATTTCATGAAAAAATTTTCTAAAAAAGATAAAAATTCTTCCGTGAGTTCGTCCGTTGAGCTCTTCCGCTCAACTCTGATTTCTACTCGTTCCGGATCGTTCCACGACTTCTCCACGAATGCCGAAATGTTTCACAACAACGTCTCGCTCGTCAGTTGACCCCGAACGAATAGAAATCGGCCCGACGCGTTAATCTATATTATCAAATTGGGCGAAATGAAAGTGACACGGGAGGATTCAAGTTCGGGGAAACGGAACAGGAAGATGGAGGAAGGCATCGAAACGCTTTTTACTATAAATCGTCTCGTATTCGTTTCGATTTCTCGTTCCCCCCCTTTCCTTCCTTTCCCTTTTTGCAAAATGTTCCTTCTCCTTCTCCCCCTCTTCCAAATTTCGATTACGACACTCGCCTCGCCTCGGACGATATGTGATCTGATGAATGATTGGGCGGAAAGCGAAAGGGTTACCTTTTCGGCCGCTCACAGACGGGTTATCCGTCCTTTCACTCGTCGCCGATTAGCAGATAAAATGATAATATACTTTGAGAAGAAGAGGAAGAGGGAGAAGAAGTGTGTAACACTTTTTAGGAGAAACCGATGACGCCACACGAACACCGAACGCCACGCCTTTTTCATAGACTATAGGAGACTCATTTTTTGTCGGGCGGCCTAAAAAAAAGTACTTGGAAACAGATATTGTAGGTCTAAAGTTCGCCGGACAAAACTGACAGTCTTCAATGAATTGTGGCTCTCAATTTCTGTCAGTTTCTCGCAAAAACGTGCAGTTTCAGCACGACATTAAATCAACTTTTTCTCAGAACTCCCAATGTTCTCATCTGTCTCTATTCTCGGAGTCAAAAATGGTGTACTCAAACAGAGAAATGAATGTTTTCGAGTAAGTTCAAGTTCATCCGCTTCTTCTTCTTCTTCTTCTTCTTCTTCTTTTTCTTCTTCTTCTCCTTCTTCTTCTTCTTCTTCTTCTTCTTCTTCTTCTTCTTCTTCTCCTTCTTCTTCTTCTTCTTCTTCTTCTTCTTCTTCTTCTTCTTCTCCTTCTTCTTCTTCTTCTCCTTCTTCTTCTTCTTCTTCTTCTTCTTCTTCTGGTTCTTCTTAATCGGGCCAAAAAAAAAAGAGGGAGGACGGACGAGTTATTTTCGCTTTTCGCCCATAATTAACCGCCCGTCCTTTCACTTCATATCACCTTTTTTCCCTCATTTTCTCTTCGTTTTTTTGGAGCGAAAGTGATAATTTATTATTAGATGCGGCGAATCGAATCGAATCACGTTGAGCCAGTCTTGATCTGTCTGAGGACCGTGATCCGAGCCGGGAGGGACCACGTCCGTCTCCCTTTTTCCCCCAAAAACCGCAGACGGAACCAGTCGTCCCATCCATATTTCCCTTTTTGCATTCCGTCTCACTTACGTATCTCCTTAATTTCTCAAGTGGATTCACTGTTTTGTCCCCTTCAAAACATTCCACACATTTTTTCTGTCGAAACTAAAATTGCTGATTGGATTGCCAATTCAGTTCATTTTCGAAACCAGTCCATTCTTTGCTTTTTTTTTCTGGCCGGCGCCTCGCCACGTGTCATCTTCCTAGGCCCCGCCCACTTTTCACGCGCTTTTCCTTTCATTTCCGCGCCCGCCCGCCCACAGTCCCACCGCTCGCACACGCATTTTCACTTTCTCAGCCACTTTTCACTCGATTTTCGCCTCTATTACTCGTGTGCTCACTTTTTTTCGATGACGTGGCACGCGCCTACCGTAATCCTCGTCGATGACCCACATAACTTTCCGTTTCGCACAAAAAACAAACGTTTTCAGGTCAAATTCGCTATCTGACCTTTTTTTTTTTTTGGCGGCGATCGCGTACGCAACAATCGAGATTTTACGAGAAGAAGAACGCACATTCGAGTGGCGAAAAGTGGACAATATCGGAAGAATGCAGTTGGCCGACAGATATTATTGGTTCGTTTTTTTTTTGAAACTCTAGGAGCACGCTACGAGTTTTTGAGTTTTCCAGCGCCGGGAGAATCTAGAAAAACCTATTGGAATCATAGAACATCTTTTAAATTTGTTCACTGTTTCAACCTTCTTCTTAAAGTGTTCCTCCTTTTCCGCAAATTGTTCTGATGGTGTGATATCAAGTTGTTGAGTAATTCTTTATCACTTTTTTCGCGAAACCGTAATACTTTCTGGCCATCCGAGACAGACCGATAATATCCACACACACACACTTTCACTCCGTCCTTTCCCTTTCTTTTCCCCCGAAATCTCGCAAGTTCTGCAGGCTCGTTCTCGTCGTTCTCTCGCTTCTCCTGCTCACCTCCGCCCACGCATTTCCGAGCGGCGGGACCGAAGTGCAAACGGAGCCCCAAGGTTCGGAATTCCACGCGCACCACCATCATCACAAGGTTTGTCGTCGAAAAAAAGCGTGGGTGTTTGCTCCGGTTTATACAAATTTCTCGCATTTTCTCTGATATCACAAGATCTGGCCGCCCCCGAAAACTTGATGACGTGGACCGGGAAAACAAAAGATATCGTCGATTTCGGCTTTCTTCTTCGCGAGAAACTTCCTTTTCGCTTTCTCGATTCTTCGGATGCGTTCAAAACGAAACGCCGCGAGTTCCGGGTCAAAAAACGGGGTTTCGGCTTCGAAAAAAGTGGTTTCTAGGCAATGGATCGGGCAAAAGTTAGGCCACGAAGGTTTTTGAACGTTTCTGGTCGGTTCGGAACGAGCTGAGGCCATGAAAAAGTTGAAAAAGTTGACTGAATCGCATTTTGCAGCATCACATCCGTCACAAGCATCGTCGTCGAAGTCTGACTTCAGAAGAGGAGACGAAGACGCAGAGGAACAAGCAGATCATGCTCACAAAACCCTATTGGCCGTGGCCTTAAAACAGGCGTCGTCCATTTTTCGGAATTTTCCAGAAAACCTAACTTATCCGCCCCCTCAACTTTATGTAAATACCCCCCTCCCAAATATTTATTCTCTCCCCAAACTTGCCGTATTTCCCACAAAAATTCGCTGATTTTCCGGGTCCATTCAATCGAAACCATCATGATTTAGTCTCAAAAAGCTTTCTCTCTTTCTCTCACTCTCTCTCTCTCTCTTTTTGAGACCCAAAATGACCCATTTTGAAGCGCCGCCCACGCAAATGTATCTCAATTTTACCCCCCCGACAACAAAGAACATTTTTCATAGAAAAACATAAAAGTTTACGTGTATCCGTCCCCTTCAAATATTTATTATCATTCTTATTATTCATGGCCTCGCATTCGTTTTTCAAATTGAAATGCGTTGTGAGAAAAGCGATCTCTGTGAAATTGATACGAACAAACTTGTGATTATGTGATACAAACTGCCAAATGAACGATTCTTCTGTTAACAAATTGCTCTTGTCGTCCAGATTTCCGGGGAAACTATCGTCCGATTCCTGTTCTCCACATTACTTGTCCCCCGATTCTATCGAAAAAATAACATGTCAGTATGGCTTTCTGAGCACGAGATCCTGCACACTTTCGGAATCTCACAGGTGAAATGCGGTTTTGCAATTATACAATTGCGCTAATTCTAGACAAATTCTCGGCAAATCTAAACAAAAATTCCCAAATATTTGTTCGGGATTTGTCTAGAATTGGCGCAATTGTATAATTGCTAAACCGCATTTCACCTGTGCTTCCTCTGAAATTCAGAGAACACTTTTGCAGATGCCATTCATTTTCACTTCAAAAAACTTTGACCGTCGCCCATAACTTGCTACTCATTAAACCCAAAAGCATTTAAATGGAATATTCGTCCCTTGCAACTCCCTCGAAATTCTATCAGGGCTACCGCAAGAGTCTTTCTTTTCCCAGTCTTCATTGATGATTTACTTGAAAGCTTCCCGCCGGATACCCTGAACATTCTCTCTGCTAACCGTTCTCCAAAAGTGCTTCGAAATTGTCGTCGCCTGGTGCGACGTCTGGCGACTAAATCTTGCCTGAGCGCGCTCTCCAAGCCTTTTTCCCCGTGCGCCAAAACTTCAGATGCGTGCCACCGGAGAAATACTCATTTATCTTATTCATTGTCACAGTGAGTGAATTCATTATGATGTAAACTAACAAAGCCACCCAAAAAGCACGCACGAAACAGCCATACTTTCGAAAAAAGCTGTTTTCGCAGTGACCCCTAGACATTCATGCGAGTTTCTTGTTGCCGCTTCCGAGTTTCAACCGTTATGACATCATTTCTGGAACAGCGAGCATCTGAAGGAAAGGTTTAAAGAATCACCGTGAAACGTTAACCAATTGAGAAGAAACTGAAATTTCTCACGCGTGAAAATACTAAATCAAACGCCGCCCTACTCAAATTCCGCCCAATTCTCCGATCCTTCCACTCCAAAAATCCAACGTTCTGCTTCAAACGTTTCGATGTTTACGTCCACGCTTTGCTTGAACATGGCTGCAAAATTCTCGGATAAAAGATGAGTCGAATCAAAAACTAATTTATACTTTTCTCTTTCCAAACAAGTATCCAATTATCCTTTGGCGCCGCCTCCGAGATTGTTGAGGTAGTCGTCGAACTCCTGCTGGTTGACGGAGGCCTCCCCGGCCAGCGGTCCCTCGGGCGCGTCCACTTCCTGCACGTCCTTCAGAGTCCTCTGCGCCTTCACGGCTTCTCTGCTCCGCACCGGCGGTCTCACTGTTTTCTTCGACTCTTTCATCTGCGTCTTCTCGACCGAAAGCAGTCGTGAAAGGACCTGCGTCTGCTTCTTCTGGCACGACGTGTTCTTCATCTTCGACTGAGGCTTCGCCGCCACGGATTTCGCGTTCGGCACCACTTTTGACGGTTCCTGAATCAGATTTTGTTAGGTATTTTTTGATAGGCATCAAAACTGAAATTGTTTTACCTTTTCTGTGCTCATCGTGCTGCTGCCCGCGTTCTTTTCGGTCCTCGACGGTTGCGAGTCGAGAGTACTGTGCGTGGGCGGAGTCGACGGGCTCTTTTTGGAGCCGGAGCAGCCGAGCACCAGCACGAGCAGTCCATTGACAAACAGAAACGAAGTTTTTAGCACCAATAATATCAGATTTGCTCTGAAACAATTGGACATTCCGCAACTGGCGGCTGCAAAGCGTCGACTCACATCATTCCTGAAGGAAAATGAATTGGAAAATGATAGGCCCTCTTCTCGCACTGCTCCCGTACAAGTTCATTTTCGATTTTATCGGCTGGGGACGAGGGGCGCCACGTTTCTTCATTGCTTATTTCATGAGGTATTATGGGGCTATTCAGACTGTGAAAAAAATGATTGTTTTCCGTTTTTTTCGTTTTTTTACGTCAAAAAATCCGATTCAGCGATGTAAAAAAACGAAAAAAAACGGAAAACAAACATACGCTGAATAGCCCAATTACTTTTTAACATTTCTCAGTGATTTTTACCTACTTTCTGTCCGTATTTCGATTTTTCTTATTTTTCTCTAGTTTCGCGCATTTCTTTTAGCCATTTTCTGCTTCGGAACGATCTTTTTCGGGAATTCCGACGAGCGAATCTTGATATTTTCGTTCTAATTGTGTTTGTTATCGATTTCATAGTTTCTCTTTCTTGTCGCTCCTCATTCTTTCGTCGAAATTCTCCGAAAAAGTCGTTCCGCGCTCTGTCGTTCATTCTGCGGACGATTTTCCCTTGCTTTTTCGGTAATAATTTCCTGAACGTCATTAATTTTAGTTAAATAAATTAGTGTTTCTCTCAAACCAACTGTTTTTCTTTATTTTAGCTGATTTTTCTGACGGGAGACGTTGTTTGCAGTGTCTTTCAAAGGCAAAATCTGGGTGCGAAACGAAGAAGCGAAACTATCCAAAAAAGTGCGCGGCGCCCTTGCACCCTTAGCCACGCCCCTCCCCTCGCCGCTGAATTTTCAGTGCAAAAGTAGAAAGAAACAACGGTCTGTAACTCGGGAAATACTGAAAATTTTTGAAAAAAAATTTGGTAATGTACTATTTTTGAGTACTAGAACACAATCAAATACATCTTTTTTTCGAATTCTCACTTTCATTGTTCATTTTTTGGTCCAGACTCATTTTGGCGACAGATTTTAAGAGCTAATGATTAATTCCAACATTTTATTCATACACAAATTAATGGAAAACAAAAGGAGAACCGACGAAACTTGGAGAGAGAGAGGTGTGCGCGTGGGCGGGGCGAATAAATCTCTAAACATTTCTCACTATTCAAAGGGGGAGAGGCGAAACAAAAAAACGAATATTATGCGCACAATTTTCGTAGAAAACCAAAGCGGAAAAGGTGATAAAACATTGAAATAATACACAAAACGATATTATCAGTTTGAGGGAGGGATATGTCCGTGAAGCGGGTGGGTGGTAGTAGAACAGAAGACAAAATAAAGAACAAAGTTAGTCGAGGCGGGGTGAGCAAAAATTGGAGAAAAAAGAGACATTAAAAAATGACAGAGAAAACTGACAAGGCACTTTTTGTGAGAAAAAAGGGAAAAAGGCACCCAAAAATAGAGGAGCACTGGGGAGAATTGGGGGGCGAAAAAAAAAAGTAAGGGGGTGAGCAGAATTGAGCAGAAATGGAAACAAAACCAACCGAAAAGACACATTTGAGAGAACACTTGACAAATATGAAATGGGGGAAAAAACGGGGGGCGGGGCGTGTGGTTATTATTGGTGGTTGGTGTGTGATGTGTGTGTTTTTTGTTTGTGTGATATTGTTGGTTTGTTTGGTGATGGTTGGTTGGTTACTGTTTGTACGGGTGATCACGCGACGCACCCAACAGACGACGGTTGTTAAGCATTGCACCTGAACAATTGATAGAACGGGTTAGACAGAACATTTTCGATGAGAGGAGCGGGAGAGCGGGACGAGGAGGAGGAGGAGGACCTATTCATTATTACTCTGCTCTCCTAGTCTAACCTATTTGAAAACTATTGTAAATTCCGTTTGAACCGGGGCTTTTTGAAGGCCTGCCGAGCCCTGGACTTTTGACTCACTTGTAATGATCCGATTGGGTCCAAACTCTGCAGGCTTCTTGTACTTGGGTTGACGTATATTGTGTCCAAGTTTCACACCGATCGGATCATCTGCTCCCGAGATATGTGGACCAGAGCCCGAAAATTAAGGGTTTTTTTGCGAAAGCTCGGCTTCAAATCAGCATATCTCGGGACCGGATGATCCGTTTTGTCTGAAACTCGGACCCATCATACTTCAATCCAAGTCCAAGATGTCTGCAAAGTTTGGGCTCGATCGGATTATTGCAAGTGAGCCAAAAGTCCCGGCTTCGAAAGCTTTTGTAGAAAATTTCAAAATACTGGCAATTTGAGTGTTTTTCTGCACCCGCTTCACAAAAATCACTTCCTATCAACCCGCTAAAATCGTAAAAATCGTGGAATGCATAAATCTGTGTTTTACTCGCTTTCGGGATCAAAATTGGCCAAAATCCGGGGCAAAAGTGGATATTGTTGAAGAGATAAAAATTTCAGAGGATTAGTCGATTCTCGTCGTTAGCGCAGCAGTGTTTTTTGGGCCGAAACGGCGAAAAGCGAAAAAAAAGGTGATTATTGATTGATTTTCTGCGAAATGTCTGGTTTTCGAATGAAAAAGCCACCCATTGTGAGTTGTAAAATTAAATTAATTAAAAACGAGTCCGATATTATGTAGAAACCCAAAAAAAGGCTGAATTAGGGCACTACCGTCTGGCATGCACACAAAAACAGTGGGGAAGAGAGAGAGATCTTGTCTTGAGAGCATAGAAAATAAATTACAAAATAGTGGGCGACAATATACAAAAAGGGATGTGTGTGTGTGTGTATGGCGGTGGCTAAGCCCATCGTCTGAGCGTGTAATACCCACCGTGAGCCGTCTGCTGACTCGTCAAATCGACGCCCGCGTAGTCGGCGTATTGCTGGCCGCCGGCCGAAGAGTTCGCGGCCGCCGCCGCTGCCAGCACTCCGTTGTACTGAGCCTGTGCGGCCGCCGCGACCGCGTTCTGGCCCGCCGCGTACTGCTGCTGCATTGCCGAGAAGTCGTAGAGTTGTGCCTGCGCTTGGCTGCAAAATTCGAGAGATTTTAGAGGATTCTGATTCCGAATTCCGGAAAATGTTTGACTTTTTGGGATAATATCGTGTGCGTGTTGGATTTTCGTTTCGTCCAAAATCTTCCTGTTTCAACAATTTCCAAAACAATAATCCATTCTTTGTCTCACTAGTATTTCTTTTAATTTTTTTAAAATAATTTCCCCCTTGATATAATCCAGTTCCTGGTTGCTCTTCAAATATTACGACAAGCCTGCTGTTGTCTTTTTGATCACAAAAACACGAAGAAACAGTTGTCGTTTGAGACGGGCTTCGCGAGCACGGAACTTGTCGAAAAGAAGGGGTTCAAAATGTGATTGGTTTTTGAACACTGACAGTGAGAGCAATTGTTTAGAATTCAAAAAAGAGAGAATCTCAAACCTCAGAAACCACTAAAATCAGCAATGGGCTCATTCAACAGAGAAAACATTCAAAAAAAAGTTCTGGAAAAGTGAGACATTCCTCTGCGCGTAAATTCTGTTCGTTGTGAGACCCGGCATGCGCCTTTAAAGATTCACCAAATTTGGAGACATTAATATGACGTGAATGACACATGACGGGTCTCGCAACGAACAGGATTCACGGTGTGACTTCAAAAAAGACCTCGTCTCAGAATACACAAAACTCAGCGAGAATTGTTCTATTTCGAATAAATTATGTTTCGAAACAAGGCGCGTTTCGAAGTCGCACCGGATTTACACGCTGAACATCCCTGTTTTTTCTGCCTGCTGAATGATCCCATTGAAAATTCTGAATTCCCAAAGAAGAAAACAAACTTGAGGAGGATCTGCTGGTACTCGGCTGCCTGCTGCTGCTGGAGAAGGGCGGCCTGTTGCTGAAGGGCGGCGGATCCGGCGTTGGCGGCCTGCAGCTGCGACTGTTGCTGCATGATGAGGGCCGCCTGCGAAGAGGCCGCGTTCCCGGCCGATCCTCTCCCCGACGGACTCATAACTATGGGCGCGCCCACGATCGTCGGCGACCGCGAGAGGCCGTTCATCATCGGAAGGCGTTGCAGGGCCGCCGCTTCTGCAAATGAAAACAGATCATAATTTTTCGAAAGAAAAAAAAAGTATATTAGGGGCATTTCTCTGCAATCGCGTGTTCCTGATCTGTTCGGGGCTTTTCCGCTTTTCCATTTTTCTTCAAACTCGGCCCCGAGATCATTGCAGTTTGCCCTACGTTTTTGTTTTCAACAGAGCGCGATTGCAGTGAAACGCACCCAGATTCTCTCAAGAAAAATGGCGTAAAAACGAACGAAGAGCGGCGGCGAGCGGCTGCTGTTTGACGGCGGCGAGATGTGCGGCGGCGAGGGCGGTCTGGTCGGCGCCCGAACGGTAGGTTCCGTTGATGATGGCGAGTTCCATGAGTTGCTTCCGCTTCAGCTCGTCCTCGCCCTCCGGCGCCGGCACCAACAGCTTCTTCACCTCGTCCACGGCACGCAGCAGCTTCACTTTCGCCCGGTTCGCGGTGTCCTCGCACTGGATGAGCACGTGCAGCTCCTCGGATAGGTGCTCCCAGTTCGGCTTGCCTCTGTTCAGCTCCTCCTTCTTCTTGTCGCGCATCGAGCCCCGTCCGCGCACCATGATCTTGCAGCCCGTCTCCTGTTCCAGCTGCTTCGCCGTCATTCCACGCGGTCCGAGTATCCGGCCCACAAAGTTGTACTGCAAAAACAACAGATTTTCACTGTTTTTGTGTTTTTCCAAATAAAGTCCCAAGACTAAATTTCCCAGAATTTTGCAAAGAAGACCACGAGAAGTATGTCTACATGAATGCGCTCGAATTTCAAAATTTCCGCAAGAATCGGGGAACTCACGTCGGGATGCTCCTTCGCCGGCACGAACACCTTCTCCGTGTGCACCGAAATGTCGCCCTCGGCCTCCGGCAATTGCACATTGTCTTTTGTGAATTCGAACTGAAACAGTGCCACGCGCACTTTGCTTATTTCTGCAAAAACACCAACCATTTTTTCGCCGAAAAGTGATCATGTTTACTCACCATCGTCGGCGAGTCGTTCCAAGTGATGAAAGACGTTCGGAAACGCGGCCAACTGCTTTTTGTCCTTTAAAAGTTGCGAAAGATATTCGACCGAATACTGCTGCTGTTGTGACGTGGCGATTCCGTTTGTGCTGCCTGAAAATGACAAATTATTCGGGGAAAGATACGAATTTGAAAATGTTGACAAGAACAGGTCGGCAAACGGCTTGGGACCAGGCGGTGGTCCCGTCCCCAACTGTTTGGATACCTGTGACGAGAGGAAGAGTGGAAGTCTTACAATGCTTGTATTCTACACTTTAAAGAATTGAATATTGGAGCAATGAAATTTGCAAATTTTTCTGCCACGTCAATAAGATTTATGGGATTTTTTAGAGGGACGACAGTTGCTGGAGAGAATTGTGAAACAGACCGTAGTTTGGCAGCCGACCGCAGTGCCCCCCTCAATTACCTGTAGCGTGGGTGACCGGCGACGGCGTAATAGTAACAGTGGGCGGCTGTGGCGGACACGACGGCCCGATAAACTCGCCGTTGAGCTCGGCGCTCGGCGGCGGCGGAACGAGTCCGTCCTCGGTTTTTAAATACAAATCCGCCTCCTCATGATGATGGGACTGATGGGGGTCTGAGGGTGTCGGAGCGACCAAGTCACTCTCCATTTCGGAATCGAGTTGGACTGCGTTGGGAAGGGATCCGATCGGAAGGGTAAAAGTTGGTGGTGGGGGGAGTGATCGAAACGAGAGAGAGAGAGAGAGAGGGAAAAAGAGGGAAAGAAAGATAGAGAGTGTGTGGATTGAGAGGAACCCGCCGAGACGAGTTTTACACCGCCCGCGGGAGCCCTCTCTCTCTCTCTTTTCCCCTCTTCCGATCGGGCGGTCCCTTGCCGTCGGGCGGCGGATCCACTTGAGAGCATCTTTCGTTCTTTTTCTCTCTCTCTCTCTCTCTCTCTACGTCTTCCACTACTCTGACTCTGATCACTTTTCCGAATAGAGAAAGAGAGAGAGAGAGAGAGTACTTCAGTCTTTTCGTTTCGTCCGTGGACCCGCAGGAGATATCACTCAAAACGTGCGCGCGCAAACTCAATGTCACGGATAGTCTCGAGTGTTTTGCCCTATTCGACGCCGACTTTTGTGTCGGGAATGGAATGTGGCCTAAAAACTCCTAAAGAACAGTTTCATGTTTGAAAATTCTCTTGAATTTCATCACATTTTCAATCACTCGATGGCGATGAATCCCTTCCATTCGGTTTCCCATCTCACCGCCAACTGTCGGCCTTTCCCCCAAAAAATCCCATAAATTTACCCACTTTCAATTTTATGACGTGGCACTTTGGCACCTCATCATTTCTATGTGCCTCATTCGAGAGAGTGCTCAAATTAGTTTTTTGGAGAAAAAAAAACTGAAAAAGCATGCTTCATGCGCCTTCTTTAGTGGTAAAAAGTTAGCGTTTTCACGAAAAACTGAAAAAAAAGAGGGACCACACATTTTCTCCATTTGTTTACCGTTAGGGGTTAGATGGTCCGTGGAAGCGGTCATTTCGGCGAGCAACTGGCTGCTCGCGGTCGGCGTCAAAGTGGGCGGAGCCTGAGGTGCGGCTGACGGCGACGGGGGACCAGAAGACGAAGAAGCCGGGATCGAAGAGGAAGCAGAAGAGGAAGAGGAAGACGATGTCGACGTGGCAGACGGAACGACGGTGCTCGGAAGCGGCTGCTGAACACACTCAAATGTTGGACGGGAGTGAGAGAGAGAGTGAGAGAGAGAGTGAGAGAGAGATAGAGAGAGAGAGAGAAAGAGCAGAAATGAGAGAATCGGATTACTGTAGATGTCGTTCAAGTTTCAATTTTGCTCGGTGCACAGAGAGAAGGATAATATCAGTCCGAAAATGTCAGTTTTCTGGGGGTTAGAAATCCACGAAAAATAGGGCAAAACCGTGTTGTTTAGAGCGGAAACAGATTAATTTCGCCACAAATTGCGGATTAGAACAACATGGAAAAGTGGGTGATTTGGAGAGATAAACTCAATAATACATAGTTAGGGGTTACTTTGACATTTTTTCCCAACATTTTGTGAAAATGAAACATTGCTGCTATTGTTTCGCCCTCACAAATGGGCGGTTTTCGTCCCGATGTGCGGATGAGCCGCCGAGCAAATACAGTAACCCGTGGGGGAAAGAGAGAGAGAGAGAGAGAGTTGAAACAAAAGTTTTCTCTCTCTCTCTCTCTTTCTTATTTGTGAGCCGTTTGTGTGTGTGTGCACTTTTGGAATGAGAACAACGGAGACAAATAGCCGAAAGAAACAAGATGGAGAACATTTCTGGGAACACCTTTTCGAATTTGAACTATTGTCTTTCAACATTGCTTTACCGTCTCAATTCGATGACATTTTCAGTGGATTTCCCAGACTACAGTACCGCTCGCCCCTGCCTTTTTTCCTTATCACAACACAACACTTTCTGACAGTAGCACATAAAACGGGCCATAAAATTCCAGTTTTGTGGTGGGAAATGAGAGGGAAAAGGGGTCGTAAACTGCATTAATCTTGTGTTTGTCGTTGGGAAGATGACTGAGAATTCCAGAAGTTTCAGGAAGAAGACAATGGGTACTTTATGTAACTTTTTTACAGTTTCAGGCAAAAATTTACTGAGTTTTATGAACGGCACTCAAGTACTTGTTTTCTAATATGAAATGTCTCATCTGCCTGTAGAGATGTCAAAAAGTTGTCAGCTAATGAAATGTTCAAAATTTCTTTATGCGCATTTTGTCAGTTGACAACTTTTTGATATCTCTACCAGCAGTCGAGATATATCGTTTTGAATAAACCCTATTCATACTGTAATACACGGTGAGCAGGTACAACAAACAACAACAAAAAAGTAGGATACTTTTAGATTTTAGAAGAAAAGACTACTAAACCGACGGAGGATGAATGAATGGACGGATGCGTGATCGAAAGGAATGAAAGATAACATCAAGTTGTTGCCAGAAGAAGAAGAAGAAGAAGGGGCGGAAGTTTGAGAAAGACAGAGAGAGAGACACGGTCGACGCAATCAATTTATGGCGGCCAAAACGAGGAGGAGGAGGAGGAGGAGTGGATTAAACGGAGAAATGATGGGAGCGAAGGGAATGGACTAATTCCAGCAGGATACTGTATCTTTTGATGGGAGCTTTCGGCTGATTCGGTTCGGAATATGGCGGCTGATCAAAGCTTCACAATTCCACAACGTCTATCGAACTACTAGCGGGGAATTTCAAAATGAATGCGCCCTAATGAAAGTAATAGGTAATTTTCCGATCCGTTCAACTTAAAGTCGTAGTAGACTTTTGAAGTATCTATGTATTCACAGTAATCGACACAGAATTCCAGCGGGCACCTAAACTACCAAAAGTGCGTAAATCCGTAAATCTAGTCTACCGTTGCAACATCCATATTCTCCGCAGAACCGTCCGTATCTCTGCCATCATCCTCTGCATGGTCATCATCATTTTCTGCGCCGAGACTGGCTTCTTCTCCTCCTTCTTCTACATCAATCATCAAAAAGGAAGAAGAATGAAGAGAGAGAGAGAGAGAGAGAGAGAGTCCACTGAATCCACTGGAAGGATGGGATGGCTGACAAATATTGTATGAAACCAGTCAGAGAGGGCTAATTAGGAGTGTGAAGAGGATATTTGATTATATGATAGACGACTGGATAGTTGCAAAGTCGGCGACGGCTTTTTGGATGCTTCTTGCGGCGTCAGGTTTCGAAAAAGTTTGGTACTATGAGGAAAAAAGGAGGAAAAAAGAGTTTCCGCTCCATTGGTAGATTTCCTGAGCTGAATCTCTGTCCCTATGCTTCAAAGCTTTAGGATCTCACGAAAAGAGAGACAATACTAGCCCGGTGGTAAGGGAAAGGTAAGTGAAGGTCTTCCTCTTCCTCTTCTTCTTCTTCATCTTTGACACGTCAAGAGTGAAGCAGAGAGAGAGAGAAAATGAGAAAAAGAAGAGAAACACATTGGCATCAGAAGAAGAAGAAGAACAGGTTCTGGCGGGGTGGCGTCACCGAACAAATCGCCGTTTTCCGTTTGATTTCGCCCAATAGAGAGACCTTTGGCGGCGCGGCAGAATATGGACGGAAAATGGGAACGAACCGAGGATCTCATTTGAATATAATAATTTAACATCGATGGCAATTCGACAATATCACTGGGTGGCCACGCCCTCTTTCTCTGTCTCCGTCTCTCTCTTTCTCTCTCTGTCTTTCTTTTGAAAGGGAGGACACTGAAGATAACCGGCAAAAAAGTCCATCAATTAGGATGAATGGAGAGAAAGAGAGAAAGAGACAGAGAGAGAGACACTTTCAAGGTTGTTCCGTCCGCAAATTTATCAGCACGAAAAAGAAACGGATGGGCAAATTGAGGGATTTCAAAACTTTTCATAAAGTAACGCCTGTAAACTTTGCATACTTCTTGGCCTCGGATTGAAGTGTTTTGGGCCCAAGTTTCAGACCGATCCGATAAATCGCTACATCTCCAGTTCAGTTAATCCAATCGGACAGAAATTTTATGTTGAACACGAAATAGACATATCAAGGTTATTGAGAACTGCCAACGCTTTTCACCATTGTCCGATACAGTAAATTCAAAGAAAACGTTTCCAGAAGTTGGAAAATCAGCCAGAACTACTGTGTATCTATTGAAAAAGCTGTTTTTGATGAGAGAATGAGTCTCCAAGTGTTACTAACCAGAAATTGATACCAAATAGACCTAAAAAGGTGCGGTTTTATGAGTGGGTCCATTAAAATCGGCGACGGGGATGATAATCAAAGGGAACCTCAGGAAACCCGCCGAAATTAATCATAACCCATCGATATCTCGGCAAAAATAGTGGAAAAGTGGATAAACAGTATCTATCACTCTCACACACACACACTCAGTTGAGGGTAAGTACCACTTTCTCTCTCTCTCTCTCATCCAACTGATACCCTCGCAAAGTACCTCAAAACCGTTCGACTGGGAACCCGGTCCCTCTTTGTCGGAATCCGATCGGAACAGAAAGGGAGAGAGAGAGAGAGAGAGAGAGAGAAAGAGAGGAAATTGATCAGTCAGGCGGTCCACCACCGACTAATTCGGATTACAAACAGCACATAAAAGAGTGAGCGGTGGGAGAGAGAGAGAGAGAGAGAGAGAGAGAGAGAGGGGGACGAGAATTTCGATAGGATAATAGTGGTATGCAAATTTCAAACTTTACAGTCACTCAATAGTAGAGTTTGAGTAATTTCATGCAAAATTTCGAAAAGCAAAGAGCACCATGGTCAAATTATGGAGAATCGGTTTAGTCAATGAAAGCATTGAAACGACTGACTCTAAATCTTTTAAGAAACTTTGAAACTCCAACAAAAAAAACTTGAATAACAGTAGTGTGGGTCTAGCAGAGTCTCAAAAGAAGATCCTCTCGAGATGGGGATCGTAATGAAAGATATCTTCGAATCTTTTCCGTCCTCCGATTCTCTGATGATATCCATCTTTGTGGGCCGGACGGGCGAGGTCGACCTCCCAACGAGGTACGTAACCGACCCAAAAAAGCCGATTGTCGGCCGATCAAAATGAGGGGAAGGAGAGGACAGAAATTCAGGAGGAACTCATTTTGAAACATCTAATTCCGGCCTCCTTAAATCAGCTCGCTCTGGCCACTTTACAAGTTTACTATTTGCCACGAAAAGCCCTCTAATTGGCCACTTTTCCATTATATTCCCAGAAAAAAAGACGTTTCGCCTAGATGTTTGATCAATTACGTTTCGATTGTAACAAACTGGAATCCAGTTTTCCTTTTTCAAAAAGACCGTACACTACACCACTGATTCACTCACTTTTATGGGTTCAGCCGACAGAAAACAACACAAACAGTCATCTTACAGAAGGAATTCGAAAAAAAAGTGGTACAGTACGTTTGAAAACTTGACTTTTGCACTTTTTCCCATCGAAATGTGCCAAAAAGTGAGCGCGAGGGTGATAAGAGAGCCGACGGAGGGACACTTGTCAAAAAATTGCGAAAAGGCAAATAGATGGGGAAGAAAATTTCACCAAAAAATCTAGAAAAATCTCTGCATCTGCATCTGCAAGGTGTGAACCGAAAGAAACATAGTGAAAAGTGGGTGGTAGGAAGAGAAAAAAGGTGAAAAGGGCGGCATTTTATGGACCATTTGCGAGCGAATTCGAATGAAAGGAAACAGAGGGATCAGTGGGTCGGACGGAGGGAAAAAGGACGGAAACGAATAGACTGGGTGGTCGGAAAATGGACGGAATACCGGTTTACCCAGAGGTTTTCAACTTGTCTGCCTAAACAGGTACCTAAACGGCTCGGGATCCATCTCGTGGCAGCAATGGAAGTTTTGCAAGGAACGGGGACTCATGGTACCCATGGCAGCATCGAGCAATTTCAAAGAAATTTTACTCTACTATCGAATCCTAATAAGCCTAAAACACGAATTGAAAATACAACTTTGAAACAGCAGAAAAACGTTATTTAAAGTAATGCGATGTGTCTCGTCTCGACTGCCGGTGGAGATATCAAAAAGTGGTCAGCTAATAAAGCGTGCACAATTTCTCAGTGGTCATTTTTTCAGTTGACAACTTTTGGATATCTCCACCGGCAGTTAGAGTGCAGATGATCTTTAGAGCTTCAGGTGGGTAACTAAAAAGTGCAACAACACAAGCAAAACAGACACGGTTTCTACGGCTCAACTTGTGAGGGTAAGCTCTCCGTCGGTAGGTTAACTTCCTCTCTTTCTCTTTTTCCTTCCAATTGTGTTTGCCGAGAGGGAGAGAGAGAGAGAGCACACGTTGATTCGGAAGGAAATAAGTCAAACAGGCCCCCAACTGTACCGGCATTTCTTGTGTGTCCGGTCGGAAGGAGTTCATGTTGATTCAATTGACATCTCACACTAATGGTAGGCGGGTGTAACTTGAGAAGAAATCGGAAAGGGGGGAGGCAGAGGTAGAGGAGACAAGTCGGGAAACGATTCTACCGTTTAACGAAAAACTACTCAACAATCTTTTTTTCTGAAGCTCTACACCCCAAAAGTGCACACATTTTCGGCTTAAACACTGTTTTACGTTTAAAAAAAAGTGCAAAACTAACGGTGGCGGCGACGTCAGCCGACGGTCTCCATTCGTTTTCGAATTCGGGTGTGTCGAATCGATGGAGCAGCGTGGACATCATTGTTTCGAGCTGGAAATCCGAGTGAAACTTCTGAAATAATGTAAATATTAAAAAGAAGACAATCCAAAGAGTTTCGATAAAAAGTTGAAACACAAAAAAATGCTTGCCGAGAATTTACTAGAACATTCCATCCAAACTGATAAATACTAGCGGATGCGAAAAGAGCCGCCTCTCTCATCCGTCCAAATCGGACGGATAATCGGATGTTTATGTGTGTGTGCGTGTGTGTGTGTGTGTGTGTGTTATGTCAAGTGATAAGAGGATAATATTCAAAAATATTGAAGAGAGCCATTCCAGACCCATTTTTCCCGATATTTCGTGCAGATCAGGCGTCAGAATAAGTTAACAAAGATACCAGAGCAGACTGAAAATTCTAGTAAATTCTAGAAAAAAAAAAGAGAGAGAGGGAATGTATCATTTTATTCGGTTGTTGTCCTCCTCCCTCTTCTTCTCCTTCTTCTCCTTCTTCTTGCTCGGATTGGCGGGCGCATCCTGCCGGAAAGACTCCGGAAGTCCCTTCTCCATGAGAGAGAATCGAAACGAAAGAGAGAGAGAGAGAGAGAGAGAGAGCGAGAGAAGAAGAGGAAGAAGACGATCGAACGGATTTACACAAACTCGCAAAACAATTGAAAATTCGTAGGCGGGAGGAATCTCACAAATTTAGAGACTTGGAAGCTTGAGACTGTGAAAAACGCGCGTTTTTTGGCAGCAAATCATCGAAAAACGCGTGCCCAATGCGTTCACGTAAAACTCCAGCGTGATATGCCACGTGTCATCCACCTTTTCTCGAAATCAGCCCCTTTCCGTCTTTTTTTGCCATCTCAACATGGGTTCGAAAGTTTCTCGCTCGGAAAATCGAGCGCACGACGCCGGAGATGCATCGAAAGAGGCTCCGCCCTTTGCTTCCGAATCCGCCATCTCGATTTGTGTCGTCGACAATCGGGCGGTATCGATCGACGAGAAGAAGAAGGAGAAGGAAGATGACGTGGCATTGAAAGAGGCCCGTGCGGATCGGGAGATGATCCGTCGGGGACTGCTCCCAGCCACGGGAATGCCGTTCATCTGGTCGACGGATCTGCCGGATTCGGACGAGGAGAACGAGATGACGACCGTATCTTCCGAGTACGAAGTGGTCGAAGTTGAATGTATCGTAAGTGCCACGTCTTCTGATTCCGACGACGGAGAGGAACGGAGCACGTGCGGAAGTGACGTGGAAGAGCCGATGAAGCACGCGGAGGAGCTCGACCACAAGATGGAAGCGCTCGCGCGACAAGGAATGGACTGGTTGGCGCCGCGCATCGAGGATATCATGAAGGTGACGGATCCGGAAGTGGCCGCCGTGCTCCGCGAGACCGCCCCCAAGCCGCACGAGTTCTTCGCGCTCGAATTCGGAGAAATCGACGACGGACTGGAAATAACGACGGCGAGAAATGAGGGAATGGAGGAGCTGATGAATCAGATGAAAAAGAGTTCGGATCTGGAGGCGACCGAGGACTGGGAGACCGAGAAGCTGAGAATTCAAAAGGTGGTCGAGGAGAGCAAGCACGATCTCGACACGCCCTACATTCCGACGATGGACGACTTCGAGAGGGACAGTGAGTTGAGGCCTCTTCTTTGAGAAAACCTGCGATTTTTGCAACATTTTGGTAAAAAACGTCCAAAAAATTAAATGTTTTCCAAAATCTTGCAAAGAATCGCATTTTGTCGAAGAAAACGTGCCAATTTTTCAAAATGTTACTCATTTGTTGTAGAGAACACGCACGGCCAACAACAACTCGGACTCTACCAAATTCTGCGTCGATTCCAGCTGAGAGACGGAACTGTGCGGCTCGTTTGCCGGGTACCGCAACATTTTCTTCTTTTTCTCCTCATCTCAACTTTCAGGGACCACCGCCGCACCGCACCGAAGATTTCTGGACCGAGGCGCACTGTCAAGAGGTCAGTCTGGTCGTAATGTGGGGAAAGTTTGAGGAGCGGCCGCCGGGCGCCGATCGGACGTTCCGCAACTGCGCCCGCTACATTCCCGCCGACGATCAGGACGAATTCGCGTGCGGTGACGTCATCATAGTCCGGATGACGGAGACGGAGCAGGCGAACGAGCACTGTCGCATTCAGCGCATTGCAATGCGCCACAAGGACATGTGAGTTCTATTTGCATCGCGGCATTTCGAAAAGTGAATGTGAAAATGACGAAATTTCAGCGACCGTGGCTGGTACACAGTTTGGCACTGCGAGCGCCGAATGCGATGGGACCAAGCGGCGGATTATAGCCGCGAAAACGCGGAATTCGAGGAGCTTAAACTGAAGCTGCTCTCCGAAATGGTAAATTTCGTGTCGTGCCCTCCCCGAGAGAACCTTTTTTCTTTCAGCACTCGAACGTTTATCTGGAGCACACCGAAATGGAGCAGAGTGCTCTCAAAAACCCGGCGCTCCAAAAGTGGGGGAGCATTCCCGCAAAGTTTGCGCCGCCCAATCGGAATGCGTAATTTCGCCAATCGTTTTTAGTTTTCATTAATTTCACGTAATAAACGCGTTGCCCAGTGACCTTTGCCATTCAAATTTGTCAAAATACGTGTAAATCCGGGCAGTTTCGCTGTCAACAATGGGCGTTTCGTGGTCGGGATGCTCGCAACGGACGTCTTCTGGAGCCGACGTCGCGTCCGAAAATGAGGACATCATCACGAATCACACCGAGGATTCGGACGCCGATTCCGAAGAAGATATTTCCGAAGAATTTTCGCTCGATTCGGACGATGAAATCGACGAGGAGAAGTCAGAAAATCACGAAAGAGGCGAGTTTTCCAGACTTTTTCCGGGAATTTCCAAAACTTTCAGCGGAAATTCTGCAAAACGCGATCGGATCGTTCGAAATGAGCGAGGTGCGCATCGGCGGGCTCGTTCGCTTTCATTCAAAGGTTTGTATTAAAACAAAAGGGCTCGCCAAGACTTTTCATAAAATTTTCAGGGTCCCGCGTGTGATCGAACCCAAGATTTCTGGCAGCAAATCATCGAAAAACGCATTCACACCGTTTTCATGTGTTGCGACTTTTTTAAAGGTGAATTTTTTGGGAGAAAACCAATGATTTTTCGATAAATTGAAGGCGACGAACGCATTTGCGGTCAGTACGTTCCGGCGGAGAGCCGAATCGGACAAAGATGCGGGATTTACACGGTCGAAAGGATCGGAAACGTGACGAGTCTGTCGGTGAACCTCCGACGGCAGCAGTTGCTCGTTTACCGTATTGACAGGTATCTGCCACCGATTTTTCGTTTTTCACATCGCTTCGGCGGGTTTTTGTGTTTTCTGACATTGAGAAAACGGAAAAAAAATATCGATCTGCAAAATTGCTCTGTTTTTCTTTGAAATATCGATTTGAAAATTCAATTTTTCAGTGCTTCGAGAAGCGATTACAAGCATCACGTGATGCACTTTCAGCAGATTCCACTCAAATTCAAAGAGAACGAAACAGAGGGAGACGGATTGAAATTCGATTTGAATCAGTCGGCCAGGAACTTTGAAATGGTCGCCAATATGGCCGATCGACAGGTAAAATTTACAGAAAATTGGCGGAAAATGAAGCCATTTTCCAGGCGAATCCGCAAATTCTTCTACACGATTCGTGGAATTCGGACAAGATTTTGGAGTGGAAAACTGTCGAATAATTGGATTTTTTCCGGTTTAATAAAAGTGTTGATTTATCAAACGTGTTTTAACCGATCGAAGAACCGAATATTAGAATGAAGTGTTTGGCCCTAAAAAAGGATCCGGCCAAAGTGAGAATCTAGGTCTGTCTACGTATAATTACAATACTTTATTCTCGTCCGAATCTCCTGATTACCCCAAATTATTCGGAAGCGTCCGCCACGGATTACTGTACTTTTAAAGGGAGGTGGCGGGGGAAGGAGGATTTACGGGCCGGGTACGCAACAAAACAATGGGAATAATAGAAAGGTAACATTTGGGACGGAGAATTCATTGGCACTCGCATTTTCCGGTGCATTGACCACGTTTTAGTGGTCGCGGGCCGGGCCGAATTTTTAGAATAATTTAGGATTTGCTGGAAATGAACAGGAAAACCTCTCAAAAGGGGGCGTGGCCTCGATAGAAAAACTTTTGCGTTCATTTTAAGCCAGAAACAGAGAAGGCAAGCATTTTTTGCGAAACTTTTTTTAAATAAATCTTTCCAATGTTTCAAACAAAACTGTTTATTTTGATTTGAAGAACAACAAACCTGTACACTTTCGCAGCTGAAGAATCGAGACGCAGAGAAGAAGACAGGTTCTGCAAAAAACAGGGAAATTTTAGGGGAAAACAGTAGAAAAGAGAAGGGAAATATCGAGAAAACGATAGAAAAAGCAAGGCTCATGAAGGTTTTGGTGTATTTGGGAAAAAATGGTTCGAAAACAGATAGTAACAACATATCAGTTTCAAAAATTAGCGACAGCTCAAACGAACATAAAATTCTCGATTCCAAAATTTATAGGATTTCATTGGATGCTTTCAAAACTATCAATAGTGCCCAAAACTACCTCAACCAGACATATTTTTGCGAATGCGGGCGGATTAGTGGATAAGTGAACGGCTCTTTAGTGTTTGCGGAAGAAACGAACGGAGAAGAAGAGGAAGAAGAAGAAGTTGCGCAAGAGTGTGTGCGTCGGCACACTTTCTATTTCCGCGGAGCTGTTGGCCAGGGGTCAATCGGTTGACAGATGGATCGGATCACTCAAACATGAGTTCAGTGTTCTCGAAATTCAGCTTTGAATGTTTTACAATACAAGAGCAAAATAATTTGCTTGAGACTAAACATTTTAGAAAGGTATATTGTTCATTTCGGGGGGTAATAATATGTTCTAGCTGGTTTGAAACCGAAAAAACGTTACTTTCATAGCTTTTGAAGAGGGCAACTAGTAAAACACCTCAAGAAACACACAAATGGACAATTTCTACTGAACGAAACTATAGTCTTGGCAAAAAATGTTCCCAGCGTTTCTATCCTACGCCAACGCAAAAAAGAGACCTCCGGTGATCAAAAAAGTGTTATACGATCGGTGCGGGCCGTCGCAAAAAGGGGGCGTGGCCTCGTGCTACGAGAGGTCATCTTCTTTACACCGCCATTACGCCGTATGTCTTTTCGGCCGAGTCCGATGCGAAAACGAGAAACAGACGCGCGCCGATCGGAGCACTAACAATTTATGGGATTTTTGAGGAATTTTCTGATTAGTGATTGATCTATTTTCGGAACATGAGTTAAATGACCTACAGGGTTTCAATGCTCTTTTCGAAAGGATACCATACAAGTCTCTTGAAAGCTTTCAAGATGTTTCAAAGTTAAATAACAGATAATCGTACAAAACCATTTTCACAGATCGCTTAGAAAAAATACGCACATCGGAAGACGAAAAACACACATCTGTTCGTCTCTGACAAAGTCTCTACAAAGAGAAATAACACCTATTTTGAAACGGCAAATTCGCAAAAGTCGATAATAACTCAGAATGCAGGTGAATCCGTGAGCAATCCGCAAGATGGCCCCCACTTGCTCGGATAAATAATTCCGAGAATTCGAAATTGACTCGTTCGACAATTTTCTATCAGTTCTATCAAGAAAGTACGAGAAATGAGGCAACCAATGTGCGCGGAACGAAAAAAATTGCGGCGCTCATCAATTTTTCATAAATGTTCGGTACCAATTGAGAGGGGCACGAAAAATGGGTGTTCGGCGGGTCGAAATTGCAATTTTAGGCCAGTTTTTTATCGCCGCAATTTTAGTTTTACGGCTTTTCTTAGTCGTTTTTCAAAAAAGCGTTTGAGTAAATGGTAAAAGCATTTCAGACAATATTCAGGTCATGCTGCTATAAAACGTTATAAAATCACTGATACTTCCACTAAATTAAAAATTGCCTGAAAAATTGAAAGAGAGGAAGAGGGAAAAAGAGCATTTTGGGATTGGTGGGGGTGTTGTCTCTTCTCTAAATATGAATTAATACATGCCGCGTGCAGATTTAATTATAGTCATCGCATTCGTCGTTTCCTTCTTCTTCTCTCTCTCTCTCTCTCTTTTTCTGGTAGGCAAACCGAGTGGACGACGGAGTGGCAAAAAGATAATATTGAAAGGCGAGAAGAGATTTAACGGATTAACGGAACATTCGAGATGAGCACTACGCGGAAGCCACGCGGAAAAGGTGAGCAATGTTCATGTCAACTTTTTGGCCCACTTGCAAGGATCCGATCGGGACCTAACTCTGCAGGCTTCTTGGACTTTGATTCAAGTATATTGGGTCCGAGTTTCAAAACCAATCGGAGGCCGAAACCTCAAACCAGTATATCTCGAGACCAGATGACCCGCTCGGTTTGAAACTTGAACCCAATATACTCCAATCCAAGTCCAAGAAGCCTGTAAAATTTTCTCAGAGAAAAAAGCGCCGGCGCCGAAAAAGCCCAGAAAATTTAGAAAACATTCTGCGAATTGGTCAATGAAACCGATAGATTCTCGAAAAAAGAACGCGTTCGTGTCCTTTTCGACGTCTGCGGTCTCTCTCAAATCGGCAATGTTTCCGCCGATTCCCATGATTTTTCACATGTGTTTTTGACGGCCGAAACATGTGACATTCATTTTGTCAACGAAGAAAAATCGCTTTGATCAAATCTTCGAAGACAAGAGAAGCAAAAAATTTTGACCGGAAAAACGCGGAAAATCGTCCGTGTTTCCGTGTTTGTCCGCCGGATTATCACCGTCATTTCGCACTATGAAAAACGTTTTATATCAACAAAAACAACGTCTTTTCTTTGTGAATTTCCATCGATTCTTCGAGAGTTTTTTAAAACTAGCGAAAATTTTGAGTTTTGCTACGAAATTTGGATTTTAGAAGGAAAAGTAGCAAAAAACACATTCGGACAGCACGGAATAACGATATAATCGAAGAAATCAATCAGAAATTACACTTTACAAAGCGGCAATCACATTTTCAACATGTTCAGCGAGAAAAACAAAAAGCGGACGAATTTCGGCGGAAGCGCTGATACCTCATCGGAGCGGGCGAAAAGCCGTTGTTTGCAAACATTCAAAGGCCATAAAATCTTCGAAATAGCCGCCATTTGGGACAGATTTCGGGCGGCGAAACGAGAAGAAGCACCAAGAACAAAGTTTTCGCGCGCAAAACTTTAAACGCGGCGTTCCAACACCGGGCGGCACAAATGCACGCCGGGCGCTTCATCTTACGACATTTAAGCAAAATTTTAACGGTGTTTCGAATTTTGGGCAGATTTCAGACCGAAAAAATAGAAAAACGACGTGTAAACAGACTGGTGAAGGGGAAAAGGCAATTGAAATGGTATATTGTATGTGTTTGTGTGTGTAAATGTGAAAATGGATGAGAAAATGGCGAGCGGGGAGGAGAGGCAACCGGTCGCGCGGAACAAAGGACGCCTCGACGTACTTGTGATCCCAAAATGACACTTTATTCCGAAAGAGACTCATTGACGGAATTCGCTCGCCCGAATTCGTGTTTCTGACACAAAATTTGAGATGAAAATTGAAAAACAATAAATTGAGCCTGGTTTTGACATGTTTAGCTGTTTGTTGCTCAAAATGGGTCTCGAAGCGAAGGTATTTCAACCCATCATTTCAAAATAAACATATAAATAAAAACGAGCGAAACGGAGCCATGGAAACGGACAATTATAGGTTTCAGGATTGGGGGGCAATTGGATTGATAATCATATAAGGAGACCAGTGTGCCTTACCGAAAGGGTTTCGGTAAATTTACCGGTAAACATTTCGGTAAATTGTCGGTAAATTTTCGGTAAAACTTTTTTTTACCGAAAGAGTTTCGGTAAATTTTCGAAACAATTTACCGAAAATTTACCGAAAATTTACCGATAAATTTACCGGTAAATTTACCGAAACTATTTCGGTAAAAGTTTCGGTAAATTTTATCGGTAAAAGTTTCGGTAAATTTTATCGGTAAATGGGTACTTTTTCGAAACAATTTTCAATTTTGAGAACGGAACATTGAGGCGACTGTTCAGCGTGTTCCTGATGTTTGGGATGTTGTTCAGAATGTTCTAAATTGGTCACATCAGTCACTTCCCTTGTCAAAAAAAGAACGCCGGTGCCGCGCCTTTTCGGTATCGACGGCACCGCTCGGCGCCTCAATTTTTTTCTGTTTTTCTTTTTAACGAACAGTTTATTTTCGAATGAGGAACTTTGGGGACACATTAAATGCGAAACTCGTTGCATAGCATTATAAAAAAAATTATTAAAAAAATTAAAAAAACAAAAAAACAAAAATTATTAAAAAAATTATTAAAAATTAAAAAAATTAAAAAAATTAAAAACAAAAATTATTTAAAAAAATTATTAAAAAAATTATTAAAAAAATTTAAAAAAAACATGTTTTAACATTTTTTTCTCCGCTCTCAAAATTGTTCTTTCGGTAATTGTCGAAAGGAACGATTTACCGGTAAATTTACCGGTAAATTTACCGAAACTCTTTCGGTAAAAACCTTTTTACCGAAAATTTACCGAAAATTTACCGAAATTCACTTCTTTCGGTAAAAAAAATTTCGGTAAGGCACACTGAAGGAGATGTTCGAAAAAAAACACTTGCAGGGAACATGGAAATGGCTTGAAAGTTGAAGAGAGGGGGGAGCATGAAAAGAAGATCCGAATCTTTTCCATTTTCATTCCATTTCCGTCCGAAAACCTCGGCGAAACCCATAAAATGGGCACACGAGAACATCCACCACTTTTCGGGGAATTTGACGAATTTTGGGGAATTTGAAGGGAATGTCCGAATTGGCGCATACATTCTCGGAGTCCCAACTCTCCCGAATGCCTACAAATGGAACAGCGCGCAGTTAAAGTTGTGGCCGTGGCCTTGAAACAGTCAGGTGTGAAAACTCTTCCCTGTTAGCAGTGAAAGGATTCCATGGCCTAGGAGATTTCTCGGCCACTTCGACTGTTTCTAGGCATTGCAGAGAGTTGGGACTCCTCGGAGTGTATGTGGAAATTGCGAGAGACGATTCAGACAGACACAAAAACATTTCAAACAAGATGACGATTCTCTGGTCCTGAAAATTCGTACAACTATTGTAGACCTCCAAAAGTGGCCCTTGAAAAAGGAGGGAAGGAAGGATTACTGTAGGTCGGGAGCTCTCAACATTTCAATATTGTCGGATCACTTGAAATGTCAATCTCTCTCTCTCTTTCTCTCTCTTTTCTAACAAAACGATGTGTTTAATTAAAGTGGATGGGCAGGCAGAAGAGAAAGAGAAAGAAGAAGAAGAAGAAGAAGAAGAGGAAGAGGAAGACACCCAATATCCCGCCCGTTATATTGCCTTTTGAAACACACATGTCAACACGAAACGGAGAGAGAGAGAGAGAGAGAGAGAGAGTTTTTATTTCAGTCGCAAATGGGATTGGGTTGAAGCCAGAGTAAAAGTATTGAAAAGCTAGGGGAGTGAACATTCTCAATACTAATTTTGTAAGTTTTTGTAAGTGGACCGTCTCACTTCTTCGGTTCTGTGTTGATTTTGAGTGAGTTGGAACAACTAGTGGATGAGTCAAATGATGACGTGGCACTCTCTCTCTCTCTCTCTCTTTTACAGTAAACCCACTCACTCTCTCTTTCTCTCGCTTTGTTTTGAGAAATATCCGCTCGGAAATCATGAGAAAACGGACGGGGGAAATAAACGGAAACCACATGTGCACACCGCAGGCAATCGCACCGATTTCGAGATGGAGATTTCACTTTCACTTTTGTGTTTCACACAACGTTTAAAGTTGAAGATGTTCGTAACTGATGTTATTTCCATCTCATTCCATCCATGCTGATGCCATGCCGGATCCGTGCGTGACACATGCTCATCCCATGCTACCGTAGCAGCTTGCTGTTCACTTGCCGCTCGCGCGCCCCACCCCTTCATTTGGCCATTTTCATTCAGTTTTCACTCGATTACTAAGCCGCCAAGGGTGCGGATGAGCCCGATTGCCACGTGGATTTTTTGAAATGGGACCCGCAAAAGGGTCCAGAAATTGGTGAAACTGTCATCTTTTCCCGTTTTGATGTGCCCATTCCGTTCCGCAACCTTTATTTTCCATTATTATTTGCAAAACGATTCATGATGATTATCAAAGAGAAACTCTATAAAAGATCGGCGTGGCTTCGAGAATAAATGAGAACAAATAAATTTGGGGGCGGGCGGCGGGGGTTAATTGAGAAAACAACAATAAAAGTTAGGTTTTTTGCTCAAACAAAAACATCAAAATCTCCAGAAAAACGTCAATCTTTCAGTTTTTCAGCTGAAAGATGAAGGATGAATCCATAAGACTTGGGGTTCGAAAATGAAAAAGAGTCGGAAATGGATGTAATTCCAGGGGGCAAAATGAGACCGATTCGGGAGAGAGAGAGAGGGGGGAGTTCCGGGTGAATGGGGAAACGGGGCAGAATCCGTGCAAAAGAGCCGGTTTGGGAACATTCGACCGTCCGGAACGGGGCAACTCGCACCACCACCACTGTTCGTACCTGCAACACATAGGAGCATTTAGGAGCGAAATTAATATTCGAAGAAGAAATTCAGTGATTTGGCTCAATTCCTAATGATTCTCGATTATTCTCACTGCTCGTTTTCAGTACAAAAACATTTGCATGCACTTGGCCTTTCAAAAAGAAGCGCCTACCATGAGCGGGCGGGTTAAATTGCGAGTTGTCCTGCGAGTCCATGCATTCGTGTCATTTGGGGTAGGGAAGACGGCGACACGAACGGGCGCCTTCGAAGATTCACACCCACGCAGTCCATCCTTCGTACATTGTGCACAGATTCGATGGGTTCGTCGCTTCCGAAATCAGCAGATCCGCCTGCAAATTTAATCGTCTTTTTTTTACTCAATTTCTCTAACTTTTCTAACGAATTTTTGTCAACCTTTTCACAGGCCTGAGAAATTGCATTAAAACAGGGGGCGAGAGACGATTCTCGTCTTCAAACAAATGACCTGAATTTCATGAAAACTCTCAAAAAGTACCTCTTCGCGGGGCGACAATTTCCGTTCCGAGTCCTCGTCGAGCCATCCGTTCAGCCGTCTTTCCACTCTTCTCACCACTTCTCGCGCCTCCGAATTCTCCTGCTGGTCCTGTTTTACCACCCAAACGTCTGAAATTATAGAGTTGGAAAAATGTTCGACATGCCAAACAATTCGCGTACTTTCGAGTCCGGGCGGCGGCTGAAATTGTTGTGTCCGGGCCGAGGTGATCGATTCGATCGGAAGAGAGGCCAGCGAGACGAGCGATCGGAACACACTGCAAAAGATTTTAAATTTAAAAAAAAAATTTGCGGTTTTAAAATCCGCTTTTTCGTTGCTTCATGCGTTTCTTATCAATTTGTTTCGCGCAGGTTTTCACCGTTCAACTTAAAGGTAATGTATTGGAGGAAATGTATCTCACCAAGCGGATCCTAGATCCGCTAGTAGCATCATTCTTATTTAATAAAAGTCTGAGGAGTCTGTCCCTTTGTTTATTTATTTATTAGTTTTTTTCTTTCTTCGTTTGTCCGCGCACGTTTTCATTTCTGGAGAACCTAAGTAATGAACACGTGAACTTTCAAACAGTTATAAGAAACACTAAAGCGGGAACACGTTCAAAGTCTTGTTTTTAGATATGAAAAGAAATTGGGAAAAAAACTCACTAATCGATATTCTGCATGACAATATTGAAATTGAGCACGCACGTGTCAATGTCCACTTCGTGTCGGAGTGCCGAATGCCCTCTGCAAATGTTTTTTTCAATTATAAAACGAGGCGCTAGTTACGCCCAAAATTACTTTTCGCTGTGTTTAGAATAAGTTTTAGTTGCCCCAGAAACAGTAAAAATTATTTAAGGCTCACTTGAGGAGTGGGTTGATGAACGCCTGTTTGTAGAATTTCAGATAATTCGAGAACTCCTCGTTTTCCTTTCCGATCACTCTCAGCAACGGGCGGATTTCCTTCGCGAGCGCCTGATGACGTGTCACCGCCTCGCGCAGTTCCGTTCCCGCCTTCACGCGCTGCTGCAAACGTTTCGATGAAGAGCAAGTGATAGAGTTTATAGAAGAACGAACCTGTGCGTACATTCCATTCGCTCCGAGCAAGCTTTTTTCGATCAAAAGGCAATCGATCACTTGGCTCAGCCAACGGAACAGATCGTCTCTGCAATTATAGGTATAAGTGAATTTCATGGAAAACCGTGACCGTCAAGGGTTTATGCCAATTTTCAAAAAATGCCCTGTACCCATAACCGTCAAGGGTACATGCCAATTTTCAAAAAATGCCCTGTACCCATGACCGTCAAGGGTCTATGCCAATTTTCAAAAAATGCCCTGTACCCATGACCGTCAAGGGTTTATGCCAATTTTCAAAAAGTGCCCTGTACCCGTGACCGTCATCACTTGTCAAAAGTTCTAAAACGCGCCCACCGATTGTTCATCCACAGAGTGTGTATTTCGGTCATCCGAATGTGCAGCAATTCGACCGTCTCGCCCAACTTCTCGCTCGACTTTGTCTTCCAGTTACTTCCGTAGACTGCCAGCTGCAATGCGAGTGAGACTCCCGAGGCAGTCGAGTGCTCGTGGTTCGTCCAGTCGACGAGCGGGTCGAACACGAACGCGTCGAGGAGCATCGTGAGCACGGGTCTGCCCGATCGGAGGCAAGAGAGCACATGCACGCACGACTCGCGGAACGTGCCGAACTGTTCGGAGGGGCCGAGGGCGTGCAGCATGTTCCGCGTCAGCCGGAAAGGGACCGTCTCCGGGATACGCAGATTTCGGCCCTGCAAAATCAACGGAATTCATTCACCTACAGCTAGCAGCTTAAAATACGACTTGGGGCAATCATTTCACAAGTCACATTATGAGTTATTCAGTGTATTAATGTAGAAAAAAACTCAACTGAGAACAATGTTGTAATTACAGGATTTCCCATCAAAACAACCAAAAATCGCCAAAAAAAAAGCGCTGACCTTATCGAAGCAGATATTGTAGTCGATGTGGACGACGTGTCCGTACTTGAGGTCCACGAGAAGGTTGTCGAGATGTCGGTCTCCCAGTCCGAGCACCGATCCGACCATGCTCATCACGGCCAGACTGCGTGCGAACCGCTTCGTCACCGCCCACCACGTCGCCGCGTCGTTCGCCTTCATCCACAGTTCGCGGCTGATCAAATCGCGCGGCGTTTTCGCGGCGAGACCCTCGAACACCTCCTTCATCACTGCCAGCGGCCACTTCGTCCGGTCCGACGCCGTCGCCAAGTCAATGTTCTGCAAAAAATAATGAAAATTAATGGGAAGGGGAAATGTTGAGTGAACAGATTGGGAGGAAAACCAGGCCTGGGCGAGCGATTCGCTTTCTCTTTTTTTCCGTTTCAACCGCTAATCTGCTCAGGCTTCAGAAAAATACTACACTATTGCTTTTCTGATTATTCGGTGTATATTTCCCGTTTTTTTATGTCAAAAAGCTCAATTCAACTTTGTAATTCAGATACGTAAGAACGCCTCATTTGATATCGAAATTTTGAAACTGGAAAAATTTGAAAGAAAAAACGTACATGCTCGGCGAATTTTTCCTTGATCATATTGTGGTACATCTCGCTCGGTCGCTCTATTTCCGCTATCAGTTCGCCATTCTTTTTGAGCGCCTGACGCACTGCTTTCTGCAAAAAAATGGAATTTTTTTGTTGCAAAGTTATAAGATGTGTTACCTCTTTGATCTGCCACTTCCGATAAATGTGGAACATGGGCGTGGCGCCCTCGACCCATTTGATCAGGCCGGAGCGTGGTCCCAACGGGATCACTGCGTAGTGATGTGCCTGATACTCTGCCAATTGGCGGCTCTTCGCCTTTCCCGGATGCAGCATCACGTTGCAGAGGCGGAGGAATTGCATTACTCGCTCGTCCAGATGAAGGTCTTCGCGGCCTTTGAACAGGAATGCGCACTGTTTTCCGTCGGATCCGACGAATCCGAGCTTTTTGGGTCTCGTCTTCGTCGGCAGAATCGTCACTTGGCGCGCCACTTTCGAAATGGAGACGACTTTGTCGAATTCGACAGATTCCTGGCCGGGCATCGGCACGCACGAGTTCTCTAGCGATGCCAAGTACGGCGAAATGTCGGCCGTCTCGAACGTCTGCAGTCCCTTTTTCTGGTTGCGATGCACGAATGCGCCGATGAGATTTCGGAACGGCGCCCACGACTTTTCGGGCGAAATGAACCGGTTGCGCTTCGATTCGGCGTACGCGTTAATCAGATCGTCTCCGAAAGTCCGCACGAATTCCCGCTCGTTGTTCGATTTCGACGGCTCGGCCACCGTCTGCTGGTACAGTTCGTCGAGCACATCGAATATCTGCAATTGAGAGAGAAACATAGCCTTCCCCGGTTTTTTTCCTGAAAAGTACCTGTCTGGTGAGCAGCTCGGTCTTCTTCTCGGTGATCTCGTCCTTGACGTGAGGCTCCAGATGCTCGGCCATCGCCGTCTTCGCATTTTCGGCCTGAATGAGCGCGAGTCTCTTCTCCATCTCGTGCTCCATCGTTCCCAGCACGACCGTCCATTTCTCCTCGTTCAGCAGATTGATCCGCTCCAGCTCGGCCACAAATTGACGGACGTCCCGGACCAGCGAAGGATACGATTGCGCCATTTTCGACTCGAGCTGTTCGCAGCACGCGCGCACTCGGTTACGGTCCTGAAAATGAGAATTTCTAATGATTTGAGAGCAATTTGAAAAATGTTCAGTCTCACTTTAATTTGGTTACATTTTTTACATATGTGCTTTGAGTTGTGCGCCGGCAATTCGGTAGTTTCAAAAAAAAAACTGTGGGGGCTGCTTCGGAGATAATCATTTTTAAATTGAACAAGCTGTTTTATGAACAATGTGATAGTGCGCGAAGTGTAAATTTGCAGCACTTTTCAGAAAACAGTTACGCGCACAGCTGGACACCATCAAACGACGGTAGTTTTTGACAAATTACAAATTTTTGCGGGCTTTGCACACGGAATGAACAACTTTTCCCGACAAATTGCCGCTAACTCACATCGTTGAGCTGGTCCTCCTCGACCTCCTCCTCCTCGTCGTCGGAAGAGGAGGCTGCTCCGGACACGACCTGGAATACGACTGCGTGTGGAGCCGCGGTGCAGATGCGCGATATCAGGTCGACGAGAGTCTTGCGGATGTGCTCGGAGGGGTGCGAGAGTCGGGCGAACAGCTGCGGAAGGATCTCCTTCCAGACGTGCACGTTCGTGATGCTCAGTCCCTCGTTGATGACGTCGATGAGCACGTCGCCGTGCTTTACGAGCAGTTCCAGAATGCGAAGGGTCGCCAGCGTCGTCTCCTCTTTTTTGGAGAACGGAAGGAAATCGGGACCGGAGGACATGCTGCGGATGAACTGGAAGTAGGCGGAGACGGCGATCGAGAGGAACTTGATGCGGTGCAATCGGGCAGACTCCCACACGTTCCGGAACTCGCCGTTCGACAATATCGCACTGCAAAACACGGCATTTATTGACAAAAATAATTTCCTGGGGTTTGTTGTCGTTTTTCACTCCTACCTGGCTCTGTTTGTATCGGAGACGGCCTTGCGAACCTGTTTCTCGAGCTGTGTGAATCCGGTCGTTTCCAAGCACTTCCACAGCTCGTCGTCCTCCTTCTGATCCGCTCCGAACTGGTAGATCGGAAAGAGCGGTGCCGACGGAGCGTTCTCCGTTTTGGCCATTTCGAACGCCCACTGGGCCATCCGCAGGTGCGCCTTCGCCAGAATCGGACACATTTCCGATGCGAACGCGAAGAGAGATCCGATTATTCCCATCTGGTCCCCGCAACCGAATTCGTCCGATCGGCGATGCACTTCCGACTGCAACTTTTGAAATTGTTTCTAAAAAAGGGTGTCTGAAAAAGAAACGAACCCAGATCAAGGTGGGAACGAGGTCCGGCGCGAGGATGTTGTTCGTGTCCGGGAGGGTCTGGAAGAACTCGGCCAATTGGATGCTCGCGCGGCCGATGTGCTCCTCCCGCCTGCCCATCTCTTCGTAATATCCCTCGCGGAGCATGTTCTCCCTGAGCGGTCCCGGCGGCAGCTGCTCGAAGTTGGCTTTCAGCTGGCACGTCGTCTGGAACACGTCGGCCAGTCCCCCGAAAAGACAGTTCATCTCGCGGATCCGCACGTCCAAATGCTGGCTCTTCACCAGTTTCATGCGCTGTCTGTCGATCTCCAACCGCATCCACGCACTCAGTTTCTCGCCGCGGATCGCCGAGTTTATGTGGAAGTGCGCCAGTTCGCAGTTCGACGTCTTACGCGATAAACGCACGATTTCGCCGTGCGCCACACTCGATTGACCGCCTGCAAATGTTCGTTCGAAATTCGATGCATTGAAATAATTAAACTTTAATACTCACGGAAATGTTTGATGTGTCTGCTCCAGTGCATCACTTTCCGGCAGATCGCCAGTTTGTCTCCGAGGTTTCCGTTTTCGTTTCTCTCGAATAAATCCGCGTCCGTCATTCGGTTTCTCGTCTGAAATACCATTTTAAAAATAAAGCCATGGACAGGCGAATGGGCTTTTGACTCATTTACAGTAACCCGATCGGGCTTAAACTTCGCAGGCTTACTGGACTTGGATTGAAGGCTATGGGGCCCAAGTTTCAGACCGATCGGATCATCTTTGGAGATCTACTGATTTGAGACCTAAAAGGCCGGTTTTTTGCAATGCAACTATGTCTCTGATCCGATTGGTCTGAAACTTGGGCCCAAAATACTTCAATCCAAGTCCAAGGTAGGGCCCGATCTGAATGTTGCAACTGGGAAAAAGTGGTAGAAAAAATTGTAAAAAATATGGCGATTTCTGTTTCAAGGCGACAATATCATTCGACCGCCGACAATAATCAATACTTTGTCTTCCGATCGTGTCGACGTCTTTACAAGAAGAAAAACAAAAAAAACCTGAACGGCTCCGGGCATTTTGTCGATCAAATTGGCGATAATCAGAGAGGTCGACGAGACGTCCGCGTAGAGTTTGCAAGAAACGTCGGTGCTCAGAGTCAGAGCGCCCATCGCCGACAGCTCTTTTTGATGCTCGAACAGTTCCGTTCTGAAAGACAGTGTAGTTTCAAATGTTTGCCATTTTTCTCTGTAGAAATAGGGCGTTTCAGGCAGAAATTGTCAAATGCACACGAAAAATGGTACAAACCTGCGCATGGGCTGTGCGTAGGCGGATTCGACGGCGGCGAGGCGGTCCTTGACACTCCACTCCACAATTTGCCTCTTCTCCTTCGATTCCGTCGTCGGCTTCTCGAATTTCGTGAGCATTTCGATCGATTTGAACTGCTCCGTCACCGCATCGGCGTCCTCCCCGAACAGAGTGTTTTTGTAGTAGTCGACGGCTTGCGGCAGACGGATCCGATTAAGCATGTCCACTATCTGCAAAGGAGCACATATAACTTCCTTTTGCATTTTTTCAACCGTAACCGCAAAGATCCGCCCCTTTTGGCTTCTCGAAAACGATTTCGACGAATCCTATCGAAATTGAATGAAAAATCAGCGAATTAGAAAAGACTTTTTCGACGAGCCGAAAAGAGCGGAGCTTAGCGGTTACGGTCGAAATAAAGCAAAACTGAACAATAATGGGGCTATTCAGCGTATGTTTGTTTTCCGTTTTTTTGTTGTTTTTTTACATCGCTGAATTGGATTTTTTGACGTAAAAAAAAACGAAAAAACCGAAAACAATCATTTTTTCACAGCCTGAATAACCCCATAATAGCGGTTTTCATTGGAAATTCAAAAAAAAATGGCTGACCGCAGTTTGAATGACAATTCTGAGCGTTTCGTTGAGACTCGCCTCCGTCGCCAGCACGTTTTCCAGTGCGATCAACGCGTTCTCGTATCTGAAAATGTTCCTTATTCCAATTTAAAAAACGTGTCACATAATGGGATTGAATTTGACAGCGAACATTATGTTAATATTTGAATCACAAAAATGTACATCAATTGTGAACTTTCATGTAATTTCTGACCGTGCGTGCGCCATCTCGACGAGTGCCTCCATGAGAGATTGTCCCGATTCGGTGCCGAATTCCTCGCGGACCCGCCTGCGCAATCCGATTATTTCCATCGGTTCGCCCAGAACGGCCATCGAGAGCGACATCAAACTGGCCGTCGAGACCCCGTACGTCGTCGATTTCTCTTCCGAATCCTTCTGGCGCACGTAGTGCGAGAGCGCGTTCGAGCCGAAACGGATCACCTCAAAACAGTATTTTTAATAAAAATGTTTTTAATAAAAAAACTGACCAGCGCATAATATCCGTTGAAATATGCGACAATAAGGGCCGGATAATAGACACGGTTGAGCCAAACTTCGCAACTTGCCGAATTCGTGACGAAAAACTGACGCGAACTCTGAAAAGACATGCTTTAATTTTAGGAAAAATCAATAAAGTAGCAATCACCACAGGGATTTCGACCAAATTGAAAACTCCGGAGCCTCCGTGAATGGCCGAAATCATCAATTTCTCCAAAACTTCGATCAATTTGAGCAGCAAATGGACGCGGAGCCACTGGACCGAATACTTGAGCTCTGCGGGGGCGACGCTTCCGTTCTCTTCCTCTTTTTTCGACGATTTCGGCTTTCGGGTCATCACTTCTTTCGCCAAATTGTTGACTTCGGCTGAAATCAGATTTGAGAAGTATAATTGTGAATGTTTCAAGAATTTTTGATAAATCCAGAAAACCCCCCGCATTATTATATTTTCAAAGGGCATACGTACCAGCGAGTGCGGCAAAAGTCTGTTGCGGTTTTCCCAGCGGCGTCTTCATTTTGTTGATGATGCAGAAGTTGGCCGTCTGGTTGATTACCCAATCCCATTTCTGCAATAACCGTTTTTTTTTTTGCAAACTAAAAAATAGATCGTATGGGGCTATTGAGCGCATGTTTTTTTCGTTTTTTTACATCGCTGAATTGGATTTTTTGACATGAAAAAACGGAAAAAAAATGATTTTTTCCACAGCCTGAATAACCCCATTACCGAATCAATTGAGAAAATTTTTGATATATTTTATTCTAACGCTTGCAACATAAATGTTTGGATAGTCTTCCTTTGCATTTGGTGAAAATTTAAAACAGAAACCTCAATGAATGCGTCTGGGAGTGTGGGATCCGTCTTTTCGGCCGTGCTCCGACATGATGACGTCATCGCTTCGAGCACTTCGTCCATCCAAACGTACGAGCCTTTTCTGCACACAAGTCTATTAGCATTATTTAATCTTTTCAGCTTTTTGGTTTCAAAACCGTTCCCCGTCCCAACTCTCCGGAATGCCTATAGACGGAACAGCGCGCAGTTAAGGTTGTGGCCGTGGCCGAGAAAACTCCTGGGATCTTTTCACATGCTGCCAAACATTCACACAAATCAGCAGGCGTGTATAGTCCGAGAGCATCAGACTGTTAACAGGGAAGAATTTTCACACCTGGGTTTTCTAGAACACGGTCACAACTTAAACTGCGTGCCGTTCCGTTTATAGGCATTTCTGAGAGTTGGGATTCGGAGCAGCAGACAGACACATCAACTCGCAGGGTTCTCTGATCCTTTAACAATTACCAACTGTTTCATAAATGTTTTGAAACGGCCTTTTTTTCAATGCTTCCGGAAACCCGTACCTGAAAGTGGTGGGCACAATTTGTTTGAGCAGGAAATTGGTGACGATCGTGAATTCTTCGGCTCCGAAACTCGTGGCTCCGATGAATTTCTGCTGCCGTTCCTGGCTCATTTGGTACACCGGAGAGATCGATTGTCTGCAACGGAAAACGCGGTTTTTGGGATGAAATTTCGAATTTTAAGAGTTTGGGAAATTCGTGAGTTTTTGGGTGGAAAATGTCTATTTTGTGCGGAGAATTGAGGCGTAAAAGGGGCGAGGGGGAACAGGTGCAAATAAAATCGAGTTGGACGGGCAAGTAAACATAAACAATCAATTATCTAATGCGGCACCGAATACGCCTTTTTTGTGTGTAAAATGGGATGTTTTTGCATTTTCTTTCAAAAAATGGGGGAAAAGTACAAAATCGGTGTAAAACCAGTCGATTATCCGTCCAGTTGCCCTTTTTTTTTGGGCAAAGGGGGCAAAGTGGTCATAAATACATAAACACTCGTGTTTCGGAATCGGCAAAAATGCCGTTTCGAATGGAACATTTGGGAAACGAATTCGAGACAATTTCGATAGGTTCGAAAGCATTTTTCAGCGGAAAAAATGACGATTCTCCTCATCTTTGTGTTTTTGATTCAAATAAGTGTTCACCTGATATAGCGCTTGGAATCGCCGGCCTCCCAAATGAGCGTCGCCTCTCTCCACTTGGCCTTTCTCGTTTTTTCGACAATATCTCTTTCGATGTCCGCACCGATTTCCGGCCAATTTCCCATCGAAGCGAGCAGCGAAAACGCCTCGTTCACACTGAAAATTATAGGAAATTTTTTTAGTGTCTTAAAGATTTTTTTTTAATGGAAGGCTTCAAAATGTTAATTAACCTTTAGATGATCATATTAGATCTTACAAAAAATTTTTAAAATCAATGAATGGACCTCATTTCCAGTGCAAAAAATGAAAAACAAACGAATTCCTCTATAAACCCCTTAATTTATAGAATACTGTAAGAAATGGGGATGCAACGATCTATTGGGCGTTCGTTTTCCCATTCAAAACCAGTTCTCTCCATTTCCCTTTCAATTTTACTATTGTTGACTGAATAAAGTGGTTTCCGGGATGGGTTTCGGCGAAAAACCATTGGAAAATTAAACGATAAATTGTTTTCAATTTTGCTGAAAAGTTCTAGTAAAGCTCAAAAGAATTGTATGGAAAAGCGGGAATTTGCAACAAAAATAAAGCAGTCACTGCAAGAGAAAGCGTACGTCTCGTTATTCCAGTTCAGGACGGACTGATGCGCGACAATACTCCTCAATCGGAACCATTCCAATGTCCGGAATCGTTCCGACGGCACTTTTTGGTCGTAGGCGGACACAATCAAACAGTGGAGCCACGTGGATATTGTAAGTCTGCAAAAATTGCGTGTTTTTTAATAAAATAATTGTGCTTTGATCTTTCCTATTAGGTGCGAATTTGACTGCAATCGCGCTCTACCGCTCACCACGTGAATTCAGTGCTAAATTGTTGGGAAAGGTCGCGGTTTCCGGAAGAGTGGTACAGCGCGTACCCAGCGCACCATCTCCCTTTTGTTTCAGTACCTGGTCTTTTTGAGTAGTCGATTTCCGAAATTGGAGATGATTTTGTGGAGTGCGATGACTTGTTTCTTCGCGTAGTCCCGTTTCGTCTGGCCGATGGTCCCGATCGTATTGTCCGCTCGGATCAGGTAATCCGATTGGGAAATGTAGAAATCGTGACTGAAAAACTAGACATTTTTAAAATCTCAAGATTCTCTTTGGTAATTCGCTGCAAAATCAAAATTGTGCGTAGAACAACATGTGGGCCGGTTTTAGAGCCGGTATTACGGCGCGGGCCAGGTTCTAGGTCGGGCCAGCGCCACAATACCGGCTCTAAAACCGGCCGACACGTTGTCACATTTGTAGAACTCGTCGAGATCTGCGTCTGATATGTTGTTCTACGCACAACTTTTATTTTGCAGCGAGTTATCAGCCGGCCCGTTTGCAAGTGTGAAAAAAAGGTTTCTAGAAAGCGCGTACGATTTGAGATGTTGGAAGAGGATGGTGACGAAAAGATGGTAGACTTGGGGGTGGTTGGCGGCGAGCCAGTACTCGGTCAGCGGCAGTTCCTGCGTGAAGAACTCGAAGATGGACGGACGGATTCCCATCATCTGAACAGGGCGTTTTTAGGAATCGGAGATGTTGTGCATTTCAACTGACGACAATCAGAGAGCTCTTCGCGCACGAAATATTCTGGAGGGCCGAGAAGAAGAGGAGCAGCACGCTCTCGTGCCAACGCATCGAATCGCTGCTCGGCGAGCACAATTTCAGACGGGCTATGCTGTCTAAAAAGCAATTTTGTTGAAAATTCTACATACAACGTTGATTTGTTTTCTTTTTGACTTTGAAATTGAAATCAGATCGATCTAGATCAATTCGTTTCGAAACGTGATGTTCCACAATCGTTACGTTAACTCGCCCCCTGATTTTTTCTTCGTTTCAATCGGTAATCCGCCCATTTCCCCTTTTACCTATCATAATTTTCCTCAAATCCGTATACGTCGCCTGCAAGTGATTGAGCGACGTGGGCGTGAGAAGGACCGAAATGAGATTGGCCAAATCTTTGTAAATTCTGTTGTTTCTGCAAACATTCCGGAAATTTCTTCATAAAGCGAGGAAAAGAGTACCCGAACATGCGAATATCTCGGTTTTCCGGAGTGAAAAGTCCCGTTTGACGATTGAAGACAATCTGATGAACGCGCGTTTTTATGGGCGATTCGACGGGCAGCTGCGACACGATCTGGCATTTCAAAAATGTTTACTTTTATTCTAATTGCAAAAAGAAACCTTTGCGAGTGAATTGAAGAACGCCTGCTTCTCCATGGTGTTCTGTTTGGAGAGATTGAGCTCGCGGAGCACTTCGCACATCGATTCCTCCACACTTTTTCGCGTTATTTCGTCGTTCTTTCCGAGGATCAGCAGCTCGTTGAACACGTCGCAAACGACCGTTATCAGGCTAGCCGACGTCCATTTTCCGTCGTTTTCTTCGCATTTCACAAATATTTCCGATATCTGCAAACGCTTTTTTCCGACCATGATTTTTAGAAAATAAAAATAAAAATTTCGGATTTTTTAGAACATTGTTAATGGACCAGGGAAGGCTCAAATGTTTTGAAATGTTTTTGTGTCTCTCTGTCTGTCTGAATTGCCACATTCAGTGTCCGAGTCCCAACTCTCTGGAATGCCTATAAACGGAACAGTGCGCAGTTAAAGTTGTGGCCGTGGCCGAGAAAACTCTGGGGTTAAAACTATATGTGGCAATTCAGACAGACACATCAACTCGCAGGGTTCCCTGGTCTTATAAAATCAACTAACGAGGGCGTTGGTCTCGTCGAGCATCCGCCGGCTCTTCGTCATCTTCACTACGGTCATCGTCAGCTGCATCCTCCGATTCAGTTCCCTGGGCCGTCCCAATCCGTTCTTCTTGATGTCCGGACGGATCATTCGCACGATTTCCTCGGCGAAATCCGCGTTTTCCGCAAATTTCGAAGAAAATCGATTGAGCGAATCGGTGAGGACCTCGAAGTTCTTCTCGTGGGTGTTCAGGTCGGGCAGGTTCGACGCAATTGTTCTCATCGCCTCCTGGAGATTGGAAACAATCATTTTTTTGCAAAGTTTTTCTTAAATTTTCCGGCTCAAAACCGCACCTCAAAGTGTTCTTTTTCTGCTTTCGGATATTTTTTGGCGACAATGACGATTCCCTTCAAGCATTGTTTGAAAACGGAGTTGGAGGCGGTCGGCAGCACGGAAATCATCCACTTCAGCGACTTTTCCGCATTCTCCACGTCGATTTCGGTCGGAATTTCCGTTTTTCGGTACGAATCGACAATATTGTGGACGGAAAAGACAATGTCCGCACGCGTTTCGTCCATTTTCCGCTGCACAGTCTCGTAGAGCGTTCCCATCCAAATTAGGAATCTGAAATTTCGGATTTTGAAAATTAAATTTCATCCCGAGACGGCCACTTTCGCTAGCTGATTCACAATGGGCATTTACAAGAACAAAAATTCGAAATTTCGCGTATTAATCACAATTTTTCCGCAAAGCTCACTCGGGATAGACATCGGAACCGATCAGAAGGGCTCCGACGAGGCGTAAAACTCTTCCGGCCGCGTTTTTCAGATCACTTCGCTCGTTTCTGGTCATGGCCGGCCAGCACGTGTTGTCCAGAACGTACGTCCATTTGACCGGCAGTTTCTGAAACGTTTCGCCCTTTTTTCAAGAAATTTCATTTAAAACGAACCTCGAGCGTCTCAAAACTCTTCAATTCGTCCTCGATTTGCGTCAGCAACACTTTCCGTTCTTTTGGCGGGGTATCCCGTTGGCGAAACTGAAAAATGCGATTTGTCAGTTTGAGCTAACTTTTTTGACACAAATAGGACCGTACCTGGTGTATCAAGTTCCCAATATCATTGTTTTTCGATGTTATCATTTTCATCCATCCAAAACGATTGCATAAGCTGCAAAATTCAGTTTTAAAATACGAAAAATTATCGCCGCTCGTCCACGTGTACTACACGACCTTTTCGTTCGGGGACCATACAAGTTTCTGGGCAATGCGCCTTTAAATTCGAGCTACTGTATTTAACGGAAAAATTCGGATTCTTGCGGGAAAATTAGGTAAAACGGCACAAAAAGATGATAAATTGATTATTGGCACACTTAATGTTGTCGATAGTCGATTAATGAGCGGTGTAAACAGCGTGAAATACCGGCCGACGCCGCCGCTCACGGGGCATCAGCAAGTGCGCTCCATTGCGAACATCGGTGCGTCCTCGACTCGGAGGGCCCGTTTCTTTGGCCGTGCAGAGGCCCATTCGTGTCCGCACCGTTTTTCAGTCCGTTTTCGTCTCATTTTTCTGTTTATTTATTGATTTTCAGTAGAAAAACCCCTATAAAATAGGAAAAGCATCGATTTTTCCCGAAAAAATCAAAGGTCGCACAAATTGGTCGAATCGATTTTTCGATTACTAGTCACATTTCGCAATTTTTGGGATTTTTGAGCAAATTTGGGAATGATTTTTAGGTAGATGGGCGCCCGATAGGCCAGAGAAGTGTTGGTCTAATGTTTAGAAACTTGTGTTCGTTATTTTTGTTATTTTTTAATATGTTAATTAATTTTGTAAATTTTACGAAAGTTCTTTTTAAAAGTCGTTAATCAATCGATTTTTAACGTTAGAAACCATACCCGTAAAATGTTTACGGTTTTTTTTGCTCATTTTGAAAAGAGCAAAAAATGAGCAATTTTTTCCTACTTTCAATAAAAAATCTTTTCTCTTTTTTTCATGCGACTCGGTCTGTTTCTCGATGATTCAGCCCTTTTTCCATTGAAAATGTCAAAATCTGACTCAGCAAAAAAAAAACAATTTCGTGCCTTTTCACTTCCATATATCACCGTTCAAACGTCCTGAGACCCCATAAAACTCGCGCTTTTTACACTTTTTCCCGTCTCCGAATTGTGCAATAAATCACTTTTCGTGGCGGGACCCAAACGGGTCATTTCGGCCGTTTTCTCGGCATTTTTCGCAGATTTTTTTATTAGTCTATCGAGCTCATTCGCGTTTCCTACCCAGCCTAATAGATTGCAAAAAAACTGATATTATATTCAAAATTAATCTAATAAGTCTTGTCAATCTAGTTATAAGGATTTGCAATCTAACTAGGTTCGGGGTTAGAAACCCGAATTAGCTAGCCAGACTAATAACGATTTACCCGAGGATTTGCCTTTTCCCGTCAATTTCCACCTGAAAATCATCGTGATTCGGTTCAGAAATGTCGAATTCGCACCACTCGAGCTGCTCGAGCCGAACGGGCGGCGCCCTTCGCCGCTGCGACTGCGGAGAGGATCTTTCGGAGAGCGACAAACTGTGGAACGACTTCGAGGGGTGTGCTCAGGCGGTCGCGCGGCTCTACTCGGACTCCTCCTGGCGAAATTTCCGTGGCGCCGCCGAGGGAACCACACAGTTGTACAAGGTTTGTGCTGCTTTTAGAGAAACTTCTGGATTTTCCTGCTGTACTTGTTTTTCACCAGTTTTTCTTGACCCGACTGAAAAAGCCCTTAAAAAAACACGGAATTAGTTTCGTATGATCAAACCAGACAAACGTTGCAACAATTTGTGATTTGCGCTATAAAATTGTATGAAACTGTAATAGTTTGCATGTTTTTCCGTGTTGCAGACGTCGACGGACTCGTACCGGCGCGGCTTCGAAAAGGGCTTCACGTCGGGCTGCACGAGCATAGCGAAAGAGATCCTGCAGGCGTTCCGCGACCCGGCAAAGATCGATATGAACATTGTTCTGGAGGTGCTCTACAGGAACATGGCCATTCCGAGGGACGAGCGAATAACGGTCAACCCGCAGAACGGCATTTCCGGCGACACTCTCGCCGCCGTCGAACTCTTCCAGCAGGTTTGCCCTTTTCTCTTTTCTTATAAAAACGGTATTAGGCTGAGAAAACAGCCGTGAACATTTTCCTTGCTTTTTGGAAAAAATCTGACGAAAAACGAGTGTTTCCCTAAATTTCTTCAATTTTCAGGCGCTGAATCAGCCGCCGCCGTCGCCGCTCAACGCACTTCCGCCGACGTCCAGAGAGCAGGGAACGGACACGTTGGACGAGTTTCTCGCCAATCAGGTACTTTGACTTATTCTCTAAATTGTTATCACCTTCTTCGCCATACTCTTGAAAATCCTGTAAATCCCGGAAAGGACGAACACTTTCAGAAGCCTATAAAAATTCCCGAAATCGTCGGTATTTCAGGTGCAACGTCACCGAAAACGTCAACGCTCGCCCACGTCTGCCTCCTCGTCGCCCACGTCGCAAATGAAGCGCCAACGTCGTGCCTGAGACAATAGGCTCCGCCCCCCCCTTTCCATTTTTTGAGTGAAACGTTGCCTTCGAAACCGGTAGACGTAATGTCTGAAAAATTGGGTTTTTCACCCCGAAATCTAGTTCAAATTCACCCATTTTCTACTGTTTTTTTTGCCCAATTTTCCGCTCATTGTTCACCTAGTTTTCCGCTTTTTTACTCAGAATTTCCCCGTACTGGTTACACCGTCGTTTTTTTAAACGTCAAATTCGCTGCCTTCCTTCTTCGTCTCGTTTTCACCTCTAACATCCGCGTACACTTTAAAAGATTAAAAGCTCCATTTCAGCCATAGCTATAATATAGATTCGGCAGAGACAATCGTTCATTTATTTTCCAATGCTTGTAAAGAAATGCAAAAAAAATGCTTAAAACTCAGGGTTTCCTCTAAATATTCTCCAGCTCTCGTCTTGTACATAAAATCGGAACCCTTATCGACTTTTTTTCAATTTTTTTACAACTATCCTAGATTTTCTTCTTGCTAATCTCGTCATTTTCATGTGTGTCTTCCGCCCAGCCACCTCTCTAATTGAAAGAAAAACCCGCCCCGACCATCATGACTTGTGTATAAAGCTATTTGAGAATTATTCAATGTTTCTTTTTGTACATTTTAAACGTGTCTTTAATCTACTATCTTACCCGATTTGTTGTGATTCTCTCCGAATGTTTAATGCTATTTTTCAGCTCGAAAATGGTGCGAAAACTGAAAGTGCACGAGCAGAAACTGCTCAAAAAGACGGATTTTATGACGTGGCAAGTGGATCAGCAGGGACGGCAGGGCGATATGCTGAGAAAGTACGCAACATGTATTTGAAACTTGTTTTTCATTTAATTCGACATTGTGCTCCATCTGAGCTGTTTTTCTGCAACAAAATGAGGCTACGCCGAGTCGGAACCCGTTACAACATGACTTTTCGTAGCAAGAACCACCTGATAGGTTCTGATTGGGGGTAGCGTCAAAAAATGTATGCAAATCAACAAGTTTCGGTCAATCAACTTGTTTGCAGATTCCACGTGACGAAACGCGAGCACTACTCTCTCTACAACACTTTGGCTGCGCAGGTAATGTTTTAAAACATGTTCTTGTCTAGTTAAACAATTTCGCTATCTGGAAACACTGTTTCTAATCAGTTTATTCTAATCTAATCTAATAGATTGCAGAGTCGCGAGCTGGCCGAATTGATCAAGAACCTTCCGGAGAAGGATCCGTTCCGAGCCAAGTGCACCGAGGAAGTGCTCACGAAATTCTACGCAGCGGGGCTCGTTCCCACCGGAGACACCCTCGAACGCGTCGGAAAGGTGAGAAAGCGAAAGAACAGTCACGAAATTTCAAATCTCGGAAACTTAAGTTAGCTATTGCAAGTCGGAAAACGTAATTTTTGAGCTTATGACAATATAAACCCGGGGCCACGATAAGTCTAATAAACATAGCTTGAATAGGCTTCAAAAATGCCTGAACTTTTACAAATCTAAATCCCGATTGCAGGTCTCCGGTGCGTCTTTCGCCCGCCGTCGTCTGCCGGTGGTAATGCGCAACATCGGAATGGTGGAGAGCGTGAAGACGGCTTCGGACCTCGTGGAACAGGGACACGTGCGGATCGGCACGACGCTAGTAACGGACCCGGCGTTCATGGTGACGCGCGCCTCGGAGGACATGATCACGTGGACGAACGCGTCGAAGATCAAGCGGCACGTGATGGACTACAACAACTCGCGCGACGACTTCGACCTCATGGACTGACGCCTTCTTTGTTGCCGATTTTCACTCTTGTTTTTGTTGATTTTTATTGTTACTATGCCAAAATGCAATTATTCCTTTGTCTCCGCTGATCCCTCGCCCTCCTCTTCCTCTTTGATCTTCGGCAGCTCTTTTTGCGAATGTTCACATAGCTTCTCGATGAGCGCCATTTCGTTGCCCCGTTCCACACGCACCGCCCAACACAGACGGTCCCGCAGCGACTGCAAATAGTTGAAATAATTTCCGAATGTTTCGTGCCGCTCAAAAAAATCCCACCTGCTGTGTGTTCGTCCAAAAATATCCGTTCAAAATGGTGTCCACTTTTTGTAATTTCGACAAATCCTGAGCCAATTGGAAGAGGGAATCTAGAAAAAAGGAAATATTTGAATTTTGAAGAAAAAACAGACTCAATGCCGATTTTTCGGTGTCAATGTGCGCCGAAACAGTATTGTAGTCGTCCATTACGTCGAGCAACTGCAAAATTTGAAGCAATTGAAACAAAAAAGAGAATAGAAAAATATTGAAGAGGAATTGTTTCTTGGGAATGTTTGAAACAGAAAATGATATTGAATAGATACCATGAAAAAGGCTCATTTTTCTGTTTTGAAAACAATGTTCTTTTTTAAATTTTAGCAAGATGCATAAATTGACAGTTTCAGAGATTTTTTTTTGAAAATGATCCGCACTTCTCGAATTACAGCCTTTTTTGTGTTTCTTAATTTTTACTGAACTTTCGGTGGAAACATTTTCACGCCCCGCCCACCGTGAACTGTGGTCTCTCGTCATAATTCTTCCAAACCGATTTTGTGGCCTTCACGTACCTCTCTGTAGGATTTATCGAAAAGCGCGTCGAGCGACGCCAGGTTCGTCATGTTTCCGGTCTTGCACGAGTTGAGCGAAAGCGCCTCGATCGCCCGCACCTCTTTCGCCAACTTGTCCATTTTCTTCGAGTCCTCTTTCCGTTTCGCTTCCAACTGACATGAAAACAGTGACATTTGTATCAGACTATTATTATTATTATTATTTATTTACGTTTATTTTTAACGTGGAGAAGAGAGAGAGAGGAGAGAAAAAAGAAGAGGGAGGAGATGTGGCGGAGTTGGGGGGAATAAATGGGGAATCTTTAGCTACTTGCCCGCGCAAAAGGAAAGAGATGATCATTTAACAGATGATTGCATCGTGCCTTTTCTCAAACGGCGTGTGCTTTTATCGATGATCACGGTCTCCAGAGCTGACAATATGGGCGTGGCCTCGGCGGCCAAATGGCGTTTTAATTCATGAATTGAGCAAGTTTTCTCTGATTTTTTTGGTCAAAGGCGATGAAAAATGATTGTTCGGCATGAAAACACACTAATTCTCACAGAATTAATGACGTTTTGGCGCATTTTTCGCCGACTTTGCTTTTTCGCCTTCGCCGCCTTCTCATTTTGCGCTTTCTTGACCGTTTTCAGACAGAATTGGTTTTGAGAATGATAAAACACGTAAATACAAGCATTTTGAGCGCTCGAACCGCGAAAACTACCGAAAAGCAACTGAAATTCTCGCAGTTTTAGCGAAAAACCTTCAAACGGAGCTCTAGAGACCGTGATGCCCACACCGCACTTTCCGCAAATTAAAATTTTATGGGGCTATTCAGCGTATGTTTGTCTTCCGTTTTTTTTCGTTTTTTTACATCGCTGAATTGGATTTTTTTTGGCGTAAAAAAACGGGAAAAAAAATCATTTTTTTTAACAGCCTGAATAACCCCATTCCATTGTAACAATAAACCCAGTCCCGCACATGGTGCATCGACCGGGCAGGCGAGCACTCTACCACCCCTAATTTTTCGGCGTACCTCCTGAATGGATTCGAGGGTGTCTCTGATGTATTCGAACGGAATATTCCCGCCGATTTCCATCCCGTCTGCCTCTTTTTTAATGCGTTGCACTAGTTCCTGGGCGGCCACTTGCAGCAGACTCATGTGCTCCGATTGGATACGATATCGGTCTGCAACACAAATCCAACGTTTTTCACTTTTCCTTAATCTGTGAAGAGTTCTAGAAGATTTTCAGTGCCTAAGAATCGTTTCATCAAAAACGTGGCTCACTTGATTTGTTGGCAGCGAAAATCGAGACGGTCTTGTCGGTTCCGTGAAGGGTGAATCCGATCGCTTGCGGATTTTCCGATCCGTACTCTGAAATTGGATAAAATCTTTGATTTCCATTGTTTAGAAATTGGCCCATACCTCGAGAATGAGAGGTTTTAAGAAAGCATGGTCAACACAAAAGTTATTGAGCTCACAATTTCCAACATTTTTGTACAACACCACTTTTCAAAATAATCAATAGTCTTCGAGATAAATACTTTCAAAAATCATCGAATACTTTTTAATCTTTAGGCTCATATCTCGAGAACCAATAATTATTTCAAAAAGTTGTCAACTGAAAACTTGTTGCAAATGTTATACTCTACAACTTTGCAATTGATTTCTTCACACAAAAACCCGTCATTCTCGAGTTATAACCCCCAAATTAAAGTGCCCTACCAGTGAACAGTTTGTTGAGCGGAAGTACCGCTCCGGCCGTGTCAATAGTCACTTTAAAACGAGCATTTCGGTCCACTTGCGTCTCTTCGAACAGTATTTTGAATGGCAAGTCGACGGAAGCGATACAGTACACTGAAAATGAAATAAACGCAAAATGGTCCCAAAATGGTTTTCCTTACTCTGACTGGCGTAGCAATGGGCGGAGATTGTGACCCGGTTGCTGGTCGGCGGTTTTTTATTTCCCACGTAAAATGGGATTTGAATAGTGGTCGAGGATTCTGGAAAGATTGGAAAATTACTGTTGACATTTCAAGACGATGTATCTCAGCTGCCGGTGGAGGTACCGGAAAGTTGCCAACTGATAAAATGTACAAAATTTCTCCATGAACATTTTTTCAGTTGACAACTTTTTCATATCTCCACTGGCTGATGAGATATATCGTTTTTAAAAAGCAAAGGACGCTTACGAGAAGAGGGACTGTTGAGCACGATTTGTTTGGAAGGGCACGCGCACTCTGACAGCACGTTCAGTTGCAGTTTCTGGACACTTTGCAACTCGGACAACTCGACATTTACCATGCAGAACGGAGCATTGTTCGCCGCGTTCGGTTCGATCTGCAAAAAGCAAAAGTTTGATGAGCCATCTATGACAATACTGAAAAAAGAATCAGAACATTTTTGGATTTTTGTTGAAACCGAACATGTTTTCTGTTTGAAAATCGTTTTATGGAGCTTCCAGAATAACGTTCAGATACTTTTTAAAAAATACTTTTAAAAAATCAGGAGGTAAACAATAATATGACTGACTAGACTGAAGACTTTACAGAGGACCAAATGTGAATGCATACTTTTCTCATTTTCCTTTTTCTCCAATACCGTCCATTCAAAACGATATATCTCATTTGTTCGTGGAGATATCAAAAAGTTGTCAACTAACAAAATACTCATTTTGAAATTGCGCACATTTTCTCCGTTGACCGCTTTTTGATAGCTCCCCCCACGGCGACCAAAAACGTTGAAATGGGGGCGTGGCCTAGCGTGCGCCGTTTATCATCATTTTGACGCGAAATTCGAAAATTAACCCCATTTTTCATGTTTTTCGTCAAAAATTTCCCAAATTTTGTACGATTTCGACGATGTAATTGCATAACTTTGTTAAACTAATCATCGCGCACTTTTTGAGCTTAAAACGAGCAGGTTTTTATTCAGAAATGAATCAATTGAATCGATTTTCAAGTTTTGTGCTGAAAATGCGCGAATTTCAGTCATTCGCCGATACTTTTTGCCGTTTGAACGCTTAAAATACTTGTATTAACGTGTGCTTAATCACTTCCGACACTCACTTCGTCTCAAAACTATCCACATCGGCCGGTATGAAAATTCCGAAATTTCGGCGGCGATTGGCCGCGGAGAGCCTATTGCGAATGATGCAAAAAACGTCTCAAACGCGGCGTTTTCACGAAAATTTCGATATTTTCTCTCACTAATGTCTTCTTTCGTCGATATCAAACACAAAAATATCGGAAAAGTGTGCTGGAATTGCGGCAATTTTCAGAAAACGCGTCTCAGATTAGGCCACGCCCCTTTCTACACTTTTGGTCGCCGTGGGCCCCCGGCAACCGTGCTGCATACAATAAATAGTTGCCCGACTCACAGTCCTCTTGCCTATTTCTCCGACGGAGATGCGCATGCGAATGCCGTCGCTGCGTCCGCCGGCGCCGCCCTCATCCGATTCTCTGATCTTCTGCTCCAACGCCTTGAACTGCTCGATGCGTTCCGCGTAGTTCACAATGAACTTGTCCACCGGCACCTTGTACAGACTCGGCTCCGTCCCCAGATACCCGACGACGATGCGACCGTCGGCCGACAAAAGAGTGATCGTATTCTCGTAGGCTTTGCTGCAAATGGGTGGGGCGAAACGCTTTTCTCGGGAGGGGGGGGGACTCTGAAAAGACGTACTTGTAGGAGCAGACGCGGAGAGAGACGGGCGACATCTGCGCGTTGCAGTTCCACACGAGTTTGTTGTCGCGGAATACGAGCAGAGTGTCGTCGGTGGTGGCGATTATGAGACGGTTGAATTGCGTGTTGTCTGCAAAAACTCCTATTTGGGTACTGTGCCAGGGCCTTAAAAGTGATGTTTTTTTTGGCACGAAAGGGAGACTCACTGATCTGGAGACTCTTGTAGAGACACATGGACATTCCGACGGCCTCCAGTCTGATTTGCCACACGACTTCGCCGTTCTGATTGAACGCCGACACGTGGCGACGGCAGAGGATGATCGTGAGTGGGCGGAGTCCCTCGGTCACTTCCATCTCGATTGCCGTGTCGCCGAGGTTGAACGACCAGTCGAACTGGAAAAAAAGAGAAGATATTGTCGGTTTCAAAGTGTTATCAAACGGAAACGAAAGGAGAACGAGGCGTGCCACTTTCTCTTAAAGTCTCTCTCACAAGAGAAAGTTATTACCCCCCAACTTGGAAAATTCTGAAAAAATTCTCAAAAATCAGAAAAATTCTGAAAAGCACTCTCGATTTTTTTCAGAATTTTCCCGAATTTTTTGGATTTTCCAGAACGTTTCAAAGTGCTTTCGAAGTGCTTGTTTGACCCCCCATCATATTTGAATTTTCTTCCGCTTATCCGAAACTTGCTGAAAAAGTGAAAAAGCAAAAAAATTCGGCCAAATTCTGACCAAAAAAATTGAGCGTGCTATTCAGAATTTTTCAGATTTTTTCAGATTTTTCCAATTTGGGGGTTCCTTTGTCATGTACCCCCAAAAATCCTTAAAATTTTTCCAAGAATGCTATTTTTCAATTAACACTTCTTTTTTTGACAAAGCGTAACTTTGATCCCGTCAAAGTTAGGCAAACCTTTGTTTTCTTTAACTGACGAAACCTTTGCCCTACCAAAATTTCAAAAACTTCTGAAACGGCAAAAAAAAAGCGAAACGCACATTGACTCGCTTCTGTTTTCCGCTGCTCACAAGACTGAGTTTGATGGCGGCGAGGAATCCGTTGTTGGCGACGAAAAGGGTTTGAGTGGTGGAGCAGTAGCCGATGGGGCCCGGATGAAGAGCCCTGAGGGGCAGCTGTTCGAACACCCGCTGGTCGCCGTGGAACAACGACAGTTTGCAGTCGATCGACTGGACCAGAATGTCCTGCATGCCCTGCTCCGTGCCGATCAGACACATGTTCCACGCGGACGTCTGCAGAGAGTGCGAGAAGAGCTCTTCCAGAAGCGCCTCGCTGTCTTCCGCGTGCTCTGCAAATTTACTTTTCAGCGAGGGTACCGAAAGAAACACGGCTTTTCACTTGCCATATCGAACTTTATAGAAAATTAATTTTTTGGGCGACAAAACCGCCAAAATGTCTTTCAAATCGGTGAGAAAGTCGCCGAATGCCAGTTGCAAAACGGGATATTCTGTCTGCAGAGTGACCAGCACGTGGTTCTGAAATGAGAAAGTATTCTACAAAGCTTCTTCGTCAGGTACATTATTGTCTTTGAATCCCGGATCCAACACGATAATCTGACCATCTTCGCATCCGACTATCAGTTGATCTGAAATAGAAATGAATTTTTAGTCGATGGCAGTCTTCCGTGACCCATTTACAGGTCCCTCTCCAAAAATTGATTGCGGAGGGTCGTTCACCCGAATCTGGATTGCTACTGTAATTCGCAATCGCCTCAATCTGTGTACCCATTCCGTCCGTATTTAGCTATTATAGGGGCACCGGACAGAAAGGGCGCGCTATTGAGAAGAGCCCGCGAAAACCTGGGGGACTCTAAATTTGAATGGTGTGAGAAGAGAAAGTTAGTCCGCGGCCACGTAGGCTGCTGCAGAAATTTTTTGTTTTCCTTCTGTTTTTTCGTTTTTTTTAATAAATCGATTGTGTTCTCACCTTTTTCGTAGTGAATTTAATTAATTGTTTCTTTTTCATGTTCGAAATATGCGTTTCTAAACAGATTCAATCAACAGTTTGCGGAAAATAAGAGAAAACATTGACGACGTGCACCATTTTTCGACTGCGATAGCTTTTTATAGAAATTCTATACATGAAAAATAAAAAATTACTTAAATTCACTACGAAAAAGGTGAGAACACAATCGATTTATTAAAAAGACAACGAAAAACAGAAGGAAAACAAAAATTTCTGCAGCAGCCTACGTGGCCGCGGACTAACTTTCTCTTCTCACATCATTCAAATTTAGAGTCCCCCAGGTTTTCGCGGGCTCTTCTCAATAGCGCGCCCTTTCTGTCCGGTGCCCCTATAATAGAGAAGCTGTCGGAACCGATCCGGTGCGCCGGCAGATATGCATATGGCGCAGCCGACAGTTCGCGGGTTCCGCGCCCGGCTATACTTTGCGCGCAAAAAGAGCGTGGCCTAGCGATCCGGCGTTCAAAATTGGGAAAATGAGTGGTTTGTGTGCGTTTTTTTTTTTGAATAAAGTGTCGTTATGCATGCATTTTAACGATTTTTAAAGCATTTCCGCTGGATTTTCTAAACAAATACCTCTTTCCTGAAAAATAGAAGCGTTGAGAATGGCGGAAGCGGTCGGAATCGTCTGATTGACCCATTCAACCAATCGGAAAAGGGACATTTGAGCCGAGAATGAGAAGAAGAAAGCGTGTGCTCAAAAGAACCCGCACGCGAGCGGATCACCATGGCAACGGCAGAGAACGGAGACACCAGAGAGACGTTTATTCGGAAGAAATGGTCAAAAAAATAGAAATGCTACACAGCAAATACAAAAAACCCAGAAAAAGGCGGTGGGATTAGTCATAGCTTTGGAATGGAAAACTGAACGGCATTCGGGGCAGGCGGGCGGCTTCCGATCGATATCGATTACTTGCTCTTCTTCTTTTCCTCTCGTCGCTGACGGGACGATCGCAACTTTTCTTGTCTTTCGAGAGCCTGCTCGCGGAGTTTCACCAATGCGTACACTGAAAAGTTCATTCTTCAATAGGTGTCGAGCCTCAACTAGTTTTTTTTCATGTTTTTGGAATTGATATAAAAGATTTCAGATCGGCCATTTTCTAACTAATAACACTAAAAATTGCAGAAAAAAGAAACGCAATTGTTTTATATTTGCCTTGAAGGCATGAATCCAATTATTAGGCCCTTCTCGCTCCGACGCCCCACATTGAACTTTTGATCATTCTCCGACATGCCAAGTGACGAAAAATTGAAAATGAAGCCGGAGGTCTCGAATATTCCCGTTTTTACACGAATCCTTCGATTTTCAGCAAATCTTGAAAAATTCGGAAAAAGATGGAAATATTGTGGTGACCGAGGAGGTTTATGTCGTCGAAGCCGAGCAAAAACCGATCGAACGGAAAGAAACCGCTGTGATTTGTTGTGCGATTCTCTGAGAACTTTTTGTAATGAATCTTTTTCTCTTTTAATGTGCTGAAAATCCGGAATCGTCTTCTCCGCTTACCGACGATTCCGACGATGACGATGGCGGGAATGATAAAGACCGAGTTGTCGAACGACTGCGAATGCGGTCCGTTTCCTCCGAGCTCGACCATTTTGTCGTAGTGAGAATGAACCTACAATTATCCACAAATAGCACTCTAGAATCTGTCTGTCAAATAATCCGAACGTGTACGGTATCTTCTAGACCTAGAAAAACATTTTTTTGAGATTTCACCGAGAAAATCTTTATTTTCACGTGAAAATCCTTGAAAAAAGAGAAGAAAGTGTGGAAAATGTGTGTTTGTAGGGGAAAAGTGCGAGAATGGAGCGGAAAGAGTGTCCGGGAGGGGCGGACGCTCCCATTAAAACGTGTCTTCCGAAGACCGAAATGCCAACTTGGCGACACGTGACGCGACCGCAGCGCGTTCGACGAAACTCGTTTTCAACGAAAACTGCACATTTTCTCTCTTTTTTCGCATAGAATTCGGTTCAATTTTCGGATTTTAACATGTTTTTCACTCGCACTAATGTCTAAAAATGCCATTTTCCCCTGAAAATTGCTGTGATGTTATGGCTTTCTAATTTGAAGAAAAACACGGTGAGTTGTTTATTTATTAGAATTAAAATTTAGATAAAAATGGAAAGCTCGAAAAGTGAGGAATTTCTCAAGGCAATAATCGTGGATTTCCCGTAATTTGTTCTAGAAAATGTCGAAAAATCGGGGCTAGACAAGTGTGCTGAGATAGTTGTAGCAATCGTCGCGATAAACGTGTCCGTAGGAGAGTTTCGCCCAAAAATAAAGAGTTTTGACGGCGAAACAGACGGCTAAAAGGACCGCCGAAGAGCCGAGAGTAATGGCGACGCATTTGGAGGCCAAAGATCGCGACGGGTCGATCGAGCAAGTCAGCATCAGCACTGAAATTCCCAGATTTCCAGAAGACTAGCTGAATTTTACTCACCAATTACAAAAATGATGATAGAGGCGAACCAGAATGAGAAGGCGACGATTCGAAGGAAACTGGTCGATCGCACGTATTGTAGAGCTCTAAAAATATCAACATTTTGTTAAAGTAACCTTTTTCGGTCACTCACACATCTATATCGGTCGGTTGCGGAGTCTGTTTGACAATTTTGATGAGAAAAAGGAGTTGGAGGGCGGAAACGAAGAAGGCCACGACCGAAAGTACGACGATTGCCACGTCGAACGAGGCGATGACGTCGCGGATGACGTCCGGAACGCCGCGATGCGACGCGGAAGCCTTCGCGGACCGAAGAAAGCGGTCCGTGTTGGAAAAGTGGAATTGCAAGGCGACGACTGAGAAAAGCGCCGAGCAAACGGTCATGAACAGGAGAAGCAGCATGTTCCAGTGGATCTAAGCGGGATTTTTCTTTAAAAGTTTTTCTTAAAATGTTTCTAAAAACTAACCGCCTTCCTCTCCATTTTTCTATTTTCGTTGTTCAAATCGTTCACCGACGGCTGACTTTCACCGCCCGTTTTTCCGCCGCAAGAAACCGAGTATCGCATTGAAATTGGCGAGTTTTGGGCCTGAAAATTCTAATTTTCGTAAGATTTTTCGAGAGAAACGATTTTCACCATCGGTAAAAGAGCATCGTGCGCAAAAGTGCTCGGAATGTGCAATCCTCGGCGCGGTGTCGATGTCAGCACCATTTTATGATAGCTAAAATAAGAGAAAAATAGTTTTAAGGGAAGAATAGTGGTGGGTGAATAATATAAGTCTGACCCAAAAGTTGTTGTTACAATCAAAGGGAATCCGTCCGTTCGACGGGAGCAATCAACGAGCATTCCCGTCGGACTTTCGAGTGTAAACGAACGGGCGGACGGGACCACCTGGTGGTCCCGCATAATTCGGGAAAAAGTGAGTGGTGCCGAGCCGGACCACCACATGTGATGGCATTTTGTAAGGAAATACTTTATACAAAAAACACGGGAAAAATTGAGAGTTTTTCAACTTGAATTAAGAGAAGAGGTTCTCAATTTCGAAATTCACTTTTTGTAATTTAATCGTAAAGTACTCAGCACTCACATGTTTTTTTTAACTCGAAAAAAATCAAATTTTGTCTAGAGGGCCCGAAAAAATTGAATTTTGTCTAACTCGGCCTAAGAAACTCTATAAAATCCTAGGCCACGTTTGACAAAATGATTTTTTCGAGCCGAACAAGAACATTTTTTCAATTGTGCGGCATTCAAATACTATTGACAATTTATCGAAATTACAAAGTTGAATTCATCATTGAAATTGAAACTACTGAAAAAAATTCGGTTTCAAAAACATTTCTTCAACATTTGCGCATATCTTGTCACATTAAACCAACTGCAATATATATATATATATTTTAATAGTTGTAAAAACAATAACTTCGAAAAATTAGGTAAATTGATGGTCTCCATCATCGTAAAAGAGTGTAATAATGAACGGGTCCGTCCGGTTTCGGCGATCGATAATCGAACATTCCTTTGTTGGCACATTCATAATCCATCCCCCTTTTCTCTCTTCTTAGCGGTCATTCCTCTCTCTTCTCGTCCACCCGTTCACCTCATCGTTTTTATCCCCTTTTCCCCATTTTTCTCGAAAATTACCGAATTTTCTTGCAGAATCTCCGGATTTCAACCCATTTCAAGTGCAAAAAGGCCGGCCGAATTATGAGTGCAGGTAGGAAACCAAAATTACATAGTTTTTCAGATAGATTGTGGAATTTATGCGGAATTGGAGAAAAATGTTGTAAAAACCAGGGCTGGGCAATTGGCCTGGACTTTTGACCCCCCTGCAATGATGCGACCGGGCCAGGGCTGGGCAATTGGCCGGCCCTTGACCTGGACCTTTGAACCACGTGCAATATTCCGATCGGACCCAAACTTTGCAGGCTTCTAGGACATGGGTTGAAGCATACTGGGACCAAGTTTCAGCCCTATCGGATCATCAGGTCCCGAGATATGTGGATCATTGGCCGAAATTGGCCGGAAGCCCGGGCTTTTTGGAAAAAATCGGCTAATGATCCACATATCTCGGGACCCAACGATCCGATCGGGCTGGTACTTGGTCCCAATGGCCCTCAATCCAAGTCCAACAATCCTGCAAAGTTTGGGTCCGATCGGAATATTGCACGTGGTTCAAAAGTCTAATGGTCGACCAACGAAAAGCCCGGGCCGCCGGCCAATTGCCCAGCCCTGGACCGGGCCCAAACTTTGCAGGCTTCTCGGACTTGGATAAAAGTATACTGGGTCCAAGTTTCAGACCGATTGGATCATCGGGTCCCGAGATATGTGGATCATTGGCCGGAAGCCTGGGCTTTTACACCGAAAACCTTTAAAGAATAGTGAAAAAGTCCAAAAAGAGCAGCAAAATTCGAAAATCAAGGCGTTTTATTCATTTCGGAGAGACACTAGTTGTCGTCGACGTCGGGGCAGGGATTCATGGCGTCTTGTCCGGGTTGCGTTCCTCGTATTGCAACTCCTCCTTCTTCTTCGGAGCCTCATTCTTTCCTCCACAATACATCAGCGCGGCTGGCAGAACTGCCGTCGAAACGAGCTGCATCTTTTTTTTTGAAGGGAATGAGAGATGAAAAAAGAACTCACCAATATCCACCAGACATTTCGGCCACACGTGGACATTTCGGCCAACTGATTCACCACGCCAAAAGGATTAGAATTCCGCCTGTTTTTTGAGGGGAAAATCAGGTTTTCCTGAATTTCTCGAAAATTCCATCAAAAATTTCAGTTTTTGCACAAACATCTGAAAATAACAGTTCTCAAATGAGTCAGTTTTTGCAGAACAATACGGATATTATGGAGGCGGCGTCGCACCGCCCGTCTCCGCGTCGATTCCGCCTTCCGCGTCCGTTTACGGCGAGCAGAGACCCACTTTCTCCGAGGACGGAACCGGAGCCCCCTACACCACCATGCTCAATCTGTACGTATAAAGTGGCGAAGATAAAATAGTGCAAATTGAAAAAAAAAAGAAAAATAATTCTTGCAGCGTCGGAACATCGGCGATCAACAGCGATATCAGCTACGATACGTCGTCCAAGGACCCCCACATGATAAGGTAAAAAAAACAACTTTTTATCGAGAAAAATGCGGAAATGTACGTGTTTTGGAGGTCAGAATGGAATGGAGTAATGGGCAAAAAAGAACGGAATGAAAAGGTCGTGGGAAAGTAAACAAAATAGGGAAAAGAATGGCCATGAGACTGGCCTCGGCGGGGCTTTTTTGGAAGCGGTACCTCTTTCTTATTGTGGGCAAAATTTTGGATTTGTTTCCTCGATTATCCAATTCTTGTCATTCGATACTTTTGCAGAGCGCGTGTGTTCATCGGAAACATTGCCCGTGCGATCATCACTCGCGATGACATCATCGAACTGTTCCGTCCGTTCGGAAAAATTCTCGCCGTCAACTACTTTGCGGTTCGTTCCCCTCTTCTTTCTGTATTTTTTTTAGCTTTTTAAACCGAAAATGTATCGAGATATTCGTTTTGCGCTTTAAAGGACCAGGGAACCCAACAATTTTTTGATTTTTTTGTGAAATGTTTTTGTGACTGTTTGAATTTTCTCTTATTGCCTCATACACTGGTGAAATGCTGCCTCTCAAAAATGCCAATGAACGAAACGGCATGCAGTTGAAGTTGTGGCCGTGGCCTAACGCCAATGGCCGAAAAATATATAAAAATATATGCGCTTCTCGGCCATTTTATTTTTTCCGCTTTTTTACCGGTTTTTTTCCAAAAATTCACGGTTTCTCCCATTTTGGCACTTCATATCGACTGAATGAAAACAATTTTTTAGCAGTGAAAAAATAAGTAAGTGCCGAACAAATGTCAATCAACTGAAAAATGGGAGAAAACCGTGAATTTTTGGAAAAAAAACCGGTAAAAAAGCGGAAAAAATAAAATGGCCGAGAAGCGCATATATTTTTATATTTTTTTCAGCCATTGGCGCTAGGCCACGGCCACAACGTCAACTGCATGCCGTTTCGTTCATTGGCATTTTTGAGAGGCAGCATTTCACCAGTGTATGAGGCAATAAGAGACAATTCAAACAGTCACAAAAACATTTCACAAAAAATCAAAAAATTTTTGGGTTCCCTGGTCCTTTAAACGGCTACAGTGCCCGTATCGTCTGTCTCGTGGAATTTCCACCTAAAGTCGCCCAATTTTGCTCATTTTTCATCGTTAAAACGCCAATTTTTGCAGCAACAAGGCTTTGGATTCGTCCAATTCAACGAGGCGACGCACGCCGATCAATCATGTCTCCAACTGAACGGACGCACGTGGAAAGGATGCGCTCTCGGTGAGAAAAACTGAAAAATATGGAAATCTCCTTGAAAAACAAAAAACGCTTCGAAATGACGAGTCTGACGATTTTTTGGCTGTCAGCAATTATTTTTTCCAACTTTATTTCGATTTTTCAAAGGTTTATCCAGTATTTTCACTGACAGACCTCTTTTTCCAGATTTTCTTTCAGACAATCCTAATTGTTTGCCCAAATTCAGATGTGCACTTGGCCATGCTCGGATCGCTGAAAAAGCCGTCGGCCGGAGGAGGCGGGGCCAGCCAACCGGTCGTTCCGCCCGTCGTCCACCCGGTCGCCCCAGCGGCTTCCGTCGAAAATGCGCACAGGTTAACCAGAAATCAATTTTCCGTTTTTCGCTCTAATTTTTATGACTGTTTTTCATATTTTGATTCGTTTTGGGGAATTTTTCCGTTTTTTTGGCGAAGTTTTCACATAAAAAGTGCAGTTTCCAATATGGGAATCTAAATAGCTTTGTCAAAAAGTAACGCTCTTTAGCGTGTCCAAAAATTCAAACAATTCCCAAACGTTTCATAATTTTCCCAATTTTCAGCCAAAAACGGCCGTACGAGGAGGAGGAGTACGAGATTTTCAAGCAAAACAAGAAGAACAAGCACTTTGCGAATGGAGACAAGACCACCAATGACAATTTGGCGCCGAACGGTAAGAGCTGGGCACAAAAATGAGCGCAGGCAATGAGAATTGGCAAGAACAGTGCGGGACCATGTAGTTTTTTGGATTATTCGATCGAACCGGATAGTTCGAAGGCTCGATTTTTGCAAAAATTTTTGAAAAAAGCCTGTGTAGTTTGGGTCCGATCGGGAAAATGCAACTAGGCCAAAAGTCCAGGTCTCAAACGAACTCTAACTTTACACGATTATCAGTCTTGGTTTGGAGTATCTTCAGTGAGAATTTCAGTCCGATTGGATCATCTGATCAGGAGATCGAATGAAATGAAACCGAAAAGTCTGATGTTCACCGGAACTTCTACTTCAACTGAAATTCTCATTGAAGATACTCCAAACCAAGACTGATAAATGTGCAATAAGAAAGTCCAATTAGTTATCAAATCCATAAAAGGACCTCATTCAAATTGAACGCGAAATCCCAAAAAAAAAACCATATCAATTTTTTGCAGAGATGTGCGACACGATGGTGTGCGGTCATTGCCGTTTCGTGACGAGCGACTTTGAGGAGTTCAAGGATCACCGTATCGCCGGATGCGGAAAGTACAAGGATCCGGGTAGGAGCCCCTCCGAATTTATGGCCAACTCTCAAACGGAACCTATTTCAGAAGAGCCACGTCACCGCCTCAAGTGTGCCACGTGTCATCAACGTTTCCTCGGCGCATGGGGACTTTTGGAGCATCTCACCGAGTTCCACCGCATGCTTCTCTACAACGAGGAGCGTCTTTCGGTGAGAAAAATATATAGTTTTGGCCTTAAAAACGAAATTTTGCAGAGAGAAGAGCTGGACCGCCTACGTGGCAACGGTTCGACGCCTTCATCGCAAACTTCGGAGGTGGCTTCGACTTCGGCTGCTCCGAGAGCCGGCCCGCCTTCTGCTCCGCCGAGCCAATCCGCCAACTCGTCGCCTTCGCAGCACTTGAGCGCCACCGCCACTCCACAATATTGAAAACGATATCAAATATCGATGAATCTCTCTGTTTCTCCTTCTATTTGTTCCTACTTATTCTATAATTCCGCTTCAACTGTTGAAAAATCAAGTTAACGAAAAGTTTCATTTGAAAAAGAAAAACGAGACAGTTCACATTGCCAAATGTTCCAAAATGAGTAGACAAACACGGGCGTCCTCCACGGAACAATGCCCGTTTTCCGGGTTCTCGTGGATGCTCCGATTCAGAAATAGCATTGCGAGATTCCGGAGCGAGGACATGTTTCCGCCGGCGGAGGGCACCAGCACGCCCGTGTCGATCACCCGCGGATGCACCATACGGAGCACCTTGAGGTCGTTCGCGAGCCCGTGGCCGACCAGAATCGAAGTGTTGTTCACGAACAGAAACAGCGAGGCGCGCACCTGGAAAACGGACGAATTTATGGAGATTTTCGAAACTTTCAGCCGTCTGCTTGCCAAAACTAACAAAAACCGATTTTCAGGATTTAGACAGATTTCGAGCATTTTGCAAACACTGCTGACCTCCTCCAAGTGCCTGGCGCCGTCGAGATGATGTGCATGAACGCCTGAGAAGCGGGTGTTCAAATGGACGATCCGTCCCTCCGGCCGCACGTATTCGTCCATCAGCACTCTTCGTTTGTGGTCGATCAGAGACACGCGCGCCGCTTCGATTCCGTTCTCCGTGTTCACCATTTCGACGTCCAGGGCGAACACCTTGAAGATTATTGCTATACATAATGGAAAGGAAGGCTATTCTCAATCAATTAGCCGCCCTTGCCCATCGGTGTTTCTCAAGCCTACATTCTGAAATTTTGGCTAGACAGACGTCCCGACAGATTATTCAGAACATCATTCTGCAACGAAACATCCAGATTCTCTCGGGAAATTCCAAAAATTCACTAGCTATGCATGGGATTCACCGGAAGACTGTCACTGCAAACCTTTCGCCGCGAGACCCGCTCACCTTGTTCGAGCGAAAGTCGCCAGTGGAAGTGGGCGCGGGCGTCCTGACAAACTGTTCGAGCACACTTTCCGTCGGCTGTCTGTGCACGTGGAAGTCGTGTCGGACGCATCCCCTCGCGGTTCCGCACCTCTTTCCACAACACGCATGAAATGCGAGCCCATTGCGGACTTCCGGTTTTAACGGATGAAATTGACACGCATTCGGGTGCAACAGTTTTGATTTCCGGTTGAAGAGTCTCGAGCATCGCGTGCATTTTCGGGTGTCGTCTGGGGATGGACATATAGAATGCAATTCCATGAGATTGCAAGTGCACGGTCTTCAGAGCTGACAATATGGGCGTGGCCTCGGCGGCCAAATGGCGTTTTAATTCATGAATTGAGCACGTTTTTTCTGATTTTTGTGGTCAAAGACGATGAAAAATTATTGTTCAGCATGAAAACACACTAATTCTCAGAATTAATGACGCTTTGGCGCATTTTTCGCCGACTTTGCTTTTTCGCCTTCGCCGCCGATCGCCGCCTAAAAACCGCACTTCTCATTTTGCGCTTTCTTGACCGTTTTCCGACAGAATTGGTTTTGAGAATGATAAATCACGTAAATACAAGCATTTTGAGCGCTCGAACCGCGAAAACTACCGAAAAGCAACTGAAATTCACGCAGTTTTAGCCAAAAACCTTCAAGCGGATAAATGTGATTTGCGACTTGACCAAATTTGATGCTCTTGCGCTTAAAAAATTCGTAATGGCCTATACAATCGGTCTATCGTGAGACAAATGAGAAATTATCGATTTTTCGTGGCTAATCTTGCAAAAAACACAAATTTTGCTGTTAAAATTTTAATTTCGCGCCAATGTATCGCTCTATTGGGCGGGGCGCACTTGCGCGCCCATTTTCAGCTCTGGAGACCGTGGCAAGTGTACCGTGATCGGGCATGAATGCCAGTGAACTCCATTTATCCCTCTTGTACTCGGCCCTTCTCGAATGTTCGTTTTCAAAGTAAATGTACCCATTTTCCCTCTGTTCCTCTTCCGTCATCACAAATTCGCGAACGTCCGTGAACACTTTCTGCGATCCCATTTTCCGGAACAGTTTGACTATAAAACCAAAAGAAATGAAAGTTTAGTTGAAGTGCTTGAAGTTACCGTGCTCCATAGAACACTTTAAAGGCTTTTCACGCATCGAATGCTCCATCAATAACTTTGGACCTTTTCCAATTAATGAAAATCCGCAAAAACTCGCCTTTCCCAAATTGAACTGACTGTTCAAATACCATTTTTCTAGATAAGTAAATGATCCCCCCCAAGATAAATGCTTCACAATCAGACAAAAGTCCACATGTATTGGAGAGAAAAATAAATTAATTTGTGCACAATTTCAACAATTGATGAATTTTTTTGGGGAAAACGCGGGTCAACAATTGAGATTATCAAAAATGAGAAAGAGAGGGTAAAATTAGATGAGCAGTCGGTTTTTCGGTTCCTACGCCTCCGGATTGTACTCGTCCTCTCGATATTCGGCTGGCGCGTCTTCTGCAACAAAATCTTGTGGAAAATAGGAAAGAAATGCAGTAAATAGTACGTTGATAGTGTCCGACGGGCTGCTGATCGTACACAAAGTCCCCAATATCCTCTTCCTCTTGGGGCGGAGTCCGTGGTTCCGCGTACGGATTATATTCCTGGTAGTTCGAGGCGGGCTGCTGTTGGCTTTCTGCAAAAAATTGAGCTATTTCTAGGATGTTCACACTGTTTTTCCACTTTTTTCAGTGAGGAAAAACGCGCATTTTATCAAGAAAACCCTTCAAATTTCCTTCCCAAAACGAACCTTCTGGGTGGTGTTCCGTCTGTTCCTGATAATACTGAATCTGCTCTTCACTCGGCGCCTGATATTCCGGAGACTGCACTGTCGCCACTGCCGCCGTTTCGTGCTCCGGCTCTTCTGGGCCCGATTCCGAGGAGGAGGAGAGAGCCGGCGGGACAGCTACTCGGACCGGTGCTTGCGGGGCCGCCTGAGTAATCTGCGAGGCCTGAACTTTTGACCCAGTTGCAATGATGCGATAGAACCCAAACTTTGCAGGCTTCTTCGACTTGGATTGAAGGATTTTGGGTCCGCGTTATAGACCGATCGGATCATTTGGGCCGGAGATATAAGGGCCGAGTCCAAGAAGCCTTCAAAGTTTGGACCAGATCAGATAATTCCGACCATGTCAGAAGTTCAGGTCCCAAAACATTTAGAACAACTGTTAAATGTCAAGCGTACCGCATTGTGGTGTGGAGACTCGGCGCCAGTCTCGATGCCCGGAATCGTGTACACCTGGAGCAGTCCTTCGTCTCCGCCCGACAGTAAATGCCGTCCGGTCGGCGCGAAAGAGAGGGCACTCACCTGGAAATGGCAAAAAATGGGAGGGGATTACTGCTGTAGAGAACGTACGTTGAGAGTGTGATCGTTGGCGATTCGGATGATCGGAGTCGCCAGTTCGATGTGCCAGATGAAGATCTGAAAAGTGAGGTTTTCAGACCGCTCTCGACGATTAACGAACAATCCCTGATGAAAATGGGATAAACGACAATATTCTAATCTTGTGACAGAAAAATACCCTGCAATTCGAGCATTTTCATTTTGGATTCAATTTTCATCGAATTTTTCTAGTTTTTGACTCAAAATCCACAAAATCAAAGTGCAAGTGCGGAGTAATACGTGTTCTTCACAGAATAGGCTCCAAAAGTTCCCCTTTTCCATTTGGAAGTTAAATTTATTGTATTTGTCGAAGAAAATTCCGATATTTCTCCAAAAACGAACCTGCGCGGAGGCGGAAGAGCTGGCGAATCGAGTCCCGCCGGATCGCTCGTCGATTGTCAGTCCGGTGACGCCCGAATCGTGGGCCGAATAAATTCGGATCGCTTTCGTCGACCGAGTCGGATCCGCTTCGTTACTGCTGGAAAAATTGACAAGTCTTTTCTATGAATTCTCAAGTTTTCGTCATTTTTTTGTTTATTGTCTTAAACGACAAAAAAAAGATAAAACACGAACAAATCTGTGAGCGAGCTGAGCTTGATGAGCCGATCGTCGCACGCCGTCAAGAAGCGGTCGCCGTCGGGCAGAAATTCAATTTTGCGGATTCGCATCGAATGGACTGAAAGTGTAGTTTTCGGGAGGAAAAGCGGTCGATCAACTCACTCTCGTACTTGTGGTACGGTTTCAAAGTGTCCTCGTGCAGCAGGTCGATCGCGCCGTCCGTCTGCCCGATTGCAATGTACTTCGAGTTGCGACTCTGCAAACGGATACTTGCTAGGAAGGTGCTGCTCGCGAAAACGTACGTGCTGCATGCAAGTGATCGTTTTGACGCCCACCAACTGCTCCGTTCGCCGCTCCTTTCCCGTCGAATACTCAATGTCCTTCAGCACATTCGAACCGCTCGCTGAAGTCTTCTAGTTTTGTCTCAATTGGATACACGAGAACACTTGGTACGAGGGGGGTTCTCTACGCACTTATTTTCCAAAGAAAAGTGAAAAGTGTAGAGAGACTAGAGTACGACAGAACTATTTTTGAATGTTCCCGTTCAAAAACTGTGCTCACAAACGATATATCCGGTGACTGCGGGATGAATCGAGCAGAAGACGGCCTCCATGTACCCGAAATCAGTGGTTTTGTGCAGCACCTCCCGGTCCATTATGATCTCGTTCGACCGTCCGTCCATTGTCAACGCAAGAAGGTCTGCAATTTCTCGTTTCGAACATTCTAATGCAATTTCTAGCAAAGTTGCTCAAAACTGCTCACATTTTCCGTTTTGGCTGAGCTGACACGATTGGATCGGATGGCTCCAGTCGACCAATTTCAGTTTCATATCCACGTTTACATTGTTCGGATTGCGGCTCACCTCACTGAAAACTGACTGTTAGCACAGCTTTTCTGCAGATACATCTTCAAAAATCGGGGAAAAAAACTGACAAAACGCTTAGTTTGGTGGCCTCGTGGCTGATGGTGACCACTCCGATGGCGCCTCCGAAATGAAAACTCCAGACTCCGACGATCGCGCGCTCGTGGACTGCAATTTGAACATTTTAAAGATTTTACTGACAAAACGATTTACATTTTTCATATTTTCCAACCATTTGTGATTGCGGAACGTCTTCTTCGTCCATCATCGAATCGTTCGTCTGTTCCAGAAACAGAGTAAAAAATGGTAAGCAAAAACAGAAAAAGTAGAAAATCGGAATAAATTACCATAAAGCATAAAAAAGCAAGCAATTCAAATCAGATAAATATCCGCTTTTATTCACAGCAGTAACACGCGAAAGAATAGTCGGAAAAAGAGAAGTTATGCCCTAGAAATAACCCAAATCGTGGAAATTGTTTAGAAGAAAAAGAATATGTGTGTTTAGAACCATTTTTGGTCGGTTCTCCAGCAGGAAAGGAGGTCCTCGACGGCCGACTCTTCGTATCTTTCCACGACCGAACGGATGACTCCGCTCGCTTCCGACGGGTACGTCACCAGCGAGACATCTGCGAAAAAAAAGGTTTTTGATAGAATTTCTCTAATTTCCGCATACCTCCGTCCTTCTCGACGGTGTTCGGCTGCACAAAGAGTCTTCTCGGTTTGCGGCGTGCGATGCAGATGTCTCTCCATCGAAGTTCGGCCGCTCCGACGGCTCCGTACGACTCGAAAAGGCGTTTTCCGCCCTCGAAGTCGCCCGTCGACTTGTAGGCCTGCAGTTTTGCGAGAAACGCGTTCACCGCCGGGCGGCCCACCGAATCGATCAGCTCGCGGTTCAGTTTGAAGTGCAGGTCTGCAGAGAATGCGTTAAAACAAGAGGTTTTCAAGAAAAGGGCCCTACCGGGTTGACCGTCCTCGCCGACCGTTTCGCGGATCGACACGAATCCGTTGGCGGCCTCAAGCACCACTTTCGTGAGCACGAAACGGGCGTAGCAGTGCGCCTGTCCCCATTTTTTCTGCTCCGGTTGATAGAATTCGAGGGCGAGGAGGCCGGCGCGGATCTCCGATAACCAGTTCACGTACTTCACGTCCTGCGCCAACGCGCCAGTGTATCCGAAGATTCTGAACATTGAAAAATTATCGACTGCAATCTAGACATAATTTTGATGAAAACTCGGGAACATTAAAAATTATTTGAGCTGAAAGGCAAAAATGCGTACTCAAGAATGTCGGGATAGCAGCAGAGAACGTATCCGACGGCTTCCGCGCGGCACTCCTCGTACGCGGAAGCGAGCGGTCCGAATTTGGACGACCACGTCTCTCCCGGCTCATACCACGTGGCGATCTGCAAGTTTTGACGATTTTTGTGTAAGTTTAGGCAAGAAGATATAAGATTTCCCAGATGTTTGAATACCTTTCCGCCGGTGAGAATGTCCTTCACATTCTCCGCATCGAAATTGAACGTTCCGTCGGCGTTCTTCTGGAAGAGCTTTCCGGATCCGTGGCCGAGCAGTTCGTGCAGTCCGACTTGCACCTCGAAAGAGTCCTTGTGGTACTTGAACATCAGTTCCTCGTCGGCGTCGTCCAAAAAGTTCATTTTCTGTTTCGGTTGCGCCGAAATGACGTTTCCGAGCGAGACGTTCTTGAATCCCTCGTTCTGGCGGATGTCGTCGTAGTTGGGGATGTTGATTCCCGCCGGAATACCGCTCGATCCGAATGCGATCACGTCGAGGGCCGTGAAATCCGGCTTCAGGAAGGCGTCTTTCTCGTAGGCGGCGCCCCACGGCAATCTTTTGAGCAGCTCTTCCGCGTTCTGCACCAGCGCCTGGAATTTCTTCGACGTCTCCTTGTTCACTGCGGCCACGAATCCTGCAATTGCGCTTTTTTCACAGAAAAGCATGACTAAAAACGAGGGTTTTTCCTAGAATACCTTCGAATTCGGAGCGAGTTCCAGCCGGATCTCTGTAGTTTTCGATGAATCCGATGTAGCTCTCGACGGCCGGTCCGACGTCGCGGATCCAGAATCGGGATCCGTCCTTGTGCAGGTTTATGTCGCCCTTCTGGAAGTGCTCCACGTACTTCTCCAGCATCTTTTTCTGATTCTCGTTCGCCGCCACCGGAATCGCCTGCAAACTTGACGTCTTTTGAATAAGAACCATTTTCTGAAGGCTTTTCTAAAAAAAAGGCGAACCTTGTGGAGCCATTGCCAGGTTCTGAGCATGATTGGCGCATAGTCTCCTCGTTCGACCCGCACCGAATCTCCTTCGAAATCGACCGTTTCGCCCACATTTCCGCCTTCCGAAGAGGCCAATTTGACGATGAACGTCGTTTTTCCGTCGACGACTTGCTTGAAAAGTCGCGAATTCCACGATTCAATGTTTTTCGCCTTGAAGAATCGGTCAATCTTCTCCGCGTCGGCCTTTGTGACGTTCGAAGAGTGATAGCACGTGACTCCCTGAAAAATTCAAACTTTTCGAGCAGAAAACAATGTTATCGTTAAAATTCTTCTGAAAAGGCAACAATTTTACGATTTTTTCAGTCTTATCAGTTTTCTCTTATTTTTCTCCTGGTTTTTGCCGAAATTCCGCAATTTCCGTACGTTTTCGCCGAATCCGAGCTGCAATTGGTTCGGTTCGAGTGATCCGATCACACTTTGCACCGATTTCCACGTGTCAATCACTTTCGCGTCCCGTCCTGCCGCCGATTTCTCGAGGAGAGCACCGATTTTTGCCTGAAATCAGTTTTTTGTGAGACAAAAAAGCAGAGAAAAATGTCAAAAAATAGGTAGCATTCTTAGTAATAAAAGTCAACGAACCTGTTTGACTCCGGGCACAATTTTCGAGTCTCCGAATCCCTTGTAGTTGCCGGAATTCGAGAAGAAAGCGGCCGCGTAGACGACTAGCGCGGTCCATTCCTCTTCGGTGAACCCGACCGAAATTGCCTTTTCTGTAATTGAAATTTCGGTGAAATAATGAAATTTGTCAAAATCCAAAGCACGAACCCTTGATCTGTTCCACGTTTTCGGCGGAGAAAAGTTTGTAAAGCACGTAGAAAATGGGCGCGGATTCGGGAGAAACCTGCAGGAAAACGGCGAGCGCTCCGTCGAAAGAGGCCTTCGCGAGGAAGTGCGCGTACTTTCTCTCCTGCGGGCTCAGAGTCCGGAACGCGTCGGAGGCGTCGAGCTGGCAGACGGGCGTGTCATTTGGGATCACGAACAAGGAACGGTCGGGCGGCGCCATTTCGGACGGAAATCCAAGCAACTTGGAGGTGGAGAACGACCTGAATCGAGCAAAAATTGTGAGAAATTATCGGGGAGCTGAAACTCTGTTTTTATCAAATATTTCGAAATTCTCTTCAATTTTTCTCAAATATCAGAGTGAAACTCGATTTTAGAGTCAAAAACTGCCAAAAACCATGACAAACGGAGCTTTTTTAAATCCGGCTCGTCAAATCTGGCGCCGACGGTCCGCAAACACCGTGTATTTTTTTGCGGTCTAGACCCGAGAGATTACGCACAAACAAACGGCTGTTCGTTTGTTTATTTCCATAGTTTTTCCCGTTGTTTTTCGTGGTTTTTGATGCGTTCTTGCCGGCCGAACATCATTTTCGGCCCACAAATTATGTTTTTATTATTTTCAGATCGAAAAATGCTGCAGAACAGTGTCCGCTCGTTCGCCAAGCTCGTTCAGCCCGCTTCGGGGTTAGTTTTTGTTTATTTTCGGTGAAAGCAAAAATACGTGCAGATTGGCGGCGGTTCGCTCGAAGCACACTCTGCCGGACCTTCCGTACGATTATGCCGACCTGGAGCCGGTGATCAGCCACGAAATCATGCAACTTCACCATCAGAAGCACCACGCCACCTACGTGAACAATCTGAATCAGATTGAGGAGAAGTTGCACGAGGCTGTCTCCAAAGGTACGCATTTCCACTCATTTTCAGCAAGAATACACGTTTTTCTACGCGAAAAGTGCGAAGTTTCAGTAATTTCATCGAAAATCTAGAGAAAAGTGTGAAATTGTTCAGGAAACGTAAAGGAGGCGATCGCCCTGCAGCCGGCACTCAAATTCAACGGCGGCGGGCACATCAACCACTCGATCTTCTGGACTAATCTGTCGAAGGACGGCGGAGAGCCCTCCGCCGAGCTTCTGGCCGCCATCAAGGTGAAAATGGGAGGGAAACTATTGTTTTGTAGTGAAAATGACACAATTTACCGTTTCAAAAATGTTTGTCCAAGGTAAAATCGTGATATTTTGCATAATCGGATCATTTTATGGTTTGAAATGTAAAGGTTCGAGTGTGAAAATGTCTATTTGTTTGCAGAAAGACTTCGGTTCGCTGGACGCCCTGCAGAAGCAGCTGTCCGCGTCGACCATTGCGGTTCAGGGATCCGGCTGGGGCTGGCTGGGCTACTGCCCGAAGGGAAAGTCGCTGAAAGTGGCCGTCTGCGCCAACCAGGACCCTCTCGAGGCCACCACCGGCCTCATTCCGTTGTTCGGAATCGACGTCTGGGAGCACGCCTACTACCTTCAGTACAAGAATGTGCGCCCCGATTACGTCAACGCCATTTGGAAGGTTTGTATTTGGTGAAGAACTGTTCTGCATTTTCGTAGCATTTCAACGCTGTTTCAATTTTTGACGCTTAGAAAATCAGAAATCGTATTTTTTCAGATCGCCAACTGGAAGAACGTCAGCGAGCGCTTCGCCAAGGCCCAACAATAAATTCGATGAATTTGTACTTGTTTTCCGCGATTTTTTCAAATATTTTTATTTGAAAAGTCGAGTGTAGCACTAGAAAGTTGATTTGATTGCCTTTTTTGTAATTATTCTCCCCGTTTTCTTCTGAATATTTTCCGTAATCACACTGTACCTTTTCACCGAAAGTGCTCTCCGGAGCACCGTTTTGACTAGAAATAACTGACGATTCATTTCCTAAAGCCTGAACATTGCGTTGTAAATAGTCTTGCAAAAAAATGGGAAAATTGGAAAAAACCGAAAAATAGTGATAGAAGGTTTTGAGAATAATTGTTTTATTAGTAGAAATATTTGCTTTTGAACACGACCGATCAGTACATGTACCAGGAATTGGTGAGGTAAAAATTGAAAATTCGGGAAAAGTATTTTCACAAATTCCGTAGAGTATCCGTTATCGATGAGTGGTCCATGTGAATGCGACGTTCTTTCTGCAAACAAATATTTTTTGAAAGTTACAAAACCGATCAATTTCTCACGTGATAATGTGGTGGAACGAACGCCGATCGAGGGTGATGTTCCTGCTGAAAATCGCAGAAATTTTGCAAAAAATTCGAGGTTAAAACGAAACGTACGTTTCCGACGAACGGCAAAAAGCTGCTGTGATGGGAATGATCGGAAAATGTGCGGAGATCCGATTCGAGAAGGGCCGGCGCCTGAACAATTTAGTCTTGTGATTCTGACAGGGCGGGACAAAATGCCGGCCCAGGCTTTTTGACCCACTCGCAAGGACCCGATTGGACCTCAACTTTGCAGACTTTTTGGACTTGGATTAAAGTATATTGAGTCTAAGTGCCAAACCGATCGGATCATCTGGTCCCGAGATATGTGGATCGGAGGCCGAGAAGGCCGCAATTTTCGCAAAAACTCGGCCTGTATACCTCCGACTCAGATGATCCGATCGGACTGAAACTCGGACCCAACATACTTCAATCCAAGTCCAAGAAGTCTGCAAAGTTTGGGCCCGATTGGATCCTTGCAAGTGGGTCAAAAGTCTCGGCCTGTCAATGCTCACATCAACGAGCAACTGTGTGACTCCATCGACAGCCTTCCAGATATTATTGGGATCCGTTTGGAATCTGAAATTTGCAAAAATCATTTTCAAAGTAACGGTTTCAAAAATAGCGTACTTGGCCTCGGAAACGGCTGTCAAAGCGGTCAAAGTATTGTGAGAATGATGGGATGTGTGCGGCGGATTCTGGAAACAAACAAAGCAATTTTTGGGAGAAAAATGGCGGGAGCAGTGACAATTTTAGAAGAAAAACTGACAAGAACATAGGAAGAAGTGGATGGAAAAACGGGTTGCATCAGAGCCAATTCGAGTTCGGGAGCTCGCTGGAAATTAATGTTTTTTAAAGACTGTACTGTTTCCAAAAAAGTATTACCTGAACACATGGAACGACGATCGGGAAAATATTCTCCTCGATTTCGGTGGACACATTATTTTGCGAGTGCAATTCCATCAATTGCGATCCGGTAGAGGAGGAAGAAGAAGAAGTGACCGGAGGGGGAATATTCTGGTTCTGGATAATATCCAAGTGCGAACTGGCGGACGAAGAGGGCTCCAGGCTCGACGTGAACGTCACCGCACTTCGTTTGTACTTCTGCAATTGTATTTAAACAGAACATTTCTAGAGATCGAGAGATGAGCGCCGATTGGCTCCGCGACGGATACAAAATTGCGTACCCCAAGAACGTGACGTTTGTTCCCGCATCGCGCAAATCTCTGAGACAAAGTACTCACTTTGGGTCTGTTTCTGACTCGGAATTTGTTGAATTTGGCCACCTGCGAGGCTTCGTCTCTTTCTCTCGCTCGCTCCTCCTCCAGCAACTGCAAATCACATTTTTTTGCCGTTTCACTAATTCCTCAATTTTGACTGAAAAAATAAATTGTTGATGCAAAGGAAAGACAAACTTTATCGTCGGCCTTCTGGACGGTCATTGTGTTTTTCAGAAAGTCCCTGACGGTCATTCCCTCGCCTGTTTCCATTTTTTCGGGAGAAACCGATCGATTTCGGAGAGGCGGCGACGAGGAATTGCGGGATTCGTGGACGATCGGCACCGCGTAGACCGGCATCGGGTTCGTGATCGAGTGGTGCTGCGGAATCAGACAAATCGATTGTATTTGAGGCGGAAAAAGTTTGAAAAATCAGAATTCAGTAACATTCTAGAATCGCCCCCCACCAGTACATTTGGGGGACGATTTTAGACACCTAGGCAATGATTGAATACTCTTCTTTTACCAAGAATCTTTTAAAATTAAAGCTTGTTGTTACCTGATTTCCCATCTCATTTTCCTCCTCGTGATGCTGCTCTTCCAGCCGGTTTTCGTCATCTCGTGGACTGTTTTGACGCTGAAAAGTTATTTTACATTGACTGTTCATTTTTTCAGTTTTTCCAGCCAATTCTCACCAAATACTTCTCGATAATCAGTTCGTTGACACTCTGTTGCGCGCGAATAAAATTGTTGAGCGTCTCGCTCAAATCGTCGATTTTCTTCTCGAGTTCCGCCTGTTTTTCGTAGTGCGGCGCCATCAAATCGGCCCAAAATTCGCGTTTTCTGTCGTCCGTTCCCGGATTTTGCGGATTCAACATTTCCAGAATGTGTAGATGATTCTGCAATACATTTTTTTGTTTTTCAAAGATTTCTGCTGTAACTCACAGTCAACGAGGTCGGTTCTGTCACATAATTGGTCACGGGCGGCGGTGGTCCCGAGTTGAAGCCCATTTGATACTGAAATTATCGATTTTAATATGCAAATTATTACTTTCGGGCCAAAATGCACAACTCACTATCGATTTTTCGCCAATCGGAAAATTTAGCTGCGTATTCATCTCGAAAACCTGTAAGTCCGTCATTTTTTGGTCGATTTCGATTGTTTTGGTTCCGAAATTAATCGGTGTCGATTTACGATAAACAAGGCGCGGAGGCGGAGTGTCGTACTAAATATTTTAAGGGAATTGTTTGTTTAGCTGAAATTTTGCCTATTTTCAGCCTACATTGAGTCAGAAAAATGAAAAAATAGCCTGAAAAATTCACAAAGATAAAATGAAACGATAAGACTTGAAACCGGTGCTCGGAAACGAAAAAATCGTCATTCTTGTTTATTAAAAAGCTAACGGAGTCTGTCCGTTTCTTTCCTTCATTTCTCAACCGACAAAACCGAATCGCTCGCCCAGACTTCAGCATAAAATCAATAAGAAATAGTCTGAAAAAAAGAGCAACTTTATAAACTGAAAAGCAACAATTAGTAGGTTGGATGAATCTGGGCAGTATAGTCTAGACATAAAAATGCAAGCGGAAAACGTGCAAAATATCTTGTTTTTTTAGAATGATTTCTCATTGATTATTACAGAGAAATCACTGATAAACAATCGAAGACTTTCTCTTTTTGATAAAACTTCGTTTCGACGGTTGCACCATCGCCGCGTCTCGGCCGAAGAAGCTGATGAGTTGCGGGTGTAGTTTGAAGTGCAGCGGCTCGTCCTTCGGCTGCTCCAGAATCTCTCCGTCCAGGTTCCACACTCCCGGATCTTTCTGGTCCGCGTCCGGCTGGTACGACCATTTCGTCACGCGGTAGCAGTTGAGCGAGTTGTCCAGTTGAAGTAGCTAAACATTCAAGTTCTTTTTAAATAATGTTTCGCTTTTTGTTACCCCTTTTCCTCCGTACATGGCAACTTTTCGCATGAATTGCATGTTGTGGAAGCGGGAAATGCGCGGAACGAGCGCCAGATCGAGGGTTCCGTCGCCGATGCCCGTGAAGGGGGCCAGTCCGTGTGGGGTGAACGGAGTGACCGTCGGGATGACGCAGCAGATGACGTGCGTGAATTCGGCGTGCCAGTGGTAGCCATACTTGTCGTCACTGCAAAAGCATTCGTATTACTTTTGAGTGCACGTGCCTGATTCGACTTTCTTGAGAAACAGTAATTTTTTCTGTTATTCTCGAGTCTCACCGTCAGTTTTTTCATTTAAAACAGTTTGCGCTAATAGAAAAAAAAACTGTTTCAAAATGTTATGAAACGTATGATTATGAGTTACTTTCGAGTGTGTGCATAGCTCAAAGTGTACGCAATTTCTTATTTCGAAAAAATTCAAAAAGTGTCACCTGATTCTGTGCTAATTTGTTAACCGAGGAGAAAAATATTATTTTAATTTTTTCCTCTGTTTTAATGTTCACTTATTTTATTCGCCTATCAAATTTTTCTATAAAACTGTTCTGCAAAGCGTACCCCATCGGTTTCTGGCAAATCGGACACGGTTCGAGACACGGCGGCAACTGATCCTTGGGATTAACACTGTTTTTGTGGGACAGCGAGAATTGGATCATTCCGCGGTAGATCGGATGACGGATTGTCGTGCGGAGCGCTGAAAATTTTCGAATAATCTTTCAAAGTCCAAGTTTTCCTGCAAAACCGACCGCTCCACTGGTACCTGACCGGTCCGAGACATCGGTACTCTTCCGAGTCCCTGAGCACGTCGCCCAGCCATCCGTAGCTGATCGCGTTCGCCGAGATTCGCAGCAGTTTCTGGTGCTGATGGACGGTGCACACGTCCACGTTGCACTCCGATCCGATCGCGATGTGCACCGCCGACGTCGCGTGGTCGTTCGTCTCGTGCACCGTCGACACGATCGAGTTGGCCGAGCCGGCGCCGATGATTCCGAAGCGGATGTGCGGGGTGACGAGATGCGAAGTGTTCGGGTCGTCGATGTTGCGGCCGGCGTCCGTTTGGGTGCGGAGCAGGGCGCCCGAGAGCAGCTCGTTGAAAAGGCCGTCACCGCCCACGGAAACCTGCGAACAGTTGCATCCAATTATTAGATTTTGCACTATTTCAGTCCCCCTGCTTTCAGCCAATTACCGAGATATCGTGCACATTTCTCTTGATTTTCAAAATTTTTATGATCTTCTTCAAAATGGTAATTAGTTACTTTATAGAACATACATCCACATTGATCGACTTGCTCATCACATTTTACCAATTATCAAGGTTGAAACAGTAAATTTTCAAATTTCCCCCCCAACGAACCAGTCCGTCGATGGCGGTCCACTGCTCCGGAGCCATTTCGACGATCGAATCGCGTGCGTGGTTGGCTCTTTCCGTCAAAATCACTTTGTATCGGAGTCCGGGAGTCAGCCAGAAAAAGGCTTCCACCTTAACATATTTCCAAATTTATTCATTTTTTTAATCCCCCCAATTTGTTACATTGTCCTTGAAAATCTTCTGTGCTTTTCCCTTTCCTCCGAACGGATTAATGAAGATGATAATGTTCTTCGGTCGGTTTTTCACTCCTGAAATCACAAAATTGGCGTGGTAGGACGCTTTAAAACCGTACTTCTGAGGGTGGTGTCGATGAGCGAATGCCAGTAGTCTCGCTCGCTCGTCGTGTAAAAAACGACCGGAATCTGCTTGAGACGCCACTTTTTCTTGTCCTTTTTGAACACGAAATTGAAGTAGAGCGTTCTGTCCGAAGTGACCGGCTTCTGCAAAAAGCACTTTTCAAAACTTTTTCAAATTTGTTAGCTTACCGTCGGAATGATCGGAATTCCACTTTTGATTTTCAATGGGAAACACGTGGTCGAGAGAAGTTCGTCGAGACGGTACACGATCAGATGCTTCGACGAGCCACTGAAAACTCGAGGATCGATTTCACATGCGATAATTTTTTACAGTTTCGAGGCACTTTTTTGCAGATTATCAGCATATTTGAAATTATGTGAGATTTCTTCAATTTTTGACAAAAACCAACTCGAGGAGTCTGAATTCGAAGACGTTGTGGTCGCGGTCGAACACGATCCTGTGTTCCTTCGCGTGCGGAGACTGCACGTCCGCAATCAAATGCCCGCTTTCGCCCGAGATCCGACTGCGGGACGAGAACGCAACAGTGTCCACATTGTCGCCTTAAACCGCACTTTTAGAGAATATACTTTTATTTTAAAAGGTTTTTCTTACAATTTTTTTGAGAAATGAGAGAAATTGCTTAAATGACACGGGATTTCAAAGACTACGCGGCCGAACTCATCCAAATTTCTTGCGCAGCACACTCAGTCGCCTTTTTTTTAATTGAAATTTAAAACTTGGCTTGGCGCCAACCGCGTCGCAGCGCACGCGACGCGTGTGATTTCTATGGAGCTGTTAACGTAGTCTTTAGACCGTCGTGTAATGAATTAGAACTTCCGTTATTCAAAAAAAAACCAGTACTCATGGCATTTTTAAAAGTATTTCTTCTAATATTGCTTACCTTTTACGGGCTCGACAGGCACAATGGTCACGTGCTGCTGATTGCTGCTTTGTTTTGTCTTTCTCGTCATTTTCCGCTCTGCAAATTACTTTCTATTTCACACAGAAAAACAAACGAAAAGCGGCCTGAAAATAGGCGAAAAAGAGTGAAACGGAGAGAAGTTATTTCCGTTTTTCTCTGCGAGCGGAAATTTGAATTTCAAATTCATTGAATTGTTAATAAACCGCTGCTTTTTTTTTGCAAATTATTATTTATTATTGTCGTTGGCTGCAAAAAAAGCGAAGAAACTAACAAAACGTCAGCGAAAAACCATTTTCCCTTTTAAAATGCTAAAAAGCGTTGCGTTGTACTGCAACTTGTGCACAATCGGAATCCTCTCGAAAAAATAAACAGAAAACCACCGGGAGGGGCAAAAAAAAGCGAAAAAGCGGCGGGCAACTAGAAAAACAGTGTAAAAACTAGATGACGATCGGAGACGCAGACGGTCGGAGAATAAGAGGCGAATGGGAAACAAGCCGAGTTGTTGACGGTCGCGAAATGGAAATGGCAACAGAGAGGAAGTTGGAAGTGCGCTCCACTGACAATTTTGTGCTTTTCTCGTGAAATTTTTATATTTTTAGGCGCATAACAGAGCCTAAGAACGTTTCGCGCACATGGCCGAGTTTAGAGAGAGGAAATTCAAATTTCGATCTGGAAAACACGATTTTTTTCACAATTAGAAGTAAAAATGGCGACTGGCAATCTCAGTTTTCACCGACTATTCTATTTCTTTTATTAAAAGCTGTCTCAAAGTCGTTCTTTTAAACTAGATTGAACAGTCAAAAAGAAGGTCAAATCAATCGGTATTTTCATTCTATCACATTAGGCCGATTCGGCCGGTCGGATCGGTGTTTATTGTGGTTGAAAACCGGTCATTTCGGGTGTGTGTCATCAGTGACACAAAAAAGTAGGCATTTCCAATCGGTGAATCGACTTTTGCATTTGAAAATGCAAAAACAGAAGAGGAGGAAAAACACTATCTTTTCCGGCGTATTCCATTCTATTTTATTACGCATTTTCGAGCATAGACGGCCCGTTTTCCAGATGCTCGCGAGCCTCATGCGAGCAACGAACAAATGGCAAAAACAAGAGGAACATGCGAAAATGAGGGGGATAGTGAATTGTTTTTTAAAGTTTCCGCGCCAGACTATATATATAAATTTTAAATTTCTTCCGCCGTAGTTCGTCTTATATTTTTGTTTAAGAGAACAATGATAATTTAGAATTTGTTAGCCCCTTAGCAAATCTGTCTAATCCAATCGTACTTGCATAATCCGCGGATTGACATTCTCGAAAATAGCGAATTATACTTTTGTTCGAATAAAATCTGTCCTCGCGCACAATTTCTGTTCTTGCCCGCAGTTTGATCAGTGAATGTTCAAGCATCGGACACGCGTGTACCGTGTAATATTTTCTTCAGCGGCATCAATAACCACTTTTTCTCTGAAACCGGAAATATTCGTCTCTTTTTCGAGATGATGCGGGGCAGGTGCTTCTAAAAATAAAAGCTCATAAACATGCACTTTTAGGGCAAAAATGTTTTCTAGAAAGTGTCTGGACAGTTGAAAACAAAGCGTTGAGCCTGAGAATTGTTCTTGAAAACTTGCAATTATCGCTCCTGTTCGAGTGCGGTACACTGATGTGTTTTTCCGATTTCTGAATCCATTCAGCGAAAATAAAAGTTACTGCCGATTAAGTAAGCTTTCATTCTTTACGGAGATATTGTGAAAATGTGAATTGAAACTTTCACAAAGAATATTCCATAGCGGAACGGATATTCGTGTAATTAATTCGAAGACGCTACAACGAAACAGAACCGCTACGGAATGAAATCTAAAATTCCTGGGGATACCCACAATTTCGAATCAAATTTCTGAAATAGGGTGTGTTTCTAGATTTCGTTAAAATGAGACACTTCAGTCTAGCACCATGTTTCTTTCAAATCCCAAGACACGTTGTTCGCAAGTTGGAAGTGTTCGGATAAGCGTAACCTTTCGTTTTCTGATTAGTACAACTTCCGAAGCTTCTTCCCCTTCTCCTTCTAAAAGTTCACTTTCTCTCTCTCTCCGTCCCGTGATCATCACTTTCTTTCTCTCCTCCGAACCAGTTCCCCCTCTTTCTTTTTCACTCTCAGCCGAGTGACGTCATGTCTGCGCCCTCTTTACCCGAAACACTCTCTCGTCTCGCCCCTCTATCGATCGTTTGTCTCGCGCGTTTTCGGCCGTTTGTCGACTTCTAGCTGTCTCTCGTTTCTCTCCGTCTTTCGCTCTCTCGCTCTCCAAAAAAGCTCTATTTTTGTGTTTTCTTTATAATATTTTCTCTGTTTTCTCTCTTCTTCACCCCCGGCGCGCGGAGAGAAGAAGAAACAAAACAACGCTATTTCTATTATTACCATGAATTCTTTCACTTATTAGTCATTGCCGACAACAACATTTCGCACTGAACTTTCGGATGATAACAAAGTATTATCTATTCACCTTTTTATGCACCATTTTTCTGTTCTGACGTAAATAACTTTTGACTTGTGATTGCGATTGTCAACATGGTTTTTGCACTTGCACTAAAATTGAAACAATTGCACTTGCACTAAAATTGAAACAATTAAATTATTTTTAGGACTTTTTAAAAATACAAACAATTGTTTATTTTCTCGTAAGAACCTTACTCTTTCTGTACTCCTTTTCTTCAATTTCATTCGAATTCTTCCGAATTTGCAGAAAATGCGCGCATCGGACGAGGATCCTCCGCCGCCCACGCTCCTTCTCCTTCTCTCGCTTCCGTCCACTTCCACGTGTTCGCCCGATGCCACGTCATCCTCGATTTCGTTCCTTTCCATCGATTTCGACAAATTATCACTCGAACCGGAACTGCAAGAAGGCCGTTACGAGCTCCGACCGTCGCCGGGTCCCCAAACACTGCAGAGGATTACGGTAGGCGATTTGCGCACGATCCGACGCACAAATACACACTTTCAGCAGAATTCGATGCCGCCGACCGCGAGAATTGCTCAATTTTATCGGATTCCGGCTCACAAAAGCGGTCGATTTCAGCCGTACAATGTTCCGTTCCAACTCAGGTACGTTTTTCAATACAGCAATAGTTTGAAATTGCTGAAAATTGGGTTCTACCCGAATTTTCTGTGAAGACAGCCGGAAATCTCAAAAAGTTGCATTTTCAGACGGCGCCGAAAGAGCACAACGTCGGCGAGCACAAAGCAGACGGACATGGAGATTTTGCTGAAAATAAAGCTGAAAGGAGACGTCGATCCGTTGAAAATGTGCATATTTGACAAGTGAGTGACTTTTTAGAGTTGAAAGAGTGAAAAATGAACAATTCCACAAAACCCCTTAAAAAACGGACAGAGAACATTTCTAATTTTAGACCTATAAATGTCATGTTTTTGCAGAGACAAACTGGTGTCGACTCCGTGCAGTGTGCAGGCGAATCGGCGTCCCGAGCCGGCTCGAAACGAGGAAATCGACGAGCTCTCCGAATATTTCACTCATTTCGTCCGCGTCGAACTCAAAATGTCCGCCTTGGCCGAATCGATGTACGTCTGAGCGCCCAGGAAAGAAGCTCCGCCCCCTCCAGAATTCTATCGTACTCCTCCCTCGATATTCCCTTTTTTGCTCACCCATACTGTCGTCCATTCTGAACCACCACCACTCGAAACTGTTTTATCACTGACAAAATCTGATGCTTTTCTCTCTTTTTCTCTCTTGGCCGACGAGAAGAAAAAGAAGAAGAAAGTCTATGAACCAATATGAAATATGCGAAAATATATCGAAAAAAGAATGGGGGGGGGAAGAAAACATTTCGCCATGGGGCGAGAATTTTCCAGAGATCGCAAGCAGTTTTCAAGGTAATCATTTTGAAAACCATGGGGTGGGAAGTGATGTAAAAGATAGAATAAATTAAGGGAGTAAGTGACAATAAACTACAAAAGAACAAAGGGATTATTAGGAAGAAGACGTTTTCTTTCTGAATATTTTGGATGTCTAATCGGTCATCGGCTCTCCGCCGCTCGTCTCGCCGGCCCCAGAAGTCGGTCCTTCGTCGCCGTCCTCGTCTCCGTTCGCACCGCCCGTTCCGCTCTCCGCTCCCTCGTTCTCGTCGTCGTCGTTGTCCGGACTCTTGTCCGCCTGCAATAAATTAAATTTGATCAAAAAGTTGTATTACAGTTATATTTCTACCATCAAATTCGAATGAACAAAGAGAACATTTTATGTTTTTGGTAACAAACTGAATTTTTCTTCCAAATTTTCAAAAAGTGGGTAGTTCGCAGGGCTTTTGTGCCATTTACGATATTCCGATCGGATTCAGACTTTGCAAACTTGTTGGACTTGGACTCAAGTATCTTGGGTCAAAGTTTCAGACCGATCCGATTATCTTGCCCGGAAATATGTTGATTCGAAGCCGAAAATGCCGCAAGGAGAGTCTTGCGGTCTCTGATCCACATATCTCTGGATAAGATGATCGGATCGGTCCGCAACTCGAACCCAAGACTTATCAATCCAAGTCCACAAAGTCTGAATAGTTTGGTGCCGATCGGAGCAAGTGGTCCAATAGCCCAGGCCCGTTCGTCCGTACCTCCTCTCCTCGGGGAATGAGCCAAATCTTGCAGAAGGGGTTGTGCCCGGCGACAAACTCGAAGCGGTAGGTGTTCTTGCCGCGGAGGTGCTCGGCGGCCTCTTCCATGTACTCGTCGTGCACGTGGTCCCACTCGCTCTCAGTTGCGCAGCTCTTCCACCTCTGCGCAAACTTGAGGTACATCATGATCGGGTTGGCGCTCTGCTCGGCGACCGTCGCGTGGTGCACGTTCTTCGCGAGACCCGCGAACAGTTTGTCCATCGAGTGGAACAGAAGGCCTTCGCCGGGGAACAGCTGCTTGATCGTCTCCTCGAACGCCGAAAACTCCAGCGAGATGCTGCCGACCTGCTTCAGTTCCCGAATTGTCTGCTCGTAGTATTCGCCCGGCGACGTGCGCACGTTCTGCAATTATTGCGCTTATTTTGCAGCATCGTTTGCATTTTTTAAACTGCTTTCGTCAGAAAGTACGCAAACTAGAATTGTGAGAAAATCAGAGAAAAGTGGTAAAACTGACGCGAATATCATCGACGGCCTCGCGCCTTTCGATCAAATTCCTCTCGAGCACTTTCCGGCCTTTCATGTCCGCTCCGACCGATTTTGCCCACATTTCATGCTTCCTTTGATTGTCCTGCAACATATTCTTGTTTTGAAAAACTGTAGCCCTGGTATTTTTCTCACCAAACTCTCCTGACTGTAGACGGCCTGCGTGGCGAGGATCTTGGCGAACCGTTCGACGATGAGGTGGTGGAACCGAATGATCATGTAGACGTCGTCGTCGCCGAAGAACACCCTCTGCTCCCGTTTCGAGAGAGCCTCGTGGAACTTCTGTCTCATCGGAACCGCCGCATTCGCGAACGGAGTGGGCGAGGGCGAGGCGTCGGACGGAGATCCGAAGGGAACCACGCGGTCGCCCACGATCCGCCGGCTGTCGATTTTGAGCACTCGCAACAGTTCGGCGCATTCGTTCCTGAACAGTTTTTCACATTTTCTAGTATTTTTTTGCAATTCGTAGCCGAAAATGGGAAAACGCCGATGAATTTTTGAAACTTTTAGCTCATTCTCACAGTCAAAACTTGGGAATTACCATACACTTTTGAAACTTTGAAAAATTCAAGAAACTAAAAGAACGTACGAATCTCCGTTGAACTCGAGCCTCCGTCCGTTTTCAGTGTCGATGACGACGGTCTGAGCGGGCTGACACAACCAGTCCATGAGCACTCTGTAACTGTTATCAAGGGATCGACGGTCGTCGGGCAGCAAAAAGGGAAAGATACGCAATTATGTACAAAAATTTGAGTTAGCCGGTTCGGTCGGAACTTACCTGAAAAGGACGAGTTTCGCGCGGTCCTTCTCCGTTTTCGCGCCCGGAATCTCGTGGAAAAAGTGGCCGGTAACGTCGTTGACATCCCGATAAACGCGTGGTTCCGAACTGTACTCGAGCACCAAATGAGCCGACTTCTCGTCCGGATTTCTGCAAAACACATTGATTTTGCTGTAAAATTCTTGTAAAATCGCAAAAAATAAATAACAAAAAATAAGGACAAACTTTTTGATGCGCTCCTCATAGACCTGCTCGATTTGCTGCACCAACGGCTTCGACTTGAACGCCTTCAGATCGTAGTGCTTCTGCTGATTCGTCAAAGACACCGCCGCGTTCTGCAAATGACGGTCCATCGCGTCGCGCCAGAGTCTGAAAATTGATTGCACGTTTGTAGGTCTTCAGAAAACGGGCATACCGATTGGTTTCCTGCTGGAACTTGGACCACTCGGCGTCCTTCTGCTTGAGTCCGTCCAGAATAGTCCGGATGCCCAGCACGGGCTTCTTCTTCGCCGCTTCGATCAAATTCGTCGACGAGTTCGTGTACACCTTCGCCAGCACCCTCTTCATCGTCGACTCCGAACTGCAGTTCAGCGAATCGTCCAGTCTGTACATACACACAAATGATTATAAACACTGCTGAAATATTGCAAGTGTGCTTACTTGACATGTTTAATCTGCTCGTCACTCAGTTTCTCGAGTTCCCGCAACGTCTTTGACAACTGCTCGATGATGGTCCGATTCGAGTCGACGATGATATCGAGTTCGTAGCGTTCCTCTTCCGTCTTGCTGTGAAACTCCTCCAAATTCGACCTTTTCACCGCCTGACTGCCCGGATCTTCCGAAGACCACGATGGATACGACGTCCACGTGTCGTTCATCACCTGCAAATGATTTTTCATTCAATAATGGGCATAGGTGTTTTGAATTGGGCGCCGGCAGTCTGAGACAGGCGAGTGGGAGGGGTCTGGTTCGGAAAATAAATTTGGCAGCCGTAAGGCGTCAAGTTGTTCTAACTGTCTGAATTACTTCTATGGGCTATGTTCTTCTAGTTTTGTCTCAATTGGATACACTAGGACACTTGGTGCGAGCGCAAGAGTCGGAAATGTCCAGATTGCAGGAGTTAAGGGGCAGCAATCTGGACATTTCCGACTTTACTGTCACTGTAAGAGGGTGTCAGGTTGCTCCATTACTTACATTACATTGTTTTGACGTTTCTCAAAACAGCTTGCACCTATGAATATGGAATACAAATGAGCGAAAAATGAGGAGAACTCGTCTTGAAAATTCATATTCAAAATTTGTCAAAATTTGTCGAAAATTCTCGAGAAAGAACGTTTTCATGAGTATGGGACGTACCCCTTTGAGTTCGGGGCTCAATTCGACGCGTCCGGAGCAGTCCGTCTCGCGCGTGTCCTTCATCAGTCGATAACTCGGTCCCAGAGTGCAAACGGTCGCCGCCTCCACTTTTCGCGCATTCTGCAGCTGTTTCTGGTCGCGGAGCCCTCGTTTCGCGTGCTGCGGAGCCGGCAGATCGGTTTTCATCACTGCGTCCGCTGCAAATTTTGAAATTAAAAAAATTACTGGAAAAATACAGAAAACATGGAAAAAAACTGACGATCATTCTCGGGCCGTTCTTTTTTCAATCCGAGCATTCCGCGGAGCAAACCTTCAACCTCCGATCCCTGAACTCCCATTATTTTGGGCAATTCGTGACACATTTGCTCGGGCGAAACTTCCAGATTATTGTACATTCCAATCAATTTGATGATCTTGCTCATTTGAATCGGACTCACGCGCTCTTTTATCTGAAAAATGATTGTTTCTTGAAATCAGATAAAAATCCAAAAAACTGCATAGTTTTTCTAGAACTTTTCAGTAAAAAAGGGGCGTACGTGGTTCCAGATGATCATGGAATTTTTTTCGAGCACGACGATTTCCTCCTCCTCCTCCCGCTGCTCGTTCTCATTGTTTTCCTTCGTTTTCCTCTTCGCCGCGCCCGTTCTTTTCGTGATTCTCAGTTTGTCCGTCTGCAAATTCTTCTTCGATTTTAGCATTTTCCCGTCCGTTTCGCTCCGATTTGGTACCTTTTTGGAGCCCATTTGGAGCAGTTCCATGTATTCACGGAGAGAATCATCCGCTTTCGAGACGGATTCCGAATCGGACGCTCCTTCCGATTTCTTCGGCATTTTCCGCATCTGATCCAGGATTCGCTGCAAATTAATAGAGCTTGAGATGTGCGATATTTCTCGAATTTTTATCGGATTAAACAGAACCCACCTTAATGAATGGATCGCCGCCGAAAGAGATGGCCTGATTGAGGTGGGGCAGGAATTCGAGGATGGAAGCCAAAAGGCCCGGATCGCCGAGACAGACGGTGGCGAGCATCGACTTGAGGTGCTCGTAGGCCATCTCTTCCACAACCTTCGACACTTCCTCTTCTTCTTTCTCTTTCTCTCCTTCCTCTCCCTCTTCCATCGGCTCGGGAACGGGTTGCGGAGGCGGCGCCGGTCCCGGTTGGTTCGGATCCGTCTCCTCCGCTTCTTCGCTCTCTTTCTCCTTCGGCCGTTTGCCCAGAAAGTAGTAACTGACGTGGCCGATGTAGAAGTCGATGAAAGTGTTGAAAAGGACGAGCTGTTTCGGCGGACGGGCCACGAACGCCGCCGTGATTTTCTCCAGAACTTTCAGACTGTTCATTTGCAGCTTTTCCAGCCTCTCCTGCTAATTTTTCGATTATGGCGGTCAAATTGATGGTCTTTTTCAAAAACTCAGTTGATTCTTTGATTGTCTTATTGATAAAGTTACAAAACGACTTAAAGAACGATTTTTTGTAAAATTTTCGGGAAAAATCCCTCAAGCAGGTATCCAAACGGCTTTTTCGGGTAGCAGCCCCTCAGAAAAGAGTGCAAATTCGAGAAACTAAGCGAGAATAGCAAAAAATTATTCGAATGAATGTTCCCGTCCACGCCTGCTCACCAGTTCGTCCTCGTCCTCCTCGTCCTTTTCTTCTTCCTCTTCCTCTCTCGCCTTGATGACCTGCTCGACAATCTCCTCCGCTTCTTCTTCTTCCTCCACTTCCTCTTCTTCTTGCTCTTGCTCTACTCTCTCTTCCGGCTCCGACACTTCGCCCCCTTCCTGAATGCCCTCCATCCTCTCCGGCTCTTGCTCCATCTCCTCGTTCGATCCTTCTTCCTCTTCCTCCTCCTCCATTCTCTCCGCATCCCGCACGTCACCGTCGTTCGGATCGTTCGGATCCACCGGACGCGACGTCCGTCCGTTTTCGCGTTCCGCGGGCGTCGGCAGCACTCGTGGAAGGGAAGCGGGCGCCGTGAACACGTACTTCGAGTCGAGAGTCAGCGAGATCTGGTAGCCGGCCGGCAGGAACGTATTGAAGCCGAGCACGAGTTCCGGCTGCTCGTACAGAAGGTCCGCCACTTGTTCGATCACCTCCGGAGTGTCAATTCTGCAGACATTTTTGTATTATATTAAAACCAGGGCTGGAAAAAGGGCCCAAACTTTGCAGTCTTCGGGGACTTGGATTGAAGTAGTTTGAGACCAAGTTGAGGATGAAAACAATCCAAACCACGACTGATAATCGTGCAAAGTAAGGGCCCGCTCTGTTGAGAGACTGTTTGATCTCGCGACTGAGTTTGACGAAAAATGAAAAAGTTCGGCCACATTTCCAGTGAAAAAAAACTAAAAGCGACTTTGCAGCAGAAGAACGCGGCCAGATTAGGAACAGAGCGAGTGAGAAATGCCGCCATTATGTAATTTTCAGTTTTACCCCGGTAAATTACCCGACTGGGTACGATTCCTTTGAAAAGCGTATAATTTCAAGCAAACCGTCTCCTCACCTCTGTGCTCGAAAATTCTTCATAATCTCGAGAAACTTGTGATAAATGTCGACGCGCGAGTCGAACGAGCTCTTAATGACCCTCAGATAGGAGAGTGCCTCGTCAACTCGCGGCGGTCCCTCGACCACGTTGCTCTCCTGATTGGCGGTCCGTCCGGCCGCCCGTCTTCCGCCCCGTCCGCCACGTCCTCCTCCGCCGTTGCTTCCACCGCGTCTTCTTTGCTGCGCCTGACGTGGTCTCTGCTGCTCTCGTGGTGATGGCCCTACGACCGGAGGCGGAGCTTGAACCGGTGGGATCACCGGGGCCTGAAGAGCCTGAATCGGAACTTGCGCTGGAGGAGCCCGAGCTGGAATCTGAGCAGGAGCCGGTGGTGGAAGTGGAGCTGCCTGCGGAACTATCGGAACAGGAAACGCCACATTAGGATTTTCCGGCGGGAACTCCACGTCCATAGAACGAGGACGTTGCGGAGTGGCCACAACCGGAAGAATTGGAGCAATTTGTGGAGCCACCGGTTGGAAAAGGGGCGGAGCCGGTTCGATCTGCGGAGCCGGAGGAGCAATCACTGGGACGGCCATTTGCGGAAGAACGAGCTGGGGAGTGGGCGGATCCGACGGCGGCGGAACCATCGGAGGCGTCGGAATGATGGGCAGTTGCTGGAAGCGCCGTTGCAGAGCGGCTATCTCTTGCAGCTAAACGATAATTAATACTTGTTGGCGTTCTTACGCCATTTTTTCATCGAAAAAGTGCAACACTTTTAGCGAAATTTTAATTTGAGAATGATGAAAAAATTGTTTTTAAATCATGCACTTGGCACTTGACAATAACTGCGTTTTTCGGGCATGCCAGTTCGATTTTTGACGATAAATGCAGAATATCGTCGGTTTTGTTCCGTGAAAAAGTGCTATACTGACAACATTTTAGAAAATTCGATTTTCGCGCCAATCTCAAACTTATCGACTATTGAATCGAGCTCACTTGAAATTCACAAGCTAACAATTGAAAAACAACGTTCTCTTCGAAAAATTCGCCGCGAATTGAACGTGCTTCCATAAAATTTGGCATTTCTCAGGCCTTCAGTTGTTCCATCTAGTCATGGAACGTGATAGTGTTCTCTGAATACCTAAAGCTTCATTTTTCTGTGATGACAGTCTCTCTCAACAGTCGTTCGAGTCAGTTATGTTTCGCACAAAGGAAATAAGAAAATGCGCGTTGTTTGTTATTCCGCTTGTGTAAAACATGAAACAGTTCAGAAAAACTGCCTGCACAGAAAAATGAATGAAGCTTTCGGTATTCAGAATACGCGCACAGTTTTTCAGAGCGTTATCACATTTCATGATTTGGTGGAACAACTGAAGGCCTGAGAAATGTCGGGTTTTATCGAAGCAAGTATGATTTTTGACGAACTTTTCAAAGAGAGCTCCGTGATCTGCAATATTTAGCTTGTAAATTGCATTTTTTAAAAAAAATTTGAGGAGCATTAGGAACATGAATCCCCCATTCTAATTAGGGAATGGCCCGCACTTATCTTGGGCTTTTGGAATGCGACCTATATGATTCGAAAGAGAATTTCACGGAGAATCCGAATCTGCTCTCCATTTTTGCTGAAGAGCACTGCCTGGCGAAAAAATCTGCCTCATTTTCTAGCAAATTCAACTTCGGCGACCAGTATCTCAAGAACCACGTGTCCGTTGAGCGACAAGAAAACAGCGACGATAACTCGAAAACTAATTTTTAAATAGACGATCAACTACAAAGTTATTCACGAGATAATTTGCGTTAACTTACTAGTTGACCACTTTTGCAACGGACGCGTGGTTCTTGAGATACAGGTCGCCGAAGATGAACTTCTTAGAAAATGTGGCAGAAACAGGCAGATTTTCTCGCCAGCCAGTGCTCTTTAGCAAAAATGGAGAGCAGATTCGGATTCTCCGTGAAATTCCCTTTCGAATCATAACATATAGGTCCCATTCCAAAAGCCCAAGGTAAGTGCGGGCCATTCCCTAGTAAGCCTGTTTCAAAATATGTTGCTGTTGTAGTGCACGACATCCTGGCGCAAAAAGGCTCTATTTTCACGAAGCAAAACTTTCAAAAGTTCAAAAACGTGGATACTTGTTGTATTGTTACCTGTTGCATGAGCGCGGCGGGCAGATTGTGTGCCGGCTGCGGCAACTGCTGGCGCGGCGAGCCCATGGCCGCAGCCGCCAATGCGAGCTGCTGCGGGCTGATCTGCGGATGGAGCAAGCCGGCCGGCAGCCCGTTCTGCATCGCCTCCTCTTGCGCGATGAAGTTGCCGACGAGGTTGAGTTGGTGCATCGCAGGCGGAGCTCCGGCTCCGGCTCCTCCTCCTCCGCCTGCTCCGCTGTTGCTGTTGTTGATCATCTGAAGTTGAGCGTGTGCGTGGGTCTCGAGCTGCGCGTGAGCTCCGTGCTGGAGTTGCGCTTCAACTTGTTCCTGAGCCGCGAGCATCTCCGCGGCCACCTGAATCACATCGGGAGTCTGTTGCAAGTATTCGAGCGCGTTGCCAGTCTGCCCCATCTGCCGCCCGATAGTTCGCCGGAGCGCGTGAAAGCTCTCGATGATATTCGGATCGGACAGCAGAATTTGGCGGTACTCCCTTACGATGAGATCGCTCTGTTGCTGGCCGATGACCGCCGGCGTGTGTCGCTGTCCTTGCTGCAGTTGAAGTTGCTGCATCAGCTGCGATTGCAGCTGCGAATGCAGCTGATGCAGCTCGCTGTTGTTCTGGTACTCGTGCTGGGGCTGCCGCAAATCGAGCATCGCGTTCACGTATTGCGTGTTGATGCCCATCGCCTGCAGCGCGTTCGTCAGAGACAGGTTCGGCGGGATCGGCAGGTTCGCAGGAGGCGCACCACCACCCCCGGAGCCACCTCCCGAGCCGCTGCCCGAGCCACCGCCGCCTCTGTCGGGCGCACCGTTTCCGTTGTACATTATACTGCAAAATTTTATGAAAAGTGATTTAACGAATTTAGAACGGGTTTTCAAGAGTGTAAAAGTCTGGGAGGCGAATGTAAATTTCAAGAATGTAAATATCTGGGAAAAGTTGTACGCAAATTACGTTTTTCCTAGGCTTTTGATTGCTAATTTCAATGGAAAAAAGTGAAGTTTCGAGTGAAAAATCAGAAGTCTGTTTGAACGCTCTGAATAGAAGGATGCATTTCTTGGGAAAAATACTTTCGGAAAGTGCAACACTAAAACTTTTTTGACAAATTTCGAAGTTCGCCAGAAAATTAATGCAAAACTAGTTACACTTGTTCAAAAAATATTTCCGAATGAGTTTGACGCCGAAAAAATCAATTCTGGCTCGGAAGAACTGAAAAAGCAGAAAAATCCTTTTAAATCCAGCAATTTTTGCTGAAAGTCGATAGAATATTAGTTCTTCTTTCGATTCTACAAGTTTTACAGATATTCGATGAGAAAAATTAAAAGAAAACGGTCCAAAACCGATAAGGAGCACAAAAATAAAATCGAATGCGAGCGTGTGACCGAGTGCGAAATCTAGTCCGCGGCCACGTCACTTGACACGAAAATCGAGTTTATTGCATGCTTCAAAGGCTTTGAATAAATAATCAGATATGCAGAAAAGTATATCACCCGCTGGCATTGTATTTTACATGAAATCTTGGCGAAAAATGAACAGAAAATGGGTAAAATCGAGTAGAAAAGAAAGATCAAATTTCGATGAAAGGGTTCGCGGTCGATGGCTTCGAAGTGTCCAGGGGCATTTGTCGCGTCGGAATGCTCGTCTCGTACAACTTCTTGCCGTTTTTGTCGAAAAAGTCGAGAACGAGGGTCTCGTGGCCAAACTCTGCGTAGATTATGCCGCCTTTTCGGAAGCCGAGCTGCGAGACCGGCGACCACGAAATCCACGACTTTTCCGGGTAACTGAAGAGATTTTAAATGTAAAAAAGCGAAAAAACAAAAGGAAACTAACTTGAATTTGAGATTGTCTCTGCTGAATTCTTTGATGTGTTTCGTCGAGGAATCCGCCCGAGACGCGGCCCCAGAAACGACGTAATGAATCCGGTGGTCGGCGTTTCCGTTGAACACAAAGTGCTGAAATGACACGCACATTGTAACATTATTTTCAAAAGACTGGGGCGATTCAGTAGACCGTGCTGAATCGAAACGTGCTGTCAAAATTTGCAACTTTTGACGACACTCATTTTTTCTCATTTTAATTCCTTACAAACCTGCAGCGAGTGATCGTGTCCGGCGAAGTAGGCGTTGACGTTGAATCTCTTGAGAAGGGGGTCCAATCGCTGACGGAGACACTCTGTCGGACCGTGCGACGACATCGAATGGATCGGATAATGGCCGGACACTATCAAGTACTCAGCACTGCAAAAATACACTTTTCCTCCTCATCCTCAGAGTTTTTTTGCCGTTTCATGTCATCTTCCTATTTATGAACCGAATAAACAAGTGTTTGAAATCAAAAAAAAAGTTTCTCACTCGGAAACGTTCAACTGAGCCTCAATCCACGCCCACTGTTGCTCGGCGGCCGTCTCGTTGAGCGGACCCTTCGGATCGTGCGACTCGTTCCGCAGCATCTCGATGAATCCGGCGTTCTGGATGTCCTTCGTGTTGCCGCACAGCGAAATCGTGTCGATCATGAGGAAGTCGACGCGAGTGCCGTTGAACTCGACGGTCCGTTTGTAGTAGAGCGACGGGAAGTACCATTTGAGACTGTGCTTCGTGTACTCCACCTCCGCGCTCACGTTCCCGAAATGGTCGTGATTGCCGGCGATCGTCAGCCACGGCACTTGCAGACTCTCCGAGTCGTACACCGATTCGAAGCGCGTCTGGAAATGATGATTTTTTGAAAGTTTCGATAAAGTGAATTCAAAGCATTTACTACCATAAGAAAAATCTGAAAAAATTCAGGACGATACTATGCACTATGTATTATGGTACGCATTGGAGACTTTGTGTTTTGATCATAATTCATGAGTAGCCAAAACAGTGACGGTTTAAAAAAAGAGCATTTTCCCAAAGAACAAAGGATTGAGAGAAAAAACAAAGAAGAGGTGAGTCTCGAGATCCCAGATGACCATTTGGATATACGCGCGTATCCGCTCATACGTTTACGCCGAAAAAATGAGACTAACAACCATAAAACGTATTTTGGCGGTGCTCGGTAGATCACAAATAACAGTGGGTCTCGCAACGATTCGTCAAAACATATTGCTTTTAATTGCATGCGCCTTTAAAGTGAGTGCGCGCGACGCGGCCTTTTGGAAAGACTGCGGGCGAGGAGGAAAAAAGATTGGGCATGACGGCCGTGGGGGACTGGCTGGGTTGCGGTACTCGCGAGAGCATTCATGACCGGGTCAGGCACAGTTCGCACCTGTCACAGAGATCAAAGGGTGTTTAGGAGTGTTTGAGTGACAGGCGCATTCTCATAAACACACGTATTCATATTTTGCGGTCCTTCCGTTCTGCGATCCTTCCGTTCGGACGGACCATTCGGTCAGAACGATCCGACTTTTCTTTCCTCTGCCCAACCAATGTCTTCCCAAAGGCATAAACGGAGTGTCGTTCGAGACAGAAGTACATCAGAAACATTATTAGTGATCCCAGGGTCTACAAGTTGTTTTTATCCGGCACCGGGAAGCAGATCACTACTTCAACTAATTTACTTTTCAAAACAATGGATTTTTTCTCTCTGAATCTCTTGCTTTCAATCGTCTTCTGCTATAAAAACTGATTATTGTTCGAGAGAAATGCACGGAAACACGAGTTTCACTGCAATTTTGTTGTTGTGAAAGAAAAAGACAATATCGTCTGCTCGCCCGTTCATAATTGATGATTCACCCCAATATTGTCGCGTTCTCTCTCTCTCTCTCTCCACGTCAGCTTCTCACATATTTATGCAAACACAACTATACTTTTTCACTGCTTTCCACTTTGCCACCGCTACTTTTTGAATCATTTCTTGGAACTTGAATTCCACTATTCGAATCTTTAAGAGATGTGTGTTCTATCAAGTCAACCTCAAATCGGGGGTCGAATTCGTCGGTGGGTCCGGTGAAATAGATATTGTCGCCCATGTTGAGCACCATTTGGACGTCCTTTTCCGCCGCGATCAAAGCCATCGTTCGCTTCACTTCCCGTTGCGCCCACGTCGTTTCCAGTATCGGAATTCCTAAAGTGCTGCGTCTTTTTTTTTTGAGAAATTGCAACTCTCACAACTCGTACCATTAGCAACCGGGAAATTCGCAACCGCTACGCTTTGCAATCAATTCGGCATCCCGTACGTTATGCGTTAAAAGCATAGAGAATTCAAAGTTTTTGTTGTAGTAGCTGATCTAGACACGATAGATGTGCTTGATTTTGGAAGAGAAAGTGTCAGAATACATGAGAACAAGGGAGCATTTCTCGGCCGTAAGAGTTGCGAAACGTAGGAGTTGCAAAATGTAACAGTTGGGAATCGTTCGGTTGCGAAATGTTTGAAACATGTTGAAACAGAACTACTTTTCATTAAAATTCCAAATTTTACCTCCAGTGTCTCCGACCAATAAAACTCGGAAACTTTTTGCATTCCTCAACGGATCCAACATGATTCCCGTGTGAATTGTCACTTCGTCCGCCGATGAAATGTCTGAAACTTCAGAATATTTTTTTTGAAAATTAATTGCTCAAAAAGTGCACTAAAATGTTTGTTAGTATACACAAAAACAACTCGACAAAAAAAAGGTGAATTAGTAGAGACGACACCTAGATCCCGGACGAAAAACCAACTGGAAACGGCGACGAAAAAGATGAGAAAAAGGCCGACGGCGGCTCCGAAGCACACCATTTTCCGCATTTTTCGACGCGTTTGCACTCCGTTCTGCAAATTGAATATTTTAGAGAATTTAAAAAATTTCTATTAAAATAACAATCATCTTTCAATTAAACAACTGTTTTTAACCGAAAAACCCATAAAAACAAGGCGAATTCGTGCCAGAACTTCCGTGAAATGGCCGTAATTTTCGGTCGGGACCGATTGATTTCCATGCAACGGATTACTCTCTGATCCGAGTGAAACACGGTGCGAAAAACTGGATTTTTATGAGATTTTATGACGAAGAACACTAAAAAGTAGGGACTTTCGAGTGATGAACATTTTTGTGTACAATTTTGGCCGAAACGCTGAAAAAAAACTGATTTTTGAATGCTAATCGGCCCTTTTGTGCATATTCAAATACCTTATTGGTCAACTATGAGTCAGCAGAATTCAAACAGCCAAAAACAGGTTTTGTTAGCAAGATCTTTCAAATTGTTCGACTGAAACACGGAAAAAAACTTACGGGAAGATCGGGAAGAAATCGATCGATTGACGGACTTCGCCGGCCCATTTTCCGCTCCGATAATAGCATATTCGGGGACCCAAGTCGGGCTAAAATAATCGATTTTTTATGAGAAATGCAGGAAAATGTGTAAATTTTTAGAAAGAACTGGAAGATTTTAGTCAGATGTTCGCAAGAGATAAAAAAGCAGAGAAAAGGCCTAAAATGAGTGAGGAAATAAGAAAATTCCGTTTTTTCTCTCTCTCTGGGTCTCCCCCCAGACTTTGTTTGTTCTTGGCCGGGTTTGCGCGCCTCTTGGGCTTTCCGGTGTTTGCAGATCAAAATACTTAAATTTTACAAGTTTTTGGCCTAAAAGTAGACTTATTAGATGTTTTTCAGTAATTTAGTTTTACACATTGATCCTTGACACACTAAAAAAACGGCAAACTGGATAACGTCTGCTTTTTTTTCTGTTTTTTTGACGAACAGCTGTCAGCGAATGTGTTTTTTGTGCGATTTTCATTTTGACGCAAGTTGTGATAAAATTTGGCGAACTGGAGACGTTTTTTTTAAGAAAAAATACCGTCTGTAATGTTTACAGCAGAGAATGCGAAGACACGGATACGGTAGCTTTAAAGGCACAGACCTTTCTCTTTTTTTTTTCCTAAAACCGGTTTTATCTGAAAGTATGAAATGTTCAAAGAGAATGTTAACCAAAAGTGAAAAAATAGTTGTGAATCACATTAAAACTTTAATTTTTTGCAGTGTTCTAGCGAAGAATAGGGGGTTTCGAAGAGAAAAGGTACGGTAGCTTTAAAGGCGCATTATACCGAGAAGTTTAGCAAAATTCCACATTTTTCGAGATTTCCACAAGGTTTTCGCTTGTTTTCTGTTATTCGCTTTTCGCTAATTATCTGCAACTTCATTTAGCATCTAAATATCAACAAGTTTACACACAGACGGGTCCAGCCACGGAAATGAGATGTCAATTTAGAGTCTCGTGACGATTTCTGCCATTAAACGCATCCGCGATCGCATCTTTCCCGAAGGGCGCCGCCGCCAAAAAACCTTGCGAGAAAGTGTGCAAAAGTGAGAGGGTGCGAGAGAAAAAGGCAGAAAACATTGAAATGACGGGGACGACGACGACGAGGTTTCCGAACCGAGAAACACTCGGCAATCCATTTTTCTGTTGAGACTTTTGACACTTTTAGGGTTATTCCGTGAAATTGTTTCTGAAAATGAACGTCTCTCGATTCTCTGTTTTCTTTCGTGTTTTATGGAAAAAAGAGAAGAAGGCGAAAGATAATTGGAGCATGCATATCCGATGCAAATGACGTCATCTTAGGCGAGCTCATGAGCCAAGTGAGCACACTTTTCTCTTAAAATGTTGAATATGTTTGCTTTTTTCTATAATCCTGTTGTCTATTCTCTTAAAAATGAGATTGAGAAAGAAACTCACAATGTTAATGAAGCGTAGAAGTGTGTCGATCTCTTTTTTCACCCGGTTCGCATCAAACTTGCACAAACGTTTTCGTACCAGACTAGAATGTCTTAAATTTGTTTTATGGCTCACCGATGTTGACATCAAAATATTTTCCAACACGGACTTTCAATTTCCTCTCCGCTAACCCCATTTTGACTGCTTCAAAGTTCACATTTGTCCGTGCAAATCAGCCATTTTTCTGACTGATACGACCAAACACCAGAAATCGTTAGACGAGGCGAACGAAGAAGACGATAGTAATGTTGTAAGAAAGAATCGAACAAAAAGTCGGATGGGTTCGAACCTGATTTCGTCGCCCTCCAACCGATATATCTCTTGTTAATTTTCATTTTCATCATCATCACCATCACCAGTACGCGCCACGGATCATCGTCTCATTTCTTGCAGAGAGAGAGAGAGAGAGAGAGAGACTTCTTCTTCTTCTTCTTCTTTCCTCTCTCGCTTATCACTTTGTGTGTGCGAGTGTGTTATCAGTGCCCGATTTCCGATCGGAAATTTTTTTGTTTCGTCTTCCAATAATTTTTTGTTGTCCCCTCCCTTCTCCTTGACACGACGCATCGATTTTGGTGTGCGTCCGAGACAGTTGTTCTAGAAAAGTGGTACGGTAGTCACGATTGTCTGTAAGAACAGTGTTTGCACACAATACACTTGATCTGAGAAGAGTCTTTTCTTCGAAAATCCAACAGCATCCCTTTTTGTGTGGAGAGTTTAATTGGAGATTTCATTCGGCCGAGTCTAAATGCCACCTGCTCTTTTCCAACGCTCTAATTGAATATTAGATTATTGTTTTGTGCTCCAAAAGTTTTGAGTTGAGCACGAGAAAATGGAGGTTTGAGCACTCTTGGAAATGGAAAAATCTGACAACGTCCAAAGAAAGGCACACCGAAATAGAAGGGCGCTCCGATACCGTCCATTCAAGACGGTGTATCTCAGCTGCCGGTGGAGATATAAAGAAGATGTCAACTGACAAAATGTTCAAAATGTCTTTCTGCGCAATTGTTCAGTTGACAACTTTTTGGTGTCTCCACCGGCAGTTTAGATACATCGCTCTGAATAGACGGTACGTCAGTAGCTTGCAAATAATGATAATTTTTGGACCCAGTCGATGTCTGAGCGGGCAGTTCCTTTCTACGACAGTTACTGTTACTCTGTGATCGAACAAATACAGTTTCAATTCCAAAATAATGCGGCTGGGTCAGCTCTGTCCAAACTTTTTCATTGAGCGTGAACCTACAAACTCCAAAACTTCAGAGTCTCTTCCTGAATGGCCAAGTAGGACAATCGGACCAGTTTCCTCAAAGTAATCAACCAAAAACCCAAGTGTCCTTAGGTACGTGCAAAGTAAGATTCCGATTGGTCAATTGACAACACAGATTGTAGGATCAGGTTCATAAGCAGACAGAGTCCCTCTTTGAATCAATCGAATCCCTCCCTTGCCAGTCCTCACAGTCCCAATTAATTGCAGTCACTTTGTGCTCCTCGGCGCCCGCTCCTTCCTCTCGTTTCTCTCTCTCCCTCACTCTCTCGGCACTGACCCTTCCCGAGTCCGTCAATTTTTCATTCGCTCCCTCTCTCTCTCTCTCTCTCTCTTCGTTGCAAATGTGCTCCGTCGAAAGACTCTCTCTCTCTCTCTCTTTGTGATGCGCCTGCTCCCCTCCTTCCTGGCGCCCCCCATTTCTCCCCGTCTTGTCATGGATCCGAACTTCTTTTGAATTTTTGAATGAATTTTCATGTCAGATGTCATATGGCTTGGAAGAGACTCCTTTCAATTCTCAGAATAGCTCGCATTATCAGCTGTTTTCATTTCCGTCTGTATTGTTGACTTTGTTTCTAGAAACGTCAATTTCAATTTAAAAAGATTCCGGCTGGCTTGTCCTTGACTATTATCAATCTAACACAGCTTTTCTGACCTCAAAACACGCACCACTAATCGGCTCCTTCTCCCCCTCCATTTCCTTGAATCTCAATCACTCTTCCTTTCAACATTTTATTCGTTTTCTACTTTTTTCTTCCAATAAAAAGCATGTTTGCAGCATGTCCACGGCAGTGTTATCGGAGGATCGCAACGGATTTTCGGCGCGAGACGAACTTCCGGACTTCAAACTTGCCGAGAGCATGCGAGTTCCCTCCTTCGAGAGACTTCCCGTTAGTTTTTCTCTTTTTTTGGGGGCTTCTGTGTGATGCTGGACACTTGAGGTAGCCGTGAGAATCAGAAAATTTTTTCCAATTTTCCCGACATCTCCTGTTTTCTCTCTTCCTCATTCCCTTTTGGTTCACTTTACACTAGTTACAGTATCCATCTTGGCGCGCGAATTCAAATTCTTGATTCTCGGTGTATCCCCCCGTAACAATTCAAAATCTCGAGCCCCGATAGTTTTGGTGTACATACATCCAAACCTCCATTCGTTTCTGACCAGTGGCGGCGCCATGACAGGTGCTTCCATAAATCATTGGCGGCGAATGTGAGATGTCGTGGCGGCATACGGTATCTCTCTGTTTCTCTTCCTCTTCCGCCGCCGCCGCGCGACACTTCCGCGCGGACATTCTCTGCGCGGAAGAGTGCGACGAGAAGCCAGAGAGAGAGAGAGAGAGAGGTCAGCTGAGTGTGTGTGTGTGTGTGTGTGGTCTCTCTCTCTCTCTCTCTCTCTCTCTCTCTCTCTCTCTCTCTCTCTCTTCCACACTCCGGTCTGGCATCATCCGCTTCCGTGGCGAGCGTCTCTCACACCCACGCTCTCCCTCGCTCCTTCTCCCTCTTCTCGGTCATTCCGTCGTCGGCCTCCTCCTTTCGCTTCGCTTCGTTTCTCTCTTTCTCTTTCTCTCTCTCTCTCTCTCTCTCTTTCCTTACTATTATATTATATTGTTGCTTAGAGTATTCCCGCCCGAACTGTGTGTTAGTTTCGGTTCCGCCCAAAAACACCATCTTGTAGTAGAGAATGATCGGAGCCGCCCTCGAAAACCCGCCCGCAGTCAAATCGGCACTGGTGAGTTTTTGCCAACTTGGCGGCCTGCGAAATATCAAATGCCACGCGGGATTTATTATTGATTGAGTCGTTTCGAGAGAAGCTTCACGTGTTGCGAGTTGCTTTTTGGACAGGTTTTCGAGAATTCAACCTTCTGGTATTTCTAGCACTCTGAACTTTGACAGTACCAAACGGTTCATTAGAAGCTGAGAGACAGACACGTTAAAGTTTCGACGAATCTTAGCGTTCCGGCTTGAGACTCGGTTTCTCATCAAAAAAGTGTGTTTGTTAATAGTTACAATGAATCGAAGGCTTTTCAAAAGTTGCCACTATCGCTAGATCGCTCGCCACACTTTCTGAGCCATTAGATCCATAGAAATCGTTCAGTATCATCTATTTTCAAGAAATTTTATTTAGTTGGACTACTGATAGCACTCGACTCACCGAAATTTCCAATGTTTTCGGTTTTGAAAAAATTTCGCTCATGACGAATCTTGGCTTCATGCCAAACTGTTCCGAAATGTTGCCAAATGTGACCTTCACAGGAAATGAATGCGAAATGTTTACACTCGTTCTCGCCCCTCTCATTTTATTATTATACTTTACGGTTTACCCATCCGATCCGATAATAATAATAATAATCAAATGCGTTTTTGGTAACCTGATTTATGAATGAGTCGCTTACAAAAATGTGGCTCTATGAGTCTTTGAGCCCTCTCTTTCGCTTTCCATTTTCCATTTTCGATGGCCGAAATTAACATGTAAATGAATGGGCTCCTCGCGCACATTTGTGGCCGAATACGAAATGGACTTCGTGTGTGTCATTATTATTATCCGATTCGCAGAGCATTCATACACCAGAAAAAGTGAGAAAAAGGCTAAAACAAGTGAAGCAGATGTGAATTGATGACCGGCAAAACCGAATGATTTTCAGTCGCCCACGCCGAGGTACTTTGGCTCGTGCAAATGGTTCAACGTGTCGAAAGGCTACGGATTCGTGATCGACGACATCACGCGAGAGGACCTTTTCGTCCATCAAGTACGTCTCCAGAGATATTATCCATCTCCGTATGTTAGTGTCGTTTCAGTCGAACCTGAACATGCAAGGATTCCGGAGTCTGGACGAGGGCGAACGCGTCTCCTACTACATCCAGGAACGGGCGAACGGAAAAGGACGCGAGGCGTACGCAGTGAGTAAATTGAAATTGAGATGAAGCGAAACGCCCACTAACTAATACGACTTTTAAATAAACTAATTGTATTCGGGACATTGCATTCTGTTCTTCGGATTAATTGGATTCGGACCAACGGGAAGTCGAGGTGCGAGGGAAAGAAAGAGGAAAGAGCACGCGCTCGGCATGAGCTTATTAGGGAAACGTCCGAATGGAAATGCGAGCATTCTTGTCATTTTTGCAAAACGATGAGCATCGGGATCCAGTTGTTGTCAAAAAATGAATAAAAACGGTTGAAGCACGACAGAGCTGTTTGGAATTGTGTTTTGCTTTACCTTTACGGAATTCGAAACGCCAAAACAACAATGCTTTCGTAATCTGACAAGTAGAAAATCGATAGAAAATCGAAAAAACCGTTAATTGTTTTGGAAAAGCAAAACGCCCGTTTTTGAATGCTTTTTTTTTTTGCAAAAATGCAGATTTTTGGTGATTTTTGGTATAAAGTCTTTGCGGAAATGGAATTCTGTGCAGCTCGATACCTAACAATAAGTTAAAAGTTAACAAAACGCATCACGATTCAACGATTCTTCGTGATTGGCGTGCAAAGTGTGAAAAAGCCAGAAAAAAGAGGAGTGAATGAAATAAATTCGTGTTTTCAGGTATCGGGAGAAGTGGAAGGCCAGGGCCTGAAGGGCAGCCGAATCCATCCGCTCGGCCGCAAGAAGGCCGTCTCTCTGCGCTGTTTCCGATGCGGAAAGTTCGCGACGCACAAGGCGAAGAGCTGTCCGAACGTGAAGACGGACGCGAAAGTGTGCTACACGTGCGGCTCCGAAGAGCACGTGAGCTCGATCTGTCCGGAGCGTCGGCGGAAGCACCGTCCGGAGCAGGTGGCCGCGGAAGAGGCGGAGGCCGCCCGAGCAGCCGAACAAGCCGCCGGAGCCGACGACGACGACGACGAAGAGGATCAACGGGACGGAAATTCGCAATAAAATCGGGGACGAATCCGAGCATCTTTTGTGGATTTCCAGCCGACTCTAGCCTCGAATGTTTTTAGCCAAAATTACACTCTTTTTTTTCTAGTATTTATGTCAAAATTAGCTGAAATTTCACGGAATTTTCTCGAAAATTCTCCTCACCCACCTTTTTCTTCTTCTTCTTCTTCTTTTCTGCATGCTTTTCACATTTTTTTTTTGTCTACTACTACCACCCAAACTGCGCCCCGATTTTCTTTTCAAACCACTACCACATCTACCTCAAATCGCACTCTCAGGGATCCCCACCACTTTTATTGGAAATTTATATTGATTTTTGCGAAATTTGCCTGGAATTTTTGCGAACTGACGAGCGGATTTTCGCGCCCCGCAGCCCATTCTTTTCTCAGGAAATTTTTCGATTGTAACATGATTCCCATCCAGTTTTGGCGCGGAAATTTGCTTGAAAACATTTTTAAACGCATTTTTCTGTGCCCAGAACTCTATAAAATCACTCGAAAATCTCCCTCCGAAACTCACAAGTTTTTGCTTTTCGCTGAAATAAATCGAGGATTTGTTACTTGTTATTATCACATATTTTCAGAGAAAAAAGAGAAACAAATACGAAGAAATTAGCAATTTTTCAACTCCCGAGCCGTTTCGACGATCGATTGTTGCGTGGAAGCCAATGTGAGCAGCGTCTGCAAATTTTTAAACTTGTTTTTGAAAAATTGGCAAAACATTGGAAAAAGTGCTTATGTTCGTACCTGAATTGCGTTTTTCATCGTCTTACGCGCATCCTTGGCGGCCGTCGATTCGAGCACTCCGAACGGCCGAAATTGTCCGGAGTACGGCGATTTCTTCTTGTTTTCTTCAGAATCCACGTCTTCTGATTCGCCGGAATGCTTCTGCAAAATGTAAAATATTTTTGATCATGTTAGGACCAACGTTGGCCAACCTCTTCTTTTTTTGCCGAAATTCCAGTCTTTTTCAGTTCTTCCTGCAAAAATTGACTTTACAAATTAAGAAGAAATGCAGCTCACCGCCAATTTGTCTTCATCGTCTTCCTTGACCAACTGATACTTGCCGTCTTTGATTTCAACTCTGAAAACCATTAATTTTCACAATTTCCCCAGAAAAATCCCGAACCTGACGGACGGCTCCAATTCATGCGAATCGAACGAATTGACACTGAAAAGAGTGATTCCGTGCACCGCCCTGCAAAACAATTTAGTTTTCGATAAATTCCACAACAAATACGAACTCACTTTGCTTTGGAAACGCACAAACTTGCCAATTCGAGCTCTTTTCGGAGTTGACCGTGCAAAGTGACGAATTTATCCGTCAATTCCAGCTTTTCGAGGTACAATCGGTTTTTGTCGGCTATCGATTGATTTTTCATAGCGAACAAGTGACAAAAATGTTGAAAATTTCACAAGTTTCGATGATTTTTCGGTCGAGTATGACAGAAAACGACCAAAAATTAATGAAGCGTTGCAAGTGCGCTCCATTGAGAACATTTCTAAAACTTTTTTGTGCGGCGATTCGAATTTCGAGAAGGGTCTGGACGGTTTAGTTTTGATCGTAATGAACACATTCACTATGAAAATGAATAAGATGAATCAGTATTTCTCCGGCGGCACACATCAGAAATCTCGGAGCACGGAGCGCGGCGCGCTGTCCAAGCCTTGTTCTGTGCGCCAAAACTTCAGATGCGTGCCGCCGGACAAATACTGATTCTCTCTTCTCTGCGCTTCGAAAGAATATGTTTTTCTGCTTCCTCACTTCAAAAAAGGTTCATCATACAGCCTTCATTCGACTAAATTAGGTTTTCCGGATTAGTTAGGTCGTTCCGTAGTCGCCGACGACGACTGCTTGGGACACAAAACAACAACAAATAAATGGGACAGATTGCCCAACGGCTTGCACAAATCGAACAAGATTAACGGGGATATTAGCAAACAACAATAACACGCGATAGGTAAAAAGCGAAAAACTCGGCACAACTACTCTACTTCTAATTTATTCATCGTCGGAATCCTCAAAGTCCTCCAGTCCTCCACGGGTTCCCATCGTCGACTTTTTTTTTCTTCGAATCGAATGTATTGAAAAAAAAAGAAAATTACGGCTAAACTTCACTGACATTAGTGTTCTCCCGCGAAAAACGTATTACTTACAATTTTCATTCAAATTTAGCTCCAAAATTGTGATTTCTACCTACCTCCCTTTAAGTCGGGTTACGGTACCTTCAGCGTGGTGTTTTCCGAATTTTCTCCACCGCGCTAGGGTGGGGAAAGACCTTTTTCTAAGTTTTTCAACGAAAAAAACACTATTTATCTTATTCATTGTCATCTTCATTGTCATATTAAATGCGTTCATTATGCACGCATATAACATTTTGAGGCATTTTTGAAGAAAATGCTGTCTCCGCACTTCATCTGTGCAGCTATCGACGGGACCCGCGGGTTGAAGATTGAAGCCGTGAACTCTTGACGTCCCAACATCCACGTGTCCCAAAAGGTTCTCGGAAATTTCAGTTTCTGAGAAAATATTGTAGCGCGAGATTGAGATTGAGATTTGCAAGGTAAGAATAAAAAAAAGGACACTTTGCTAACGATCGATTTGCAGAAAGCAAGTAGTGAGACGAGAGATGAAGTCGAGATCGCGTACCCGATTGGAGCGCCGCGTCGGCCAGCTCATCATCTTTTACAAGCGCAAGAACGAAACGGTCGAGGAGGAAATGATCCGGGTGTCGGTGGAGCCGAGCGAAGGATCCGGCAAGATCGGTAGCCGCCGCGAGGACACCCTCCGCTCGTCGGCCAGCTCGCCGAGCCGCATCTCTTCGGAGCCCGACTTCCGCAAGGTCAAAATGGTGACGTCGGACGCGAATACGAAGGCGAAAGAGGAGCGGAAGCGGAGAAAGAAGAAGCAGCGGAAGGGGACGATCTACGTGTCGCGCAAGTGGAAACCCAGCGAACGGGAACGGACCAAGGGATCGGACGGAAAATGGATCGGGGAGGAGGGAATCGACGAGGAGACTCGGAAGATCCTCGACGATCTGCGGGTGCTGAACAGTCGCATCCGCAAAAGATTCGGAATCGGGCTGACGACGAGTACGGGCATGGCGAAGATCGGAACGAATGCGACGGAGACGGACGAGAGCGTCAGGTGAGATCCTTTTGGAAATTTGGTATGAAAGCTCATGAACTGTCACTGGTAAGAAATGTCTGGGAGTCGATCCTTGACGGTCCCAGACGGTCCTCCCTTACTATTCTTATTTCCAGTGCTTCCTTCGATTCGGACGACCAGGTGCTGACTGCGGAGGCCTATGACTGGCGTGGATGGTTAGTAGTTTCCCATCTGCCCTCCCGATCCAATCCAATCCAATCCTTTCAGTCGCCTGCTCAACCCGCTGGCCCTCACCCCATTCGCCGGCCACAGCGACGCCAAAAAGGCGCGTCGCAAGGAGGCGAAAGAGCGAGAGAAGCGCGGCGAACCGGCCTCCTCCCGGAGCATCTCGATGCTCGAGCAGCACGAAGAGACCGACTCGCCGAACCGTCCGCTCGTCCGCTTCAGCTCGAACACGCGCTTTCCGGGCGCCCGCTCGCCGGCCACCCGCCAAAGAGCCCGCCGACTTTTGCAAGTGTACGCCGAGTCGAGATGCTCGCGCAGCCTGAGACGCTCGAAGAGACGCGTGCGGAAGAGCAAGGAGACGGAGAGTTCGACGAGAAGCGAGAAGGTGCAGAACAAGAAGTACACGCCGTCCAACTCTGTCAGCGTCAAAGGCTTCGACCACAAAGGGATGTGAGTCAGAGTTGAGCGGAAGAACTCAGCGGAAGAATTTTTATTTTTTTTAGAACATTTTTTCATGAAATGTGATCAACTGACGAAATGTATAGCAAAGTGAACTCTGCTCATAGAAAAATAATTGTTAATTTAACTTTTCATACAAAAAAGTTATTCGAGTTGTTGCGTGAAAATGTCCTTCCGTCTTCCGTTAGCCCTCCCTTTTTTCACGGAACAACTCGAATAACTTTTTTGCATGATAAGCTAAATTTACAATTATTTTTCTATGAGCACAATTCACTTTGCTATACATTTTGTCAGTTGATCACATTTCATGAAAAAATTTTCTAAAAAAGATAAAAATTCGTCCGTGTTCTTCCGTTGAACTCTGATGTGAGTGGCCCTTTTCGACAGGCTAGCTCCCACTGATCTCTTGTTGCAGGCCTCTCTCGAACCCGATGGCAGTGACGCCGTTTCCGCGGGCCTGTTCGACCGGAACCCGTGACAGAGCCCGTAAGATGCTCGTGGCGTTTGCTCTGAAAGAGAGGGAGAAGGAGCGGGCCGCCCTGAAAGCCGCTGAAAGAAAGAAAGAAGAAGAAGAAGAAGAGGAAGAAGACTCTCCTTCGCTGAAACCGACTCGCTTCAGTTCGGACACTCGTTTCCCGGGCGCCCGTTCGCCGGCGAGCCGCGAGAAAGCGCGCGCCATGCTCCAACAGTGTCAGATTCCGAACGGATGTGATGAAGAGAAAGAGAAGGAGAAGGAGAAGAAGAAGACGCTGGAGACGTCGGGAAGCATGAAGACGATCTACTCGAAAAGGTTTGCTTGGCCCCGCTGCACTTTGCAAAATCTCTGGGGGTTTTCCAGCTCGAGCACTATTTCGAGCAACTCGTCGAGCAGCAACCGAGGGAAGAAGAAAAAGAAGAAGATGGTGGTGAAGGAGGGAGAGCGCGAGCAGTTTCACCGCGGAATCTCGGAGCTCCGCGAGCAAATGAAAAGACCGGAACGCTCGCGAAACACACCGAAAAAGAAGTCGTCCGGGTACGATGTGACGCAGAGCCATTCGGACGAATCCGACTGATGTTATTGTGTTGTATTGTAGAGGTTTTTAATAGAAGAAGCCTTGATTCGAACCGTTTATTCGTGAGAGAAATGACAATTTTCCGTTGTATTGTTCGGAAAGTAGTCGGGTGGATCGTCCGGATTGGATGAGATTGAATATGTACAGAAAGGGGTGTGCGAATCGGCTAGAGGTCCTTGGAGACGGTGACCATGACGACGCCGACGAGGGTGAATGCGTAGGCGATGGCCAGAAGGATCAGGTTCCGTTTGCCCTGGAAGCAGAGAAAGTTGGATATTGTAGGAGAGTGGAGGTATTCGGGTTGTTCTGCACTAATTCACAATACTGTCCCCTACTGTTTGGAACACTGTCAAACCTCGGAATGAACCATAGCTTGACCGTAAATACTGTACCAGTACGGCTACTGGTCATTCAAGCCGCTACATCTCAGCTGCCGGTAGAGGTATCAAAAAGTTGTCGACTGATAAAATGTGCAAAATGTCTTAATGATTATTTTGCTGGTTGACAACTTTTTGATATCTTGTCATACAGCTGAGATACGGCGTCTTGAAGCTATGGTTCAATTCCAAGGTTTGAAAGTGTCCTAAACTTTGAGAGTTTTTGGATTACTGAAGCCGCCATGTACCCAAAACATTTACATAACTTTGCATAACCCCGCCACTTACCGTAATCTCCTTGAAGTACAGCACACTCCACGCACTGACAACGAGTCCGGGTGCGAACGAACAAATCGGATAGGCGATTGTTTGCGAGAGCTTCTCGTTTCCAATAAAGAAGCCGCCCATTCCGACGGCGAACAAAAGGCCCGCCAGAAGGGAAGGAAGCACGAGGAACGGAGGCAGCGACGGGTTGTTGCGTCTGGAATGGGTAGCGGTTATTCGAGGTGCAGTATCTCAATTGTATGCGGAGATATTGAAAATCAGTCAACTGAGAAATTGTTCAAAATGAAATTGTGTACATTTTGTCAGTTGACAGATTTTTGATATCTCTCCTGGCAGCTGAGATATACAGTCTCGAATGAGAACACTTACTTGATACCCGAATAGATGGCCAGAACGAGTGTGGAAGTGGGCATAATGCCGGAGAAGAACGAGAAAAGGTAGGGCAGTCCTTCGGTCGGGGCGCCCGGATACAAATCGGGTCGATTTTGGATGAAAGTGACCGGAGTGCACATGGATCCGTAGAAGAATCCGCTGAAGATTGCGGCGATGAGGCAACTGAAAGTGTCCGTTGACATATTGAATTTTAGAAACGTCTCTTTGAGGATTACATGATTCTGATTTGGGGGGAAACATGATGTGGAGCCAGCTGGTTGTCCGCCGATTCCGTCGTCGCCAACGTGATCACACTTTTCTCGGACGGCAGTTGAGAAGCGAACCGCTCCGCGTTCTTCGGCGTGTACACGTGGCTTTTGATGAAAAGGAAGAAGGAACTGCCGACGACGAGGACCAGCACGCCCGCGTAATTGAGAAGGACGGAGCCAGGAACGCCCTGCGGCACGCCGAACAGTCCGAAACGGGAGGTCGCCCAGCCGGTCAGACACGACACTGTGTTCCAGACCAAAATGGGCACCGCCAGTCCCAAACGGTTCATGATCAGGAAGGCGAACGAGTTGGCTGCAAGTGCCACCGTCTCCAGGAGCTGACAATATTGGCGTGGCCTCGGCGGCCAAATGGCGTTTTAATTCATGAATTGAGCACGTTTTCTCTGATTTTGGTGGTCAAAGGCGATGAAAAATGATTGTTCGGCATGAAAACACACTAATTCTCAGAATTAATGATGTTTTGGCGCATTTTTCGGCGGACTTTGCTTTTTCGCCTTCGCCGCCGATCGCCGCCTAAAAACCGCACTTCTCATTTTGCGCTTTCTTTTTCAGACAGAATTGGTTTTGAGAATGATAAATCACGTAAATACAAGCATTTTGAGCGCTCGAACCGCGAAAATTACCGAAAAGCAACTGAAATTCACGCAGTTTTTGCCAAAAACATTCAAACGGATAAATGTGATTTGCGACTTGACCAAATTTGACGCTCTATCGCTTAAAAAATTCGTAATAGCCTATACAATCGGTCTATCGAGAGACAAATGAGAAATTATCGATTTTTCGTGGCTAATCTGGCAAAAAATACAAAATTTGCTGTTAAAATTTGAATTTCGCGCCAATGTATCGCTCTATTGAGCGGGGCGCACTTGCGCGCCCATTGTCAGCTCAGGAGACCGTGAAGTGGACAACAACTGAGAGAGGGGTTCGATCGGTCCGTACCTGTACACCAGAGCGCACCGCCGAGCATCGCCAGCGGGTAAATCGGAGGGAAACCGAGCACCGCGTGGATCGCCAGACTGACACAGAAACCGCCGAGGCTCATGAAGAATTGGACCATGAAGCCTGAAAAAGTAGGGATGAACGGAAATTTTGCAACCAGATCTAATAGTTTCAAATGTGCATTATTTTCTCGCTCAACAAAGCAACAACTGGTTGCAAAGTGTCCCTCCTCCCGTCTTCCGAACTCACCATCACTGGCCGGGAAGCGTTTGATGGGCGCGAACACAGATCCCAACGTGAAAGTGGCCGTCAGACACGCCAAAACGCCGACAATCATCGTGCAACTGAAAGCGACCGAAAATGCACTCAAAACGCGCTTAAATAGAGAATGGATTAACTGACGGGGACTACGGTCAAAATATTCCGGAAGGCAATTTGCATAAGACGAACTGGAAAAAGGTTCTCTGGTGTCGGAGTGAATGTTTTTGAGGGAAGTTCTAAAGATTAGCAATACCAACTGGAAAGGTTCGAGTGATTTTTATAGCGGAAGTGTGATTTATGAAAGTAGACATACGGTAGATGATGTAAAGGGGGATAATCGCAGAGAGTAGAGAACGAAAAAGAGGAGACCATACGCACCGTTTTTTAAAAGTAATGTATCTCAAGTGTCTGTGAACATATCAAAAAGTTGTCAACTGAGAAAATGTGCACAATTTTATTCTCAACATTTCATTAGCTGACACCTTTTTGATACCTCCACTGCAAATTGAGATGTGCCGTCTTGAATGAACGGTACTGTTTCATAACTCTTTCTCGACACAGTTCCGCGCGCCGAAACTGTTTTTCCATTCCTCTTTTATCCGATTCGATCGGATCTTTTCGTTCTTTGCTTCCATTCTCAAGAAACGCTGACAAATTCCTTCGAATCAATCTCTTTCCTGTCAAATATTGTCCATGTTGTTTTCCTCAACACTATGTACAGTATCCAAAGTCTCAAAGTTCACATGGGCGCTCTAAAAACACACTGTTTTCCAGAGAACTATCAGAGTACAGTAACCGATTTTCATTTTCCAATGTGTTCTTTGTGATCTTGAAAGTTCAGAGTCAGACGCCCAATTATTGTCGCTCCAATCCGATTCGGATCATCGAAAAACGCAGCCAGCCAAAGCCGTTCTTTTTCTATTTTTAACTCGAGATCGTTGTGTTTTTTCAGTGAATCATGATGTCACGCACATTGTTCTGAAAGGTGTCTGACTATTGGAAATGAATGATCAATGCCACGAGTTTGATCTTTTACAAGGAAGTGAGGACATTCAATGGGATGTAACTCGGCTGTCTGCGGAGATATCAAAAAGATGTCAATTGTTGAAATGTGCACAATTTTGTAGTGAACAAGTTGTTAGTTGTCAACTTTTTGATAACTCTACAGACAGCTGAGATAAAAGTGCTGCCCTATATTCTCCCCGGAACTCTTCGTCCTTCACTGCTCGAGACGAACGGGAGACTTGAGCCTCGAGTTTTTGGTATCAAAAACTTTATTCATAATCTCACCATCACTTCCTAAAGATCTTGGCCCAAAGACATTCGATTCCGCATCCACTGACGCCTTTTATCTTTCCGAGTGCGTAGCCCGTGCGGTTCTAAACTCAAATTTAGTAATTGAAAGCATAGAAATGGACGGATCTCTGGTTAGAGGTGAATTCGACGGTTTTTGGGTAGTGTAGTCCGAGTGGGCAATGGCCATGCCAGTCAGGTTTCCGAGCAGATCACGGTCACTATGAAGCGCGTCTGGAACATGAAAATGCGGAAATATATTGTTTTAAGTGTGGAAGTGACTCACGAAACTTCCAGAATCTCTTTGAGATCTCAAAGATCGCGAGCTTCAACGTCTCGTTCACTTGCTTCCGACCATTCCATTACGAAATCTCACAAAGAGCTCCTGAATAAAAAGAAGAAGTGGAAAGAATGAAAAAGAGAGTGGGAGTTGGGGGAACGGAATGGGAACGGAGAAAAGGAATCGGATGTCTACAACTTTAGGGACGGCGAATGTAAAATGTCAAGCGTTATAAAGGTACCAGGTCCTCCGATTTGAGACGTTGAAAAGAACATAAGAGGAATGGGTACCGCACCTTTATTGCCCATCTCTCTGTGTGTTTGTATATTGTGTGCCGCACCGCGGACCGACCAGTTATCGATCATAAAACGTTGATTAACCGCACCGTCCCGACCAGAGTTGAGCGAAATTCCGCCTTCCGCCTTCCGTCTTCCGCTTTTCGCCTTCCACCAAAAAATTTAAATTCCGCCTCCCACGGAACCCCAGCATTCCAATGCGCAAGCAAGTTGTCAATGGGGCGCGCTTGCATCCACCGTCGGCTCGGAGTTTCTTTTTTCAATTGAAAACCAGAATTTTTTCGTTTTTCTCTTAATAAACACTCAAATTTTGTTCTTTGGGAACCGTGAGGCGATTGTCTGAGTTAAAAGCATCGATTTAAGCGCGAAACGGAGCAGATTCGTTCAGAATTGACGAAATTGAGGGATTTCGTCAAAAACTACTGAAAAAACGGAGTTTTAACGTTTATTTGCCGAATCGAGTTCGGACACTGGCATTCGAACCGTCCAGCCAACAAGGAGTTTATTGCGCATCTTTTAAGCGCTCAACCGTCGAAAAATATACAGAATTGAGATAATTGAGGCAAATTTTCGATTCCAAAAGGAAAAAAATTATCGCCGTTTTTCAGTAATTTATTGTCCGTATGCATGAATGTCTCCGATTCAACATGTAAAAAGATAACGTAGCAATAAAATGTTGTCTTTTTACTTTAATCGTTTCAATAATTGCTTTGAAAACCGTTTTTTCCCGTTAATTCGTGCAATTTTCAAAAGTCGTTCTAAAATTCCGCATTTTCAGAAACAGCGGGTACAAAGACGGTCTCTGTTGACGTTAATTGCTGGGCATACAAAAACAGCACGCTGCGGTTAGTATCAAATTTGTTTATTGTAATATTAAAAGTAAAAAAATCTATAAATTTATGGAGGAAAAGGAGGAAAATGAAGGGAAGGAGAAGGAAAAAGAAGGAAAAGAGGAGGAAGAAGAAGGGAAATAGGAGGAAAAAGAAGGGAAAGAGGAGGAAAAAGCAGGGAAAGAGGAGGAAAAAGAAGGGAAAGAGGAGGAAAAAGAAATTGAATAGGACATGTTCCAGATGCCGTATACATCGAAAAGAAACCTTCAACGCTCTTCAGCCGCTCAGGAAGCAGGCGCTGTCCATACTGCTAGTGCAGAAGCGAGAAGAATAACAGAAAACCTTCAGTCCAGAATAGACGAACTGGAACGTCAGAATATAAGTCTTCAGAAGGCTGTGGAAGAAGGCAATAAGGCACGCGGAAAGCTGGAACAGCACATTGCCCGATTGGAAAATGACCTGCAAAGAGAGAAGGAAAAGCATGAAAATACAACCAATTCGCTCAAAGAACTCCGTGATCAACTGACCGAGGAAGTGAAAAAGAAGGTAGATTCGCGAGTCGAACGAGGGCTTCATTATTCAACGGAGCGAATCGCAAAGCTGGAGGAGCAGTTGAGAAAGGAGATGGACAAAGAGACCTTTCCGGAATCACTGAAAACTTATTCATCTCTGATTAAAAAAGAAACAAAAGTTGATCGTTTTATCCGTTTGGTAAAGACGATTGAGAGGCATGTGCAAGCGGAGAATCTGAATCAATTCCTATACGATTTCATCAATTGGATTTCGGAAAACCGGAACTTTAACTTCAACCTTCGTCTGTCCCCATTCCAATCGTTCTATGCGACCGTTCGCTTCAAACTCACCGACTCTTTCCTGCGTGACTTCAAAAATTTTCTGACGAAGGGCTTGAACTTCGATATTTTCGCTTCTCGCCAGTCAATCTACGCAATTCGCCGATCGTTGAGCGTCGTGGACGAGTATGTAATCGTTGTGGAGCAGTCATCGAAATCCGTCAATGGTCGTCGAATGGAGTATCCGACGCCTTGGGTACGAATACGGAGCGTGGAGACGTCATTGGCACGGCGATTGGAAACGGCAGCTTCCCATGGCAATCTGGTGTTCGACGAGGGAACCGCTGATGACATTGTTCTGGGTGTCGGCGGAGACAAGGGAGGAGAATTCACGAAGCTCTGTCTTGTATTTGAAAACGTCCGCCATCCGAACGATCCACGAGGAATTCTTCTTCTCGGACTTTATGCTGGACCCGACGACTACGAGCATCTCAAGGCCAAGTTCAGCGACATTTTCGAGCAAATAAACAGTCTGGAGTCAATTAAGTATAGCGTTAACGGAGTTGAAGTGGAGAAAATAGTTCGCAAAAAAGCATTGGGAGATTGCAAATTTCTTTCTTCTCTTTTCCATCATCAAGGACAATCTGCCGCTGCTCCCTGCTTCACATGCGAGGCTCACTGGCCTCGGTCTGGGCAACACAAGGCGACAACGACATCCTTCGCATTCGAAGAATCCGGTGAAATTCGACAGCTTCAGGATTTCAACGAGCCACTTCTGCACTTGGATCCGAAGCAGGCGGGTGTACCGGCAGTACACGGAATTCAAGGAGTCTTCCAGACCTATGTGATTGACTGGATGTACTCTTCATGCCATCAAGTTGACTATCCTTTCGATGAGCTTCCAACAGACCTGAAAAGCCAGAAAAAACGACTCACCGAGCTCTCGGACATCGAACAAACTGCCGAAGACAGAGTAGACGGTCTGCAATCCGTTCTCGATGTGGTTGTTGCTGTCGAATCTGCACTGGAAAAGATTCAGAAGAACGGACCAGGAAGAAGAAGATCGGACAAGACATGCTCTTCGCAAACATGCTTCATCAACGTCATCGACAGAAAGTTCAAGGAACAAGAGTCGTTTGTGTGCGGATCCTGCAAAAAGGAGTATCATTTGGTATGCTGTGGATTCTTTTCCGCAGTTGACTGCATCGTCATCACGCCAAACACTAAATGCCAATCATGTCGTTTCCCGGGCAATTTCACAGTGGACAACAAGAAAAGCCACGTCGGAAAGGTTCGCCGCTCACTGGAGGATATGATCGGCGAGGAGAAGTCCATGCTAGAAAACGCCCAGATCGAACGAATCACGTTGCAACAAATGTTCGAGGAGTCGAGCGGAGAGACTCTTCGCGCCATGGAGAGATTGATGCGGACAATGGGCGCCGATACCCGTGCCTGGTATCAACAGTGTACGGGAAATCAGGTCCGTGCTCTTCTCCGCGAAGAGAACATCGACAAGCTCCTTGAACTGTTCCCGAGCAATCCAAAAGTTCCGGCGATGCGCAAGCTCATGCTCGACTTGTCCTTCCTGATGAGCAGCGCAAACAATGAAGTCAAGGACGACACGCAAATTGACGAAATCGGCAAGGCCATCAGATCCCTTGTGATCAACATTCGGGAGGTTCATCCGGAGGCTGGAGTGATCCCCAAGCTTCACATCATCGCTGCTCATTTGGAGGCCTACTTGCGAGAGAACCGAAGCTGGGGACGGTTGACGGAGCAAGGAATCGAAGCCCTTCACGCCATCTTCAACGGGTTGATGCGCCGATTCGCGAGTGTCAACGACGTGAAGCAGAGAATCTGTCTTGTTCTCGAGAACATGGGCCACTTCAATTTTCTCTTCGACGTCGGCGACCTATGTTGAATCTCTTCATCCACTTTTCTTCATGTTCTTTTTCAATTATCGATAAATTCAACACGTTTTACATCTTCATCTTCTCATCTTCTTGGATAATTCCGTGAAAATACCTGGAAAACATCTGACGGCGAAGTAAAATGAGTCAGTCTCACTAACCGCTACTCTTTCTCTTTTCCTGCCCTGAATTGCTGCAGCAATCTTCCGCCGTTCGTCGAACTATCTGTAATTTTCACATAAAACGTCTCGAAATTGATAACGAAGCAGTTAACATTTCATATTTTATTTATTTCTAATCATTATCATAGGTTTTGACACTGATTGGTTCTGGAAAGATGGGGAAAATGCAAAAAAAAGGAAAAATTGAAATGAGAAACTCTACAACGACGCTCCGGAATAACGCGTACGCGCCTTGTTTAGCGCACGTGAATTGCGCCAAGGGAATTTTTTATTGGAAGGCTGGGCCGCCAAAAACGTTCCGCCTTCCGTGAATTTTTTTAAAAATTGACTGCTCGTTTTCTCATTAAAAAGCTCCGAAATGAGTGTCTGGCTGTTCACCACAAGTATATACGGCTTTTTGAAGATTCTTTCTTTGATTTTCTGCCAGAAAACTGACTTTGACGCCAAAAATTCAATACCAGCTTCCGCCTTCCGCCTTCCGCTTTCCGCCGCTTTTTTTATTCCGCCTTCCGCCTTTTCGATTCTGCTCAACTCTGGTCTTGAACGTCCTTTCGTCCGCGCTTCATTCTCCTGACGTTTCCCAACCGAGACACTTTGCAACTGTATCAACTTTTTGAAGAATCTTTGACTTTGAAGCATATCAAGTGGTTGCAAAAAGTATCGGTTGCAAAACGTACAGCCGTAATTTTCGACACCATCATTGTTGCAAAACTAACGTTTTGGTTTTGAAACATCATCAAGCTGCAAAACTATTGTAGCCTTCGACTTCTTCCCCCTCCGATCCATTAGCCGATGAGGATCATCATTCCGATGGCCGCCCACGCAGCAATTCCCCCTTGACACCCCCGTAATCTTGAACCCAAAGACATTGGCGTGGGCGTTTTCCCATTCCCAACATTTCTTCGCTCAAAGTATCCGGCCCGGTTCGTTTTTCATATTTCTTTTCCAAAACACTTTGACCGTTCCTCCCTTCTTTTCCGCTTCTCTCCTCGTTTTTCGACCTTGCCCCATTCAATTTCGGCGATTTTCGGCCGGATAAACGGTGCGATACCATCAAAAAAAGACGCCATTTCGCATGAAGAATTGAGGTCGAATGCCCTTGGCCGTCGCTCTTCCATCCTTTTCTCGCAATCCTAGGCCACTAAAACCCCTTGCGCCCGTTTGAGGTTTTAAGGCGGAACTCGAAATTGAACAGAATGGTTTCCCTCATAGTTTATTTGCATTTCGCCACTTGCCACGTCATTGTTTACTCGCCCAATATTTTGTTGTGGTCTGTGTTCGATCTGTGTCCTTGCCCTCTTTTTAGCGAACAAACAATAGTCGGATTGTGCTCCGTGCTCTCTCATTTTTGTGATTTGCAGATTGAAACGTTTGGATCATTCCAGGATGACTTGTCAGCTCCAAGGAGTTGAGCCGTCAAAAAAAGAAAGTGAGCCTACAATAGAAGTACACTCTGTTCTAGTGTATTCCTTATCGCCTTATCACCATTCGTTCCGATAATACTTTCGTCCACGTGGCAATCATTCGACTACTACTTATATTCCCCCGGGAGCCTTTCCTTTTCCATCATACTTGAATTTTCCCATCGAATTTGCCGCCATTTTCAGAATGTCCGCCGAGCAGTTCGTCGGTCGCTGGAAGCTCGTCCACTCGGACAACTTTGAGGAGTACATGAAGGAGGTCGGCGTGGGACTTTTAACGAGAAAAGCGGCGGCGAATGTGAAGCCGACTCTGGAGATCAAAGTCGACGGCGACAAATGGCACGTCAACCAGCTGAGCACCTTCAAGAACACCACGTTGACGTTCACGCTAGGAGTGGTGAGTGTTCTGAGGCTTAGTAGAATACGTTACTCTTCCCCAACGTTAGATGTGTCAAACAGTGTTGAGCGGAATTCCGTCTTCCGTCTTCCGTCTTCCGAGATTTTTTCTTCTTACCGTAAAAGAGTAATAGCTTTTCAGAAGAAGCCATTTACAAGCCCCGAAGAACGCGAATTTCCACGGGCAACGACCCAGATCCAACATTTTTGTTGTTTAGTTATTTTTTTCAAAAAAAAAACCGGAGAAAAAGGTGCTACATTGACGATTTTTTTGTTCCGTCTTCCGTCTTCCGTCTTCCGGATTTCAAAATTCCATTTCCGCTCAACTCTGGTCTACACAAGTTTGAGTAAACGAAACGTTCCGCTATTGTCCATTTCTTGATCTTCGTCATAATGTGACGCCTTTCTCTTTATGCTCTTTTCCGAAACACTGATAGGCGAAAAGAGTGACACGTGGTGTAAAGTGTGTATTTGAAAGGGGAGGAAGAAAGAACGAGTGAACTTTGTTCCCTGTTTTTTTGACCGCGCAAAAAGTACTTTGAAACCCCCCCAAAAGCGACAATAGAAGGGCACCCGAATACTGTTCATTCAAGAGTTGAACCTTTATTAAAAGCTCCACATACCGCTGACAGATATACCCACAATCATTTCAGGAGTTTGACGAAACGACGCCGGACGGCCGTCACTTCAAGTCGACGATTACGGTGGAGAACGGAAAAGTGGTGCACGTGCAGAAGAGGATCAAGGCGGACGACAAGGATTCGGTGATCACCCGCTGGCTGGAAGGCGACCGACTCATCACGACGCTCCAGTCCGGAGACGTTGTTTCCCGACGCGAATACGTCCGCGAGTGAATGCATTGATTGTACGGCACAAAATGAAATGAACTATTTGGATCGGAAACAGAGTCTTTGTTTTTGGGTCGAAAATGCCCCGATTAGTACCTGTTTTTGTTTCTCGTTCCACTTTACTTTTCCCCGTTTGTTTGTGTTGCAACTAACCAACCAACACATGGCAAGTTTCAAAGTGTCTTGGTTGCCAAACGTCTCACACTAGTTGCAATTTGTACGGAGACAGTTTGCAACGGGTTGCGAAACGTACGCGTAGCCTACACTTTACAACTTGTTCTCGGCGAAATCACAAAAACCATTAGAAAAATGAAAAAGTGTCTAGACTCCGCCCCTTTTCTGCTCCGCCTCGTCGCCTGCGTCTCGGCGCTCTCTTCGCCCGTTATCGGTCCATTTATCAGGCCACCAAAAGACGGACGGTCTCAGTCTCAGTCTCGTTCTTCTTCTTCTTCTTCTTCTCCCTCTTCTTCTTCATCTTCATCTTCTTCTTCTTCTTCTCAAAGACCATCATTTCAGAAGATGTCGCAAGAGTTTGTCGGTCGTTGGAAGCTCGTCCACTCGGAAAACTTTGAGGAGTACATGAAGGAGGTCGGCGTGGGACTGATCACCCGCAAAGCGGCCGCCAACCTCAAGCCGACCCTGGAGATTAAGGTCGACGGAGACACGTGGCACTCGAATCAGTATTCCACCTTCAAGAACACCACACTCTCCTACAAACTCGGACAGGTTAGTGAGGAAAAGTGCGCGGATATTGTAGGCCTAGTGAAAGAGAGACGACAATTGTGCTGTGTGATTGTTTGGTGAAAAGAAGAAAGCGAAAAGTGCAAACAATGATAGTTCCCAGACATGATTTTCAAAAAGTGTTGTGACAGAATGGCATCGATTTTGTTATAAATTATAAATAGACACATTGTGGACGCAGAAAGGCTCAGAGCTCAAATGAATCTGAAAGTTACGGTTTCCGTGCCGCAAACCGATTATCGATTTTGTAGGAGTTTGACGAGACGACCCCGGATGGCCGCACCGTCAAATCGATTGTGACGTACGAGAACGGAAAGTTCACGCACATCCAGAAGAACGCCGCCGGAGAGACCGTTTCGGTGATCTTGCGCTTCCTCGACGGCGACAAACTCGTGACGACCCTTCAGGCCGGATCCGTCGTGTGCCGTCGCGAGTACGCCCGCGAGTAATTGTGTTCTACTATTGTCGATAAATAATAAAAGAGTATTGTTTCATTTCGAATATCACCCTTGGAAGAGATCGGAACAGAAAGAAAGTACACACGAACACTTCTAACTTCGAAGCGCTACAGTAGGCTTAGCAGTGGTTGTGCAGAAAAGATGTCAACTACAAAAATAGACGTTTTATCAAGCTCTTCCTTTTCCTAATTGACAACTTTTTTGTACAACCACTCCTACGCCCACTGTAGTCGTTGGAAGTTTGGTTAACTTCGAAGAGCTTCAGTGCTTCAGGGAATGGTCGTACAAAAGAGTGATAAACTGCAAAAATACAGTAGTACATAGTATGTGTCTAGATTTTACTCAAGCATTCCGAGATCCCGATTATGTGATGTGCGAATATGCCAAATCGCAATGAAGAAGGCGTCCGAACGAGCTGCCGATCAGCATTTGATCGTCGTGAAAAACGACGGCCGAGCTGGCCGAAATGGTGGCTCCGTCGTTGGAATACGGTTCGGTGGTGACCCACGAGGTGCTCTCTTCCTGCAAATATTCCATGATTCTTGGCTTGTCGACGTTGCAAACCCGGAGAAATGTGATAAGGAATCAATGTGTTTGTGAGGAACTTGCGTGCTTAGCATAAAATTGACAGTTTTAGTGAGCGAGCGATGTTTCATAATTTGATAAATTTTGTGATCGCGGGGAGCTTATTAGATGATTCTGTGGCAGATTTTGTGATTGGGAGTTCCCCGCGTACTAGCAAGAACTTTGGACCCATCGGGAACTATCGAATTGAATGGGGAACCCTAAACTAACTGGGGAAGTACTTCTAAGAAGAGTAGACGTTTCGCACATTTTCAGTCTTAAACTCCATGGCCCAACTTGATTTTTTATTTCAAGAGTCCCCGTCGCATGTCTGAAAATGAGTGGACAGACACTCGAGAGGGACTAACTTTGTGATGTTCGGTCATTTTGGATTCGGACTAAACTTTGAAAAGTTACTGGTAAGCCTCAATAGAAAAGTGCGGCTCAAAGATCATGGACCTATCAGCCGAGTATTTTACTGGTTTTTTACGCAAAAAACCCTGTTCAAATGAGGAAAAACCCCCGGGGAAGAGGTTTTTTTCCTGTGTGGAAACCCTGTTCGTTGCGAGACCCGTGCTAATAAAGGCATGCGCCTTTAAACAATTTAAATAACCGCCCGGTTGTATTTAAAGGCTCATGTCTTTATTGGCACGGGTCTCGCAACGAAAAGGGTTTCCACACAGGAAAAAACCTCTTCCCCGGGGGTTTTTTTCCCGGTTTTTTCCTCATTTGAACAGAGTTTTTTGCGTAAAAAACCAGTAAAATACTCGGTTGTAGAGGTCCATCAGGGTGGTAAGAAATGTTCGAATTGTATATGAGTCTTTAAAGTCAATTCCAGCTGGCGTGTACATTTTCGTACTTTAGCATTCTGACGCCGCCGAACAAAAGCGTTCCTAGTGAGGCAGAGGCCTTTCCGTCCGCATACCCAACCAGGAACTGTTCAGTCCGACAATCATCCATCCAAAATGACCGAACATCACAAAATTAATCCCTCTCGAGTGTCTGTCCACTCATTTTCAGACATGCGACGAGGACTCTTGAAAGTACGAATACGAACACGAAAATCGCATTAAAAACCAAGTTGGACGAGGAAGTTTTCAACTGAAAATGTGCGAAACGTCTACTTTTCTACTCGTTCTCACCCTCATTCTACTCATATTTTCCGTCGGAGAAGCCAGAATAATTCCGTACATTTATGTCGGAACGCCTCCGGAACTCGCTGACAAACCGCCGTATTTCTATCCGATTGCCGGATGAGCAGCTCACTTTTTTCGAATAAATAAACAAATGAATAAATGTGTTCTCAACTAACGTTTGTCTCGAAAGCGAGTTGCAAAGTGTCACCTCACCTGAATGCGAATCCTGAGAATCTGGCTGGACGAGTGAATGGCGTAGTGTTCGGCGAAGGCGTAGTGGTAGAGTGCCTCGTGGAGGATGGGATGGGCGGCCAGCCAAATGTCGCCGCTCTTCGGCTCCACGTACATTCCGATCGGCGACGTCAGCAACATCATCTCGTACTGCAGCGAGAGCGACATGTCCTTGGCCACTTTGTACGCGAACACCGACTGAAACTTTCACGTTTTCGGAAGAAATCTGAACTCGGAGTAGTACCTCTCTGATCACCGATGCCACGTAGAGGGTCTTTCTCTTCGGATCGTATCCGATTGCGGTCGGGGAATTGATGGCCGGCGCCGCCACCGACACCTTCGACCCGTCGTAATAATAGACTGCTCCCTGCGCCGTCTGCAACGCAAACTCGAGCACTTGCGCCCATCCGCGCGAGAACGCCGCCATGTTCGTGAAGAAGAACCGATCGGGACCGACGACGGAAATGTCCTGGAGACTGGTGAACGAGGAGTCGCAGAGTGCCTTCCGGTGCAGCAGCTTCGTGTTGTCCACTTGGAAGAAGTGGATGCACTGGCGGTTCGGATGCGCGTTCACCACGTAAAGAAGGACCCGGCCCTTCGAGGAGGTGAACGAGTCGAGGCCCGTCGGCGCGAATTCCGCCTGAAACAGAGAAAAATTAGATAAAAATGACTGCCATCAGAGTTGAGCGGAGAGAGAACTCAACGGAAGAACACGGAAGAACTTTTATCTTTTTTAGAAAATTTTTTCATGAAATGTGATCAACTGACGAAATGTATGGCAAAGTGAACTCTGCTCATAGAAAAATAATTGTAAATTTAACTTTTCATACAAAAAAGTTATTCGAGTTGTTCCGTGAAAATGTCCTTCCGTCTTCCCCGTTAGCCCTTTTTTCACGGAACAACTCGGATAACTTTTTTGTATGAAAAGTTAAATTTACAATTATTTTTCTATGAGCAGAGTTCACTTTGCTATACATTTCGTCAGTTGATCACATTCCATGAAAAAATTTTCTAAAAAAAATAAAAATTCTTCCGTGTTCTTCCGTTGAGTTCTTCCGCTCAACTCTGACTGCCATCTTATTTTTTGTTAGTAAAACTCAGAAAACAAAATGCAAAGGTCCGAAAGAAAATTTAAGAATGCATTACACCTTCCAAAATAATACAATCAGTACTAAACTTGATGATCGATAACTTGAATAGAAATGGTATTCGACAACTTGATAACTCGGACTTTTTTTCGTAACCCTAATGGGCTATTCAGCGTATGTTTGTTTTCCGTTTTTTAAATATTTTTTTAACATCGCGGAATTGGAATTTTTGACGTAAAAAAAAAGAAAAAAAAACGGAAAAAAAGCATTTTTTCACAGCCTGAATAACCTATAACCGAACTACGCAATGACTTGCAGTATCCGTAACAGAATTGAGCGGAATGGAATTTTGGAAAAGGCGGAATGAAAAAAGCGGCGGAAAGTCAACTCAACTCTGATCCGTAACTTTGATAAATAAACTGACACTGTCATATCCATTCCAATTGATGACCATCTCCGTCAAATCGTAAATCTCGTGCTGGCTTCGTCCGTCCGTTCGATTCGTGTTATAGAACGCGATGCCCGTGGCTGTGGTCAGGTTGTGAGCTGCAACAGTTTTGCGTGAAACTTTTCATTTCTAATCTCACACTACCTCTACCGTATCCCAAAGAGATGTAAACCCGTTTCTGTGAATCGACAAAGTGAAGACCCGCCGTTCCTTTGTCTGAAATGCATTGTTTGGAGGAGGTCACAACAATGTTCCGTGAAGTGAACTCACATTTATCGCTGAGCACTCTGCACGGTCCGGGCGTGTGATTGTAGACCCGTTTGTTGAGATCCAATATCACTCTGAACTCACGTACACCTTTAGTTCAAAACAATTCGAGGGGAACTTACAAAACTCTCAAAACGAAACAGGAAATCATGGCGAACAATATCCAGAACACTAATCGGTGCACGAAATTTAGGACGGGCGAATGGGAAGGCATTCTGAAATATGAAAGTGAAGTGACAAAAGTCAAGTAAGCTCTTTCTAAGTGAATGCGAAACAAGAGAGAGAGAGAGAGCAAACTGGTCCCTGGAAACCGGGGGTCCGTTTCGCTGGGACCGCAGCAGATGGCCGCGAGAGAGCACGGCCGCCGAAGAGGGCGCAGACGGGCAGACGGACACTCTCAAATGAGCTTTCTTTCCGCTCTGTTTCTCCGTTCTCTTCCCCCCTCTCTCTTTCTTTTGCATTTTAAATCTTTTGGTTTGTGGGCCAGAGACACCCCCCAATTAGCGTAATTAGTGAGATCCGGGCGATTCATTGAAATTCACCGGTTTTTAGGTCATTTTTCTTTAAAATTATTATTTTCCATTCGATTTTAGTGGCTTTTTCGCTGAATTTGACAGTTTTCTGCTCTAAAATTCATCCAATTTGAAAAATCTGCCAATTTTTTCGCGCTATTGTCAACAGAGCACACTTGCAACATTCAACAAATTTTCCAGTTTTTTCTTGAAAGTTTCAGCACAAAAGTGATACATTTTGGGTCTTTGTTGCTTTTCTCGTTAATTTTATCAGTAAACAACTAAAATTTGCCCAATTTTTCGCAAAAATCCCAAATTTCAGTTTTCAGGCTCGTCGCAGAGTTTCATTCGATCGGAAACGCATGAAACGGGACACGGAGACGGCATATCAGTTTAGGATAGTTATCGTGAGTTTTAAAACAAACATTTCACCGAATTTTCCTCGATTTTACGAAAAATCCTCTAAAATTCCTCCCAACCCCATTCTCTGTCCATAAAGTGCAAACATCGCATTTGTCGCCCTGAAATCGCCGTAAAATGCAAATTCGATGCGTGAATTGCACAGTTTCAGTGGTCAGTAATCCGTGAGCGTTTCCAAAATTTGCATAATCCGAATATTCGTTGGGCCTTTTCAAAATTCCCGCCCCGAAAAGTGGCCGATTTCCGATCGGAAATGTTTATAACAAAACGGAAATGTTTGAAATCGGACACCTCCCAAATGGTGGGCGGGGCGGAGGAGCACCTTTCGAAATATATTTTCCCTGAAGTTCTGCCCTCTGAACATGAGCTTTTTCCCTTAAAATCCCGTGACTTGTAGTCGGTTCAATGTTTATTTTGTGTCTTGGTGTCCGTCTGACTCCTGGTACCCTTTCCGACGTGTCGGATCCTATTAAATTGGATTAATACTGGTGCGGAACACTTTGGATTCGAGAGTTTTGGCACGGACGGCATAATTCTGATTTTGAATGATCGTCACTCCGCCCACGGAGCTCCAGAGCAGAACCATGGAGCCTTCTTCCCACGTGGCTCCTTCCTCTTTCTCTTTCTCTTCTCCCTCCTGCGCCTCTCCACTTCTGCCGATCCCTCGCCGCCGCCGACAGTGCGGACTCTCTGCAAATATAAATAAAAACGGCCGGCCATCAGGCCATATACCTCTTTGAGAATCATAAATAAAATGGCGCAAATTCCGCGGCTTTCTTTTTCTCAAAGAAAAATTGAATTTTTTGAATTCTCGGATGATCCATATAAATAAGTCTGAAAAAGCCGTGTTTTCCCGTGCTCTTATCGCTCGTTTTCGTTATCGATGAAGTGAAGAAGTGAAAAGTGTCACTTTTCACACCTTCCATGACGTTTTTCTGGTTGACAACATTTCAATTTTTGAACCTCCTAAGCTGGCTGAGGGGTACAAAAATCGTCAGTCAGAAATGTACTGGTCATTTTTGGGCGCAACCCCAATATTGTCGTATTCTGACGCATTCTCGACGCTATTCATCTTTTATTTCTCATTCTTTTCTCTTTGCACTGCAAATGGCTATTCTCCATGGCTACACCCTTGGTTTTCTGCAAAAATAGCGGAAATCTTCATCAAAAACCAAAGAACCGATGTCGAAATTCCTTCTTTTTTGGGCCCCGAGACGACGTCGCTTATCATCTTTTCCCATTCGATAATCTTCTTTTGATGACAAAACATACGCATTTCCGTTTCTTTTCGCTCATATTTTAATCAGAAAACAGTTTTAGACCACTTCCGATCGACCCAAACTTTGCAAAATTATCAGTTAAAATCAATATATGTAAATCCAGATCTGATGATCCATTGAAACTTTCAAAGAAAATACTACAAACCAAAAGAGATAACTCTGCAAAGTTTTGATCTATTCGGATGACCGAAAGAAGATCAAAAAACGCCTAAATGTTCGCGTTTTCAGACAGAGAAATGTCGTCGGCGAGCATCGGAATGGCGGCGTGCGCCGTCTCGTCGCTCTTCTTTGGATCCATGTTCGTGCCGATCAAATCGTACGACACCAGAGACGGTTCGCATCCCTTTTCAGCAAAAAAATATCAGTTTTTCCTGCAGGAATATTCGCCCAGTGGATGATGTCGATCGCCATCCTCCTCGTCGGATTCGCCGTTTTCGTCGCCACCGAATTCCCCGGATTCTACCCGTTGGCCATGCTCGGAGGAGCTTCCTGGTGTCTAGGTGCGCACGAAATACGAAGGGAATCTGAAGAATTTCTGAAAATTTAAATAAATTGACACATGTAATGCGTCGTCAAGTATTACAGGAAACGCGACGGCGATCCCGATCATAAACCGGCTGGGACTGGCCGTCTCGATCCTCATCTGGAACACGACTAACTGTCTGACGGGCTGGGCGGGCGGCCGCTTCGGACTGTTCGGCATGAAGGCGTCCGTGCCAGCGAGCCCCACCCTCAACTACCTGGGACTCGTCTGCGTCGTCCTCGGAGGATCCCTCTTCGCGCAGGTCCGCTCCGAACCGGCGCCCGCCAAGAGTGCCAGAAGAGCGGATTTCGACATGGAACAGATGGATTCGGAGGAGAAGAAGGCACTGAAGACGGGCGAATCGAGCGAAGAGAACGAGGAGCAGATTGCCGTCAAGAATCTGAATTCGGGACCGCAAAGGCTCATGTACGCAGAAATAAGTTTATATAATCACAATATCTGTTCTGTTTTCAGTGCGTTCTTCGCCGCTCTCATCGCCGGAGTCTTCTACGGAATGACATTTGTGCCGGTGAATCGGATGATTGACAATCCCGAATTGTAAGTTTAAACCAGTGGCCAAATTATATTTATTTATGAACGAATTCGACAATTCGACTCGAGGAATTCGAGGATTCTAGGCAGTGGCGGAGAGCGGAATAGTGACGGTTCCGGCGGGAGTGAGTGCGGCGAAGGCGGCCTGCGCGTCGGTCGCGTCGGCGGGAGCGGGCGCGAAGTGGATGACGAGCTTGTCCTCCTTGGCGGCGCCGGCGGTGCGCGTCACAGTGATGTCCGTGGATCCGGACGGCTCGACGAAGCCGAAGACGGGCGTGATGCGGTACTCGTTGTTGTTCGACGACTTGATCTTGAAGATGAGCTTCTCGGCGCCGCCGTTGACGAGCTTGTGGACGGAGGAACCGCCGGCGGCCGGCACCGTGCAGGCTGGTGGATCCGCTGTCAGAGACATCGTTGTCGCTTTTGTTCGGTGCTAACTCTAGCAAGTTATGGACGTTTCGTCGCTTGCCATCGCCCATTTATAGTCGGTTTATCAAGATGCTCCACTGACTTTTGGGGCACCCGGGGGAGGGAGTCAAGGAAAACTAATTTTCACGTTACATGCAATTTTGTTTTCAGGTATCCGGGAGTGCCACAAGAGGGCATCTCGTACGTCTTCTCGCACTATTTCGGAATTTTCCTCACTTCCACCGCGCTCTTCGTCCTCTACTCCATTTTCAGGTGAGTTGCGAGGACGTCCCTGCGTGCCAAACATTCTTTTTTGCAGACGGAACAAGCCGTACGCGCCGCCGACGCTGTTCCTGCCGGGAATGGCGGCCGGCTGTCTGTGGGCGGTCGCGCAGACGTCGTTCTTTATCGCCAATCAGCACCTCTCGCAGACGGTCACCTTCCCGATCATCTCGCAGATGCCCGGCTGCATCGCCGCCGCGTGGAGCATCTTCTACTACCGCGAGATCCGCGGCCGCCGCAACTTTGTGCTCCTCGCGTGCGCCATGTGCATCACGATCACCGGCGCCGTGCTCGTCGGCCTCTCCAAAACGATCCAATTCTAGAAGTGTTCCGCCCCAGTAGAAGATCCATTCTGTGATATTCAATCTGTTTTCTTTTCCGTTTTATCCTTCCGGGTTTCACTTGTAACGTAAAAAAGTATAATAAGTTTACGACGAACATTTATCAGTAGCAAGTCTCAACATGAGAAAATTGGCGAAATCAGCGGGAAAACTAGTATTCAATGACCAAAGCAAGCGTTAATATTTGTTTTTCTAGCGAAATTCGAGTGAATTAATGTCTCAGCTGCGGGCGATTTTGATAGAAATCGTCGGGAAGAGTGACATTGAGATTGAACTTGGAGCTCGTGCGCATCACTCCGTTCTCGTCGATGCTCCAGAAGAAGTTGCCGCCGGTCGACTTGCGGCATCCGTGACGGGCTCTCCGGAACTGCTGAGTCGGCGGCACGTCCGTTCGCGGCTCTTTGGCCGACGACGGTCCTTCGGCGACTTCTTCCTCCGCCTTCCGCTTCAGATCATCTCTCTTTTCCTCCTCTTCTTCCTTTTCCTCCTCTTCCTCCGAATCATCCTCCACATCCGTCAACTCCTCCTCCCCTTCCGCCCAGAATCCTTCGACCCGATCCTCGGAAATCAGTTTCACCTCCTCCGGGAGCACCACCCGAACCTCGAACTTCAGCTTCCATTCGCCCGGATACTCCTCGTCGATGCTCGTGCGGCGATCGCCGTAAAAGTCGACGCTCAGAAAGCGAGGAGCGCCTTCGTACTCTGACATTTCGATCGACACCGACTTTTCGCCGGTGAACTCTGCAGGGAAATTGACGATTTTTGTTGGGAATACAGTGGGAGCACTGACCGGTTTTATCGAGGAGCTCACTGGTTGGCGGGGCGCCTCTTTCGTAGAGCGGACGGTGAGCATCCACGAGGCGGTCGTGGGCACAACTGCAAAAATGGATTGTTGACTCAATATGTGGAGTCCGTGACAAAAAGTTGGAAAGCCAAAAGGTCGGAAAAAAGTGACAAAAGGTCGGAAAAAAGTCCAAAAGGTTGGAAAAAAAATGCCAAAAGGTCGGAAAAACTGCTAAAATACCTGTTTTCTGACTTTTTGTTTTTTTCCGACCTTTTTTCACTTTTTTCCGATCTTTTGGAATTTTTTTCCAACCTTTTGTCCCCGTCTAACTTTATTTTCCCAACAACCCCCAGTCGCAAATGTGTTTCTTGGTTTCAATGTGCCCGCTTTCTCTTCGTATCGATTTTCGGGCATATTTTTCTCAACGATCGAGCAAATTAACTTCATTTTTTATTTTTCATGAATAAGTAGCTCTCATTATAGTGACACACGATAATCGGCTGTCATTTGAGGAAAAAAGGGCACACTGCAGACCAGAGATCCGCGGAAAAAGAAAGAGCAACACATTTTCGCATTACGAGCGTTTATTGACCATTTTAGGCAGTGGCGGAGAGCGGAATGGTGACGGTTCCGGCGGGAGTGAGTGCGGCGAAGGCGGCCTGCGCGTCGGTCGCGTCGGCGGGAGCGGGCGCAAAGTGGATGACGAGCTTGTCCTCCTTGGCGGCGCCGGCGGTGCGCGTTACAGTGATGTCCGTCGATCCGGACGGCTCGACGAAGCCGAAGACGGGCGTGATGCGGTACTCGTTGTTGTTCGACGACTTGATCTTGAAGATGAGCTTCTCGGCGCCGCCGTTGACGAGCTTGTGGACGGAGGAACCGCCGGCGGCCGGCACCGTGCAGGCTGGTGGATCCGCTGTCAGAGACATAGTTGTCGCTTTCGTTCGGGGCTAACTCTAGCAAGTTATGGACGTTCCGTCGCGCGCCATCGCTCATTTATAGTCGGTTTATCAAGATGCTCCACTGACTTTTGGGGCACGTGCGGTCATGGAATTCCACGTGTCCACCGCGTGAAGATCTTATCTCTCCGTGCCGGTGGTCCCTACGCCCTTCCCCATCGTTCCGTCATTACCACTTTTCGATAACTTGGCTTCTTGTCGACAGCGTTAATCGGAAAGAATGACTGCGCCACCGCCGGAACTCGTCCAACTCCAAGCCGGTTCAATGGTGAGGAGCCCTCTGTCTCCACTCGAGTGGATCCACGGTTCTTGCAGGTCGAGAGATGGACAATCACGAAAAAGTTGGGAGAGGGAGGCTGCGGAGCCGTGTACTTGTGCACCGACGCGACCGGAAAGTACGCCCTGAAGGTGGAGGCCATCTCTGAGCAGATGCAGGTTCTCAAGATGGAAGTGCTCGTGCTCGGCGAGCTCACCAAACGCGGAAGTCGTCACTTTTGCAAGATCGAGGACAAGGGCCGCTACGGAACGTTCAACTACGTGGTGATGACGTTGGTGGGCAAATCGCTGCAGGACCTGCGCAAGGGCACGCAGCAGCAGTGCCTGAGCCTCGCGTGCTCGATGAGCTGCGGGATCCAGTCGTTGGAGGCGTTGGAAGATCTGCACAACATCGGATACTTGCATCGGGACGTCAAACCGGGCAACTACACGATCGGACGCGCCGAGCTCAACGAATTGCGCAAAGTGTACATTCTCGACTTTGGAATGGCTCGCAAGTTTACCGATAATAATGTGAGTTGGGGGCAAAGCTTTGGCTAAACGCGCTCCGTCGCTCTCTTGTGCAGTGGAGCGCGTTTGCTTAGCCTAGCCGGTTGGCAATCTTTCAATTTCAGGGAGTGATCCGCAAGCCGCGTGCGGCGGCCGGATTCCGCGGAACGGTGCGCTACGCGCCTATCGCGTGCCACAAACAGCAGGAGCTCGGCCGCAAAGACGACGTGGAAGTGTGGCTGTACATGCAGGTGGAGCTGACGGTTGGACGCGTGCCCTGGAAGGAGATCACCGATATGAACGCGGTCGGACAGGCGAAGCAGAACATGCGCAACACGCCCGAAAAGATGTTTGTGCACCCGTGCCCCGCCGCCGAGCTCAAGCAGATAATGACGATGATCGACAGCTGGGACTACTTTGCCGACCCGAACTACGCGGAGATCTACAGACTGATGAAGCAGGCGCTGGCCAACTGTGGAAAGCCCGAGTTTCCGTACGATTGGGAGCCGGGCATGCCGCTCAACTACATGGTCAAATAAGAAGGCGAGAACGACGACGACGACAACGACAAGACTTTTGATAAACTGGTATTGAGTTGAATGGTTTGATTGAAATGGAATGAAGATTTGATGATTTGATGTCTGAGACTCACATGTTCGACGATCTCTTTCTGAACTCGAGTTTGTCGATGGTCTCGTAGCTGTCCAATCGCATTCTGGCACTCTTCCATCCGTCGACCGCCTCGGGAATGGTGACCATCCACTTGAGTCCCTTATCGAATCCACGAATGCGCGGGTGTCGCACTCTGCCCATTTTGACGGCCATTTCCAGGAAGCCGAAACCGACGTTGTCCGGTCGAGACATTGGCGATTTGACCGAACACGTCACGACGATCTTTGGCTTCACATAGGACATGATCCACGGCTGAAATCGAGGAGGTGTCTTGGAATGAGAAGTATAAAGTTTCAAGAACATTTTGAGTGAGTTTGAGGAATCGCAGAGTGCTTTGAAAACTGAAAATTTCGTTTGTTTCTACAACTCCAAAACAGTACTCTTTCATCTGTTACCTCGACGAAATCGTTGAGATCGACACAGAAGGATCTGCCCTGATCGAAGCACTCGGACGCATTTTCGGCGTTCGTCCACTCCGTGTTCAGCGTCTTCCAGACACGTGCGAGGCTGTTGAGCCGTCCATCGGGACCACGTACTTGCCTGCGTCTCTCCACTCGATCGGACGGTTCTTGGAAAGTGCCACGTTTCGAGCTGACCACACCCGTCCCGTAGCCGTTCTTCACACCTGTCTGCAATCACAACTCGCTCGTTTTCCTCCCATTAATTTATGCTCCGACCAACCGCATAGTCTCTGAAGGCAAACTTCAACTGTTCGCCCGAATCCGTCACCAACTCGTTTTTTGCGTGCGCGTCGATCCAGGCGGCCGGCGGCAGAATGTCCTCTTTTGCGTGCTTTCGAATGTACTCAAGACAGAAAGAGTCGTCCGAAAGGAGCTCTCCGAGACGGCTGCTCTTCTGCAAAACGGAAGACGGACGAATTGCGAATGAGCCGAATGCGGAAACGTGACTTTTGAGAGAGAGAGAGAGAACAAGAGGAATACTGGATGGGAAAGCGTCTTTCGACCCTAATCGGATGATGGTCGGTTCTCGCAAGTGCGTCCGAACGGATCTCATTGGATCACCGCAGAAAGGTCTTTAGCTCTGTTTTTGATAGTTATTTTGCGGAATGCGGAATCTGGCATGTCTCTAGCACACTTGGATCGGTCACGTACCTCGGCCGCATCCTTGAGCTCTTTCTGGCTCATTCGGAGTGCTTCCACTTTCAGCTCCTCTTTCTCCTCGTCAACTTCATCCGGTTCGGCCACAACGGACGTTTCCTCGGCCATTTTGAGCCGTCTGTAACGATGATTATCATCACTTCACCGCTCGTGCCCCCTGAGAAAAGCCCGCGAAGTTCAAATGAGGCCCCGCCCCTTCAGCGTTCAATTCTTGCAAGTAGCGCGCGCAGTTTTCGCAACGGTGCCGCACGCATTTTGCTATTCAGTTCGACAGTGAAAAAACAAGTGAAAAAAACAATTTTTGTCGGTTCTTAGTGTTTTCCTTCTGAGAAGAAGATGCAACAAGGCGAAATAATAGGTTTTGATAACAAAAAAATAATTTTCTGCTTCAGTTTTCAAGAATTCGGTGTTCAGAGCAAAATGCGTGCGGCAGCGTTGCGAAAACTGCGCGCGCTACTTGCAAGAATTGAACGCTGAAGGGGCGGGGCCTCATTTGAACTTCGCGGGCTTTTCTCAGGGGGCACGAGCGGTGAAGTGATAATTATGTTGAGGAAGGCACGCAGAAATGAGAAGAAATGCAATAAGAAAGCGAATTGCGAAATGTGGGCGACGGGAGGACGGAGGCGAACGATGAAAACATGTGGTCAACACACAAACCGGGAAAAGAGAGAAGAAGGAGACGGGAGAGAGAGAGAGAGAAGAAGGATACAAACAAGGAAACCGAAAGAGAGAGAGAGAGGGATTCTTCATCCGAGAGGACCTTCTCGAAACTTCCCACACAAGCCTTAAACGGCTCATTTCGAAGAGCACAATACAATTGAACTTTTATCGAAAAAACAGACATCTCAAGGAAGGCTTCAATTTGGCTGTAAATGGGCGAGTGTGTGCGCACGGAGCGGCACGATGGAGCCGAGAGCAAAAAAAGAGGAGAAGAGAGAGAGAGAGAGAGAGGAAGATGAATGCGTTTGTTGTTGAAGGAAAAAGGAAAACGGAAATGCGAATGTTTGGATTGGATTGCGTACGGGAAGCGACTTTTGATAGCAAATGGCTTTGATCAGAATCGTAATGTGATTGTCATTGACATTATTCAATGATACAGATAGCAATAAGCTTTTGAATCATGAATCTCACGACCCTAACCATGTAAGCATACAAAAATACGTTAGAAACAAATGTAGGTCTAGGGAGAATCTTCTAGATTCCGTGAAGTTTCGCCAATCCTACTGACCACTTTACTAGCACCCGAGAGCCGTCCCCATCCGACTTGCAAAAAATGAGAGCCGCGGAATGTGATGTCCGTCGGTCCCTGAGGACGAGAGCAACTGCCGCTTCTTCTTTACAGATAAGAAGAAAGAGAGAGAGAAAGAGAGAGAGTGAGAGAGGAAGAGGGAGCAGTGCTCTCGCCGTGCCAGTCTCCGTTCTTTCTTTTTCGAGCCGCACTTTTGCACTTTAAGCGACAACCAGGAAGCGTTTATTTTTTAGAAAAGGAGGGAAAACGCGTTTTAACTATGGGAAAAGAGGATGGAGTCGCAATCAGAGTTGAGCGGAAATGGAATTTTGAAATCCGGAAGACGGAAGACGGCAGACGGAAGACGGAACAAAAAAATCGTCAATGCAGAACCTTTTTCTCCGGTTTTTTTTTTGAAAAAAAAACTAAAGCAACAAAAATGTTGAACCTGGGTTACTGCGCGTGGAAGTTTGCGTTCTTCGGGGCTAGTAAATGGCTTCTGAAAAGCTATTACTCTTTTACGGTAAGAAGAAAAAATCTCGGAAGACGGCAGACGGAAGACGGAAGACGGAATTCCGCTCAACACTGTTGTGAAATTTCAGACGGCAATCGGAACTCGGAATTTGTGTTTCAAAATCGGTCTCGACTCCCCCCGTGTAATTCTTGAATTCAACACCTACCGTAACCCAGCAGCAGCTAAATAAATCAAACAAAATTACTCAAACACACACCGTCAATGTCAATCATCGAATTAAAAGAACGAGCCGGAAGACGGAAGACGAAAGACGGAATTCCGCTCAACACTGGTCACAATGCTACAAGAGTACACAGTCACGGGGCTCAAGTATCTTGCCATTCCAGAAGTGCAACGGTAGGCTGTGACGGACAGAAACACAAAAGAAAGAAGCGGATGAGTCACGATCGAGAATACAAATGTACGATTGTTGTGTGGCATGTGTCTTGGACAATATTGCTACTTTGTGCATACATAAAAACACCTAGGGACCTGTTATGTTGTAACTATAATTGAGAAAAGTAGTGCGAGGCAGTAAAGTGAGCGGCATGCGCGGCGTACACCAGTAATTCCCTGATAAGATAAGCGGAGGTTTGCAGGCGAGTCAGTCAGTTGATATCATCATAAAACATTTATTAGAGGCAGTAACTCGAAACGAAAGACGGAGGGAATTTGAAATTTGAATTGGAATTTTGAAATGTTAGGAAGCATTTACAAGGGAATGTTGTGACCCCCCCTCAACTTGGAAAATTCTCAAAATTCTCAAAAATCAGACATATGAAAAATAGCATGTTGGTACAATGGACAATGAAATAAATGTTGAGGTCATCAGAATCTGTCGAATGATATGAATTGGATTTTCAAGGTAAACTTCTGTAGTACAAAAATGAACAGGCTAGAAAACCCTTGTAATAGTGAAGTTCTCATCAACGACGTCTCTTGGCACTCGGCTCTCCGTCCCTCTCCTCAGCCGCCGTCCTGATTGCAATAAGGATTTCGTCTTCGGGCGGATCCACGAGCATGTTCCCTGCGAGCATCTGTTCGGCCTCCCGCTCCGCCCGTGCCGTCTCCTCGAGCCGCACCGCCCGTGCATTGTCGATCACCGAGAAGAAGTCGGTTGGCGCCGTCTGCAGGCGCTCCGCGTCGGCCACCATCAGCTGGTCGAAGTTTCTCGAATAGTGCGGCTGGTCGAATTGATCGGCGGTGAGCATGTGTCTGAACGGGTTGCTCAGCGCGACGGGCTCCTCGGGCAGTCGACATTGCACCGTACAATTGGCGATGCGCATTCCGGGCTCGACGATTTCGCTCTGGTTCACGTAGAACACCATGAGATGCACGAAGACCAACGTGGCCGGAAAGTCGTACTCGGGCGAAACGACCTCGAACGGAACGAACTGGCCGCAGTTGGCCTCTTTGAACGGGATCGCCAGCTCTTCCGTCACTCGTTTGTCCGTGTTGTCGCCCACTTCGATCATGAGACGCGCGATTCCGTAGTCGCCGGACGGGCAGGCGATCAGTCCGCGGAACACGAATCTGGGACGGATCAGGGTGAGCACCCAGTTCTGCAATCAACATTTATTACTTCAAATCTTGAACTGTGCTATTGCATAGTCAAGTCACAATCAATTATAAGGGACCATTAGGAAATCGAGTTGAGTTTCTTGTAGTTCTTTGAAAGTTTAGTGATTCAGTGATTGGGGTGATGTAGCTACCGTGCCTGGTGGTCCCTAAAAGACAGTATGGGAGCGCTGCGAGACTCCTCAGGAGCACGATTCACGGAGTCGTGGCGGGGTACACTGGCGCAATTTTGCTTTGGCCTAATGTTTTAAAGGACCAGGGAACCCTCCTCCGAGTTTATGTGTCTGAATTGCTTCTTATTGCCACATTCACTGTCCGAGCCCCAACTTTCAGCAATACGTGTGAATGGAACAGCGCTTAGTCAAAGTTGTGGCCGTGGCCGAGAAAAGTTCTAGGCCTTGTGATCTTTTTTTTGCGTTCGGCACAATCTTCATACGTTGCAAAACATTCACACAAATTAGCATCCCTGCTCACAGGGAAGAGTTTCCACACCCGAGTTTCCTAGGCCACGGCCACAACTTCAACTGCGCGCCGTTTCGTTCATTGGCGTTTCTGATAGTCAGCATTTCACTAGTGTATGAGGCAATAAGAGACAATTCAAACAGTCACAAAAAAAAATCAAAAAATTTGAGGGTTGCCTGGTTTTTAAAGATAGGGGCGCTACGCAATCGACCGTCGGCGGAAGTTCAAATTTAAGTTTTCGATGTTTCCGTCACGAGCCCGTGCGATCATCCGCAGTGCTTACCTGGCAGAACAGTTGCGCATCGAAGCGGCAAATGGGCGCGTTCACGTTCTCGACGACATGAATGTTGCGGAGGGCGGCCGACGAGACGCAGCCGCCCGTGTTCTGACTCGAAGCGATGCCCGCAATCGGCTCGAATTGCAGGTCGACTTCTCTGAATCCGTGCCGAGTCTTGTTGAACTGAAAACTCACGATGATCCGCTCGCTTTCATCCGAATCTCTCTTACCACAATATCGCTCAAATTGAACCTATGCGTCAGTTCTCCGTTCCGAAACCCTCCATCTTTGCGCTGTTTTTCGAGCCACGCGGGCGACGGAAGCGACGCCGTCATTTGGGTGTGACGGGCGAATGCGATCAGGAAACGGTCCGAGTTGATCATCCGCTTGACGAGCTCGTTCTGCTGAAATCGATTGACAATGGGAAAGGAACGAAGAAGAAGAAGAAAAAATGCGCGTACCGCCGCGTAATTCCTCAAGTAGGCTCTGCCGGTCGTCGCGAATCCCTCGACAATGTTCTGAAGGGTCTCGTCGGTGACCGTGTCCGGACAGAACAATCCGCCTGCCATTTCTAAACTCGCCAATTGAATCAATAGGGCGATGAGGTGGTTAGGAGACGAGCGAACGGAGGAAATAAACGGAGAAAAAGGGGGAGAGCGAGAGAGAGAGAGAGACGCAGACAGGGGAGGAGGGGTGTTCACGGGACCGTAGGCAAATTAATATTGATCGACAATATCGGCCAATGTTGGCTCTCCGCCAATCCAGCGCGCCACGGCGACCAAAAGTGTAGAAAGGGGCGTGGCCTTTTTAATGTTAAGCGTTCAAACGGCAAAAAGTGTCGGCGAATGACTGAAATTCGCGCATTTTCAGCACAAAACTGAAAAATCGATTCAATTGATTCATTTCTGAATGAAACTTGCTCGTTTTCAGCTCAAAAAGTGCGCGCGATGATAAGTTTAACAAAGTTATTGTGCAATTACATTGTCGAAATCGTACAAAATTTGGGTAATTTTTGACGAAAACCATAAAAAAAGGGGTTAAATTTCGAATTTCGCGCCAAAATGGTGATAAGCCGTGCACGCTAGGCCACGCCCCCATTTCTACGTTTTTGGTCGCCGTGCCAGCAAGCATATTTTAATTGTTAATCGTTCACAAAGTCGAAGAGAAGCAAATAGAAATGAAGGCAACGGTTGTGGTCAGCAAGTATACGAATGAGGATCGCCCGATGGACCGTGGCTGAGCGGAGGACCCCCGCACGGCCTCCGTCTTGCAGTAAGATCGATAGAAGACGTTGTGCCGCCGATCCCCCCGCCGTTAAGAAGCCATTCACGTCATAAGCCCCCCGAAATATCCTCTTGCAATCTTTGAGCGCTCCAACAAGAAAGCACCTGCGTGGTCTGTTTTCTATGCTCCCGGTGATACGGTATATCTCAGCTGCCGGTAGAGGTATTAAAAAGTTGTCAACTGATAAAATGATCATTAAGAAATTGTGTACATTTAATCAGTTGACACTTTTTGGATATCTCCACCGGCAGCTAAGATACATCGGCTCGAATAAACGGGTGACTTGTCTCTCACAATTCAAAGAGTTTCGTTGAAATAATACTTTATTCGGGTGTGTCAGAATAAAAAATACAAGCGGAATTGGAGTTGATGGAAGAAGAATACGATTGGGGAAGAGAATAAAGCGAGAAAGAGAGAGAGAGAGAGAGAGAGAGAGAGAGAGAGAGAGAGAGAGTTGAGAGTACTGTAGGTACAGTAGCTCAGGCGATGGTCATCTGAGTGGGTTTGCGGAAGAAGCAGTACCAGATGGCGTGGATGTACGACGGAATCATGAAGAAGAAGACGAGGATGAGCGAGATGAACACGTGCATGTTGCATTCGTTCGCGTGCACCGCCACTGCCGCCGGCTGCAAACAATTGGAACTTTATTCAAACTCATCTCCAGAGGGTTTCTGTGAAAAGCCCTCACATTTTTCGTCCTTTTTGGCTCATGATCCCTTCCCGCTCCCCCATTCATTTCGGGCGTCTAGACAATGAGAAAGAGAGCACGTGCTCGCGTGTTCTATTTTCAGAATATGTCACGGGGATTATCTCGTCTTGTAGTCGTGTTATTATAGTTTCCTAAGCCGGATTTTCATGTATTCGGATGCGAAAGAGAGAGAGAGAGAGAGAATGGGCGGCTCATTTTGAGGTATTGATGGAAGGAATCGAAGGAACAAAAGTGCATTCTCTCCCGAATAGCTCTTGAACTTCTCAAAACCGGTAAATGAACGAAAACGCGAGAATCCAGTTTGTCTGAAGCAGTTTAGTTACTGATTTCAAACGAATTCTTCTAGTAGGAAATATACTAGAGAAGTGCACAATTAGAGTTAATACTGTAATAGAAGGGCACCCCAATGTCATTCATTCAAAGCAGCCTATCTTGGTTGCCGGTAGAGCTATCAAAAAATTGTCAATTGATAAAATATGCAGAATGTCTTTCTGAGCAATTTATCAGTTGGCAACTTTTTGATATCTCCCCCGCCAACCGAGATACACTGCTTTGAATGAATGGCATTGAGATGCGTTACAGTATCTACTGATATACCTGTTCCGCTCAACTTTAATACAGCCTAATACCGGTTCTCACGCATTCCCTTCACTACTATCCATCTCACAACATGCACATACCGGAAAAACGACGATGAGAACGATGAGGAGCGCCATCTTGATGAGCTCATCGCGACGATTCGACTCGACGACGAACACGCGTCCCTCGTCTCCCGCGTCCGCCGGAATGTTCGCCGTCATTTTCTCTTCGGCCATTGTTGCGAGTTTTTCTGAAATTGCTTAAGAATATATAGTAGTGTTGACGAGGGAAAAAGAGGCAAGAAACGTTCGAATGCAATGCGAGAGCTCGTGTTCTTCTTGCTCTTTTCTGCTGCGGCTCGCGAGATCGGGCGGTTGGCATGGTGATAAGATGTTTAGAGCCGAGTGCTCGGCGAGCTCACAATGCTCCGACAACTCGTTGCCATTTTATTCCAACGAAATCGAAGAGAGAGAGAGAGAGAGAAAGAGAGAGAGAGAGACGCAGAACGGGAAGAGGAAAACGAGGATTTGTGTTGTGTTTCAGGCCCAAAGACCGAAAGTGGGATCATATTTTCCAAAAAAAAACACCGTTTTTCAATTTTTGATAACATTTTCAAACTTTCAATGGGTAGAAGGCCAATATTTAGAGCGATAATAGTTGAAAACAGACGAGTGACGTGGCAAACAACACCTGACGAAATAATATTGACACCTGCCCGTTTTGGAGTGACAACACAGAGAAAAAGAGCGAAAAAGTGAGAGAAAGAGAGAGAGAATGACATTGAAAATGGGAGAATGAATTGGATATTTATGTGTGAGAGACACACATCGAAATGCCAAAGTTTGGGAAGCCTACAATAGACGTCTTTCACACTTTACACACGACATTTTGAGGGCGTTTTTGTACAGCTACGAGTCGTTTTATAAACTCAACTTTCTTTTTAGGTGAAAAGTTCATGTCTAGTACTACACTTTTTCAGTTGACACCTTTTTTCCAGAACCACTCCCCGGAGTACTGTAGCGCTTGGAAGTCGTCACTGAAACGGTGACTTCCCCCGAGCTACAGTACTCCAGAGAGTGGTCGTATCGAAAAAGTGTCAACTCAAAAAATGTCGTACTATACGTGTAGTTTTTGCAAAAAATTTTTGAAATCAATCGGACGTCTTCTGATTCTGTGGCGCACGTGCAAATTTGAACGATTTTTGAACTTGAGCTCCGAGCTTCCGTGCACTTTTAGAAGGCCACAATTTGGTCTAATTAGTGTAAAGTTTAAAGCGAAAAGTTCAAAACATTGCGATTTTGAGCACAAAAAGCACGAATAGGTGTGAAGAAGTGGAGAGAAAGAGAGAGAGAGAGAAATGAGTCAGAAAAGAGGAAAAAGACGATGAGAAATGGGAGATGAGTCATCGAAAAGGAGAAAACGAAACGGCGCGGCGAACCATTGCGAAATGCCTTTTGTTTTCGTGGCCTTTCGGAACAAGAAAGTTCTGGACGCATCTGGGAGACGACTGTACTTTGGCCGACTTGAGAAACGCATTCCGTGGTTCGTGTATGAGCCGTAAAAGTTTAAACTGGGTACTGTAGTTGCAAAATGTCTAGGTCGAGTTGCGAAACATTCTGGGACACTTTGCAACCGATTTTGATCGCTTTTCAACTGAAAACAAAACGAGGAACACTAAATAGAAGAGAGAGAGAGAGAGGAGACAAGGTGCGCGCGTTGGTATTCTCCCGAATACCAATGAGACACACACACATCCTATGCAAATGACCTCTCTCTCTCTCTCTCCCTCTCTCTCTTTCTCTCTTTCTCTCTCTCTCTCTCTCTCTCTCTCTTTCCAGTGAAGACAAGGCCGTTTCGAATTACGAAATATTACTGTCAACTTGTCTGCGTTCTCCCCGAAACGACGTACACTTTCCGTCAACACGAAACGAGGTCAGAGCAGTCTAATTGCGCAGATGGACACGCGAGTTACTACGAAAAGGTGAACGGACAATACTCGCTCGAATGTTTGTGAAACTGTTCAAAAGTGGGTCAACAAGGTTTGAAAGTGGACGGGAAACGGAGAGAAAAAGAGGGAGAAGGGCTGGAAAAGCATAATATCGGAAGGAGGGTGTTTTCTTGGAAAAAAGAGGATTTTGTGCAAATGTTCAAAAAAAAAACTGTGAAACTGGGAAAGTTCTGGAGATGGTGCTTGTCAAGAACGTGTTGTAGGAAATGAAGAACTCTGTTTCAAGTGGTAAAGTTGCTCCATTCAAAAGCTTAATGACTAGACGTCACAACTGTCGGCCTGGCCTTCAAACTTTCCAGAAAAAGTGTTATTGTTGAAATGTTCTGGTGGAAAGTGATAACAGTCGGTTTATCAGTTGACAATTAGACATTGCCCACTCCCTGATTTCACAATTTTCTTCTTTCCGCACGTCCTAACCAGCAAGTACGTGGAAGGACGGTTTCAAGTGAACGATTCTTGTGGCCTAGTTTTCAGGAAACTCGGCCACTTAAAGGGCGGCGAACGCGATCCCGTGAAGTGTCGGTCCATGCGCAGCCTTAAGAGCGGGCCTCCCACAGTCTCGGTATCGCTTCTTCGGCTTATTAGCTAAGATCAAAGTGTAGTATCTGTTCTTATCGTATTAACCTACGGTATACACTCGAATGAGTGTAATAAAGGTTATATGATTTTTGGAATCGAGGGAAGGCTCGGGGCTTGCTCCGACTTCCCAGGGGTCGTCCCGGCGTTGCACTGCTGCCGGGCTCGGCCCAGTCCCCCCGAGGGGACAACAATAAAGTATCTTGTGCATCTGCAAAACATCTACGTGAACTCGTCCGAATGAGAATAATTAGTGCCAAACAAAAAAGGGAAAGGAAGTATTTCTGAACCGGCGCACGCGGAGGAGCCGTCTAGTGGGCTCGAAGTGCTCATTAATCAGGAGTAGGCGCCCGTCAAAATGGCCGACGGATACGAGGACTTTGGACCGGGAGCCGCATCGTGAATTCCTTTCAATAAATATGATATCTGCAGTTTTATCCTTTCTTTATAGTTTTCCTCCGTTCGCAACCATTTGAAAGAGAATGGCGCGAAATTGAATAATGGCCAGGAAACGCGGAATTTTTTATGGGCGAAGCTGTTCTTTTCTTCGCCATTTACAGTTCAATTTTCTTGTGAAAAGCTCGAAAACTATTTCGAGAATTCCTGACGTTGAAGACGTCGATGTCATTTTGTTTAAAGGCGCACGCCCGATCGTTTGGGGCCGGTCTAGTCGCGACAATGACAAAGAAGTTGCCAGCGTGAAAAACACCCTGATTTTGAAAAGTTTCGTAGTTTTCTTTAAAAATTTGAACGCTTCTCGTGAAAAATAAGAAATTTATCTACCCTTGAGTGCTTTCAAAACTTTGATGCTTCAAAAACCAAAAATGGAAAAGAAAAATCCTTGTTTTCCTCTCATTTCGTCGGATATTCCGTTGTTTTCCATCTTCTCCCACAATCAGATCAGTTTTCAGTCAGTCATGTTCCTCACTCGCAGCGAATACGATCGTGGAGTCAACACCTTCTCCCCGGAAGGACGTCTTTTCCAAGTTGAATACGCCATCGAGGCCGTCAAGGTTTTTCAAAACGCTGCTCACTTGAAACTGCGAACATTTATTTTAGTTGGGTTCGACGAGTATCGGAATCAAGACCAGCGAAGGAGTTCTTCTGGCGGCCGAGAAGCGATCGACGTCGAAGCTGATGGTGAATGACGCGATCGAGAAGATCAGCAAGGTGAGCAATAAATGTCGCATGGATGTGGAGAATCCGTTTTTCAGCTGTCACTTTCGCCGGATTGATTGCCGATTCGCGCACTCTCGTCGAGCGAGATCAGGTCGAGGCTCAGAACTTCTGGTTCTGCTAAAATCGCAAAATCCGTGTCGAGGACGTCACCCAATCGGTTGCCAATCTGGCTCTTCAGTTCGGAGACGATGACGTCAAGGTCAGTGAAATACCGATCAATATTTGCAATAATAACAGTTCAGGCGTCGATGTCCGCCCGTTCGGAGTGGCCCGAAGCTCTTCCATCTTGACCCATCCGGCACTTTCGATCGGATCCGCCAGTGACGGCGTTGCACTGCTGCCGGGCTCGGCTCAGTTCCCTCGAGGGGACAAAATAAACAAAACGAGTGCTCAGATCCGATCAGAAACTGCTCGAATGTAATCAGTTTCGCGAAACACGCTATCAGTTTCAATGTGTTGACCGGTGGACGATAAGATCGTGGCAGAAAAAAAGGAGGCGAAAAAAGAACGGCTCCAGGAGGATCATTCCGAAATCGACGCGCGACGGCACATCTCGCAAGAACAATCTGAATGCAGGAGGAGCAAAGTTTTCAGTGAGTTTCGCATTCTGGCGATTCGCGCAATGAGCCGCCGAATGATGATGACAATCCGAAAGTGGGACACGCTCATTAGCGCGATTTTATCAGATTTTCACATATTCACGAGCAGTTGGAAACGCTTTTTCGAAATGTTTAATTCATTTTTTGAGTGAAACCGAGTTAGTGTCCGCTTCTTCTTCAAATGAAGGTATTCCGGTTCCGCATTTCCAGCTCTTCCAGCCCGAAAACCGCTCTGAAACAGTTACAGATCGCTCGAGAACCCTTCGTACGGCGTGCCGACCGTTCCGGACGTCTACATGAACCAATGGGCGCTGCCGCCGCCCGGTCGCGCTCAGTTGGACATGGTCCCGATGGATCCGGCGGCCCTCTACCATCCGCAATACCAATTCCAACCGCCGGCTCCTCCGATTCCTCCGCCGCTGCCCCCGATGTACCAACTGCTGCCCGGACAGCCTCTGCAGAATCTCGACGACCCGATGACGTTCTTCATTCCGCCGAACAACGGGAACGCGGAGGTGCGGGCGGTCCCGGCGGCTCGCGAGAGCAAGAGCAAGACTTCGGTGCGCAACAGAAAGAAGCAGACGGTAACGGACCGAAATGGAATCGAAAAGAGTGTTTCCAGTTTTCAGGCGCGCACGGGAGTGATTTGCTCGCACTGCTCGACCGGAACGACGACTCTGTGGCGCAAGAACGACGAGGGACTGCTCGAATGCAACGCCTGCAATCTCTACTTTCAACGCAACAACGTCAAGAGACCGCTTTCGCTGTGCAAGGAGAAACCGCTCACTCGCCAGAGACACAAGTCCAAGCGCGACGACGAGAAGCACTGAAAGGACGACGGACTCGCGGATACGTGAGCATTTGACTCTCTCTTGATCTCTTTAGTTTTAATAGAATCTCGCTCTCACCAAATGAACATTTGCCGATGAGTTTTTATGTTTGAAAATAGCATTTATTCAACAAAACGACGAGAAACATTGAAGAGACATTGTTCACATTTTGCAGAAACGATCAATAGACAAGACATGGAAGAGGAAGAGTAGAAGAATATTCAAAGCGGTGCCAAATGAGGTCGAATAAAGTGTTTTATACAGAGGGGAAAAGTACAAGGATTACTGTAGAGCCGGATAGTCGAAAGTATTGTTGTAGGCTGGCGGGGCATAATACATTTGATGGAATCGGTGGGCGTTCGGTGGAGGAATACGGTAGTCATTGAAAGTGTACGGAACGGAAATGTGAGGACGATGCGGTGGGTGACACATTTTGTAGGGATTACTGTGGAACGTGGCCATCGGCTGGAGGTTATGGTAGCTGGGAGTGTAGTTGTACGCCAATGGAGCAGCGGGTCTGCAAGAAGATGATATTTGAAAACGAACGGCCACGCACTTTTGGATCCCTTACGGTTGAATCTTCACAGTTTTCTGCTTGTCTTCCTGCCGGACCTCCTTCAGAAACTGATCGATTACCGGAATGTACCTGTCCGGATCCTCATCTTTTCCATTAGGTTGTGTCAAACAGTGCGTCGGCGGTGATTGGTAGAAGGTGTAGTGGTAGGTGTAGGGTGAAGAATTGGGGGAAACGGTCTCCACTGGAGGATCAGGGGAACGGACCGTGAGCTCCGTGAACACGGGCTTTTTTAGAAGAGCTTGGAGCAGCGGACTCTTTTTTTGAATCGGACTGATTTCAGTCGACATGACAACTGGGGGGAACAGACTGAATTAGCAAAGGATCCGAATGAAAAAGAGGGCGTGCGGACCGTCTAGACACTCACTCGCAACACGCGCGCGCTTCTTCCATTAATCAAAACAAAACGCGTGTCACAAGTATCATCATTCTTCGTTCTTCTAATTCGATGATTGACATTGACGGTGTGTGTGTTTGAGTAATTTTGTTTGATTTATTCGGCTGCTGCTGGGTTACGGTAGGTTTCGAATTCAAGAGTTACGCGGGAGAGAGTCGAAAAAATGAACCGCTTTTGAAACACGAATTCCGAGTTCCGATTGCCGTCTGAAATTTCACAACAGTGTTGAGCGGAATTCCGTCTTCCGTCTGCCGTCTTCCGGATTTCAAAATTCCATTTCCGCTCAACTCTGTTTCACAACTTTTCCGTCGTTTTTCGATTCTCAATAGTAATTTTTTCGATTGTCAATACATTTGCGCGGAATTCCGACTTCCGTCTAACCTCCCTTCAGTCCTGGCCATTTATATCCTGCACGTTCGTTGAAAAGTGGCCCACCGGGTGTGTCCATCCTCCTCTTTTTCCCTCAAAATAACACCTTGTCCTCGCGTATTGCACTTTACTACTTTTCATACTTTTAAACATTCTCTCCCTCATCCTTCTTCTTCTTCTTCTTCTTCTTCTTCTTCTTCTTGTTCAACTTTTCGGTCTCCCTCCGGATAACCTTTCCGCTCGAGTCATTCGCGCGGAAAAAGTTTAAAATGAAATGAAATGAAAGCCAATTTCGGAGCAGGGAGCGGCTGAATATGAGAGTTTATGAGGGAATGCGTGCGTGTGTGCTCCGCGAGCCGTATAAGATTCGACGATTAACGAGAGAGAGAGAGAGAGTATCCGAGAACTCTCTCTCTCTCTCTCTCTCTCTCTCTCTCTCTCTCTTCCTTACTACCTTTTATCCGATTACTTTCAAATCCTTGCTTTTCCCACTTTTTTCTTGTATTTGGGTATGGCTGGAAAGCGAAAAAAAAACCGCGAGATTTTCGACCTAAACCAGTCTATCTCGGGTCCAAATGACCCGATCGGTCTGAAATTTAGATCCAAATTAGTTCAATCCAAGTCCAAGAAGCCTGCAAAATTTGGATCCGTTCGGATAATAGCAAATGGTCTAGGACACACTAGTCAATGACTTTTGGCTCAATGTGCTCAGAATGATCTTATTGCCACCCGAAACTTTGTCGCTTTTCATCTGAATTGGCCCGATGACCATCTTTTTGGAAACATGCCACTTATTCAGTAGTCTAGACACGTTTTTCGGCCATTCTGCGCCTGATTTTTGTAATCATAGCTCTGTGTTACATGTCAGGAACGTCAAGTTGGAGCACAGAAAAGAAAAGCGCGAGCTGCAAAGTCCTAAATGGGATTCATTGTGTAACCTCTTAACATTCTCATTGAAAAGTCATATAAACGCATAATTTCCTTCATAAAGCGTCAGTTTTCTGCAGAAATCTCGCTTATTTATGCGTCTAGACGAGCTCAGAGGTCACTTTTTCGGTCCCTTTCAGTCAAACCATCTAATTTTTATAATTCCAGTTCATTTGTACGAATTGCTGTTCGTCACAAGCAATTAGGGCAAAAAAGGAACGCCAGAAAACGGTTATAAAGTCAAAATTTGTTCGTATTTGATCAGTGACACCGCAATTTCTAGGTTATGAACTCTATTGGTTCACTAGCAAATTGGCCGAGAGTTCTTGCTCTCCGGCGTTTTTCCATTCAACTGAACGACTCTGGAACTTGATGAAAGTGGACCTTGCCTATGCAGAAAGCAAAATTCAGCCTAAAATGGGAAGATTTTCTCAAGTACAGAGTAGTTTTTCAAATATCGATAAATTATGGAAAACAAGACGCTGTATCTCAGCTGTCGGTGGAGTTATCAAAAAGTGGCCAACTGATGAAATGTACAAAATTTCTTACTGAACATTTCATCAATTGACAACTTTTTGACATCTCCACCGGCAGCTGAGATACAGCGTCTTGAATAAATGGATCCCCCAAGTCCAGATTGAGGTGAAAACCCAACCTCTTTTCCCGTTTTCCCTCTCAAAAAGTCATCAGAAATGTCCAACATAAATCGGTCTCCCCGTCCCCTCCTTTTCGTTCTCTCTGTAATTACGTATTCCATGGACCTCCGTCCTCCTTCTCCCCTTTTAACATATACTTTTTCCTTCCAAAGTGTGCTCAATACGCTTTTCCTACCGTAATCCTTGAAAGTTGCTCCGACCGCCCACGCCAAATCCAATTTCATCATCCCTTAGGAAATCTTTACTCAAGTTAGTATTGCAATTCTCAAGGAATGGGGCGAATGTCGTCGTGATGAGAATAGAATCAAAGAAGAAGACGTCAGAAATGAGATGACGTCCCCGTGCACATTTAATAAGATAAATTAGGTGGGAAAGGGGGTGGGGGGCATTGCAAGTAATGAAATTATTCAGAAAAGAGGCGGCGGCCGGCTCAGTTCGCATTTCTGATTGTTGAGCGACCACAGGACACTTTGCAACCAAAGTTTCCACTCTGCAACCGCAAGACAATCGTCTAAAAGCCGTATTCTTTTGAGAACTAGTTGCAAAACGTCCTCCCTTTGCTGAAACGATTCCCAACCAGAGAACCTGCTTTCAGCCTTTGCTACAACTTTCCAACTGTCCAGTTGCAAAGTGTCTTGGTTGCAAAACGTCAATCAGTTGCAAAACGGGGGTTGAACTTTTGCTCGCTTTCTTGCATCATTCCCTCCTTTTTCCGAATTGTTTAGAGTTTCCAATACTCTTCTGTTTCCGCGTTTTGCTCTTTTTTTACTACTCCCTTCCACAATAATCCATAACAATTGGTCTCTCTTTCTCTCTCTCTCTTTCTCTCTCTCTCTCTCTCTCTCTCTCTCTCTCTCTCTCTTTCCCTATAAAAAGGACCACACAAACATTTGATTCATTTTCATTTCTTCTTCCCGCACACAAAGTGATATGGGACACAAAAAGAGAGAGAGAGAGGGAGTCAGCACAAGAAGTAAGAAAGAAGAAGAAGAAGAAGAAGAAGAAGAAGCTATCCCTTCTCTCTCTCTCTCTCTCTCTCTTTCTTTTTCCGTTCCGTTTGAGATTCTTCCATCATCATCGCCATCATCGCCGTTTTGTCATTTTTGCCGCGCCGCCCGGGTTCATCTCTGATGATTTCCATGTTTTTTTTCTCACTACTACTCCAATTCTATGCCAATTTGGGCCGTTTTCTGCAAAATGACACTCGATCTCGTGTGGAATCAGGCTGGAGCACTCAAAAACCATTTACACACTTAATTCTCAGATCGAACGGACTTCTGGACCCACAGGATCGCCTATTTCGACAGTAATTGTCCTAAAAACTCTTGTAACCCACAAGAAACCGTCTCATTTTCTTGTTGTAACACTTCGAAAAGTGTGACCAAACTCCCAATTATAGTCTCCCCCGTCCTTGACCTCAATTTTGTACACAAAACCTTCGACGTGCCAGGTTCTGTCAAAAAAGTGTCTAGAGTGTCAAACATCTCAAAGACATCTCTTATCACATGCTTTAGAGGTGCCGGCTTGTGCTCAAACTCGCTCGGAACTTTTTTTCTTATCGCTCATCTTTAGACGCTTATATCTCGGGATCCGAAGATTATTTCAAAAAGTGATCAACTAAAAAGTTATTGTAATTTTTGTGCTCAACAACTTTGTAGTTAATCATTTTATTTCAAAACTTGTTGTTCTTGAGTTATACTCTTGTTTCTAAGCAGTATCCACCGGAGCGACGAAAAAGAAAAAAAGGTTGTACTTTCAGAGCAATATATTTCAGCTGTCTGTAAAGATATCAAAAAGTAGTCAACTGATAAAATGTAGAACATTTTTCATTCTACATTTTCATAATTGACAGCTTTTTGCTATCTCCACCGACAGCTGAGATACAGCGTCTTAAACAAACGGTATAGGTGTGGTACAATAATTGTAAGTATTGTCGTCCTCCCTGAATAATGTCCTCCTCCCATTCTTTCCCATTGTACACATACTCGTGTCCGTTCCCTTCTCACTTTCCCAACTCTTTCTTCCCTCCTTCTCCTTCTTCTTCTTCTTCTTCTTCTCGTCTTCCGTGACCAGCTGTTTCCCTCATGAGTTTCTGCCTTGTTTTTTGAGGGATTATGCATTCTGCTTTTCTTTTTTCCGGGCGGTCTTTGAGTATTATATGAGTGATCCCACCACTCACAGTTACACACACACATGACAAAGGTGAGAAGTCCCGGTCGGATCGGCTCATGTTTCGTACTAGTTTTGCAACCGAAAAGTGAGATAAAGATAAGGAAGAAAAGAGATATTTTGTGTTGTTTTGAGTGCGGTTGATCATTCGATGATTTAGTGGTCTGACGATTTGAATATTGTACATTTCAAAGTTCAACTCCTATCATAAGCTTCTGGATTGATTTGGAGTGTCTCGGTTGCAAAACGTCCTCGGTTTCAAAGTGTCACTGCAACACCGAACTTCGAAATCTAGAAAAGTATGCTCTTTTCTCTCGTTTCTCTCAAAGTACTCTACGAAAAAACATGTCAACTCGCTCATCAGTCATTTCGGTTTTTTGTGCTCTTTCTGTCATGTTCTTTTGTCAAAAAGACAGGTAAAGGTGTTGAAATTCTAGAATGTATAGTATTGTGCACTTTTTTCATTTTTCCTACGATTTACCCACCTTTGGCTAGACAATGTACTCTCGGACGTTTTGAAACTGGTCACTGAGAGAGACAAGAACAACTATGGTCAATATTTTGGTTGCGAAACGTGTAAAAGAACAGTTTCAGTCCATTTGGAGCCTTTTTCATCTTTACAATTCTGTATCTACCCTTCCAAAGAACTGAATTCCCAATACCATTTATTCAAAACGATATATCTCAGCCGCTGATAAAGATATCGAAAAGATGTCAACTAACAAAATAATCATTAAGAAATTGTGCCTATTTTCTTAGTTGATCACTTTTTGATATCTCTACCGGCAACCGAGATACACAGCTCGAAACTTTGATACATGTGCGATGATGTTCCACTCCCAAATGTCACAAGTCTTCGGAAAGCTATAGCGCTCGCTGCCTCTAATGAAACAAAAACTCGATCGGGTTCTCATCAACATTTCATCATCTTTTTTTGCAATCAAACGGGATCCACATGATCCCTGCTTCCGCATGTATCTCGGAAGCTCGGATCCGCCCCATGCTTCCCTTCAGTACAAACTCATTCCTCTCATTTTGATTCACTCTCCCTCTCCCGAGATGCCACAAAAAAACCATATTCCCGCGGGGGCTCGTTGAGCTTCTCGGACCAACTGACACCTTTTCGAACGGAGAGCGAACGAGTGCGGCGAAAACGAAAAAGAATTTTGAAAATAAATGTGATATGTGTATAGCTATTATTCTGTTTTGAAATGTTTGAGTGTGTTTGCGAGTCATTTCGAACTCCTTTCTTCCTGATATTATCCGTTTCCATCCGCTGGCCTATGCACCTAAAAAGGCCGACACATAAACAGAAAATGAGTCATTGAGGGCGGCAAGTGGGTGTGATTGCCTTCGTTTTCAAATTGAGAAGAAGACACACACTTTTGTTGCTCATTATTTTCACTTTTCTTCTTTCCTTTTTGTTAGATCTCTGAGATTCTCGGCTACTCGACGTTTCAAACTGGACACTTTGCAACCAGTGTGTCCCCGGAGTCTCAACAACTTCATATTGATATTGTCCGTTCAAAAGTGTGTCACCCGTTTCTGTTGTGCCCTCCCTCAAAAAGTGACATTTCGCATGTCCTCGGAGACTCATTTCGTTCCAATTTCTTCCAGAATATCCTCTTCTCCTCCTCCTCGTCTTCGCCTTCATTCAGTTAGGTTTCCTCCATCAGGCACCGAAAAAGAGGCTCTCTTCTTCTTCTTCGGTTCAATGAATTTTAAATTTTTTTTTTTTCGCGCGCTGTTGTGTCTCTATTCTGCTGTTTTTTGCGACGAGTTTCCAGGTCAATTGACTTGCGATTTGGCGACAAAAAAAGCGAGAGTTTTCATTTATTTATACGGCTTCTGGGTGGCTTTTTTCTAAGAATTCGTCGCCGTTTCCAGAATGCTCCTCCTCCTCCTCCGCTGAAAATGCTCCGTTTCTCTGCTCTTCTCATTCTGCTGACGGCTTCTGAAGTCGTCTCAGCCGCCGATCAGGTAGGCAAGACGTTTTGCAACTGGGAGGACGTATTGCAACGTTGCAAAGTGCCCAACGGGGTTGACCGTCAATTTCTCGCAACTGAGAGGACTGCGAGATATGAAAAGTGTCTGGTTGCAAAGTGTCCGCACGTTTTCAGACATGCGAGGACCGATGCAAACGTCTCAAACAACGATCACTCAGCCGAATAGGATACGACGACGAACGGTACACACTATTTCCCTATTCCGGAACCCATAAAAGTTCGTGCTCAGATTACAAACGTTATTGGAGAGACAACGACCGCGGGAGAGCATGAAAGACGTCTGCTGGAGGCTTTACGACAACCTCGACTGCATGAAGAAGTGCCCCAAGTCGGAGAAGCACGCGAGTTTCGCGAAGCACGTCAGGAATAAGTGCAAGTTTGTGCTGGAAGGTCAGTCGGGACAGGTTACTGTAGGGGAGTGTATGGAACCATAGGCTGGGAGGTATGAAATAGACATTGCAAGGGCTCCCGGACGTCTCGACTCCGCGACGCTCCAAACCTTTACGTTGATTGTTACGTCACCGACAGTGTTGAGCGGAATTCCGTCTTCCGTCTTCCGTCTTCCGTGGTTTTTTTGTTCCGTCTTCCGTAAAAAAGTTTTCTTCCGTCTTCCGGGATTTTTTCTTCTTACCGTAAAAGAGTTATGGTTTTTCAGAAGCCATTTGCTAGCCCCGAAGAACGCGAATTTCCACCCAGATCCAAAATTTTTGCTGCTTTAGTTGTTTTTTTCAAAAAAAAAACCGGAGAAAAAGGTTCTGCACTGACGATTTTTTTGTTCCGTATTCCGTCTTCCGTCTTCCGAGAGAAAAATTTTCTTCCGTCTTCCGTTTTCCGTTTTCCGTGTTCCGTAAAAAAATGCTCTTCCGTCTTCCGGATTTCAAAATTCCATTTCCGCTCAACTCTGGTGAACACTGCTGAAACTGACTAGAAAAGAAAACAAAAACGGTTCGTGTCGAATCGAAGAGATTCCAGAAATGGAGCCGACGCTGAAGTGCATCAGCAAGCACCACTCGTTCCTCACAATGCGCTGCAGCTCTTTCCTGAACGAGGCGTCGCGTCTGCGCGCCGAATCGGATCTGAGCACGACGCCACGTCACGACGAGTGCCGATTCCTGCACCTGACGACAATCTGTCTGGAGAACCACGTGAACACGTTCTGTCCGGACGGAAGGATCATCTTCCGACGCCTCAATTTCAGGTTCCCCTTGTGCCGTGTGTCTTCTGTGAAAAGTGAACATTTGCAGAGACTACTTCCTGAGCTTCATTCTTCCGATGGACGACGATTTGTTCGACGACGAAGATCTGGATAGCTGTCAGATTTACGATTTTGTGAAGGACGCCGAGAAGCGGGAGCGCGAAGAGGCGGAGAGAAAACAGGAGGAGGAGAGACGCAGACGGATCGAGGACGACGAGGATTACGAGGTGGGAACGAAGGGGCGGAAAGTAGCAAAAATGGGTTCAGGAGGAGCTGACGACAATTGTGAACGATATGGAGGAGGATTCAGAAGTCAGTCTCACTTCTCAAATGCCCACGTCATCCGTTTCCACTCCGACAGCCAAAACTGCGGTCAGTTTTGAAACTTTTGAAAGTTTGAATGCTCAAAAGAGATTGTAGGAGCTCACAACTCTGCTCAACGACTTGATCACTTCTGCGGAGCATTCGGAGGAAGAGACTAATCAAAAAGAGCACGAAAAGGGAGAAAATGAGGGTGACGAGCACAGAAAAGACTTGGATACTCTTGTGGAGAAGTTGGATGGGAATAAGGCGAATTCGGAGGAACACACTGAGAAGGGTGGGATCGGGGGACTAGTATTGTGACGTCGAAACTCGTTTCCAGATGAACAGTCACCGTCCGAACTTCCTCTAACTGACTCCACTTCAACTATTATCATGCCTTCCAACCAGGAAGACTACCAAGATCAAGAGTACTCGGAACATCACTACGACGAGGAATACGACGAGCCGGAGGATAACAGCACGCACCCGACGATCAGTGTCGTTTCCATCGAAACGCGTCTCTCTGAGTCTGCATCGGCGGAGAGCCCGGAAGGTTCGGAAGAAGAGCAACTCGTGGAAGTGACCACTCCGGATGTGCTTCTCAATTTGACGCCTCCGAATAAGGTGGGCGAAGAATCGGAAGAGATCGTCACGGTGGAGACGACGACGACTGGGAAGCGGAAGGTGTTCTCGGAGGACAGCATGGAGAACACACCGCCCAACTTCTTCTACTCCTCCAATCGATACGATAGCACGACGCGCTCGAATTATGTCGCCGATAATCTCGATTTACAGGTACCGATGAAAGTGAAAACAGTTGGTTGAAATAAAGATTTTTAGGACAGCGAAGAGCCGCTGGAGATTGACACTTCCACACTGTTCGGTATTGAGAGAACGTCGACGGAAATGACGACGAGTGTTCCGAAAAGAGTCGATGGGTTTGTTGAGAGAGATCGTCCGAGAGTTATCGATCCGAATGTTCTCTTCAGAAAGCCGAGGCCCTGGCTTCAAGGCGGTGTCATTGTGAAGCCGATTTTGAATTTCGATCAGATGGATGTGGATCAAGGTACACACAGTTCTCTCCGAAACACAACGAAGAGAGTATTTCAGACGAAGAGCGTGAACGAGAGAACCGTCGTCTCCTCCATCGGAACCTGACGTCTTCTACTTCATCCGAATCCTCCTCCTCCTCCCCAGACGAAGACGACTTCCTCGCCGATTCGGAGGGCCCGTCGACGAACGAAACGCTCATAGTGATCGGTCTGATCGCCCTAGTTATCTGCCTGATCTTCCTCATCCTCCTCCTCCTGCTCGCCTATTTCTGTTCGGCCCGGACCGACAGTTACAATGTGCAAAAGGACGAGGCGAGTCCGCCCGTCTGAACGAACTTCTCCAATCTTGATGATTCTGAATACGTGTATGTCCTATGTAGCTTCTTCGTTTTTTGTAACCATACAATACTCTTCTCTGAAAGTCGTTTTTGCCAATAAAATGTGTTTGTTTGTGTCACGTGAAAAGCGTCAGGATCTCTTTGAGGGGAATGCAAAAAATGCGCGGTCGGCCCGCGTCAGACACTGATAAAACCAGTTCATTTGCGGGCGGGGAGACGCAGAAGATAGATGATATCGATCGATTTGAACGAAGGAAAAGAAGAAGACGTACCGCGTCAGTCGCTCTTCTTCTTCGTTCGTTCGGCGCCGTCGTCGTCATGGAGAACTACGAGAAGGTTCGAGTCGTCGGAAGAGGCGCGTTCGGCGTCTGTTGGCTTTGTCGCGGCAAAAATGAGGCGTCACAGCAAAAAGTGAGTTTATCGAAAGTGAGCAAAACGGTTTCGACCACGGCAGGATTCGAACCTGCAATCTTCTGCTCCGTAGGCAGACGCGTTATCCATTGCGCCACGCGGCCCGTGATCGCCGCCTGAGTCGAGGGCGTACATATTAGTGGCAAACCCACTTGATTTCAGGTCATTCTCAAGCTCATCAACACGCACGGAATGTCCGAAAAAGAGGACAAGTACATTCAGAGCGAGGTGAATTTGCTGAAAAAAGTGCAGCACCCGCTGATCATCGGCTACATTGACTACTTTTCGGTCGACAATCAACTCGCAATCGGTATTATTGCGAATTTTGACATTTTCGAACGTTTTGTTTCAGTGATGCAATACGCGGAAGGCGGAACGATGGAACGGATGATAAACGAGCAGAGGCCGGACAAGTTCCCTGAGAAACAAGTTTTGGAGTACTTTACACAGGTTTCATTACAAATAATCATAGAAGAATGGGAATTCTCAGATCCTGATCGCTCTGGATCACATGCACGCCAAACAGATTGTGCACCGGGACCTGAAGCCGCAAAACATTCTGATGAACCGACGGAAGACCATTCTGAAACTGTCCGACTTTGGAATTTCCAAAGAACTCGGCACCAAGTCGGCCGCCTCGACCGTCATCGGAACGCCCAACTATTTGAGCCCCGAGATTTGCGAAAGTAATCCTTTTTGCCAGCGTTTCTATCTGCAAAATGTTTCTTAAGGCCGTCCGTACAACCAGAAAAGTGACATGTGGTCGTTGGGTTGTGTTCTTTACGAGCTTTTGGAGCTGCGCAGAGCGTTCGACGGAGAAAATTTGCCGGCAATTGTGATGAAAATCACAAGGGTAAGCGTTTTCGTCAAAAATTTCAGTTTTTCATTCCTCAAAAGTTGAAAAAACCGCTAGGTCCCACCGAGATTTGAACTCGGGTCGCAGGATTCAGAGTCCTGAGTGCTAACCGCTACACCATGGAACCGACGATTGAAACTGGAGGCTGAGGGGGTAGACGGGAGGGCGGTCGTAGCCGACGCAGCGGGCGCAAACAGAAAGTGAAAAGCAGACTTGCTAGCACTAAATTTTCAAAAAATGATTTTTGGGTCAAATTTCTCTCAAAAATCGTGCCTTTTTGTATTTCCAAGTTGGCAAAATACGCTTACCAGCCTTACTTACCAGCCTTGACGCTTACGCCGGAAAAAGCAGTTTTCCGAGTGAAAAACCCGAAAAATGTGTCTTTTTTCGAAAAGTTTCTAAAAAACAGGGGACGACCGGAGAAATGGGCGAGCACGTGTCGGCGGAGGTGAAGCAATTGGTGCACAAGTTGCTGAAAACCAATGAGAATAAACGGCCCGATGTGACAGGTACTCGTGTTTAGAAAGAACGATAATATTCGGATGGCTTCAGACTTGCTCGTCGACCCGATAGTTCTTCCATATCTTATTTCGATTCATTGTGATCTGGGAAGGCTGGAGGCGCTTCCAAGTGATAAGGTTCGATTGATTTGATGTACATCATCATGCCACACTTTGGACCGATTAGGTTACGGGCTCTTTGGCTCGCGGAGCCCAAGTGCTCCAAAACTTGTTAACCGAGGCTAACTTAACTTCCAAGTAGGGCATGTTGTGTACCGTTCGAAGAGTCTTATCTCGAAAATGTGATCCGTTTTTGCAGAGGAAGCCTTCCTCCTCGTTGAGCAGCCGACTTCGCACCAATCCGACGCTCTCGACGCTCCGCGCCTGCTCCACGCCTTCCAGTCTCTCCACGACGGCCACTCCCTCAATACTTCCGACGTCTTCGATGCAAATCACTCGGTCGAGTTTCGCAACCGGAAGAATGGCAACCGGCGGTCAGCCGAATCGGATTCCCGTCCGGGCACAGTACGACAAAACTTATTAGGCACTACAAGATTTATACATAAAACTATCAGAAGTGTATCACACGCAAGCACAGGGACTGTTAGGATTATTATTGGCGGTGCCTAGGTATGATCTTTGTAGAGCAGGTTACGGTAGGTGAGTACAATGTTGTGGCCGAGATTCGTGAAAGAGTTGGGGCGGGCGGGCGGTTGTTCGCGGTGCGGGTCCAGTTCCGCATTGGGCGATCGCGTTCGGGCTCGTCTTTCTGAGGCGCGCGCATTCCTCGTTTTGAAACTGAAAAAATGCTCGGATTGCTATGACTTTTTGATATGTGCGCCGGCAGCTGAGATACTCACTTCATACTATTCCGATCGCCCAAATTCCTGGCGGTCGTCTCCAAAAACCCGTTGGTGTTCTGCTCTAAACTGACGGAATGACCGTATCCGTCGAGCCAACTCTGCCTCCGACCTTTTGCCGAATGGCTCGAGAAGCACGAATCGTCGCTTATGTCGGATCCGTTGCCTATCCGAATGCTCATGTCGGACTCTAAGCTGCCGCGCGAGTCCCTCGACTCCCTCCGACTTCCGCGGTCTTCCAGCCGTCCATCCGCCGAGAGGAACGACATTTTCCTCGAATCCGACGAGAAAGAAGGACGGGCGGCGCTGATCATGACACGTGGCAGGTTGGTGGAGGACATGGAGACTCTTCGGTTGCCGAGTCGGTTCAATCCCAGATGGTGGTTGCTCTGCTTCTGCTCCTGACGGTCCTCCATCTCGTATCTCCGCTGTTCGAGCACGTCGAGCAGGATCCGCACGGAGCTGATGACGTCGTCGAAGTGCGCGCAGCTGTAGATGCTGAGATCCTTGCACGCGAGGCCCATTACCATCGGGTTCAGCAAATGCACACAGAACAGATTGGCGTCTTTGAGTCGGTTCGGATCGCGGGTGACCAGACGTTGGACGATCCGCGATTTTCCGTGCACAATGACCGGGTGGGAGGAGTTGCAGAGAGAAATGCACTGGAACAACTGGACGATGCTCGTGGTGTCGCACCGATCGGAAATGGAGGCGATCGCCGAGAGCAAGTCGAGCTGGCGCTGCAGAAAAAAGCGTACTTTGAGGTTAAGGTTCAAGGATCATGTTTTCCTTACCGGTACATTCTCGTGAAGGAACGGCGGGAGCGTCATGATTGTCGGCAGGAGTTTCTTGGTGATGAACGAGATCGGCAGGTATTCGGCCACGTGGGGAAGGCCTCGGACCGCACTCGACTAAAAGTTCGCCCAATTAGACTAACCCCTTGAGACTCTCCAAACCTGAAGCGACGTGTCCTCGGATTTCAGCGACAAAATTATCACTTCGAGGCACTTGTCCTCCACAAATTCGTCGGAAAGTCTTCGGAAAAGCGCCGACATGTTCTCGAGAATAAAGGCGCGCAGCTGAAAAGAGCCAATTCCGGGCGGCATGGGAAAACATGGGCAAACGAGGGGAAATATGAGCGCAATTAGATGCCCTCAGGGCCAGAGATCCGTGCCGCCCACGCAAAGCCATTCGCACCCCGAAATAGCCGCGCCAGAACTGACCGGTTTGTTGTGCGAGGTGGCCTCCATGAGCCTCCGAATCCACGGCTTCATCTTGTGAATGTTGTGGCTCTCGCAGTGCTCCAAAATGTGGAAGAGCGGTTTGGTGATCGGGTAGTACATCTCGGGCAGCTCCATCAGTTGCTCGTTGAATCGCGGAAGCACCCGATTGAACCACACCGACTCGGAGATGTGCGGAATCGCCGAGTTGAGCGTCTGACTTAGAAAGTGCGACTTTTGCGATGGATCGAACACCTGCAAAAATGAGTAAAAGAGATTGGCATGTGCTTCCTTTATGGACCCATAAAGGACTTCGCTCACGGTACCTGAGCGATATCGTCCAACTGACGGAGCGCCGACAGACACGGATCGTCGAAGTGTTTGATGAGCGAGAGAAGTTGGACGGTCGGACGGACCTCCACGTCCAACGAAAGGACCTTGGCCATCGAGTCCTTCAGATTCGGTCCCAGTTCGACCGAGATGCACTGGAGGGCGGCGTCCAACTGACCGACCACGATGTGATACGTTTCCAGGTTGTTCTTCGCGTCGATCAGTCGTTTTCCGCCCGCATAGATCCAGCAGATGAGCACTCCGAGAGAGAAGACGTCGGCGGCGCTGCTGACTGTCGTCTGGCCGGGTGCCAAGTTTTCAGGCGCCAAAAAGTCGAGGTCCGGCTGCAGACACGGCGGCAATTTCTTGGTCCACGGGTAGCACGGGTAGCAGTTCGGTTCTTTCGCGTTGACGGCGAAACTGAAGCCGCCGATCTTCCACGTCTTCGTGGCGGTCACATAGATCGAGTCGGGCGTCAGATTGCCGTGCATCATTTTGGCCGAGTTGTGCAGGTAGGACATGCCGTCTATGATTTGCAACACGCCCAGTTTAATCTCGAGCCGGTCGATCGACTCGTCGGTGACAATGTTCTCGAGGTTTCCGATGATTTGTTCGGTGGCGAACGAGAAGTAGTCCTTGGTCTCTTCGAGATTGTGGTCGACGTGCAGGATGCGCGGGTGGATCAGTCCCATCAGTTGCTGCGTTTCGTACCTGCAAAAAACAACAATATTCTTTCTGTTTTCTCACGTGCCACCCTATCCCCGAGTCAATAAAAGGAAAACTTCCGCGCGAGAAGTCTCAAAGAAATCTCTTTTTTCTACTCACTTTATAAGATCGAACATCGAATAGGTTTTGGATTTCCCGAGTTTTGGCGGCGCCTTCACATTGCTCTTCTTGTCGAACACGAGCACCGACGCGTCCTAAGCAAACTTTTTTGTTTCGTCCCACCATTTACCCATTTTACCTTATTTCCAAAGACGCTTTTGGAGTTGAAGACGCGCCAGTGTCCGTGCGTGAACTTGTACTCCAACGAGTGATAGTCCTTCTCCAGTGGGGCCGCTCCGGAGCCGCCGAGCGGAGACGAAAGCGTCGGAGAGACGATCGGACGAGACGGGACCATCGAGAGCTCCTGCAAAAGAAGACATTGTCGACCGGGGACCTTCGGGGATGGGCGGTCCAAAAGGTTACACAATTGCTCGCTTTTTTGTTGATTCCGAACGTCTTCCGCAGACTGTTCATCGACGACGTTTTGTTCATTTTTGGCGGCGGAGGCATGAAGTTCGACATGATTCAAGTGCTTTAAATCTATGGGTTTTGGCATGAAAGGAACAGACAGAGAGAGAGAGAGAGAGAAAGTAGGGTATACAACTTTGACACACAAAAAGTACCGAAATTCCGAAACGCCACCTCTTTTATTCACTTTAAAAGTAAAAGTTCATGGAAAGACGGGAATTTCAGCAAAAACGGTGGAGATTTAGAGAGAAAAAGTAGCGGAAAGGATACTTTCACACTTTTCTCATTTATTGGCCCCCTCCGGTCCGCATGTGACACACGGAGCAGGAGAAGAAGAAGAAGAAGAAGAAGAAGAAGAAGAGGGAGCCCCGGGACCTCTTCTAGAGAGCCAATTATAAAAAGTTCAGGATTAGAAATAGCGAGGGGGATACTCTTCTGCAAAAAGAGGCAAAGAGGGAGCTGAATTTGAGAAATTAAAAGTAGCCGCCTGCCTTCTGCTCCTTCTCTCTCTCTCTCTCTCTCTTTCTTTCTTTCTTTTGGAGAGAGGGAGATGAAGCACGAGGCGATGTTGAAAGGTACGTGTGACGCATTCGAAAAGAGGGTAATTGGAAGAGGAAGGCTAAAGGGGGCTAAAGTTGAAGTGTGGTAGTCGCAACTTCTTTTCCTACTCCAGAAATGAGGTTTTCTGATTTCAGACTACTCATTTCAGTTTGAAGTTTGTCTCCGATCACCGTTTTTCGGAAAGCGGAAGTGGAAAGCGGAATTTTCCTCGACTATTCCCTGCAGACATAGATCCCGATCACAAAAGACCGGAAATCACGCTCGTAAAGGTGGTCCCCACCCGTTTTTTATTTCCGGAAATTTCACCATGAAGCAATTGGATCTCGTGGACGTTTCGCAACCGATGCCGATTCGGTCGGAACCGCCCACGCACCAATCAGCAACTGGAATGCTCTCATTTTCGACCGCTTCATCCGAAAGAGAAAAAGGTGAAAACAATACGAAAAGCGGCCGGAAAGGGCTCGATGACAGCTGGAAACGCACTGATTCGTTTATCGGGCACGGAAGAGAAACAGAGATATTTGGAGAGTTTCGCGATCGAAAATGAAATGGCGCGGGCAGATGTTAAAGTTCGGGAGCCCTTTTAACCGAAATTCTCCCGACGAGGAAGTTGTTTTTTTTGTTGAAGTTTTGAAAAGACACACTGGGCTACGGTATGAATTTAAAGGCGCATCACCCAAATCAGAGACATTTGCATGCCCAACTTGCACGTTTCGCTAGATATCTCGAAACAATAAAACAAAAATGTCTTGAAAAATTAATGGGCGTTTCCGCATTCAGCCGGAACTAACACTTTGAGAATTTCAACAAATTCTTCGCGTCGGTCGACTAATCAAAGATCGTGAAAACATATATTTCATGGCGAAAAAAGCGTCGAAAAGGGGCGACGAGTGTCCGGATGGGTGACAAATTGGAGAGAATTAAAAGTGACATCGTCGTCTTTTTCTCGATATCCTTCCGGATACCTCGCCAGCAAAATAGTCACACGAACAACCAATTCCCGAGCAATTTTGAAAGAAGACACCCACTTTTAGACACGTTGCCGCTTGCGTTTTTGTTTTTGTTTCTCAAAAAATTCGTCAAAAGTGAAAGGTACGTAAAATGAACGAAACATTTTTGCAAAAGAGAAAGGAAAGCGATAAAACTCTTCGAGTTCTGCTCCATAAAATTTTTACTCTCACGAAATTAAAATCGGAGCAATTTTTGTCGATCGCGCTCTCAGAAATGTGGCCAGCGTGCTCGGGGGCGCGGTAATTTCGGCCAAGAATAGAGATAAATGGAGAATTGACTTCTGTCCGACAAAAATGTATTTGAGAACACAAAATCGGGAGAAGAGTACGACAAGTGTCTGGATTTATGCCAGAATCGAAACGATTTTTGGTCAAAGCGTCGAAGAGCAAGAAATTTCCGGAAGAATGGCAATGTTTACTCGAATTTTGAATACTAATCATTGCGAAGAAAATGATGGGAAAACAAAAGAGAAACGGACGGAAATTCGGCCATTTCTGCAAGAGTTTCAACTGAATTTCAGTCTTAAAATGCAAAAAAAATGCAAAAGCGGATTACCACCCGTTTCCAGACATCTAATTATTTGTGTACAATGCAAAGATGACGGGATTCTCCGTTTTTTTTGCATTGTTTGCGAAAAAGACTGAAAATGGCGAGGAGATGGAAGAGAAACGGAGGGAAAATGGGATGCGCCGGACGAGTGAAATACGATCGGATTCACACTGAAACGAGCGGGGACCGCATGGGAAATCGAATGGAAATATCGCCATTCTACCGCCTTCAACGTGGATTTTTATGATTACAACAATAAAAAGCAACATTTATACGCTTTTAAAGTACGGGCGCTCGGTTTTCGACAGATTTTTAGGGCTTTTCTGAAGAATCATTAACGACGATTCTCGGAAACATTAGTGAGAATTTCTAGGAAACACAAATTTGCTTGAAAGAACTATAATTTCCGTAGACACAAAATTTATGGGAGAAACCAGAAAAAAACGGTTTCGTGCTGATTTTTTCACTTGTCTGACTGCAATTCGGCAGCTTTCTGAGCTACCGTACTTTAAAGGCGCATAACGTTCTGGCACAAGAACTTTTTTGTTTGGCGCTCACAAATCGCAATTAGTTTTGTTTGTACTTGTTGTTATTCATTTTTCCTTCACTTTTCACCAACTTCTTCTTTTTTTCTCATTTTTTCTCATTTTTTGTCGTCGAAATAAAGTGTTTCGTTTTCCCATCAACCCGGCTGGTTACCTGTGAATATCTGCGGATCGCCTCGAACATTTCGAGTCGGTTTTTAATCGATTTCCTATTTTTTAGCCTGCAAACACCAATAAATAATAGACAAACCTTGTAGCTGTTGGTGGAAGCACGGCATCGGACAGGCGAATGGGCGACGGCGATGGCCGCAGATGCCACGTAGCCGCGTTGCGGGACAGTCGCACGCGACGAACGGCTCGGAGTCGCCATTTCGGAGGATCAGAGGAAGGAGAAGGAGATGAAGAAGAAGAAGAAGAAGTGCGAGAGACGGAGGGTCTGACGAGCGACGATTAGGTGAGAAGGAGAAGAAAAAGTAGAGAAAAAATTTGAGAAGAAATGTGAACATGAGTTTTTTGTTTTTCTGCAAAACGATGTATCTCAGCTGTAGGTGGAGATATCAAAAAGTGGTGTACTGATAAAATGTGTAAAATTTCCTAATGATAATTTTTTTAGTTGACCACTTTTTGATTTCACCATCGGCAGCGGAGATACATCGTGTTGAATGAACGCCGTTTACAATACTAACAGTATCCGAAAAACCGGGCTAATAGTGAGCTAAATCTCAAAGATTTCAATACAAGATGGCTGTCTATTTTTTCGCAGAAATGTGTTGAAATCCAAATCCGAAAAAAACACCAAAAATTTGGAGCATCGGTAAGAGCTCAGCAATGAGCAATCTCATGTGATTCGTCTGCGAGAAGCCAGAAAATCGTGTGACACTGGGAAAACAGAGGGAATTAGTGCGTGAGAACGTAAAGGGTCTCGCCACGAATATGAAAGCCTTCTGCCACCTTTTTCGGCGAAAAAATGCTCATAAAAAGTCTAGTACACCTTTTTTCTTTTCTTTTTGTATCTTGGCAACCGAGACGAGAAGAAAGTCCAAAAAGTTTTTCAAATTTTCCGGAAAAAGGACACTATCAATTTTAGGTCGACGTCTCGAATCTTGAATGCAAAAAACAGCACAAATCGTGTGGATTCTAGAAGAAAAGGGGAGGAGCTTCGTGTCGATTCTGGCTAAAAACGGAGAGGATCTCATGGAAATTCGAGGCTCGTTAGGCGGCCGAATCAAGAGGAAACGCGCAGAAATGGATGGGAAAGGAAATAGCCCAAGTTTCTCTTAGGCTATTTCATCAAAAAACTTTTTTCTAGGAGCACTCGCTGGAGTACTGTAGCTCTGGGAAGTGAACGTTGCAATCCACGAGCCTTTCTTTAACTGGCACGAACTTTGAAGCGCTACAGTACTCCAGGAAGTAGTCGTACAAAAATGTTGTCAACTGAGAAAATAGAGTACTAGATATGCACTTTTCACAAAAACATTTTCAGGCATGTAGCTCTTATCTCCAGGCTCTGATACAAACATTCAAAGTGATAATCTTGAGGTGAAATGGATGGGTTGGAAAAATCGGCGTGTAGCTTGAGAATCAAAAGTTTTGGAATGAAATTGCCAACTGCAAAGTTATAGAGCACAAAATTTGCAACAATTTTTCAGTTGTCAACTTTTTGAAATAATTACTGGTTCTCAAGATACATGCTTCAGAAGATCGTTATTGCCCACCAAAAGTACAGTAATCCCAAGAGCACTTTCGCGTTTTCTTCTAATGAGATTCCCTTCCATTCCTTTCGATTTTCGTTGGATCGCAATGGAAAAGAGCTCACGAAAAGAATGAAATGGAAAGACAGAGAGAGAAAGAAAGAGAGAGAGAGGGAGAGAGGGAGAATTTAATGAAATTCGTTTGCACTCCTAATGAGGATGAACGAATTGCGAGGAAAAAGGACGGAAAAGGTTCATTTGGCAATTTCGAATGGATTCGATTCGGCCGAAAACGAAGCGAAAAGGCGCTTGTTTTTTGGACGGAAGAAGAGAGAAAAAGAAAGGGAGAGGGAGAGAGAGAGAGAGAGAGAGAGAGAAGTGATAAAAATAGATGAAGAATGAACGGGCTGTTTGTTAGCCGAAAATGAGAAAAAGATGACGTGGCGGAAGGCGCTCATCATCACGGACGTCATCGACGATAATTGTCACTGTTCCACAAGGTCGATGACGACGAAAATGAGTGCGTCTTCCATTTTTCTAAAGCATTTCTAAAGTTTGCGTTTTCAGCGCTTACTGATAGACCTTTTGGGTGGTTTTCCCCTATTGATACAACTTTAAGAAGTCTTTTGATGACCAAATCGTTTCGAAAAAGCGCCAAGATTGCCATTTGTTTTGCAAAATATCAAAAAATGTTCCG